ATGGTTTACATAAGTTTTTCAACATATAGGGGTCGTTTGGAGAATATGAGTTTAAATCTACAGATTGTCAACAATTTAAAGATTTTAACTCTTCGGATTGTTAAAAACAGATTTTAAAATGTTTATTGTTTGTTAACTGTGATTGTTAACATTCAAGTAAAATAAAAAATCTAATTTTATATTCAATAACATGTTTATCCTTAATAAAAAAATTAGAGTGGTTCGAGAAATATAAAAAACTTTGTTGATAAATATATTTCATGTGATAAATAAATGGGTTAATACCCTAGTTTGGCCCGAAGTTTAGCGTAAATGACAGTTCTGGCCCCATTTTTCAAATAAGACATTTATGGCCTACTTTTGAAACTATTGGACAAATTTGGCCCGAAACTTATGTTGACTGTTACTTTTAACGGTCAAACATTTAATCCTTCATTGACTCCGCATTTAGTGTTGAGGTGGCAGTGACATGGCTTCCACATCATTTATTTATGTTTAACATTCTAGAAAATGAAAATAAAATAAAAAATAAAACCTAATCCCTAGCGATTTGGCTCTGTAACCTAGCCGCCTCTTCATTCCTCTCCTCTATGACTCTTTCCTTTCCAGTGGGTACAAGAAGGAGCGGCGAGCACGCCGCCGCCGCCCGGCGATGATGCTGGACAAGAAGTTCAAAAGTGAAGGGCTGACCTCGGCGACCTCCACACGTCAGGGATGATCTTGGAAGCCGTAAGGGTGGAGGCCATCAATCCAGTGGCGACCATTTCAAAAGCTTTCAATCCGCCGATTCGAACCCTTTTAGAAACCCAGAAACCCCAAAATCTTATCCCAAACCTTCAATCCTCCCTCGACCTTCAATTAGCAAATTTACCCTTTCAGAAACCCAAAAAAACCCAAATCAAACCCTTTTAGAAACCCAGACAACCTCCAAAATCTTATCCCCTGTTCACACCTACCAAACCCTCCTCTCAATCTCATCTCAAGGAACAGGGAGAGAAAATCTATCACTAGCAAAAAGGTCATTGCCGAGAAGAAAGATTTGGAGTGATTAGGCCTCCACCACCCTTTCTCATTCGCTGATTTTTTTGCTTCCTCTGCCCCAGATTTCTCTTCGACGATTGGATCTCCAGGTCATGATGGCTTGGCGGCGATGCAGAGTTTTTGTGGGCTAGATTATCGACCAGAGAGAGGGAGGAGGTGGGTGGCGCCGGCGATTGTTGGGGAGAGTTTGAGTCGGCAGAATAGGTGAATTAGGAGCCGAAGAGGAGAGTGAAAAAAGTCTCTGGGGAAAAATTCCTATATTTAATTAGTTTTAATTTTTAATTTAATAAATGATGACATGTATGATCCTAGTCAGCACCAGATGCTGAGTCATTAACGAATTAAATGTTTGACCGTTAAAAGTAACAGTCAACATAAGTTTCGGGTCAAATCTGTCCAATAGTTTCAAAAGTAGGCCATAAATGTCTTATTTGAAAAATGGGGCCAAAACTGTCATTTACGCTAAACTTCGGGCCAAAATAGGGTATTAACCCTAAATAAATAAAAGAAAGAGAAAAATTAGGAGAGAAAAAATCTCACGAATCAAGATATAGAATCTCTCTGATTATGAGAGATTTGATATCCACAGATTTTAGAGATTTGAAATCTCTGAAGTTAGAATCCACAATACAAAAAACAACAAAAAAACATAACTTTCTACAAAATCTACGGATTCAGTGAATCCATGTCCTGAATCCTGTTCTCCAAACGACCCCATAGTTTTAGTTAAAACATGGGAAGCAATTGAGAATTGAGATCGATGATGAGAATCCAATCCAAAGGTAAAGAATTCAATCTGGGTTTGAGCAGGAGTTGCCGGTTGGGTGGGTTCTTTGAATTGTTTCTATGTTGGTTTCCTACTTTCCTTTCGCGTACTGTGGTCCATGGGCCCTCCTGATAGGGATGGGAAATGGGCCCAATCCAACGTAGGTGATCAGGAGTCAGGACAGAGGACCGGCCCGCGTACTCCCAAGTCCCAACGTTAAATTCTGTCCACTGGGTTGTTAAAATGGCGCGTTGAGGAATGACGAGTCCGGCTGGCGTTAATTCATGATAACACTCTACGTTATTGTTAGTAAAGTACGATAGAGATAAGTTAGGTATAAAATATGTATAAGTAATTTAAGTTGTCTTTAAATTAAATTTTTTAGATAAATAAGTATCCATACCAAACTCATGCTAATTTGGATTCCTTAAAATGCCGAAGTGTGAGGCCAACGAAAGAAGAGTTATTGAAAATTACTATCGCTCGACAAACTGAGAGTGGGTCCTCAATGAAATAAAAAAATGGATTAGCACAAGCAACAACAGATCCAAAATTGGGTAGAGCATTGGCCCACATTTGAAAAGAGACGGAGAGGGTTGTGCCATATTCTGACGAACACTAAAACAAACCCCTAAAATTGAAATTTTACTAGTGCTATATTGACTCTGGATCTAGAGGAGGAATGGACCGTGGCCCGGGAGGCCCCCTGGATCCGCCACTGAGCACAAGGAGGCCTGTGCAAGACGCCCCGGACAAGTGGTGGAGCATAATTGAAAGTAAATAAGGCACAAGAAAGGTAGAGAAGTGCTCGAGTCGGTCAACCTTGAGAGCAAGATTGGTCTTAAGGGACAGGGATTGATGGAAACATGGTCTATAAAGGAGACCAGTCTTCCGTGGATAATTATTAATATGTTTATTATTATGATTAATAAGAGACCAGTGAAACCTAGGGGTGGCAATACGGTCCGGTCCGGTTAAATTGGCCCAAATTGATCCGGTCCAGTTCGGTCTTTTTGAAAATATAAGGACCAAAGATTGGATTGGATACAGTCCGGTCTTGATCCGGTCCGGTCCCAATTCAGTCTTGATTTTACATTGAGATTTTGGGATTTGAGTGGCCTAAGGCCTTAAAGGGTGAGGAGTTGGTTAAGTTTTGTACTAAGTGCAAAGGTTTGTGACTGTTTATCCAAATTACCCTTAAGTTTTGGGTGTTGAGCTCTCTTATCCGGTCTTTATCCGGTTTTTTACCTCAAATCTAAGCCCAAAGATTGGATTGGATTGTTTACTATCCGGTCCCGGTCCGGTCTCGGTCCGGGTTATACGGTCCGGTTTCCGGTTTTTAATCCGGTCCCGGTCCAAATAGCCACCCCTAGTGAAACCCGTCTAGCAGCTAGTTCGCGCGCGAGCATTGAAAGAGAATCGAACTAAAATTTCTAAACAGAGACACGGTGGCTGACGACAATGTTAAGAAGTCCAGAGATATCAGCAGGACTGTCATGATTTCTCGATTAGCTGCTGTCGAATTTTCTCCATTAGCTATCGTGATTTCTCGGTCAACCTTTATCCAAGTTTTTTTTTTCTTTCTTTTCTGGAACATCAACAGCATGTATCCCGTGTATCCAATTCAAAGAAACGAGTTCAATTTGAGCAGAAGTTGGAGGATGGGTTGATTTGGGTGGACCGAAATGGGCCCAACCCAACAGTCAAATACACACTCTAAAGCCGTAAACAGCGTGTCCGTTGGTGATCAGGACAGAGGACCGGCCCGGCGGCGACCCCATCCCCAACATTATATTCTGTCTTGTCCACTGGGTTGTTAAAATTGGCGTGTTGAGGAATGACGAGTCCGGCGACCGGCCGGCTGGCCTTTAATTCATGGCAACACTCTACATCACTTGGAACAAGTTATGGACATGGTGAAAAGCCTTATTACTTTGATCGAAGACATCGTATATTGATTTAGTTACCGACATTATCATTAGCGCCCTCGATCTAGCTAGGTCGCCTCGCTTCGGGGGTGGATCGGTAGTCGATCAGATCGAACTCGTCAAGTACGCATGATAATCCATGAAAATTTGGCATTGAGTGTTTTCGACTTCGTGAGTATGTCTTCTCGTTGAAGAAGAAACATGCATATATGATGTTAGTGTTAGGGTTCAAAATTGAAGGTTCAAAGTTGAGAATAACATATTGATTCAGTGGCGGACCCAGAAATTTTTCATAGGGGTGTCCTCTTTTAAAAAATAAATTTAATAAAAATAATTAATAAAAATAAAATCGTAAATATGAAAATACCTTACTCGTACAGGTTAAAAAAGTCCATGATGTGTTTTCATATTCGAAAATAATTGTAGAATACACTTGGTGTTTATAGTGTTAAAAACAATTCTCTATATACCCTACTAGACAATCATTCAGGAACTTATCGCATATTCGATTTGTAAACTTGTTCTTGATGTAACCCAAAGCTGAAAGACTCTTCAATACTTGTCGTACAATCATAAAATCAATACAAATTAAGGGTAGATTGAAATTAGTTTAGATTGAAATAATTAGAGATAGGGAATGACTTTTTACTATTACACATTGTTCAAAATCGAACACCAAATGAGTTGTAGCTCAACGTAAATTAAGTTTATTAATAATAATAGTGTTCTAGATTTGAATTACCCAACCTACCATTTATATTTTTATACACAAATGACAGTAGGATAATCATTTTTTCAAATTTCAGAGGTGTCCCTCACTATCAATTATATTTTTTTGTCTATACGTAAATTACCACCGGGGGTTGGATAATTATTTTCCCGAAATTTAGGGGTGTCCGGGGACACCCCTGAAGCCCCCTGGGTCCGCCCCTGTATTGATTAATTGTGATCATATGTTATATAGTCATATCAGACTTATCCGACAAATTTGAATTCAAAATTCGATATCTTAATTAAAACAACTTTTAAAATTTGGTACACATTATCAATGCATTTTTATATTTGCACCATAGAAAGTAGAAACCATTATATTGAGATACTAGTCAGCCCCTACGTCATAGTTGCACGTATACCTCCACTTAAATTGACAACAATATGACATCACCATCTTGCATCAAATAATTCAAGTAAAGAGTTCCCCACTACTCGAACCCACAGAGAAAAATCGAAAGTATATATCGATACTCTTCAAACCATATAAATGGGCCATAATCTCGATTCATCGTAGCATCCACAAATCTGAAATCCAGAAAAAGAAAGAAAGCAAACAAACAAACTCTCCCAAGTCCTCATAGCCATGTCTTTCTCAAACACTTTTTTCCTATCTTCCTTCTTCCCCAGAACTATTGATTATTACTTGGAAAAAAGCAGTATCAGTAGTGCCAATCCTCCGGCGCCGGCAAAGCTGATAATCACCGGTCTCAAGGGACAACGCACGTCATCGGCGCCGCCGAAAGCTCATCCGAAACAAGTCACTCTAAAAGATCCGATGATGATTCCGGCTACCAGTACTGACTCCACACGCCGCCACGTAAGCACCAATCCTTTTGGCCTTCGAGGGTTTTCATTTTTTCAATGTTTTCATCGTAAAATTTTCTTTCATGCACGTACGAGCCGTTATATTGGAAAATATTAATTTATACGTATTTAATTGTCTTGGGATTATGCAGGATGATATTAGCAGTGTCAGAAGGCACGCTCAGAAACTAGCAGAAGCCAAGTTCATTTTCAAGCAATTAGTGGAGAAAAATATTGTAGAAGAAGGAAACTCCTCCATGAAAATCTTGAGAATGATCGATGCACTGCAACGTTTAGGCCTCGACCACCACTTCGAGGGAGAGATCGAGGCAGTGCTGAACCGCCAGTGCGATAGTGCGATGACAAAGTATTCTTCCACCATCGTTGTTGATGGTGATAGTACTCTGAGCCATGATCTTGTCAAGACTTCATTGCGTTTTCGATTACTAAGACAACAAGGTTATCGTGCTCCTTCAGGTACGAAATGAGAAGAATTCCCTTCAATGAGTTTGGATGGTTAATGATTTTTAACTATATGATGGAAGATGGAAATACGATGATAATTAAGGATGGAAACATTTTATTACCTTGCAAGTTGGAAGTATGATTAAAATTTTGGGCCAATATCACCGCAACTTAAACGTTAATAATTAATTCACTTTTTTTTCTAATTCGGTTTTTTACTATATCTACCATTTCATATTCAAATTATAAACTTCGAATCGTTCGGCCAAAACAAAAAAAAAAACAATTATTTACTTCAAAAGGTTAAGTTGGGTCAATGAGAAATTTAAGCAAAATTTTTAAAAAAAAAACCGAAACCCGCTTAGAAGCTCGGATTTGGAGCTTTATGGAAAAATTGTTTGAAAGTACAAAATTATCATCACAATTTTTCTAATTTTCTTTCATTTCTATTTTTCTATAATTAAAATAAATTAGAAAATAAAATTATTTAATACGAAATCCAAAACAAATTATTTAGACTTTTTTCCCGCCTCTGTTTGGTCAATTTATAATACTTTATAAGAAGAGTAATAAAAAAAAATACTTTATAAAAAGCTCCAGTGAGAAACTACTTTGATACAAGCTACAAACTACAACGAGTCCAAACTAGCTCAACATAGATTTATACACAAACTTCCATCCTTTTCACAGAGTAAACTAACTTCTTATTCACTTTCTTTCTCTTGGTAAAAGATGTGTTCCAAAACTTCATAAACAAGGACGGCAAGTTGCAGAGCAAATCGGAACAAGACATCATGGGACTGATCGAACTTTACGAAGCATCATATTGGGCCACAAAAGAGGAAACCACACTGGTCGAAGCAGGACAATTCTGTGCCCACTTGTTGGATTCAGGACGAAGCAGCAGCACTAGAACTTTACAAGCCGCCACTACTGCTTTTGCAGACTACACTGTGAGACATCCTTCCCACAGAAGCTTACCCAAATGCCACATAAGGAACTACCTCAGCAATTTCCATGGCGGCTCGACGACCAAGCACTACTATGAAGACACGCTCGCTGATCTAGCGAGGTTGGAGTTCAATATGAACCAGTCTGTTTGCCTGCAAGAAGTCGTCCAGGTGTCTAAGTAAGTACGATGTTTTTTTTTCCCCTTCCTTCCTTCCCTTTTTTCGTTCATGGTGATTAATCCTGTTTGTTGGTGTGATTTGGTAAAGGGGTGGCTATACGGTTCGGTCCGGTTAAATTGGCCCGAATTGATTCGGTTTCGGTTCGGTTTTTTCGGGAATATAAGGACCAAAGATTGGATTGGATACAGTCCGGTCCCAATGTGGTCTTGATTTTAGATTGAACTTGTGGGGATTTGAGTGGCTTGAGGCCCAACTCTTATCCGGTCTTTATCCGATTTTCGATCCGGTTCCAAACGGTTTTTTTACCTCAAATATAAACCCGAATATGAGATTGGATCGTTTGCTATCCGGTCCTGGTCCGGGTTATACGGTCCGGTTTCGGGTAAAACCAAACAGTCCGGACCAAACAGTCAGCCCTAATCTGGTTGTTCTTTTGTTCGCAGATGGTGGAAGGAGCTAGGGTTGGCGGAGGAGTTGGAATTCGCGAGGAACGAACCGATGAAGTGGTGCATGTGGCCGTTGACGACGTTGACAGATTCGAAATTCTCCGAAGAGAGAGTCGAGCTCGCCAAACCGATTTCGTTCGTGTACCTCATTGACGACATCTTCGATGTGTACGGGTCACTAGATGAACTGACTCTCTTTACAGAAATCGTTGATAGGTAACTGTCGTTTTCTCTGTCTCTTTCTCTCTCGCTCATTCTTTACAGAAATCGTTGACAGGTAACTGTCGTTTTCTCTATATGATTTTATGCAGATGGGACGTTGCATCGGCAGACCAATTGCCCGATTATATGAGGAAATGCTTTATGGCTCTCCATCAGGTCACCAATGAGATTGGGTACAAAGTGTACAAAAGACATGGATGCAACCAAATACACTCCCTGCGACAAGCCGTACGTAAAGGGATTTGCTAGTTTTGGGGGTTTAATGGCATTTGTGACTTTAGTTTTTTGCTACGATGATAATCATTTTCAGCAAATATATATGTTCTTCAGTGGGCGAAACTTTTCAAGGCATTTCTAGTGGAAGCCAAGTGGTTCAAAGGAGGAAAGTCCCCAAATGCGGAAGAGTACTTGAAGAATGGAATAGTTAGCTCCGGGGTGCAAGTTGTTCTGCTTCACCTCTTCTTCCTTTTGGGGCAGGGCCTTACACAGAGAAACGAGGACCTCGTTAATGGCGATGATCCTCCGGTGATCTCTTCCGTTGCCAAAATTCTCCGACTGTGGGATGACCTCTCTTCGACGGTAAGCATGGCTTTAAAGCAAATATGCATGTGTAGTTGTGTGTCCTAGCTAGCTCCATGTCAAAAAACGTGCTTTTGTGAGAGAATTTAGTTTAAAGACATTAACATTATATATCGATTTTTGGGTCGTCACGAGACAGTTTAAGGTTGGATCCTAGAAATTTTTTTATGTTCCATCGAGTTATTATTGTGCATTTTGAAAGACTAATCATTATATGTATTTTGAATGTAACCCGGTTTTTATATAGTTGAATTCGATTTCCGTAGATCTAATCAATTCGAAAATATATCTCGGAAAATTCAATTTAACATCTATCTGTACATATTTAAGTTTCATGACAATTCTTAGTTTTTGAACTGCTTGTAGAAAGAAGAACAAGATGGTGAAAGACGGATCTTATGTGGATTTCTACTTAATGGAGAATCCTCATCTTCAATTCAAATTTCACTATTTCTACTCAATAAAAAAAAATCGAGCCAATTCCAAAATACTTTATCAAAAATTCAATTTAACATCTATATATCCGCAATTAAGTTTCACGGCAATTCTTTGTTTATCATGCATCAAACCATGATCGATTGTATGTCAATAACATTGAATATCCTAACCCGTCTGCAACCGCTTGTAGGACGAGGAACAAGATGGTGAAGACGGATCTTACATTAATTTCTACTTGATGGAGAATCCTCAATCTTCAATCGATGAAGCCAAGGTTCATGTGACGGATATGATTGAAGAGACATGGAAGCAACTAAACCATGAATTTCTATCTATAACACCATTCCCATTAATTTTCAACAGGGCAGCCCATAATTCTGCAAAAATGGTGCCTTTGATGTATGGATGCGGGGTTGATGTTGATCAAACTCGGAGACTTCCAAAGCTCGAGGATCACATCAAGTCCATGCTCTTTGAAAGCATTCCCATGTGATATTTACTTTGTTATAACTTCACATTGTAGGTTTTTTTTTTTTTTTTTTTACAAATAACTAGGAAAAAGGTATATCAAAACATTTTCTATTATCAGAGCCTGGTTTCGATCCAGGGACCTGTGGGTTATGGGCCCACCACGCTTCCGTTGCGCCACTCTGATCTTGATGGTTTGATGACCTTTTCCTTTGGTATATAGAAGTTGAGTGATTTTGGCATTAGAGGAAGTTTTTTTTATGTGAATGACCGTTTCATTAATACGAAACACGGTGTACAGAGTTTTTACAACACTGAAAGGAAGGAAAAAACCAAACGAAAATAAGATTGAAAACTTCCGGAGGCCTACCAAGGCCCAAAAAACCCTGGTCCAGAAACAACATGGACAGCCCACCCCTAGTAAACCTATTTCGCTGACCCAAACACCATGAGTACGGGCGCTGCTTGCATCCCCCTCCGCCGAAACCAGCCGCCTTCACTAGAGGAAGTTTCTTTGCTTCATAAATAATTTGAGAATGAATCTTTTGTAATATTTTACTTTCGAATATAGAATTTACTCGAAGGAGAATCCAAGAGACGTCTATCAACGGCGTTAAGAAGCAAATGATGAAAATAATTGAAGAGATAGGGACACAACTCAACCGCGAATCTCTATCTCCGACGCCATTTCCGTTAGCTTTAAACAGGGATGCCCATAATATTGCCAAAATGGAGCCTTTGATGTATGTCTGACAATATTGTTTGACAATCATAATCAAAATAATCAAAATCAGACTGCTCTCCAAGGTTAGAAATAGCGATTTCGATCTGACACATACATACTCTCCTCGCCCTGACCCGCCCCATTTTCAACCTGCTTAAACCTAAATTACATATAATTTTACTCAAATTACTTAAGAAGAGCTACAATGCCTAAACCCCAAACACTGCGAATTATTAGCATTGCCGTTTAGACAAGTGGACATCCAAAGAGTAGCCTAAACCCCAAAGGCCCAAACAAGGCTGCTTATGACCTTCAGAAAACAATAACATGTTCATGAGAGACTCCACTGAAACACCAAATGGCACGATTTTCATTCTGGACTAGACAAAGGAACTTCAAGGATTAAGAAATTCGCTGGTTCATGAGTTACCAACACAGTGAAAGGTGTCAAGTAAATGAAAGCTTTTGGATGGAAAATTCTCAAAGGTAATTTATTTCAGAATTCAGATTCTCAGCCCTCAGGAGCTTGTACCTGTTTTGCCTTCCCAAGCTTCCCAAAGCTCCTCTGCTTCTACAACAGCACCGACTTTCTGAAGCTGCGGACCTCCTTTGGAAGGACACTGCCAATATCTTAAAATGGCATCTTCCAAGTTTGCCATGTCTTTTACTTACAGCCTCTTGTCGAACTAGAAAGGACCAGCTTTCAGCTAATGATGAGCTTGTACTTGTTCTTCTTAGCAAGCTGCACAAGCTCCTCTGCCTCTTGAACTTTCGACTCTTTCGTCAACTCATCAACAACAAGCTGCATTGATTTCACATCAACACCGCACTTCGCACGAAAAGTATCACGACAAAGCTCGAAAGCAAGCTGCAGGTCGCTTTTCTCACAAAGAAACGGAACCAAAGTCTTAAAGATGGCCTTATTGGGCGCAAGCTCATTCTTCTCAATCTCCCGGTACCAACGCTTAACAGCTTCCAAGTTATCATCTTTTACATACCCCTGAATCAAAGCACTGAAACTGTGGCCATCAGGTTCAATTCCCTTGGTACCCATTTCATCAATTAGCTTCTCCGCTTCCTCCACTCTCTTGACCAATGCCAATCCGAGCATCCTCGAATTATAGCTTATGATATCAGGAGCGACATCCATTTCCGCCATTCTATTCCAGATGGACTCACCATCTTCGAACCTCCCATTTCTGTAGAACGCATTCAACAGCGTATTGAAACTAACCACGCTTGGGCTCACGCCTTTCTTCATCATCTCATCCAACGTGGAAGCAGCAGAGTCCAAAGCACCCATCTTGCAGAACCCTTTCATGATCGTGTTATGTGAAACCACGTCCAAAGTAATCCCCAGCTTCGGGGGCAAGTCCTTCACGATGCCGTCGATTTGATCAAACTCCCCCGAATCGATGCAGGCCGAAAGCAGCGCGTTGAAGGAGTAAACAGTTCGTGGACAATTAAGGTCAGGCATTTCGTCGAACAGCTTGCGTGCTTGTTTGAACATGCCCACCCTGCCGTAGATGACGATGAGACGTGAGACGAACTGCTCCCCGGTGATGTCTTCGAACTTCTTCTGATGCTCGACGATTTCTTCAATCAAGGAGAACTTCCCGTACTTGGCAAGGCGCTTGAATGAGTTGAGGTAGACGTCGAATCGAGAACGGAAGTCTTGCGACTCGGATGACTCCTTGAATCTCTTGACCATCTTCCTGAGTGAGCTCGGCTTGGAGGTGGCTGTGGTTGTGGCGGCGGGTTGGGTGGAAGCAGCCGCCACTGTAGCGACGGAATCGAATGCGCCGCGGAGGCGGCGGTAGACGGATTGCGGCTGCGCTTTGCTCATCGTGGGAATGGTCGACGGGGGGAAAAGGGTTCAAGGGGTTTACGAGAAAGAGAACGCTTTGTTGTTTCTTTCTTTCTTGTTTCCCACTAAGTTTATTCAGAAAATAAAACCCAATGGCCCATCTGGCCCATTTCATCCACTTCACCAAGCGAATGCGGCCCACTAAATCTCTCGTTTTACCATTTTACCCTTAAATGAGTCAATTTGGTCAATTTGGATGGATCAATCTAGAAATGAGTCAATTTGATCAATTTTCTCGTTTTATAAACGAGGCAATTAAAACGAATCAATTCGAATTACCTGCCCCACCCCAAGTAATCGAAATTGACTCAAAACAGATCAATTCAAAATACCTCAGGCAGATTGATCCATCCAATTTTTTTGCTGGCAAACGAGACAATTTGATACAATTGTCTCAAAACGAGACAATTGTGTCAAATTGATCCGTTACAATTCCTCATCCAAACGACTCCTCAATAAAGGCATTAGGCATATGCCAATTCATTCTTCTGTTTTTTTTTTTTTGCCATAGATATTCCAAACGGAACAACAAGATACGAGTTTGTACAAAAAGTGACGAAGGCCAAAAACTAAAGAACAAGTAAGGGACGCCGGTCAACCAAAAGTCGAACCCGCGATAAGAGGGCATCTTTCGCCACGATATGGGCAGCCCTATTGTACCTCCTTGGTGCGAAGTGAAACGAGACACGTTGAAATGAGGCACTAAGAACGAGCACTTCATTTAAGATGGCCCCCCCCCAAACCGTGTGACGTATCCTTCGCATTAACCATCCGTATGATCACCTGCGCATCACCACAAAAGGCAACAGTAGTTAGTGAGTGATTGAGGCACCAACGTAATGCATCGCGCAAGGCCAAAAGTTCAACCAGGAAAGGATCAAAAATGGAATCATAGAACCGTCCTAATGCAAATGAGATGCCGCCTCCTGGGGCAAACCCCACGAACCCAACACCTCCACCTTCTGCAGTCCTAGTGGCCCCATCGAAATGTACTAAGGTTCCATTCTCAGGGCAAGACGGAGGAACAGCAGCATTTGGAGCCGAACTTTGACCATGTTGAACTACCGCTCGCCGAGCCGCTGCACTATTCTGAACAGTCTCCCATTCCGCCAGCTGTGAGTCGTACTGTCGCACTAGGGTGAGAGGGAGAAAAACAATGAGATCATAGGCCGCCCAACACCGCCCTTTCCAAATCCTCCAAAACACGAACACAAAACGAGCAATCTCCTGAGCTGTCAAACCTGCATCAAAAAACAGCCTCCTCCAACCAATGGTAACATGACAACTACGAAAGTGAGAGAGGATGTGAGTCAGACCCAGTGATTCCCAAATCGACGCGGCAAGCCTACACTCGAAAAAACAGTGGGCTAAGGATTCTGGAGCAGAGGCGCAGACGGGACACAAAGTCCCTTCCTCGTCATCTTCTGGGATAATGCCTTTGTCCCAAAGAACCATACGGACTGGTAAGAAACCAAGGACTAATATCCACAAAAAGAAACGGAGTTTGGGGGGCAATTTCAAGGACCACAGGAAATTCCAAGCCTTGGAATCAAATATAATTGGAATGGTGGAGGGATTGGCAATGAAGTCAGTGGCGGCAAGATGGTAACCAGATTTAACAGAATACTCACCTGAGGTTTCGTAATGCCATATGAGTCGATCGGGGACGGGGAAGCTCGGAAGAGGAATGCTGCAAATGAGGCGTACCGTCTCTGCTTCAAATAAGGAGGATAACAACTCCAAATTCCAAGAGCCCGTACCTTGGATGATGAGGGAAGAGACGAACGGAAAGGGCAGGACAGCAATGGGAAGGAGTTGAGGGCGAGAAGGCGGCGTCGAGGGTAACCAAACATCATCGGCGATGCGGACTGATGTCCCGGAACCAATACGCCAGCGCAAGCCTTGGAGTAGCAGGTTTCGACCAGCCAGGATTCCTTGCCATGCCCAAGACGGCCGGGAACCCGGCGAAGCAAGGAGAAAGGATGTATGAGGGAAATATCGACATTTGTAGGTAGTAGCAAGGAGACTGTCGGGATCCTGAATGATTCGCCATGCTTGCTTGGCCAACAATGCCAAATTGTTGCTATCGAAATCCCGAAACCCCAGGCCTCCATCGCATTTGGGTCTGCATAGTGAACGCCAAGAAGTCCATCTAATACCGGAGTCTCGATCCTGTTGAGCCCACCAGAAGCGGGATAAGTGACCATTAAGCCGCCGACAAAAAGTCTGAGTTAGGCGAAAGCTTGACATGGCATAAATAGGAGAAGCCGTGGCTACTGACTTCAAAAGCACCTCCTTGGCAGCGAGAGTCATCGATTTTGCCTTCCAGTTCTGCAAACGCTGGACCAACCTGTCTTCAATGAAGGCAAATGATTGTTGCTTAGACCGAGAGATATGGGTTGGAAGGCCCAAATAGAAATCCTGCGGGGTGCCAGCTGAAACCCCTAGAATGGCGGTAAGAGATTCCGCCTCGCTTTCTGATACGTTGGCACTGAAAGAGACAGTAGACTTCTGCAAGTTAACCTTCTGCCCGCTAGCTTGCTGATACTCAGTCAGGAGGTGAAGCAAATTAGGACACTCTGTGGAAGAGGCGCGCAGGAAAATATAGGAATCATCCGCAAACAGCAGGTGGGAAATCGGAGGGCAGAGGCGATGGATTTTGAGACCATGAAGTAATCCCGACGTCATAGCCCGCAAGATGTAGCAAGTGAAAGCTTCCGTATACAGAGCAAATAACAGAGGGGATAGGGGGTCCCCTTGGCGGATTCCTCGTTGAGGTTTGAAGTATCCATGAGGGGAACCGTTGAGAAGAACCGAGAACGAGACTGACGTCACACAGGCCCATAACCAATTCAGCCATCTATCGCAGAAACCCAGGTGTCTCATTACGCCAAAAAGAAAATCCCATTCAACCCTATCGTAAGCTTTCTCCATATCGAGCTTAAGTGCCATCCATTTCTCGTGGCCTGAAGTTTTAGTTTTCAAAAAATGAAGAACTTCTTGACCGATCAACACATTATCAGTAATGAGCCTTCCTTTCACGAATCCGTTTTGGCAAGGTGAAACGATCCTGGGAAGGATATCTCTGAGCAATACTACAGTAAACCAAATAGTACTGTTGTACTAATTAATCATTGACGCCTCGACACAAAGTAGTCAAGGATAAACTTCAATGATGGATCTTGGACCGATCTTGCCAACGATCTTATAGCTACTATAACCAGCCGCCTCAAATAGTTTCTTCCATTCTCTTTCATTCCGCTCCTTGCCATTTACCATTGTCGCCATCATCAGATCGAAGCAGAGTTGGATTTCACGAGACAAATCGTCGTCGGCACTCCCAACTTCCGACATCACAATATCTACTATTATCACCTTCCCTTTCTTTCCCTCGTCGTCGTCGCCGGCGGACACCGCCGCTTCTTTACAACACTTCAATATCTTCACACATGACTCATCATCCCAATTGTGTAGGATCCACTGCATACATGTACATAGCCAAATTTCAAAGTCATGTTTATCAAATAAAAGAAGTCACACCAAGATCAACTCATGTTGTTACCATAGCAACTTAGCAAACAATACGGTTTTTGTTAATATATATGGCAAATGGTAGCGTACGTCTGCATATGATATAAGTTCGTGTTCAAAGTTCAAACCTACTAGATGTGTTTTGATATGCTTAATTGTTGATTATTGTTTTTAGATTAAATGAATCTTATAGTTTTTGTAGAGAATCAGGAGCTGGTGTTCACTCATTAGCTATTAGGGTATAGCATGCCAAACTCTGATTAATTCATGGTCTAGATAAAAAATTCTATGTGGTACGATAAGATTATTGTACGCCAGCCCAAACCACTTATATATATACCTACAGTTAGAGAAGCAAATGAGCCAAACTTTCCACGAGCAGCTCGGCATACGGTTTGGGAAAACTCGTTCGACACTCGACTCATCTACTAATGAGTCAAACTTGAGCTAAACTTTGTTCATCGTCTTGCATGCTCGTGAGCCAGCTCGACTCGGTGGCTTGTTAAGCACAGTTCGTGAGCTAGCTCATTTTGGACTATGAGCTTGCTCGATCGAGAATATGGCAAGCAAGTCACCTCAACTAGTAACTTATGGACGGATCGATTAATAACTTATCATTCGCTTGTTGATCAATCATAGGTTTTTAAGCTTATATATCGCACCACATCTGATGCTTATCAATTTGAATCTGTGATCAAATATGTCTCACTTATAATTTAAAAGAGAAATTATCTATCATAAATTGCTTCGATATTTATGAACCATAAAAATTATTAACTAAATTATCATACACAAATTATGCCACGTTATACCACTCTGTTATATGGTGGTAAATGATGGTAGACTATGGTTGAATGTTGTAAATAACATTATAATATATATATATTTATACAACCATTTCACCTTATATTCTTGTCACCATGGTATACTTTTATGTGGTATAATCTTATGTATGCATGGTTATATGTACGGGCCAACATATACACTATATTGCATGGCATGCTAATCTAGATATGGTAATGGCACACACCTTAAGGAAGATGCCACATTTGGTCACTGAGATTACTAAATCATGTCATGTTTAGTCACTAAAAAAAATTAATATAAATTTTAGTCATTTGAATTACTGAAACATGTCACATTTAGTAATTCGAGTGACTAAATGTGACACGTTTCAGTAATTTGAGTGACCGGAGTTGGACAGAGACCAACGGGAGAGTGACTAAATGTGACCTGTTTCAGGAATTCGAGTGACGAAAATTGGTTTTAATTTTATCTAGTAACTAAATGTGACACGAATTAGCAATCCCAATAATCAAATGTGGCATTTACCCAATCTATTATATATACTTCAATGTAGTACAATGCTTCAAATTGTTGGAATATTATTATTTCATTAAAGTGATGTTATGGATTGGGTGTAGAGAATGAGAACCTAGACTTCACTCATTAGAGGTTATGATACAGTATTATGTCACTAACTCTCGTTAATTTATGATCTAAAAAGCAAAAGATTATGGGCATACGATAAGTTTGTGCATTAAGTTGTACATATAGTACCTTGAGTAAAATCAAAAGTACAGCATACTCTTGGTAAGAAAACGCTATATATAAATTAAATTAACTAGTTTTTGGGGGCATGATGCTATTCCCCAACACTTGATGAGTGACCTGGGTTTTAATTATCTAAATTACACCCTAAACACCAAAATGACGCATATAATTTGTTGCATGTATTTCGACGAATCATAACCATCAATTATCATTTCTAATTAAATTGATCTTAATGTATTAAAGATTTATAGAATTAATTAAGATCCAGCTTTTAATCTTTAAGGATTAACGTATAGTACCAATGTATCATGTCTCAAACTTCGATCAATTCAATTGAAGATCCATATATTTTGAGTTTTGTCTAAAAATAGTAAATCTAGATGGTCATACCGGTATGACTGCATAACCATAATATAGATATGGTAATGGCACGCACCTTAAGGAAGATGGCATCAGCCGAGGGAACCCTCTCGAACATATCTCCTCCCATGAACTCCAAATTCTCAGGGTGGCCGGGTCCCGCCGCCGCCGCCGGCAATCCCTCCACCACGTGCGGAAGATCCAAAACGACGCACTTCATCTCCGGAAACGCTTCCGCCACGGCCGCCGCGAAAACTCCCGTTCCCCCCGCCACGTCCACCAACGTCCTCACCCCCCGAAACAACAACGACGTGAGCGGCGACGCCTCCTCCTCCTTGACGCCGGCAGCCGAAACAAGAGCATCCGCCACCAGTTTGGAGTCGCTCACCATGCAGTCGTAGAACAGCCCCTTCAGCTCCTGTCCCGGAGCCGAAGAGCCAGCCACGTAGTCCCAAAACGACGTCCCGTTTACAACCTCGAATGCGGTGGGCTTATTATTATTATCAATGTTCCCATCCTCGTCGTCTTCCTCGAGGAGCCAAGTGTTGAGGACGGAGCAGTAGTCCCTCACCGCCGGATGGAAGTTAAGCAGCGGCAGCGACGCCTGGTTGAGAGGCTCGCGGCTGAGCAGCAGCCGGCTGGCCGGAGTCAAGGCGTACATCTCTTCTTCTTCTTGTGTGTGGAGGGAGAAGAAGGCGGTGGAGCGGGTGCTGAGGACCCGCATCATGCACCGGAAAGCGTGGGTTTTCGGTGGCGGGATTCGGAGGGCGGAGATGAGGTGGGAAAGTGAGGCGGCGGGGTTGCCGTGTTGGTGGACGGCGTCGGGGATGCGGAGGTGGATGGCGCATTTGATGGACATGGAGATCAGGTGGCTGAACGTCCACCGCCATATCTGTGACTGAGCTTCGAGTAACTCCTCGTGTGATGAGTTCTCCATACTTTGGCTTGCTATATATGTTAATTGAAAATGTGGTTGAGCTGTCCTCTTGGAAATAGGGGTGGGCGGTTAACCACACCTACAAATATAGAATTATGTTACCAACAACCCGCCCCACAGTGGGTAGTGGTTAACAACTATCTACTGCGGATTGGTGTGAGTTGGATGTGGATACTCACAAAAAATTTCATTCCTTCGCCCTTTGGACTCATATATGATAAACTATCGGTCGAGTGACGGACAAATAAAAAACACATTGAGTTAAAATTAAGTAAGGAAGTCCAAGACATGGAACGAGTGAGGATCCGGTCCACTACGGAAAAATAGACATCTTGCAACACCCACATTGAAACACTAATCGAAAGTGTTACGTTAGGTATGTATTGGCAACTCTCTTTTTTGGAGTTGCGTATTAGGTAGTATGCACAACCCACTAAGGGGCTTGTACTGTACGCTAAGACTGAAACTACTGTTACAACTCGGAAGAGACTTCAGTGTGGGAGGGTGCAGCGTGTTCTCTGATTGGTTTCGGATGACATGTTCTCTTTGAACCACTGATGGGACGGCTGGTTCGTTGGTTATTTGGGTTTCATCTTTCATGTGAGAGGTCTATTTCAGCTTTCCTTGCATTCTAACAGACGCGGTCACACATTGGTTACATGGAGACTGAATGGGCCCATTTTTGGTCTTTGTGCCTGCGCATTGGTCATCACGTCTTTGGATGAGACTTGGGGTGTCTCAAGAAAAGAGAGAGTCAGAGATATTTTATTTCCTTGGTGGATGTAGCACCACGTATTCCTTCCTAAGCCTCTCATTTTACTTAACCGGCGCAGTCCCCTATGTGAACTCCACTCATTACTTTTTTTCCCCTAGAGGCCCTATTAGTCGACAGGGGTGGGAGAAAGTAAGAAACCTCCTTCAAGTGTTCCCCTTATTCTCTTTCAATCGCCTAATAATTTTTGAAATGGAACTCGGTTGCAGAGGAGTAGGACTGCCTGATTTGCTCAACTGAAGCAAGTGGAGATTATGTGACCTTCACCTACGCTAGCGATGGGGAAGAGGGTAAGCATTTGAGAATTTTTTTTTTTATACTTTTGAGTTCCTGACCATAATTGTCCAATTTCATCTCTTTAGTTCCAGAGACTCATTTCCCATTTCCTTCTTTCTCTTCGCTCTGCACTGCCACTTTGAGCAGATACCTTAGAGCTACTGTACTACAGCCGGAAACTATGATTGGAGCGATTCACGTCGTGAGCGCTAACTGGATCGGAGGCGGCAACTGTGGACTCTAAATCCATATCTTGATTTCCCCCACAATCTTAGGTTTCTGGTGTTTTGGTTTTAGGTTCTGCTTTCATTTTTGCTTTGTGCTTTCTCTTTGACCAGTTAAAACTCGATAGGCTCATTCTCCCCATTTTCATGTTTTGTGATTACTTCTTACTCTCTCTTGAGCATGTTTTCTAATTTCTAGACGGGTTGGTTCAATCTTTTTGGAGACAGCCATAGCGGATGGTGATAAGATTGATGTCAGCGGAGAACAAGCTGATGAATTTTCACCGCCTGTTACTCACGATTCAGCTAATCGCTCTCTCTCATAACCAACCATCGATGGTCAATCTGTTGTTGTGTCTTTTGTTGGATTATGAGGGTACCTTAATGCTCTTAATTTCTACTTTGTGGATATGATCCTCTTTTTCTTAGCTCATCCTGCTTATTGTAGTTGTGTAGATATACTCTCTGGTTTTCGTCTCCTTTCTATCTTCTGTTTCTCCCTTTGGCAGTTCTGGCTAATGCTTACTGTTTGTTTTGGTGTTCTTGCCTCAGTTCCTTTATCTTAATAGGTAGGCACCGGACATTCCTAGCTCTGTATCTATCCCACGAGGTATCAAGTATCAACCATGTGAAATGCATATCATTGGGGTAAATTTCTCCGGGATAGATGATCTGATGTCTTTGTTGGTTTCATCCTTTTCTATGAATGCCTATATTAGATTAGTATTCTCTTTGCTGCAATCTAATGCGATCGTTTAAATCAATAGCACATAGTGTTATGACGCACCACTTTGATGGTATGAGAAATCCGAAAGCTCTATAATACAACTGTTTTTCCTTAGTTTCTATCGCGATAAGCCTAATTTTAGAACAATAATGGCAACCCATTGAAGTAAATAAAGGCCCTTCGTGTTTGATGCTTTTTGGATCAACTAATGAAAAAGTTTCTTTCATCTACTGAGTTTTTGCCTCTATATTGCTAGATGTCTTTGTTTCCTCTCTTTATCTAACTTTTCTTATGGTTTCCAATACCCTTGCAGCAGCAGATTGAAGCTTTGGGGTTTCTCTGGGTTCTTTGACAAAGCATTTTTATTTTGTACTGAAAGATTGTGTGGGAATAATTAAACAATGTCATAATTATTTGGTCTTCGCAGTGATTGTACCTCTGCTAAAAAGCTTTGTTTGCTATGGATAACTGTTAAGCAACCCTCGGTAATCAAGATTATATGTCGTGGCCTAAAAAATGACTTCCTTTGGTTAATGTTTGGCACCTTTTATAGTTTCCTGCTAGAACATTGTTGTGGTACACCTGTATTTCTTTGCACTCAGGAAAGCTTATACAGTTATTCTACATAACCATACATTCGTAAAGGGCCTTAACCTATTCCGTCTTCTACTCCAGGGTATACTAATGATGAAATCTCTCACTGTGTGTTCTTCACATAATTTGATTCTTCTAATCAAATTATTGAATGACTGGTTGCCAAGATTTGGAGACCCATTAATGTTGATAAGATTTTACATTAATTGTATAGTTTCATAAATTTACCACAAGTCCCGACGCGGAGCGCGGGCAATGAAGACTAGTAAAGAAAGAAAGCGACAGCAATATAAAATCAATGACACATTGCAGTAGCAACCTAAAGATTAATACTTAATAGTTAATACCCAAAAGATCTATCGTGATATGCACTTCAAAACGAGGAAAGATAATTATGCTAACTGAAAAGTTTTCCTCCCATCATCTTTTCGACTTTTCCCTCCATACCATAATTATCTAATTATCCCTTAACTTTTTTTTCCTTCAGATATTAGAAAGGAAAGCCATGTATATCCTTCCTATTAATTCTTTTTATCACTACTGGGTTCGCACGAAGATTAGAAACAAACCCTTCACCAATTTACGAAGGCTTCAATACACTCCTCTTCCAGCCGCTCGCCAGACTTCACCAAGAGCACCTCGTTAACAGGTTCTGTTTTTTGTTTATTTATTTTTCCTACAGCAATACAATAAAAGACAGCTAACTGGCACCTCTCTCTTGCCTGATTCGATATATACCCTTTGTTTTCTATTTTGACAGCAATGAGACCGGCTGTGTCACTTATACAAGAAGAAGGAAGATAGAGCCAGACTCCTACTCGCTCACAGTCTTCTGAGAATGGGAACAAAAAGTTAGTTGACTTCCAAGCAAAGCATGATGAAGTCCAAGAACTTGACGATTTAAAATCTCGTTCGTAACCCATGTATAGTTTTGATTGTTTGGAATATTATTTAGAGTTTTCCTTAGCCAAATTGGAGTTGTAATTTTTTTTTTTTTTTTGGTATTATCTGGTGAATTCGGTTTCACTATTTTAGTGACCATTTTTTAAAGAAATATGCTTTTCTAATACAATGATTGCCAGGAAAGAAAATCATTCGTGACAAATCTATTCATCACCAATATTGAATTGCAGTTACGATCGAAATTCGTCACACATGGGGGACATACGTGACAGTAAACTTCATCACAAATAGTTAATTTAGTGACAACCAACTCGACCCCTAAATCTTACCTTGAATTTCAAAATATGTATTTATGACCCCTAAATCTTGCCTATTTCTTTTGCAACCCCCACTATATGCAACCCTACCAAAAGTGTTGCGATAAGATTTCGCAACCCTTTTAAGACATAATGCAACACATTTGAGGGAGTTGCAAGATGCCATTTTTCCTGTTCGACGTCGAGTACTGGTCGTCATATCTCTCCGACGCCGAAACTCCTTGTTTCCTCTAGAATGAAGTATCTCTATTCTGTTTCGGAGGATTGGAGCGTGAACGTGGGCTTAGAACCCACAAATTGGATATCCTAAGTCCGGCCGAACAAATGTGTGTGGCTGAAACCTATTCTGTTTTTGTGGGCCGCAAAAATCTCTAGGCCCGTTCAAGTCCGCGCATGTACGGTAAGTTGACCCGTTCCACAGAAGAAACAGAAAAAATTAGCACTACCTATTCTACACTTACTACAAACGCTCCTGGAGCAGCAAATTTGAAATGGGGAAAGAGTTTTTTCCTTGTTGCTATTATATTATGTGTAGATAAGATAGATAGAAATTTAAATTAAGTATTAAAATACAACTAAAATAATCAAAATATGAAAATCAAAGTATCTAAACCAAATAAGTACTTACGGAAAATTCAGTGACCAGTTAATCGTTGAAAAAGTCATATGACTTTCAGAATTTAGGTTCATGTATACTTTTAATTTAAAAAGATACAACAAATATACTTAGTGTGATTGGTTATGTTTATTGCTTTTCAAGTGACTATGGTTCAAATCCAGTACATGTCTTTTTTATGAATAAATAAATAGTAAATAAGCAATTGTGAAGACCAAAATGTCATTCCTACATTCACTCTCGTTGCAGGAAATTTGAAATGGAGCAACAGTTTTTCACTTTGTGCTATTATATTATGTATAGAACAGTAAGGGAGAAACATATCCCATGTCCACAATAAAATAATGCATTAGCACAAAACTATAATCACCCAAGGAATGCGTTATAGTGGTTTCTAAATTTTGAGTAACCACGGTGGCTACCAACATCTACACCCATAATTATATCTATTTCATCTTGTTTTTAAGTTGACAGTAAAGATTATATGAAGGATAATTTTGGCAACAGAAATAATACCACACCTGATTACTATTCTTTAAAAAATATTTTTTATATATTGTACCGCAAACCCTAATGCAACTGCTTCCTCTCTCTCCTCCCCTTCCGCCTGTCGGCGACCCTTCTTCTCCGGATCAGAAACTGCAGTCGCCTCCTCCCTCTTCTCCCCTCCCGCCCGGGGGCAGCCCTTCTTCTCGAGACCAAAATATTTCGTCCGGCGTAAGTAGTCACGTCCTTCAGTAGCAGTCTGTTATGAGATAGCGACTCCTTGATCCGTTGCAGCAGGGGTACGACGCCATCGCTAGCCAGAGCGAAAATCAACGACACCATGCGTTGGAGGACGACGTAGAGAGTTAAGTCGCCGCCGCCGCCGTCGATGAGGACGGTGCGAGAACTGGCCTTGTCGGCCGTGTCGGTGACGTTGCCCATGGTTTGTGTGTGTTCTGCGCGGTGGCCAGGGAAAGGTATTAGTTTATTTTTACGGATATGATTCCATCAAACCCTCTAATGGTATTGCTTCATTTTTTAAATGGTATTGATATCTTTTTGAAATGGTATTGATTTGCTTTCATAGTTGTAGTGGTTTATTTTGGTACTGGTCTGATTTGTATAATGGTATAGATTGTTTATATTGGTAGTTTTAGTGTTTATCGAAGTGGTAGCGGTTGCCTAATGGATTGGTAGTGATTTTTTTTTCTATAATGTTATTGGTGTTTTTCGAAGTGGTAGTGGTTATCTAATGGATTGGTAATGATTTCTTGTTTTTTTTTTCTATAATGGGAAGTGGTAGTGATTTCTTGATTTTTTTCTATAATAGTATTGATATTTTTCGAAGTGGTAGTCGTTGCCTAATAGATTGGTAGTGAATTTTTTCTTTTGTGTGTGAGTGCAGAAAGATTGAGAAAAATAAGGAAATGAGATCTGGTTGGAGATTATGGAAGTGAGAGAAAGAGAAAGAATTGTAATTAATAGATTTATTTTATAATTGTTTAAAATGTAATGTATTAAAAAAATTAATTAATATAATTTTTTTTCATACCCAATTTACCCCTAGTATCCATAGTAATTACTACCATAACCCCAAGTAATAATCACCATAACCCCTCTCCATCACCCAATTCTTTATTTATTCCATATCCGAATTTGGCCTACCTTCATCGAAGGCATATGCCAATTCATGCTTCTGTTATACACAAAACGCGTACGTGCTTACGTGGTACATAAGAACACTGAATCCACCAGAAAGCACTAATTAAAATTAAATACCATCCTTAACGTTATTATCACAACCAAACTAAACACAATGCCAAAGTAAACCAAATTTTAATTGACGACACGATACAGGTAGTCAAGGATAAGCTTCAATGATGGATCTTGGGCCAATCTGACGAATGATCTTGTAGTCACTAAAACCAGCCGCATCAAATAATCCCTTCCATTCCATTTCATTTCGTTCCTTGGCATTGTACAATGTCGCCATCATCAGATCGAAGCAGAGCTGGATTTCACGAGACAAATCGTCTTCAACCCCAACTTCCGACATCACCATGTCTATTACTATCACCTTCCCTTTCTTTCCCTCGTCGCCGGACACCGCCGCTTTACAACACTTCAATATCTTCACACATGACTCATCATCCCAGTTGTGTAAAATCCACTACACATATATAACAAATCCAAATTTCATGTTTAGTTTATCACGTAAATGAAGTACTTATTCCTAGATTAACTCATGTTGTTATCATTGAAAAAGTATTAGGATTTTGGGTTTAAAATATTCCATTTACGAAAAAATATGGGTGAAATTGGACCCAATCCTTTCCTGATCCTAGAACTACCTTAAAATACGCGATTCTATAGGATCAAGTTACAAACTTGGACCAACCTTGTTCTATTATCCCTTGACCATTTTTGAACCGCTTGGGTCGGCTCAAATCAGCAAATTGATATTTGAAAAACTACATTGAGGTCCCCAAATTCGCTTCTTCCTATAATTTCGTACCTAAACTTTATTATTTACAAACAGGTGTAGATTTTTTGTGGCAAAATACATTTAAGTACCTTAATATTTTTTAAATTGTATTATAGTACCTAAATATTTCAAACTTTAATGGCACGACCATTCTTTTGGTTTGAGAAATTTCAAATCACTAATTGCTGCTATGGGTCACGGGACTAAAAGTGATCCTATCCTAAGTTGACCCGACTCTACCCGATCCTTATATGACAACAAATGACCAGACCCTAAATCTTAACTGGCCATATTGACAAACTGACCAAACCCGACTCTGAGGGTCCGGACGGGCTGAGTCATTGAGTATCTGGTGTCATCCTTACACACATACAAAAAGAATTACAATGGTTATTAAACTATACCGAATACTGAACCGAAAAAATCAATAATAATTTTTTTTTTTTTTTTTTTTGCAATCCGTATTCTACGGTATAATTTTGCAAACACTAATTAACTATTACCTTAAGCAAGATAGCATCAGCTGAGGGGACGCTCTCTAACATATCTCCTCCCATAAACTCCAGATTACCAGGGTGGGGTCGCGCAGACAATCCCTCCACCACGTGTGGCAGATCCAAAACGACGCACTTCATCTCAGGATACGCTTCCGCCACGGCGGCCGCGACAATCCCGGTACCGCCTGCCACGTCCACCAACGACCTCACACCCCGGAACAGCAACGACCCCTCGCCGCCGGCAGAAGAAACAAGAGCATCAGCCACCAGTTTGGAGTCGCTCACCATGGCGTCGTAGAACAGCCCCTTCAGCTCCCGGGCCGGACCCGATGACCCGGCCAGATAGTCCCAAAACGACGCCCCGTTTACCACCTCGAATGCCGTGCGCTTATTAATATTATCATCGTTATTTGTCCCCTCGTCGTTTTCCTCGAGGAGCCACGTGTCGAGGACGGAGCAGTAGTCCCTCATCGCCGGATGGAAGTGAAGAAGCGGCAGCGACGCCTGGTTGAGATGCTCGTTGCGAAGCAGCAGCCTGGAGGCCGGAGTCAACGAGTAGCACATCTCTTCTTCTCCTTCTTCTTCTTGTTGTCGTTGTTGGACGGAGAAGAATCCGGTGGAGCGCGTGCTGAGGACGCGCATCATGCAGCCGAAAGCGTGGGTTTTGGATGGTGGAATTTGGAGGGCGGAGACGAGCTGGGAGAGCGAGGTGGCGGGTTTGCCGTGTTGGTTTATGGCGTCGGGGATGCGGAGCTGGATGGCGCATTTGATGGACAAGGAGACCAGGTGGCTGAGCGCCCACCTCCATATCTGTGACTGAGCTTCGACCAACTCCTCCTGAGAGCTCGCCATCATGTTAATTGAGGCTTTCCATGACTACTATGAGTCTTCCAAATATATAGCACGTCGCGACTTGCATAGTGTTATAGAACGTGCCGCTACAAATCGGGAAATCGCCGGGATCGATAAAGCAAGAATACGAAAGCGAGAATCGAAAAACACAGACACATGATTGATTTACGTGGTTCACTAGCAAGATGTGTGTTAGCTAGTCCACGGGCGAGAGAGAGCTAGTTTCACTATCTTGAGGAGATTACCAGCGGCGGATCCAGAACATAGAAGAGCATTGGGTCGAGTTTCATTAGAAAATTGAATAGTAAAAAAACATAATGATTATAGTTTTTTTCAATGTAAATTGTACACGACGGTATTTTAATTTAGTGATGCATCAATAATGGAGCCTACATCCATACCAATAGTATACACTGTTTCAAATAAAATACTTGAGCAATCGGTAAGAAATTCATCACTCATTTTGTTGAGCAAACCAGTTCTCACATATTTCATTGTTGAAAAGGTTCTCTTCGTAGTAGCTATTGAAACGAGTAGCATTAACACTAGACTAATCAATTGGCACTGTGTATCAATCCTTGCATCCACCAACTGCTCTAGTAAGTTTTCAAGGGAACAAACCTCATATTTCTTTTAGTCATTTACGTTTTAAACTTTTAGAATTTTAAGTTTCATTGTTTTTTTTATATGCATAATCTTTGGGGCTAAAATTTAAAGGCTAAATTTAGAGTAGTGATTTGAATATGGTCATCTGAATCATTTTTCTAGTTATACCCAATTTTATTATAAAATCACACTAAGCCGAATGCCTAAAATCGAAAAATTCATAAGGACTATACTAACTACGGATCCAGAGGAGGGCTGGGCCGGGGGCCCGGGGTGGCCACCCCCTGGATCCGCCACTGGAGATTACAGATTACAGAAGAGTGGTATGAGAAGTATATATATAGTATTTCTCCATGTGGGTCTAAAACCTAATCTAATCTGGCAAAGGAAACGATTGTCGTAACGGCTGATAGTCCGATTCAAGTCACATCAACACAGAAAATAGAAAAGCACATGGTTCGTACTTCGTTGCCTGCATAGTCGGTCGAACGAGAAAAAACATGTGAACAAGTGCCAAACTGGGGTCTTTAACAGTACTTACTATTCGGCGGTGAGCAAGCACATGGCTCGTTGCCTGAATACTCGTCGTCCACCAATTAAAGAACGGGAAAACATGTGAACAAGTCGCTAGGCTGTCCCAGGCACTACGTATCTATACATCACCAGTCATTTAACCAAGAACCAAATGAAATCGTACTGTTTTGTATATAGCTCAAATCTTCCATTGATATATGAATCACATACAAATATACAATCACAATATCAAATTTCAAATACATTGTCTTCTCATCTCAATAACATATTCAACAACTTGACTAGTTTGCGGAGATATATAGAACGAATCTGATATCATATTCTCTTCGGCTAATCCCCTTTGGAAAAACTGATGACGATGTGATCAAGAGGGTCATGATGATTCAAGAACAAGATGACTCGGCTTTAGGTCAAAGCTTGTAATGCAATCTCAGGGGTTAAATGTCTAAATTACTCAAGTGTTGAAATAGGATTTAAAATGAATCTCGTCTCTTATTATATCGGGAATTCTATGGTGCCGCACTGCACCGTTGCCGACAGTAAAGTTGCCCGGTTCAGATTAGTTAGGTCTAGGGATGGCAATGGGTCGGGTCGGGGGCGGATAGTGCATATCCGTTACTCTACCCAAAGTAGTTCGGGTTTTACCCATACCCACATAAGAAACGGGTAGAAAATCGAAACCATGCCCATACCCGTTCGGGTTACGGGTATCCACGGTTATCCATGGGTAATAATTTCTCTTTATAACTTCAACCAATATTTAATATTCATATGTATTCTCACATTACGTAAGACAAAAAGGATGACAATAATACACTTGGATGAAGAAAATGCATTAAAACAACACAATTTCATGAAAAAATTATATTTATATGCTAAATATAAAATATATTAGAGAAAAATAATGATTATTTCTAGACAAAATACATATGCATGTGTATATCGGGCGGGTTCGGGTTGGATAGTGAGAAAACCATGCCCACCCAGTACCCGCAATATTCGGGTTCGGGTTTTACCCGTACCCGCTAAAAGTCATTCGGGTTCGGGTTTTACCCACCCGACAAGGTCGGATTCGGGCGGATATCCACGGTTACGGATATTTTTGCCATCCCTAGTTAGGTCTGGTTTGGAAAGGTTAAATTAGGTCTGGTTTCGCTAATTAATAAATTAATATATAAAAAAAATTATTCCAGTTTCCTTTTATTTCTTTCTTTCTCCTTCCTCTGTGAGAGAAATTTTACAATGCTATATAGTATTGGTGCTATAAGATTTTGCCTTTATGGTACAACTTAAAATTGTACATTTACGTTATGGTACAACTTCATATTGTACCTATACTTTTTGTACAAATTCTTTTATGGTACAACTTGAACTTGTACTTTTATGTGATGGTACAACTTCAAGTTGTAAAGTTGTACCATAACATAATGATACAAATTGCTTTATGGTACAACCTAAACTTATACATTTAATGTTATGGTACAACTTTAAGTTGTACATTAAAGCACCAATACTATATAGCATAGTAGAAGTGCTCCCTCTGTGAAGGAAGAGTCCTCTGCGGTGAACTTGCCGGAAAGGTTCCAATTTGAATCGAGGATACACTGAATTGAAACCACCAACTGAAGCAGGAATTGTGTTTGTTAGTGTATGGAGTAGTTATAGATACAAATTGTAATATTTGTTTAATTCAGGTACTGGATTGTAATATAGTTTAATAGAACGGATATAAATATGTAAACAGAATATTGTAACTTTACTTTGGTGAAATAAAATAGAATTGTTTTCTCTCTCATAACATGGTATCAGAGCAAATACGTTTCTCTGACTAGTTTCTTTCGCTTTCATTATCCAAACCTAGGTTTTTTGTTTCTCGAAGCCTTCTCCAATGGCAACTTCTTTGTCTTTCCAACCGCCTCTTCCTCTGGCAGTTGTACCGAAGCCACCAAATGTAAAACCCATTGGGAACAAATGGGTTTACAAGGTAAAATTTCATTCCAATGGAACAATCGAGCGAGAAAAAGCTCGACTTGTCGCCAAAGGTTATACACAAACACCAGGCATAGATTGCTTAGATACCTTTTCTCCAGTAACTAAGTTAACTACTGTCTGGTCTTTACTTGCTTTAGCTTCCATAAAAGGCTGGCATTTACATCAACTAGATGTAAATAATGCTTTCCTTCACGGAGATTTAATTAGTTGAGAATGTTTACATGAAGCTTCCATTGGGTCTGAAAATTTTTGGTGACACTTCTAATCTGGTTTGTAAACTAAATAAGTCCCTTTATGGCCTTAAACAAGCCAGTCGACAATTCACAAGTTAACAAAATTTCTTTTACAAGCTGGATATACTCAATCAAAAGCAGATTATTCTTTGTTTACAAAACATCAAGATGGTCAGTTACTCGCTGTTTTGGTTTATGTTGATGATATTATATTAGCTGGTGATTTCTTAAGTGAAATAGAGTCCCTCGAAAAGAAGTTAGATGATGCCTTTAAGATCAAAGATCTCGGCAATCTTAAATACTTTCTAGGTCTCGAAATAGCTAGAAATAAAACAGTGATATCTATTTGTCAACGTAAGTATGTCCTTGACTTGTTAATGATTCTGGTTTACTTGGAGCCAAACCTGTGGCCACTCCTTGTAATCCAGGAGTTAGACTTTCGATTAAGTCTGGTACCCTTTTAGAGGATTCATCTGTATACAGAAGGTTGGTTGGGCGTTTATTGTACTTGTGCAATACACGTCCTGATATTGCTTTTGCTGTTCACCAGTTGACACAGTTTATGAGTGCTCCAACTGACATTCATATGGCAGCTGCTCATCGTGTTTTACATTACTTGAAAGGTTCTCCTCGGCTTGGTTTATTTTTTCCATCACACACTGACTTGTCTCTTAAGGCGTTTTCTGACAGTGACTGGGCAGGCTGTCCCGATTCTAGAAGATCAACAACTGGGTTTTGTATCTTCTTGGGTGGTTCTTTGATATCATGGCATTCCAAGAAGCAACAGACCATTTCTCGATCATCAACCGAGGCTGAGTATCGAGCCATGGCTGATCTTACATGCGAAATTCAGTGGCTTAATTATCTTTTTGCATATTTTGAACTTTTGTTTACTAAGCCTACTGCAATGTTTTCCGATAGCCAATCTGCCATTAAAATATCTGAGAATCCAGTTGCTCATGAGCGGACTAAACATATTGAGTTGGATTGTCACTTAACACGGGATAAGATTGCTTCTGGTTTGATTAAATTACTGCATGTTTCCACTTCTAACCAAGTTGTTGATTTGTTTACAAAATCTCTGCCTACTGCTGTGTTTTCATGTCTTGTTTCCAAGCTGGGCACTCTGCGCATACATGCTCCAGCTTGAGGGAAGGTGTTAGTGTATAGAGTAGTTATAGATACAAATTGTAATATTTGTTTAATTCAGGTACTGTAATATAGTTTAATAGAACCCATATAGATATGTAAACAGAATATTGTAACTTTACTTTTTGGTGAAATAAAATAGAACTGTTTTCTCTCTCATGACAGTGTCTCTCCAAAAAAAATTGTGCATACCTTCTTATTTGGTCGGAGCGAGGTGCGAAAGGGGGCCGACAATCCATCGGAAAGAGGGTGCGGTGAGGAAGATGAGTGCTTCTCGTGCCGCCGGACAAACCCCCAGAGAGATGCGGGAATAATGGATTCTATTGAGGTCACTACCACGCGCCAACACCATCGTCCACGCAGATTCGTTATCCCTCCAGTCGGTATCAACGTCGTCCTCAGCGTTGTTGCCGCCGCTCCCCCATAATCACTACCGCGAGCTCGACCATCGCAGCGATGATGATATCATGTGGCGACGGGATTCAGATTGAGGCGAAGAAGATCAATTTGATCAGCTGTTAGAAACCGAACAGAAAAATAGGGTTACCGATCTGGCTGAGTCGCGGACTCTTTAAGACGTTCGCGGCACTACCTCGTTATTCACACAGCAGACTATCAGCCGGTCGCCTCCAGGATAAAACAGCCACTCTTATTTATTGCTCATCGGTTTTGTGCGGAAAACCGGAGCTCTATGAATTCACTCTCTATCGTGTTTCTGCTCTTCTGAGGTGTGTTTAGAGGGTCTGGGGCGTCTCCTATTTATAGGAGCAGAAAACCCAGAATATTCCCTCTTTCTTTGGGAATAAGTCATATTTTAATTAGGGAGATAATTACTCCCATAATTAAAATATAATCTATTAAGATAATTATTCCTAATTATCTCCATAATATTCCTTTTATTAATTATCCATCTTATTTATGTATTATGGGAAAATACTGGATAATTAATTAGGAATTTCATTTATAGTTTTTCAAAACTATTCATCCCAACAATCCCCCACTTGAATAGTTTGAAACTATCTCTGAGCATCAACAGTTCCATAAGATCGGGCATAAGCTAAGGTATCGCGAAGATTTGAACCTTAGCGTAGTGGTTACACTTCCGATTTCATAAGGGTGACTCGTAGTCTTGAACCCTATCTCAGACAATGTAGCACACCAGATCTTTTCATTGAGTGATATTCTCTCATAGGCCGTGCGTTAATGGCCATGCACGTTATCCCGGTTTAGTGAACGCTCTAGCAACTTTGTGCCTCCAAAGTTCCATAGGGAGCGGCCCCACTCCCACATTCACACAGGTGAGTCTATCAAAAGTACCCCCAAAGTAAAGTACTTCACTCCACATAGAGTATAGATCTCATTAAGAGTTTAACTCAACCTCTAAGGCTTTGGGATTCATGCTTCGCTATGCATGAACTTTTCGCATACTACTCATGACTTGTTATTACCCATTGAACCCATTTCTTGAGATCTCCAGTCTATTGGGTCGGGTTACCATCACTTGTAGTCCGTGGTTCGGTAGGCATAAGTCTCATACCCTTGGCAGTACTTTGGACTTTCTCTCTAGATAATCCTTTCGTCAAAGGATTAGCTAGATTCTGTTAGGATCTCACATGATCCACCCTCATTGCTCCTATCGTTAGGAATTCTCTTACAGTACTGTGCATACGACGAATTTGTCGTCTTTTTCATTCTAGAACCGGTTCCCTTCTTTAGTAATAGCTGCGGTGCTATCACAATGAATCAACTACCGGAGGGATCGGTCTTTCCCATAAGGGAATCTCTAGTAGTGACCCTCTCAATCAACTTTCCTCTTTACTAGCCATTGCTAGTTCTATCATTTTTGATTTCTTAGTTGATTGAGCCAGGATCGTTTACTTCTTAGACTTCCAAGACATAGCTTCTCTATCGATGTTTAAAACACAGCCTCTTGTTGTCTTGAAGTCCTCTATAGGGTATTCTAATCCGCATCACTATACCCTACCAATACAGCAAAACCATTGATAACAAATACCAAGGTTTTTTCTGTTCTTTTATGGTGTCTCATGACCCCTTTCAATAGCATTTCAATGCTTCATACTAGGACAATCAGTAAGCCTGCCAAGTACCCCCACTATGTCGGGTCTCATGTTTATCAGCTGCCTCTCGCATACTGTCGATGCTAGTATGTTCTTACTTTCTTACATCGTCTTTGGTGCTCTTAAAAATTACACTAGCACCATCAAACATTTATGAAGGTGTAGAACTCGTATTTCCTCTAGATCTAACTGTGTAGTTAAACTGACCTAGATGAAATCTCTTTCATTGTCCTAGTAATCTGGATCTCCGAGCATAACACTTGCTTCATCCAGATCTTTTTACCTTCATAATTCTCAAACAACATGGTTTTTCATAATATTGACATCACGAGTCTTTGTACCAAAGACCGAAGTGTCATTCATAATGCAAGTGTCATTCTCAAAGTTGTACTAAATGCACTTGTCGCTTTCACTTTTAAAACCATGAGAGAGAACCAGTTTATTCATGCCATTGTCTTAGAGTCCATTTCAAATCTTACAATGATTTGCCTAACTATAGACTCCCTAAGCATGTTCAAGAATAACAACCCTATAGGTTGTCCCATGCAGATTTTCCTATCTAAATCACCATTCACAGAAACATGTTTAACAATCCATCTGACGCACAACACTAGCAATCAGAACATACATGGATGTTATTCTACATATGGTGAATAGATAACAAGAAAATTAACAATTTTTCCTTTTCGCTTAAAGCCTTAGCTATTAGGCGATCCTTATACTCATAAACTAAACCAATAGGTTTCACTTTTCTTTAGAGGATTGGGTGACAATCTTATGGTTACCACGATAGGTACCATTCTAATTGATGTGGATCTGGTTCAGCTTGCTGCTCTCATTCTTGAAACTTTAATGTTTCACAGCAATCTAAATGGTTCGTGTAGTACTGATAATAATACTTCTTATAATATCGTTATTAAGGGCAATAAACCCATTCTATTATCATATATTCTTCACATATATGCATGCATTTAAACAAAATCATTCTACTCCATCACATGTATTCAATTTATACTCTAATCATCGAGGTAATACACCTCAATGTCGACATATACATGCATCAATTCTATTTTTACTTTCTCACATTCATATGGTTCTCAATACCATGCATAGAGCTTAATGAAATAGAATCTAATTTATCATTCATTAATGAATCACGAGGATCATTTCGGTTCATACCTATTTTCAAGGAGTCATTGCAAGCTGATTTTGCGACCGATAGCTATCAACAAGCATAGCTTCCTTGTTCTGCGTCATGCTTTTGTTCCTGAGTGATTAAGCCACGAGGTCGCAATGTGCCATCGTTGGGTTCTTCTGGGATAATTAAATATCACCGCATACCCCTAGTCAAGTTCCTGTTCTGCTAACTATCTATCACAGGGCGGATCTCTTTCATCCTTGCCCTCGGCCTCATTCTGTTTGGCCTGGCGAAGTCTTTCCAGAGAACAAAATTGAAAATTCCCTTCCAAAATCGCATTGATTAATCATGCCTCCTTCACGGTCCACGTAGTAAAACCATGATTACCATTGCCAGTTGCCTGCTCCAAGAGTTGGCCCCGAATGGAACTAAATAAAAGGGAGCCACCTTCCTAATTAACCTTGTCCAGGTAATTAAACCTTGTCCCTCCACGTATTCAAAATTCCAATGGCTTCCTTTCAGTGCTTCCGTTAATTCCTGTTTCAAGGAATCTCAAACTAAAAAACAAATTAACAGGAACAATCAATGGTAAAGGTGCAATTAATTTTTCCGAGACAGAATTGTCGATTACAAGCTCCCAGACCGAGATTTGCAAAAGGGATCACGAGCTCAACGGCGAGCATGCTAGGGCGAGATTTGCCAAGCCAGATGCGATAATCTGTTCGGTCGATTTGACAGTAACAAACGTCTTAAAATTGTTAGAAACCGAACAGAAAAATAGGGTTACCGATCTGGCTGAGTCGCGGACTCTTTAAGACGTTCGCGGCACTGCCTCGTTATTCACACAGCAGACTATCAGCCGGTCGCCTCCAGGATAAAACAGCCACTCTTATTTATTGCTCATCGGTTTTGTGCGGAAAACCGGAGCTCTATGAATTCACTCTCTATCGTGTTTCTGCTCTTCTGAGGTGTGTTTAGAGGGTCTGGGGCGTCTCCTATTTATAGGAGCAGAAAACCCAGAATATTCCCTCTTTCTTTGGGAATAAGTCATATTTTAATTAGGGAGATAATTACTCCCATAATTAAAATATAATCTATTAAGATAATTATTCCTAATTATCTCCATAATATTCCTTTTATTAATTATCCATCTTATTTATATATTATGGGAAAATACTGGATAATTAATTAGGAATTTCATTTATAGTTTTTCAAAACTATTCATCCCAACATCAGCTGTATTAACATGCACTCCCGCCGCCGACCAAGGGACACGCAACAATCAAACTCTTCCTCATAGAACTGAACTGTTCGACGAGATCTGTTGCATTTGGTATTAAACTATAAGTATAATAATTAACTTAAAAATAAAATAGGTTTAACCAAACACAATGGGTTCAACCTGTTTTGGTTAATGGATGGTCATTAATCAACGGCTTTCATCAAAAGTGGCAGATTCAACGGCTAGAAAATAGCCGACACTAGTATTGTGCCTGTACCACAGAATTGGCCCTTAGTATATATTTATATATATGGTTCATACTAGCGTACGTCTGCGTTGTAAAATAGGTATATGTATAGTAATTAACCACTTGCTTACAACATCATTACGGTGAAAACCGGAAACTTATGTCTCATTTCAAATTTCCACAACATGGGGATGTACTAGCACAAAAACGTAAAAATGCCAATTTGTACGGAAATTAAAGTATGAATACAAATAAATTTATAACTTAACGTTAAACATATAATGTGCTAATTATACATTGACTCCATAGTCAAGGATAAACTTCAATGATAGATCTTGGGCCGATCTGACCAACGATCTTGTAGTCACTAAAACCGGCCGCCTCAAACAGTCCCTTCCACTCCATTTCATTCCGTTCCTTGCCATTTAGCACTGTCGCCATCATCAGATCGAAGCAGAGCTGGATTTCACGAGACAAATCGTCTTCAACCCCAACTTCCGACATCACCATGTCTATTACTATCACCTTCCCTTTCTTTCCCTCGTCGCCGGACACCGCCGCTTTACAACACTTCAATATCTTCACACATGACTCATCATCCCAGTTGTGTAAAATCCACTACACATATATAACAAATCCAAATTTCATGTTTAGTTTATGTTTATCACGTAAATGAAGTACTTAATTACTCCCCAGATTAACTCATGTTGTTATCATTGAAAAAGTACTAGGATTTTGGGTTTAAAATATTCCATTTATGAAAATATATGGGTGAAATTGGACCAAATCCTTTCCTGGCCCTAGAACGACACTAAAATACGCGATTCAATAGGATCAAGTTGCAAACTTGGTCCAACCTGGTTCTATTATCCCTTGACCATATTTGAACCGCTTGGGCCGGCTCAATTCAACAAATTGATATTTGAAAAATTACATTTTGGTGCCCGAATTCATTTGTCCCCTATAATTTCATACCTAAACTTTATTTTTTACAAATAGGTGTAGATTTACATTTCAGAACCTTAATATTTTTAAAATTGCATTATACTACCTAAACATTTCAAAGTTTACAAGAACGTCCATTCTTTTGGTTTGAGAAATTTCAAATCACTAATTGATGCTATGTGTCACGAGGCTAAAAGTGATCCTATCCTAAGTTGACCCGACCCTACCCAATCCTTACATGGCCAAATGGATATCTAGTGTCATCCTTACACACAGTACAAAATAATTACAATGATTATAAAACTATACCGAATATTGAACCGAAAAAATCAACAACAGAGTATTTTGTTCTTTAGTCCGTATTTTGTTACCTTAAGCAAGATAGCATCAGCCGAGGGAACGCTGCGGAACATATCCCCACCCACGAACTCCAGATTACCGGGGTGGTTTCCCGCCGCCGGCAATCCCTCCACCACGTGCGGCAGATCCAAAACGACGCACTTCATCTCAGGAAACGCGCCCGCCACGGCGGCCGCGACAATCCCGGTGCCGCCGGCCACGTCGACAAAAGACCTCACTCCCCTAAACAACAACGACTCCTCTCCGCCGACGGTAGCAACAACGAGAGCATCCGCCACCAGTTTGGAGTCGCTCACCATGCAGTCGTAGAACAGCCCCTTCAGCTCCCGGGCCGGACCCGATGACCCGGCCAGATAGTCCCAAAACGACGCCCCGTTTACCACCTCGAATGCCGTGCGCTTATTATTATCATCATCGTTATTTGTCCCCTCGTCGTCTTCCTCGAGGAGCCACGTGTCGAGGACGGAGCAGTAGTCCCTCATCGCCGGATGGAAGTGAAGAAGCGGCAGCGACGCCTGGTTGAGATGCTCGTGGCGAAGCAGCAGCCTGGAGGCCGGAGTCAACGAGTAGAACAACTCTTCTTCTTCTCCTCCTTCTTCTTGTTGTCGTTGTTGGACGGAGAAGAATCCGGTGGAGCGCGTGCTGAGGACGCGCATCATGCAGCCGAAAGCGTGGGTTTTGGAAGGCGGGATTCGGAGGGCGGAGATGAGCTCGGAAAGCGAGGCGGCCGGTTGGCCGTGTTTGTGGACGGCGTCGGGGATGCGGAGGTTGATGGCGCATTTGATGGACATGGAGACCAGGTGGCTGAACGTCCACCGCCATATCTGTGACTGAGCTTCGACCAACTCCTCGTGAGAGCTCGCCATGTTAATTGAGGCTGGCTAGCCAGCTATAGCTATGATAATAATAATTCTTCCAAATATATGAATGGACATAAATCATCACAAGACAACCTGACAGCTAGCATGTATCGGCTAGCAGATAAGAAAGAAGAGGATCATATCGAACTTTGTTCATTGTCGCAAAGATGAGAGAGGAGTGTCAGGTCGAAATTGCCATCCCTACCTCCATCAATTATAGAACCAAGAAAAAACATGTGAAAAGGTGGCTAGCTAGTTACGCTGTCACAGGCAGTGTATATATATATTATCTAGGGATGGCAATTTTGCCTATATCCATAGATTCCAATCCAATTAGGTTGGGTATGAAATCCAAAGAGATGGATATAGGTAGACTTTGATGGGTTTGTACCCGTACCCATTTATTTGGGTTGGGTTGGGTTTATAACAAATGGATTTGGGTTTGCATCCAACCCCAAATGCAAATTACAGTTTGATACCTAATCTTCATAGATATGCATATTTAGTATCTAAATTTTTTTTTTTTGCATATAAGTCCTAAAAATATCGATTGAAAATTATATTTTGGTACCTAAATATTTTTATCTTACATTTTGGTACCTATACTTTTTAATTTTTACAAATAGGTCCAATATTGTATGTGTAGGAGTTAAAACACCCTCAAATAAATAGATATCCATATCCAACCCATACCCATTTAGATTATGGAAGCAATAGTCATACATTACCCAAACCCATTTAAAACCTCCAAACTCATATGCACTTCACTCATACCCAACCCATTATGAATGGATCTACTTGGGTTTGGGTATAATTACCCATGAGTGGGTAATTGCCATCCCTACTCTGCAGTCATTATCTACCAGTTCCAGTAGCTTGAATAGATAATCGACCTTAATTTCAGTAAACGACGTAAGCCTCTTGGTGCACGGCCCGGGAGTCTTCCTCAACCAAGCCTCTTCAGTTCCTCTTACGAGATTGTCTCTCATCTTCCTGATGGAGAGAAGATGGAGCTATGTATGGTCTTGGTGTATTATGGACCAAATTTTTAAGGTTCCTTATAGACTCACCACCATTGGCTCTCATAAAACGTACCATAGGTGTAAAATTGGGTAGATATATATGGTTCATGGTACTTTACCGTACGCCCGTCGTTTTTTGTTATTTAAACCATGAATGATCCGCATTTTGAGGCATGATACTATACCCTAATCCATAATAACTTCAGTATAATTGTTTACGAACTTTAACTTCATATCCTAGGATGAGACACGAGATACCTTGAAAACTGATACGTGCAAAGGTTAGAGAATTTTTTTTGTAGGATGTACGATAAACTTAATGTTCAATCAACCACTGACCTAGACATTGATCAAATAAGGGTTGGAAATTTCATTTAATAATTGAAATTTCTATAGACAAATCTAAATTTGGAACGTTCAGATGGCTGAACGCCCACTTCCATATCTGTGACTGAGCTTCTTCAACCAACTCCTCCTGAGAGCTCGACATCATGTTAATTAAGCGGCCTGGTATGTTTGATTATGTATATAAATGTAGATCTTATTCACAGCTCACCGTCGACTTTCAAAAGAAGAAAGAAGATCATATATATCGAACTTTGTTAATTGTCGCAAAATGAGAGAGAGAGAGAGAGGCCCGGTTCTGGGGTCTACAATACAGTATAGTTATTCGGCAGCTGCTGGTCAGCTAGCACATGGCTCGTTGCCTGATGAATACTCGTCGTCCACCAATTAAAGAACGAGACAAACATATGAACAAGTGGCTAAGCTAGAGCTGTCCCAGAGGCAGTACGTACCATACATCTGAGCAGTCGTTAACCAAGAACCAAATAATGAAATGAATCAGACTCAGGTATCTACTGCAAGTTGAAGCTAACACATCTTCTTCACCACCCAATATTCCTCATCCATCAACCACCAAGCCAACTCAGTGTCTCAATTCCTCACTCCCTTCCCTAGTCGTCATTCAGGTAAATGTCTTGATGACAATCATTAGCGTCATAATACCTTGAATTTATATGTCATGATTGTTTCAAGTGTGTTCTAGCAACCATATACTATTGATACGCTTCTTCTGTTAGTGTAATGTGCATTTTTCATGTCAAAGTAAGCTAGTGGACCACTTGGTAGTAGAAGGGAATCATCGTTGAAATGAAAGAGGACGAGACTACGAGCATCCACGATCAAACGAGGCCTGATTTGAAGTTCGGACGAGGGAGAAAAGTCCCTGACAAGTTAGTAGTCCGAAGTAGTTAAAGTTCAGAAACGGCGGCCCATGCACTATTTTCCTGTAAAAAATACAGTTGCGAGAGCAGTTTTGGACGGAGCCTAAACTTCTTCAGGAATTTGTCCAGATGCGTAGTGGCGTGGTGGCTAAGTCGAGGAAGCTTCATGGAAATTCAGAAGACGCATTAAAGGCCATTTTTTTCTTCCAAAAAAAAAAACTTATCCAAAGCAATGCAGTTAAAATCGCGCTTTAAAAGTTAAAAACGTACGGTTTTATGCTTCTAGGTCACCAAAACGTTTTCGTTTACATATAAAATCTTTAGTGTATAAAATCGGACTAAATTACGCTTTAAATCTTAAAAGTTTACACTTTACGTTCTTACGCTTCTAGTTCACTAAGTTGGTATTCTATTCATGAAATTAATTATAAAAAGTATATTTTATAGGTAAATCATCAACAGTATGTTGCATTTGACATTAAAAGATACATACCAGATACTTGAATGCATTCTTAGCTTCAAATAGAGTAATCTAATTCACCAACTAGGCACTTCCCAAATCATTAGCATAGAGGGGAATGTGGCTTATTGTTAAGATCGATGTTTATGAACTTATTGTTAAGATGTTATGAGTTGCTCTACTTTAGACATGAATTACAAGTATTTATTAACTTATCTAAATTCTGCACTCATATTTTACATAATATATGTCGTACTAAACACATTTTTACCTATTTTACAACATGCTTAAAAAACTTATGCTTTTACACTTTGATTCTACGCTTTATGATTTTATCCATTTTCCGCTTCTAGGTAGAATCATGTTTTTTACTGCATTGATCCAAAGTACTATAAATAGATCATAAGGGTTCAGAACTCGGTAGTAGTGAAATGAGGGATTAGAGGGTCGTTACTCTGTCGACAGAATGACTCACCCGACCTAGAGCGACGTCGAGACCAAGGAAATAACGGCTGCAAACTTGTTCGGCTCGATTTTGATTATGTTAGTGAGTTTTTAGTTTCTCCGAGCTAGATTGGTGGATGAGTCTCGTTTTTATTGGACCAACCAACTTCTTCGGCTTGATTTTGATTGGTTAATACATTTGTTTAGTCTGAACTTTGTACTAATGAACTAGTTTGCCCCGAATTTTTAATATTACTATCATGTACAAGATGTTAAAATAATTAGACCACTTTGTTTCGATCCTTAGGTTGTTTGTCAACTTGAACGGTTAACAACTTTGACAATTAGTCAACATGCCACATTAGCTTGAGAAATCAATGAAAAAATAGAATTAACAATTTAATTTGTTATCAACTTTACACTAATAAACTACGTTTATTCGAGTTTTCTTAAATCCGTATTATGTCCAAAATTTAATAGATAGAGCAGACACCGTGGCAGTAACCCACCTTGAATAACATTCCCAATGACGAATAGTACATGTGTCATGTGTGATAGAGGTGGCTCAGACTACACATTGACATGGCAATATGGCATGATAGCACATAAGTCATGAGAGTCTTCACTAACGGGTCATTTGGAGGTTGAGATTCTCCAAATGGATGCACTTATTAATTTGTGTATTGTAATTTGATGCATTGATTAAATGTATGAATTTTGAAAATAGTTTAGTGGAGGTTTAGATTGTGTATGAAAGATGGAACAAAATTTTGTAGACAAATTCTTGTTAACAATCTCACATTTTGGTAGAGATTGATAATCACTCAACATGAGTGATTGTAGGTGGAATCATGAAAATGTAATACATTTATTCTATTCTATCACAAATTTACCCAAAAAACAACTTAATCTTAACTATGTATTAACTAAATACATTACTTAAAATCCAAACCTTCAAACAACTCCTAATATTTGCCAGTCCGAATGAATCACCATTGGAGCTCTCGCTCCCAATCGTAAGAAATTGCGACGAATGTGATTTGTTTCAACAATGGACTAACGTACGAAAAACAGGAGAGATAAAGAAGCAATTTACGCAGAGATGATACCAAAACGAAGCATATACAAGAACAGCATAACGTTTTGCAGAAACAAGCTTTCCACTGTAAAAACACAAACTAGTTTGATGAGCTTCCTTCAGTTACAGTTCCAATAACCCTGTCAAATAACCATACTACTGAACTCTCCTAGTAATCACTGGCGATTATTTAAACTCAATGCTACATGAAAATCAAACAAACCCATCTAAACCAAACCTCTAGTTGGCTTGCTCCTCTGTTGGCACCTTCAGTTTATAATGAAAGTAACCACACTTGTTTCCAAGCTGGACGACCTCCTCTGCTTCCTTGAGCTTCGACTCCTTAGTTAAACAGTCCACCACTTGCTGCAACAGCACCTCCTCGAGAAGCCTCTTCGCCTTGAAAACGTCTTTGGCAAGTTCTGAAGCAAAACCCATATCGCCCTTCTCACAAGCAAATGGAACCAGCTTTGAGAAACCAAACTTATCGGGTTTAAACCCGGCTTCCTGCATTTCACCATACACTCGCTTCACTTCCTCCAAATTTCCCTCCTTTATAAACCCTTTGATCAAGACACTGAAACTAATAGCATCAGGTTTGATTTCCTTGTTCTTCATTTCTTCAAGTAACCCAACTGCTTCTGTTGTTCTCTTTGTCGAAGACAACCCAAGTAACTTGGCATTGTAGGTTCTAATATCAGGAGAAACTTCCTTCCCCACCATTTTCTCCCAGACTCTATCCCCATCCTCAAGCTTCTCATTTGCATAAAGCCCATTTAAAAGGATATTGTAAGTAATCAGATTAGGCACCAAACCTTTGCTTTCCATTTCGTCGAGCAGCTTCACTCCCGACTCGAGCGAACCCATTTCGCAATAGGCCTTCATCAGGGTATTGTAGGACACCACATCAGGTTGAATCTCGAGCTTCTTCGGCAACTCATTGAACAACTCCTCGACCTTTTCCAACTTCTTGGAATTCAAACACGCAGCGAGAAGGGCGTTGAAGGACAACGCAGTCTGCTTGCAGTTTCTACTGGGCATTTCGTCGAACACCTCGTGTGCGTGCTGGAGCATCCCGGCTTTCCCATAGAGAGAAATCAGGCGGGCGTTGAAACCCTCCTTGGACATGTCCTTGAACCACTTCTGATCCTCGAGAATCTCCTCGATCCAGTTGAAGCATTTCGCGGAGGTCAGGCGGCGGACGACGTCTTCGTAAATGCCGATCTTGGTGCGGAATCGCGGGTCTACCGAGTTCTTCTTGAACTTTTGTACAAGGCGCTTGAGGCTGCGCTCGTTGTAGAGGCCCGCGGAGAGTGCTTTGAGGCTGGGTTCGACGGCGGCGGCAGCAGCGGTGGTGGTGGTGGTGGCGGCGGTCGCTGTGGCTGTGGAGTAGGCGCGGCGGAGGAGGCGGGCGAGAGCCGACATTTTTTGGGATTTCGAGCGACGGAGTGATGGTTCAGTCCCTCAGGTTGCCCGACGAGTGAAATAAGTAAATAACTATAAGAAAACTATTGGACTTGCGCGGTTTATTTTGGGCTTCTGGGCCGTTGAAATGGGCCTCCTTACGGAGCATAGCATTGTTAGGGTTTTGGTGTTGGAGGAATTGAGATAAATGTTACAGAAAATTAAAAACATTAAACGCTCAAAACCAAAATCACAGAAGAAAATTCTATGCAAAAAAAAAAAAAAAAAGAACAGGAGAAAATTTGAAACAAATTAGGTTGAATAAGCTTTATAATTTTAGATAGAGAAATTAAAGCTTTAATGAATAACTACAATGAGCCGATTTATCTTAAAATAGTTTTTTTTTTTTTTTGAAAATTCTTATTATCTTAGACACTAATGAAGTTGTTCTAGGAAAGTTTAATTGTCTTCATTCACCGTTATAAAAAATCAATAGCCTTCATCTCAAACTACGTTGGGAAGCTATGATTTGGAAGGTGATTCTACAAGACATAAGTTTGTATTTTATTGTTAAGTGCTATTTAACGAATTTGAATCTCAGACCTTCAAATTGAAAATTAGGAGTAGTATCACTAGATGTCGCTCTTGTTCCCTCCTTGAGAAGCTCACTTACCTCGTTTGCCAAGTTTGGTTTGCATTTAGTAATGCAAAGGTGAACCGAAGAAGTTAACTTGTTCGACCATTTCCATCTCTCAACCTTCACATCCCTAGCAATTGCTAGAAAAATGTTACATAAACTCCACCTCACTTTAGCAATTGCTAAAGATTGTTCATCAGTAGAGAGGTCCTACAAGATTCCTATGTTGTTCTTTTCTGGTGGTTGGTAAAAAAGAGATGGCAATGGTTCAGCAGATCAAGGAGTTGCTGATACAGATTATGAAAGGAATATGAAGAAATAGAAAATTAATGGAAGTTTTTTTAGAGGAAAGGGATTAACTTAAATTAATTTCCAAGGATGTTCTTTTGAGCTTTGTAGTTGTCAGCATTGTTGGTCTACCGAACCACAAAGAGTTTCACCTAATGCTCAAGTAACAAAAGGATTATTACTAGCAAGGCATAACATGATTATAAGCTCAAGTAACCTGTCTTAATAACTCGACATGCTTTAAAGTAAGTTAATTATATCATGGACAATTCAAATTCAAGCTCCGATACTTCCGTCTGCAAAATCTTTTATATCGCATCAATAATCAAGTGATCTCAACAATTTGAGTTGTCGAAAAAGACCACCAGAAGGGAGAAGAAAAAAAAAGATTAAGAAACAAGGTTAAAGTGATGAATCCGTGTGAGTCCAGGACTGACTAGTTTATGGCCTAGTCCAGGGTATACAGAAAGAAACAGATTTGTCAAATCTTCAAAAGCCAAAAGCTACAACAAATCCGTGTCCGACCAGGATTATGGAACAGAGACAAAAAGACGACTAGACTTGATTTTGATCTTTCCTGCATTCCAAACACGACATTCTCTCCTTTTAAAACTAGACTCCTTCTGGGCTTTTTGCTCAGAAATCGATTCCTCGATGCTCATTTCATATTGCTTTCTCACCTAACTCCCTTTGTTAAACTTTGCCAAATTGCCACTCTGTAACGCGGCTGGAGACACACACATGCATATATATATACACCACATTACTACTTTCATCACTCCAAAGACTAACTTTTGGCCTTACACTGAAATGGGTTGTTTCTTCCACTTGCACATAGCTTGCTCTGTAATAGCTCATCTCTTTGTGTTTGGATTGAGTCAATCATCCCCTGCTTCAAGCCCATCCCCATCATCGTTGCCACGAATTCCGGGCATCAGGAGGGTAGTCGGGCACCATCGAGATCGATCCTTCATCGGTGGAGACGTGATTCTAGGTGGGTTCTTGATGGCCATAGTTGCAGGCATCTTCTGCTACATAAGGGTGACGAGGAAGAACCAAATGCTGGTAACTCAGCCATAGAACAAGACAACAAGTGCATCACAGTAAGTGGGTTGGTAATGGTTACTCTTTGTTGGTAGATTGGTTGGCACTAGAGATGTTGTACATTTGTAAGACCTTCACCATCGGTTGTTGTTGAAGTTAGGGAAGTGAAGAATGGTTTGTTGTTACTAGTACAGTTCAAAACCAAACTTGATTGGTGCACATGACCAATAAGATCTTGGAGACTAAAGAGAGAGATTGAGAGGCTTGGTATATCTAGGTTATGTAGTGTCTATAGGTTTACCTAATTGCTTAATGCTTAGTAATGATTTCATTCTCATTCACCGGATTATTGCTCTTGAAGCCTCGTATACTTGATGACTCATGAATAGATATAGGTTTTTCGCCAAGTTTTCCTATCAAAGCTTCCACTCACAGTGTAGCGGGCTACTGGACTATGAATGATTTGCCTAAAGTTCTTCTAAGATTGATCGATTGTGAATGAAAGATAAAACATCTTCAAGCATACAAGAAGAAAGAATTCCAATATAGGCGCCTTACTTGTAGAGAACGTTATAAATTATTGATAAGCTAGAAAGTTCATCTCATTTCTACAAGTTTTACCCTATTTCTGACCGTGATTCCACTCTCGTTATCATAGTATATATGATTTGTTTGAAGTGCTACATTCCTTACTCATAAAGAAGGTATGTAATCCGTCAACTACAAATTTTTAATAACAATTCCACTGTCATCCATCGTACTATGTAGGGATTCTCTTGAAATCTCTTAAACTTACATCGATTTCAAAAGAAGGGTAAGATACGATCGATCGCAATAGCATTACATCCTAAAAAAACTATAAAATCGAATCCCCTGCACGAATCCAGTAACTTGCTGGAAATCAACCATGGAATCCTTCACGAATCTAGTAACTTGCTAAAAAGTTTGTTCTGGAGCAAGAGTAGAGAGCCAAAAAGGGAAGAGATTCACTCAGACAATCAACAACTTGCTGGAAAACAACCATGGAATCCGGCTTTTATCTTCCAATCCTGTCTCAACCTTGTGAACACAAAATGGAGTAGAATTTGCGGCACTGTGGCAGCAATATCTGGATTTTCTATAAAAAGAGTGATTCTCCACTTGGCAATTACCTAAACAATTGTAGTAGCTAACAACCTTACCACTTGCCAGAAATGGTCACTTCAGTCTTCAGTGGACATTTAATTAATACCATAATCTACTCCTTTGAGCTTCTAATCACTCCATCTTCCCCCCACTAATTGCTGCCCTAATTGCAAGTATATAGATGTAATCAAGGAAGAAAATCATCCAAACACAAAAAACAAAGATCTTTTGGAACTCTATAAACTAAAAATCAAAATGTCTATCAACAAGAGAATTCAAGAATCCTTAATCCCTCCCTCCATTTCCCCCCCACCAAAAGTTCACTACCAACATTTGTACAATTTCTATCACTACCCTCTACTACTCCTTTTCCCCCACTCAAAACTTTGATTCAAACAAAAGCAAGAGAAACAAAAAGAAATTGTAAAAAAAGGTAAAAGAAGAAGAACATAAAGAAGAAAAAACCCAGAAAACTGGGGAAGAAAAAGAAGAATCAAAACCGGTGGAGGTAAGGAAACTTGAAAATTCTCCATCTCTGTTACCCTCTATATGAAAGCTGACACCTTTTTTCCTCATCTCTCAGCTCCAAATCCCACCATTTCTGTGGATTCCTTCAACAATTCACCTGCAAAAAAAAATGTCACCCCAACTGAGTAAATCCAATTCAATTCCGCCATACAAATGGGATTTCAACGAAACGTCTAAAGTCGAGAGCTTTTTGGGGAATTCTTAATTCTACCTTGCTGAGCCTTGCAAGAAGGCGGTTCTTCGAACAGAGAAACAGAGAGCTGCTTGCGAGCGAGACCAATATCAAGCAAGATAACCCCCGAGGCCGGATCCGTGACGAAGATCCCTTTGACAGGGAACCAAAGGAAGAGCTCCTCCTGAGTTAGCCCTTCCATTCCGATGAGCCCGCCAAAGCTGAGATTAGCTCGGAGCACGCTCTCGAAGAACACTCTGTTTTCGAACTTGGCCAAACAGGGGCCGTCGAGCTCGACCTCGAGCCGGCCGGTGGAATCGAGATCGAACGATTTGACATTGTCGGGGAAAAGTCCCCCGGGGAGTCCCTGGCTGTGGAGGAGCTTCTGGAGCGACGACGACATGCCGCCGGCGGCGGCGGCGGGTGAGTGGAGGATGAGGAGGAGGGAGACGGAGAAGATGATTATGGAAGCCATTGTGGATGGTGTGAGAGTCGACATTTTTGTGGGGAGAAAAGGGAAACGGAAAAGGGGGAGAGCAGAGGAAAAGAGAGAGAGAGGGATGATTTGGGAGTTTTTTTTTTTTGGGAGGAAGAAAGGAAAATGTTTTATTGCTTACAGCTTACAGGCAGATAGAGATAGAGATAGAGAGAGAGAGAGCAGCTGCTTGGAATTGGATCTTTCGTTGGATGGATTGGAAGGAGAAAGTTTGTGGGAAACAACGGGTTGTAGGGGACAGAGAGGGCTGGAAATTTACCGTTTTGGTCACGTTGGTAGGGTTGTGTCGTGGGTAACGATTCGGTTCACACCGGTTCATATTAAGAGATCAGATGGTCTAACATATAGTTTGATTAGAATCGGATCGAATTGATATCGAACTGACTGAACTAAAACATATGAGAACTTATAAGCTTGTTTTGATTCAGATGTTTGGTTATGCTTCAATTCAGTCAGATTTTTCTCGGTGATTTTGTAGAGAATACTATGAAAGTGAATCTAAGTGATAATCGTTAACATGAGTATGACCCGATTCAATATTTAGAACATGGTCCATCCAGCTTTTGGTGTGAATTGGATTGTTGCCCAGGTTGATGAACGGCACACTACAGTATGGAGTATACACAATCCATATTTTTTTGCGTTGATATTCAACACGTACGGTTCATTCTCGCTCATGTCCTATACCAACTCAACCTGAATCCAAACCAGGACATGCTCATCGTTCCGTTGTACGTCTAACTGGACCGACGAGAATTTGATTCGAGTTTTGTACTTCAAATTCAATCACTGTCTTGCTCTCACTAGAGCAAAATGTATTATGCATTAGTTTCAAGATAATGAGGGTTCTATACTAGTTCGCGGTGATTTTGCACATTTTCCGTTATGAATTAGGATAAGGATGAGGGAATGAAGGAGTTATTTTCTGGCTGAGTTTTACGGCGAGGTCAAAGTAGTTGATGTTGAAGCAGTAAAAAAGAGAAACATAAAAGGATCTGTCTAAATATAACGGCAAAAACGATACCTGTGCTTTGCATTGCATGGCTGACTCATTGAGGCGTTTCTGCTCTGCTCTGCTCTGCTCTGAACCCTAGGACTGGGTGAAAAGCACGAGGTTCTCGACCAAATAATTAAGTTCATTTTCTGTTGTGAAAAAAAAAGGAAATAATAATTAATGCGATAATATTGTATTGTAGTGTTTTTTTAGTTCCCCTAGAAACTCCCATCCCATGATAACGCCTCATATTTTGGTTTTTTTTTTCTTCTGCTTCGGTTGTTCATATCTCATATTCTGATAACGTCTCTTGTTCTTATCGCTAAAAGAATACGCATGTACGAGTATGCATGTATGTATCTACGTAAATCTGAAAGAGAAAGAAGTTGGCATTGATCTATGAAATGTTTTGATATTATCCATGGCCGGTGAGGTGTGTTTTTGTGGTGGCAGACTACTCATGACTCATGAGCGTGTGTTTTGGCATATGGTAGAGTAAGGATAGGGGCGGATTCGGGGATTTCTGGGGGACAAATCTGAAAAGTTTTGAAGATTTAAATTTGCGACACGGCAGTTATTAGTAAACATGTTTTTTTTTTTTCATTTTACTACGGTTCAATTCATGTTGTAATTTGAAAATAAATGTCCAACTGCGTATCCTCAATTTTAGCAAAACCCGAAAACTAAACCACTGATATATATCCTCATCCCCCACGACTTATCTCCTACATTCAAGGGGTCCCATCTCTGCCTAAAAATGTTCCAATTTTTTGAGAATATGAAAATATGTCATCAGCATCGCTCCCTAACAGAGAGGAATACATTGGATCTTGCGAGCGACAAAACAGATTATGCGACAACTAGGTAACAACCCGATTGTGCCCCCTCTCCTTACAGTCGAGTATATTCTAACGGACATGTTTTGTAACTTGTACTAATTGATTTTTTTTTTGTTGAATACTAGTTGGACATTTTCTTTTTAATTTAAATTTGGAGGGAGAACACCTCCGATATAAAATTTCAGAATCAACCATCAGATAAGGAGGCCTTACTTTCTCTATTTGAAAAGGGTTTCGTGGTCGTTTGGTTCGGTCGTAGTAGCTAGTTGCTTATGAAATAATGACGGAGTCAGAAATTTAAACAAGATAGGTCGGATATAATAAAACTCAAAGGAATCCAAACGTTGGTGGTCGAAAAACCGATGACGGACCGACGACAAATTAAAAGCCTTACCAATTGTTATGTTTTCTCAAAATTGGTGCATAGTTTGACGTGTGTGTATATGTATTTAACTATAGTTGTTAATTAGTTGTACCTCTTGTCCCCTATTTAGCTCATTCTCATTCCATTTTCAGTTCTTGGCTTAAAACATAAGGGTGGTGGTAGCTTCCTTTCTATATTTGTAGGGCACAATTCCAATCTGGAGTTGCTTCATAGTTCCTCCTTCCTCCTAGCTGTTTTTTTTCTCTCTCTCATTCGTACCGTCTAGTTTTCCCCGCCGTTGCATAGCAACAATACGAAATTAAGTAAATACAAAAATCGAGTTAATTTTTTCGTCACACGGTAAAATTCACTATAGAAATAGTTGGGCTATTCCACTAGGGTTCAGCCAAAGATTTGTATCGAACTCAAGATCGAAATCTGAAAAATCAAAAGAATATTTCAGTATTGAGTATGTATTATAAGGTATATATAAAGAAAGGCATAAATTCGGTAATGGACAGAAAGAACCACTTAGCTGCCTGCCACCGATATCTTGCTTTGTTTTTTTTTTTTTTTTTTTTTTTGTTACCACAAAACTAAAAAATAAAAGAACAAACGTCACAGCTGGTAGAGCATTATTGCAAAAATTCTATCTGTTTTGGAATATAAACCATAATAATAATAATAATAATAAATAATAATGTAGTATTCCCCACCTCGTCCGCCGTCTCCATCTCCAAACCAACAGCTCTTCCGCCGATTGGTTCCCCCAAAATATCTATTCTTTAAAACAATCCCACTCCCTCGTCATGATGGAGGCGAGGACCGGGTCTCGCCCGGTTCGGTCCTGAATCGAGTGAGGATCGATGGTTTGATGCAGAAATTAGATAAAAAAATTGAACAACGATTTATTCTCGTTTTAGCATGTCTGTTAGTTTCTGAAAATTAGGAATCGTTTCGGTTGAGTTTAAATCATAACAATTGGTCCTTTTTTTGCGTATTGTTAAGTTGGTATATTTAAAAGTGCGTTAACGGTCTTTCCAATATGAGAGGACCTGAAATTTCTAGATCTTAAACGCGGTAAAAAAAGAAAAGTAATTTGTCGAATGACTATGTATGGTTGTGGTCCAGGTATGCATGTGAGAAAGACAGTTACAATGTTAAGGTAACTAACGGTTAAATTTTCGAACCAAGGTAACTATTTAATGAAGCTATATAATTATAGTTGAACTCTTTAAACAATCTATCTTTTATTAGACGTTGCAATGATGGGAGGGAATAGAATAAGATCTATAGGAGAGAATTTTGAGAGGGGGGGAATTTCCCATTATTAATGGCCTGCTTAATGGAAAGTTCTATTAATTGTTTCCTGTAATCACGGGGGATGATCATCTTGAGAACAGTTCAACGAAGTTAGAGGAAACGACGGATGCTTCAACAAAGGAGTTTGCTTAATGACAACAATTAATTCTAATCCACAGTATATATTTTTGTTAATTACAGTAATTAATCAATGTTCATAGCTCGTCCGCCCGCATAATATTGGTGTCGGTTGCACTACATGGCTAACAACATGAAACCAAACAAATCCTCTATTAATCAAAGCAGCTGGCTGGCTTTGTTTTGCTCTTTTAGATGGCTCTTTTTGCCTTGTCTGTCTATCTGTCTGTCACCCATGATTGGAATGTTGGGCCCTTTTCTGACCCGACCCGACTCGGCCATGTTCATGTGTGACCAATTTCATTATTCATTCGCTCAAAAAGGTCATTCATTAGCATATTGAACATAATCACCATGGATAATTGATCTTGCGTTGCACTACATTGATTTCTAGATTGCCTCGATATAATCAAGAGAAATGAGAAGAAATTAATGATTTATTATCGGTTCAGAAACAATATTAGTCCTATGATTTCATAGATTGTCTCGATAATTGTCGGGTGATGTTATAGACTTGCTATAAGATCTTGCAATAATCAAGGGTGGAGTTAGTCACCTCTGTTCAAGGTGGATCCATGACAACACCTTCGATGTATTGGAGAACCATACGAACCATTGGTGTATATGTGTGCGGTGTGCCAATAGTGATATATACATAACTTCTTATTTATATATATTCTTTTTAAGTCTTTTGTTAATGTACCGACTTCTGAATTTGTTACCGTCGTCGTTGCAAACACTTAAAAAAAATATTTTCATAATGAACTACGTGACAATCACCCTTTTAATGGTGAAGTTTGTAAATGCTTTTTTGGTACCATACTTGATGAGAGACATACATTTATAATTAATATGGATGACAATATAAGTAAGAGTAAAACATCATATGATTTTTTTTCCCCCACATTGCAACCCACATTTGACAAAATCCTGACTCGGCCACCGTCAACAATATTTGCAAAACACCAATTTGATCAATGAATCGAGTGGGAGTAGCCATCATGACTTTCTTGTCAGCAAGTTTTTGGAGCTAATTATAAATATTTTGTTGAGGAAATGATGTTTAAGATCTTTACTGTTTTGACCTTGTGAATCATTATTGCTACTCCAATTAAGAAGAGAACTCATTATGGATAGCATGGAGTGTTTACCGTTCAAATCTTCGTATGATTATGCTTGGAGAAATTTTGGGAAGCTTCTTTCTACTGATAGTGAGATCGATAGTGTGTGTAAATTGGAGTGGCAATTCGCAATCACACATTTCCTATTCATGTCATGTGTTCACATGTCCCTACGCTATTATTGAGCACCTCCTTTTTTTTGGTTCAATTGGAGATTTGGAGTGGCAGTCGCAATCACATATTCCTGGGCCAATAACTGGCCCATGATCCACCAATCCATACATATGCTTAGGCCCAAAGATCTCCAACAAAAAATTCCTAATTAATACTATGATATGAATCACAGGCGAGATGAGAACACGAAGTAAAATTCTACCCTTAATTAATGGGATTGGATTTTGTCAAAATCCAACCCGCTTCCCATCCGACTGGCACTACAAAAATCAAAACAATTTAATTTGGTACTAGTATGGACAACAAAGATGATATATAAATGTTATTAGTTTGTGTCATTATAATCTAACTAGCGTGGCCCCGGCCAGTTGGCCGGAGGAAGATGAAATATGAAATTTGATAATGTAATGGAGTGTATAGTTTATTATTGTATAGTTTTTTTTTGGGAAACTCGTGATAAAAATAGTGAATTTTAGTAGGAAAGATACATGAATGATGTAATGAATCAAAAATCGGCCTTATGAACCAAAATCAAGTACATGTTACCTTTTGAAACAATATTGTTTCTCGTAATATGATGAGGTGGAGTAAGTTTTATAGAAATAGAATTCTAGAAAATCGAATAAAAAATCGCCTATCCCGTCGTTTTCGGGAAATGGGCATCTCACAATCGTTGCTAGCTTTTACTCGGCCCGTTGGTTGATTAATTTGCTTTATAAAACTTTCGTCTTGTCGTCATTGTGCTTTCTGGTTTTTGTTAGGCCATGATAAAATCTAAGAAAATCAAGAACGAACAACACGATTTGGGATAGGAACCGCCGTTGTCGTATCCCTAGAAAATGGTCGTAAACACAGACTCACCTGCCAAACTGGTTTGGATTGAGATTTTTATCGGGTATTAGAAAACCATGTGATTATAAATTAGACTTAATCAAAACGGGCCAAAACTTAAAATTCAGCATGTTTGACCGACCCATGCCAAATTCTAATTATTCTTTACTTTTAAACTTTCTATTTGAAAATAAAAAATAGTGAAAGAAAAGAGATGACTGCAATTCGCCATTTGCACATCACTTATTCAGGAATAAAACCATAAAAATTCAAAAGGAACTGAAAATGTTTAGGATCGTTTTAATGTTTAAAATAACCAAATAGATCGTTCTGTTTAGTTTTTTACTGACAAATACCAAACGATTACCTATAAAATACACTATAATTTGATCATTATGATATCAAATAATTATATAATATATATTTGAAATGATAAAAATTGGACTAATTGGGTTGGTCGAGGTTGAACCATTGAATAACTTTAAAATACATTATATTTTAGCCACTAAGATATAAAATAATAGCATAATATATATTATGCCAGAGAAAATAGTTTGTTCTAGAATGGCAAACCAATGATGTTTATTTGTTCTACTTGATGGCCAAATCTCGTGTAGGTCAAGCCCATTCAACTCTTTTATTTTATGGTTAGCGGTTAGCCCATTAGATACCATGCATTAGTATATTGTTAATTTTTTTTATTTTTAGCAATAAAATGGAGTATTGTTTTTGCCTTCTCATATATATTTTATCACCACGGAGAAATAACAGGGCTTAAAGAAAAAAATTGACACTTCTGGACCCGTTTAAATCCACATGTGTACGGTAAGTTGGCCCGTTCCACAGAGGAAAGAGAAAAAAACTGACACTCCCTATTCTACCCTTCCTACAAACGCTCCTGGAGCAGGAAGGGTTTTTTCCTCCTTGCTATTATATGTTTTTGATTTAAAAAGATACAACAAATGTACTTAGTGTGATTGTTATGATTCTTGCTTTTCTTTAAAATGGACATGGTTCGAATCCCAGTACGTGTCTTTTTAATGAATAAAAAAAAGTAATTGTGAAGACCAAAATGTCCTTCCTACTTTCACTCTCATCGCAGGAAATTTGAAATGGGGCTCCCGTTTTTTCCTTCGGTGTATTATATTATGTGTAGATAATATGAATAATTTGTGGACTTATTAGTCTTTATAGATATATATTTGTTGGAATTTTCTTATACAATATTTTGATGTGAGTGTTCGAAGTTAATGTATGGTTATGTTCGTGAATCCATGAATCCCCATGAATTTGTGTGTACCTGTTGAGTTGGGTTGGATCTGTTGTTCTATAACCTAATAGGTATTTACTAGTTTTTTTCTTGGTGCGTCCACCACGATTGGTTTGAATTTAGAGAAATCTGTCCCACCGTTTGGTTTGAATTTAGAGAAATCTGACTCAATTTGACCCGTTGTGAACTGTGATCGCCATCAGCTTACATAACTCAAAATGGTTCGTATATACGGCCAGGTTTCCAGCCTTGAATCAACATCATTTGTCAGAGATAGGACTAACTTCAACCCGTAAAGTCAAATTTGGCTCCCCAAGTAGCCAAATATGGCTTTTTAGCTCCTCAAACCCCATTTTCACTCCAACCCTACACAATGCTAAATTTAGCTTCCTACCTACCTTTTTTCAATTTATTACAATAAAGCATACTTATTTGACCTCTAATTTTCATATTTCACTTTAATTTTCTATAGTTAGTTTAGGGATGGCAAAAATATCCGTAACCGTGGATATCCACCCGAACCCGGCCTAATCGGGTAGGGTAAAACCCGAACCCGAAGGACATTTAGTGGGTACGGGTAAAACCCGAACCCGAATATTGCGGATAATGGGTGGGCATGGGTTTCTCAGTATCCAACCCGAACCCGCCCGATTATACACATACATATGTATTTTGTCTAGAAATAGTCATTATTTTTCTTTAAAATATTTTATATTTAGCATATAAATATAATATTTTCATGAAATTGTGTTGTTTTAATTAATTTTCTTCATTCTAGTGAATTATTGTCATACTTTTCCTTTTGCATAATGTGAGAATACGTGTGAATGTAAACATATTAGTTGGAGTTATGAAGAGAAATCATTACCCATGGATAACCGTGGATACCCGAAACCCGAACGGGTATGGTCATGGTTTTAATTTTCTACCCGTTTTATATGTGGGTATGGGTATGGGTAAAACCCGAACTACTTTGGGTAGGGTAACGGATATGCACTATCCGTCCCCGACCCGACCCATTGCCATCCCTAAGTTAGTTATTAGTTTTGAAAACAAAATTTTCGATGTAATTTTTTTTTATTCCGAGACAAAAAAAGTTTCGGAAAATTAGTCATTATTTTGTTACCGTTAACTTCGGGACCAATGAAAAAAATACCAATTAAACATATAACATTTCATATCTTCTTTCAAACAATTAAACAAACAACATACACAATCAACCAATGGCAAAATACCACACAAAAAAAAAGCAACAAAAAAAAACAACACAATCAACCAATGAGAAAATCCCACAGAAAAAAACAAAAAAATAAAAGAGGACCCACCGCAGGTCCACCATTTCCTCTAGCCAAATTTGGTTTTTTCACCTTTTTGGAAGCTAAATTTGGCTCCCAATTCACCAATACCCATTTTTAGCTCCCAAAATAATGTGGGTTGGAGCACAAAAAAAGAGCTAAAAATGGGTAAATGGCTTTTTAACTATAGGGTTGGAGTTAGTCTAAGACCACCCACAGCAAGCATTGAAAAAAAGGGGGAAAAGGAAAAAAATGAGGGGAAAGCCTACAATAGGGGAGGATAAAAAGGCTAAAAAGGAAAAGAAGGCTATTGGGGGAGAGTTTACCCTTCTGAAAAAGACAAAAGAAGGAGGAAAAAGTGGGTTGTTGGTGGAAGAAGATGATTGGGCCACGTGGCTGGTGCCTTCTTTTTCTTTTTTTTCGTTTATTTTAATATCAGATTGAATTTAAATGGTTTTTTTGTATGGAACCACTCATTTGTGAAACTTGTGATGAGTAATAGTATTCTGCAAATTATTGAGATTCGTCATTGATAACGTCATATTTAATTAGTGATAAAAAAAATTATGTCCAAATTAAAAAAAAATTATATCGAAATATTCGTTTTAATTAATTAATACTACCTGTATAAAAATAATAAGTAAATTATCAAAATAAAATTACCATATCAACTCTAGATAGATTTTGAAGAAAAAAACCACTTCTCATTACCCTTTTTTCCCTCCCTCCCATTGTGACCAATTCTTCTCCTCCACCATTCTTTCCCTTTTTTCCCACCCTTTTCACCCTTTTTTCCCTTCCATCATTGTGGATGGTCTAAGGGTCAGGCTTTGAGCCTGAGGAAAGAGGACCAATGTTGAGCCTGGCTGGTCTAGTTCAGAATCGGATGCAAAGCAACACATGACGAGATCAACAACAAAAGGAAAATGACCCACCATTTTCGAATCAAAGGAAGCAAATTGAACTATATTCATGCGACTCAAATGTCAAATTTGGTTTGCTGTGCAGCAAATTGTTGGTCACCACCCTAAATAGGACCAACTTGGAAACAGAGCAAAATTCACATACAGAGTCTAGAACAGTGTCAAGTCCTTATGGCTGCCATGTAATCCTCTCATCAAATTCCCTTTCTCCATAAGGATGGATTGGACACGGTGTCCAAAAAGAGACTATGAACTCACCTATCTGATCTTACAAATGCATACAAGATTTTTCACTGTAGGGAGTAGGGAAGTCTCAGCTCAAAGAGGAATTAACTCAAAATCACACTTTGCTTCCCCCCAGCAAAGACCATGAATCACAGATGAGAACACCATAGAAAAGCTGAAGGATAACCTGCAACAAAGAGACAGGTATTAACTCTACTCTTTTGTTTCAAACTACTAAGCATATGCACAAGGAAGCTAGAGCAAATGACAGAACAGTTATAAACAAATGGTACAAGCTATGGAGAAAAGCACAAGGGTAGTAAAACATACATTTTTTTTTATATTCTATGATCGCTTATGCAGAGGACGATGACTCGGGCGAGCTAGCAGCCTGTGGTTTCGATGGACTCCTTTGATTAGCAGGTGGGCCATCTCTTCGCCTCTCGTACCTTTTACTCTCGTACTTGGAACTCTTGCGCTGCTTCGGTTGATACGTCGGGTAAGTGCATGGTATGATTTCTCCGTTCACATACTTGTCCCCTGAACATTTCTCCAAAAGAACATTAAGGCCATTAAAGGATGAACACCATTGCCAAAAAGATCCAACATGAAAGCCAGATGAAGTAAAGTAAAAGCAGCTGAGCACCTCCATAGTCTTTGTTCTTAACATCTATATAGGAGTCAGGCAGCACCCAGAGCACTCCTGGCAAACCTGCAACAGCTTGAAAATCCCAAGATAAGTATATAAGTAAACAAAGCAAGTAGAGTTATAATAAAAAAAAAAAATGGGTTACTCTTACTCACCCTTGAATTTCTCGGAGGTAGCTTCATCTACCGTGCACTGAAACCCGGTGTAGGTCGTTGTACTGAAAGCATACATATTTTTCTTCGCCTCTTCCATGCTGAGTTCCACAGAAACCAAATGCAATGAGTGACAGTTCAGACTCTAACGACAACTCCAGTTCTTCTAATAAATAGAGCTGCGCTCAAGCCAAGCGTTATATTGAGGTTACTTAGATTCAAAGACACAACCTTTGAGGCTATAAAAGGCTCTAATACGATACTAAGTTTCAAAAACATATTGAGATACAATATTGAGATTTGAGAATCAAGTTGTTGCCATAACTCGAGTTTACATTTGAGTTACTACGGATTCAAAGACACAACCTCTCGGGCAATCAAAAGCTGTAATGCCATAATATTGAGAATCAATTCGCTGCAGTAACTCTGAATAACTCGAATTGCTCACTGATTCCCCGTAATGGATATCCAACCATTCCTTTACACTTTACAGATTCACACATATGGAATAGTTCACTACTACTAAGCCAACAGTTTCAATCCAATTTCTACCAAATCAAGCTACGAAACCCTAAATTTACACCAGCTTCGAACGACTGGAAACATTGCAGATTAAGATTGAAACAAAATCCAACCTGCCAAGGACGGTAGCGAGAGTATTGAGATAAGCATCGATCATCTGCTCTCTACTCGGCGCGGGATCCTTGGGGAAGTCCATCACAATCAGCCAATGGTTGTAGTCGCAACCGGGCAACATTATCGTCTCCCTCTGCTCGCTGCTGCTGCTGCCGCTGCTCCTCCGCGACGAAAAATCGGAGTTCACGGCCGCGCGAGCAAACGACTGCCGCTGCCGCGAGCGGACGGAACCCCAACTCCGGCGGTTCCATGATTGAGGGACGGGAAAGAAGGAGGAAGGCGGCAGGGATGCTTTGGGGCAAGGGAGAGAAGGGGTTAGGGTTTTGGGAGTTAGCGAAGACGAGAGAGTAAACGCAGCCATTGGAAGGGCGGACGAATTATTCGAAAATGGCGAGCGCGAGACTTTGAAGAAGAGGATAAGGTAAACTAGCGAGTAGCGATATTTAGTTTTCAGAGAGAGAGTGAGAGAGGAGATATTTTCTTTTTTACTATTTCGCTATGGACGGAATCTCGCCGGCAGCGGGAAAGCAGGGAGCTGCTCCGCCGTGTAATTTGATGGTCGGACTTGTCTATCGGCGCCGGGGTTTGCTTTTTGGGTTGACGAGCACTCGGCGAGAGCCCAACTTATTGGCGACATTTTAGGCCCACTAGAACAGGGCTTTTATGAGGCTGGAAAGCAGCACGTAAAAGAAAGAGAAAAGAAAACTGTTTATTTCTTGGTTAATATCTTATTTTTCGTCCGAACTATGCACCATTCTTTTTTACTAGGTTTGGTGTGGTTTTTGATCGTCATATTGGACAGTCAACTACATTGACCATTAGCCAAGTGTCAAGTCACTTGCCACGTTAGTAAATCTAAAATAAAGAAATTATTTTTGACGAAGAAAAATCCATAATAATTACCGAATTTAAAAAAAATTACAGAAATTTGAAATCCAAATTTTTTATTTCGAGTTCGTTGATGTGGCAAGTGACATGGCGCTTGACTAATGGTCAATAGAGTTGACCGTCTAATTTAATGGTGAAAACCCACCCTGGGCCAAGCTAGAAAGTAGTATGGTGTATAGTTCGGGTCGGGATAGCAATTTCATAAATCACGGATCAAAGTAGAAAATTTGGGTATAATTCGTGCCAAAATATTAATACCCTATCTCTTTCTATCAAAGCCAACTTATCTTTCTACATAAAAAAAACCCAACTTAACATTTTCGTATGATCATCTACTATGGTCAATATTGTTGATTAGGGCTAGAAGTTTAGTATCGGCATTTGAAATATACCGAATATTGTATTTAATTTTTTGATATTTTGTAATATCGAATACATGTAATATTACAATGGGTTGGGATTGAATTTCAAGTGTTATTTTATATTAGAAATTACGCGATTGAGATCGGTATGTATACCGAAATACGGGTCAATATCGAAATATAAACTAGTGTGAATTTTATCCCTCCCAAATAGGTTTTCTCACTCACTACTACCAGACACTCTACTGCTAAGATGGCCACTTAATTATACATAGCACATTCGCTCACTATTTTAATTCACACTGAGTTCATTTTGTTATTTATAGTATGTTTATGAGTTATTTAATCGTCTTCCATTTTAGTTTGTTGCTTTAATTTTTCAATGTGCTTATTAGGCACCATATTTTTCTAATTTTTTGCTAATATACTTAGAGAATTTTACTTATTTGCTTTGCACGAGTGTTGGCACCATTTTTTGTTTTAATATAAATTGTGCTTACATAATTATTTGACTAAGTCATCACTACCATGTTTAATCTCAGTTCTTTCCTGTCCATAATTAGGGTTCCGATCAAACAAAAAGATACATAAAATTTGACTTAGTTTCTTTCTTATATTATCCTTGACTTTATAATCCCTCTTATTTTCAGTTTTGTGTCGTATATCAAGTAACCATTAGTCCCTTTGCATAGGGCAGATAACTAGACTAGCTTGATTTATTCGAATTTAGGATATCCTATCCATTAATAAACAGCAAATTATTTGATGTATTATCTACAGAGTTCTGTTAATAATCCTATCCATTACTAAAAAAAAAATGAAGTTAATTCTTACACGCGATCACGATTATAATACAACTATTACTTTAACTTATCTGTGCAAAATCAGAACAAAAAATAGGACCCTAGAATCGGGATTTTGAACCCGACGTGAATCGAACACGCAACCTTCTGATCTGGAGTCAGACGCGCTACCATTGCGCCACGGATCCTAGTGGTGTCATCAATTAGACCTAAATAATATTTGTATAGAAGGCGCGTTAAGCCCTTCTAGCAGTAGTACCGCCAGAGGTTTTTTGGTCTTTCATCCTTTTCTGATGATTTAAAATAGGTGGAATATTTCTATGGTATCAAAGAACATCTGACAGTCAGTCCAAGCACATGAAGCATAGATAACAAAAGATATCATGTATTAAATATCATAATTTAGAAGAATAACAAAGATAAATCAAATATTGTCTATTTTATAGATCAGAAATGTAATGAATACTTATTCGGGAAAGATTTTCAAGAACGCTTGTACGAAACAAAAGTTCCCGTAGCAAACTTAAACGCAAAATACTTTGTTGGACTCCAGAGTTTAAATTAGCGCGAATTAGACAACATACGCTTAATCCACTAGGTTATCATATATAATGCTCATTGGAAAATATACTATTTTGATGTCTCTATATTCTAATGTATACCCGTACAAAAAGTAGTAACAAATTGTAGGGAGTCCAAAGGGTTTAGGTTCAACTCACCCATTACCTAATTAAACTAGAATATGACATATTATTCTCACATAATAATACTTAAACGACTCAAACCCAAAAACCTAAAACAATATAACGGCTCTTTTGGTTTGTAATTAACCCTATCTAACGGGTTCTTCTTAATCCTTTTGATTGTGTTTTGAATCTCTACTCGTCTCTTCCTCGTGTCCAATTAATGATGATCTTTGCTCCAAAGACTTATCACCTAATCCCAACTTGTTCTTTTCCTCCAACCCTAGCTAGCTAGTTAGACTTTTGCTAATCAATTAATTAAAAACAAGAGTGAACGATTCCTCTCTGCTACTCATCAATTGACTGGATAGACATATTTGATTTTACTTGAAACTATTTCATGTAATAGGGGGGTTCTCTATAGGGTAAATAACTTCAAAGGACAAAATTATTTTTAGGAAAATATTGTTCATCGCATGCATAAATCTATCAATGTAATTTTACCACTCAAACAAACCAGCTTCACTTCAAAATGAAAAATTACCTCGTCTCCCAAGTTAAACGAGATAATTAAAACGAGTCAATTAAAATGAGTCAATTCGAATTACCTGCCCCCACCCCAGGTAATTGAAATTAACTCAAAACGGATCAATTCAAAATACCTCAGGCAGATTGATCCATTCAAATTTTTTAATGGCAAACGAGAGAATTTGGTTCAATTGTCTCAAAACAAGACAATTGTGTCAAATTGATCCGTTACAATTCCTCGTCCAAACGACCCCATAATATTCAACATTCTAGTTTATAAAAATTGAAATACGCTAAATAAAGCATGGAGAAAAATGCCCATTCAAATTCATCACCAAAGAAATAATGAAAAAAGTACACAACCATTATTATTCTATTAAAAAATAAAAACTACAAAGGGCACAAAACTAAGTTACTCGAAAATCATGTAGCCCAACAATGAGATTACACAATAATACATTTATTCATCACAAAATGGGAGAAAATTGAATTAAAAAGCTTCTAATTTGTATATTAGGAGGAACATAAACACAAATGAGTTTAAACCGTATGAAGAAATCCACCCAAAAAAACCCCTCTCCACTTAAGCATCAATAGAAGAACCCTTCAATTTCTTGGCAATGCCGGCAAAATACTGCCCCTGGTGATGAGCCAGCCCCAGCTCTAGCTCAGTAGGCTGCCTGGAGCCATCCCCTGCAAATGTGCCAGCACCATAAGGACTCCCACCTTTCACCTGCTCCATCTCGAACATCCCAGCTCCGAATGTGTACCCCACTGGGACGAAGACCATCCCGTGGTGAACCAGCTGAGTGATCGCTGTCAAGCTGTGAACGATCGAACATGGACATCGCGGAGATCAGAATCAGATGTGGCTTGTAATCAGAACAAACAGTTTTACATAAGTGCACGAGTGATTTTGAAAACTTACGGTGTGGTCTCCTGGCCACCTCCTTGAGAGCCAGTGGCGTAGAAGATACCAGCAGGCTTCCCTGAGAGTGCCTGAGTCCTCCACAGCCCACCGGTGGAGTCCATGAAAGCCTTGAACTGAGCAGCCATCATCCCGAATCGAGTTGGGAAGCCAAAGAGGATGCCATCAGCCTCTGCAAGTTCGTTGGCAGTGATGGTGGGGACTTCACTCTTTGATGGGGCTCCCATCTTGCCAAGAACCTCTTCATTCAGTGTCTCTGGTACCTGTTACAAAGAGAACCCCACAAGGATTAAGTTCAAAAAGTTGGTGAAAAGTTGAAACATGATCTCTGTTGGGGGGGGGGGGGGGGGGGGGGGATGTTTAGTGTTGAACAAACCTGAAATAGCTTAACTTGAACTCCTTCCACAGCTGAAGCTCCTTTCTTTATCTCTTCAGCTAGTTTCTCAACATGTCCATACATGGAGTAGTAACTGCAGAATTGGGTCAACAGTCTCGCACTGTTAGTTATATGCTCATAGCATAATTCACTTCCTGAATGAAATTTTTTTCATTAATATATCTCATACAGGCTCGCTCTCGCTCAGTCTCTTAGGAATGTCAGAAGAAGTGAACATTTGGAACCATCTATAGTATCAGTTCATAGTCAAGCAATGTATGAAATGAAAAAAAGGCAGCAGTGATGATTGATAGGGACCATATGCCCTCATGGGAAACCCATTAAGTCTCTATCTCAACCATAATTCAAAGAGTAGGTCCAATATCACAATCAAACTTTTCTTTTCTTTTCCCTGCTTACTTATATCTACTTATGAAGTGGAACCTCCACAAAAACTTAGCCATATTATCATCAAAACTCTCTCTTTCTTTTACTTTCCATTGATTCAACCCCAAACAGGGAACAGTCATGAGTGGGAATGGCAGAATGTGCAGTGGGAAACATCTCAGCTATACACATATATTCCCATTTTCCAGATGGATACAAGAAAGTAAAGTCCAACCTTCCTAGTGTCTCCCCCATTACCCACAATCACGCTGAATTTTGAGGTTATCCACTACTACAAAGTTTCCAGCAGATTCATTTCACTTTGTACTAACCTGTTCAAGCTAAGCACAAGTAAAAATGACTTCAAATCTACCTTAATAACTCGAGTTACGACATCATGCATTTCCCTGCTGATAAACCCTCAAACGTCAATGTTTGATTCAAGCACATATGATGGACCAGTACAAAATCGTCAAACCTAATGATCAAGCTTTCATTTTTTGAGGAAACAAGATCGAATCGGTCCTCCACATGTTTCATCCAACACTCTGATCAGTCAAGTTTTCTTTTTCTGGGATGAAGATGATCAATCAAAATGTTGCCCACATGTTTCACCTACCACATATGACCCTATCCAAAGAACAATTTCCCTCCCCAATTAGCAATTAGGAGGGTTCTGCAAACTGATATTTCAGAGAAAAGACCCCACTTGACTATGAAATTCAGAAATCTGAAAACCGATACAGACCAGGCTAACCCAGATAAAAAACATGGGGATTCCACTATCACTGCAAGCTTCCATCTTGCTAACAACCCATCAAAAATTAATGACTTTCTAAGATATTATAATCTGATCAGCAGCAATCCAAGTCAAACCCAGATGAACCCAGTAATCAGACCGAACATTCGATTCTCAAACCAACAGAATCAGGTCACGGAAGCAAATCAACCTTGGTCTGACTTAGGAATTCAAGCTAACAGCTACCATTGAAAAGAACAGAGCTAGAGTAAAAAGAAGGGCGGAAATGCTTACACGATGTAGATTTTGACGGCCATTGCTGGGGAATCGGGGGATTTTTCACTTTGCTTTCGTTGTCTGTGCTCTTTCTTACTTAGTCTTCTCTTGTGGCCGATTCAGCTGGAACGAATGCGTTGAAAAAAGCTTATAGAAGAAGGTAATGGAATGGGAGCAAGGAAGGTGGAGGGGTTTCTGGTTTTATACCCGGGCGGATGAGCTGGTAATGGGGGATTTTTGCTTTTAAAATCCGCCTTTTTTGATTAATCTCTAAATATTTAAAAAAAACTAATTACATCATTAATGTGGTCATCATCATGTATTTTATTAGCTCTTTCTTTAATTTATTTCATTATTTATTTCCTCTTTATTTGTCTCAACATTGTTGTCCATTTTTTTTATTTACACTCGATTGCATAAACGATCACTAAATTTCCAGGCTATTAACTTATTAGTCATTCATATAATTTTAGTAAATTCATAGATGAAATGACTAACACAATAGCCACTATGATCCTTTTTTTTCATTTGAATTGTCATGATTAATGTATTAACTCAACTATACTTTTCTCTAATTAGTAATTGGGTACGAGGAAGAAGGGAGTATATAGCGGATTGGATCGAACGCCAGTTGATATAGATCATAAACACGCTTAAGGGGTTTGGCTTAGTTGGTAACCATAATATGGATTCATATCTTAATAGCAGTACAATATCATCAAAAATAAAGTAGGTAATTTATGTGGAGCATATTAGAGTGGATATTGACATCTTTTTGTTAATAAACTTGATTGATTTGGTATTTGAGTTTGAAAAATTGGTAAGAATTGCATACACGGATGGAGAGAGAGGGATTGTAAGTGTTTGCGTGATTTATTCCAAATTCCGATGATTTGTTTTGTAAACCGAAGTTTAATGATCATTTGGTTGGTGATCCGAAGTTTGGTGACCATGTATGTAATTGACCCATTTATTTCAAGTTTCGCGGGAGATGGTCGCCGCCGCGCCTGACGGACGGGAATCTTTCCCAGCCGGCATTACACTAAACAAACCGAAGAATAAGGTTAGTTAATCTTTTTCATTCAAGATTTGTTCGGAATAAGTAGCCGTTACTATTCTATTAAGGAAATAAAAGCAATTGGTTATGAGATAGATAAGCATTTGTTTAAAGGTAACCCCCAAATAATCAAATAATAAAAAGCATGGCAGCGAGCATTACAGAGTAAAAAATTGGAAAGGTAACCCACCAAATCAACGACTCGACTTACAAGACTAACGGATACAACATGTCATGAGTTGAGATTATTTGGGTTACTCCAGACAGTCAAGAAGAATTTCAACATTGCATGTACACTTATTAAGCACGAAACAAATAAAACATATGAGGATTGATTTGGAGATGTGCGTTAGAGGTGGGTGTTATTTAATTCATTGTGTTAAACCGATGTTATCCAGTATGTTTCAAGCTCTTGTCAACAAATATAGTCAACATATTTGTTGATGTTATATGTTCATCTATTCTCCTAATATCTTCATCAAGGTTTTTATTTAGTGACGTTTTTGTGATGTGAGCACTACTACTAGCTAATACTTTACTCTGTTTAGTCATTAGTGTAAATTTGATTGGGTTTGTTAACCAAATTAAGCCGGAAAGCAAAAGGCCGGCGGCCGCAGCCAATACACGTTGAAGGAGAAGTTTGATTTGACTTGTTATTATTCCATTTAGTCTGCGTACGTAAACATGGAAAAACAAGGGAGAAAACTGAACTTAGCTCTCCACAGCCTTAGGTTAGGATAACCTCACATGAACGTCATTCATTCGAAGGATTCATTATTCTTTGGTCTCATAAAATTTACAAGTGGTAAACAATATTGAATTCATTGATTTCGTGGATTGAATTCGTTCATAACCTCTTTCCTTTTCTTGTTCTCTCTTCGAAGGGCGAAAGTTAAGAATATATGAGTTAAAAGCGAAAGGGAGAGGAGAGAAAAGAAGAAGAAGAAAACACCAAGGGCTCGTTTGAAAGTTGCGATTGTTAAATAGATGTATTGTTGAGAATGCATGTATAATATTATACATGTATTGTCGAATTTGATGCATTGTAGAATACAACGTTTGGTATGTGTGATTGTGTATGTCGCATAAGCTAAAAGCTGAGACAAAACAATCTCAACTCAACTATCTCAACAATCACAACTAAAAGTTGAGATATAACAATCGCTCAAAATGAGTGATAGTTTCTGTCACATCATAGAAACAATCCATGTATTGTTTCTGCTAAAAAAAAACAAGAAAACGATGCATTGTAAACAATACATGGATAATGACAATCTCAACAAAACCATAGCAACTTCCAAACGACCCCCAAGTGACTTTTAACTTTTGAAACTTTTCAGAACTTTTTAAAAACTTTAAGTACTAAAAATAGCATTCAGAAATAATTTAGGCATCCAAAATGTGTTTTTTTTTATTTTTTTTAAAATTCAAATTCAACGCATGAAATTGTAAAATAGTGCATAACTATGATTATACAATCATCTATGTAATAAGCAATTATTGAAAATGTTTAATTTGGGGGCCGGACATGGCAACAAGCTCTAAAAAAATATTTTTCAGTAACAATACAATAAATCGAAGCGAAACGAAACGAAAAGTCAATCTACTAGAGAGCCGTTATAACCACACAATACCAGCATTGGATTGTAATGAACATGCATTCTAGGTTAATAATTTAATTATGTATAAACCATATATTATTAACAATCACCAAGAACATAGGTAAATAATTGGTGAACGAGCTTTTGTTTTTTCTTGGAGTCGTGTAATGAGAAGATAATGCATCAATGAACATATACATATTTGCTCTTAATTCATCGTCTGAAACAGTCCATAAGAATAATGATTAGATGCATACAACAATGAATGCAAATGTCCCCTTGTCTTTTTTTTTTGGGTGAAAAAACGGACGCTGGGGGCGCCCTAACCCATAACATTCACTATTCGGGCCTCTTGGATCCCGATAGCATCATGGTTTAACCAAAAATACAAGAATGGCTCCGTATGATTGTAGTGTGAGCTTCCTACAGGGATCGAATGTCCCTTGTTAGCAAGAAAATCAGCTACATGGTTCTGCTCTCTGTAGACGTGTCTGATTTTGACCTCACCGAACGTGTCCATCAGGTTCTGAAACTGACGGATAATAGGGCCATGCCTATGCCCATTGTCGATCCGATTCTGTAGCACTTGCACCGCCGCCAGGGAGTCCATTTGAACCTCAACTCTGTTGGCTCCCAAACGTCGTGCTAGCACCAGTCCCTCAAGCGCTCCCCTAAGTTCGGCCACCATAATCGTGCATTGGCCATAATTCGACATGAAGGTCCCCAGGTTTCTTCCACTCCTGTCTCTCGCAATTCCCCCCGCTGCCGCCATCGATCCTGGGTTGTGAACTGACCCGTCTGTGTTGATGGTGATCCATCCATCCGCTGCCGGTTGCCATTTCAGCATCACTTCCCTCCTCGTCGTCGGTTGTCGAAGGCCGATCTGCTCGTCACTGTGCAACGCCCTCTCCACTGCCTCGGTCCAGTAGCGCACACGAGCAACCAAAGCTGGCTGGTCTGTTTGTTTCCCTGCAAAAACAAAGTCATTACGACACTTCCATATAAGCCAACAGCCCAGACCAAACACAAGAGAGTAGTTGTTGTCCCTTAGGTACTCCTCCATCCAATCTTGTTGTGGCAGTGAGAAGAATCTCTGCTGCTTCTCCCTAGGGATCAGCTCCTTCCACGTTGCAGCTGCCATAGCACAATCCCTTAGCACATGTAGCACGTCCTCGCCCTTCGACGGACATCTAATACATTCGCTATTGTTGGCGAGCTTACGCCTCTTGCGCTCCTCATTCGTCATGATCTTACTCTGATATGCAAGCCAGAGAAAATACCGAACACGACTAGGGCCATCCCATTTCCATATCACTTTCCAGCATTGTTGCTTCTCCTCCTCTTCAAACCCAGCAGCAAGCGCATAAGCTGATTTGAGGCGGAAGCGGCCATCTTCCTCCAGCGCCCAGATAGTGCGATCGTTTCCACTCTCCCTACACGGTGGAGTAATACCAGCAATTTGTGTCCGCATTTCGTGAGTTATCATGTGCTCAAACTTGCTCCAGTCCCACCCGCCATTCTCATCAACCATATCAGCCACAGAGATACTCTCGTCCATATGATCTACTTCTTCAGGGAGCAAGTCCTTAAGAGCTATGCCACTATCCAACCATTTGTCTCCCCAAAAGCTTGTATCCTGACCACTCCTAATGCTCCAGGCTGTCCCATGCATCACTAGCGGCCAAACTTCTTGCATAGCGCTCCATAATGGAGATCTCCTCTTCCCTTTAAGCTGCTGCAAATTCCCTTCTCTGACTTTAAAATATTTATGTTGCATAACTTGGACCCACAGCTCCTCCGGCGAGTTGAGGAAAATCCATGCCAGCTTCATAAGGTACGCTTTGTTGAGCTCCCGAGCTGAACGAAGGCCTAGCCCTCCCAGATTTTTTGGCTTGCAAATATGCTCCCAAGATATCAAATGTGTTTTCTGCTTCCCATCCCTTTCTCCCCACACAAAGTTTCGTATCAATCTGTCAATGGTCTCACAGACCGAGGCAGGTAATTTTGCTGTTTGCATCACGTAGGTCGGTATAGCATTTAGGACCGAGAGGGCGAGAGTGACTCTCCCAGCCAAAGACAGGTTCTTCATCTTCCAGCTAGAGAGCTTCTTCTCAATCTTCTCAATCACCTGCTTATAAGTCTCTCTCTTTATTCTACCATGGAGTACAGGGACTCCTAAGTAGTTGCCAATGTTTGTAGTAGCTTGGATTCCCATCCCCCTCACAATCTCGGTAGACACACTTCTATTCTTGTTAGGCGAGAAGAAGAGCTTGGACTTTTCGCGGCTCACTAGCTCTCCCGAAGCTTTACAGAACAAAGAGAGTGCATCGGTCATGGTTTGCCCCTGCGCTTTCGTTGCCTCCCCAAACAGAATCAGATCATCTGCGAAAAAAGGTGAGAAAGCTCAGGACCTTCCTTCGAGATTTTGAACGGCTTCCATCTACCTTCTCTAACTTTACTTGTGATAATATGACTAAGTCGTTCTATACAGAGCGTAAAGATGTAAGGTGATAGAGGGCATCCCTGTCTTAGTCCCCGGGAAGGCACAAATTTGGCTGTGCAGGCTCCATTCCACAATATTTGCATCGACGTCGTTGTCACACATCCCATCACTACACGAATGAACTCCTGGGGAAGGCCAGCCTGTTGGAGCGTATCTTCAATGAAGTGCCAACATACACGATCATATGCCTTGGCTAGGTCCACCTTGAGGATCATGTGGCCCTTGGTCCCTTTCTTCTGCTCCATCGAGTGAACAATCTCCTGCAAAATAATTATATTACTGGTTATGTGATGACCTGGAACAAAGCTAGTTTGGGAGGGGTGAACCAGTTTGTGCATAAATCCTTTCAGTCTATTAGCCAGACATTTAGCTATCGCCCTATAATCCACATTGCATAGGCTGATAGGTCTAAACTGGCTTATAGTTTCAGGATGGGCCACCTAGGGAATCAGGGTGATAAGAGTCTCGTTAATGTACTGAAAATTAGCCGGATTGTGAAAGCAGGAAATAGCAAAAGATAAAAGATCCTTCCCTATCTTGTGCCAGCATTTTTGGAAGAACACCGCTTGATACCCATTCTTCCCCGGTGCCTTCAGCCCTGCCATATTTTTCACAGCTTGTAGCAATTCCTCCTTTGTCAATTCCTTGGTAAGCATCTCCAACTCATGTCTCTCCATCTCTGGGAATTGTCCCTGAATGCTATCATGGCTATGCACCTCCTCCGCATACAGGTTCATATGAAAGTCTCTCACAAGATTTTGTAGTTGGCTAGGATCCGAAACCCATAGTCCCTCTGCATCTTTGAGACATTTAATTCTGTTTCTCTGTCGTCTGGCTAATGTGGAGAGGTGAAAGTAACGGGTATTTTGATCCCCAAAAACAGTCCATTTTGTTCTTGACTTCTGAATCCAAAGGACTTCCTCCTCCCACAGAGTCTCTTCCAAACGCGTTCGGACTTCATCCTCCTCCTGAACTGTTCGGTCCGATGGTTGCTGGTGGTTCAACATCTCCAGTTTAGAGAGGCGGGAACGTAGCTCCTTCTTCCTCTGAAAGATGTTGCCAAACACTTCTTTGTTCCACGCTTTTAGCTTCACAGTCAGCTCTTGCAAGGAAAAAAGGTACCCCTCTTGCGGCTTCCAGCCTCGATCAAGCACATTCGGGAAGTCGACATGGGAAAGCCAAGGAGCAAGAAAGCGAAAAGGACGTACCTGATTCATCGACGGGCACCCTGACTTCACATCAACCAATATTGGTCTATGGTCTGATTTTAGCCGATGCAGGTGATGATTAGTAGTTTCCGGGAACACTTGCATCCATGCTGTATTGCATAGTGCGCGATCAAGCCTTTCTTTCAACGCCATTCTCGTCGTGAACCAAGTAAATTTCGGTCCCACAAAACCCACGTCAATGAGACTACAGGATGAGATAAAATTGTTGAACCCCCTGGTCTTGGCCGGGTTAAACGCCGCACCACCCTGTTTCTCTGACGGGTGAGATATTGAGTTGAAATCGCCCAGCACCAGCCAAGGCTCATGAATTGTTCTTCCAATCCGAGTCAACTCCTCCCAGAGACTTTGGCGTTCATATTCGTTAGTACTGCCATAAACGGCCGTAATAAAACCCTTCATGATTCCTCCATCTTTCCAGCACATATGGACAAATTGCCTATGTATTATTTTCTCTTCCAGATGTATGCTCCCTTTTTGCCATAGTACCCAAATTCCCCTTGAGAATCCTTCTGCCTCAGAAATGGCCTGTGAATCAAACCCCAACTTGCATATAACATCCTTTGCGTCTTTACCTTTAATTCGAGGTTCAATAATGATCGCCACATCTGGTTTGTTATCCATTTTGTAATCTAAGAAAGTAGACGTGAATTTTGGGTGTCGAGCACCTCTACAGTTCCAAGATAGAAACTTAACCATGGATAAGAAATAGGTAAGAAAAATGGACCCCCAAACCAGCAGCCCATGGCGGCATTAACCTTCTACAATAGCTGACGGAAGCTTGCTACTATCTTGTCCGTCCGAAAGTTCCGGGGAGGACGTCTGACCCTCTCCCATCGGCACGTCCTCTTGGGTTTTGTTCGAGTCTTTCAAGGACACCGGCACCGCCATCTTCTGCTGAGATTGCGCCAAAAACTCTTCGATCGCCTGCTGCGTGATTGGGGATGAAGAAGCCATCACTCTCTCTTTGAGATCACGTTTCAGTTTGGGATTGCCTTTGATTGTTTTCTTCACCCCAATTTTGAGATTGATTCCATTCTTCCCGTCCCCTGCACCTTTCTGACCAGAACTTTTATTGCGTTGTCGATGCTTAATGGAGGGAGCGGATTGGGACGTATCGGTCGGGTTACTTATCCGCATGTCTATATTGTATTCTTGGTCCACGACTGGTGGGCTTCCCACCTCTTGTCCCTCTTTAGTGTGATCCTCCTTTTGGACCTCCTTCGATTTACCAGTACCATTGCTATTTTGGGCTTTGGAGGATGTTTCCCCCTGTTTTGGCCCAACTGGCCTCCATTCAAGGAGCCCTGCTTGGTTCTTTCCCCCATTCGTTCCTTCTGTGCCACCACCCTTCACTTTCCCCTTCAGTTTGTCATTCCCTTCCTTTCTTTGCTCTATTCCCATAGCCTTTCCTTTTCCTTCCCTATTAGCCTTTACTAGCTCACCTTTCCCGGAGTGACTATTCTTTGCCACGATTCTCTCGAAGTTTCCCCCAATGCCTAGTTGATTTGTTACCGTTTGGGCTTGATTGTTGGCTGGTTTCCGATTCGGTTTCCGTGATTTCCGCTCCACAAGCATCCACGGCCCGTAGCCGGCAGGAGGCTCAGATGATTGTTGCGGTGGCCGGAATTCCAACGTTTCACCCACCGCCACCGTCGACGGGCAGTTTGCGCTCCCCTGCGTCGGACAACTATCCTCATTGTGTCCGATTCTGCCGCATGTGAAACAGACTTGGGGCAAGTTCTCGTAAGTAACTTGCTGCCAGAACCCATCCAGCCGAATCCTGGTAGCCAAGGGCTTCGTCATGTCCAGTTCAACGGCTAATCGAGCAAATTTCCCCCTTTCAAGATGTTCAGTATGATAGTCCAACTTGATGGTTCTCCCGATTAAGTTCCCCAAAGCAAACAATACTTCTCGATGGTAAAAATGGACAGGAAGTTCGGGAAATTGGATCCATGCGACCACCGATTTGAAGGGCTGGTCAGATGTTCTGAAACTCGGAGACCATTCATGAACGAGGAGGTAATGATCGAGGATTGTCCATGGACCTCCTGTTAGCGCATGAAGATAGTCCTGATCGTTGTTGAAGGTCACCAGAAAGGTCTGATTATTCAAATCCATGATGTCCAGATTGCCCACTGGTCTCCATTTCCACCGAAGTTGGGAGCACAAGTACGTGTAGGAGACTGAGCGACCTAAAAGACGGAGCACTAATGTCTTCTTCCATGGAAGGCATAACCTCTCCTTGAAACCAGGCGATATCTTTAGCTCAGGCTCACCATTGAAAACCCCGGCTTCCATGTCTTGAGTGCCCACAAACGTCCACATACTCCGCTTTGGCGATGCCGTACCCCCGGCACCTGCCAAAGCTGCCTTGTAACTTAGAGCTTGAGGGGTAGCCTCCTTCATCTGAGAACCCCCCTGATGCGCACTAGGAGAAGAGGTCAACGATGAAAACGAATCGCTTGTAGAGTCCGGCGGCCGACCTGTCTGAGGCAGAGTCGTCACCGGAGAATGTTCGGAGAGATGCGTGTCAGAGAGCATCTTTCGCTAGGTTCTGTGAAGCAGCAACTTAGACAATAATGTCCCCTTGTCTTTGAAGTCAAGAGCAATGTAGTTAAAATCGTGTTTTAAAACTTAAAAACTTACGATTTTACATTTTTAGGTCATTAAAACGCTTCTACATAAAATCTCAATTTTTACCACTTATGTAGTTAAAAATTCCACTTTAAAAACTTAAAAACTTACAATTTTTTACGCTTTAAAATCATCAAAACGTTTCTATCTAGAAACTTTTTTGACTACATTCATCAAGCGTGTTCCAACGTAAATTGATATTCTCTCGTCCTCGCCCGCAATTTCATCAACCACTAATTAGGGCTGCCATGATCACTACAAATCCAAAACCACACTCTTAACTCTTAAGTGTGCAATTAATCTGCGTCCCATTTGCCATTTTTTTCTTGTTGTCTTTCATTGCACCGTATCCCACACCTTAGGATGCACTCTTTTTTGTCGTGATAACTGAGCTAAAGTTGGAAACTAGAGTGAGAACACTTTATTTGGAAAAAATAAAGCAAAATATTATGTTTTACAATAAAATAAAGGAAACACTTTATTTGTGAATGGAAAATAGTCGTATAATAGAATGTATAATTGAGTCTAACTAGTTGAAAGATCAAATCTAATTAGTTGGAGAAAAGTCAAAACATGAGAAATATGAATAAACATGGTAAGAAATTAAAATAGAATGGGCCGAGAACGGGACGAGGCAGGGCAGGGCGAGTTGGAATTAGATACTCATGTCTCGCCCCATGTTATTGCGTACAGGGTAACGCCCTCACCATCGCGGATCAAGTCAGGTAATACACAGCAGGATGAGTTCAAATTGTACGTTATGGTACAACTTTGGATTATAACTATACTGTTTGTACAAAGCCTTACGCTATCAATATATAAATTGTATAATCCTCCGGCAACATTAGACCTGCATTCTCTCTCTAACGTAGTCAAATTTGGCAAACTTTCACAAGAAACAGACTCCTCTTCACTACCAACCAACCAATACCAAAAAGGCAAAAACCCTCGACAGAGATCTCATCGGATCAAATAAAGCCGTCCCCTTTCGAAGAAATAGTCCATTCCAGACCAGATCAGGAGGCACAAAGTTGCCACTGGCAGGAAAACACTACACAAAAGCAAAAAGCTCGAGACAAGAATCTAACATGTCATCATGGCCTAACTAGGCGGGAGGCAACACCAGATAAACCAGAAACTCAAGTATCAAAGACTGGATCGAGGGCAAAACTCGAAGCATGAATCTGACCTCTCGAAACACAGTTTTCCCTGTCAGTGATTCAAGAGTGCTATTACATCTGTAAACCGCAACAGTAGAAATTTGAGATCTATGTACAACAGATACTCTACAATAGGCACTAAAATGATGTACATTAGCAAAGTTTCATAAAATTTTCGCTTTTGGCTGGCAAGGCCCCGAGTGATCGCTGTTGTCGATCAATCGACGAATTTACAATGTCAATGTTATCTCTAGCAACTATGACTGCAATGTCATAAAGATTAGATACATGATCCATCATAAATCAAATGAACCAGTACAATGCACGAAAGGAGTTCAGATTTACCAAGTAACGAAAGATAAACCAAAAATTTCTTTCTAAATCTGTAACAAGATTGCAAGTTGGAACGATCAGCCGGATATTTATCTGAAATCCCTTTCTTTCTTTCTTTCTTTCTTTTGTACTACAACATTTGATCCTGACAGTTCGTGTGGTTTATTGACAATGTACATGGAATAAACATAACAAAAACGAACCCTAAGAAGAAATAAACAAGTTATCCTAATCCCCTACATTTCTACAGAGCAAAACATATGGCGAAATCAAAACCGAAATACCTCAAGAAGATTTCACCATTCCATTCATCCAGTTCCTCACACTATCAATTGCTGCCACTCAGAGTCTGAACCAAGCTAGAAGCATTCCTTCTAATCTTCTCATTCTCATCATCTTCCCTCAACCCAACACAAATCTCCATTACACCTTGCCCTCGAGCTTCGTCGCAGACCTCCTCGCTATGCAAACACAAAGCATTGAGCGTAAACAGAGCACATTGAATCCCCTTCTCCCCCCCAAAGCTAATCACTTGTACCAAAACCCCGACGAACCCGAAAACCCGACCCATTTCAACTCTGCCTTCTCTGCACTTCACCAGCGAGCTCAAAACCTCCACAGCCCTCTCCAGCCCCGCCCCACCACCGCCGACCAGCCTCGCCAGAACCGCCACAGCCCCGCATTCCACCGCCCGCCTCCGGTTATCCGGAAACGAGCAAACGGCATAGAGAGCCGTCGCCGCTTCCTTCACTTCCCTTCCTTTCCCGCAATCGAGCAGGTTCACGAGCGATCGAATCGCGTCCGGGTAAGCTCCAATCGTCGCCTTGTTGACTTCGACCACCGCGAGGCTGGTCAACACGGTGCACCCGATTGCCCGGGAAATGGGCGACGACCCGGCCCGGAGAACGCTAACGACCCGGCCGATTGCGCCCTCCGCGACCAGCCCGACCTTGTTGTCGTCGTCGAGGGATAGATTGAGGAGGAGGGAGAGGGATTTCTCTTGGAAAGACGGGGAATCGAGGCAATTGAAGACGGCGGAGAGGGCGCCTGATTCGGCTAGCTGGCGTCGGAGGGAAGGGTCGAATTTGGTGAGCTTGGCGAGGTGGGAGAGGGAATCGAGCTTGGAATTGGGAGTGGCGGATCGGGGGGAAGTGAGGGTGGAGATTAGGGTTTCCGGCGGCGGGTGACGGAGGTGGAGTTTGGGGGAGGAGGAGATGTGGGCGTAGTTGGAAATCAAGCTGCGGAGGGCGTGGTTGGGGATTAAGGAAGGGTGGTCGGGCAAGGGGAGATTGGTGATTGGGCAAGTGCGGTGGCCGGAGTCGAGCCACCGCTGGATGGAAGAGCGGTCGAAGGTGTGGCCGGAGGGGAGGATTACTGGGTCGGACATTACTTCGAGGGAAATCGGGCACTTGAAGTCGTCGGGGAACTGGGGCTCCATAGCTGCGCGAGTTGACTCGGAAGGAATGGCGGAAGTTTGTTTGTTTTTTTTCTCGGTAGAGAGAGAAAGGAAGGTTTTGCGGAGGTTTTTTTGGGAAACGGCTAGGAAGTGGGAGAGGGAAGGGGAAAGCTAGTGTTCTTCATTTTCTGCTCTCGCCGGTCACTCGGTCTCTGAGATAACAGAGAGAGAGAGAGAGTTCTGTTTCAGTCTTCTGATTTTTTTGTTTGGTAGAATTCTATATTTTTATACGGTGAACGAGTTGGTAAATTACCAAAACGGTCCCGTTCTCGACCAAGCGTTTATTACTTTTACGAGTAGGGTTCGCAGGGGCGTTTAAACTTTAAATTGTTACCGTTACTATTATCAAACATTAGGCGCGTTTAAATTGTTACCGTTACTATTATCATCACAGGAGCAGACTTTCTTTTACCTCCATGTCGAAAGCAAACATCTTTCGCGCCATATATTGAGCTGATCATAGCTCTCCAAATTACTCGAGCTACTTGCTTAATCACAATTTTCCCGTTGAGAGTGTCAATTGCCCACTTCAGTTCGTCAGTCCAAGTATCAGATGGGTTACGAATTAATGAAGAAGTAAATATAGATGAAGGTACGCAAAATGACGAGCATTAAGAAACAAATATGGATGATGATACTCAAAATGTCGATCATGAAGAAACAAACAAGCATGAAGTGGTTTGCTATTGTGAGGGGAATGCTGAATTCCTTAATGTACTAAGTAGTCAATCACATTATGTTCATTTTCTTGTGATTAGCAGTGATTAGCAGATGTAGCTAGTATAAAAGTAACTGATCTTTGCTTGTATTACTGCAAAATCTGCAGTTGTTTTTTCGAGAATGCTTGTTATCAAGCTAGAGCTGAATAAAGAGACGACAATTACCTACAAAAATTTCGCGTTTATTGGCCACATCACGATGAGTTGTAATCAATTAGATTAATAATGACGGTGAACACCTAATGACCGAAACACTTAACATACATCATAATAATTTATTGAAGCTGCAATAGATAAAAAAATAAATTGTTACGCAATCTTAGAAGGGATAACTGGACCTTGTACCAGTGAGTTGATTCAATCAGCCCCGACAATCCGACTTTGGATTAAATAATTGGTACACAGCGATTATTTCCGACAGGGATAACTAAATATCATGATGAAATATTTACAAAAGAATGATGAAATTGAAATTAAACCAATGTATACAATTGTGGCACAACAGAAAACCAAGTGAACCCACAAGAATTCCCCTTCTTCTGAGGAAGCAAAGGGCACTTGGGCAACCATCCCCACTCTCCCGCCAAGACGTCATACCACAAAATCTCCGGCCAAGTATAGCAGCACACGAAAATCATCCCTTCGTGCCACAGGCAATTCACATTCTCATAATTATGATAACAAACCGCAGCGAATTTCCGGCACACTTCTCTCGGCAAATCCCCCAGTTCCACCCAATTCCTCCCTTCATTCAGCTCCCATATCTTCAACCCAGTCAATATCGACTGCGCCGCCGCAACCCCGCCGATCAAATACATCTTCAGCTCGCCGTCGCCTACCAATCGCACAAATGACAATCGACCGCCACCGCCATCGGCGGGGAGTAGTACTACTTCTTCGATGCTCTGTGCTCCGTCATCCCATTTCCTCTGCTCCAAATCGTACCGGACAATCGAGTACGGGTCGACGGTGGAAAAGTAGAGGGAGCGTCCATGAATAACTCCTCCTTCTCGCCGGGTTTTGGATCTAAGATTCGAGGCGATGGCTTCACCTTGGTGCCAACAATGGAGGGCAGAGTCGTACACGAAGCTGGATCTGGAGGAGATTCCGCTTCCGCGGGAGATGGCGAAGATTTTGTATCCGGAAGAGCGGGTGGGGATTAGAGTGAGGGATTCGGTTGGGAAGGGGTAGTTTGGGAATTTGACGACTCGATTGGATCGGGTCAGCAAATTGCAGACGAGGAACGAAGAAGGGGATGAAGGGCGAGAGAAGCAGAGGATGCCTTTGGAGGAGGCGAGGAGAGTGGAGGAGCCGGCGGCGGCGGCGGTTATGGTGGATCGGGGGAGGAAGGTCGAGATGGGTAAATGGAAGTTGCGCCACCGGCGGCCGTGGAGGGAGTCGTAGACGGCGAAGCGATTGGGGCCGAAGTGAGGGTGGGCGAGGAGGAGGAAAGAAGGGAAGTGTTGGGAGGAGGGATTGTTGTTAGGAGAGGAGTTGTAGTTGGAGATAAAAGAAGGAGAGAGGAAGAGGGAATCGAAACGTTTGCAGGTTGATCGGAGATTTAGGAGCGTTTCGAGAGATATGAAGGAGAGGATGTGGTGGAGGAGCTCCTCCGGCAACGTGTTCCAGATTGTGGGATCCATCTCCGGCGAGGAGGACTGTGCTGATTTCAGGCAGCCTGCTGAGGGGTCAAATTCGTTCGGCGAAGGAGAAATGGAGCAAACTACTGAAGTTGAATTTTGAGTCCTTGCCTGAAAATTTGAGTCCAACACCACCAAAAAAAAAAGTTTCAATTAAAAAAATCATTATGTCATTTACATTTTACACATAACATAATATTATATCCATCATAAGTAAAATCATAACAGCAGTGACTATATTGAGTTTCAAGCTAAAGTAGGGATATGGATGACAAAAATATTCGTAATCGTGGATGTTCGTTTGAATCTGACTTAATTGGGTAGGGTAAAATCGGAATAGGAAAAAGTTTTAGTGGGTACGGATAAAACCTGAACCCGAATATTGCGGGTAATGGGTGGGCATGTGTTTCTTACTATCCAACCCGAACCCACCCGATTATACACATGCATATGCATTCTGTCTGGAAATAATCATTAGTAATTTCTCTAAAATATTATGTATTTAGCATATAAATATAATATTTCATGAAATTGTGTTGTTTTAATTAATTATCTTCATTCAATGAACTATTGTCGTACTTTTACTCTTACGTAATGTGAGAATACGTGTGCATATTTACATATTGGTTAGAATTATGAAGCGAAATTATTACCCATGGGTAACCATGGATAACCGAAACCTGAAAGGGTATGGACATGATTTTGATTTTCTACCTATTTTTTTAGTGGGTATGTGTAAAATTCGAACTATTTTAGATAAGGTAACATATATACACTATCCACCCCGACTCAACCCATTGTCATCCCTATTTCAAGCTAAATAAGTCACCCATTTTTCTAAAGTAAATACATATGCATCATAAGTCATAACAATCATGGCACGCAGAGTTTGATATCACAATGAGTATTCTTTCCAGATTGATTCGTAACATTGGCGGATCCAGGGGGTGGCCACTCTGGTCCCGGTCCAGCCCTCCTCTGAATCAGTAATTAGTATAGTATTTATGAAATTTTTGATTTTAAACATTCAAACCAGTGTTATTTTATGATAAGATTGGGTTTAACTAGAAAAATTATCAAGTTGAACATATTCAAATCACTACTCTAAATTTAGCCTAGAAATTTTAGTCCCAGAGATTATGCGTCTAAAAATAAATGAAACCTAAAATTCTAAAAAGTTTAAAATATAAAAGACCAAAAGAAATATGAGGTTTGTTCCCTTAAAAAATTTACTAGAGCAGCTGGTGTGTAGAGATGGACACACAATGCAAATTGATTAGTCGATTGATTTATCTAGTGTTGATGTTGCTCGTTTGAACAGCTACTACGAAGAGAACCTTTTCAACAATGAAACATGCGAGAACTGATTTGCTCAACAAAACGAGCGATGAATTTCTCACCGATTGCTCACGTATTTTATCGAAACAGTGTATACCATTGGTATGGATGTAGACTCCATTATTGATGCATTCCCTAAATTAAAATACAGTCAGTGTATAATTTACATTGCAAAAAAAACTATAATCATTATAAATTTTTTACGGTTCTAATTTTCCAATGCAATACGGGCCCAGTGCTCTTTTGTATTCCGATCCGCCGTTTGATTCGTAATGTAAAGCAAAGAAAAGAGCTAGCGTTCACCTGTTGCGCCGGTGCCGCCGGCTTGTCGGCTGCATAACAGAATCGGAGGTTCCATCTCCGATTAAAGAAACCACACCTCCCAAACTTCCTCCTCCTCGTCCGAGCCTTGGGCGACGACTCGTGACTCGATGCCGCCGCCGCCGCCGCCGATGAGTAGTGTTGATCATCATTATCTAATATTTCTACCGCCGCCGTGGGCAGAAGTCCCACCGTAGAATCCGAATAGGCATATATTTTCCCCTTTGTGATATTGACCTTCTTCCTCCTTTTCCACCAAAAACATGTCCCCATGGTAACTTTCATCACTGCAGAGATAATAATAATATGATCCCCCCCTTTCTCTTCTCTCTCCCACACAAAACAACGTAACTATATATATATATATATATATATATAACAGATTGGTACAAGTAATTTCTGGCCGCCGAATGCAGAGTCGGGGCGGCGGGTATCAACAAATTAGAGAGGTCAAGAGTAGAAGGGACCGGGGGCTTGTTTTTTTCCGGCCGGTGCTGCGGATCAGAGGAGGCAGGCACCACGGTCTTTGGTCTTGAGGGAGGCTAGCAACGAAATTCTCTATTTTATCTCTGAACACTGAATCTTTACCTGTCAGGAAGAATCTGGTGGTGCGTGAACGCCGGATGTGGAAAAAGATAAAAAAAAAAGAGTGGCCGGCCGGCCGGCCGGCGCGTAGTTTGTATCGACCGGACAAAGCAAAGGAGGTAATGAGGTATGGTATATTGGTGCGTTGTGGAGGGTCCTCTCTTTCCTTTTTGCTGTCTCTTCTTTCCCATTTTCGTTATTTTCAATTTTGAGAGATTTTGGTGCAATCGTGCATAAATCGTAATATACTCATCTGTGCATATACTCAGATGACGCCTGAAATTTTTGAGAGGGGTCAAATCTAAAAGATGAGATTCAAAGGTCATACGATTTTTTAAATAGTTATTAAAATTATACGGTGTTTTAAACAATGGAAATAAGAAAAAGCCGCCATAGAGGAAGTTACAGGATTCACAAAAAATGCGGGGGAGTTTTTTTATTGAGGTAGTTTTCGCCGCATAGTGGAATTTAAAAAAAAAGGGTAGTGATTGGTTGAAGGAGCTGCTGACGTGAAGGCATGTGGATACGATAAATTTGAAATAGTGAAACCTTTAATTGAAAAATATATTCTTTAAACACTCGGGCGTTGACACGAACATATAAATGATCAAATGTCCCGACCAACGCCGGTAAACGTTCGCGTGCCCATCTAGTCACCGTAGCATCCACTATAAAAAAGACAGTCAGTTATGACCAGACGTTTGGCGTTGGAAAAGACCTTTTTTAGTTGGAAATGACTAGTTACGACGATATACAGTCGTTGGTCGTCATGGAAAAAAGTCCCATTGCAAAAAGTGAAAATTCGTTAGGGCGTCATACAAAAATTGTTTGTGACAAATATTTGGCTGTCGGTACAAAAAGTACTCATTACCCGTACGGGACGGACAACGGGTACCCATACTACCCATAAATACCCAAAGTTTAAATCACTAAAATTTTGGTAAAAGTTTAAACTTAAATGGAGGCGCAGCAGAGTGAGAAGAATGAGTCAGATTGGGTGGGACTGGGGCAGCAACGAGGTCTCCCCTTTTTCCAGGCCTCCCGGCGGTGGTTACAAGCTGTGCGCCTGGCGCCGCGGTGACGGCTACTCTGTTCTGTCGGCTGTCAACTGCACCGCGATGAGAGGGAGAGGCGGAGAGCTAAGAGGTGAGAGGATTGAGGAGGCCGAGGACGAGCGGCGAGCGGCTGTCAACCCTAGTCAACTTGTCAAGGCCGAAGACATATGTTCTGTTGACAAGGGAAAGGGCCATCCCGAAATGGTCAAGGCCTGCCGAAATGGCGAAATGGGTTCTGATTTGGGCTGGGCTGAAAATGAATATTAATTCTGCCTTTGTATTGAATGGGTTTAACGGGTACCCATATTACCCAAATGGGTATTTGCGGGTAACCCGCGGGTACTGGTAATAGGAATTGGTAGCTTACGAGTTTACCACTACGAGAAAAGTGACTTTTGGCAACACTTGCACTGCAACACTTTTTAGAAGTGTTACATAAAATAAAAATATGCAACACTTTCGTCACGTGTTGCTTAATGTGTATCTTATGCAACACAAAGTAGTCATAATTAAGTTTTTGTTGCATATGTCTAATAATATGCATCACTTGTGCAATAAAATAAAATATGTTGTCAATTCTTTACGTTTTAAGCAACACTTAATTAGAAAATTTTAAGAATTATACATTATTAACTGTACTTGTATACTATATGATTTAGCATTTGAATTTAAAACTAAATAGAGCTTCACTATGATTATAAAAAGAAGAAATTTCCAGTATGAATATTAAAATGAATTCGTATACCATTGGTTCCACCAAGCAACCTCATCATCGTCGAATCGATCTCTATTAAGGAAAAACACAATTATTTCTCTGACAATTCATATCGTAACTAATGTATTACGATACACATTTGTCGTGAATGTTGTATCGCAGGTGACAAAACCTCATAACAAAAACGTCTTTTTGTTACAAAGACATTGTAACCGGAGCATAACCGATGTGACAGGAAAAGTTTGCAGCCTATGTTGTCGACACTGCAACGATAGCTTTGTCACAAAATCTAATAGTGTGACACAATTCTGTCACAAAAACATAATTTTATGACGAAATTTATATCACAAAGTTATAATTTGATTACTTAAGTATTCCCCAATTAGATCTAACAATAGTTGGTTTTATTACTTAAGTGATTCTAACGTTTTTAGTGAATAAAATATTACGACTTAATAGTTTTTACATTATTATACGTTGATAAAAGGTAAGTAAAACAAATGATGTTATTAGTTAAACAAATAGAAAAATGGTGTTAATAAGCTTAGCTGTACACGGAAGTTATAATTGAAGAATATTAATAGTTATCTACAAAATAGTGAAAATTTTGAAATCATGTCAGCGGGAGGATTTTTGAACGATATATAAGTTATTCTTAGACTAATATATTTACAAAGGGAAAGCTGTTTAATAGCTAATCCCTGATTTTTCTCTTAAAGATCTTCCCAATGCTTTCAACGAGGTAAAACCCTTCAAATTCAGGTCTTCTCCACTCCGTCTATGCCCAACTTCTCCTCTGCTCTCACGATTCCCAATTTCGAGCGCTGCTACGAAGTCTTGATCCAGAAATTACTAGTCTCTTTTAACGCTTCCGGTAAGCCGGCACGACATCCTCTTTATCTTCTCCCTTATAAGCCGCTGCTTCTCCGGCGAATTTGCGTTCTATTAATTTATTTTTTATTGAATATTTTTTTACGAGAACATAAATCTCCAGTTTCATGTTAACTAATCATCATTTTCTTTCAATTCTCTATTTTGGGGCTTTCCCATAACTATGCTTACAGGTTTGAAGTACTTCTAGTAAGTTATCCATCTCAAGAAACAATCCAAGGAGTCAAGAGCAGAAGGAGTTGTGGGTAGGGTTTCATTGCAAGGTTCTTGTGAATTTAGTTGAGTAAGCAAAGGCGGCATGGAAATCAACAATTGACAATTCTCTCCAAGTAGAGCTTAAGCAAGCGACGAAGAGAATGGTTGCTTTTAGAAAGATATCCGCGAGGTTTCCAATTGATCTGAAGAGAATCTAGATAGTTTTTTTTTACTATTTAGTTCATATTGTTAGATAGATTGAATATTCGTCAAGATATGTATCTTTTATTTTCATAAATATACCACACTCAGAGAATTTCAGGAAGCAGCCACGATCAGTCAGCTCATAAGCATTCAAGCCTTAAATTTGATTATTTTTCGCAACAGAAAAATATCAGCACTAGTATATACTATTTCATACAATGCATAGTCGCTATTGATATTGTCGTCTATGATAAAAATACTAGTCACAAAAGTGTTCTTTCATGACAAAGACCCCATAACTTAAGGTATACTGTGATTGACAAAAAAAAAGTTGACCAATATTGTAGTAGGAACAATAAATTTGTCACAAAAAATTGAATTTGTGACACCCACGCTATCATGAAATCCTCCTTTTATCACAAAAGTACAGTCAGAAGTGTGACTCGTTTGTGACAAGTTAAACCGGTGATAATTAAAATACATTTGGTTATGGGAATAACTCGTCACAAATTTATAGTGTTTGTCACAAGCAAAAGTTGTCACGATAGAATACGTTTTATGTGATGAAAAAAACTTGTCACGAATAAATCATATACATGTCGGTTATACTAGTCAAAAAGTGTTGCCAAAAATGGTGTTGCATATAGAGTATACATATGTAACACATATATTGGTTGTTGCAAAAGGTAAAAAAAATGTTACATATTACTTTATACAACACCACCTATAGAGGACACTACTAAAAGTGTTGCATATTGTATATGCAACACTTTAGCCACTTTTTACAACACATTTGAAGTGTTGCCGAAAGCCACTTTTCCCGTAGTGTACGTCCATCCCCGGTCGGGTCCAGTTTCCTTTCGATGTACAATCCCAAGTCCCATCCGTTGATAATATTACGGGTAATATGGGTACCCATAACCCGCATAAAACAGAACAGGTACGGGTATACCCAATTACCCGTTTCCCGTTGCCCACCCCTACTTGTGCCCCTCATGGATAAGTCATTAGTAGCCTTGTTTGTGGGTCCGGGTTTATAGTGCAACTCGTAGTCATAGCCCAAAAGCTTCACCACCCATTTATGTTGATCCGGCGTCGACACCCTCTGGTCTAGGAGATGCCTGATGCTCTGTCGATCAATGTAGATTTGGCACTTCTAACCTACCAGGAATGACCTGCATGTCTGCACGACATTAGTGATGGCCATCATCTCCTTCTGATACATCGACTAAGCCTCCTTGGAAAGAGCTAACATTTTTCTCATGAAGGCTATGAGATGCCCTCGTTGAGACAACACCGCCCTGATTCCCCTCTCTGACGCGTTGGTCTCGATGTCAAAAGGCTGTGAGAAATCAAGTAGCTTTAAAGTCGACATGTTGGTCATCACAGCCTATAGCGAGTCGAACCCTTATTTTCTCAATAGGTTTGTCAATAGTCGTGCAATCGTGTTGTTATTGTTAATAAATTTCTTGTAGTAACCTATCAACCTCAGGAATCCTCCCAGTTCAGTCACAAATCCATTGTTCGCATAATAGGTATATTGTTGACATAAACTAATAAAAGACTCAGAGCCTCTACAACTGGAGTAGGGATTAAAACCTACTATAATGGATATTGTTTGCTCAGACTCGTGATGAGATAGATAAAATCTGACCCGTGCTAAAACATGGCGAATCATGACCCGATGCGTAGATAAAAAAGGGCGAATATGGAACTGTTGATGATCCACCTACCCCTGCGATAACACTTAATGTCCCTTCGAGGACTTAATTACTACATTATAAATCATAATTTGTTATGCCGTTTTAACATTTTCTTCACAAAAGATAAAAGTCTTTTGCCATTTACATGAATTTATAATATAATTTGAGGTTTCTATTCTATGAGATTTTTTGAAGGAGTAGAGCGAGTTTTATCTGCGCCGTGAGGAGCAAAAGCACGAAATGAAAATATATAACCTGTCACGGGCGAGGAGCAGAGCGGGTTAGAATTGCAGCAGGGTGGGATAGAGGCAACTTTACTACAACACGCCCAAAACTTGACTCGTCGCCATCCTAACCAGAACGAGATTCATATTGCTAGACAAAATACCAAGACGGAAATCTAAATTCACATGATTTAAGCAAGAACAAGTCTTGATCAAGAAAGAAAGCATAGTGAAAAATTATATTGTAAAAGTGGACAAGTTGTTGAACCACGTGAAATGTAGAGTAAGATATGAGAGATCCATTGAGTTTCAAGCATCGATCATCGAGCTTCCAAATCACTCATCGACATGTTATTCATGGAAGTGATTTCTGGTCGAACTGCAGTAACTGATGAGTTTGAATCGATAGAGTTCATTTTGAGAATGAATGCTGGCTTCTTGGGAGATGAAAGAGCACTAGTTGCATTTCCTAGCATGAAGACAACATTTAACATGGTCGGCCTGTCTACTGGAGATTCTTGAACACATAAAAGAACTATATGAATACATCTCATCACTTGATCAAAGTGTGATTCCAAGGCCATTGATGATGAATCCATCATCTCCAATACTCTTCCTTCTTTCCACAGGTCCCACACCTGTAATATGTAGGAAACTAGTTAGTTTCCTTTTACTAGAGCCGACAATATTTTGCGACACAGAATTCATTAAGAGTAAATCAATATTTGGCCGGAAATAAGATCATATCATAAAATAAATTGATCTTATTCTGGTTATGAAGTGTAAGATATATTTTCTTCTGACCCCCATAAAGCAAAGAAGTAATGGGAAAAAGCCCCAGAGAGCATTGAATTAGATCCAATGTTGTTTTGATCCAATTTAATCCCTTTCTTTATTTTTAGCTTTGTCCTACACCAGTGCTAGGATGTGTGTTTGAAATTGTAGCCCTAACCACTAATAAGAGCAAGAAAAAATTAAGCTTTTTTGGGTGAGAGTTTAAGGACTTACATGACCAATTAACCCAAGTGATGAAGTCTCTTGATTGTAATGACTGCTTCTTCTACCACTCACTATCTCAAGGGTCATCACTCCAAAACTATAGACATCTGATTTCATGGAATAGAGACCTTCCATGGCATACTCCGGTGACATGTAACCGCTGCAAAATTTTATCAAATATATATTTTTCTCATATTTGCTGCTTCTAACTTGTTATTTTCTCATAGAAAATTTGACATTTAGCACAAAAAAATAATGTAAGTCTTACTAGGTTCCGACAACTCTTTTTGTGTTCGCCTCCATTTGATCGTTTTTAAACAACCTGGCCATCCCAAAATCTGAAATCTTGGGATTCATTGCGGCATCCAGTAGAACATTGCTTGCTTTCATGTCTCGATGAATGATTTTTAGCCTTGAATCTTGATGTAAATATAGTAGCCCTCGTGCAGTCCCAATAATGATATTAAATCGTGTCTTCCAGTCCAATGATGTCTCTTTTGTCTTATCTGGCTCGAAAATCCACAATTTTAACCCGGTGTAAAAAAACTACAATGAAGGACGTTCAATCCTGCTCACCTTGAATTCAAGCTTCAACAGGTCAATTGTTATTACTTGAAGGATGAGAAGAAAATGTACCAAAGAGGAAGAAGTCAAGACTTTTGTTTGGCAAGTATTCATAGACCAACATCTTCTCCTCTCCATGAATGCAACAACCAAGTAGTCTTGCTAGATTCTTATGTTGGAGTTTGGACATCAGTTGTACTTCGTTTTTGAATTCTTCTATACCCTGTCTCGATGTACTAGACAATCTTTTGACTGCGATATCTTGTTCATCGGGTAGGCAACCCTAGAAAAAATTAATGAAGGCCTGAAATTCAAATAGATACACGACTCCAGGCAATATGATTTTTCATTAATGAAAAGAGGCAAGTACCTTGTAAACAGAGCCAAACCCGCCTTGTCCAAGTTTGTTGTCTGAAGAGAAATTTGCGGTGGCAATTATTATGTCACTGAAACAAAACATTGTCACTTGGCTAACATGGTTAGTCCCTCCATTTCTTTTGGTTCTTGTAAGGCAATAGAGAATGGAGATCATCAAGACGAAGGCCACACCTAGGGGTGTTCAAACGGTTTGGTTACCGTGGTAACCGTTTTAACCGGTACTATTTGGATAATTTGGTTTGGTTAATTTGGATAATTGGTTTGGTTTGGTTAAAGTTTTTAGCTTGCTTGGTTTAGGTGGTTTGGTTTGGTTAAAGACACTCCTAACCAGTCAAACCAAATTAACCATTTAAGTAATTAGTCATATATCTAACATATATTATATACACATATTTAATACTTTGCATAACCACTTAAGAGTTAACGTTCATCCCTTTTAGTCTCATAAAATATAAAGCTCAATATTGCTCATATAGTGTATATTTGTATATGTAAAGTGTAGGCCACAACATATGGACGCCTAATTTAGATAAATTCATACATTGTGATGGATGAAAACTTGAAAGGAAGGTCATTTCCAACCTATGATAATTGCTAAGAGACTAAGTCAATTTACACAAACACAACAATTCATTAACTCATACCATTGTCATAAATTTTTGTTAGGTAAATACTTCTATACTAATCGTAAGATAATTATCTTAGTTGCATGTATTTTTGTTAAGGGTCAACTATAATTAAGTATTGATTGTTATGTTTTATTCATTATATAAATTGTGAATTGTTGCATTAACCGGAAAATTTTCATCGTCAATGATAATGTGATTTTATATTGGTTAATCTGGTTAACCACTTAACCAAACCGATTAAACTTTAGTTTGGTTAATTTGGTTGTTGTATTAGTTTGGACGGTTTGGTTATGATATTGTATTCCATGTTTAATGAAATTTAGCCTTATTTGGTTTGGTTATAACCATGGTAACCATTTGAACACCCCTAGCCACACCCACAGAAATCAAAACAATTACTAACAACTTCCTTTTCCTTGTGCCTTTATGTCCTCTCAAACTGTTCATGTATTCCGCTAAAATCACATCCATGAATTATCAGAAAATATGGAAAAACTATGTAAAAATTTTTACGAAAATCTCCATACCACATCACACATCCAATCCCACTAGTCAAATTAGAACTCGTGTAAGCCGTACATGAACAGTTCCCCAGGCACTCTTGTCTGCACATGTTCAAATCCATACCAGCATGTAGTTGTCCCGTGATTGTAGTATCAGGAACTTTAGCATTTTTCAGTGTTACAAACTCTCTGTCATTCCCGCAGCTCGAAGCAGTCTCTGACCGCTTCTTCCTGACACACCCACCGGAACCGTCATTCATCGACCAGTCCGTTGTGATTTTGGGCTCGAACCCCGGAATGCAATTGCACTCAAACTCCCCTGCACCTCGGTAAGGGTCACAATTTCCGTTCGGCCCACATCGTCCATAGTAGTCACACGGTTCCTTGGGCACGTACCAGAACTCGTTCCAGCGACCGCGCTGATCGTTCCACGTGGCTCGCCTCAGGTATCCCGACGAGTCCACGTAGATCCTCGATACGATGGTGGGATCAGTGACTCCATAGATGATGGTCGACTCATTGTCGTTGCTGACGTAGGTTGAGTTGAAAATGAAACGATACGACATGTTTGGGATCCCGCTCCACCGTATGCTATTCCACATGCCACCCCGCCACCATTTAGTCCTACCTCTATACAACGTCAACTCAGGGGACCCGGTCGGGTCCAGATAATAGGATGAGTCCCCTGCTGCAGGATCAGCAGGGGACTTCCATGGAACAACTACGTTGTTCATTCCGGTTTTCCGGTCTAATCCAAACTTCATAAATGGAAGCACGGTGTCTGTGGGATGATCAAAACTCTGCCACCTGACCTCCTTACCAAAACAGAGTAAACAAAAAGTATACAGAGGATAATCAAATTCAAAAGTACAGAGCATAATCAAAAGATTTTGTAATCATGGTGGGATCAAATAAAATCATGTTTGAAAGTAGGTACCAGGTCGTTTTCATCTGAATTCTTTGTGGGTTCTTGGTGAAGCAGAACGACCAGATTTCCCAAGTCTGATAGACGAGCCATTGACTTGTTACCTGGTACTTGTGACGAGGAAGCAGAGATGTTTGTAGACCACAGAGGAGTTGTATTAGTAGTCATAGCTGCTGGCGTAGTGTTCTTTCCTGCGCAACATCGGAGGACGAGGTTGCGCCCATGACTTTCGAATGAGAGAACTCCGGAGGTGTCGTTGATCGGATTCTCTCTGTTGGCGACCCAAACAACCGTCTGTACGGAGACTTTGGTGTACCAAATTCCAAGGTAGCGATTGGTGCTGGACACGCCAGGGCTGAAGAACCCGAGGCTGAATTTTTCTCCCCTGGAGACTATCACTTGACCGTCTGCAACAGATTCGTCGAAGTTTATGGTGTCTTTGGCTGGAAAACAGGGGAGGAGGCAGAGGAGGAAGGTGAGTAACAGTGGGTTCATTGTCGAGAACTTGTTTTGCTGGTCTTTTGGGCTGTATCTCTGATCTGTTGTTTACTGCATCCTAGTATAGAATTGTGCTGTCAACTGTGATTAAAGAATCGTAAGTTGCGGTTTCCATAGGGTGATTTTGGGTTACTGTACGAGTTGAATATCCAGTGAATCCGAAAGTAGGCCACGTTTGTATCAACTTGCTTGGTTCTGGAAGTCAAATTGTGAGAAATGGCCATAAGTCATTTTTTATTGGGGAAAAAGGTCTACTAGTCTTTTCACGACAAAGTACACTTGTAAACGTTTGACTTTACTGAAAATTGCAGGCCAAACCTTTGTGATTAAAGTACTATTTAAGTTATTCGAATCTGAAACCATCAAGTTTTAGGTTAGTGGTATTATCACTAGACCAAACCCTTGTTCGTTACATAATGCACCTTATCATTTAAAGGTCGTTTGGATAGAGTATTTGAGGGGTTATTTGTGAGTTATTTAAACACATATAACTCGTTTGACAGCATTGTACTAGAAATAAGTTATTTGAACAATGATTTATTTACAATTAACTCAAAACAGAGTTATTTCAAATAACTCCTACCCCGTGTTATTTCAAAATAACTCGTTTACCATTTTATTTTTGTCAAATACCACATGCCAAATACCACAAGTACATTATTTTACCAAACAAGATACTTTAATCTAATTACCACTAAAATAACAATGATCTAGGGTCGTTTGGATTGATCAATCTAGAAATGAGTCAATTGATCAATTGTCTCGTTTTATAAACGAGGCAGTTAAAACGAGTCAATTCGAATTAGCTGCCCCCACCCCAGGTTATTGAAATGGACTCAAAACGGATCAATTCAAAATACCTCAGGCAGATTGATCCATCCAAATTTTTTGCTGGCAAACGAGGCAATTTGGTACAATTGTCTCAAACGAGACAATTATGTCAAATTAATCTGTTACAATACCACATGAACAATTGCTGAGTTATTTGGCTTTCCAAAATACTGATACTAATCCATTTGTCTAGTATGATTTGGCTATTTTGAGTTTTGTTTCTCGTTGGGCTTAGTGATTCTAAAAGGAAGTAGATTGAGAAAACCGCAGACGGCCCAAAGTCGATTAAAAGAAATTGGACCAGTTTCTGTGGGCTACGTTGCTGGGCTTTTATTAAATTGGCCCACATTTAATTCTGTGTCTCCACAAACAGAATTCACAAGCCTTTCAGTCCTCCATCTCGATCAAACTTAATTTCTCCACCTTTCTCAGCTACTTTGCTCCTCTGAAAGTTAGGGATTGCGGCAAACAGGAATGGGATTGCAAAATTAGCCAGAAAACGTAGAAGGGTATCGCGCTCGACCGGCTAACAGGGGACGTCCAAAGCGATAATTTGAAGGACAGTACTGGGTTCGTTTCTTCGTTGGAGAGCTGCAACTACAAGAGGAAGTTGCGCCGTCTTCCACTGCATTCGTTGCTCCAGTCGCCACCGTCTTCATCTGAAGCAATCGCATATTTCCATTCTTTATCTGGAGTGAGAAGTCGCTAGCTTTAAGCTCTCACTATTGACCGTGCATAGCGTCGGTAACCACCTCAATCTTGTCACCGCCGGTGGCCGCGAATTTCTTATTGGAAATTTGTTGTGAGTTCCGTTTTCGCTGAAGTAGGAGTAGTTCTATGCAGTTTTGTTGATTGTACGCTACAGCTAGACTATCAGATTCTGCAGGGACAGTAGTTTCTTTGTCAATTTGTATCTTCCTACTCTATGGCTTAGGGATGCTTCCAAGGTGGCTAATTGATGGATGATTGATAATGTAACCAGAACCTATTACGCTGAGCAAGTTGCATTAAACAAGAACATTATGAAGTTTTAGAATTCGGTGGATTTCTCGTTATGAAAATCAATGTGTGTCCAAAAGTGGTGTTGGTTGTTTCTGCTGTTAATTGTTGAAGTAGATGCCTCTCTCTTACATTGTGGCCATGCTAACTTCATGGATTTTGTGTGGCATTCTGATTTCATTTTTTATTTGCAATCCTTAGAGTTTGATGATGATCTCCTTATTTGATGTTGAAGGATTTAATCCGCGATCCCTGAACTTAGGCCTGATTTCAACTTTTTTGGACAAATGGCTGGCACTGAGGAGAAAAGTGATCAACTATGTGAGGTTGCTCCTGTTGGCAGTGGGATTGAAAAGAAGCAGGAAAGTCGTGATGAACTGCTAGCCCGGCATAGGTGAGTTACTTCTTCTCCCTAGTCTGGGTCTCCCATTCTATTTTTCTCTTTTGCTTTTCTTGTTTCCCCTCCTTATATATAGCATTCTCAATCTCATGGTTTGAACTACATTGCTGTTACTGCTGGAGTGGGAGGTGAGGAAATGATCAAACCCTCTGTTTTAGTACCCAAATGGAACTGCTAGTTTCAGATATGTTTTGTTCGGCTATAGGAATATGAGACCCATTTGGTATTGTGTACTTTATGTTTGATTCTATCTTGATTGATTTATTGAAGAAGTCTGCATCAAGAGTTCTTTGTTTTATCTCTTCAGAAAGGAGACCGTAGAGCTGCAGAATAAAGAAACTGAACTAAAAAAGGCAGCTGCAAAAGGGAGCAAGGCAGAACAGAAAGCCAAGAAGAAGGCGGTAGAAGAGGAAATATCCCGACTCTCTGCAAAACTCAAAGAGAAACAGGCGAAGGAGCTTGCTTCATTAGGCTACGTCAGCAACACCAACGACATCAATGGCAAAAGCAAACTCGACAATATAGTGATGGCCATAGCTGGGGTTTCTGTCACCGATCAGTCGGAGAACACTACTTCAAAGCGGAGCAAAAGTGGGAAAAGGAAGGATAAAAGAGCCCAGCAAGAAGTCGAAAGAGAGAGGAGAATTCAAGAAGAGCAGAGCAACCTCGTGAGCGATCGTATGATCGAAGACGAGAGTTTGGGGAGGAAACTTGAGCCCCTTGGGCTGACTGTCAACGAAATAAAACCAGACGGTAACTGCCTCTACCGGGCCGTAGAAGATCAGCTAGCTCTCATGTCAGGTGGGTCGTCTCCATATAACCACCAACACCTGAGGAAAATGGTGGCGGATTACATGAGGCAGAACTCATCCGACTTCCTGCCATTTTTCCTTTCGGAAAATGCATCAGCAGCAGCAGCAGCAGAAGATTCTTCTGACAGTTCACTAGTGGATCGATTCGATAGTTACTGTGAAGAAGTCGAGTCTACAGCAGCGTGGGGCGGACAACTGGAGCTGGGAGCCTTGACTCACTGCTTGAAGAGGCCGATCATGATCTATTCAGGATCCTTCCCTGATGTGGAGATGGGGCAGGAATACAAATCTGGTGGTGGAAATGAGTTGTCGAATGGGAAAATCATTATGCTGTCGTATCATAAGCATGCATTTGGGCTCGGGGAGCACTACAATTCCGTGGTTCCAAATTTGATTAGCTAGGTATTGTTTGTACCAGTTGTATTTGCAAATTACAGGTCTCGGTTTTGGCTACATACTTGATAGACTTCAATTTGTTCCAGCATATACCAGAATTAACATTTCAGTATTATTTGATCACGGGTTGTTCTTTTTGCCTGTTATTACTTTACTACAAGTCTACAGCCTATGACATTATCGAATTTATCATCAACATATGACCAACATTACGTCCTACACCAAGTAAGGATGTCCGACTCTAATCTAAATGTAACCCTAATCTCAATATTGCGAATGTGGACAGGAAAAAACAGGCTAAGTTTATAAAATTTACTAAAATCAACTAGGGATGGCAATTTCGACTTGACCCGATTTATCCGACTTGTTTTGAGGCAGGTCAGACCCGCACGTAGACGGGGCGGGCATGGGTACCTCTCATCGACCTGCCCTGACCCGCCCCATTCTCGACCCATTCTTGCCTATATTACATATAATCTTAGTCAAATTACTTAGGATATTCCTCTTATTACATTATATTTTAGCTATAATAAATTGTAAATAAGTGAAAACCTCAATTTCTTCAATAATTTAACTACATTTTTATCATATTATGGTTTCTTTCTTGGTCTTTTAATGAAAATAATGAATGCCTCTAATGTTTTTCGCATAAATTACATACCCAATGGGTCGACCTGCCCCGATCCGCGTCCCGTGATAAATTATCTGATTTGGATCCGACTTGCCATGGGACGGGTATGGGTATCGAGATATCCGCCTCGAACTTGCCTCGTTGCCATTCATAAAATCAACTAACATTAAACTCAACTTTATATACATCCCTCGGTGAGTAAAGTTGACCACAAACTTCGATCATCCAACACGTTCACTAATTAGTAATTACCAGTATTACCTCAGCTCTTGCATTATGATAATTTGAACCCACCTCATTGAGTAGTATCCGACTTGACTCGTGTTAGGAACGGAGGCTGGTGGTGGAGGGAAAACACTACGGTGGCGGCCGGCGAGCCTCCGGCGACTGTTATTATGCAGCCATGACTCAGATTGTGCTTGGTATAAATGTTCGTGTAAGCTTCCTATCTGCTCCCAGCAGATCTGTGGGTGTTATTATTGCAATGGTCATTAATTAGCATTAATGCTTAAATATTGTTGTTAGCCGCTTAAGCCAAAGTTCTCAGTACGCTCCTCCGTCTATTCTCATCTGCTGCTACATGTATTGAGAAAGAAAGAAATAAAAAAAATTACTTTGTCGTCAAATGATATGGGGGGATTCAGGTTATGTATTATCGGGAAGAACAAAATATACCTGCTAAAGGGATCTTAATTTTCCCAAAATCAAATCTTCTTCCAAAAACTCTGGGTGATTGACATAAACTGGTTTATCACATGGTATTATAGCTTGGTTAACTAAATGGCGGTGGATTCGAACCTCCACGACTCTCAAAATTAACAGTTGATTAAAAGTACAAGGTAAGGTGAGCATTCGGGAACTTCAAACGCGTGAGTTGGTTTTCGTATGAGGGGGGTGCGTGTATAAAGAAGTAGTAAGTACTATACATCGACATCTCCCAACAAGTCAAGTTATTGGGACCAGTTGGTTTACGACATATATGGTATCAGAGCTTGTTTGTCCTTGGAGTCATGCGTTCGAATCTCCACGATCCTCAATATTAGTTGTTGATTAAAAGCACAAGGTATCTGGTGAACCTCTGCAAACTTTAAGCTCGTGAGTTGAATGTGGCCGAGTCGTGGACTAGGTCGCTCCCCATAAGAAGTTTGAGGCACTGCTTCGTATTACACACACAACAGACTATCAGCTGGTCACCTTCAGGAAAAATATCCCCCCATTATTCATAAAAAAAATCTCCTATCCCTGACTCTCATTTGTGCAAAAATTGGAGCTCGCTGAAGAACACTTTCTCTTATTTATGCTAGCTGAATTTTGTCTTTAGAGGGTATGAGAGTTACTATATATAGGAGCAGAAAACTCGAATATTCCCTCCAATGTGAGAATAAGCCATGGGATTAAGAAATATAATTATTGTCTTAATTTACCGCGGAGTGATATGAGTATATAAATATTTTGTTATTAATTATTCTTGATTAATTTATGGGCCGGGCTGGACTGACGGGTAGTAAGGGCCACAGTTACAACCCTAGTTGGCTGGACACAAATGGGATCTATCATTCTAAACTTCGATAATCAACAACAGCGCATTGTAAGTCCACCATTTTTCCATGCTAATTACACACTAAGAAGAGGACATGAAGTACAATGTTTGGTGGCTAACTGTTACCCATGTTTGTGATTGAAGCAGGAGAAGGACGTTAAGACACGAAAAGTGAGTCGAACCTGGGTTTGGGGAGCAGAGAAGCTGGGATCCGATTCAGAGCTGGGTCTATTTTCCCTCCACACCCATCAATCTCCTGCGGATGTGAAAAACCCCAGCGCCGTGGTCGCCCCTGAGACTAGAAGGAGGAGGAGGAAGGAGAAGACGACGTCGTCGACGAAACGGAGAGCTCCAGGCGCTTCTCCTTCAACGACACGTCGTGCGATTTCAACCGCGCCGGGGAGACGACGGGGAGCGAGAACGAGGAAGGGAAGCTGCAGCGGCGGGGGGCAGGAGAAGGCGGCGGCGGAGGGCGAACCCGAGTGCCGGACCGGCGTAGAGGATGAAGGAGATACGACGGAAGTTCTGGGTCGATGATGGTGATCAGGAGATGTTAGCGGAAAGAAGAGATGGGGCTGAAATGGATTTTAGGGTTAAAATGGGCCTGAATGGGTTTTAAGGGTAAAACCCAAAAATACCCTACCCTCTTGGGTCAGAATGTGACATAGCCCTATTTTGGCCCTAAAGACTAATTGACCCTACCCGACCCATAAGGTTGGGCCAGGCCGGGCTGGGCTGACGGGTAGTAAGGGCCACAGTTACAGCCCTACCAATTACCTAGGCCTTACTAGTACTCATCGCGTTTCCTGGCATTATTTGGATCGTTTGGATAGATCAATCTAGAAGTGATAAATTGTCTCGTTTATAAAACGAAGTAATTAAAATGAGTCAATTCGAATGACCTGCCCCGTCTCAAACAATTGATATTGACTCAAAACGGATCAATTCAAAATACCTCAGGCAAATTGATTCATTCAAAAAATTTGCTGACAAACAAGTTAATTTTATGAAGACAAATGAAATGAAAGATATATTTGTACATGTGAATGGTCTAAGATAGAGTGGTTATGCACACTTGCATAATTAGATATGCACACTTAATTTAAAGTGCGATCAGATTTAAGAGGTAAAGTTAATGTGCTTTTCTTCTATTTTTTAAATAGATTTTTATCTTCTTTGTTTTAACGTTAAGTTTTAAAAAAATTAACATGAGTTCATTGTGATTTTAGTATTATATCAATATATTATGAGAAATCTTTTTTCGTACTAGCCATACCACTCCTTACCATTCTAGTACCACTATATGCACCACCTTGTTATTCACTCAAATTTTGAAATTTTTTGACAAGAAAGAACGAGTTCATCGTAATCTATTCGATGTACAAGTTTTTTATGAAAAAAATTCAGGATCAAATATATCACCCTGGTATATCGTGGTAACTGGTAATAGAGACGGTGGTGAAAGGTGGTAAAAGATAGTTAGTATATTCCTACCGCACAACCATTCTATACTACGGTATACATACTTATACCACTACGGTATACATAATCATACTACATGGTATAATCTAATGTACTACCAAACAAACATGACCACCATGGTATAGATCATAATAAAACTCTCAATTTTATAGTCAAATAAATATCAAAGTGAATATCATTTTGAAGAGTACAATTAATCTGATTTATTTGTTAAAAAAGAACTAAGAGATATAATTTGTTAGAATTAATTGGAGGAGAAAAGCTAATTGCATTCTACGGTAATATATATAGATAATGAATCATCTTAAAAATCAAACAAACCAGAAAGTCATATTTATTTTCAGCAATTCCATATTTAACGCCTCTGATTTTTTTTTTTAACGTAGGAACCTCAACTCCACATGCCACTTTGTGACAGCGGGGTCTATCAAATCTGGGGAGCACTTGTACAAGACACACTATCATGGGATTTTGTCCCCCGCACTCAGAGATGCCTCCGGGAACACACAAATAGAGCCGCTGGAGATTGAACTTAGGACCTCTCACTTCCTGAGTCAACCAGGCTAGCGGTTTCAACGCCTCTGATTCTAAACCTCTGATTCTCTGAAAGGATAGTTGATGTAGATCTTTGTTATTGTATCAAAATTCATAAATAAATGAAAGTATGATTAATTACGATATGGCTGGCGAGCGGCGCGACGGCTGGATAAGACAATATTTAATTTCACTATTACTCCGAATTAATTAATTAAATAATCAAAGGCAGGTGGCAAGGTTGTCAACCCGCGGGTCAATCATGGGTTGACCCACTTTGACCCTGACCCAGTGAGAAAAACGGGTCTCACGCACCCGTCGGGTCGACCGCTACAAGGTACCGGGTTGGAGGTCAAATTGTGTCATTTTTTCCTTTGGTTTGCGAAATGCGCCTATTTACCAATTTTTCTTTTCGCCTAACTCAAATTTTGAAATCCTTAGTTGAACATTTAAATATTGATGTTATATATGTGTGTGAATTTTCACTATATGTTGGATCTAAGTACGACATGTTACTTTGGTGTAATGTTATATGCTATTACTCATATGTTAGATGGGATTTTATATAATTTATCAGGATAAATACAATATAATTACTCTTTCCATATTTCCGGGCTAAAACGGGTGACCCGTTAACCCTTGACTCACTAGCTCAACTAGTTCCGGATCAACCTGCGGGGTGACAACCTTGGCAGGTGGTAAAGCTCCGGAGAGAGGCGCGGAGTCAGCACGACTTCCAGCGGCTTCTCCTTGGCGAGCGTGGTGCTGTCCGCCTCCGTCATATCCACCGGCAGGTCAAACGGCGTCCCGAAGTCAAACGCCTGGATCAGCCTGGCCGCCGTCAGCTGCACAACTTGCATCCCGAAGTTCATCCCGGGGCAGGACCGCCGCCCGGTGCCAAACGGCAGGTACTCGAAGTCCCGGCCGTAGATGTCCACTTTGACCTCCTTCTCATGGAACCTCTCCGGCCTGAACTCGTCCGGCTCCGGAAACATCTCCGGGTTCCGGTGAAGCTTCCAGAAGTTGGCGAAGAAGCGCGTGCCCTTCGGCACGTGGTAGCCGCGGATGGTGATGTCCTTCGACGCCACGCGCGGCACCGAGATGGGCCCCGCCGGGTGCATACGCAGCGTTTCACGTATCACGGCGTGGAGGTAGGTGAGGTTCTCGAGGTCGGAGTCCTGGACGATTCTGTCTTTTCCTACTTTCTCGTCCATCTCCTGCTTCAGCGCCGCCATGGTCCGCCTGTTGTTCAGGAGGTTCGACAGCATCCACGTCAACGTCACCGATGTCGTGTCCGCCGCCGCAATTATCACCGCCTATATATACATAACGCACAAGACTGAAATATTAGTGTATGATACGTAATATATATATGTACGTCGAGACCAAATACTGCGTTAGTACGATATTCGCGTTGCGTTGTAGGTCAAATCTGCATTGATTTACTTTTGGATTTCACGGAAAGACAGGGTGTTCTTACCATAGCGGTTGACTTGACGATGGTTTCCTTGTCATGCTTGGCCGAAGGGTCGAAGTTGTCATCGACGACTGAGAGCATGACGTCGATGAAATCCTCAGGGACCAAGTTGTCACCCAACTTGTTCCTCTTCACCTTGTGCTCTTCGATCCAACCGTCCACGATCACGTCCAGTTCTTTTGAAATCCTCCTCATGGCCTTCTTCATCCCCTTGACGTCGATCCACCCGAGGATCGGTATCAAATCCGACAGCACGAGCGATCCGTTCACGTCCATGAACTCCCTGATGAGCTCCCTGACGGGCCGTCCTCCCCCGTCAGCCACCTCGCCGACGCTATCCGCCAGGTTCTCGAAGTACTTCTTCCCGGCCACCATCCGGGTGATGATGTTGAGAACGAAGTTCTGCAGCCAGTCGCCGATGACCACCACAGCAGCGTGGTGGTCATCAGCCAACTGGCTGTTGTTGTTGCTGCACTGCAGGTGCAGGTCTCTGAGGAGGACGTCGACCTCGGAGACCTGGACGTGCCTGAGGGCCTTGATCCTGGGGAGGGAGAGGACCTCGGTGATGATGAGCTTCTTCACGTTGCGCCAGTACTCGCCGTACGACGCGAACCCGATCACCGCGAAGTTGTTCCCGAGGATCTTGCCCTGCGTAGAAGGAGGGCGGGCTGCGAGGGCTCGGTCGTTTTTCACGAAGCAGTCCTTCATGGACTCGAAGTCGCTGACCACAACGGTGGGGTAGGAGCCCAGCCGGATGGTGAACATGCTGCCGTGCTTGTCGGCGAAGGCGGCCAGCTTCCTTGCCAGCATGTCCTTGCCGCCGAGGAGGTGGAAGTGGCCGATGAAAGGCAAGCTCCCCGGGATTTCCGGGATCTGGAGGGGTTTGTTTTTGCGGTTGCTGGGATTGACCGCCAGCCTGCGGAGGAAGAGAAGGAACAGGACTCCCGACAGTGCGAAGAGTACTGAAGCGAGATCCATAGCTAATTAATACTTTGAGCTACTTGGGTATGGGATGATTATTTAGTAGTTTGATGGATGAAATTATGGTAAAAAAGATGCATGGAGTGGGGTGTTTAAATAGGCGCATGCATGAAGCACCCCACGAGGAAAGAGATACAAGTTGAAAGCAATGTTGGGGCAAATTGATAGCTTATTTATTCATAAAAAGACACTTTAAATACTGATTACAATGACTTCTAACAGATTCCATAATGACTAGCCAGTATCCCAACACCCCATTTTCCTGATTTCCAACAACTCAGACTCCACGATGACTAGCCAGTATCCCAACACCCCATTTTCCTGATTTCCAACAACTAAATCTAACAACTCAGTTGACTCAAACAACTCTTCCTAACTTGACTGCAAAGCAATCGACCTGGACTCTTTTGTAACATAAACAAAGATGAATGACCAAAGCAGCAAACACATACTGCTTAGACTTACACACAAACAACAACGTACTGACATAATTCAAACATAACAGCTTCCAACAGCCTCCGCTGAACTGGAGCCTGGTAAGGCTTCAGTTCACTTCTGCTGCCGTAAATTCAACAATGTCTCTGACTCCAATCTTGGCACGAAGCTCCTCGAACACATCAGTCTTCATTGGCTTGGTTAAAATGTCTGCAACTTGATCTGATGTTCCACAGTGCACCAAGTCTATTGTTTCTTCCTTGACCAGATCTCTTAGGAAGTGGAATCGCACATCAATGTGCTTACTTCTCCCATGTAGAACAGGATTCCTTGATAGTTTGATTGTAGAACTATTATCACATAAGATAGTAGTCTTTTCTGCAACACTTGACTGCCATCCCATCTGCTCAAGGATCCTCCTAAGCAATACGCATTGAGCCGCACAGCCTGCAACAGCCACGAACTCAGCCTCAGTGGTACACAAAGTCACCACCGACTATTTCTTTGAAGCCCAGGAAACAACCCCTCCTACAAGAAAGAACACAAAACCATTAGTGCTTCTTCTATCATCCAGGTCCCCAGCGTAATCACTGTCTTTGTAGCCTACCAAGCTCTCTTCACTCTGCTTCTTTTTGTACCAGATACCAAAGCTTAGTGTTCCTTTTAGATATCTTAAGATCCTTTTTGCAGCAAGCATATGCTGTCTAGTTGGAGCACCCATATACTTGCTTAGTAGGCACACAGAATACATCAAGTCTGGTCTTGTAGCTGTGAGATATAGAAGACTCCCAATTAGTTGTTTATACTGTGTAGCACTTGCTGGAATTCCATCACCATTGATTGTCAACTTTGTTCCAAGCACTATTGGATTCTTGCAGAAGTTGCATTATGAGAGCTTGAACTTCTCTAGAATTTCACGAGCATACTTCTGTTGACATAGAAAGATTCCAAATTCATTCTGAACCACTTCAACTCCCAAAAAGTATCTCATTTTCCCCAAATCTGTCATCTCAAATTTGCTCTTCATTGAGGCTTTGAACTCTGCAATCATAGACTCATTGTTGCTGCAATACATAACATCATCAACATAGATGCTTACTAGCAGTAGATCAGTTCCCTTTCTTTTTATGAACAATGTGTGTTCATATGAGCACCTCTCAAAACCATTCTGCAGGAAGTAGCTCTCTATTTTGCTGTACCAGGCTCTGGGGGCTTGCTTCAAGCCGTAGAGAGCTTTGTTTAGCTTGTACACCTTTGCTTCTTCTCCTCACAACATAACCTCCAGGTTGACAAACATAAACATCTTCAGTTAAATCCCCATGAAGGAATGCACTATTTACATCTAACTGATAGACAGTCAGACCATGAAAAGCAGCTAAGGCTAGCAGTGTTCTTATTGTATTCCATCTGGCTACTGGAGCAAACACTTCAGAGTAATCAATGCCTTGTTGCTGAGCATATCCCTTCACTACAAGCCTTGCCCTTAACTTATGGACTTCTCCAAGCTCATTAAGCTTAGTTCTGAAGACCCACTTTACTCCAATAGGTGTAACACCAGGAGGTAAGAAAGTTAGAACCCAAGTTCCATTCTTCTCAATGGCTATCATCTCCTGTGTCATTGCTATTCTCCATTTTTCATCTTTTACTGCATCTTTTACTCCCCAGAATTCTTTTGATCGCAAGAGATTCTCCATGAGCAAGCTTCAGTGATCATAGTCACCATCAAAACGTGGAACACTCACTTGTTCAAAACCTGATGCTTCACTCATTTTCAGATCTGCAACTCACACACACTCGTGTTTCACTCACCTTACAAAAGCAACCTCACAAGAACTCTCTCGTGTTTCCCAAACCCAGTCTGAGTTTCAGACTTTTCACTCTTTAACAAATCACTCTTGCACGAATACTGGTTACAGTAAGCCAATGCTCTGATACCACTATGAAAGCTTGTTTATTCATCAAAAACACTTTAAATACTGATTACAATGACTCCTAATAGACTCCACAATGACTAGCCAGTATACCACCACCCCATTTTCCCGATTTCCAACAACTAACTCTAACAACTCAACTGAAACAACTCTTCCTAACTTGATTGCAAAGCAATCAACCTGGACTCTTTTGTAACATAAACAAAGATGAATGACCAAAGCAGCAAACACATACTGCTTAGACTGACACACATACTGACACAATTCAAACATAACAGCTTCCAACACAAGCAACCAATATAGAATTGTTGAAGGGAAAGAAATATGCATGTGGCTTATAGTCAAAGTTCCAATATTATAAAAATAAATGTAATCAGATGTATTCCTTATGGAATTATTAAAAAAATGATGGTAGGTCAAGAAAAGGAACCAGGAATTCTAAAGGGGAGAAAATGTGCTTTCATGGATAGCTACGTAAGTAGTCATCCGTTATCTAATAAATATACTAGGAAAAACGAGTCTTTTCGTTAAATATCAAGAAAAATAAGTCCTATGGATGCAAAAACGAGACTTGGAAGTGGAAGTAGAGTGAACGACATTTGGGCAGATGGGAATGCGTTAGCATGATTATCGATTTTTTCAGTAGTCATGGTGGCTACCTATATATTCACTCTTTATTTTTATTATTTTTCAATTAACCACCAGATTGATTAGGAATAGTTTTGGAACAAAAATAATAACCACACCTAATTACAATTTTTAAAATACTAATTTTCATATAAACTCCCAAACCCTAAATATTTTCCCCCTATTCTCCGGCATTCTCTCACTTTCTCTCTCCCTGACTGCCGCTCTCAGCCTTTCTCTCTTCCTTCTCCATCGTCTCTCTCCGCCATATTCTCCATCAACCCTTCCCTTCTTCCCCCCTCCACCACCTCCCCTTCACCGCCGGCCACTCTCTCTCTCTCTCTCTAAATGATGTTGGAGCTCTAGATGTGTAAACTTGGTATGTATTTTTCTGAAATGATAGTGGTAGTGTTTTTTTCGCACTGATATTGTTTTTTCCATATTGGTATTGATTATTATGTAATGGTATTGATTTGCATGTATTGGTATTGATTAAATATGCAATGGTATTGGTGTTTTGTGAAATGATAGTATTTTTATTTCTCGAACGGTATTGGTATTTTGTACAATGGTAGTGTTTTTTAGTGGATTGGTATTGATTTATTGTTTTGTTGTTGCAGCGGTATTAATTCGGCTTAACGAAATCAAGGAAAAGATTGAGAAAAATAAGAAAGAGAGATCTGGTTGAAGATCGTGAAAATGAGAGAAAGAGAGAGAGAAATTGTAGTTAATATATTTATGTAACTTCCTAAAATATAATTTATTAAAAAGAAAATTAATAAATATTGATTTTCATACCCAAATTATCCTTAGTAACCATGGTGATTACTAACCCGAAGTACTCACCATAACCCCCTCCATTGAGAGATGGGACACGGGCAGAAAAAACGAGAGGGAAGGAAGGGCGAGTATAACTACTATATACAGTAGTTACCAACTTATCATAACACCCCCTAATAAATATATTAGTATGGTACTAACATTAAATATTAGTGTTAGCAATGTGTACATTCGGGTTCGGTTTTTCGGGTTTACCCGAAACCGACCCGATTATATACATTTTCGGTTTTTCGGGTTTGTTTCGGGTTTTAGGTTTCGTGTTCGGTTTTGCTTATCGGTTTTTCGGATTCCGGCTAAAAATCTCCAATGAATAGAACTCAACCCGTATTCTTAGGTGTTCGGGTTTTCGAGTTTTGATTTTGATTTAACCGAACCCGAACCCGATAAGAAATTTTCGGGTTTCGGGTAACCAGAACCCACAAATCCTTATCGGGTTCGGGTTCGGGTTTGGTTTCGGTTTTCGGGTTTTTGCTGGTTTCGGTTCGGGTAACCGAACCCGACTCCGAATTGACACCCCTAGTTAGCATCCTATCGAGTCTCATTATTCGAACACGAATTAACTTAAGAATGTTCAGCGATTCTCCAACCATTTTGTCTCCACGCAGAAAATAAATCGTCAACGACATGGTTGAATTTGTCTATTATATCATGTCTCTTTGTCAAACCAGAAATATTAATTATGTTGCCTTCGAAAAGAAAATGAAAATCTCTTACCAGCAGTACTGATGCGTCACCAAGATAACGCAAGAAAGAAATAAAAGATGGCCAAAGTCTCAACTGGAATTATTTAACTACTTTTTGTGAGTTATTATTAAGTCCCAACTCATCATCACTGTGGACCACTCTGAGTAGTAAGACAATTAAGGTACGAGAATTGATATGGTGTGTTTTTAGATTAATTAATGTAGAAAATTTCTTTACAGTTATTGACAGAGTTGTGAACCTAAATCATCCACTTCCATGAATTTATCAAGCGCCTACAAAAAAAAAAAAAAAAAACCGAAACATATATAAGCCAAGCACTCTCGTTATAGAGAAATGTTTGTACCATATAACTCTCGGAACACGATCAATGATATTGTAGAAGTGGGATTTGACTCGCGATTCGCTCGTCCGATTTTGTCCGAAGGAAAGGAACCTGTGGAATATGGCAGGGCAGAGCGAGGATTTGACGGTCGGGGGGGGGGGGGGGGGGGGGGGGGGCGAAGTTATGTAGTGTATTATTGCGAAAAGGATAAAAAAATGATAAGTAAAATAAATAAAAGTTCGAATTAGTGTTTATATAATCGAAAAATGAAAGGTCTCCTTGGAAAAATAAGTCTTAATCATACAATCAAAATTATTCTTAAGAATGCGTATTTAAAAGTTGAAAAAAAAAACACTTAATTGACCTATTTAAGGTACAAAAATTATAAAACAAACTATAAATTACAACACTTACAAATGAACTAAAACGCACAAATCAAACTAGAACGCCCAAATTAAACTAACTAAAACTAACAAAGTAAAATTATAGAAAGATGGTCTTCAAACCAACAAGTTAATAAAAAGAGACCATCAAGTTCATTAAAAAATATAAGAGGCTTGCTATGGGAATCAAACCCACAACTCCCAGCTAGCAAAAAAATCTTTCTTCGACTGGACTACATGAAGTCAATGTGATAACTTTTCCGACAACATTTAATTATAAAATAAATACAATTTATACGCAATCTTCCAACCACCAACACGATTTTCACGTGAAATCAAAATTCTCGGGGGGCCAGGGCCCCCCTGAGCCACCACCTAGCTCCGCCCCTAGAATATGGGGATGTCCCCGGATTATACTCCGATTATCAGGTCAGTATATATGGTGTAGATAGATATGAAAAAGTATTTAGAGAGATAAACTATAAAAAGAGAGTGTCAAAGTGTAAAGTGAGAGAGCAGAAGTTGAATCTCCTCATTAGAGGGTTTGGATGTCTTTATATAGTTGTGGCGAGCATCAAGCGTCAAGCTCACCAGTTGAGTGCTCCACTACTACTTATTATCAGTTTGACATCACTAGTAATACCTTTAGCCGGTGCTTTAGTATTTAGTATGTTCGTTTTAGTTTAAGTAACACCGCGAACAAAAAACAAATCCTCACTGAAATATATATTTGTTTTTGTTTGCGTATATTCAATATTCTCAATTTCTTATGCCAATCGACAATTCTTATTTGCACACCTGGACTGGACAAGCAGGACGTATAGGGTGATGTAGGATGTAAGATAAACAAAACCCTTCTATTGACCTCGTTTTTTCCTTGCATTACAAGTACAATTGTTTATGATTTTTCAATACATAAAATTGACCGGTTATATTCTTGAAATTATTGTTTTTAAAGTTAACTGTTAACTCAAAATTCGACGATTACGCCAAACATAAAGGGTGACTCTTATGGGAGCGCCGGGTTTGATGTCAGACCTTGAGGCTTTGCCAGGTGTGGCTTTTGCAATTTTCTTTCGTCGGTTCTTGGAACGTGACTCTTCGCCAAACAGGGTTACTCGTCTCCTGTATATGCTCTGGAGAATCTGGAAATCCAGAAACTTGGTGGCTTTTGAAGGAGTGCAGGGGACGATGGCCGTCTTGGTAAGACAATTTCACTTCCAAGTCGAAGAATGGGTAGCGAGTCTCTCTCACGGTGGAGGGGGGGTCCCTAATGCTTTGGATGAGCATTGAGAAATGCCAGCCGTCTTACCGGGAGGGGTAGTGTGCCATTTTGACGGAGCGGTAAGGTCTGAGTCCCATGGTGCGGTGGGCTTTGTGATTCGGGATGACAACGGCGGGGTCCTAATGGTCAGAGGAATTTCCTATGAGGGTTTGGTTGATCCAATGGTGATAGAGTTGATGGCTTTTCGGGATGCGCTACGGTGGTGTGTGGGGGCGGGGCTTGCAGGTGTTCGATTCGTTGGCGATGCTAAGGTTGTGATTGACAAGATACATGCCAGGATCACTAGGGACGCGAAGGCCGGAGCTATTTTCCAAGAAGTTTACATCCTCCTCGATAACCACTTGGATTTTAGTGTGCAGTTTGTAGGTAGACAGAACAACAGAGTGGCCCATATGGTGGCCAAAAAAATCCTGGATTTGTTTTCTACAGGGCCGGGAATGGTTTTGATTTCCAGGCATGGTTGTGTTCGGAGGTCGAGTTATTGTAACTTTGTTATTCTTGGTAATACAAGCGATCTTTTTCGTAAAAAAAAAATGAAGGGTCACCTTTACCCTGGGCTTTGAATGTACAATTAGTAACATATATACTATTTAGTCTTCGAATTGAATGTATTCACATTTCTAGTAATTATATTATATACTAGTTTATTGATCAGTTTCTCAACAGTCAACACAAAAATAGAAAATACTGATCAGTGCTTCGTGACGTACGGGACGATCATATTATAATTATAGTTTGGATTGTGTCATCGCTTGGTGTCTAATTGGAATATATTTCTTGTTTCTGTTTGTAATTTAATCCTTAAATGATGTAAATTATAGGAGTATAGTTGTTCTTGTTAAAACCCCGTTTATTCTAATGATTGGAATTTTAAATTGTTGGATTGGATTTAAAGATATATGGATATATCGTTTTTCTCCTAATCTGTCAAATGAAACTCATCTCATAAATGAGAAGTTTATACAAGTACACCATACAATCTGTTCAAGTAATAAATCCTTAACACCAAGGAGTTATACCATGAGATAACCACATGAATCACCAAGAAACCTATTATTATTGTATTGCAAACCAATTAAGGGAGCTCTAAAAAAATTATTCAATTTAATATTTGCAATGTCTCTTTTTTATCTTTCATTTAACATTATGTAATTCTGACAACACATTTAGGTCATTATAACCTGAGGAACGGTACTTTTCACCCCCCCCCCCAGAATTCTGAAGATTGCGTGTAAAAATATCGAGAATTTTGGAAATTCTGAAGAAATTATCTATTATACAATTACAGTTCCGCGCAAAAATGATAACTTTTGACTAGCTCTAGTCCAGCGGAAAGCAGCTCTTAGTATCTTCCAGGTACTCAAGTTCAATCCCTGGCAGAACCATATTTTTGCAGATTTTCTTTTATGGTTTAATTTTTGCTTAAAATTTGAACTAACTACTTAACTAAAATATTGCTTGGGTTTCTAAAATACTGTTTGGGTTTCTATAATGAATGAATTATTATTTATTATAAAATTTTCTATACTGTTTGCAGATTTTCTTTTATGGTTTAATTTTTGCTTAAAATTTGAACTAACTACTTAACTAAAATATTGCTTGGGTTTCTAAAATACTGTTTGGATTTCTATAATGAATGAATTATTATTTATTATAAAAAAAGTTCGGCCACCCCGATCTCTGGATCCTAGCTCCGCCCTTGCCTAATATGTGCGTACCCACAAAACACTAGTATAGAATGATATTATGTAACAGTAGCGTAGGGACATGTGTCTTTACCATGCAAAAAAAATGGACGTGTGTAGTAATCTGCCACCTACTCATGCAAACGTTGCATTAATTGGACTCGTCCAAAGCCAAGCTTCCAAAACCTAAATTGCGTATATTTGGCAAACCGGCCAATCAAAAGTTGCAACTCTTGTTCCATGCAACTTGATATATTAAACACGTACAATTGTTTTGGTGAGAAACATATGTATATGGGAGGAGTAACCAGTTGGTCCAGCCGGTCAGTTTTGACCCAATTTGCGAATGTTAATTACCCTGGCCGTCAAGACCGCCGCCGATCGAATACCGGCAGCCCACTAAGACCGCCATCACACCACCGGCGACAATGCAGGCTTCCCTAGCTAGTTTTGACTACGTACGTTGCTACTAGAACTCCTGCACCTTTTTCCTGATCTAAGATTATTTTATGATTTTAACACTGACCATTGAAAAATAAATAAATAAATTTGGAATAATTTTGACCCGAAACCAATACTTATCTCCCGGAATTCCAATGTGTCGGCGGCGCCCCTGAGCTTTGGACAACGTGGGCTGCTGCTGCATGCCGATGATCATCACCTATTTAAACACCCGACTCCATACATCTCTTTCCGCCATAATCTCATCAAACAAACTACTAAATAATCTCAAAGTAATTAATTAGCTATGGATCTCGCTTCAGTACTCTTCGCACTGTCGGGAGTCCTGTTCCTTCTCTTCCTCTGCAGGCTGGCGGTCAACCCCAGCAACCGCAAAAACAAACCCCTCCAGATCCCGGAAATCCCGGGGAGCTTGCCGTTCATCGGCCACCTCCACCTCCTCGGCGGCAAGGACATGCTGGCAAGGAAGCTGGCCGCCTTCGCCGACAAGCACGGCAGCATGTTCACCATCCGGCTGGGCTCCTACCCCACCGTTGTGGTCAGCGACTTCGAGTCCATGAAGGACTGCTTCGTGAAAAACGACCGAGCCCTCGCCGCCCGCCCTCCTTCCACTCAGGGCAGGATCCTCGGGAACAACTTCGCCGTGTTCGGTTTCGCGTCGTACGGCGAGTACTGGCGCAACGTGAAGAAGCTCATCATCACCGAGGTCCTCTCCCTCCCCAGGATCAAGGCCCTCAGGCACGTCCAGGTCTCCGAGGTAGACGTCCTCCTCAGAGACCTGCACCTCCAGTGTAGCAGGAACAACAGCAGCAGCCAGCTGGTTGATGATGACCACCACCACGCTGCTGCTGTGGTGGTCATCAGCGATTGGCTGCAGAACTTCGTTCTCAACATCATCACCCGGATGGTGGCGGGGAAGAAGTACTTCGACAACCTGGCCGACAGCGTCGGCCAGGTGGCCCATGGTGGAGGCCGCCCCGTCGGGGAGCTCATCAGGGAGTTCATGGACGTGAACGGATCGCTCGTGCTGTCGGATTTGATACCGATCCTCGGGTGGATCGACGTCAAGGGGATGAAGAAGGCCATGAGGAGGATTTCAAAAGAACTGGACGTGATCGTGGACGGTTGGATCGAAGAGCACAAGGTGAAGAGGAACAAGTTGGGTGAGAACTTGGTCCCCGAGGATTTCATCGACGTCATGCTCTCAGTTGTGGATGACAACTTCGATCCTTCGGCCAAGCATGACAAGGAAACCATCGTCAAGTCAACCGCTATGGTAATTTTACGTGCTAACCGTATTGTCTTTAGCATAAAATCCAAAAGCAGATTAGACCTAAAGCAAATATTCGTACCAACGGAGTATCTTGTCTCAACATATATATTCTAGGAAGAAGGAAAAAAAAGTTTGTTACGTATCATACACTAATATTTCAATCTTGTGCTTTACGTTTATATAGGCGGTGATAATTGCGGCGGCGGACACGACATCGGTGACGTTGACGTGGATGCTGTCGAACCTCCTGAACAACCGGCGAGCCATGGCGGCGCTGAAGCAGGAGATGGACGAGAAAGTAGGAAAAGACAGAATCGTCCAGGACTCCGACCTCGAGAACCTCACCTACCTCCACGCCGTGATACGTGAAACGCTGCGTATGCACCCGGCGGGGCCCATCTCGGTGCCGCGCGTGGCGTCGGAGGACATCACCATCCGCGGCTACCACGTGCCGAAGGGGACGCGCTTCTTCGCCAACTTCTGGAAGCTTCACCGGAACCCGGAGATGTTCCCCGAGCCGGACGAGTTCAGGCCGGAGAGGTTCCACGACAAGGAGGTCAAAGTGGACATCTACGGCCGGGACTTCGAGTACCTGCCGTTCGGCACCGGGCGGCGGTCGTGCCCCGGGATGAACTTCGGGATGCAGGTGGTGCAGCTGACGGCGGCGAGGCTGATCCAGGCGTTTGACTTTGGGACGCCGTTTGACCTGCCGGTGGACATGACGGAGGCGGACAGCACCACGCTCGCCAAGGAGAAGCCGCTGGAAGTCGTGCTGACTCCGCGCCTCTCTCCGGAGCTTTACCAGCTGCCTGTGATTGTTTAATGAACATTAAAGTTAATTATCTTATCCAGTCGCCGCCGCCGCCGCCAGCCAGCCGGATAGCCTATTAATCATACTTTAATTAATTTATTCATAATGTAATAACAGAGATCTTGTGTCCTCTCGAATGCGTTAAATATGGAATTACGGGGAATAAATATGACTTGTTTGTTTGTTTTTTAAGATGATTTATAAAGAGACTACGACATTTCGGTTCATTTGTCTTCAGGATATTATCCTAATGAACATTTCGTTTTTAGAATTTTTTAATTTTCAGGGTAGGGTGTTAACACCCAATTTGTTAGTATAGTGCCAACACTAATTTCAATGAATATGAATATTTTGTCTTGATGACTTTTTAATTTCAAAGGGTATACAACAAGTTAATGAAGATTTATAAAAGGAGGAGTACACTTGTCAATATTAAAAATTAAGGAGAAACTGACTACAAAATTACGCTTCTCCACAAAGTATTTTGAAGCATACCACGAAATTCAAAAACACTACAAACTACACCACAAATATCATAAAGCAGACCATAAAGGTTATAAAACATACAAGAAGCTTACCGCACCATAAAATTCATAAAACATGCTAAATTTTTTAATTAGATAGTAAGTACTCTAAAACATACTAGAAATTTCATAAAGCATACCATAAATTTCTTAAAGTGTACAACATATTTATTAAAACCGACTACAAGTTTTTAAACCATGCACACCAAAATTTTATTAAAGGAGAGCTACATCACTGAACTAATACTTCCAGTTCTCCATGTTCCAAAATGTTGAACGTTCATAGACTGTCCACAAAATATTAGTGGTTGGAATTGGGATACCAAATTTATTTTGAGATTTAGTTTAAAACACTATTTGCAGTGGCGCCACTTGTAGAGGAGGGGGTGGGTTTTGAGAATTTTTTTCGAGTAGGGGTATATACAAATTCGAACCAATGACCATTCAGTTGCAGGAAGAATTTCTTATCATTTCGATTGAGTGAGTTTTGTTATGCAATACACTTTCGTCTTTATTTATAGTAATAAATTGTTGTCTTTTGTTTAAACTCGCTCATTTTTTTTGTAGCTCTCCAACAGAGAAATTTCTTCTCTTTTGTTTAAATAAAGTTGAAAGTGAAGAAGTACCAATTGAAGTTCACTTGTTTGTTTCACAAAATCAATTCCAAGGTACTTCTGAGTTCTAATTTGTAGTATTTGATGAATGGAAGTCTTGATTTGTATGTACTGAACTTATTTGTTTGACGTTGTAACCGGTGTACGTGAAACTATTTTAATGTAATTGTATGAATTTAGAGTATTGCGTTGTTGACTTTTTGTTTAATTTAAAGTTGACTTTTCTATTGTATAGGTGATTTTTTATGATATGATAAAGACACCCCCTTGGCCAATTTTCTGGCTCCGCCACTGACTATTTGATATTTTTTATTTCAGTATTTGATATTGAAATATCGTTATCGTATCAATTTCCATCCTAACAAGTAAATTAATTAATAATTATACTGTGTCCCGCGCCAACTAGCCTGCTCCGTGTATGTTTGCACACCTTGTACAACCATGGCGTATAGGGTGATGTACCCTGCTAATTAACGTTGACTTCGTCTTTTCTTAACATAATGAACCAATTTTGCATGATTTTATAATGCATAAAATTGACCGATTCTTGAAAATATTGTTTCTTATGTTATCTGTTAACTCCAAATTGGAAGATTACGCCAAAGAATGTACTGCCAGCTATCACCCTGGACTTTGAATAAGCGATAATTAGCAAGTCTTTAACGGCACTAATTATAACATTAAAAAAAATAAACAAATCTGTTGTCATTATAAAGTACTCATAATTTTGCATGATTTTATAACTCCAAATTGTAGAATGTAGCTACTCTCAGGTAAAAATAGACAAACACTTTTTGTATCAAATGGTAGCTTTCCATCTACCATCGAGCTTCCAAGGTGGTTACTGACACACGGTTGGTGGAAGGATCTGTGGATCCGACAGCCGCGGTTGAAGAGCGGAATTCATCTTTTGTTCTTAGTAGAACGAATGCTGGCTTTTTGGGTGATGGCAGAGTGGTTGCATTGCTCAGCATGAAGACAACATTCGACATGGTTGGCCGATCTGAAGTTGATTCTTGGACGCATAAAAGCCCTATCTGAATGCACCTCATCACTTGATCCGTGGAATATGATTCTCCCATTGTTGAAGAATCCATTATGTCTAATGCTCTTCCTTCTCTCCACAAGTCCCACACCTGGTATAAGTTAAGAAATATCTTCTTGTATTGAGTTAAACTGAAACTCTAAGTGCAGCAAGCTGATTAATCTCGTATTAACGAACTTGACAATTCTCTTATGAGAAAGAAAAAGAGCACTTACATGCCCAGTTAGGGTAACTGATGCACTTTCTTGGTAAAAGTGGTTGCTCCTTTTGCTACTGACAATCTCCAGTGTTAGCACTCCGAAACTGAATACATCAGATTTTGTTGAATATAGACCTTCCATTGCGTACTCCGGAGACATGTATCCACTGCAAAATTCGTACAAAGTGATGAATACTTCTCTTAGTCAGGCAATCTTCCAAAAGATAATCAAGTTGTTTAATTGCTTTTTCTTACTAAGTTCCAACAACTCTGTTTGTATTTGCCTCCATTTGATCTTCCATAAATAATCTAGCCATCCCGAAATCTGAAATTTTTGGATTCATTGCAGCATCTAGTAGGACATTGCTAGCTTTAAGATCCCTATGAATGATTTTCAATCTTGAATCTTGATGTAGATACATCAAGCCTCGAGCAATCCCAACAATGATATCAAATCGTCTCTTCCAGTCCAACATTGAGCCTTTTGTTTTATCTGGATCAGTTTCATGCGACTTTAAACCTTAATGTTGATGATAACGAGAGTTAACAGATGGCTGAAAGATGTGATGCAATGAATTGAAGAGGGGAAGAAAATGTACCAAAGATGAAGAAGTCAAGGCTTCTGTTTGGCAAGTACTCATAGACCAACATCTTTTCGTCATCATGAATGCAGCAACCAAATAGCCTTGCTAGATTCTTGTGTTGGAGTTTGGAAACTAGCTTCACTTCATTCTTGAATTCCACAATTCCTTGTCTTGATGTTTGAGATAATCTTTTCACAGCTATTTCTTGTCCGTTGGACAACAAACCCTGATCAAATCAAGATTTAATCACAAGTGGACACGGTTTGTGAATTCAAGTAAGAAACCAAACCAACTGAGACCAACTGCATAAAGTTTAATGACAAAACCATAATAAAGCATAAAAGATCATACTTGGTTGATCTTTGGTACCACTGGCCAATACCATTCGCAAACAATACATAGTTGTACGTGCATGTATTATGATTAAAGGAAGGGCACAGAAAAAAAAAAAAAAAAAAACTAAAAGTTACAGTAATTGTTAGGAGAGTATTAGTGTACCTTATAAACAGAGCCGAAACCTCCTTGTCCAAGTTTGTTGGCCATAGAGAAATTTTCCGTGGCAGCGTATATGTCATTTATATCGAAAATAGGTACAGAGGAGTCTTCATCTTCATACGAATTTTCCTTCTCTGCAGCGTAATGTGTAGTAGGGGAAACATTCTTTGTTGCTCCTCTCCTTCCTAAGCCATTCACAAAGATGCAGATGCAACATTGTTTTTCGCCGCAGTTCATCAAAACAGACATCGTTGAACAAGGAAAACCGAACAATCATACAAACTGTCTAAGCATGTAGCAAGTATGCTCAACAAACTGAACCATCTCATATGGAACATTTTCCACAAAGATGATTTGCACTATTAATTGAGCTTTGCTTACCAATTTGTTTCCTCTTCCGCAGGCAATACACAGTGGAAATTGCCAGAATGAAGGCTACACCAATAGAGCTTAAAACAATTGCAAACAGCTTCTTCTTCCTCGTATGTCCTTTCGACCTTTCCCTGTACTCAGCTAAGAAAATCACATTCATTAAAGCCGGTATTATATCCTCTTGCAAAACGCATAGGACAGAGTAATGAAACCAGTCCAGCATATAGACACTTACCTAACTCAATCGCATCCACTCGGACGTATAAGTCTTGCCCACCATCACTAAACACTCTAGTATCCATCAAGGCCCCGTGTAGCGTTATGCACCCAATTCTACTCGTCAAATTCGAACTTGCATAAGCTGTACAAGAACAGTTTCTTAGACACTCTTGCCTGCACATGTTTAGATCCATGCCAACAATCAATCGCCCGGTTGACGTATCAGGAACTTTAGCATTGTCCAACTTCACAAAACCATCACCACCCCCACAACTAGAATTATATCCGGACCGCTTCCTGATGCACCCGGCCGTAGCATCTCTCAAAAACCAATCATTCGGGGACCTCGGTTCGAATCCCGGAAGACAGTTGCACTCGAACACCCCTGCATCATAAGGATCGCATTTCCCATTCGGTCCACAATGTCCATAGTAGTCACAGGGCTCCTTAGGGACGGTCCAGAACTCGATCCACCGACTGTCCTGATCATGCCACGTGGCACGCTTCATGAACCCTGTTGGATCTAGGTACAACCTCGATATGATGTTGGGGTCCAGGATCCCCCAGACGACACTTGATTCACTCTCGTTGTTGACGATGCTCGTGTTGAAGATGAAAGTACGAGACATGTCAGGAATCCCACTCCACTTGTTTCCATTCCACGGGCCGCTCCTCCACCATTTGGTCTGACCCTGGTAGAGCATCAGCTGGGGCACCCCGTCTGTGTCCAAGTAATAGGACCAGTTCCCTGTCGCGGGATTGTCAGGGGCCTTCCAGGACCGAGCCGATTTGATCAGTCCTGTTTTACGGTCCAAACCGAACTTCATGTTTGGGAAGATGGTGTCAGTGGGATGATCAAAGCTCTTCCATAGAACCGTCTCTGCATCCTGTCGAAGCAGAACAAAGTTTCCATCATCTAACAACTTAGCCATAGAGCTCCCACCTGCAGAGATATTTGTAGACCATACAGAAGTAATATTTCTTCTTCCCCGTTGCAGAACTGCATCGCCTCGTCTGTCGATCAACAGCAGTCCGGAAGTATCGTTGATCGGATTGTCTCTATTGGCGACCCAAACAACAGTCTGAACCAAGACTTTGGTGTACCAAATTCCAAGGTAACGATTGCTTGACTTTCCGGGGCTGAAGAAACCAAGAGTGTACCTTTCACCATTAGAGACCAACACTTGACCATCTGCAAGAGATTCATTGAAACTTATGGTGTCTGTGGATGAAAAAGAGCAAAGACTAAGAGAAATTATGAGCTGAAGAAGTAAAGAAATGAATAGTCCTTCAGCCAGGTCCATAGTTATCTGCTGGGAATTGTAGAATGAAACACACAGATCAGTTCATATTTCCACCGAAGTCTATAGGTAGTAAATTGTTATCCTAATGACACATCGCTGTCATTTAAGGGTATTTTTCTCCTTTCTGTTCTCAAAGGTGTTATAATAATTCATGTTTGACAAGAAAGGCCATTAACAGACAAATTGGCCATTTTGTCAAATGCAATTTTTCTTGCGTGAAGGGGAAGGTGAACCGCTGGATATTTTATAAGGCACTTATGTGGTCAAACACGTATTATCGGCGTAATTTTTGCCAATATGTCTCACATAATTCAGTTACATCAAACAAATAACATCCATTTAACAATACAGTGGCTTAAACAGAATCCATTAGTTTTACCTCCTTTGAAGCGGGAAACATATCCGACAGGGCGAGCATCAATGGCGGGCCTCTGCAAAAACATGCCGCAGGTGGTCAGAGTAAGTTGCAGCCGAAGTACTAACAATGAGATGGTGTCTTTGCTTGAGGAAGAAGAAATTACTTCTCGTGAGCCCAATCTAGTCAATGTGAATCATTATTCTGCATGGGTAGCTGATGTCTTGTGTCGGGGAAGCTCATTGATTAACTAAATTCCCATTATCAAATAATTCAGTATTCCCAAAAACACTCGAGAACTGACTATGCTATATCACTACTTTGATTCAGTATTCCCTATAACGCTCCAAAAATAGCAGATTCCTAATTGATCTATACAGTCACATTGGTGACGGGACCTCTTAACCACGTCCTGGCACTGAAAACCCATCCACAAGCAACCAACAGAAACAATTCCCCCACAGAAGTCCAACCAATCCGGATACCATAACATCCCAAGTGGAATGGCCCCCGAAAAAACCTCTTGCGAGCCAATGTCACCCTGAAAAGATAGGCAACTGGCAATGCATATGCAATATTAGGCCCGGTGGTTGCTATAGACACCATTGCCTGAAATGCCACTTCGCTTACGAGATGCTGCACTATCAAGTCAAAGTGTGATAAAATTGTAGCGTTTTTAGTACTAAGCTAGGAAGGAATTGACAAATATGTGTTAAAGAAAGCATTATTACCGTTAATGTCATGCAGAAGGATCTGACGACAGACAACCAAACAGCATTGATGGGACGTTGACTTTGTGCCAGAGCGAATAGAATGGCATGGCTCCATCTCTAGAGAATGCATAAGCCATCCTGGAGTTGCTAGTTACCGAACTCATACCACAGAAGAAGATGGCAACTGCAACAACTCCTAAGCATATAATCCCAACAAATCCACTTTCATATCTTCTTTTGAAAGCTTGGTAGAATATCTCGGCAATGGCATAGCCAAATATGACTGATATTCCGATGGAACTTATTGTCCCCTTTGGACCATTCTTGTCGGCACTCTTTGTTTCCTCTGTCTATCAAAGAACAATCAATCTGTTGGTCCGCGAGCTGCCATTACAAGAAGCAATCAAGACAAAACTGAGAGAGAAGGGCGTTATATCTTACCATGTGGGCAGAAGCATCATATCCTGTAAGAGTGTACTGGCTCATCAGAAGGCCCAGAACAAAGAAGTAAAGCTTGTTGTTGATTCCATCCCCGTTATCATTATTGAAGTGTGTGAATACAAACTTAGCACTCGTTCTTTCGGTTTGCGACAGCTGGGATGACTATCGTCAGAAGTATAACACCTAGAAGGTTCAATCAGCAGCCAGATGGCCGAAGAAGGACAACATGGAAATGGGGAGACTGTTCATGACAGCATGGAGGAAAAGGATGCCACTATGCAAAGCAATGACTACGAACTTCGATGCTTGATATCCACCACCATTTTGACCACCTGTACTGAGCAGAATGATCACCTGAATCATTTGTGCAAGGAAAAAGTCCACTCTTGCCGTCACAGCCCACTGCAACAAATGAAACAATGGGGGAAGGTTCGTTACAGCTCGTGTTCATGACATTCCTTGTTACAAAATCTCACATGAAAACTCTGAGTAGATCATATATACCTGGCCAACAATGTTGAACCTGCACTCCTGCAGGGGAGTAATAAACAACAACAAAAAAACAAAATGTTCTTGGCATTAGAATAAGACAGGAAAAACAAGGATAGAATTGTGATGCAGTGTCATTTAGCCAGCTGCTAATCATTTTTCAGTTGTCTAATATTGATCAAGCCAAGACCAAGGAATCATGAAGACATTAAGATCCTTTTGTGCAATCATAATCATGTCATCATCTATCTAACCCGGAATCTCTAATAAGCCAAAGTCGAAACAAGATTGCCATGAAACAGAAAAGCCAGATTAGGAAAGCAAATGCAAAAAAGAGCCAATTCCCCATCAAAACATTGTGCTTAATTGAATCGGTGGAGCAATACATGTTGTCGCAATTCTTAAATGAAGAAGCAAAAAAACATTCGAGGATAGTAGGACACTCATGAAGAATAAAACAAACAGCAACCCACCCGCCTGAAGCAGCAAACAAGAACAGTACAATCCGACAATGGACACCCAGAGGCACACCCACATTTGAACGAAATGCACGCTCGGAAATCTTTATTGTGACCTCTCAAGTTTCAATAAGAGTTGATGAATTTGAAGGGTAGAAGTTCTCATGTAATTTTTTAAAGAAAGATGATTTGCTTACGGCATACCAGCCAGTGTTCCAGGAGGCAAAAGGCGCCCAAGAAGGGCTGGCGTGGCGAGCATGAGCAGAGACCACAGGATGTCGGGTAAGCAGAGCAAATCTCACCCATTGCGGACCCGACAAACATGGTGAACAACCCGGCTATGAACCAGCCATGTAACAACGATCCGAAGGTCAAACCAGTGTAGTAAAGAGTGGTTATTCCGGGGAGCACCAAGATGATCGAGAAGGAGAAAGCGAAATTCGAGAACATCCTGCATCTGAAAAGGAAGCAGATTGGATGAATTTTGCGCATAGAAGAAACAAAAGGAAGGAAGGAAATTTGGGTTGGTGGGTTTTACGAGAGGTCCAGCTTGAGCTCTTGTTTGTTGCGGAGCTGCCTGAGGCGGGCGGTGCCGGAATCTTGAGAGCCATCATCGCCGACGCCATTTGCAGTTGCAGGGTCGTTGTTGAAAGACAGAATGCTCTTCGCCTTTTGGGCTTCGTTACTTTGTTAGCCCGAACGGCTGCGCTCGTACTGTATAGAAAGAGTGGGCTTTGACCCACAGCTTAATTAGGTGCTAGGTTTAATGGAGCCCAGTTGGGGGAAAAAAAAAGGCTTAATGGAGCCCAACCTCTTGCAACGCGAATGAAGAAAGAGCCTTCTTCTATTTTTCCAGCTTGATTAACTGCAATCAGATCTCATTGTTTAGCTCGAGCGCTGCTTTTGGTAGTGTTTTTGAATGGTTATAATATGAAGTTTGGTACTCCAATGGAATCCTTTATCAATCGAAGAAACATGGTGAGTTGTTTATAGGCTGTGAGTTTGGTTTGGTTAACCAAACGATTCACTGCTACACCCCTCGGACATCCTTCAACGCCTAACCTAACACCGAATGATACCCTGCACGAATTGGCCAATCAAACGAACAAACAACGCAATTTCCACGCTCGAGAATTCTGATTGAACCATCCTCCCGTAGTAGAGCTCAATCACTACAAGCAGGCACCCCGAGCCACTCCTGTCCCTGTCCATCAAATTGTGCGGCCAAAACATCTACCCAAACCAGAGTAGATTAATAAACAACAAAGTTACGAGACTTCCAAATACGCCACAGGAGCAAGACAGGGCTCATAGCCAGGGAAAATTGGACAAGCACACAAATGGCGACCATGTTTCCAAAATTCGGGCACATCCCATCTTCCTCAGCGAGTTACGACTCCCGTTAGAGTTACCTCGTTTACAGAAAATGATCCTTCTGCTGCTCCTCTGGGTTTTTTGAAGCAGCTTGTACCGGGAAACCCAGGTTGCTTGGGGAGAGGAAGTGGCATTGCAGTGTTCAACATAAGAACCGTCATCGACATATTAGGTCGATCTTGAACATCTTCCTCTACACATAGCAACCCAATTTGGATGCATTTTAATACTTCCTGAGCATTGAGAGATCCCTCCATTGATGAATCCACGACCTCTAATGCTTTCTCTTCCTTCCATCGCTCCCACACCTGTACCATCAGCGCCAACAACCATTTCGTTTCAGTAATGTCATCCTGCAAGGTTTCTTATCATTTTCTCACCAACTAGAACAAGCATAGAAAGTTTTTCTTAAGGCTCACATAGGTTATCAAATTCAGGTTCTCATCTTCTGAGTGAACTCTATTGATCTTCTTGCCAGTTATCATTTCAAGCAATATGACACCGAAACTGAAAACATCAGATTTTTCGGAGAATTTCCCGAACACTGCATACTCTGGCGACATGTAACCACTGCATAAAAGAAAGACCCCCCACAAACATTATTACAAAGTTAATTGAATCACGGACTACACTTAGTTCCAAGTGGGTACATAGAAACTTGAATACTTACTAAGTTCCTCCAATGCTGGACGTCTTCCCATGAACTTGGTCGGCCTCCAGTATCATAGCCATGCCGAAATCTGAGATCTTGGGGTTCAGCTCTCCATCTAGTAGAATGTTGCTGGTTTTCAAGTCTCGATGTATGATTCTGAACCTCGAATCCTGATGAAGATACAAGATTCCACGGGCAATGCCAACTATGATACTGAAACGCCTAGTCCAGTCCAACACTGTTCCTCCCTTTCGATCTGACGAACAAAAGGAGGCATCTTTGTATCATAGTTTGATGGAATAAACACGAAGTAGTCACAATGGAACAGAATGACACCTACCAAAAAGAAAAAGATCCAAACTTCTGTTGGGCAAGTACTCGTAAATCAACATTTGTTCTTCTTCTTCTATGCAGCATCCATGGAGCTTCACAAGATTCCTATGCTGGAGCTTTGCAATCAACAGCACTTCATTCCTGAACTGCTCCAAGCCTTGCCTAGAATTTTCGCTCAGCTTTTTCACTGCAATCTCTTGTCCATTGGGTAATCTGCCCTGAGTTTTGCAAATGGTTTTAATTAATCCCATTTCTACTACGTACTCAAAGCCAGCAAAAATCAAACTATACTCAAAGTTCCTTTACCTTGTACACAGAGCCAAAACCTCCTCTTCCAAGTGTGTTAGCTGGAGAAAAATTGTCAGTAGCAGCCCTTATGGCATTGAGGCTGAAAAATGGCAACTCGGGATATACTGCATGTCCCTCCATTTGCTCTGTAACCACAGAATTTGTGAAGTGGTTTGAACCATCATTTGGGTGGAACAAATTTCTGATCCTTCTCTTCTTTGCTGTCCTCAAACACATCATAGAAACACTTTAACAACTCAATGAAGCTTACAAAACCTTCATTCAGTCACAAACTACAAATGAGAAGGGAAGCTCTTTACCTGTCCTATTTCGCCACTTCCTGAGCCGAAAGAAAGCAATCACGATAACGACAAGCCCTACTGAACCAATAGATGGCAGAAGAATGCTCAACTTCAACTTCAACTCAAGAGAATTGTTTGATCCACCCTGATAGTTAGCTGCAAGACAAATACAATTTCACAATTGATATAAGATCCAGTCTTTTGTAGCCTTCCCCAAAAACCAGAGAAACTACTACAGATGAACTAGTTTTCCATACAATGCCAAGGTCTTATTATCATTTATCACTATGAACTATCACCGATTGGTTATGCACAAACTTAAGTCCCCAGTGAGCCACAAGCTTCAGAAAGAGCTAAAGCTGCTCATAAGCAAGAATGTTTGTTTTTTTTTTTTTTTTCTGATGAATCCTAAGCAAGAATGTTCAAAAGTATTGCGCCTTCTCTTTTAACATCTCGCAACAACTAGAGTTATTGCTGCCGAATTGGTTCTCGATGCACTAGCACAATCTTATCATCACTACCAAATCCGAGTATAAGCACAAACTTAAAGTGAGCTTCTAAGCAAAAGAGTGGTTCACTTACCAAATTCCTCTGCATCAACTCGAACATACAAATCATGGAAACTAACAGGGAAATAGACAGTATCCGCCAGCTCTCCGTACCATAACAAGCAACCTTTCTCCTTCAAAGTAGCATCTATTTCAGCATAAGCAGAACATGAACAGTTCTTCCTGCACTCCCTTTCGCAGCTCAACTCGCCGCCACCCTCATTCTCCACCCAAACAGCTCCTGAACTCTCAGGAGTCTTCACCTTCGGCACTCTCACAAACCCTTCTCCCACCCCACAAAATCCATCAGAAGTTCCCAATCCCAATTCCGGTTTCAATTCGAAATCCAATTCCAATTTCGACCCCGATTTCGACGGCTTCCTAACGCACCCACCGGAGCCATCGAACAATCGCCAGCTTCTCGGCGACCTGGGTACATATCCAGGCAAGCAAGAACACTCGAAAGTGTTGAAATTGCTCGGATCGCACAAACCGTTGGCGCCGCAGCGCCTGTACGAATCGCATTTCTGAGTCGGGGTCGCCCAGTACTCCTTCCATCCGTCGTAGCCCTTTCGCCAGATCTTCTCCCTTATGACCCCAGTCGAATCCAAAACTTCCCAGAAGAGAAAAGAATCGTCGTTCAGAGCGATTTCAAAGAACGTTGCTTCTTCGTTGTTCACGAACGAGACGTTGAAGATCTCGCCGTAGCTCCCCCACGGCCAAGGAAAACTTCGAGAGTAAGGTTTCCCGTCTTCGTACAAAAAGAATTGCGGGGAGCCCTTCGGGTTGAGCCGAAACGAGAATTTCCCGGTTGCCGGGTCGTCCTCGGACCGCCACGAGTTTAAGAACCGGTCCAGACCCGATTTCCGATCCAGCCCGAGCTTCGCTCCGGGTAGGAAAGTGTTCGTCGGGTAATCAACACTCTGCCACAGAATCGTCGAATTGGAACTGCTGAACAGCGCGAAATTCCCTGAATCCAGAATCCGCGCCGAGCGCGGAGAACTAGAATCGAGACCGGCCGAAACGTTGGTTGACCAAATGGGAACTTGGGTTTGAGTTCGATTTCGGTTTTGATCTTCTCCGTCGCCGGCGAACAAGACGAGGTTGCCGGTGGAGTCGATTGAGAGGAATCCGGAGTCGCCGGCGGCGATGGGGTCGTTCCGATTGGCTACCCAGATGACGGTTAGCTCCGGGACTTCGTGGAACCAAATGCCGAGGTATCGGTTGGTGGAGCGGCCGGGGGAGAAGAACCCGAGAGCGAATTTGCCGGTCTCCGAGATCAAAACGTCACCGTCCTTAAGCGGTTGCGCCGGGGTTACGGCGTCGTTTGTAGCGGTGGCGCGAAATAGGAACACCGAGAAGAAGAAGAAGAAGAGAAATGGCGGTAGAAGGAGCCGATTGGGAAGATCCATGGAAATGGTTTCTCGCCTTCGGCGGCCATTATTTGAAATCTGCAGTGCAAGTTTCTATCATGGTGGTGACGCAGTGGATTGTCCAGAGTTTGTCTTGAATGGCGAGCTTTGGAGTTTTTCCAAAATTCAAATAATAACCTTATGCAAAAAGGATTTCCCATTGTTGGAAAAAGACTGAACAGTTGAGGAGAATTTGGTGAGCGCAGTTATGGCGGGTGGTGACTCAGCTGCTGGAGGAAACTGGCGCTCTGTTTCGCTCGGCGGCGGATTTTGGCGGGTTGCAGGTAATCAAACCACAACACGCTCTGTTTCCACCCAAGAAAATAGTTCTGACGCAGACTTTTACCACTCATGATTAACATGAGTAAGCTACCAACTACGCGTATAAAAAAAGGGTCAATTTTCATCAATATAAAATCTTCATTGTATTGCCATTGTGGATAGTGCAGTGCCGGACCTGTTTTTCCAGACGCCGGTGGAGTCCCACCGTATCCGAAGATCGCAGATTTCTTCAATTGCGGTTGGCGATCGACGGCGACGGGTCTCGTGACGGCTTCAGTGACGTCTTCAAGATTTCCCAATTTGGTGACAGAGGAACGATTCATTCACCAATAATTCCGCCATGTTGCTGCATGTAGCCATTCCCCCTTGGTGGGAAAAGCCCCCTTATATTGAAAATTCGATATGGTTTGACTTGTCACTAGACCTGGCAAATTACAACACGATTCGTTGATCCGATCCGAAATCACCCAAAAAATAAAAAAAATTGTAACCCAAAATTCGAATGACCCGAACCTGATAACCCGTGATTTTTTGGGTCGGGTTGGGTGGGTTAGCGTGTCGACCCGTTAGATCCGTTCCATTTTATATATCACTCCCAAAATGATAAAATCACTCATAAATTGGTGAGATGTTTAAAAAAAATCACAAGGATTTGAATGATATGTTTTGGAGTTTAATGATAATCAAATATCATGCGTTTCTTGTAGTAGTATTACTCTTGTGATTGTTTTTTGACGATCTGTGCAATTTGTATTTCATTTCATTAGCGTGGGAGGATTTGAGTATATGTTAATTGACATGTGTTAGGTAAAGTATTGTCATGCATATGTGAACATTTGTGTTCTGTAAGAAAATATGAAGCATGTTTGATATTGCTTCTGAGAACGCTCATAACCCAAAATGACCTGTAACCCGACCCGAAACCGAATGGGTTAGCTCAATATTTGACCCAAAATCAGCCAACCAAACATGACCCGACCCATAACCGAAGTCCCCAACCCGACCCGATTGCCAGGTCTACTTGTCACAGGCTCGGAGTCTACCGCTTTGTAATCCAATCTCAATGTTCTAAATCAGTTTAATGGTTGAGATTAAATAAAATTCTTAATCGCCAGTCTTTCTTAAGGGTTATTTAGATGAATGATTCTTGAAAAAAATACAATGAAATGGATGCAATTTAAAACGATTGTGACAGCCTAACTTTGGACTAGTTGTTACTGTTTTGGAGCTCTTCCGGTACAAATGAGATGTGAATACTTGCATAGAAATGCTACTTATGTTATCGTTCCAAATATGTTGTAAAAATGTTGTTGAATTTTACATGATACTTAGGACATTTTGATGTCCCACCTTCCACATTATCAATGTGTAGACTGTAGAGCAGATTACCAATTAGTGTATTAGCGAAAATTAAATGCTCACAACGACTCAAAGCAAGTCGGAAGTATCAAAACTTAAAATAATTGTTTCCAATTCTGGATAAGTTATTGTATTCCTGAAGGATGTTGTATAGCATCATTCCATTCCAAACCTTAATCAACCCACTAAGTTGACTGTAGATCCTTAGGCATCCATGGAGTTTCTACCGACTACCCGCTAATGTCAAATGGCGAAAGACATTTTCATTTAAAGTCTCGTAGCAGGCTAGCAGCTCTTGACAGAATTCCTATTGATGCAAACTATGAGATCGATTCAGCGGTTGAAGATTCCTGAGAATGACATCTCGTTTACCGAGCACACAGGATCTTTCACGGACGATACCTTGGATCTCACGCAAACGAATGCAGGTCGATTTGGCGTTCGAAGAGGCGTCGTCTCACTGTTCAGCATGAGCACCACTGCCTGCATATCGGGTCGATCTGCTGGATTTTCCTCCACACACAACAGCCCCACTTGGATGCATCTTACTGCGACATTCGAGTCCTTCAGCATCAGCGACGAATCGACTACCTCTGCGGCTCTTCCTGCCCTCCATAGTTCCCACACCTATCAAACCATTTTTTTGACGTGAACACAACTGTTTGTTCAATGTCTGTTCAAGTAAGAAAATCTCAGAAGAAAGAACTGAACTCAGATTTTTTTTTTATTCGAATTAACTTACATGGCCGATCAAGCTCAAAGAAGGATCCTGCTGAGAGAACCAATTGATCTTCCTCCCCGCTACAGTTTCCATCAAGATCACCCCGAAACTGAAGACATCGGATTTTACCGAAAACCTCCCAAACAGTGCGTACTCTGGTGACATATAGCCACTGCCACAAGCAGCACAGAAAAAAAGATTGTTGCAGTTCAATATATTACCAAGGTTGGCTTATTCGAGTTGTTTAATAACTTACTATGTCCCACAGATTCTGCTCGTCTTGCCTTCGGTTTGGTGGTAGTCCAACATTCTAGCCATTCCAAAATCAGAAATTTTGGGGTTGAGCTCAGCATCCAGGAGAATATTGCTAGGCTTCAAGTCTCTATGGATAATTCTGAACCTCGAATCCTGATGAAGATACAACACCCCACGTGCTATCCCGATTATGATATTGAACCGTTTCCTCCAATCCAAGAACAATCTCTGGCTATCATCGACTACAACAGAAACCGAAATCATAAGAACAAACCAATGTTTGATTTGAGAGATATAGTTGGAACTTCACAAGTACACAAGAAATTTACCGAAGAGAAGCGAGTCCAAGCTATTGTAGGGCAAGTATTCATAGACCAACATCTGTTCACCATCCTCAATGCAGCATCCATGGAGCTTCACCAAGTTCCTGTGCTGGAGCTTCGCAATTAATAACGCTTCGTTCTTCAATTGTTCTAGCCCCTGGCTTGAATTTTTAGTAAGTCTTTTAACAGCAACCTCTTGTCCGTTGGGTAGCTTTCCCTGAAATTTCTAGGAGAGATTAGTACAACAGTGGGCATTATCCAGCTTACGAACTTTTAAGACAGATTTACCTTGTACACTAGAGCAAAACCTCCTTGTCCAAGTTTGGTGGTAGGACAAAAATTGTTGGTGGCGACCTGGATTGTCCCGAGGCTGAAAAATGGCAGTTCAGGATATATGGTAGTACTGTGCTTGATTTCCTTTGTTGCTTCAGAAGTTTCAAAGTAATTTGAACCATCACTTGTATGAAACAAGTTTCGGATGAGTCTGTTCTTCACTGCCATTAAACATTAAGTAGCCAAGTTCGAAAGCAGATTAGTTGCAAAACAACTCACCATTCACAAAAGTTATTAACACAATAGTGCAGAAAGGAATGGTAAAGTCAGACCATACTACCTCTCCTCTTTTTCCACTTCCTGAGCCATAAATAAGCAAGTAAGGCAATGACAATCCACACTGATACAACAGACGGTACAATAATGCTTATCTTCAGCTTGAACTCAACAAAGCCACTGGAATCCTTCAGATAATCCGCTGCACAACCCGGGGGAGGGGAGGAAAGACAGAAACCAATTTGATTCGAACTTTGCTTGAGGTTAAGCAATGATGAAGAGAGGAAGGTGTCAGAGAACATATTGATTTACCTAGTTCAAGAGCATCAACGCGAACATAGAGATCATAAGCGCGGAGTGGAAAATCCACCGTATCCATCATTGCTCCATGCCATTGCAAACAACCAATACCTTTCCCACCAATATCGATAGTAGCATATGCAGAGCATGCACAGTTTTTCCGGCATTCCCCTTCACAGTTTAATTTACTCGTTCCCAAGCCCACCCAGACGGCTGCTGAAGTATCAGGAAGCTTCACTTTTTCAACTCTCACAAACCCTTCTCCTTCTCCACAAATTGAGGTTGATTCTGCTCGCTTTCGGACACACCCACCAGATCCATCTCTTAAATGCCACTTTTTCGGAAACCTGGGTTCATAACCAGGTAAACAAGCACATTCATAGGGAAAAACAATGCTAGGATCACACTTACTGTTAGGGCCACAAGTTCCATAGAAATCACACTTCTGCTTAGGTGATGCATAAAACGCCTTCCACCGGCTATCACCTCCATCCCATGTCATTGACTTCAATATCCCAGAGGGATCGACAACAGCCCTCATGTAAACTGAAGAATCCATTATAGCAGTTGAATAGTATATCCCATCTTCATTGTTGTCAAAGGTGTCGTTGAAAAAATCATGGTTACTCTCCCACGGCCACGGAACACTTCGCCAGTAAGGATTGTTACCGTGGTACAGAAAGAACTGCGGCGAGCCACTTGGGTTCAGCTCAAATGAGAAATTTCCTGTTCCAGGATCATCTGCTGATCTCCAAGATGTCAAGAAGTGGCTCGAACCCGTTCTCCTATTCAGCCCAACTTTTATCCCAGGTAGCAGGGTGTCTGTAGGATAATCAAAGCTTTGCCACACGGTATACATCTTCCTTTCACCTTCCATCAGCACCAAATTTCCAGAATCCAGCAACCGAGCTACGCAGGGACCATTTACTCCCGCGGAAACATTCGCAGACCACACTGGACGAAGCGCTTTCTCGCCACTGCTATAGAGAAAAAGGTTGCCATGCCCATCACTAGAGAGAACACCAGAAGTTCCAATGATGGGGTCATTCCTATTTGCTACCCACACCACCGTTGGTTCTGGTATCTCATGGTACCAAATGCCAAGAAATCTATAGCTAGAACTGCCAGGACTGAAGAATCCCAATGCAAACGTACCTCCTTCAGAGATCACCAGGCTTCCATCATTGATGGACTGATTAGCCGATATTACATCACTGTGACTAGAGCATGTTTGGAAGGCGAGAAAAAGCAGAGGAAACAGAACAAAGTTTGCAGCTTCCATGGTCAAAGCCTCCCAACTGGCAGCCGCCATCAATCCAAGCATCAAGTATTCGAGTCCTCGTGTCCCAGCAAACTGAATCATCCCCTGAAAGGGGGATGACACTTTTTTCAACGAAGTTGAAATGCCTGCCATTTTTGGAATGGCGGGCAGACTGGACTGCTTTACTTTAAGAGTCAATGCCCTCTCCATTTTTTTCTAATCCTGGCCCCAGAAGAATCTTCAACAACAATACTCTCTTCTTGTTTTTCTCTCTTCTCGTCTTTCGTGTTGAATAAACAAAGGCATGGAAGGAAAGGAAGCCGCGGTAGGAACATGGAGACATACTTTGACCGTTGACTCGTGACGAGGTGAGTCGCCGCTTTCGACTCGGTGTCGCCGGAAACGGCGAAGCGGAAACGAGATTCGCCATTGAAATTTCAGGACAAAGGAAGCATGCAGGTGGAATCAGGCTCGTCGCAGAAGCTTGCAGAGCTCCACAAAAAAAAATTTAACTAATCACTGCTTATTAAATTATTATTAAGTATACTTGGTTAATGAAGTGAAGAGCTCGATACAGATATGATCACCAGGAGAAACAGTGGCATCCACATTTACAAAAGTAAGGAGCCTAGGCGAATTATCGAAGTTGTTGGGAAATGTCCATGTACGGTAACTTTAACCACTTTCTTAGACGATTGATATCTAGCATTCGACTAAGGAGAGGGTATGTCAGCGACTTAAGATCCCTGAAAATGACATCTCATTTAACGAGCAAGTACGTTCTTCTGCGAGCAATGCCTTGGGTCTCACGCAAACAAATGCAGGTCGCTTGGGAGTCGGAACAGGTGTTGTTTCGCTGTTCAGCATAAGAACCACAGCCAGCATATCAGGTCGATGTGCTGCAATTTCCTCCACGCACAACAGCCCGATTTGGATGCATCTCAGTGCCTCGTTCGAGTCCTTATGTGACAATGACAGCGACAAATCGACCAGCTCCGAGACTCTGTCTGTCTTCCATAATTCCCACACCTGTAAAAAAGTTCTACCATTGGAACTATCAGATACTGCACATGATCGATAAGATGAAGAGCTGGGTAACCATATAATTTATCGTACCACAGATTTAATGAACAGTCCCGGCGAAAGTTTATAAGAAATCATGCGATAAGTATCAGATAACCACTGATAATGTCTATTCCTAACAATAACAATGTAGCCACAGTAGTCTTCTGAGGTGATGTTTTCAGTTAGACCACTTACATGACCGATCAAACTCAATGAAGGATCTTCATGGGACAGCTCATTCATCTTCTTTCCAGTGACGGTTTCCAGTAATATCACCCCAAAGCTGAACACGTCGGATTTCACAGAAAACCTTCCAAAGAGCGCATACTCAGGTGACATGTAACCACTGCAACAAGAAACATGGTAAAGAGAGTTACTTCAAAACATTCACAAATCACTGAGGCAATTGAACGCATAACGAAAGTTCTTTCAAGCGATAAAACATACTACGTTCCTCCAATTCTACTTGTCTTCCTTTCCATTTGGTCACCGTTCAATATTCTAGCCATCCCAAAATCAGAAATTTTGGGATTCAGCTCAGCATCCAGGAGAATATTACTAGGTTTCAGATCTCTATGAATTATTCGGAATCTGGAATCCTGATGAAGATACAAGATCCCACGAGCAATACCAACAATGATGTTAAACCGTTTCCTCCAATCCAAAGATGATCTTAGGCTCTCGTCAACTGTCAAATATAAAAGCCAGATATGAAATGAAATGAACGGCAATGTCAAATCAGCTTTCTCTGAATCATCCCACCTTGAGGACATCATGAAATACAGAAGAATTACCAAAGAGAAGGGAATCCAAACTATTGCGGGACAGGTACTCATAAATCAGTATCTGTTCATCTTGCTCAATGCAGCAACCATGAAGCTTCACAAGGTTCCTGTGTTGGAGCTTTGCAATCAAGAATACTTCATTCTTGAATTGCTCCAGCCCCTCTCTTGAATTTTTGGACAATCGTTTTATAGCCACCTCTTGTCCGTTTGACAGCTTTCCCTGAAAATTCAAGAACTAAATCACAGCAGCCATTGTCAAGTTTCGCGGACATTGCATAGAGACTTTACCTTGTACACTAAACCAAAACCCCCTTGTCCAAGTTTGTTTTCTGGGGAAAAACTGTCAGTGGCTTCATATATGGTGCTGAGGCCGAAAAAAGGTAATTCAGGGTAGACAGTACTTCGCTTGATGTCTGTTGGAGCCACAGAATCTTCCAAGTAGTTTGAACCATCAGTTGGATGAAATAGATTTCTGATCTGTATGTTCTTCGCTGCCATCAATAACAAAAGTAGCAACAATGTTAAAACACAGACAATAATTATGAAGGCACAAAGTAATGGAGTTAGATGGTTAATACCCCTACTCCTTCTCCTCTTTCTGAGCCACAAATACACAGACAAGACAATGACAACCCATACTGAGACAATGGACGGAATGATGCTGCTCAACTGCAACTTCATCTTCAACTCGAGAAAGCCACTGGATTCCTTCAGATAATCAGCTGTTCATCAAATGTGTTACGACATTAATCAGATACTGAGAAAGAAAAAAAAGAAAAGAAGCATATCATTCAAGGGGGTGGGGGTGGGGGGAAATCAGTTTATTTTATTCACTCCCTTCTCCTTCTTCCTTAACATTCTTTAGCTTTTGTAATGCTGCGGATAAGTAATTTCGTGCAACCATATTGATTTACCTAGTTCAATAGCATCAACACGAACATAGAGATCGTAAGCACGGACTGGATAGTTAACTGTATCAATCAGTGTTCCATACCATGTCAAACAACCAATCCCTTTCCCATCAATAGCCATGGTAGCATATGCAGAGCATGAGCAGTTCTTTCTGCATTCACCTTCACAGGTCAATTTCCTTCTTCCCAAGTCCACCCAGATGGCTGCTGAAGTATCAGGAAGCTTCACTTTTCCTACTCTCACAAACCCTTCTCCATTCCTACAAATCGAAGATGATTCTAATCTCTTTCTGACACACCCGCCAGATCCATCTCTCAAATGCCACATTCTGGGGTACCTAGGTTCATAACCAGGTAAACAAGCACATTCAAACGGGAAAACAATGCCAGGATCACACTTACTGTTAGGGCCACAACTTCCATAGAAATCACACTTCTGCTTAGGGGATGAATAGAAGACCCTCCACTGGCCATCGCTTTCATCACGTGTCATTGCCGTCAAGATTCCTGAAGGATCGACGACTGCCCTTACGAGTAAAGAAGAGTCCACAGTAGCAGATGAGAGGAATATCCCATCGTCGTTGTCTACAAATGAGTCTTTGTAGAATTCATGGTTATCCTCCCACCTCTCCCACTGCCAAGGAGCGCCCCGCCAATAAGGAATGGTACCTTGGTACATAAACAACTGCGGCGAGGCACTTGGCTTAAGCTTATATGAGAAATTCCCTATACCTGGATCGTCTGCTGATCGCCAAGATGTCAAGAAGCTGCTCGAACCTGTTCTCCTACTCAACCCAATTTTCATCCCAGGCAGTACAGTGTCCGACGGATAATCAAAGCTTTGCCACAGAGTAGTACTCTTACTTGCACCTTCCTTCAACACAAAATTTCCAGAATCCAACAACTGAGCTACACATGTGCCATTTGATCCCGCTGAAACATTAGCAGACCATATGGGAAGCTTGCTGCTACTATTACTGTAGAGGAAAAGGCTGCAATATCCATGACCCGTAAGAATCCCTGAAGTCCCAGTGATGGGATCATTACGATTTGCAACCCACACCACAGTTTGCTCTCCTATATCATGGTACCAAATGCCAAGATATCTATAGCTCGAACTACCAGGACTGAAAAATCCCAGAGCAAATCTACCACCTCTGGAGATCACCAGGCTCCCGTCGCTGATGGATTCATTTGCAGCTAAGGTATCATGAGAGCCAGAGCTCGTTTGGTGCCAGAAAAGAAGCAGAGATAGCAGAAGAAGCTTTGCAGAGTCCATGGTCAGTTTCCTTCCCAAAGGGAGCAGCAGCCAACCAATCCTTCATTAGAAGCCATACGAAAATAACATATTTGACAGTTATACAGAAGGCTGACTCCATCGAGGACTTTGCTACTCGAATGCTCGCCATTCTTTCTTACCACAAAATAAACGGACGAGAAACGAAATTCAACGGGAGACCTTTTTGTCACCCCCATGTGGCGATGACTTTTTACACCACCATGGACTACGGCGGACTGGTAAGTAGATGTGACAGCTGACCTTCAGCGCTGAATTGCAGGAAACTGGCCCGAGATGGAACTCCTTTGTAAATAAATAATTTGGATTTTATTTAATTCTGCTGGTACACAAATGCAAAGTTAAGACGACGTACATATATTCGAGAACAAAATAAAAGTAGAGATAAATTGAATTTCGAAGACAACAGTTGATGGGGATAATGTAGAGTTGACGAATGCTTTTTTCCAGTTCTTCAAAGAGTGTAGTGCTGGTTCATGGAGTCGATATCGTAGCCCTTCAGCTTGGCAAACGACTCCACTCTTCCTTTCAGCGTGTGAAGCTCCCTCATCCTCGCGATCTCAGCACGTTTCCTGGCTTCCTCGGCCATGAGACTGATCTCTCTGTAAGTGCTCTTGTCTGAGAAGATTTTCATGTCGGAATCGCTCTGCAGGCCATGAAGAGTTCTTTGCTCCGTCGCCCATGCCGCTTCCCTCTCTTCCCTCCCGAAGTCCTTCTTGTTGGTGAACGCAGTCTGCAGAAAGAAGTTGCCAAGCGAAAATGTCAGTTAAATTTTTCATTGATCTTGAAGCAGTTAGTTGAATTGGGTTAGGAAATGTCGTTTCATTCATCATCTTAATATACCCTTTTGTCCACAACCAGTCCCCAGGCTCTGCCGCTGAGAGCGTACATGACGATGAATTTGATGGGATCGAGGAGCACGTATGTGACGGCGTTGAAAGCCCATATGGCTCCAGTCCACTTCCATCCAATGCTTCGGATTCCAGCGAATTTCCAGTTTGCTTCCGCCGAGATCACGGTTGCAATCTGCAACAACTCGGGAGAGTTTTGAGTTATTGTGTTGTGATTGTTAAGTGTGACATTGGAAGAGTTGGTGGATTTTTGAGATTTTTACCAGTTGGGCGACTAGGAAGGCGAAGACGAGCAGGAAGCCAGGGCGTTCCTGGAAAGACCATCCCCTGGAGCGGGTGACAAAGATCAAAGCTTGGCTGATGGTGCTAATCTGGAGGTACAATGCTGAGGCTAATTGCTGGTTGAGTTGATCAGCAACTGCTTTGTTTGTGAGGTCGTAGTCGTCCTGCTGGAAGCTCGTTACATGGAAGTATTTCTGTTGAAGGGGGGAAGAGAAGAGAGGAGAAATGGTTCATTCAATCTTCTAGCGGATGATCATGAGAGGAAAAAGCACAGATTATTTTGTTCTTACTGTGAAGAAGTTGGTCTCGTAAGCCAGCCAGAAGAAGGCGACGGTCATGAGTGCTAAGTAGCCACCAAGGACGACGCCAGTGGCGAAAATCTCACTCAACCTCCAGCTATCAGGTACGGGTGATGGCTTTACTCTGTCCTTGGATATGGTCATGATTGTTCCTGCAACCCGAAACAGAAAAGAAGCATATCATTCAAGGGGGTGGGGGTGGGGGGAAATCAGTTTATTTTATTCACTCCCTTCTCCTTCTTCCTTAACATTCTTTAGCTTTTGTAATGCTGCGGATAAGTAATTTCGTGCAACCATATTGATTTACCTAGTTCAATAGCATCAACACGAACATAGAGATCGTAAGCACGGACTGGATAGTTAACTGTATCAATCAGTGTTCCATACCATGTCAAACAACCAATCCCTTTCCCATCAATAGCCATGGTAGCATATGCAGAGCATGAGCAGTTCTTTCTGCATTCACCTTCACAGGTCAATTTCCTTCTTCCCAAGTCCACCCAGATGGCTGCTGAAGTATCAGGAAGCTTCACTTTTCCTACTCTCACAAACCCTTCTCCATTCCTACAAATCGAAGATGATTCTAATCTCTTTCTGACACACCCGCCAGATCCATCTCTCAAATGCCACATTCTGGGGTACCTAGGTTCATAACCAGGTAAACAAGCACATTCAAACGGGAAAACAATGCCAGGATCACACTTACTGTTAGGGCCACAACTTCCATAGAAATCACACTTCTGCTTAGGGGATGAATAGAAGACCCTCCACTGGCCATCGCTTTCATCACGTGTCATTGCCGTCAAGATTCCTGAAGGATCGACGACTGCCCTTACGAGTAAAGAAGAGTCCACAGTAGCAGATGAGAGGAATATCCCATCGTCGTTGTCTACAAATGAGTCTTTGTAGAATTCATGGTTATCCTCCCACCTCTCCCACTGCCAAGGAGCGCCCCGCCAATAAGGAATGGTACCTTGGTACATAAACAACTGCGGCGAGGCACTTGGCTTAAGCTTATATGAGAAATTCCCTATACCTGGATCGTCTGCTGATCGCCAAGATGTCAAGAAGCTGCTCGAACCTGTTCTCCTACTCAACCCAATTTTCATCCCAGGCAGTACAGTGTCCGACGGATAATCAAAGCTTTGCCACAGAGTAGTACTCTTACTTGCACCTTCCTTCAACACAAAATTTCCAGAATCCAACAACTGAGCTACACATGTGCCATTTGATCCCGCTGAAACATTAGCAGACCATATGGGAAGCTTGCTGCTACTATTACTGTAGAGGAAAAGGCTGCAATATCCATGACCCGTAAGAATCCCTGAAGTCCCAGTGATGGGATCATTACGATTTGCAACCCACACCACAGTTTGCTCTCCTATATCATGGTACCAAATGCCAAGATATCTATAGCTCGAACTACCAGGACTGAAAAATCCCAGAGCAAATCTACCACCTCTGGAGATCACCAGGCTCCCGTCGCTGATGGATTCATTTGCAGCTAAGGTATCATGAGAGCCAGAGCTCGTTTGGTGCCAGAAAAGAAGCAGAGATAGCAGAAGAAGCTTTGCAGAGTCCATGGTCAGTTTCCTTCCCAAAGGGAGCAGCAGCCAACCAATCCTTCATTAGAAGCCATACGAAAATAACATATTTGACAGTTATACAGAAGGCTGACTCCATCGAGGACTTTGCTACTCGAATGCTCGCCATTCTTTCTTACCACAAAATAAACGGACGAGAAACGAAATTCAACGGGAGACCTTTTTGTCACCCCCATGTGGCGATGACTTTTTACACCACCATGGACTACGGCGGACTGGTAAGTAGATGTGACAGCTGACCTTCAGCGCTGAATTGCAGGAAACTGGCCCGAGATGGAACTCCTTTGTAAATAAATAATTTGGATTTTATTTAATTCTGCTGGTACACAAATGCAAAGTTAAGACGACGTACATATATTCGAGAACAAAATAAAAGTAGAGATAAATTGAATTTCGAAGACAACAGTTGATGGGGATAATGTAGAGTTGACGAATGCTTTTTTCCAGTTCTTCAAAGAGTGTAGTGCTGGTTCATGGAGTCGATATCGTAGCCCTTCAGCTTGGCAAACGACTCCACTCTTCCTTTCAGCGTGTGAAGCTCCCTCATCCTCGCGATCTCAGCACGTTTCCTGGCTTCCTCGGCCATGAGACTGATCTCTCTGTAAGTGCTCTTGTCTGAGAAGATTTTCATGTCGGAATCGCTCTGCAGGCCATGAAGAGTTCTTTGCTCCGTCGCCCATGCCGCTTCCCTCTCTTCCCTCCCGAAGTCCTTCTTGTTGGTGAACGCAGTCTGCAGAAAGAAGTTGCCAAGCGAAAATGTCAGTTAAATTTTTCATTGATCTTGAAGCAGTTAGTTGAATTGGGTTAGGAAATGTCGTTTCATTCATCATCTTAATATACCCTTTTGTCCACAACCAGTCCCCAGGCTCTGCCGCTGAGAGCGTACATGACGATGAATTTGATGGGATCGAGGAGCACGTATGTGACGGCGTTGAAAGCCCATATGGCTCCAGTCCACTTCCATCCAATGCTTCGGATTCCAGCGAATTTCCAGTTTGCTTCCGCCGAGATCACGGTTGCAATCTGCAACAACTCGGGAGAGTTTTGAGTTATTGTGTTGTGATTGTTAAGTGTGACATTGGAAGAGTTGGTGGATTTTTGAGATTTTTACCAGTTGGGCGACTAGGAAGGCGAAGACGAGCAGGAAGCCAGGGCGTTCCTGGAAAGACCATCCCCTGGAGCGGGTGACAAAGATCAAAGCTTGGCTGATGGTGCTAATCTGGAGGTACAATGCTGAGGCTAATTGCTGGTTGAGTTGATCAGCAACTGCTTTGTTTGTGAGGTCGTAGTCGTCCTGCTGGAAGCTCGTTACATGGAAGTATTTCTGTTGAAGGGGGGAAGAGAAGAGAGGAGAAATGGTTCATTCAATCTTCTAGCGGATGATCATGAGAGGAAAAAGCACAGATTATTTTGTTCTTACTGTGAAGAAGTTGGTCTCGTAAGCCAGCCAGAAGAAGGCGACGGTCATGAGTGCTAAGTAGCCACCAAGGACGACGCCAGTGGCGAAAATCTCACTCAACCTCCAGCTATCAGGTACGGGTGATGGCTTTACTCTGTCCTTGGATATGGTCATGATTGTTCCTGCAACCCGAAACAGAAAAACCGCTTCAAAACTTGTAGCAACTAAGGTAACAGCTTTTATATGCTGTAATTCAAAGAACAAGGAAGTGGGAAATGAAAGGGAGCTGACCATCGTTGAGAATGGCTATGACTAGGACCATGAAAGGTGGGAAGTCGAACTTCCAGAAGCAAGTCAGCATCAAGAATCCAAAGACGATACGGATGGTGATGGACACAGCATAAATCTGGAAACAAGTAAAATGCATCCACGAAATTGGACAGGGTTAATATTTGTTTTTGATGTTGTACACTGCCATCACAGGGAGGGGTTTACTTACAGTGTAATTCTTCATTCTCTGGAAGATGGATCGGCTGGTCAGCACAGCGCTGATGATGACACTAAGACCAGGCTCTGTCAAGACAATATCAGAAGCACCTCTCGCAGCATCAGTTGAATCCGCCACTGCAATACCAATGTCTGCTTTCTTCAAGGCAGGGGCATCATTCACTCCATCTCCAGTCATTCCACAAATGTGCTTTCTGGCTTGAAGTCTCCTCACAATCTCGTACTTATGTTCTGCCATATAATGTCAAAAGGTGTCTCACGGAATTGTTGGGATCACAGACCTTGAAATGGAAACGAAAAGGGGTTGGATTTTGTTTTGTTACCAGGGAACACTCCGGCAAAGCCATCAGCCTTCTCAATGAGCTCATCGATGGGGAGAGACCCAGTTGCTTCATTTCCACCCTCAGTAAGCAGGGACGAAGACGGGTACATATTTGTTCCCATTCCAAGCCTTCTTCCTGTCTCCTTGCCAATGGCAAGCTGATCACCTGTAATCATCTTAACACTGACACCTAAATCCAAAGCTCTCCTGATTGTTTCAGCACTGTCGTGGCGAGGAGGGTCGAAGAGGGGGAGAAGGCCAACAAATTCCCACGGTCCTCCGGCGCTGTCCTTATTCCCATCTGGAACTTGCTGATATGGGAAAGAAAAAGAGTTTTTTTTTTCAGTGTTTCAGAATTATGGATGGCATTGAAATGGAGTCTTGTATAATATGAGTCACGAGTGATGATGCTACACATCAGAAGTTCACCTGGCGAGCAACTCCAAGAGATCTTAATCCGCGTTCTGCAAATTTGTCAATGATTGAATGGACCTTGTTTGCGATTTCTTTTTTGTTATGTGCCAGGTTGAGAATCTGAATGTAACAGCAAGAAGAGGTCAAATTTCTTAATAGAGTGAAAGCGAATACTTCTTCGTGTAATATCGAAGTTCTGATTCTGTACCTGTTCTGGTGCACCTTTGCTGACTCTGTGCATTTTACCTTCGCCGTCCAAGTATGTGAGGGCAGTCCTCTTGTCAGTTGGGTTGAAGGGGAGGAAGTGAATTTCTCTAATGCCGGCTCGTGCCTTCAAAAGGTAAACAATTGTAATTTGTAAAGTGAAAGACCAGAAATTTCCATTCTGAATGAGAGACGATATATTCAAGTGGAAAAAAGAGAGTACCTCCTTAGGGTCTCCCAACATGTTAACAATTGCAGTATCAATGGCGTCTTGGTTCTCAAGCCTTGATGCTCTGGCAGCCATCAGCACGACCAAATCCTTGTCAACACCCCTGGCGAAAACCTAATGATCATGAAGGCAGGCTATTAATTACTCCGCGATCCAGGTCAGGTATCGAGAAGAGCATTCCATTCACTTACCTCAACCATAGTTTTGTCCACTGTTAGTTTGTTGAGCGTCAATGTGCCTGTTTTGTCACTGCAAAGAACATCCATTCCTGCCATTTCTTCAATAGCTGTCATTCTTTTCGTTATGGCACCCTGTGGAACAATTTCCAAGCTCACTGTAAATCACCCAAGTTTTGCACTTAGTGTGACTAAATATTAGTGCCGAAGATGAACTGGACATTACCTGCTGAGACAGGCGATGTGATCCGATGGCCATAGTGACTGAAAGAACGGTTGGCATGGCAATTGGGATCCCACCGATAAGGAGAACTAGTAGATTATCAATCCCAACTCGGTACGCTCTCTTTTGTAGGCCATAAATCACCACGATTTCGATCACCATACCAACAGCAATTGAGCAAATGCAGAAGTTTCCAATTGCTGTCAAAACCTGAATCATGTGCAGTGGTACCAACTCGATTAGTGATCTAGGCAAACATAAAACAGGTTTCCTTCCTAATTTTATACTTCCAAAAGCCAAAACGAACCTTTTGGAAATGGCCAACGTTGTTTGTGCTGTCAACAAGATGAGCTGCTTTCCCGAAGAATGTGTGAACTCCGGTAGCAATCACTACACCTTCTATTTCGCCTTGCTTGCAGGTTGAGCCAGAGTATACTCCATCTCCAGGACTTTTGGTCACAGGTAGAGACTCTCCAGTCAAAGCAGCCTGTAAGATTTTGCCACATGTGTTCCCAAAACAAGATTGCTTAGGAAGCACGCAAATTTCTTGAGCTCTAGACAATTGCAAACAAAACTAACCTGATCAATCTTTAAGGGATCTCCTTCAAGAAGGCGGGCGTCAGCAGGAATGATATCACCAAGCTTGATGCTGACAATGTCTCCAGGCACCAAAACAGCAGCATCTTCCTCGCTCCATCTACCATTTCGAAGGACCTTGGCCTTTGGCGCCAGCCGAGCCATGAGAGCAGCAGCTGCATTACCAGCGTTGTTTTCCTCTATGAAACTGATAGTGGAGTTGATTATGAGCAGCACTATGATGCCAACGAAATCATGGTAATCTGCACTCTTCCCCTGCATTTAACCAGATTACAAATTCCCTCGATCAAAATTTCTCCGTCTGTCAAGAACATGTTCAGCAAAGGGAAAAAGAAAGGAACTTTGAAAGACATACCCCTCCATGGGCAAGAGTAATGGCCATGAGAGCGGCAGCTTCCATGACCCATGAAAGAGGATTCCACATAAACCCCAAGAACTTGAGGAATTTGTTTTCAGTCTTCTCTTCAAGCTTGTTATATCCAAACAGCTCCAATCGCTCTTGAACTTCGTCAGAGCTCAGACCTTCTCTTGTGCATTTGAGATGCTCAAAGACTTCTTCCATTGGCGCATTTTCCTGTCGAAGGATCAAAAGGTGAGCCAAGTACATAGAAGGGCGAAAAGAAAGCGATTATTGTACATTGTACAAAGTAAGTCTGCAGATATTGTTCATTCACGTACCAGATCGACGGATTCTTTCATAACTGCATCAAGTGACTGGACACCCATGATTTCTTCCCTTTCCGGGCTATAGCTATTCGATTAAAAAGAAAGCAGCAGATAGCTCCTGAATTAGCTTCTTCCTAAGAACGTGCTGTTTGAACTACTTTAAATTTTCAGAGGAAGGAAAACTTAAAACAGAGAAAACACAGGTAGATGATCAATGATTGGCGGGTTGAGGATGAAGAGAGATTGTGGGAACTCTACTATATATATGAAAACAGAATGGCAGAAGGGAACAAATGAAAGAATGATTTTTTAGAGGACAGAGAGAAGACAGTATAAGAAGTAGGAGACGGAAAAGAGAAGGGTCTTTAGTTTGGCAACTATTGTGGCTAACTGGTGGAATTAAGCTCCATTTTGGAAAATGGACAGCTTTATGAACATTTTTTTTTCCCCTCGCTTAAGAAGATCCGCCTAGGGGCCTTAGTCTCTGTGGCCACCAGGGAGATGCTCTTCCCTGTAAGCCTGCTCCTAGCAGCATGCTACCTTTAGTCCTCTTCGAACTGTAAAAAGAATCATCATATCTCCGTCGCAGCCAGTGTTCTCTTTCACACTGTGGGAACTAATCACAGCTGCAATCCGAGGATATAGGTAGGCACCAACGCAGCAGCAGAGACTTTTCCACTGCGAATTGACAAGACCATGTCAACTGCTGTCCTTTGTTGCTTGATCATGAATTGCAAAGTAAAATATCAAAACTACTTTCTAGCAGCCCTAGATTGCTGCTACAAGCAGCATGAATGAATCCCGCTCCTTTTTGCGTCGCTGTGTGCTGTTGGGAAATAAGATTTAGTAGAAAAGGCACTCATTGTGCTTGAAGAGAACAACAAAGAACCCAAAACGTATATCTATTATAAAGTTATTTTCTGTCACATTTCATGATTTCCCTGCCAACCAATCCAATTTCCCACAGCTTCATTCAAAAGAAAAGAATTTATGACTACTCAAATGGACTTCTGTCAGACAGATTTGCAGATAGCAATTCGTTCCTATATTTTACCACTCTTTACTAAATTCATACAAGGCCTCAACAAGGGAAACAAACTTGTAAATGCTACTCTTAAACTTTTTCGATCAATTCGTTGAATTCTATTAGCTCAAACTTGTAAACGCTGCAACAGGAAACCATAAAAACAGAGCATTGCTATATTCGTCTAAACTGAAACTACTCCCCCAAAACAGAAGCAGCAGTAGAGCAGCAGCAAACATAGCCTACGAAGTAAGAATTGAAGTTCCTGAAATTCACTCTCCATACCGGGTTTACCCCATAGATGCAGCGAGATGTCAACCCTGAAGGCGATGATGAGAGCTGCACCACTTCTCCGAGCTTTTTCATGCACCATGCGACAATGTTCTTTCAATAAAGTAGAGACCAAAGCACACCATACAGCCCTCGAGATTCTTCCTCTATCACTAACTTGATTCGACAAATCACACGGAGCTGCCAGATTTTCAAGCCACTCAACCCTAATTGCAATGTCAGCAATTTGAACAAACAGATTGAACAAAAGTTATTTTGATATTCACAGCTAAAGAGCAAGTGCTCTCTTGATTCTTCTCTAACTTCGAATAGCACATATGGGGAATCCAGTTGGAGAAATAAACTTTTTTCTCCAACCTGTACCCTTCCCGTATGCCCTCTCTGTCATCTCTCGTTCCATTAGATGAATCAGTTGGTCTTTCTCACTTATCCACCCCGCCTTGTCAACGCAACGTCACCACCTTGGAGTTCCATGGAGCCCAAACTGCATTGTGGACCTCACCCTATCATATGCTCACTTGCCTAACTTTTCTATCATCCTGTGATTTGATACATATGCACCAGCAGAGTTCAAGCAAACATCCACATAATGATCCTCACTGAGACTGTATGAAGAAGTCTACTTTACGTTAGGGTATCATCTTAAATCAGCACCGTTTTTGAACGAGCTGGATTCATGATCCTGATGAGCTTAGCTCACTGACTAGCTGCTTAATCACAGTGCTGTCATTGCAGATTCAACGTAAGTAGGCAATGAAGCAAACCCACCGTTCGAGGAGGTTACCACAGTCCTGTTGTGTTCTTGAAACAACTTTCCTAGGCTGCAACAGGGTAACAAATAGCAATCTGACATGAGTGAACACTCAAGCAGGAATGTACTATCATCCCATCAATATCCATTTATATTACAAAAAACTATCTCATTTCCCATTACATCTACATTTTCTTAAACCTTACGAAACACTTCCCTCAAACTTCTACTTCTAAAAAAGACACTTTTTTCAGAAAAGCTAAAACAGACTTGATCATTACCTTTTACATAGCCCTGTTCGCACCCACAGACATAAGTGGTTTGGGAGGGGCGAGTGATCTGATCTCAGGCGCAGAACTAGGGAATAGTATGTTGAGTTTGTGCATGAGTATGTCAGCTCTTGACGGAATCTCATTCACCAGAAACTGCTGTACAATGGGCTTCTTAAACCACTCCATCACCCCATCCCCTGGCGCTCTTAGTACCACCTTACTCACCTCAAAGGGTGACTCCAACCCACTCAGCATCTGAGCCACCACAATCTTCAGAGTCGGCCCTGTGACCAATTTGATGCGTCGCGGTATCACCCCATAGTACAGCATCCGCTTCCTGAACCTATGGAGTGTGTGCACAACTGCTATCAGAGCGGCCCCCACTGAGAGGTTCCTCACATCCAGTGACCAAGCGATGTGCTGATCAAACACAATGGCCTTTGGAAACAACTTGTTCTCATAAGCCACTTTCCAAACACATCTCGCTCGGTTAATCTGTCCCATCAGGACCAAGTAATTGAGCAGAACATTCACATAGTACCTCGCCGCTCCTTCCTCCAACTCATAGTCTATTCCTTGAAAGAACTCCCTGACAAAGGACAGCACTGGTTGTTTCCTCTGTTCAGGGCCGGTGAACAGCCCGCACATAAACTCATGGGCCCTGTGCCTCGTACTGCCCAAAATTGACATAAGATGCCTCTCCTTATGCTCATCTTGGCACCGAACAAGATGGGCTAGTATAGAAGTATAAAGGATTAGATCCACTTTAGCAGCAGAGTTTATGTAAGTCTCGATTAGTGGCTTGGCCTGTTCATACAAACCATTCTTCATACAAGACTCAAAGAGCTGTCTGATTATGAAGTTATTCGTCCTAATCCCAGAAGAACCCATGAAACGCAGCCACCTCAGAGCAAGATCAACTGAACCATCCCTTATGTACACCATTAGAACATCACTGGCACTGACGTCAACAGAGAACCCCATACTTTTCATTTCCAGTAAGATTTTGGCCGCCACATCAACGAGTTTTTTATTGGCTAAAAGGGTTAGAAGGGAAGTGTAGGTACTCAAACCTGGTCTAAGGCCTGCACTAGCCATTGAGTGATACAGCCTCATGGAAGAATCTACTTGTCCAGAAGCAGCATGCATCTCCAGAAGACAGGAATATGTTGATGGGGTTGGTAGAAACCCAGCTTTTTCCATATCGCTGAAAATAGACATTGCAATATCCAGCTTCCCGGACTTTGCATGGGACTCGATTATCAATGTATACAAGCCGAAGTTAGGCCTGAAACCCGTCAACTTCATCTCATCCCATAGCCGCAGAGCTCTATCTAGCTTCCCGGACTTGGTGTACGATTCTATCAAAGAAACAAACATGGTCGCAGATGGCCTGTGTCCAAAACCCTGCATTTCCATGTAAATTTTCATGGATGTGTCCAACCTCCCTGCTTTACCCATGGAATCAACGAGGGCTGAGAAAATCCCAAAGCTTGGTTGAATTTTCCTTTCCTTCATCTGTTGAAACAACTGATTAGCTGCATCAAGCCTTCCTGATTTTGCCAAGCTTGGTATCATCATCTCATACGTTGACCTATCGAGAGAAGCATTTGCTGCTTCCATTCTCTCATATACCTCAAATGCTTTGTAAGGCAGACCCTTGTTCAGAAACAGAGTTATCAACGCGTTATATGTCTGTGTATCAATCTTACAGCCCGAATCCTGAACTTTCTTGAAACAATAAAATGACACCTCCAGCTTCTCAGCTTTAGCCAAATGCTGGATCACCCTATTGTGCGCACCAAACGAAGAAGGAACCTGGGCTTCACTTGAATCTCGAACCAGCTCATCAAACAACAACTGAATGGCATCAAAATCTCTGCTTCGATTCAACCCGTCAAACAACATGACATAGCACTCGTCACTGGGGACATACCATGGCTGCCTCTTACCCCATTTGAACAAACTCGACAATGCACCAGGATCCTCAATGAGTTTCATGGCTTGAATGACGTGGGTCATGGTCGGCACGAATTGCAGATTGTCCAGTTGGGTTTCCAATTCAGGACCCCATCTCCATCTCTTCGCAACCTCAACGATTTTGGCCACCGCAGAAGCGTTCAGGATCGGCTTCTTCAGCCCACCAATCATCACATGGTCGTCGATTCCAGGTTCCACTGCCCTCACTCCTTTCCCGGCATAAATTAGACTGCCGGACTCGTCCAAATACTCAATCTCCTCCGTCCAGGCACCACCATCCCCGCCGCTGCTCGCTCCTGAGCAGAAATGTCTCGCGAACTTGGGATCCCGAACCAGAAGGGAAGAAGTAGCTGCTGCTGCTGCTGCATAGCGATGAACGAAACTGGCGAACAGAAGGCGGGAGATAGAGCTGATCGCCGGGAGGACGGAGGAGCAGGAATGGAGATTGCGAGAACTAGCGCAAGAGGATTGGAAAGAAGGGGTGGAGGCGGGATTAACGGTGAGTGCGTAGAAACGGGTACGGCGGCATAATCGGCCGGTGGGAAGAAACATTGAACTCGGTGCTACCGAGAGCAAAATATGCCAAAACCCCAAAAGGCCAAAACCCTTTTGCAGGAGCAGAGCAGGCAGAAAGGAAGAGCCTTTCAGCAGAACTGAGAGTCTTGGAGACGAAGAAGAGGCCATTGCACCTGCTCTTCGTGTTCCACCTTTCTTTTTCTTACCGGCGGGCTTGGGCCGCTAAGTTTAAGTGACATGTATACAGACTACAGAGCTGAAGCCCAACACAGAGCTTACATAGAACCTTACATAGACCAACTAACTAAACGACGACTGATTTCAATCGACGAAACGCATAATTTCTGATGGTTCAAGAATCGAATTATAAATCAAAATTGTAGCAATGATCTATACTTACATCGATACTATCCCTTAACTATGTACTTGCAAACGTGTAATTTTTCATCGGCCTTCAACGATGATAGATTCAGTCAAGTCGTTGATGGACCATTTCTCCGCACTGGAAGACGATTGAGGATAGTAGATCGCAGGATTCGGGGTCTTGTTCTGGAATGTGTACGTCGGTTTATTCGGCTGCGGGAGAGTTGTTTCACCATTAAGCATTGAGACCACGCCCGCCATTGTTGGCCTGTCAGAAGCATGGTCTTGCACGCAGAGCAGTCCAACGTTCACGCATCTGCTCACTTCCGACGGGTTGCTCGATTCGGTCACTGTCTGGTCAGCCATGTCCACTCCCCTGCTTTCGTCCCATGATCGCCATGCCTGGGGAAAAAAACACACCTTGTTAGCATCAAGTACAAAAGATTGCTGTGAAGTTGGATCAGCAACTTTGGTTCACACCACGCGTGCAACTTACAAAAGAAAGAAGACTGGGATGGTGCTCTTCGTAATGGAAGCTGGTAGTTTTCCTGCCACTAACGATTTCCAACACGAGTACTCCAAAGCTGAACACGTCAGATTTCTCCGAGAACATCCCGGCCAGTAAGTACTCCGGCGACATGTACCCCCTTCAAATTTGAGATCAAACGCCATGAATATCAGTAACTATGTTGCAGCATCAGCTGGGAATGGTAAAAGAGAAGAAGTGTTCTAAGGCAAGAGTCTACTTACAATGTTCCCACTACCCTGTGAGTGCTAGCCAAATCCTGCGTCCCCTCGAAATTCCTGGCTAACCCGAAATCCGATATCTTTGGATTCATCTTCTCGTCAAGAAGAATGTTGCTGACCTTCAAATCTCTGTGTATGATTCTCAAACACGAGTCGCGGTGGAGATACAGAAGCCCTCGAGCAATTCCGTGTATGATGTTGAAACGTTTTGGCCAGTCCAGCTCCGCCTTCTTCGTTGAATCTAAGCCAACAATCGAGATCAACCAACGGTAAAAAGAACATGAGAGAAGAAACTCTCAGATCACCAGCAAAACGAAGCACAAAAGGGAGAGTAGAGCAAGAAACCAACCAAAGAGGTAACAGTCCAAGCTTTTATTGGGCATATACTCATAGATCAAGATCTTTTCCAGATTGTCAATGCAGCAACCCACCAGCCTCACGAGATTCCTGTGTTGCAGTTTAGATATCAACATGATTTCGTTCTTGAATTCATCTGCGCCCTGTCCTGAGCTGCTCGAGAGCCTTTTGATCGCCACAACCTTCCCATCCGGTAGCTTGGCCTGTGCATTGGACGAAGGTTATCAGCCTTTCAGCCATCAAAGGATCTGATACAATGTCTTAACAATTTGTCGCAATAGCTCAACTTGTAAGGAGCAGTCTGTAGAATGAATCATGTACCTTATAAACAGGACCAAAGCCTCCTCGGCCAAGCAAGTTTTCTGTGTTGAAACTGTCTGTCGCTATCTCAATGCTCTCCAAATCAAACATGGGCAGCTCCAATGACTCGTCCTGCTCGTCTGGGTAACCCTTTGGCACATATGTAAGCCGTTTCGAAGGTGCACTCGAGTTGTCAGTTCCACCTACAAGAACCACATTACAGTACTATCACTCTCAAAAAGAGCTTCAAGGCCCATCAAAAAAATTCAAGCATAACCTTTATGACAGAATCTTGTAATCAAAGCTGATTAATTACGTACCCTTCGTTGTATTTACCCTTCTTTTCCTCCACATTATCAAACCCAAAACCAAAGCAGCAATGACAAGGGTTCCCAGAATAGTGGGTAGTAAAACGATCAGCCTTGCAGACTGCTTCTTCCCATCAGCTGAGAAAGAAAAAGGAAGTAAAGCAGCAATCTTTAGCAGATGAAATCCCAAAATCATTCAACGAACGAATGTGCGGTTTATAGTTAACTGGCTGGCTTAACCGATCCCTGATGCTCACCTAAATCTGTACTTGCTAGACGAAGATACAAATCCTGCCCAGCAAACTCCAGCTCCTGCAAATCCACAACCTTCTCTGTCCACATTAAACACCCTATCCCATTCACATACGAATACGCAGTGCATGAACAGTTGTTCAGGCATTGCCTCGAGCATTCGCCATTGTCCCAAACCCTCATGAACTCTGAAGAATCAGGAACATTCACTCCACTCAACTTCAAAAACCCATCTCCTCCATTACTACTCACATTACTCGTCCCACATAACAACTCGGTCCTTCTTATGCAACCTCCGGACCAGTTCCCTTGCCTCCATTCTTCCTCCGATTTCGGCACAAACCCTTTCAAGCAGTTGCAAACCAGAGGATCATTCCTCTCACAGACACCAAACTCCCCACATGAACCATAATTCTCACACTGGGATTTAGGAGTTCGCCACCTGACATACCAACCTCTAATACTATCCCAACACCTCAATTCCAGAGATCCAGATGAAGACATTACAAATGTTGTATAAGTGCAGTTTCTAGGTGGACGTAAGGAGAGATAAACCAAACCCTGATCCAGATCGTTGAGGAGTGTGAGTGAGCTCTGGAAATCGGTGTCCATGTCTGGGATATTGGTAAACCTTGCTCTGTCCCAGGGACCGGATCTCCAATACGTCGTTTGGTTCCTCCGTATGATTGCCTGCGGCGGGGTTTGGAGGAGAAAACCGGCCGTGAATTCGCCGGGGGAAGGATCGGCGGCGGATTTCCATGAGTTGAGGCGGAACGGTTCCGCCGTCGGGTTGCTGGCGTTGAACATTAGCCAACTCCCCTCGATGAGCGTGTCGCCTGAGTGATCGCCGCTCCGCCATAAATTCTGCCCCGTCGAACTGTCCCTCAAGACCAAGTTGCCGTCTTCTTGAAGCGAAGCGATTGCTGCAGAAGTAGAAACATTGGTCGACCAAATACGACGCCGCCTCCCATCTTGTAGCTCCAAATTCCCGCCGGCGTTAATGATTAGCCTCGCCGCGGAATCCGTCACCGGGGTTTCCCGATTGGCTACCCAAACAATCGCCTGGGGAGAAGTTTGCTTGAATCGAATCCCTAAATAGCGGTTTTCCGAGCTGTTATCCGGAGTGAAAAAACCTAATTCGAAAGTCTGGTTCGGGGAGATGAGAGTTTGGTTAGGGAAGAGTGGGGAAGAAGAAGAAGTCAGGTTAGCGAGGGAATCGGAGTAGCAGAGCGGGAAATGGGCGAAGAGAAACAGAGCAAAGAAGAAGAACCCAAATCGACCCATTCGAATTGGAAAGAACCCTACTGAGAAAGATCGAAGCTTGGTGTACCACCATAAATGGCGACTCGTTGAGTGGATGTGCGTCAGTCAATAGGGAAAAAAGCATAATATTCAACGAGGGAACTTGCTTGTCCATTTCTGGGTCGACGAAGGTCATCAATTGAGGTCGGGGGAAAAGGACGGGTAAATGGGAAAACGAAATTGTGGGGTTGACTTGGGGGTCGTCTTCCTCGTCGTCGCCCGCCATTTCATTCAGTCACGCCAAGCTGTCACGTTGTACGGGATTAGCCGAACCTTGTATTCTGATTTCTGATAAACTTCCAGCCCAAACAAATGCAGAGCACGAGGGCGCGGTCGCCATCCTCATCCGTGAAGGGAGTCTTGGAGAGATGCGCGTCGGGCGTTGTGTTTGCTTCCAGACGTCGACGAATCTTTTCAACGCGGTAGTTTGTTGTTTTCTTGGGCTTTGGATTCTCTGTTGAACTTTTTCTCTCGGAGTTCTTTGTTTTAGGTAGTCCTAACTTGGCGGGAACGTGAGTATTAATATATTTAGTAATTACTAATTAGTTTAATCTTAGTTTAGTAGAGCAATTTTATGATTGATTTATAGTGATTGTGTTTTGGTTTAAGAAGAAAAACTGAATTTGCATATGTAACGTTCTAGTAAAATTCAATTTGTATTTATATTTTTATAATTTTTTTATGATACAAATTGAATTTATAATTTTAGTTATGGTACGAACAGAATTTGTATATTTATGATGTGTGCTGGTAAATGGTTATTCTATTAGCGGTGTGACCGATAACCAAATCGAAATCGATGAGTAACAGTTACATCGATAACCGAATAAACGATAAATAATCGATTCCCGCTAGCCGATTAATCCTTTCTCTGAGAAAAGAGAGGATCTTTTATGGCGAAGAATGTTTTTTCGTATTATTAGGCAAGGCCAAAGTGGGGAAATAGATTAAAGACGAGGGATGAAGGTTGATGTGAAAATTCAAAATTCAACTTAAACACTCACATGGGCTTTGGAGGATTTGACAATATTTTGATCAGTGTACTCTAACCTAATAGGATGAGACTATGACAAAAATGGGTACTACTCTTTAAAAGTTTATAATCATTTAGATATAGATTAATCGGCCTAGTATGACAAACTACCAAGTCATCAATGGGTCTAAACTCAGGGATTTTTCCAGAAAAAGCAAATTTTAAAAAAAAATTACAAAAATAGCACCCACCCGAAAATATTTACAAAAATAGCACCATTTTTTATGGACCGCACCTCGAAGGTGTGGTTTATTATCCTGGGCCAAAACCGCATCTTGGCCATGCGGTTTCAGGTCTGATCTACATAAACAGCACGACCGAGGTGCGGTTTTGGCCTGACCTAGCAAAACCGCACCTTGGAGATGCGGTTTGCTTCTCCAAAACAAAACCGCATCCCCAAGATGCGGTTTTGCCACACAAATCGCACCCCCCAGTGCGGTTTGTGTGTCAATTATTTTCCTACACCCGACATATAGCCATGCAGAATAATAGACGTGGGGGCTGCATGGCAGACGAAAATCGCATGTCTAAGGTGCGGTTTTCATCAGTGATTTTGCCTATAAAAGACTGCACGGAAAACCTCTTCCCTACACACCTCTCCTTCTCCCTTTTCAATTTTCTGTTCTAGCTCTATATTTCATTAGTGTTTTTGCGATTAACGTTAACTCGTAAGTTTATTTTGTATTACTTTTTATTGTTATTTGTGATTTTTATGATATTAACTGAACTACGATTTTTTTGCAGATGGCATTCCAAAAGTTCAGGCTTGGCTTACGGTGTACACGGAAGAGATCGGAAAGAGGGTCACCTACGTCGGTGGCAATTTTCAGAAAATAAAGGTCGCTACCAGACCGCTGCTTGAAGACCTCCATTAAATGTGCACTAACGTTACTTGCATGGATGGCACGAGAAGAGTTGATCGTATGGTGTACCGATATCCAAACAGAGAAAGTGGGTCATTGTGGCATGAGGAATATCTCATAACCACTCAGGATGAAGTAGATTACATGCTCGAATTCTTGAGGTCCAACAATCTTTCCAAAGCCGAGATGTTCGTTTACATCGAGGCGGCCGTTGGCGTTGGCGGTCATTCTGGACACGGTCAAACATCTGGTATCCATGGTGGAGGTTAATTATACGGCGATCATCTCTACCAAAGTTACCATGATCCTCATTCCTATTTTCAGTACCAAGAGCAAGGTGAAGGTCATCATCAATCTTTCCCGTCATATGAAGAAGAAGTTCAACCGGACCTCCCCAACCAACCTCAGTACAACCCGAGGCGCTGAGCGCATCCTGCAAGTGCGGTCTGAGGCTCCACTACGCGGATTGCTGAGGTGGCGTGCGGTCCGCCCTTGGATCGCAGCCCCATCCGACGGTCTCCAACCCCGCTGCCCAGAAAACACAAACCGCACTCGGATGATGCGGTGCGTTTGCTAGCGTGGATTGGACCGCACCTCTAAGGTGCGGTTTATAATTAAAACGCATCGTCCTGCTGTGGTTTATTTATAAAACGCACCTTGGAGGTGCGATTTGATTTAAAAGGTGATATTTTTGTAAATATTTTCGGCTGAGTGCTAGTTTTGTAAAATAAATTATAAAAGATGCTATTATTGGAAAAATCCCCTAAACTCATCCCAAAATATCTTACCTTGGGCGCTAGCACACTCAAGGAGGCCCCAAACCGTATATAAGAAGGGTTAAGCCCTCCAAGCAAAGATCTCTCTTCCACTTCCTCCATTTGACCACTCAAGGTCTATTTATAAACTCTCTCTCTACATTCACATATACCATTATCCGAATCTCGTAATAACTTGGCCGTCAGAGCATAGATTACTGGGTCGCCCCCCTCCTCTCTACAGATACCTCACCTCCAGAAAATATCGAACAAGTGAGTGCAGATCAGAGCCCCAAATATTACTGTTATTTGCCAAGGGTACATCATAGGTTCAAACATTTGGCGCACTCATGCCTTCAACCTACGAGCTAGACTGGAAGACTCAAGCCTTATGCCCCTGGGCAATACTTAGAGACTCATGCCTCTAACCTCTAGGGTGGGGCAGATAATTCAAATTGACCCGTTTTAAATGACTCATTTTGTAAAATGAGACAATCGGCCAAATTATCTAGTTTTTTAATTGATCCATCCAGAGCCTTAATCTATTGGTTAAATGTGAAAGTCATAATAATGATTTGATCTCATAGGTTGCAAATTTGAATATTGATGATGATGAGTGATGAATATGCTTATTTAGTTTTTGGCTTAGTGGAATTTATTTAAAAAAATAAATGATTAAAATGACATGAAAACTTGTGGATCATACTAAATCATATGTGACAAAAATTGTTCTAAGACAACCATAATATAAGTCAAATTAGATAATAAAAAAAATTAGAAGAAATTGGTAGTACACACAATCTAATACAAATCATCAAGGCTCCACTGCATGAAGCTAAAATGGTAAAACTTCAACACCATGAACGTCATATATTTGTAAATAATACAACTTTGAATCACCGAATAGGTCATATGTTCGCGCACCTACACGAATTTTGTTCTCTGATAGTAATTCAACTTACCTTGATCCGGAGGCCATAATGGATTTCGTTGGTAACAAAATTGTTTATACTTTATCGTCTCAACTACTGGCGGGAAAGAGTGTGATTAAATTTGTGTATTATGCTCGTACCGATTTTAAACGTAATCACGATACTTATTATGTTCGTTCAGTCTTTCAATAAACTTCGAGAAAAATATGAATATGACGTGTTTGTGTCCTATGTGAAGATAGATATCTATTGCAGCCATGTTCCTCCTCTGATGTCCAAGTTGTTCAACTCTGTCGACTGGTTGACCTTCTTCTGCTAACATTCTTCTGTTGATCCAGCCATCAATCAAATGAAGGATAAGATTAGAAAGCCACACAGTAACAATGTCGACAGAGTGACATTAGAGAAAAGGTTCTGTGCAGCATCTTATAATCATTTGACAACTTTGTTGAGGTGCAGACAGATCGAGAAAGGATCAAATGATTGAAGTACAAATGAACGATAAGTTTAATACCCGTTTCTTACAAGGAGTTGTTGCTCCGCTGCTCTGAAACCAAACAATCGAGGCTTCCATCATACTTACCTCGCAGTTCATCGTACCTTGGAAGAATCATAGTAGGCAAACAGTCATCCAATCGAGGCCGGAACACCCTCCAACGAGACGATGCGCGACGACGACATCTTACTCGATCGAAGAGCTCTAGCTCGCCCTCCCTCATATGACACGAGAAGACAGAGGACCCCTTCCCCCCACGATGGAGAATCTCCAAGAAGACGATTTCGGAATCTTCGGGATGCAAAACCAGTGCACAGCATTCGGATTCTTGAAAGTCCTCGCACTTCGATGTATCGAGCAACACGTCGCGATACTGTCTCCTCCAGAACCGACGGTTTTGCCCCAGCCTCCATAGGGTCAATGTGCTCCTCCGACCACAGTTTCTGAGTATGACGACGTGCAGAGCACCTTGCGAGATCGAAACATCCCAAAATTTAGCAGCCAGCCGGGCGTATTCATCAGAACTAGAAGAATCACGGATTCGAGCCGGAGGGGATTCGATGCTGAAGGCATCGAACGCAGCAAGCACGCAACGATCGTCAATGCCAGGACGGCCGGGCCAAAACAACTCCCCGTTGCACGAAACTACATTTCTCGAGCACGGCCCTACGTCAGGTTTGAGAACACAAACCTTCTCTGACCATTCCCCTGACTCCGAAGAGAACACATCGAGCACAGTAGGATTCCGCCAGTACGGCTTCCACTGATGCATCAACACGACCCGGAATTCGTAGTCGTGGTAAGTAAACGATTTCCCCCCTCCTAGGTCAAAAGCATTCGACTTGCTGCGGGGTTGGCAGAGCAACCGCGCAACCACTCTGAGGTTCAGCGGCTTCCTAGGCGCTAAAGGAAGAGCGATCCACTGCTTCGAGAAAGGGTTGCAGATCAAGTAAGAATGCGAGCAGTACCCACCATTGATCTTGTCGGGGAACCCGCACAGGAGCAAGTCCTTGGAGGAATCGAGGACCCGGAAACGGCGCCGGATGTTGGGAGGCAGGGGTGGGAGGAAGCAGAGGATGGATTTCAACGGGGCGGCGTCTGATGAGGCGATGAAAAAATTGTCACCCTCGGTTTTGGTTCTGATCGAGACGAAGCGGCGATTGAATTGGGTGGTGGAGATGAGGGAGTTCCACCGCTTGCAGACGGGTTTGCATTGGCAGGCGGATCTAGGGTTTGGGAGGCGGATCAGGATTTCGACCAAGACATCGTCTCCGAGTTTGGCGACGACGGGTTCTGGGTTTACTACTTCCGAACTGATGACTCGTCTCCGTTTTCTTCTCACAGCGGAGTTGCAATTCTTGATCGCCATAGCGCCGTCCGGCCAAAACGAGGCCGCCGGAAGAGAAGCGAAGAAGAAAGAAAAAAAAAAAAGGAGATCGGGAAAGACCTAATGTCCTCTCATTAAGACGGCGGTTACTATTCTCCCCCATTCTCCGAGCCGTTTCATGTTGAGTATTATGAAAATGTATATTCTTTTGTACATAAGTTTTTATAAGGACGATCTAAATTTGTGTTTTTTAATTATGTGATAATTAAGAGACTCTGGGATAATGGTTGATTCAGTGGGGGATCCAGAAATTTGTTATAGGGGTGTCCTCTTTCAAAAATTAAATTAAATAATACATAAATAATAAAATATCCAATTAGTATAAATGTTCACAAAAAGTCACGATGTGTTTTCAATTTCGAAAAAAATTTAAGATAGATTTAGTGTGTACACTGCTCAACAAATCGGTATATCCTACTAGATCGCATATTCAATTTCTACCTTGTTCATGATGTAATTCAAAGTTGAAAAGACTGTTTCAACACTTGGAGTGTAACCATAAAATCAATTCAAATTAGGGTACCATGGGGATAAGAAATCGTGTTTTCAACATTACAGTGTTTAAAATAGAACAACGAATGAGTTATAACCTAATGGAGAAGATGTTGAATAATAGGAGTGTCCTAAATTTGAATAACACAGAGTACCACTTATATTTTTTTAATCACGCAAACTACTATCGAGGGTAAGATAATCATTTATTAAAATTTTAGGGGTGTCCCAGATTACTAATTATATTTTGTTTATCCATACGAAACTACTACCGGGGGTTGAATAATCGTGTTCCCAAAATTTAGGGGTGTCCCGGGACACCCCTAAAGCACCATGTATCCGCCACTGGGTTGATTCACCCGTTTCAGATATTATTGATCGATGCAAAAATATTTTTCGTTGTTATAGTGGATCCTAAAAAAAATTTGTACCAAATAAAACATATACTTTGACTTTCTTGCTTAAAACTTCGGCTCGAAAATACAAAAGTACTATATTGATTTTTTTTGGAAAAGGTTGGGGTAGGAGTTGTTGGGGAAAAAATTACCTAGGGAAAACAAATTCTTTCTTTGATTTTAAGAACTAGCCCAAACAAAATGTCCAAATAAGAACATCCAAGTCTCATAAGAATAAACTATTCATATCAAATGGATTATTCCCCATTAATAAGTCTCTTCGAAGAGTTTGACTATAGATAATCTCTTAACAATTCCATCAAATAAGTGAATGATACACTAAAATGTGAAACATTACCCTGCCATATAAAGTGATGTATTTCCAATGCCAATAAAAAGTAACCTATATAATGTTTATGTAACATCAAGAATACCGTCAAATAAAATGCGCCACAAGCCATGACAGACCGCCTAATTAACACCAACGAGTAAATTTCCCTTGTGCTTCATGACCCAATAGTAACAACAAAGAATGGACTAAACAAGTTACTGGAGCTTTTATAAGAATAGTTCATTTTGACCAGGAACAGAGCGAGTCCAAATCTTATTTGAATTCTTGATAAAGAGCATAAAAAGATTCAATGTCGGGTCGAAGAAATAAATGGATAGAGCTTTATAGCTCCAATTACTAGTAAATAAGTGATTGTATGTTGGAGCCATGGAGTGCTTTATTTAATCAAAAGTCTAAAAAATATTTAGAAAATTTGAGATTTCACAATTATAATAGCCTTAAACTATCATCATATGTTAATGTCAGCTCTTAACAACCCCAAATATTTTTAAGATATATATTGGATACTAATGAATTAATATTTAATAATTTATGTGTTCTTAACTATTTTCCTTTTAGATTATTGTTAAACATAATGTTTGAACCCATTAGATGACGAGTTTATGATATTTTAATGCATAATTGTCTTAGATCCGTTTGTATTTAATAGAGAAACAAGGTAAAATACCGACATGAATAAATACGTTAAGCAATTTATGCTAACAATAAGCAGTGCAAATTTTTTAAATATGAAATTTATATAAACAGTAGTAACTTAGGATAACCCGGACAACAAAAAACACATATGAACTAATTATTTTCATAATTATCAAGTTGTAGATTACTTTCGAGTTTCGACTCATTAATGAATTATAGAGTTGGATTTCATTCTTCTTTTCTTCGTGTACTCGATCAGGGTGAACTTCGCAGAAACCACGTCCCAAAATATTTTTGGCATATACTCTGTTTTTTAATACATGCATAGTTTCCTGTGAAATTCCTCACTTCTATAGCTATTTTAGTACGTCTGACCAAAATTATACCACTCTCTGAAGAAACAGTTTCGTTTTGCTCAACATGCGGTGCTAAACTTTGGCGATTTTGTGACGTTATTTGGCATTCTATTTAACCCAGCTAAGTTAACTATATATGGTTAAAACAACGAGACGTAATGATGGTTTTGTTACACCTTGGGATGAATAGCTTTGAAAAGCTATAAATGAAATTCTTAATTAATTATCTAGTATTTTCCCATAACACGAAAATAAGATGAATAATTAATAAAAGGAATATTATGGAGATAATTAGGATTAATTATCTTAATAGATTATATTTTAATTATGGGAGTAATTATCTCCCTAATTAAAATGTGACTTATTCCCAAAGAAAGAGAGAATATTCTGGGTTTTCTGCTCCTATATATAAATAGCAGACCCCTCAGACCCTCTAAACACACCTCAGAAGAGCAGAAACACGAGAGAGAGAGAGTGAATTCATAAAGCTCCGGTTTTCGCACAAAACGCATGAGCAACGAATCAGAGTGATTGTTTTTTTATTATGGAGACGACCGCGGCTGATAGTCTGATGTGCACAATACGAGGCGCAGTGCCGCGAACGTTTTAAAGAAAGCGACCTAGTCCGCAACTCAGCCAGATCGGTAACCCTAATTTTCCATGTCCGGTTTCTAACACACCTCGCTTACCTGACTTAGCCTAAGAAGTTAAAAGCTCTATATATATGGGACCATACACATAGAGATCGCGATTTCTCTCTACGGACTGTTAACACATTAGCCATCATGGCCACCGTACCAAGCTAGCTTGCTGCGAGGTCCAAATTAACAGGAGATATTGGAAAGATCGTCAAAAGTCAAACCATCGACGACCATGAATGTCAAAGTACTGGATCGACAAGGTTTAGAGGAAATCATCATCATCATCAAGTTTAGTTTAATGTCAATGTGTGTGTTTTGACTTTAGTTTGAGTTCATGTTTTATCTTTGTACGTAGTCTCCAAATGCTAGGTTGCCCATATTGTCCTGTAGTGCAATGCTTTTGCCTATTTAAAGCCAAATATGAATGTAAAACACCTAAAACTTCCACGTCTCATCTTTGTTGTTGCCAATCGTTACTTACATAGTTACATTGCATGTGAAAATCTGAAACTACTTGGCAGGACCGCTTCACTAACCTGTCTAATTCTCTCTCTCGTTCTCGCTCTCGCTCTAGCTATAGAATGAGGTACAAAGATGGCATTAGTTCCTACTTTGGGATGGCTTCCATAATTAGCTTCTTGATGAAAACTGACGTGGACAGGACTTTGGAGGTACATAGGAGGACTCGAAGAAGAAGAAGATGCGTCTCCATGATCTCAAAACCGTAACGCCAACTAATTCTCATGCAACTTCCACGAAGGAAGGCTCAATAATCTTATTTTTTTTAAATAATGATATCCCCCCACCAAAAATAATGCCTTGCACGAAGTTAATTATAAACCGTAACGCCCTTCTCTCTCTCTATAAATACACTCTCGAACATCAAACAAAACATCGATCGAACACAATTATCTCCTCATATATGCTAAATGGCTTCCATACCTAACGGCGGCGGCAGCGGGGGAGGCCGGAGAAGGGAGGTGGCGTTCGAGGACCATTTCCCGGCGATGGTGGAGAGGCTCGGAGCGGAAGGGTTCATGGACGAGCTCCACAACGGGTTCTGCCTGCTGATGGACCCCGAGAAGGAGATGATCACGGCGGAGAGCCTGAGGAGGAACGCGGCGAGGGCGGCGCTGGGGTTGATGGGAGAGACGACGATCACCGACGAGGAGGCGAGGTGCATGGTTAGGGAAGGGGATTTGGACGGCGACGGCGGGCTGAGCCAGCTGGAGTTCTTCAGCTTGATGTTCAGGCTCAGCCCTGACCTCATGTCGGCTTCCACCGAGTTGTTCTTCACTGCCGCCGCCGACGAGGATGATGATGGTCGCCGTGATGTTTTTCATGATGGACACAACATGACAACGTCCAAGGTTAAATATAATTAGGATTAATCAATTTCGTTCTCTCCTATTTAGAATTATTGATATTGGTTCGTCTGGATGTGAAACTTTGATATGCATATTTGGAGGTCGATAATTATTAATTAATTAGTGAATTTGCAAAGTTTTTGTGATTGCCCTATTAATGGAGCGTGAGAGTTTTCTACGTCTGTCTTCCTATTGGAACTCAAGCGCACGAGAGAGATGTAACTAAGAGATTTATCCGCGATTTTCCAATTTGAACTTAAGCGAGATGACTAAATATGTGCAAGACCGGATACGATCAAAGCTGTCGCTTTAACCATAACAACAACATCAACAACAACAACAACAAAATATACCCTTAATAAATAGCGAAACATATTGAGAGTAGGAAGTACCCGTCCGATGACATGTGGAAAACAGCCATTTAATTTTTTTAGGTGTTAGTGGAATTGTGCAGGAAATAATGAATGGGTTGGAGGACTTGGAGATCTGCTTATAAGCCCGCCGATGGAAGAATCACAGTATGACTAGGATGAACAATTTATAGTTTATACATACTAATAATATTAACGCTGCTTTATAGTCGAAAAAGCACAATTTGTACATTTGCATGAATTAGGTGGATAATAATTATATATATATTGAAATCTGTATTTTATTCATAAATCAAACCATACCTCTCAAGAAAAGAAAGAATAGACAGAGCACATAGGAGATCTTAAAGCCCAAAGTTTTGTTGTGTCCCAGTTACAAGCTAAATGGGTCATAGCATGGACCGGTTCGTTTTATGAAATTCCACCGAACCGACCCGAGACCCGTTGCCCTATCTCTGATTTCTCGGGCCAGCACTCCGCCTTCCAGTCTCGTCATTTCCTTCACCTGGAGCTGTTGGATGGCAGCGAGACAATCGCTTTCCACCACCGCCATTCGGAAATTATGCTCCTCCGCCACCTGTAGGCCAAAAGCAATTGCTCGGAGCTCTGCTAATTCCGGCGGACAAAACGAAATTAATCGAGTCAAAACGAAAAATCATCATAAATAAAAAGTATAAAAATAGCGCTGTTTCGATTCTTGAATTCAAGACTTTTATTTATTTATTCAATGCATACTAAACTAGTTTTTTTTTTCATCACACCAACTAGTTTTTTTTTTACTGTGTCTCGCATCTTATCAACTTTAATTTCTAAAAGTATTACCGAATATTTTTATTTCTCAAATAAAGAGAAAAGTTACCAAATTTTAAACATGTTTAGATCCATTCAGTCTAATATAAATTGTGTGATTTTCAACCGATAGACTGACATGACGGTATTAGAAATTCCATTAATGTTTCGTTTCATCGAATCCATTTACTCAATCACAAAAAAATTATCGCTTTTATTGAAGTGTAACTTTTCAACCTTTCCGAATTAAGAGTTAAAACTGTTAATTAAGTAGCGTTTAAATATATCGACAACAATGAATATTTCAACCTAATCTCGTAAGTGAAAGACCATAACCATATGAATACTGTGCTAAGAAAAGACCATATGAACAATCCATGCTTCGATGTGGTTGTGAATTGTGATATCATCAACCCAAACTGAAACAACTAATATATCCCATCACGTTACAGACGAATGATAATAATAATCGTATAATACGATAAATGACTCTGATCCTGAACCCCATAAATCATTCTAAATGCATAAAAAATTAAAAATGCCTGTGTCCATGGATATTGGGCTGGACCTGATCAGTTGGCATCCAAGCTAGGAAACTATCCTTTGGGCCTGTTCTGATCAGCAGGCTTTGGGGAACTATATTGAGTGAAAGCCCATTCACCCGACGAAACTTTGGGTACAATCTGGATATTTCGTCAATGCTAAAACGAACATGTTTAACTGTGAGCTTTCCATAAATTCGGTCAAAATCAAATTGATAAAACATTAAAACCCAAACAAACTATACTTAGATTTAGATAATTTCGAATCGACCTGTAAATCGATTAGACTTTATTGTCGTCTCTATAGTATTTAATCTTACGGTAGAACTATACCAATTCTCACAACATATAAACAGTACAATAGTAGTCTCCAATACTGTTTGAAATCTACTAAAAATACAATAAAACAGACTACAAAAATATGCGGTTCAACAAATTCCTAAGACTACTCCTGCTCTCCCTCTCCACCTTCCTCCGATTCCGGCCTCCGCCGTCGCCGCCTCGACCGCCGGGATCATCATCAGCATGATCTTCCACCTGGCCTCCGAATTTTTCATCCAAAGCAACAATCCCTCTACTCTCCAGCTTCCTAGAAACGGCCACAATCTCATGTGAATCCAGCAGCGACTGCCTGAAATCCCAGCTGCTGCCGCCGCCGCCGGCGGCAATCGACTTGCGACCGCCGATCAATGCCTCTGTCCGGAACCTGGAAGCACGGTGGCCGTGGAAGCTGCGCCGGTGAGCGTCGTGCTCGCTCGTCGTGGGGTTGGAGTACTTTATCCCCGAGTGGGAATACCAGGCTTGTGCCGCCGCCTTGAGGATTTCCTGCTCGTGGTGACGCCGGCGTGCATCTTCGTCGACGGCAGCGACTTCCTCGGCAGATGAGGCCTTCTTTTTCTTCATGGGTTTGTGGGTGAGGAATTGGATGAGAGCTGTTGCTAGCTGCTTTTGTGTGGCCAAGTTTTGTTTTTGTTGGGTTTTTCTCAATAATATTGATTATTTAAATCTTCTTTTTTGATTGGTTGTCTTTTTTTTTTCCTTCTGATTTTTGGATCGTTGGTTCAGATAGTACAATACTACAACCATTCAAGCTGTTTGACAACGATGGATTTTAATTTTTAGCTGGCTCGTTTAAATTTGTAGGGAATTTATATGAATGAATGGCCACCTGGTCAATTCGCGGATTGATATCAATCCACCCGCAAATAACTCAACCCGCAATCAGTGGGTGATTGATGTGGGTGGATTGCGGGTTACCCGAATGATCCACATTCTATTTTCATATGAAAAATGTTGTTTCTTATAATATCGAATACTCATCATATTTCTGAACCGTACTATAGTCTGACCATATACTTCTAACGATGGAGAATAGATAATAGTTTTGACTGTTTTTTTAAGGGAATAGTTTTGACTGCTATTATTAGTTATTGTGTTGTTTAATGTCCATTAGGTATTGGATATTGGAATGCGAATTATAGTTAATATCATTAAATATTGGGATGAAAACTATAAATTATCAATTGTATCAAAATCACAAAAATGCATAAGTTTTCTCTGCACAATTTGTTGATAGAGTAGTAAAACTTTTGATGCAAATACTACGTGGATTCACTTGAGAAAAAAGTGAGGAGTGTATAAATTGAAAGAGTCTTCCGAATTCGCTATGAATTGGTTATAAATGTTAGTAAACTTTCTTAATGGCTAATTTGAGAATTGCCTTTGCGGATTAGCCTGCGACCCAACCGCACTCATCTGCCACCCACCCAACCCGGTCCGCAGAACAATGTGGATGAATTGAGGGTCAAAATGATTTCAACTCGCTAGTAAAAGGATGAGTCAATTTGAAACGAAAACCCACCCAACTCGCCCATTGCCCACCCCTATATGAATTAGTCCAAATAACTTCTTTGGATTGAGATATAGAATTTTAATCTAAATTACCCAAATTATATTATTGACCCTTCTTCTACCTCCTCGTCTTCTTCACTAATCTGTTCATTATTTCCATCAAACCTATAAATAACATATTTGAGTTCAATCCCATAAATCAACAAAACATATTGACGAATTGCAGAGATAACACTCTCCTTTTCTCTCTAAACTTCATCTCTCTACATTACTCTCCTTATTTTACAGACAATGAAAATAATGTAGATCGCCAGAGTATAAATCAAGGCTATTCCCACCTCTTCACAGACTCGCATGACCTCAAAGTAATTGGACAAATGCAGTCAATATTGTGTAAAATCGTAAACTTTTAAGTTTTAAAACTTAGATTTTAACTATATTTGTAAGGAAAAAATCAGGATACTACGTCAATCTCCCAAATGTCAGTGCATCTGTACATGATAAGAGATTGTGCTGAAAATATTGTCCTCATATGTACAAACAATAGCATGAGCAGAGAAGATTGTCCTCATCGGCTAGGCCCATGTGCATGGGCCCGTGGTACAAACCCAGCACCATAACTGGCCCAAGTGCTAGGCCCATGTGCATGTCGCCGTCTCACGTCATCCGAACAGCCGACTTTCCCAAAACCGGAGTCCCGCAAAAATCACCGTCGAATCCCAAATCGATTTCAGAACTTCTAATCCAACTCGGCCCCGGGAAATTTCTAGGGTTCTTAAAGGCACTCCAATTCCATCCCCTAAACTAAATCACCGGCGCTTTATTCTCCAGAAAATCGATTAACCATGCCGCAGAGACACTCGAAGAACAACAACGATCTAGCGTTCTTCACATACGATGAGAAGCGGAAGCTCGGCTATGGAACCCAGAGGGAGCGACTGGGGAAGGACTCGATCAAGCCTTTCGACGCCTGCAGCCTCTGCTTGAAGCCCTTCATCAATCCGATGTCTTGTCCCAAAGGTCATGTCTTCTGTAAAGAATGCATCCTCGAGTGCCTCCTTGCTCAGAAGAAAGACATCATTAGGTACCCAAAAAAAAAAAAATTCCCTCCATTTCCCCCCTCTTCTGTTTAGATATGTTTGTTGATTCGCTCGAGCTTGAAAATCTGTCGGTTGGGTTTGATTGTATGGTTGAAATTGACGAATGTTTGGGGGGGTTTTGAGCTAGGAACGAATTGCTCTGAATTGGGAATTAGGAGTTTCTCTTGTCTTCGTCTGTGACTGTGCCTAGTAGAGTTGAACTGTGTAAACGAAGAGGTGGATGTCGTACTTGTGTTACTGTTTCATGGAGAACATCTCTTGACTGTTTGGGTTGCAAGGTGATCTTCAATGTGATTTGAGCGTCTTGATAATGAATAAATTCTGTGATATGTATAGGTGTTGGTGTCACTCAGTTTTGGCGATCCCATTTGCTAACCTGTGCCTAGTAAGATAATCTAGCTAGTGCCTGTGATCTCAGCTTTGAGGATATTTTTCTTCTCTTGTCTCGGAACTCGGAAGTTGATGGATTTTAGGGTTTTGAGCTAGGTTTTGGATGGTCCTCAAAGATTTAGAATTGAGAAATTTGTAGGTTTGTGTTATGCCTACAGTTTTTTAATTTTTACTTGTTTCACTAGCTTTGTTAGGAGGGTTGAATTGTAGCATCTACATATGAGCAAATTCCATCGAGGTTGTCTTGCGTGTGTGTGATCTTCAGTGTACCTGCAAATCTAGCTTCTTAATGATGAGAGAATTCTGCAAGGAGCTTAAGGCATGTGCTATTAGTGGTGCACATGGTCTGTTCACACTTCACCTGTAGCATGTGTTCCTGTTGTGTGGAATCTGTTTTCCTGCTACATGATCTTCAATACACATGCAATTTGAGCGTCTTAACTATGAACAAATTGTGTGATTAAGTATGGAGTATACTGCTTGTGTAATTTTTCATACATTTGGTGCTCCAGTTTGACGTGTCTACTTGGATGATGTATGCTTACCTCGCAGGAAGCAAGCCGCCCACGAGTTGCAGAAAAAACAGGACAAGGAAGAAGAACAAGAGAAGTTAGCGGCCCAGCGAGCTCGAGAACTCGACGCGTTCGACCAGCAGAACCACGGCGCAGTCCCACAGTACAGCAACGACAGCCGGAACTCCAGCCAAGACAAGAACGGCTTCCACGGCGCTAACAGCGTGAAGACAACCTCCTACGAGGAGGAAGCCCTTCGTACGATGAAAGCCTTCTGGCTCCCCTCGGCCACTCCGGAAGCCGCCGTGAAGGTAGAAGCCCCGTCCTCCCACACGACATGCCCCGAGGGGAACGAGAAGCTCAAGATGAAGAGCCTCTTCCCCATCTACCTAACCGAGGACACGAGCGAGAGCGACGAGAGCTCTCTCGACAAGAGCTATCTGTGCCCGAGCTGCAAGGTCACTCTGACCAACACGCTGACGCTCGTCGCTGTGAGCTCGTGCGGACACGTGTTCTGCAAGAAGTGCGCCGACAAGTTCCTGGCGGCGGACAAGGTTTGCTTGGAGTGCAGCAAGGGGTGTAAGGGGAGGGATTTGGTGCAGCTGGAGAAAGGCGGGACTGGGTTTGCGGGTCACGATGAGGGTCTTGTGGCGACGGATTTTAAGCACTTGGGTAGCGGTTCGGGTTTGGGACTTGTGAGACCTTCTTCGAAAGTTTGATCAATGGCGGACCTGGTTTTTGTTTTGTATGTTTTCTTCAACGATGTAAAATCTCTTTCATTGGATTGAACTGTAGGAATACTCGAGATGAATTCTTTTGTGTTAAACCATTATGTATTTTAGATAGCGCTGCAAATGAGCCGAGCTGAGTCGAGTTTTACCCCAGTTTGAGCTTGACTCGTTAACAAATGAGTTGAGCCCGAGCCATTTATTAACGAGTAGAGTCGAGTTCGAGCTAGGCTTGTTTACTAAATTCTTAGATCGTATTTAATACATTCATTTTGTATGTCGTGTATAGTACATGTGATTGATGTATGTGATTGATGTAGCGATAAAAAAATAATCAAATGTTAAACATTAATTAATCTTATATTATAATTTTTAGGTGTCATATTGTTTAGTTAATAAATTTTAACTAGTTCAAATAATGTTATTTCATAGTATCGAAACAATTTTGTGCATAATTTCTTTATAGAATTAAAAATAAGGCATATTTTCTTACATGTTCAACATGTTAAACTTCACATGATGTGAGATATATAATTTACCAATCCTATGAATTATGAAAGTCCAAATTAGATCGATTAGTCCATAAGTCAGTGATCAAGTTGGCCCTCAAACCACAATGTTGAGACATCTCATGAGCTCTAAATGAGCCAACTCACGAGTTGAGCTCAACAAGCCACCGAGTCGAGCTAGCTCGCGAGCTTCACGAGCTGAACATAGCTAGGCTCAAGCTTGGCTCGTCAGTAAACGAATCGAGTTTCGAACAAGTTTTTCCCGATTCGAGTCTCGAGTTGCTCGTGCAGCCCTAATTTTAGAGGATGAAACGATTGACTATCACGCGTAATTAATAGTTTAAAATGCACATTAGATTGTCGTTCAACTCTCTTGTTAGTAATTTCCAGCTAAACCTTTTATCTTCTTGTACCGTTAAAACCCACTCTTCCTAGACTTTCACTAATTAAAACGACTCAGCAGACCATTAATCCGGATCATAAACCATAATTTAAACGAGAAACCTGCCAAACAGGCCCAAAACAAAAATAAAATCGATGAAAATCTGAGAGAAAATTGCGTGCCACGTGTCGTAAGTTACACCGTCGATTACCAACCGTCTCGAGTGGGTCCCACAATATCTCCAATTGATCTGCCCGCCCGCCAACTTCCCCACTAAACTCCGAACTAAAAAACAAAATAATAATAAAAAAAAAACCAAAAGGAAACGAAGAAGGAAATGAATAGGAGAGAGATGAATCATCGTCGTCTCTCCTCCTCGCTTCCGTTAAAAAAGTGGCCTCCGCCGCGGCCTTCCTCGCCATTATCATCATCGAATCCAGCCTCTTTTAAAAACCCAGTTCATTACATCTTCTTCTTTCCATCTCCTCCTATTTCCCCATTTCTCTCTCCCCGCCATTCAATTGATTCGCCAAGGAAGAGAGAGGGGGGGAAAGAAGGGATTTTTACATATAAGGGAAAGCGTTTTCTCTCGGTTCCCCTCCCCCAAAACCCTAGAATTCGTGTTTTGGGTTTGAGCTTTTTTCAATGGGGGGATTCGAGAACCGGGTAGCTTGCGACGGCGGCGCGGCGGAGCCGGAGGGACGGATTGAGGAGGAGCAGAAGTTGATCGAGGATGTGGCCATGGTGGACTTCAACCTGCTCTGCTCTACCGTCGCGCTGCAGACGCAGGGGAAATGGACGGACAAGGTCCAAGCCGACGACGAGGAATTCCACGAAGGCGGCGCCTCCGTGTTCCGGATGTGGGAAGGCGGGGTGCTCGATCTCTGCGACGACCGCCGCATCGCCGTCGAATCCTTCTGGTAAATATTTACCCCCCATTTTTTTTTACTTATTGTTCATTGATTTTGATTCCTTGTTTTCTGCTCGGTATTTCTACCTTTCCCCCTATTCTTACTCCAAGAGATTTCCCCGGAAAATACCCGCCGTCGAATATGTTTCCTGAAATTCTGGCGAAATGTGTCAAATTTGATCCAAAAATGTTAGTAATCGGCACCTAGAAACTACGAAATTCGTCTTATGTTGCAGCTAATTAATATTCCATTAGAATCATCCTTTGAAGAATGTGTTCTTCTGGCGTTGAATTTCTTCCAAATGGGTTCAGTCAAAACGACCTTGATGAACCCTTTGTTCGTGTATCATTCACATTCAAAGTCGTTTTGACTGTTTCCTGCACTGAAACTATGCTCCATTTTGCTGGTAACTGTTTGGTTAATCCATGATGGAATGTTCGACATGTTTGCAGTTGTCCTTGCTATAGATTCGGGAAGAACATGAGACGAGCTGGTTTTGGTTATTGTTTCCTTCAGGTACAACTATCATTCCCTATTAAGTGTTAAAAAGTAACAATCTGGTAACGAAACTCCACTGCATTTATCACATTGGGCACTCAAACTCGATACTGGAATAACTAAAGCACCAAACTCGGTCTAATAAACCACGTTATTGGCATTCTCGTCCCATCGATCAGCTGTTGCCCGTGATGTTACTGATGCGGTAGCCTGGGGAAACTGGAAATGCTAATACTGACTTATGAGGACGAGTTTGGTGCTTTAGTATCTCAATGATGTGATTTCAGTTGCCAAACCAGTAATAAATTTAGTCCTGAGATGAAGGTGTTGAATACTTTTTCATTTGCAGGCAACAGTGTATCTCATTCTAGCTCTATTTGCGCTTCTCAATCTCATTGCATTCTTCGTCACAAAGAGGCACCCTTTCCTTTATCTAGCAATCGGGTTCACAGTTCTTGTAGGAATTTATCTGGGTTTCTTCCGGTCACAGATCAAACAAAAGTTCAACATCAGGGTGAGCTAGCTGCTTAAAACTTGTACCTCACTCGATTCGGTTTATGGTTCAAAAGCCGAAATGTAATTGATTGAGTTTTTCTGTTGCTGTTTCAGGGTAGTGATAGTTCATGGGACGATTGCTTCTACCATATCTTCTGCCCTTTCTGTGCTTTGAGCCAGGTAGATAGAGAAGGGTTTGCCCTTTCTCAGTTTTTGTGATATCTCTCTGTGATTCGATTCCATTTCGAAACTTTTAATTTGGTATATAATTTCACAGGAGGCGAGAACATTAGAGATGAACAATGTACAAGATGGGACGTGGCATGGACGGGGTGATACGATATGCGTAGGTGGGTATACGGAAGGGAATCATGCTTACTTGCAGCTTCACCCTCCTGCTATTGTTACCACAAAATCCTCGGATAACAGCAGCAGCAGCAGTCCACAGAAGGTCAGCGACAGCGAGTGCTGACTGGTTTCTCCAAGTTCTGTCTTCTCCTTTCATTTTCTGTTCTGCTTTGCTGAACATTTGGTGGGGTGAGGGGAGGAATGGGAATGCCGCAGGATGAAAGCTAATTGTCTGGTTTGTAGTTTGTATATATTCTATAGCGAGGAAGTATTAGTCCAAGTGTATGATATTCATTTTTTTAGTCTTGGTATTTATATAAATCACAATCATTTGACACCACGTTGTTATTTCTTCTTATACCTCTTTTGTTCCATCACTGTTCTATGTGAAAGCAAATGCTCGTATATAGGAGACATTATGGTGAAGTGCCTATGTCGCGATCCACATCAACGGCATATGATGGATTGTCGCTTTTCATATTAACGATATTGTACTGACGTGATTGTACCTCATCCTATGCACAAAGCACAATTGAAATCAAGTGAGAAGACGGTTTGAGTGTGTGAAAGCTATGTTTTTCTTAATCAGTTTGATTATAATAAGGAAGAAATTAATAACCTTTGGTTGATTTAAAGACACAACTATGAAACCATGGGAAACTCTAGTGTGTTTGTATAATGTGTTGACTTTTCTTTTATATATTTGATTGGTTCGCCCAGTTTCTAAGGAGTTGTCATTGGTTATTCGGAGCTTTAAACTATTCGTAATTCTATTTTGTAGTCTTATTGCGATAATAAGCAATAAATCCGAAGTTCTTAAGTTCTTATTTTAGGATTAATGTAGTTTGCTCGATTTACAAGATGTACACATGCAAACGGAGAAAACGTAAGAAATTCATTTCCCCCTCTATTTTCCTTTTATGATGATCGATGATGGCTTAACCCAACTTTCTACTCCCAAATTGACTTGCAACTTGCAAGTCCATTTAACCTAATCTCCCATCTAAAGCCTTTTTCCCGCCTAATGATCCACAAAGATATTAATTACTAGACTTTCGTGTTATTTTGGTTCGATTCAGAAAACCCACAAAAATTAATTAGGGTGACATGGGCCTGAAAACTTCAAACATCAACAAAATAGAAAGCACCCAACTACCAGTATTATACTACCTGATGGGTTCATTTCATTCATCCCACCAAATAAACGTCTCAGTACAACACATTACACAACGCAAAAGAAAAAAATGGCCAAAGTAGTGATGAACTTCCTCCTGCTGCCTCTTCTTCTGCTTGAATTCATATGCTCATCGGATCATCACGGTCACGTCGCAGCATCCAAATCCGCTGTCGGATACCTTCCTGGATTCCAAGGCCCTCTCCCGTTTTACTTCGAGACCGGGTTGGTCACGTTCATCAACGTAGTATGTCGAATCGGTTACTGTGTAATGTCAGGATTCTGCGACTTACCGGGGCAGTTTGTTTCAGGTACATTGGATTAGGGGAAGCAGAGCTGTTTTACTACTTTGTGAAGTCAGATGGGAATCCTGAAGCTGACCCTCTCATTCTCTGGCTCAGCGGCGGCCCTGGCTGCTCTGCCTTCTCTGGTCTTGTCTTGGAAATTGGTTACAAACTAATGACCCAACTTCTACTGTACAACAACTACAAGTACAATTTTTTTTTTTTTTTAATGTTCTTCATATTGCTCTTTCAGGTCCCATCAGGTTCCAAGGACCAGTAGCGGGATACAGTGGGAGCTTGCCGAATTTGATCCTTAACCCGTTCTCGTGGACTAAGGTAAAAGTGCAGCACAAGACCATTGAGAGATTTTGTTAGTCGATTCGCCCCATATCGATCGCTCTTATCCGCTGCAGTTCTCGAGCATAATTTTCCTGGACTTGCCTGTTGGGACTGGATTCTCTTACACAACAAACCCATCTCCTGCTGATCATCCCGGTGACCAGGTTCAGGTTTCCCAAGCTGCAGAGTTCATCAGGAAGGTAAGAAGCCACATTCTGATGAAATGGATCATTACGAAAGGAAACTCGAAATTTTCATTCGATGTTTTTCATGTTGCTTCGTAGTGGCTAGGAGAACACTCAGAGTTCCTGCAGAATCCACTGTATGTTGCAGGGGATTCCTACTCTGGAACGACGATTCCACCCATCGTCCAACGATTGTCCATTGGTAAGAACAAGATATACACATATTGTGACCCTAATCTAATCTGATATTGTTTGAGTGTTCCATTTCTTTTAAGGTGTACCATACATGAATTTTGTGCAGGAAATGAGAAAGGCATCAGGCCGATGTTAAACCTCAAGGTCCGAGCCATTCAGATCAATACGATTTCGATCGAACTTTGTATTTTTCAGGTTGTAAAATTGGTGAAATTGTTCTTTTTTTTCTTCCAGGGATACATAATTGGGAACCCAGTAACAGATAGTGAATTTGATGGTAACGCCCGAATCCCATTTGCACATGGGATGGCGCTCATTTCTGATGAACTCTACAAGGTTTAATTCATCTTCTTGTGGGGATAAGGAATCCTCATCCTACATTTCTCCTGTGCAAAACAGAAAACTGCAGAAATTCTAAGTAGTACAGTACTAGCACTAAAGAGTCGTCCACTCGAACTTTGTTGCAGTCACTTCACAAAAGCTGCAAGGGAGAGTACCAAACAGTAGAACCTACCAACTTGGAATGCAAGAACAACTTAAAGGCTTTCTCTGAGGTAAAACTGGAGCAATGCTATAGTTTGATTCTCTGAAAGAACTTCTCTGCCCACTTCTTAATATTTACAATGTTGCATCTTCTGCAGTGTCTCTCGGGTATAAACGTATATGGCATACTGGATCCAGACTGCAATGTAGATCCTGAAAAGGCTGCTGTAAGACGAAGAACAATGTTGCTGCAGGATGAGTTTCAACTCTTACTCACATTTGATCCACCTAAGCTCGGCTGCAAGGTAAACTAATCACAAAAATCGATCGTCGCTAATCACATTGTTTACTGTTTCTCTCGTTACTTTCCTGAAGGATTCATGTTTGCTCGACCAGTATTATGACTTCAGTCCGCTCTGCAAACGTTGGGCCAACGATGAACTAGTCCGCAAAGCACTTCACATAAGAGAGGTAAGAGTTGCAGGAAGATCGTGAAGCTTTTCTGGAGTGCTTTTTTTTATGTTCTTTTTAACCAGTTGTATATAAGATCAAATGATGTTAGATTCTGTTTTTGCGCAGGGGACGATAGGAGAGTGGGAGAGATGTAATAACCTGTCAGATTATCAGCATGATATCCCTAGCAGCTTTGTGTACCATGTCAACCTTTCAACCAAGGGTTATCGGTCATTGATTTATAGGTTCTTGTCTTGTCCTTTTTGGCAGATCTTTTGAAAGGGTAAAATTTCGCTTTATCATTGAGACAGAAGAATCGTTGACGCGGTGAATTCTGTGATCCTTTGAACAGTGGCGATCACGATATGGTTATACCATTTGTCGGAACACAAGCATGGATTCGAGCTCTCAATTACTCCATCGTGGAGGATTGGCGATCATGGCACGTCGAAGGCCAAGTTGCAGGGTAATTTATTGGCACAAGTTATGATTTCCTTCTTGGCTAACCTAACCTCTGAAATTGTTATGCTCAAGGGATAATAGTGTATCGTTTCAGGTATACGAGGACCTACTCCAATCGAATGACCTTTGCGACTGTGAAAGTGGGTATTCTTTTTTTATTAGCTTAAACCTTGATTTTTTAGTGACCATAGTATTTCATTTTCGTAACCGTGATTTTTTTTATTGTTTATTCCACAGGGCGGTTGGCATACTTCTCCCAGTAACAAGCCTGCGGAATGTCATGCTATGTTACAAAGGTGGATAAATTATGAGTCGTTGTAATTAGCAGCCAAAATGTCTTTCATGCTTCCAAAAAGTCTTGTTGTAACCTAATCAATAATCATTCTACAAACACCGCAACGAGTTATAGTGAAGGTGGGATTTCTATTTTTGTCACAAGTAACTTATCTTAAAGGTTTGATGACATTTACCCCCCTATATTCATAGCTTGGTTGATTTTTGAGGGTATAGATGCTCATTCCAAACGATTCATTCATCTTATTCTGTCTTCCTAAGCAGGTTTTCCGAATTTTCTGTAACATTTTATGATATGGTATCCACTCAAAACATATAATATTTGGTCTTATATAGCACAACCACAAATTACACATCCAAAAACCCCGTAAAACCATTTAATCTATTATCTACTTATTAGTGGACCTTACCAATAATTTATAGACATAAAACCACCATTATAACATATATGCTTCTTTATGTGCCTTTCCCAAGTCGTCACAAACCACAAAGAGAAAAGAAAATGCAAATCATAGATCAAAGCAAAAATAACCCAAAGCCGACCAATAACCTAATTACAGGCCTTATTTCATCATAAACATCAAAATCAACCGCAACAACGACACACAAATACAAACAAAAAACAATACAAAATATATAGAGATAATAATTCAATCATCACCCAACCATCACGGCCCGGAGATCCGACCTGTTTTCGGGTCGACCATACCTTTATGCATCTCCTCCCCTGGAGGAGCCATCACCATACCCGGATGACCCGGACCGGTCATGACAGGGTTCGTGTTTCTCACCCCGTAATAAACCTGCTGCTGGTTCATCCCGTCTGAAACCATCCTCGCTCCTTCGTACGGATCCATGGCGGGTCGCATCCCGCCATAGACCTGACCCATCCCGGCTTGCACCTGCTGACCCATATTCGTGGGTACCTGATGGTACCCGACTCCTTGGATTTGACCCTGTGGAACCGTATACTGCGGTTGCTGAACATATTGGGGCCGGTATTGAACCTGTTGAACCGGAACGTTCCCCTGACCCGGTACGTAATAAACCGGTATGTGATGGACCGGGCCGGAAGGAGGACCCGAATAATGAGACTCCGGAACATACTGCATCGCGTACCCGGGCGGAGCCTGCTGCTGCTGCTGCTGCTGCTGCAATTGGGGTTCGGGTATCGGTTCGGAGTACTGCCGCCGGACCACGACCGGTTCGGGTGGTTCGGGTTTGGTCTTGACCGGCGGGAGATCCGGGATCGAAGAGACGCTCGGGATCGTCGAGGTCGGCGGGGCGGCGACCGATGAGGTGGAGCAGTACGGCGACGACGAGACGACCGGGGCGGGCGAACCCGGATCCGAAGCCGAAACGCTGTCGTTGAAGACGGGCTTGCTCGTCCTCAGCCTGTGCTCTCCTCCCCGCGGCTGCTGATTCTCGTCGGGATTCTCCAGCCCGAAGAAGTAATCGGGCATCTCGGAGACGATCGACGAGGCCTCCGACCTGCCCCGCTCCAGGGTCCGGCCCGAATTGAGCGCGTCGAAGAACCAGTGCTCCCGATTCGTCGACCCGTCGAGGAGCGAGCTGATGCTGCTGGTCCTCGAATTGGGATCCAATTCCCCTTCCTTGGGGAAGAGGAAGAGCCGTAATCGGGCCGATCGGGGGTTCAGATTCAGCGCGACGCGGTCGTACTCGTCCATCATGTTCTCGACGTCCTCGTTGGTGGAGACGGAGATCAGCGCGTCGAGGTCCTCGTTGGGGAGCTGGTACTTGACGGCGACGGCGGGGAGGCCGGAGAGCTTGGCGAGCTTGGAGACGAGGGAGGTGAAGGTCGTGGATCGGTGGACGGCCACCATCCGGGTCTCGCCGCCGACGTAGCGGAGGAGGTTGTCGTGGGGGCGGGGGAGGATCTTGCCGCCGAAGCTACACATGAACCGCACGCGCGGGTCCTGCTGGGAGAAAGGCGCGTTGACGTCGGAGCGAGGGGAGGACGCCACGGAGTCGCCGGCGGCGGAGGAGTCGAGGTCCGCCTGGTGGAGGGGTGATGCCATGGCGATTTCCCGGCGGCGGGAGGTTTTAGAGTCGGGCGAGGGATAGAGGGGAAAGGAAGGAGGAAAGGGGAGCGAATGGAAAGTGGTAATTAAAGGAGGAAACAGAGTTTCTACCAAAAAAAAAAAAAAGGAGGAAACAGAGCGCGTGGGGTTCAGCGCCGAGGAGGGAATATTTGTGGGGATTAGTGGGGCGAATAATTTTTTTTGATTAATTTAATTGGGAAGTAATTGAGCAGGCTGGATTAGCTAGCGTGCTGACTAGGCATAATCGGTGACTAAGAAGTCAGGTTTTATCGCGGTTTTTAAGTATGGGTAGCTATTTGGTACGAGATTTTTGGTTTTTTATCCGAAATTGGACCGTACAATTCGGATCAAAATCGGATAGCTAACAATACAATCTCATTTTCGGACATAAATTTGAGGTGAAAAATTGCTCGGGAACGGACCGAAAACCGAATAAAGACAACATAAGAGAGCCCAACATTCAAAACTTGACCAACTCCTCACCCTTTCATTTCAGGTCTCAATTTGGGCCAATTTAACCGGACTAGACCATATAGTCACCCCTAGTTTTAAGGTGTTTGGATGAATTTTGAAATGATCTCATATGATTACAGTATAACCAATCCCGACAGTCGATAAATAGTTAAATTGTCGATAAAAATGTTTGGTTCGCCACTAAATGGGTTGTTCTATTAAATCGACATGGGGTGTAAGAGAGCTCCCCCTAGACCGTCATGACAAGGCCGCAGGCTCATGCTACTTGATCAATTTAAAGAAGGGAGCAGCATACTACTATGTTTGGATTTGATGAGTCAGCATTAAGATTGCTAATTAACATGGCAACGACGTGAAAAGTAGGACCCAGATTTGGCTTGATGTGGTATGAAATGATGGATTTGCTGTCCTCGTTCCGAAGTTTGATATCGTTATTTGAGATATATAGGTATTATTGAATTTCGAGTTATTTTTTAGAATTTGTCATTAAAATGAATCTTGAGAAGTTGTTTGGTATTCAGGATTATGAAATTAAGATCGGGATATGCAGCCTTATGATCATTGCTCACACTTTGAAAACTTGCAAAATCCCAGCCAATCCAGTTTTATATTCAAATTTTTTCGTAGTTCACTCTCGTTTCTCAATCAATCTCTTGTTATTTCCACAACACGAAAAAAGCAGACACTCTCACTCATTAGTCGTTGCTCAGTCTCAACTCAGTTGAGTCAAAGATCACCAAGGTCAAGATAATGAGATATCACCATCTCATCCCTTCCTTTTGTCCCTGCCTTATGTTTAAGGCAGACTCAAGATTGAGTCTTGTAGCCCAAATGAGCACCTGTGATGAATTAAGTAATTCAATTGAGACTTTGATTCAATCCATTCAATGTAGACTTGATTGGTTTTTATTAGACTTTTCTCACCTCAACTTTCGATCGCCCAAGGTTTTCAATAATGGAATTAAACTTCAAGCCTACACGATAAAAAAAAAAAAAAAATTGTTCAGCGTTAGATGCATTCGAATCATTATTTATTTGCATGTATTATTTATTAATTGTGAAGGTAATTGCTTTGGTATTGGGAATACCGAAACCGTACCGAAATATTTCGAGATAAGCGTTTGATATGTTGATTGTATAACACTGTTTGCGTTATTCGAGATTTCGATTGCTATTAGGTACTGAGATACCGATATATCATATTGATTTCCACTTCTACTCCTCACATCTCAAACCGTGAGAACATACTTAAGTACGAAGACGAGACGTTCCTAGATTACATGTTAAACCTTTCGTAACTATTAAATAGATGCGAAATGTGCAATACTTAATCCAGTAACGCAAAACCCTGTAAATATGTTCTCATGGACTGTAAGCATCATAGTCGGGTTGATTTTAGTCCGACTCCGACTAGTGATGATCTTATTGTGGTGATGAATGTGATGTGCCGTTGTGTAGAGGGAAATATTATTATTAAGCTAAACCTCAAGACAACGACCTCAAAAACCTATACGTGCTTCAATCTACTTTGTTTTACTTTGTGCCTTGTTTTCAAGCCTTTTGTCGAGTGGTGGTGGGTGTTTGGGCGGTGGATATATATATATGACTTGGATGTGCATTAATTTTCTCCCTTCATGTTTTAACCTAAGGAGAAAATGTATATATATATATGATTGTGTTGATTTATATTTTATTGGTCACGTTGTGTCACTATGGTTGGTTCGTTTCATGATAGGTTAGGTTATTTCTAGGTAGGAAACAAAAGCATTGTATGTCGAATTTTGATTCGACATTGTAAAAGTTCAATCAGATTGATTATGAGTTAGTTTGAATGCATTTCGAACTTAAATATATTTTGACATACTCATAAGTCTAACTACGAACTGAATATCTTGATACACCATTTATGAATATCTTGTTCGATCAAATCATAAGTATATCGGATGTCCCTGAAAAGACCGATCAATCATAAGTATATATGAGCTGTTCATGTTTGATTTTCGCATGATGTATATGAATATGGAAAACTCGACTTAGTTAATTATGTTAGGGGAGAGTAATGATTTTCTACACTCTCGAACGAAAATGCTACACGGCCGAAATAATTAATTATTGATCACAAATGTTACACAACCTAGTATTCAACCCAATTATCTCATACGAAGTCACGAACCGTTTCGCATTAACGACTCGCATGAGCTGCTATATATATATACCCAATGATGGAGGTTTGCCTTCACATCCAAAAAATGCGACATCTCAATCAGTAGATTTGATTGGATTTAGGTTAAACTTTCCGGTCTGAAAATTTGTCTTAAAAAAACAAAGATGCTTCATTGCCTATTGGGAATCTCAAACCAAACTGCTTTTGTGATGATTCAGAGTTGCAGACGAACAAAAAAAGGGACCTAATTTCCTGTTATTTTAATGTCAAGACAAGTGTACCAATCAACTATACATTAATAAATGATTTTCAATTACATCATCGAAGTAGATATATATTATTATTTTCACCATTAAATACTGCTAAATCAACCATTATTGGCAGCTAGCCACCATTAGTATTCCAAAAGAAATGAGGTTATTTCCCTTAAACACAAGTCTAACTACGAACTGCGGCCACTAGCTAATACTATAATAATAATAATAATATGATGATGATACATTTAGGGAGCAGTTATATGTGTACATCATATTCGTTTAATTTAGATCCACCATTCGGATTAATGTTTGTAATTGAGAGAAAAGGATAAAAATCTAGTGTGACGTAATTCTGCTAGTGATGTGAATACTTTATTTGTATATAAGAAGGGCGTCGGTGTTGATATGACTTGAATCAGATTATTTGTCGTCGATTGGAATTTACGGAATATGCGCCACTTCTTCTACGAGGGAATAAGCTCAATAAAGTAAGTAGTCTTGTTTTTCTGTTTCAAACGGGAGTTAAGGGCCTGTTTGGGCCCGTCTTCCAGAGATACCACGTCTATCATAGGGCCGAGTCATTGAGACCAAACCATGTGGGCTCGCCAACATATAGCAACGTTATTGGGCCCATGCACGAACGAGTCATCGCCTACAGAATTCTTCTCCCTGACAAATACAAAGTTGTAATGGCAAAAATAAAATAAAAAATAAAAAGAAAAGAAGAAAGAAGACAAATACAAACTTGCAATAATCTATCGGATGGTATTATAATGATTCATGTCATATATAGATACAGTACACGATTGTTGACAGGCAATTTTTGTTGAACTTGGTTGTTTTATTTTATACTTCACGATACTAAAGGTCACATAGTTCGATTGGTGAATTCTCGTTAGGTGATCGTTCTGAATGTGTGAGGTCCTGAATTCGACCCCTCTCAAGATCCATTCATGATGTTTCCGATCATTTGAATGAAATTATATTAGTGAAAGGTACAAAGGGCTCAAACAGGTGAACATAAAGTTTGATCTCAGAAGTGAAACAATCACTTTCTTTTCACTGGTCGTTTATCTTCAAGAAGAAGAAAAAATCCTAGGATTTCATTTATGTCCCTGAACAGATCAGCAGCAATGGCTGCAACTAAGCTAACCCCTCCCTCAAGGCTCAAGCCAAAGTAATTCACTGCTGAAAAATGATTTGGTAGGTACTTGGAAGTTGGAATCCAGAGATATTAACTTCCTCGCTCTCGTCTCTCCACAGATTCCTAACTATGTCAAAGATTCTTCTATGATTCTGTTCTTCCCAAATCGCTTCTTTTCCCCCAGTAAGCTGTGGATTCCAGTCCTTCTTTTACCCGGACCAAATAACGTCGACGCTAACACCTTCCTTTATTTATCTCCATTATTAGTCAATTCACTTCCCCCACCATTCATCTCTCTGTTTTCACACTGTTAGTCGGCTGCGACACTGAGAAGAGATTCTCTTCGGCCAATATTCTGTCCTTAAAGTATGAACCTTTGAGAAGGGTTTTGCCCATTTTCAAAAATTGGGTACTGATTGAAGCTCAGACATGGCGCAAGTAAATGACCTTTTTCACTCTTTCCCCTGTTCAAGCTCTGTCATTGGCGAGTTGTTTCTCTGTTCTGGAGTTCATATTTTCATGTCAGGTTGGTAATATTCTTTTTGTTGCAGGAAGAGATATCTGTTTCTGTTGCTAATGGAGGAGGAGATGGTGGAGATCCAGCCAGACTCGAAGTTTGTTTCTACCATCCAACTCTGTTTTTCATCAGCTTAAAAGGGTCTGTAAATTTTGAACAGGGGATTTCTTTTCTTTTTTCTTTTTCTCTTGGTTTCTTCAGGGGAGGTACAAAGCTTTGTTGGTTTTTTGGATCCTTGGATTCGGATCACTACTTTCCTGGAACAGTATGCTTACAGTTGGGGATTACTACCTCAAATTGTTCCCGGTAAATAAGAATTCTCAGCCGTCCTTTCCTCTGATCAATATTAATCCTGCTGTTGTGCGTTTCCCCTGACTTTCTTTTGAGATGCTCACCTTGTGTTTGAAGAAATACCACCCTTCAAGGGTTCTCACAGTCATCTACCTACCCTTCGCCTTGGGAACCATGTCGATCCTCGCCTATAACGAGTCGAGGATCAACACTAGGACAAGGAACATAGCTGGGTATCTACTCTTCTTCGCCGGTACTCTCATGCTACTAGTCGTAAGTGCTCCATCTCTAAGCTTTGGAATCCACCCAGAACGCTTGCCAACTCTAAAAACTGAACGGGTTGACTTGAAAACCAGCTGGATTTCGCGACAACGGGAAAGGGAGGAGCTGGGCCGTTTGTGGGCATTTGCTTGATCGTTGTATCATTTGGGGTTGCAGATGCTCACGTTCAAGGTGGAATGGTGGGAGATTTGTCGTTCATGTGCCCTGAATTCATGCAGGTTAGTTGGAATTCTCTTTCTCTCTTCACTTCAGCCAGAAAAAGTTGACATCTTTGGCTCATGCTTGTTGATGGTGGGTTTCTGAAAAGATGGAATTTGTTATTTGCTACAGTCCTTCTTTGCTGGTTTGGCTGCGTCAGGAGCCATGACTTCAGCATTAAGGTTGATCACCAAAGCAGCATTTGAAAATGCCAACAATGGACTCCGAAAAGGAGCTCGTAATTCACTTCACTCCTGTTTTTTTGTCACTCAACTTTCCAGTTTCCATTGTGGTCAGCAGTCTAATTTAAATTTCCTTTCAAATTCCAGAGCTGTTTCTTGCGATTGCCACATTCGCAGAGTTCCTGTGCTTCCTACTCTATGCGTTCTACGTGCCAAAGCTGCCGATAGTGAAGTACTACCGCGCCAAGGCAGCGAAAGAAGGATCGAAGACGGTTTCAGCCGACCTTAAAGCTGCTGGCATTCATACTCCTTCTGAACAGGTAATGTCCCATCACACCTTCACCATGATCTTCCTCTTTTTTTCCGTTTCAATTCATACGAATTCGACGAATCGTTTTCGATATCCTATTAGGGGGAGGACATCAAACTGATTGAGCGGCTGAACAACAAGCAGTTGATAGCCCAGAACATAGACTATGGTCTGGACTTGTTCTTCATCTATGTCCTGACTGCGTCAATCTTCCCCGGGTTCCTCTCTGAGGACACAGGCACTCACCAATTGGGTTCATGGTAAAACCATCCCCCCATTTTTGCTCAAGAATTCCCCTTCCTTGCCTCATCAGGAAAAGTTATGGCTCATTTTACTTTCCTGTCAGGTACATACTTGTGTTGATTGCAGTGTACAATACTTGGGATTTGGTGGGGAGATACGTGCCACTGATCGGGTGCATCAAGTTGACTTCGCGAAAGTGGCTTATGATCGCGATCCTGTCTCGATTCCTGCTCATCCCTGCGTTCTACTTCACGGCCAAGTATGGTGGTCAAGGGTGGATGCTCTTCGTCACATCGTTTTTAGGGCTCACCAATGGCTACTTGACCGTTTGTGTCATGACCATGGCTCCAAAGGGCTACAAGGTAGTATTAGCAGTAGTAGTTCTCTCCTTTCCCCTGCCTAAACTTAGGTTCAAAGGGTTATGTAAATTTGCTTGGGTTTGCAGGGTCCGGAGCAGAATGCACTGGGCAATCTGCTCGTGCTGTTCTTGATGACTGGTATTTTCGCAGGCGTGACCCTTGATTGGTTGTGGCTGATTGGGAAGAAAAACGCCTTCTGAAGAAAGCTCAAAGCAAAGCGTCAGCAAGAAAGTAAACTTGCTTTCTGTTTCGAAGGAGAGTTATCTTGCATGTGAAAGCAAACCAAGTTGCAGAAATCTTCCCGGGATATTATAATGATACACACTCCGATAGTCCGATGTGCCTATCTGACCAAAAGGAAAGATAAAGATCCCTAGTTCCCTACAGTTCCACTTAGCTAAATAGTCCATGGTGCACATAACTCGTTTGCGATAACTTATAATCATAGGAGTGTACGTGGTACCTTATATTTATTGCGCATGGGAAATATCCAATTAAAAGGAGAGAATTTTTTTTTGTAAACCCTTGGATCTTTTTCTTGACTCGCAAGACGCGCTTTACTCACCATAGAATAGATCCAGGAAGGTTCGAACCGCAATTTAGGATGAACTTGATGTCATTTTATTTATAAAATTGTCATGTAATGTTCATACAATGGAATGTATTGTGCTCATATTAGCAAAATAAAAAAAAACAATCTGATTATGGTGCTCACAGGTTGTATATGAGGTAAAGAGCATGCTCTAAGACACCCGGACCATTCGATCGGATCGGGTGCAAGTGCTTTGCGACGATATGATGGCGATTTTGTAGAAAGGGAATAATAGGAACAAAGGATTGTGTCACAATTAGAAGGACAAAAGAAGCCTCTCATCAAATCAAAACAATTAAGCATTAAAGAAGTTAATGTAGAAACAAAGGATTTTTATCTACTGCTAAAAATCGATGATGGTGGCTGTCTGTTAGTCCATCGGAAATGTATGAGGTGCTTAGTAATGCTGTTCAATGGGGAAAAAAAACAGAAAAGGCATGGCTTCGCCCAGGTTCGAACCGGAGACCTTCAGTGTGTTAGACTGACGTGATAACCAACTACACCACGAAACCATTTGTTGAATCAATTACATTTTTACCATATACTACCGTTAATAACAAAGAATATTAGTGATTTTAGGTCTCTTCTAGTTTTTATAACTTTCTTTTGTTATTCACTGTTACGTTTTTCGCTAGGCTGTGCTGATGTATAACAAATATTAGCCCAGCCTAGGGAGCCTAAGTCTAACTATGCATCGGTTTCCCATTCATAACGAAATGAGACACAAAATTCGAATTAATGTCACTTTTCTATTAATTCATCGTCATTTTTTTCTAACAGGAGGTGTGATGGAGTTCCTTCGTTGTCTCTCTTAGTAGTTAGTACAACTCGACCCCCGATGCTATGTAGTTGCACTTGTTCATTATTAATCATCCAAATTACAAACGATGTTTTCATATTGACTAGAGCAAGTGTTAGCACTATACTAACAAAAAAAAAAAATGTTAGCATGCCGACCAATTCCTCCAAAGTATAGTTGAATTGTTGTTGACTTCAATTAGCCTACTTAATTGGCAATTAAGAACCCCCACGTACATGAGCGGAGGGAGTGTGTACGGAGGGGGTGTCCCCGCACACCCTTGGATTGGAGAAAAAGGGTTAAAATTGGTTATATATAGTAGATTGTTTGCAATGGAACTTGAATATAGAAGGTTATTCCTTACACTTAATTATTTCTACCATCAAACTATATTAAGAGCGTACATTTAAAATATCTTCAATTATATATAAATGATATCATAGTCTGTACACGAATAAAATAAAATTCATATATGATTAACTCAATCTTTTAAATTTCTAATGTTTTAAGATAATTGTTAACTCTAAATTGTGGTGACTCTTAACTTCCCATAACACCATTATGCGTCCAATATCTAACTATCCACACAAACGTGGTTACTAAGTCGTTCACCTCTACCATCTCATCCCAATCGATATTCCTCGACTATCCATAATCAATAGAGCGACTTTAACGTAACTCTCCATGGATGGAATGATAAGGAAAATCATGAATCATTTGGTAGGATATATGGACAATAATGTATTTGATAGTTTATATGAAGAACATATATTTTAAAATATATATAGTAAAAACGTTGAGTCACTAAATAAAATTAACCCTACGTACCCTGCATGCATGCATCTAAAAGACTAAAAACCCCTCTTTATCCTCCCAATCGCACGTAACACCAATAAATAATAGAAACCTCTCTTCCCACACTCAACCCCTTTTTTTTCCCTTTATTCCAAACTCCATTGCCAAGCATTAATTGAAAGCATCATAAGAATTTCTTCATGTTCATCATACATGAACATGAAGATTGATATATACAACAATTCCCCTTTTCTATCTATATAACTCAAGCAAGCCATCACAATATTACGTGGAAGCAATACCCATTTGAATTTGAAGGTATATAATCCTTCAAACTTCATCAAATCGCCGTACCAAAAGTCTAACAATATGTTGCGAGTTGTTAGCACCTTATTCGGTTCCTCGAGAGCCACACGAATTCCGGTTCAGATATTGTCCCGGCATTTCCACAGGGACCCGATTCCGGTGGCTTGGGAGAGGCCCGACGCCGGATGGACGAAGCTAAACTTCGACGGCTCGTGCAAGGGCCTGAAGGGCGTGTCGAGCATAGGCGGGGTGTTCAGGAACCACAAGGCCGAGTTCATGCTGGGCTACGCCGAGCCCATCGGCTCGACCACCAGCGTGGTGGCCGAGCTGGCGGCCCTCCAGCGCGGGCTGGAGCTCGTGCTGGAGAACGGGTGGAGCAACGTCTGGCTCGAAGGGGACGCCAAATCGGTCGTGGAGATCATCTCGCAGCCCAACAGCAGGAAGCTGCTGAGCAGCTGCGAGATGGCTCGAAGACACGTCAGTCATATAAACCTGATCATGTCGGAGATCGATAACTGCAAGATAAAGCACATCTATCGAGAAGGGAATAGGGTTGCGGATAAATTCGCCCATATTGGACATGGGTTGGACCGGCCGAGAGTCTGGAGGCACGTGCCGCCGGACGATGATGTTTTGCTGCGGATTGTGCAGGAGGATGCCGTGGGGAAGATCATCATCCGGAACCGGAGGAGACAAGACAGACATTAATTAATTCATCAATTGTTAACAATCATTCATTTGTACATTGATTTTTGCAATTAGGTATGTAAAGCTGTAAATATTTCTGTGAATATTAATGGATCAATTAGCTAGTAGTTCTCTTGTACTTACCTTTTGTTAAAAAAAAAAATTGTATAATCACGTACGTAATTCGTTTTATTTAAGATTATATGCTCTCTTAATTCTTGAAATTTTGTAGAATTTTGATGGCGGGAGAGTTGGGTAAAGCATATATATGGAGCAGAAGAAAGGAAACCTTTAAACGTTCATGTTACAATATGTCTTTCGTCTAATCCAAGGCAATTTTTGGTTGTGTGTGTAAATTGAGTCCCTTAATTTATAAGCACCGTGTCATGTTTGAGTTGCGGTCACGTCATTACAAACTATAAAAATCATTTGTGTCCGACCCTTTAGTCTAAATTGTTACTTGAATACAACATATTTACGACGTGTTTTATAACTGTTTGAGTCGCAATATTTCCCCTCCGAAGATTCCAACTAGATATGACTTTACTCCATCTGGCTGGGCGCCCGGGTCCTACAAGAACAGGTGCACAACGGGCCTTTAGAGCCCGTTAGCACTCCGACGATCAAGTTAGTCCAAATTCTAGAGAGATAAGTGCTCAAGATGTTTTAGTGAGATTGTGAGAGAAGTCAACCTGTTTAAATGCCACATACCGAACACTATTTATACTCGCCGAGGTTCCGACCGAGCTCCTGAAGTTCAGCCCTACGTCAGCAAAGCATTAAATGCTCGATACGGCCCAACGTCTAGGTGCCTCTACGTGGCACTCTCTCAATCTTCCTGTCGGGGCGGCCAGCAGGGACCACACCCCACAGGCGGCAGTCTTTTAGCCCTCTTCCTCCGTACTAATTTGTCTTCAAGCCTCCTTTTTCGCTATGCGCCCTCTCTCTACAGATCTGCCTTGGTGATCTTTTTTCTCCAGCTTAGTCCATATTGTTCTGGGCTCCCAAATGGGCTCGGGTCCAATTGGGTTTGTGACAATTCATTGGGCCTATCTATATTGCCCCAACAATAACTTTTCCAATGCATCCATGAAAACTTCAACCCAACTTCATGATTTATCTTTTATTGTGGTTACTTCGTGTTAAACCGAATAACTCTTAATGGGAAATATGGTTACGTACACTATAAGAAAAAATATCGTAGCTTCATGGTAGTTCTAAAAATTAATATTAAGTTAAGAATTCTATATTGCTTCTGCACATTCGATATTGCAATTCAATATGCAATATCATAAGCATATTATATTTTATTTGGATATTAAAATTATCATCCATTTATAGGATATACAAAAAATTAAATCAATTATTAAACTCAAATTAAAATAATTAAATTATGAAAATCATAATATGAAACAACAAAGAAATACTTACAAGAGAGTTAGTGGGCTAGTTAATCGTTGTGAAAAAAGTCCTCTAATTTTTCAGATATTAGGTTTACGTATGTTTTTAATTTAGAAAGATATAAATTTTTTTTAAAGGTAATTGACAATGATTCTTGTCTTCATCCGTGAAGAGACCACGGTTTAAATTTAGAGATTGTTATATTTTTTATGAATAAAAAATAAATAAATAACTGCAAAGATAAATCTATCATCCTATTTTCATTCTCATTGTAGAAATTTGAATAACTCACAACCTTGCCATAATATATTTGTTTATTTAACTTTATCATGGCAGGTTAAGCAATGGCAGAGTCCATAGTTGGATGGAACTAGGGATTTCCTACTTCTATAAAATAAATATATACATAAATATGTAACACATATTAAATATTAATAATTTACTAAATAGCCGACTGATATATTATTATTTCCGAAAATAACAATGATGTGTTTTCATATTCAAAAAGAAGTGTAAAATACATTCATTCACTACACTATTAAGTAAGTCTCTTGCATTGTCCACATTCCAAAATATGTGTAAAATAGATTAATTGATGCAATTATCAGTTTACTTTTTTTTTTATTTCTAAGTGATATCAAAAGAAGACAAGAGTTTTACAAACAAAACTATTCAGGACCCCTTACAAGCGATAGTCTAATGAAGCCACCAAAAAAAATCAAAAGATTCTAGCTCTAGAAGAGACAAAAGCAGTGTTTTACGCTATACTCTATAGGCACTAGGCAGCATTGTTTCTGTTTGTGGCTCTAGGAACTGCTCTAAACTCTATACAAACTGACAAAGAGTCTAGGATCTGACGACACTCTCGAAGCACCGGAGCACCAATCGAATCTTCTAAGGCTCCTTGCCGGATCTGTTTGACGACCACTTCTAATGTTAAAAATTATCAGTTTACTTCTGATGTTAAAATATTAAACTCTTAATGCTCGTCTTAACTTATAGTTGTTGAGTTCCATCCCTTATACATGCATATACTTGTGGGTTAACTATATATTTACCCAAAACTAAGTGGGTGTAGTGAACTCATAATACATTCACTTGACTTGACTCTAGTATTATATCGCTGACTTTTTCCATACAACCTTTGCCCTCTGGTACCCTTGGTTGAGATATGACCACTCCATTACTCATCGTTGAAAGATTATCCAACAATGACACATGCTTCATGCTTATTTAGGGAGGATAGGGCTTGGCCTTGCATATGGCCCAAGATGATGGTCAAGAAGTCCAAACAATATAAATAAATAAAAGCAAGCCCAAACACTTAGACAGGTCCAAAATGGAAACTGGACCTGGTGAACTCCCACACTATATGCAGTACAATGATCCCAGTACAAGAAAAACCAGCAGTACATGCAGATCTCTTGATCAGCTAACTTTCTCCTCAATCTGATGAAGTAATGAACCCATTCTATTAAATAATTCTATGTTATAATACTGGAAATTCCCAATTTCCCACATAGAAGCAGGCAAACCATTGGTTGGGGTAGTACAATCCACAAACCCTAAAAACCCAACACTCTTCTTTTTCTCTGTACTACTACAACCACCTTAAATTCCCCATTGCTCAATCTCTGTATACAACCCAAAGCTTTCAATTTAGAAAGGAGAGAAGGAAGAGGAAGTACACGAAATACTCCCCCCCCCCCCCCCCCAACACGGTTCAGGATCGGAGAAACATCATTGAGTGCAGCGTTGATGAAATTTTCGCTCCTCCTCTTTTGGGTGGCCGACGAACTCACCATTTCGTTCCGGGAAGCGTGGTTTCAGCAGCGCTGCTCTCAATAATGTTTCTCTTTCTTTTGGGATCTGAATGGAAACCACTTGTGATTCTAGAAAGAGATTAGTACAAGCGGGTATATACTATTTTACTTTTTTCTGCTTATCTTCAGTTCTCTCGTCTTTGTTCTAACGTATACTCTAGTGTTTTTCTTACATTGTACTAGAGGGTTGGTGGGTAGCCCCAATGCAAAATAGATTGATTGTTTTGCTTTTGTTTGGCCAAGAACTTGATTGTTTGTATTTCATTACTTATTCATTAAAAAATTTATGTGTTTCAGCAACTTACAAATCATTTGCAATCAAATTAGCTTTATGAAGATTAACAACATCCATCAATCTTTCAAATAGATCACAAATTTATTACCAAGAAGAACTTTGATTACTAAAAAAAAGATCTTTGATTTATGATAATCAGATGATATGACAATGACACGATGATGAAGCTGCTTGATGAGAAGCATCCAGTACGACAATGTACCCATTATAGAATGTGGGTTAACCATCATATTATATGTAAGGCCAAGAGACATTTTTTGAACCGTTGGATGACTGATGACAGCATTGTTGTTGTAATTATGAGGAATGGTCAAAAAGATGGTAGAGATTAGAGAACCTCCCCAAGATGGTCAAAAGAGTTGAAAGTTGAATCTCTTTTTTTTTCCACTTTTTACTATGTTGCTGTTGCCTAGTTTTGCTGCAAACTGGACTTGTGGCCAATATAGAGAAGAGAAGCCTGCAAAATCGTACTTTGCTTGGAATTGGGCTTTTCGCGAATCTGCCAAACCCAACAGGTGAATGCACTCATATTATTATCAGCACACATTTCCTACATTTTCTTAAAGGACAAGTCTTGAAATTTGCTGCTGAAACTGAAACTCTGCACTAAGCCAAACAGAGCCTTTACCGCACCGATCAATCATTCCAATCTTTAATTTCCCGACTAATAATTTCCCCCCATGTCCAAAGACCAAACAAAGGTTTCTCCAGAGCAACCCTGATAGGGCTCTGTTTTCCTACCAAATTACGCCGCGCTGCCATTCGCCGTTCGCCATTATTCCCTTTCTTCGTCTTCTGCTACTGCTAATAAATGTCGACGACCCCTAAAACCAAAAGCCCTCTTTTCATTTCCCTTCTCCGCTCCTTCTATTAGAAAAAAGACGAGATTTTTTTCTTTTTTTCCCCGAGAAAATTTTCAGATAGAGAGTGGGGCTGCGGCGTGGAGTTCTCTGTCTGCGGGGGGATTCTTCTTTAATTCGTTGGCCGGGGAATGGCGGAGAATGGGTCTCTGCCGGACCACCTCCGGTGCAAGCGTACCGACGGGCGGCGGTGGCGGTGCGGCCGGAGGGTGGAACAGGGGAAGAAGCTCTGCGAAATTCACCACCTCCAAGGTAAGCATCGCTCGCACAAGTGGAAAGTCCCCGAGTCGCTCAAGATACAAAGGAAGTACAAGAACAGCAACAATGGCGCTCGAGTTAGGTTACCCAAGGAGGGCGACGTCGTTTTGTCGAAATTGGGGCAGAAGAGGAAGAGGCCGGAGGGGTTCCACGAGGTAGTGAAGATGAAGAAGAAAACGAAGACGAAGAAGATTAATGCCAAGAAGAACACGCTGCAATTTGAGCTGATTCGGATGGCTCTGAATAGAGCAGTCGAGAAGCGGAAAGGGCAGAGTACCAATCACAAGAAATCCAACTCTAAGAATAAGAGCGGTAGTAGTGATAATAACAGTGGGGAAGAAGAGGAAGAAGATGAAGAGCACGAGTTGATGAGAGATTTGCCTAATGGGTTCATGGCTATATCTCCTGCTAAGCATTTCAACAATGTGGGTTCATGTTCAGCTTCCACAGCTTCCTGCGACGTCAAAATTGGGTCGGATTTGAGTTCTGGGAGACGGTTCCGGTCTAAGAACCTCGAGCCATTGCCCATTGGAGCTGCCCTGCAGGTAACTGAACTGAAGGAATAACCACATTGCAGTCAGAATGATAGGTTGTCCCTTTCTACTTAGTTTTTGTTTTATAAAATGTGGGTTGTATTTATTTGTGAAGGTTAAGGATATGGTGGAATTGAACAGAGGGAAGAAGAAGCAGAAGTGCCATTGGTGTAGGAAGAATGGGTTGAGTAGTACTTTGATTCAATGTTCCAGTTGTCGGAAGGAGTTTTTCTGTATGGATTGCATCAAAGAACGGTATGTAGAAAGGACTGTTACTTCTATGAGCTGCTGTAACTAACTGCAAAATTTGTTCATGGTTCTCCTGATGATAAGAGCTACTTAATGATTGGAACTGAAGCATAAAGGTTATGACTATAGGTATTTTGATGAGCAAGAAGAAGTTCAGAATGCTTGTCCAGTTTGCCGCGGGACTTGTGGATGTAAACCATGCTCGGCAGCCCGATTTAAGGACGGTGAATGTGAGGTCTGGTGTCTTTAATAGTCATGGTTAACTTTGAACAAATGACGGATTCATACTCCTATTGACGAACCCTATGCTTACATATGTCTACCATGTTTGCTGCAGGAGTTCTCTAATGGTAGAAGACAGGTGAATAAGGTCTTGTACTTTCATTATATGATCTGTATGCTCCTTCCAGTGCTGAAAAAAATGAATCAAGATCTTGCTTCCGAAATTGACACAGAGGCCAAAATAAAAGGTATAATTCTCATTGATTCATCTTAGCGATCTTCTGATAGTGCAAGTAATCACATTCCCTTCTAACAGGTCTAAAACTTTCCGAGATTCAAATAGAGCAGGCTAAAGTAAGCAGCAACCAACGTTCGTGGTTTGTTCTTATTCTTCTCCAGATCATTATATTTCTTAATTTCACCTCCATGAGTTTCTCTTCCTACTTTCTTACTCTGGGATGTATGGTGATGCAGCAATAACTGCAAGGCTTTGATTGTTGATTTCCTCAGAAGCTGCCAAAGCTGCTCCTACAGCCTCTGCTTAAGATGTTGTCGAGATGTTTTCCAGGGGTTAGTACGTGGGAATGTCGATGTGCTTGTATCTAAATGCCCTACAAGAAGGAAAACTTTCGTTTCGGGCAGACAACAATCCGAGATGATATCAGCATTCACATCAAAGAAGAGATTCCCCGGTAGACATCCCCGTAATCGAAAAGCTTTCAATGGTTGTGTTGGTATACCTTGTCCACCTTCTGAGTTTGGTGGTTGTGGTGATAGCCTGCTCGATCTGAGCTCTCTTTTCCCATTGAATTGGGCCAAGGAGCTGGAAAAAAGTGCAGAAGAGCTTATTGGCTGCTACGAGTTGCCCGAGACCTTGGATATCAACTCCAGTTGTTCGTTATGTACTGAGAGTGACCTGGAAACTGATGAGGTAAAGCAGTCACAAGAGGCCTCTACAAGAGAAGATTCACAAGACAACCTGTTATACTGTCCTACTGCAGTAGACATTCACGGTGATAAGCTAGAACATTTCCAGAAACACTGGGGCAAAGGTCAGCCTGTAAAAGTCCGCAATGTGCTTCTGGGTACATCTGATCTGAGCTGGGATCCAATTGTCATGTTCTGCACCTATCTCAAGAACAATGCTAACACAACCGGGAATACACAGGCTATTGATTGTTTGGACCACTTTGAGGTTAGTCATCCTTTAGTACACAGTCATGTCAATGGAATAGTGTTATATTTGATAGTCTAGTCCTGTTGGTATTTTGAACTCATCTATATAGCAGAACTACTCCATTGGTATTTTGAACTCAAGCTGTCATTCTTCGTGACGGCAAAGTTGCTACATCCTAAAATCTCATAAAGGCTCAGCTTAAAAGTCAAATTCTACTAGTTTAGGACTGTCCATGTGTGCATGATATAGCTTTGAAAGGTGTAGTTTGAGAATCACACTGTAAAAAGTTTATGTTTTTCCAAGTCTGCATGATAACTACGGAAGGTTCCGTTTGAAAGTCATGTTGTATAGTTTTTGGACTATCCAGTTTCTGCAATATGATAACTTTGATGTAAAAATGGCAGGTGGAAATTGGTGTTCGGCAGTTATTCATGGGATCGATAAGATGTCCGAAAAATGCCAATATGTGGCATGAGGAACTAAAGTTGAAAGGATGGCTTTCTCCTCAAGTAATCCAAGAACATCTCCCAGCTCATTACTCCGAAATCCTTCATGCTCTACCACTCCCAGAATACATGGACCCCACTTCTGGTGTCTTGAACTTAGCAGCAGAGTTGCCACAGGAGATCTCGAAACCTGATTTGGGTCCTTCCATCTACATTTCGTACAATAGCGGGAACGATATTGTAAGAGCTGAGTCAGTATCAAAATTGCGGTATGATACCTATGATGTGATCAACATTCTGGTGCATGCAACTGATGCACCTGTCTCGACTGAACAACTTAACTATATCCGCAAGCTGATGAAGAAGAACAACGAAGAGAACCGAGCAAATGGAGGAAGCATCGAAGAATTGAGATTGCATGATCTGGTAGAGGAAGAAATTCAATTGCACAAGAAAGTTGCTCGAGTCTCTTGGTTCGCTGCTGCACAACATGAAGCCCGCGATGAGAAACGTAACACAGTTTTCCACAATAATGGAGCGTGTTCAGACACTGATTCCGACACTGATACTGATACCGATACTGAAGTCTCAAAGTTCTTGTTTGGTCCAGTCAAAGGGTCTAGGACTTCAGAGCACCGAACATCCGGAATAAAGCGTTCGGAAACAACCTCCGATGAAGAATTTGTATCTGAGAAACATGAAGAGTCATGCGGTGTCCTATGGGATGTCTTCCGTCGACAGGATGTTCCAAAGCTCGTAGAGTATCTACGACAGCACTCGTATGAGTTTGTCAATACATATGGTTCCAGAAAGCCGGTAAGCTAAAGGATACTGGGTGTGTGCTTGTTCTAGCTTTTGCTAAGTTTCAGTAAAACTAAAGGAGAATAAGTGTTTCATGTGTCGGTTCCTTTACTCATCAGTGGCTGTATACCTTTGCAGGTTACTCATCCGATACACGATCAAATTGTCTTTCTCAATTCGATGCATAAGCAAAGGCTCAAAGAGGAATTTGGTAATAGTTTTGTTCTCATTTTTGGGTTTTAGTGGTCATTTTCTTCAGTTTCCAAAGACCTCATTCTTTCTATATCACAGAGATTGAGCCGTGGACATTCGAGCAACACGTGGGAGAAGCCATCATTATTCCAGCCGGATGTCCTTACCAGATTATGAATCTCAAGTCCTGTGTGAACATAGTGCTGGACTTCGTATCTCCGGAAAGTGTCATGCAGTCCATGCAGTTGACCGATGAGCTTCGCCTACTTCCAGATAAGCACAAGGCCAGGGCTGATTGTCTTGAGGTGAAGCAAATGGCCATCCATGGCATCAGTAGAGCCATTAAAGAGATACGTGAGCTTACTTCTTGCACTGACTAACACTGCGAGATGCAACTTTCAGAATACATCATCGTCCAATTCCTTGGGTTTTGCTACCACAGATGAAGTACTCCCATCAATGAATAAGAATCAAAGGGCTGTGCAAGCTCAAATTGTTGAGAATGAGTGGAAGAGATTGTTCCAGTTCTGCATCAGAGTTATAAGCATATATGTACAATGATTGTATGCTTTCATGGGATTCATAATCTGCAATTGGAGAGATGATGGAAGGGAGGTAATTCTTGTAGACTAAAGATCAAAGGCTAGTTAGGATAGGGTTTCTAAAACTTTTTTGTTGGGGTACTGTCCTTTGGATTTTGTGTAAATGACTCCTTTTTTTCCAAGACAATCCATTGGTTGTACATATCATTGGTGGTAGTCTTCTGAGTAATAGTTCAAGGTTGAGTGTTAGCCGTTAGGTTGTGATTTGGGGTTACTGAGTTCCTGGAACTCATATGTGACTTAGGTAATCGTAGAGTGTAACAGAACATAACAGCTCGTCTTCAGTCACAAATTTTTACTGTTTTTTGTTGTTGTTGTTGCTGTCTCTGTATATGTCTAAATCTAAACTCAGGGAGGACACGATGGAAATGGATACTTATCCATATTGTGTTGTAGAAATTAGAATGAATGAAGCAGCTAACAGTTGGTCACCCTCTAGCTGCTGCGAGCCAGAAACTCTTCTTGACACTTCTCTGCTACGACTGCGATGCAAGATAGATTGCAACGTCCTTTTCTGCTGACGCTCATGAACAGGTAACGGGATAGGAGGATTGAGACTTTCTTCTTCAAATCTGCATCTAGATCTTTAGAGGGTGGTAGCTGAATCTTTACCTTCCATTTGCATCCATCCTGGTTTTGTGGAATCCACAAGAGCCAATGGTTTTTTTATTTCATTTCTGGGGAATAGCAGTACTGCATTTTGAGCTTCTTCTTTGATCCATGGCAAAAAGAACTAATGAAAAACATGCATCCTTCTCTCTATCTGACAGTCACAGAGCGACATCATAATTTTTTTTTACAGTTCTTGCACATAACATGATGAATCGAATGAGATCTTATCTCTGTTTTTTATGGTTAAGTCATTATAGAACCGTTGGTAGAACCATTTGTGCGGTATGACATTAAAATTGCATATAATATGGTCATTTATGATTGAAGTTATCGATAAACATAAACCATTTCGAATCTATATCATCCATCACTAAAAAGTAAAAACTCTAACAAATCACTCAAACCATCTCACTAAAAAATTTATGATTTTTTTACGAAATTCAAGTTATTAATTAGGGTGGCAATTTGTGGTGGGCCGTGATAAAGCCGACAAGAAAGTGGAGAAACGAAAAAGAGGAAACAAAAATAAAATTAGCGGTTCAGGTGTGATTGTCTTAATTTATATTAAAATATTTTTCATAATGTTTTTTAGTTAAAACAGTGAATAAAGTATTTTTCATAATGTTTTTGTTGTTAAAATAGTGAACAATTCAAATCAAGATCGAGATGGTATATCTAATTTCATATTCTTTTAACTGTCAATCCCTTCCTAACTGTCCAAACAAATTACCCAAACGTTGATTTTTATAACTAGGGATAATAGGCATCGGGTTACACATGCAATGCCAATAAATGGTTAGATTGATTTCTTCACACGGTAAGAGATCATATACTGAAAGAATTGGCATCACTTATTCTCTTTACTTTCTCTGTTGCTCTTGCATTGTCTGGAAAAACCATCGATTGAATTAAGTACAGGCAAAAAGACAGAGAGAAATGGGAAACAAAGCAAAAAAGTGAGAAGTGAACAAAGAAGAAGAATCCTTAAAGGTACAAGGGAATTACAAAAAAGAATCATCCAAAATTTCGAGGGCTGGATACATCCCTGAGAGAGCTGTCCTTATTTCTTAGACTGCAAGTATACTTCTTTGTGGCCTAAACACTTACAAAATTGTTTCCAACCTGTGATAACCTTCTTTCTCTTCTATGGGGCCATCAACCCTTCGATCGTGTAAGACAGTGACTTTGCCCAATCAGCTCGAAGCAGCAGCGTCTGCAACGTTTGCATCACGTTGTATGCCGGGTCGAGCTTCCTTTGCCATCCCTGTGAATTATATAAACAAAACGAATGAAGATGAGGACCAACAAGATGACGTACACTCCAATTAACCCTGGAAAATTCTAAGACAAAGATTATACCTCGAGAACCAACGTTGTCACCATTACAGTGCAGACATTGCCATCAATGTTGACCTTATGTCGCCTTACTTTCTCGAGTAGTTCCTCCATGCATTCCGCAGGATGAACCAGATCGCCTTCTGGAGTTCCCCAGAATGTGAATGCCTCTTCCATTTCCTGTTTTAAGCAAACACCACCAATAAGAAACTGTATACAACCATGCAGAGTCACAACTTTCTCGGGACAGAACCCAGGATGGCAAATCAAAATCTAGAAGGTTGCTGAAGACATTTACATACATGTGGCACATATGAGCCCAAACTTCCAAAATCTTATGCAACTTGATAATTTGAACTCATGACACACCAACCCACAAAAAAAAAAAAAATTCAACAGAAAGTCATGGATGCCTAACGACCCAAAAGAACCATGTAAAAAAGCCAACCCACAACCTCCCAGACCCATTAAAACAGAACCCATATATCCATGAACCCTACTCCTAGTCTACTACCTATTTGCCACCTCTACTACTGATTTCTAAATGCAGATGTTCTAGGGTCTCAAATGGACAGACATTCCCTCGAAAGAAAAAGAAAAAGACTTTGAACTGGTTACACACCTTGATAAAAGCCTTTGGATCAGGACAATTCTGCTGTTTCGATAATCGCAATGCAGATTCTGCTGCAATGCGTCCATCTCGACGAGCAACAGCCTTGAAAAACTCAAGTAGATTCACTCTGTCGTTCTTTGATAGTTCAGCGGTCATGCCTACATCAAGGAAAACGACATGAGGCTTTGATTTGAACAGCCGTTTTTTCCCAGATGGCTTGTTCTGAGACGCCACCCGGACAAGAATATTCCCAGGATGCATGTCTGCATGGATAAAGTTGTCCACCTGAAGCAAGAAATAATTCACTTGGCAAACTGAGGCTAAATTCCAAATGTTTCTCAAACTATAACCTTAAACAATAAACATCATAGTATCTTACCAGAAGCATTTTCAGAAGTGCATGAGTTCCTATATGGGCAAGTGCAGCTTTAACCCGATCATGTCCCTCAAGGTCATCCACATAGTGCGAAACACTCTCCCCTTGCTCGTAAGTCTCCACCAAAACAGCTGGATGCACGAGGGGATACACTGGTTTAGGGAAGGAAACATCTTTCCAACTCCGGAAGTTATATATGAACCTGCTCAAGTGAGCAGCCTCCCTAGCAAGATCAACTTGAGACATCATGAAAACTGCAAACTGCTGTACACTCTCATCCAATCTCAACCAATTCAAAGCAGGAATAAATCTCGACATCTTTGCTGCCAAATTGATGATGGTGAAATCTCTACGAATTGACTCTCCAACACCGGGATGCCTAACTTTTACCGCCACAACAAGAGGCTTCGCCTGCTTCTGACCAGGGTACCTGAATCTCAAAGAGGCCCGATGCACCTGGGCAATACTTCCAGATGCCACAGGAAGTTCCTCAAACCCTTCGAAGATTTCATTTAGCTTACGGCCAAATGCTTTTTCAATTATCTTTTTTGTGTAGGCAAAGCTATGCTCAGGAGCTTTTGAGTGTAGCTGTGACAGCTTGGTGCAGAGATCTCGAGGGAAGAGATCAGGTCGTGTAGCCGCCCATTGCCCCCATTTTATGAATGCTGGACCTGCTCTTTCAAGTGTTCGAAGGACGACACGAAGCCAATAGTCCCTGAATCTTGGTCCAAACCAGTCAGCAAATGGTGCCATGACTAAGCTTGGGGTAAACAAGATGGTCAAGTAGAAGGTTCTCACGAGCAAGATAAGACCTTCCACAGCAGAGTATACCAGTGATGAGACAAAAGCTCTTCCATCTTGTGCACGATTGTATAGTGAACTTGTCAAGGGGTATGGATATTGAAACGAGTCGGCCATCGATCTCTCTGCCCATGCCATTTGCCCACATGTCAGTGCCAGCGCACCAGAGACTACAAGAGGTGATCTTGTTAAAGCCAAGCTGACTGCTTGAGCAATCCTGCTTATAACTGTGGGGTTATCAATGCCATGAGAGCCTCTTGCAATGAGCCTCCTCCATGCAAGATGGGCATTGTAAGCGAGAAGTTTAGCAGGAGAAGATCCAGTATATGGCTGAGAACTGAAACTATGGCTGAATTGCTGCTTGACTACATGCCGGGTGAAGGCTGAAGATCCTACTCGTGGGAGCTGGTAATGAGCAGTGTGTCTAAAATGGGGTATACGGGAGCCCAGCTGGGCTAGTGTTCCATACCTCTTATACCCTGAATGGCTTTGGCTTTCAGTAATTGAACTTGCGATCCTCTTAATAGCTCCAAACGTCAAAAATCTACATTCCACTACCACTCATTCCATCAGTCAATCAATTATTAAGTTCAAATCTTTGCAACAAGTCTCAAATTTCATGTTTACCATAACAAAAAAAAGATTGACACAGTCGAGCTCAACACTAATTCACCATACGAATGCAGAAAGAGTAAATGCAAGAAATTCACTCCAAAAGTTCATTTTCTTCCAAAGAAGACATCACGGGATCAGACTCAGCCCAACTAAACAAAGACAAAACCAAAAGATTGGCAAAACGGCGCTCAGCAATCACCATCGACAAGCATAAATTGAATCCATCATCCCAAGAAAACAGGAAAGACTGAACCAAGCAGAAGAAACACCTCAAGAGAATCCAATAGGCAAAATCTCGCATCAACTGTTATTCCTACCACTCCCATTTCCCTTTGTCAAATCATCCCCTCCATTACCAACCTGTCGCCCACACTTAAAGAGTTCCTCTTCCCCAATTTCAACCAAAACCCAGCCTCCACCGGCGCCCTAACTCTCCTATGGTATTGCACTCTCTCCGCAGCTTCAGCCACTAGGAGGAACTTCCACCTTTACCGCCGATGCTTCCCTTGCGAATTCCGAAAAGTGGGTCCCTTGAAACGTCTTCCTAGAAGCTCCGCCACCGCTGCCTAATTCCGGCAACGACCCATTTTCGCCGTGAAGGAATTCCCGAATTCGACACACGGCACACCCAATCCCCCTCTCTCTCTCTAACTCCCCCGCGAAAGAATAAGAAGCAAAATGGAAGACAGAAAGAAAGGAAGATGGATGGAGGGAGGGAGGGAGAAAGGAAGCAACCAACCTCGACATGGCGATCCGGAGTCTTGAGAGCTAGTTGATGAAGCCAACGCCGCGGCGGCAGCTAGCATCTTTTCATGGATTCTCCTCCCAGCTCTCCCTTCAGATGGGGCTTCTTGCTGATTGCCGGAATGGGCGATCGGCGTAGGTTGGGACAATTGCCCGTTTCGGTCCGGGAAGGAAGGGAGAGATTGCCCTAAAGCTTGGGGGAGAAGGCTGGAGGAGAGAGAAGTGGAAACGGCGGGACGACGGGGAAAAGTGGCCTTGGACTTTAGGGAAAGACAGAATTTAATTGGGCTTTCCCCACTTGGTCTCCTTTTCTTTGGGCCCACGACGGTAGATCGAGAGTTCCGCTTTAAGTCGGCTCCATGGTGCTCCCATTATCCACGTCGTCAACAGAAATTCCACGGTTCAACGGTTGGGACCTTTGGGTTAACCAACGGTTCCGGTTTGTCTAGGCGCTCATAAGTTTGTCTAGTATTCATGAGCGAGGAATTTTACAATGCTATATAGCATTGGTGCTATAGGTTCTTGCCTTTATGGTACAAGTTGAAATTGTACATTTAACGTTATGGTACAACTTCAGATTGTCTCTGTATATCATATTAGACAATCATTCACGAACTGATCACATATTCGATTTCTAAACTTGTTCTTTATGTAATCCAAAGCTGAAAAAACTCTTTCAATGCTTGTCGTGCAACCATAAATCAATACAAATTAAGGGTAGCTTAAAATTTGTTTAATTTTTAGATTTTGAAAATAATTAGAGATAAAGAATGACATTATACTATTACACAGTGTTTAAAATCGAATAACATATAAAGGTCGTAGCCTAATGGAAATTATGTTTATTAAAATAAAAGTGTCCTAGGTTTGAATTACCCAAACATTCACTTATATTCTCATACTCAAACTAAAAGATGAGAGTAGGATAATCAGTTTTTTAAATTTAGGGGTATCCCCGACTATCAATTATAAATTTTTTGTCAATACGTAAATTACCACCAGAGGTTAGATAATCGTTTTCCCAAAATTTAAACACCTCGTGGGTCCGCCCCTTCACACAACACACTAGTGATCTATATAATTTCGCGTACCAATATTGTAGCCCCTCTCTTAGCCTAGACTCGTTGGATTCGGAGCATCGGATCCACCATAACCTAGAAACATGCAAATCACACATTAATTTCGTCAAACCACCAATAAATTTCCAACATGCAAGCCAATCATTATTATAAGTAACAACGAAGTTTGGTGACGGTTTGTAATAATTAAGCAAAAAATGCTCTCAACTGCTATCGACGGAAACCCCGCTCCGGCACCGCCACTCCTACCTTCCGATCGGCCGCCGGATCCCCCAATCTCTTCGGCTGTTGCCGTTTCGGCTACTTTGCCTGCGAACGTGGCCTCGGCCACCATCTCCTCGGATATGTTAATTGATGGTGCTTCTTTGTCTTTGTCTCAACAGGGGATCACGATCAAGGAAGCGGGAGTTCAAGCGGAACCGACAGGCGGTGCGGGAGTTGGACAGGCTCCGTTGTCATATGCGAATGCGGTCGCGGGCATCACAGCTAAGGCTCCTATTCCTAATCAACTAATTCAGTGGTCTCCTGTGGGGGAACACGATCTAGTGACGGGAGAGCACAATGGAGAACCAGCCCTGAAAATCTCCTCTGCGTTCAAAGAAAGGATATGTGCTCCTTGGCACAGGACTCTGGTGATTCGTTTGCTTGGCTTGCGGATTGGCTTCGTGACTCTGTGCAATCGACTGAAAGGGATATGGAGACCTACAGGGGCTATGGAAATCAAGGATTTAGACCACGACTGCTTCTTGGTTAAGCTTGACAACGAGCAGGATTATTTTCGAGCTCTAACAGATAGTCCATGGGTGATCTATGATCACTACCTGGTAGTCCAGCAGTGGACTCCCAACTTCAAGGCGTCGGATCCCTTACCGAAGAAGATGATTGTCTGGGTGCAACTTCCAGCCTTGAAGATTCATTTCTACCACAAAGAGGTTTTGAATATGCTTGAAAACCTCATAGGAAGAACCATTAAGCTGGACTTTCATACCCTGACCCAGCAACGAGCGAAATTTGCGCGCATAGCGGTGGAGGTGGATCTTTCCAAACCTTTGGTCCCAAGAATATGGCTTGATGACGACTGGCAGAAAGTTGAATATGAAAACCTCCCTGAGGTTTGCTTCCAATGCGGCAAGATCGGTCATTCCTTACCAGGGTGTCCGCAAAATCAACCGGCGACTCCAGCGGGCCAAACGGTGATCGCCGGTGGTACGCCGCCGTTGACTCCACCAGCAGCGCAGGAAGACTCTAGTCCGGGGTTCGGGCCATGGATGTTGGTGTCGCGGAAAAGCCGGCGGAATTCTAGGGAAACTCATAGAAAGGGAAATACAGATTTGGACTCAGGCAACCAAATCACGGTTCATACAGGTAAATCAGGAAAGGAGATAGCGGCAATCAAGGAACCGGTGAAACTCTTACCTTCTACGTCGACTCTCAACGACTCTGGGATTCAGCGGAATGCAGGTCAGGAAAGGAAAGGGGCGGCAGTGAGAAAGGGAGGAGATGAGGTTATTAAAGGAAAAGGTAAAGCTACCTCTGAGCTCACCAGCAACGGGAAGGGCTTACTTGGGCCAAAGCCCAACTGCCTCACACAAATGGATAATGGGCCGCGCCAAGCCAAAGAGAGTAATGGGGCATCCACTTCGGCCCTTTTGACAGACCCAAAACCAAGGACGGAGAGTGCTGTGAATCCAGCTGCTACGGCCCATATTCCGAACGTGGCCCAACCTCCTTCTCCACCTGCAGTTCGCACGGTGAAAGGGCAGAATGGGTCGTTGATGCAGATTGTCGTTCACCATCAAGAGAACCAGGACGGTCGCGACGAAACTCTCAACTCCTCTCCATCGGTGGCCAAGAGGACGAAACGAAGCAAGGGTAAGAAGTCTCAAGCTAAGGGGTCTCCTGCCAAACTCCATCAATTGAAGGCGCTGTAGATTTGGTCCCCCGTGAAGGAGAGGAAAGTTAAATCCAAGTCTCGTATAGCCTCTCTGACCCTTCAGGAGATCGCGGCATGGACTGAGGCAGCTAGGCGAAATACAGACGCTTCAGGGGAGACAGAGACAGTGGGGCTGGACTCGGCCTCTGAGAAGCCAAGCGGACTCGAGAGCGGCACACCCACCTCCTTTTGATGGTCTGCAGGGACGACTCGACTTACTTCCCCTTCTCTTCGCTTCTGGTTTTTGGTTTGTTAATGGATAAGCTCAAAATTTTCTCATGGAATGTAGGGGGTGCAGGGAGTAAAGCCTTCTCTCGAGCACTCAAATTGGCCATCCAGAGTCACCGGCCAGACTTTGTGGTGTTACAGGAGCCCCAAATTAGTGGGGAGGCTGCGAACAGAGTTTGTGATAGGTTGGGATTTCCGAATTCTATAAGGGTAGAGGCTGAAGGGAGGATGGGCGGAGTTTGGGTGTTCTGGGACGCAGGAGTTTTCTCGGTTGAGCTCTTCTCTGCCTGCACGCAACAGATTTCTTTGCGGGTTTCCCAACCAACGGGGAGCTCCTGGATGTTAACTGCGGTGTATGCCTCTCCCCGAATGAGTGAACAAAGCCGGTTATGGGATAGTATTGTTGCCCAAAGCCATTATATTGATATTCCATGGTTGCTCACAGGTGGTTTTAATGCCATCAGTTCGCCGGATGAGAAGTCGGGTCCTCCTAAGAGTAACACGCTGAGAAGATGTCAAGTGTTTACTGACCGTATGAACCTAGCTGAGCTGGTTGATCTTGGGTTCTCGGGTCCTAAGTACACGTGGTCAAGGGGTGACCAGCAGCAGACCTATAAAGCCAGCCGCTTGGACAGGAGCCTATGTAATCTTAGGTGGAACACGAGCTATCCTAATACCTCCGTGGTGCACCTCCCTCGGTTTCATTCAGATCATAACCCAATTCTCACAACTGTGGAGCTCCAGCAGGGACACCAGTCTTTGCCTCGTCAGTTCAAATTTGAAGCTGCTTGGCTCACAAATGACAGCCTTCAGGAGGTTGTGACGGAGTCGTGGAATCCTTCATGCCCGCTCTAGGACGCCTTGGCTGATCTCTCCAAGAAGCTGATGGACTGGAATGCAACCACGTTTGGGAATGTGAAGCAAAAGAAGAAAAGGCTGATGGCGCGCCTTAAAGGGGTCGAGCACAGGCTGGCTACTTGTTTCACTCCGGGTTTGGCAAAGCTCCATACCAAGTTAGAGACGGAGTTGGATAAGATTCTGGAGCAAGAAGAGCTTATTTGGTTCCAACGGTCTAGAGATGACTGGGTTAAATTTGGGGAGAGGAACACAGCATATTTTCATCAACAGGTCAACATCAGGAGGCGCTACAATAAGATTGAGGCACTCCAGGATGAGAACGGGAACTGGGTTTCGGATCCTCAAGCTTTGGCAATGCTGGTGTTCTCTTTTTTTACTAACATTTATCTGCAGGAGAATACGCCTTATGAGGACAAGATGCCAAAGAGCGCTTTCCCAAGATTGTGTCAAGGGGAGGCAACAGATTTGTTCTGGCCTTTCACTATCCTTGATATCCACAAAGCTATCAAGCCCCAGGACCAGATGGCTTCCATGCTGCGTTTTATCAACATTTCTGGAAAGTGGTGGGGAGATCCTTGTCAGATCTGGCAGTCTCATTCTTCGAGAACGGCGTGCTTCCCGATGCAGTTACAGAGTCTACTCTAGTCCTCATCCCTAAAGTGGATGCACCAGAGCGAGCCTCCCATCTCAGGCCCATCTCCCTCAACAATGTTTGCCTCAAGAGCATCACGAAAGCAATGACCAGCAGACTCAAGCCTCTCATGAGGAAGCTGATCTCACCTCGGCAGAGCAGTTTTATTCCGGGCAGGCAAACCACTGACAACATCATCGTGGTTCAAGAGGTGTTGCATTCCCTTCGGAAGAGGAAGGGCAAGAAGGGGGGTCTGGTTTTCAAAATTGATATGGAAAAAGCTTATGATATGCTGAGATGGGATTTCCTAAGGGATACACTTAAGGAAGTCGGGTTGCCTAGCTCCTGGATCAGGTGCATTATGTACTGTGTTGAGAATAACAGAATGAGGATCCGGTGGAACGGGGAGTTGTCACAGCCCTTCACGCCTTCTCGCGGAGTGAGACAGGGAGATCCTCTTTCTCCCTACCTATTTGTGTTATGTATGGAAAGATTATCTCACATGATTGATGAGGCGGCTAGCAATGGGCAATGGAAGGCTATTAGGCTAACCAGCTCTGGGCCGCCACTAACTCATCTTTTTTTTTTGCAGATGATTTGCTACTTTTTGCTGAAGCAGAGAGGCGTCAGATTCGGGTTGTGAAAGATTGCCTGGCCGATTTTTGTTACAGTTCGGGGCAAAGGGTGAACTATAGCAAGTCGATTTTATATGTCTCACCCAATATTGCTCGCCGGAAAGCAGAACTTCTGAGCACTTTTGCAGGAATCCCCCTAAAGGCGGCGCTGGGGAGATATCTCGGGATCCAAGCTATTCACGAAAGAGTCACTAAAGGGCGGTACCAATCTCTGCTGCTGCGCATCCAAAAGAAAATGGCTCCTTGGAAAGCTAAACGACTCTCCTTCGCAGCCCGCCTCACTGTTGCTAAATCGGTAACTGCGTCTTTACCCGTTTACAATATGCATACAGAACTGATCCCGAGTGGTGTGTGCAGGAGCATCGATAAGATTAGCCGGGATTTTATTTGGGGAGACGAAGAGGACAAAGCCAAGATACACCTGTTAGCCTGGGAGACGCTTTGCAAGCCTAAGGAGCAGGGTGGGGCAGGTCTTAGGCCCACTCGACAAGCAAACATCGCCATGCTTGCCAAAGGTTGCTGGCGCTTACTGCAGGAAAAGGAGAATCTTTGGTCCCAGCTCCTCTACTCTAAGTACGGAGGGCAGCGTCAAGGCTGAGATGTTCTTCGAAAACGACAGGGAAGTTCCTTCACCTGGAGCAGTCTTTCCAAAGCTGCTGATCTCTTTAAAAGAGGTTGCGCGTGGAACATTAAGAATGGGAGACAGACTAAATTTTGGTTGAATCCTTGGATTTTGCAGGGCCTGCTGAAGGAGGAAGCCGTTGGCGATATCCCAGAGGCTTTGGAAGAGGCGACAGTTGCTGACTTCGTGCAAGAGGATGGCAGCTGGAATACAGATGACTTCCTAGATCTGCTGCCCCCGGAAATCTGTAGCAAGATCTTGAGCACCGCGGTGGACAAACTCTCACAGGAGGATGATATTCTCTTCTGGACAGAGTCTGCGGATGGCCGGTTCTCTGCTAAGTCGGCTTATGCCCTGATGGCTAGGGGCGGTTCTCAGGCTGAGGACTCCATTTGGAAGTCCATATGGCGATTAGCTGTCCCTGAGCGAGTTAGAGGTTTTGTTTGGATGGTGATGCATGACAGGATCGCTACCAATGCCTTGAGATATCATAGGAAGATTGCTACGTCCCCATGTTGCCTTCGATGCGATGGACGGCCCGAGACGACCATCCACATTCTGAGGGATTGCGCTCCGGCTAGCTATTTTTGGTCTCGAGTGGTGTAGCAGCAGAAACAGTATGACTTCTTCGCCTCAACCCAAGATTCTTGGCTACGCAGTAATATTCTGAGCAAGGACTCCACGGCCTCGGGTATTGGCTGGCCGGCTTTCTTTAGTATGGCTATCTGGCTGTTGTGGAAAAATCGGACTGTGGCCTCCTTCAAGGGAATTGGTGCAGCCATGACAGCCCCATCCCTCATGCACTATATCATAGTTAAGCGTAAGATTTGGAATGATTCTTGGCATACTCCGTCTTTGTTACTTGATCACAGGAGGATGAAAGCTACTCGTGTTGTCGCCAACGTGGGATGGGAGCCTCCCTCTGAGGGATGGGTCATGCTGAACGTGGACGGGGCCTCTAACGGCAACCCCGGGATGGCTGGCGCAGGCGGAGTGGTGCGTGACACGTTAGGGAATTGGGCAGGTGGTTTTGTTGCTAATATCGGCTCAGCAACCGCTTGCCTTGCGGAGCTGTGGGCAATTTACTATGGGCTTGAGATAACTTGGAGGCTCGGTTACCGTGTGGTGAGAGTGGCCTCGGACTCCCAGCTGGCCGTGCAGCTGATTAAGAACCGTCAGGATCCCATTCACCCCTATGCTACTTTGTTGGGGCTTATTCGTCGTAAGTTGAGCCAGGATTGGTTGGTCAGTCTTTCTCATACATACCGAGAAGGGAATAGAGTCGCGGATTGGCTCTCGAAGCACAGTCTCGTCTATCCCTACGGGTTGCATGAGTTGACGAGCCCACCTTCTGGGGTCGTGCCACTTCTGCGGGACGACATGTTAGGTGTCACCTTCGAGCGCCATGTGGTGGCAAGCTCATCCTCCTCTACCTAATTCTCCCATGTAACTTGTTCTTGTTTCTTGGCTTTGGCCTCCCTGCAATGCAAAAAAAACAACGAAGTTTGGTATTGAAGCCTTAAAAGTTGCTTCTCATTGATCAATTTATTTATATATCTCTTGCATTGTACTACAATCCCAGCTTACAAAGTAAAGAAGGGAAAGGGTTAAAATGCAAAAGGGAAGTTTGAACATAGAGTTACTATGCTCTGGTCTTCGTTGACGCCTTCCTCTCTTCATACGACGTCGCTTTGATTACGAAGCCTTTTCTTTGCCTTGTATGACATCACTCCAACTAACGGTCACTTTCTCTTGGTTTGTTTGCAGTCGTCGCTAGTTCGATCTCAGTTGATGAGAAGGAAGTAGAATTTGCATAATTTTGTACGTTCAGAAGAGACATGAAGAAGTTAGACAACTTGTGCCTAAAGCTTTCCACAAACTAAGTGGTAGTCTATCTCGATATACTTGTTGTGTTCATGAAAGATAGGGTTCTCTGCAATGCACATAGCAGATTGTTTGTCATAGAAGATTGTGGCAGGTTGTGGATGGGAAACTTGGAAGTCATTAAGTAAATAGAGAAGCCATTGCATCTCACGGGTTGTGTTAGCAAACGCTCTGTATTCTGCTTCACATGAAGAACGAGAAACTGGTTTTGCTTCTTGCATTTATAGGATACCAAGGCATTACCATTTACCAAGACAAATGCAGTAACCAGTGACAGAACGCCTGATGTCGGGACGAACAACCCAGTTTGAAACACTTAAGTCTTTGAAATGAAGAGGTGAAGAAGAGGGAAACAAAAGACCAATGGAAGGATCGGTCTTCAGATATCTCAGTATTCAGAGAATAGCCTTGAAGTGATAATTGTTGCGATTGGACATGAACTAACTAACCTGTTGGGTTGCATAACTGATATCAGGTTTACATGTGGCGAGGTAGACCAGTTTGCAAACTAATTTTCTCTATACATCTTGACCAGCAAAAAAGGCTCAGTTTTGGTGGCTAGAAAGATGTTCATTGTAGTCCATAGGAATAGATACAGGTCTTGGGTGTAGGAGGTCAGCCTCATCAAGAATTTTCAAGGTGTATTTCCTTTGTGATAAATGAATGCCATTTTTGGTTCTTATAACTTCTATACCCAAAAAAAAATTGTAGATTACCCATGTCTTTGATGTTGAATGTGCAAGGAGTAAACCAATATGCATGTGTAAGGAGTAAAGGTAACCTTGAAGAATAGAGAATGATTAACTCTGGTGGAGATGTAACCTTGAGTGTGGAGAGAATCAACTAACTTAGAGAAGCACTATAATGAAGGTTATTTGAGACCATACAAAAATTTCTTAAAGAGGCAAACCCATAGGGAGCTTTATATAAACTTATTCAGTCAAATCAACATGAAGAATGCATTGTTGATGTCTAGTTGATGGACATACCAATTTCTTGCAGCATAATACCTAAGAGCATGCTAAATGTTGTCATTTTAATGAAAAGAGCAAATGTGCCTTGATTGCCAATCCCTTCTTGTTGCCTATAAACTTTAGCCACTAATTGAGCTCTGTGTATGTCTATGCTGACATCATAATGAAACTTAACTCTAAAGACCCACTTGTTACCAATAGCTCTCTTCTTAGGTGGTAAAGTAACTACTTCCCAAGTGTGGTTCTTTTATGTTGAAATAAACTTTGTAACCCCCGATGCCTGGATTAAAACATAGGAAATTTCAATTCTGTCTCTAGCTTGAAACTTTGTTTTGTGATTGCCGAGAGTGGTAGCAAATCAAAGACATGCAAAAACTTTAAGATATGTAAGAATGACTGGCTTGTTGTAGATTGTTTCGTATGGGATTTTTATTATAAAAACGATAATGGGAACTCCAGTAATGAGAAACTTGTGTCTTACACATTCATCCCATAATCCTATAGGTAACTTGGCTTAAAACTTGAGGGCTCATAATACGGTCTATACATGATTGAATTATATAGATTCAGATTGTATTGATTCGGTTTCGATCCTACAAATTATTTGAAGTGTGAAATATGAGTGAACTGACATTAAATTTGAATTGGACATAGTCAAATAAAATGAACTAAACATACTTTTGGTTTGGTTCTATTCCTCATATTTCCTTTCATTTTGATCCAATTTTATCTCAATTGGAATTGGTTTGCAGGGTAGTCTCCTATAATTATGGGATTTTGATTTTTCAATCGGTTCACTTACCTCAATTATTTAATTTTCTTTTGCCATAACTAGAGGTGGCAAATAGATTGATTCATGGATTGGTGGATTGGATTGATGGATCCATGGATCAAATGGATTGGATCAAGTGGATTGGTGGATTATGTGAAAAGTTTAGGTACTAAAATGTCATAATGAAAATTTTTAGGTACCAAAACGTAATTTTACAATGATAATTTTCATATAAAAATCAAATTTTGGGTACCAAAATATAAAATAAAAAAAGTATAGCTATCAAATCGTAATTTGCCAATCCAATTGGATTTGGATCAAATGGATTGGATTAGGTGAATATTTTTAATGGGTTGGTGGATTGGATACATTTAAATGATTGATCAATTTATAATACACATATTCATAGAATGCATCCATCCTAACAATTGCAAATATGAAATACCAAACGATGTCTAAATGTATAGTCACAGAATGTATTCCAGGGGATAGGGATTAACTAATTCGATATTATTGAAAGAAAAAAATGTGCTAGGTTTTAAATTTGAAATAAATAAGAAATAAAATAAAATAATAATAATAATAATAATAATAATAAGAAGAAGAAGAAGAAGAAGAAGAAGAAGAAGAAGAAGAAGAAACCTTTGTTTCATCTCGTTCTTTTTAATGAGAAATAAAAATACAAAGTGGAAACATAAAACAAATAAATAAAACCGAGAAAACCTACGGGTTACAGGCATTGTCTTTCATCTATCAGTTGTTCCTCCGTCCGCCACGCCTCTGAGGCTCTGACCACTTCTCATTGGTGGGGTGCAAAAGAAAATATAAAAGACAGAAATAGGAATAGCGTGATTGGTTGGTAGTAGAAAAAAAATCAGGTTAATTATATGGGTGGTCATTGTTATTACAAAAAACGTTCATGTTTGGTCACTTGAAATATTTAAATCCATTCATAGTCACTAAAATTAGTAAAACCGTCCAAGTTTAGTCACTCTCCATTAGTCTCCGTTAACGACGTCAACTTTTTGATGACGTGGCTAACAGAAAAGTCTAGTCACCAAATTTAACCCCAAAAATTAAAAAATATTGTCTGCCACATCAGGTAATTCAGCCCAATCAATGACTCAAATCCTAACCTAACTTATTGACCCGCCATCAACAATCCATCTTTGCACCTCTTCCTCTAGCTCCGTCGCATCCCCCAATCTCTATTCTTCTTCCTCCGTTGCTTTTAAACCTAGTTCTCAAAAATCCCCTCTTTCAATTGGAATCAAATTGAGCCCAAGAGACATGAGTAGATGAAGCGGCCAACGCGATGAGTCTATACTTTACAGATCTGAATGGGGTAGATGATTGGCTCGCCGGAGAAGATGAAGCGGCCAACAGATTTGAATGAGGAAGATGATTGGCTCGCTGGATCCTCTGCTTCTTTTCGATAATGGAGGGGTAAGAAGAGGGGCTAGGCGGCTGGAGTCAGAGGGAGAAGAATAGTGTTGGGGAGAGGATCTCAAGCGATGGGTGGGAGAAGAAATTGAAAGGCAGTTACCGTGTTCTGGAGGTGGTGGTCAATTTCATCACAATGACTTCTTCCTTCATCTATGAGTCTCTCCTTCACAACCCCTCTCTTGGGATTTCATCCACCCCAAAAATTACCTCTGGTTTTCATCTATTCCACCTGGGAGAAACAAGAAATTTGATTAATTGGGTAGTTGGGTGGATATACAGAGGCAGAGAGGTTGTCAGTGATGGCGAATAGAAATAGAGAAGTGGTGTTTAGCCCGGGCTCCAAGGGTACAGGAATTCACCGGCATCCCCACACCGCCCTTCTCCGCCGCGTCCCCTTACTCTCGCCTCGACTTCTTCGCCTCCTCCACCCTCAGGTCTGCCGTCGGATCGACTACATCTTTGATTATGATATTCTAGACGCGTGGCTGGTCGGTTCTGTCCAACTTGAGGAAATGCAACCGATTCAAGCACCATTCAGACCTGGTTGTCGAAGGGAATGCAAGAAAAATGAAGAACTAGAGTTCAGATATGGAAAAGAAACATGGATAAATCCTTATTTTGTTTGAGTGGTTGGTTTATGGATAGGTGGGTCGGTTTGGTTCAAGGATTTGGTTGGGTTAGGATGGAAAAAAATGACATGGCGGGTCGGATTTCACTATCTTTGGGTTAAATTAGACTGACTACGCGATTCTGTCTGCCTTGTCAGCACATAACGGTCTTGGTTAACGCAGACTGACGGAGACTAACGGAGAGTGACCAAACTTGGACGGTTTTACTAATTTTAGTGACCATTAATAGATTTAAATATTTCGAGTGACCAAACATGAATGTTTTTTGTAATCACAGTGACCAACCATGCAATTAACCCAAAAAAAATCACAGAACAAAAAGTACAAGTATACAGAGAAGAATAGATCGGTAAAATCTTTTGAATAATATTTTTAGAACCATTAAGTTGAATTGAAAAAAAGTTAGAAGTTGGTGGTTGATACTTCAACAACGGTTAATCGTTGAAAGAATTGTTCATGTGCTATAATATAAAATACATATATAGTACATTAATTTTAGGAGTGAAATTATCACTAACCTTAAGGAAATTTAAAGTCATATCATCTATAAAAAATTATAACAAAGTATTCAAAGTATCTCACAGAAATTTCAATTTTTTTTTATTTAACTCAAGTTGGTAATCAGGATGACAATCCATAGTGTACGACATAAGCTAATAAGGAGGCTCGGAAATGAAGAAAATGAAGCATAACTAAAAGTAGGGATTTGAGGTTAGATGATCGTAATTTACTTACGTTAAAGTTTTTTTCTTAATTTTTTTGGTTAGAATTGTGAACCAGTGGACCAGTCAAACCAGAACGGTTCATATTGATTTACGCCAAACCGTTAGATTCATCGCTAACCTTCCAATCAAATGAACCGAACCACAATTATAAGTGGTTTATTAGTTGTACTAGTCTAATTGTCTAAAAATTGATCCTCGGTTTTTTAAGTTATAACTGGTTTATTAGTTGTACTAGTCTAATTGTCTAAAAATTGATCCTCGGTTTTTTAAGTTATAACAATGGTTTTGACAAAACACCTCTCGTTAAGTCAGAAGTGATAATAGAAAGAGATTTGAGATTTATCATAATCTTCCTATTTTAACAACCCACTTATGGACCTCGTTTTCTTCAACCAGCCAACCAACCGTTCATTTGTTTTTTCTATAAATAAATAAAAACTAAAATTTAATGATAACAAAGTAACAATAAAACAATACATTCTAAAAAAAAAAAAAAAAAAAAAAAAAAAACAATACAATCGGAAACCGAAGAAAACAACCCTACCTCTATGCCATCTGATCTCTCTAACCCTATCCCTCTGTTCTATCCTCATTTCAGCCGCTCCCCTTTCTTCCCTTTCTTTATTCTCCATGGGAATACCTGTGTTTTCCCCTTCTTCATGGCCGCCGCCGGTAGCCCTTCTCCTGCGGCTGCCGTTGTCTCGCTGGCTCCATGTTTCTCTGTCTATTGCCGGATAGCTCTCCTCCCTCTCCTCTTCCCGGCGTGGTCGAGTTGCTCATCTCTCTGCCTCATCCTCTGCGGTTTTTGGGGTAAGTCCGAATCATTCAAAGTCCTTTTCTTTTATTGTTCTTGTCGCTTAAAGATTGATTTGGTTGAAGATGTCTACAAAGTTGCAATCTTTTGGTTTTGTTGTTAGATCTAATTGATGGAATTGTTTTTTTTTTCATTGAGTTTTTTTGTTGGGTCCAAGATGATTTGGTGGAGATAGGGTTTATTTTGGTGTTGTGATTTGGTTTCTTCGCCTCGTAAAATAATTTATCTATTACCATTTGATTTCCTCTTTTTGAATCGATTGGTTAGGCTTAGTTATGGGGGCAAAGTTATGAACTTTGATTGGTTTCCTTGTCGGATCGAAGCTGTGATGAAAATTGCCTCTTCTTGTTGTTTGCCTCTGATTCTGTTCATGTTTTCAAAGGCGAGGGATGAATGTCTTCCTGGTTCGTTGTACCAAATCAAAAGACTTGACTTGACCCTTTGTTTCTAGATCTCTTAGTGTTCTCTCAGAAGGGTCTTTCCTATGGATCTTGTTTGATCTGGATCTTGCTCTAATAGTTTGTTGCTCTTACACAGGCTAATGGGTAATCATCAATGAAATGAGCTCTCGAAGACGAGCTCGCGCTGAACCTGAATCCTTTGATCAAAGCCAAAGGTTTGTATCTCAGTCATTTTCCTCGTTCACTGCTCTTTTGATTCGAATAAGCTTTTCCCGAGAGTAGGAATTGTGAAAATACAACAAATTGCAACGATTCTGATATCGTTTTCTGGGTTTGAATCAACATCCTACCGTTAGTCCAACCCACTGGGAAATTCGGATATACGCATCAAAACGAGACTTAAGCTGTATTCGATGCTCTAAGTTGATTTAAGTGGGATACCTTCGTCTATAGGAATGTCTAAGATAGTAAGATAGCTACATCGATAGGGATAGGGACACTCCGGTCTTCTTGTTCCATCCTTGTACGACCTGCATCGATAGGGATAGAGACACACAATCAATGTAACAGTCAAGCCTCATGTAAAATGAACTTGACAAAACGATGTATAAAGTGAATGACTAATAACCTTTAGTATTCTAACTAAGAAAAGAGTTACAAAATTATTAACGATAACAAAAAAATAGCAAATGTTTTGATATATTACAAAATATTTGGCTAATATTTGTACTTCGAAAAGCTTTGCAATAAGCATTACTAACAAAATTACTAACAAAATTACTAATGGATTCTTGCTATGTTACTAACAAAGGCTACTGCTGCCATACCACAAGGTAGTCCCACTTATTACCAACCATTAGCCTAGTGTTAAATCCTCGTTAAAAGTTTTGTTAGTAATGCTTATTGCAAAGCCTTTCGAAGTACAAATATTAGCCAAATATTTTGTAATATATCAAAACATTTGCTATTTTTTTGTTATCGTTAATAATTTTGTAACTCTTTTCTTAGTTAGAATACTAAAGGTTATTAGTCATTCACTTTATACATCGTTTTGTCAAGTTCATTTTACATGAGGCTTGACTGTTACATTGATTGTGTGTCTCTATCCCTATCGATGCAGGTCGTACAAGGATGGAACAAGAAGACCGGAGTGTCCCTATCCCTATCGATGTAGCTATCTTACTATCTTAGACATTTCTATAGACGAAGGTATCCCACTTAAATCAACTTAGAGCATCGAATACAGCTTAAGTCTCGTTTTGATGCGTATATCCGAATTTCCCAGTGGGTTGGACTAACGGTAGGATGTTGATTCAAACCCAGAAAACGATATCAGAATCGTTGCAATTTGTTGTATTTTCACAATTCCTACTCTCGGGAAAAGCTTATTCGAATCAAAAGAGCAGTGAACGAGGAAAATGACTGAGATACAAACCTTTGTCTTAGATCAAAGGATTCAGGTTCAGCGCGAGCTCGTCTTCGAGAGCTCATTTCATTGATGATTACCCATTAGCCTGTATAAGAGCAACAAACTATTAGATCAAACAAGATCCATAGGAAAGACCCTTCTGAGAGAACACTAAGAGATCTAGAAACAAAGGGTCAAGTCTTTTGATTTGGTACAACGAATGAGGAAGACATTCATCCCTCGCCTTTGAAAACATGAACAGAATCAGAGGCAATTCTCATCACAGCTTCGATCCGACAAGGAAACCAATCAAAGTTCGTAACTTTGCTCCCATAACTAAGCCTAACCAATCGATTCAAAAAGAGGAAATCAAATGGTAATAGATAAATTATTTTACGAGGCAGAGAGACGAATAAACCAAATCACAACACCAAAATAAACCCTATCTCCACCAAATCATCTTGGACCCATCAAAAAAACTCAATGAAAAAAAAAACCATTCCATCAATTAGATCTAACAACAAAACCTAAAGATTGCAACTTTGTAGACATCTTCAACCAAATCAATCTTTAAGCGACAAGAACAATAAAAGAAAAGGACTTTGAATGATTCGGACTTACCCCAAATCATCTTGGATCCGCAATCGCTCTACAATGACGACATCCGCTTCAGCGTGCTCCACAGCCAACCAACATAGGCCAGCAGATCGGGCCTGAGTTGGCGTGATGTCGGTTTCGATAGTAAGGCAGCCAGCTCTCTTATGTTCATTTCCTTCCTGGTTTTCTTAGTGTTTTCTGAATGTGGCTCAGTGATTAGCCTCAATGCACAAGTCAAAGCCGTTGATGCTGCTGCTAGGGTGGTCAGGGATGACTTAGCTTGACTAATTAGGCACACTACCCTACAGGGCTTAAGTTTGGGTTCACATTAGGGCAATGGACAACACTTGTGAGGTCTTTTCTGTGTGCTTTCACTCCAGTAATACCCGGTAGACTCGCTAGTGGCTAAGTTAGTCATTTATGATTGAGCCACTCGACACATGACTGCTTCTAGTTCTTGGGGTTCTCTGCTTCAGTTGGGCGTGTGTTCGTTCGATGTTTGGTGGAGCTTAGTTCACATGTTGAATGGTTTAGCCCATTCGTTTCTTTGTTTGTTTTAAGTATGGATTCTTCTAGCAAGATGAATCTGCACTCTTTAATTAAGTTGTCAATGTTCATTAACATCTCCACATTGCTTGATTCTCAATAAACTTGGGGGGCATCTATAAGAGAGCAGGAAAGTTTGGATTTCTTGCTGGACTCTCAATCAACATGGGGAATCGGTACTCCTACTTCGCATCATCAAGGCCGAATTTGTTGTGTGCTTATTCTTTTTGGGTTTCTGTCTTTCTCTGTTGTCAATCGCTTTATGGATATTGGTAATTGATTCCTTGTTTAATTAATTATTCCAAGGTTTGATTAATTGCTAGAGCATCATTCAGACAAGATTTTCTTTTTGGCCAAGTCTTTTGTGTCTGTCATTTTAGATCTCATGCGAGTTTCATCTCCGTCAACCAGTTTTGTTTTTGATCGAATTTAGGAAAATGTTCGTCAATCAGGGTCTGATTTGCCACTTGCTTTTTAATTTGGATGCATGAGTTTTTGACTGGGTTGTTGTTTCTCTCAATTGAATGATTCACATTCTACAAGTTTCTGTTGTTTCTTTCATTAGACAAAACATGCTTGCGAAGATTGAACTTACTCTGAGTTGTTTCAACCAGACACTGCCAAGAATTGATATTTTGTCAATCAACAAGAGAATGAACATGTATTTTGCTTTTCCGGTAACTAGCTTTCATTAAAGGTAACTCCAATGTATTTGGCAAATGGGATGTTCCTTTCATTAATTATGTGCATTTCGTTTCTTCTGAGTTAGTGTTTGTCTTTCAGAAAATTTCGGTGAGACAGTAAAATGATTTGTTTTCTTTCTTCCTCAGCTTAGCCAATAGCTGGCTGGTGAATGTAGAATTTATCCGGTTCCCTTAATCAGTTACCTTGTATGTGATCGTGTGACCTTGTTATGTTTTGCTCTTTGTTCCTTTGCACCCTCCGATATTCCGTTCCTTGCTTCTCTTTCTGGAGTGTTACTGTTTCAGCCCTCTTGTTACTCAAAGTGGTTCTGCTGTATAAGGGGCATCGAATTGCGATTGTATTAACTTATGAATCCTTCAAAATTTTTGCAGCCACGAATAACTGGTTTGTATGTCGGAGGAGAGAGATGTCGGTAGAACGAAGCAGGGGCTATATTTTTCAATCTGGTGATGCAGCAGTCAATGTTGAAGTTGGAGATTATTGCTTCATTTAAGAGCTCAAGGAAAGTACCCAGGTGCCTATCCTATAATGGCTGGTTATTCTGGGGAGGATTAACGCAAGGGATAAGCAGTTGAAATGAGGTAAACTAACTGACAGCTCTTGTCCTCTTTGCCCTTTTTATTTGGAATCAAGGGAGCACATTTTCTTTTGCTGTAGCTATTCAGATATTTTCTAGTGTATTTCGACGTCAAGTAAGTGGAAGAGGGGATTGGTTCTGTAATCTGGATTCTGTTTGTCAGTTGGCGCGGACTAGAACCGTATAGCTGGCAGATTGGTAGGTATATATGGAAGGATATATATGGTGGTTCTTCCATGGTCACATCCTGCCTTGATTCTCCAGGACTTGCTAATTCACTTGCTAACTCTCTACATCCTTCTTGCCACATGTGCTGTGGCTTGCAATTAGTAGTCTATTCTTTTTCCAGATTGACTAAAAAGGTTTCTTTGATGAAGCACATAACTAAGGAAGAAGAAGAAGAGGGATCGGGCGGTATAAAAAAATGAGCAGTTTACCAATCTGGCAATGCCTCTACTCCTCAGCTTATATAATCTTTCTGCTTTTCGGTTTTTATATCAAGCGTTTGCTGCTATTTACTATTTCAGACCTTAGCAGGTTTAAAATCAAAGTACTGTTGCAATGCTCTTCTTCTTTCATTCCAAGATTGTATGTTACGAGGGAGTTGTCTAACACCATGATGGGTTCTAATTATGGAGTTGCCACAGCCTTTGTTACTTGCTTGGTGGATCTGCTTGATATTTTTCTTCATCTTCATTCACTCGATTTCTGACACCCATGTTGCTTGGTGAATCTACTTGGATCTCTCTCGACTAGGCTAGGCATCCCAATACTCTACGCGTTGATGCAGTCATTGCCAAAACTGTGCCTAAAAATAGACCATGATCTTCCTGCTGCATAATACCAGCCTTGGAGCAACCAGGTATGTAAATGATGAATAGATTAGGAGTACCACATAAAAAAAATTGCATCCAATGGCCAATCATCAATGTCAATGCTAGATCGACCCAATGGCATCGAGACAGTACGATCTCCATAGTCAAATGCATACAAATCCATGTCGTCTCTCTCTAAATAGTAAATGCAGTTTCTTTGTAGCCCCGATTTGCTAGCACAACACGAATAACAACCCCACATGCTCCAGAAGAACGCTCGATCTCCCAGATCTTCCACAATTTTCCAGTCCATCGCTTCCGAATCCATCTTGAACGCCTTCACGTCTATAGGAACGCTCCCTGCATAATACTTGTAACCCAAGTAACATCCGTGTTGATAGTACCTGACGAGAAGTAAGAGCTCGTCGCAAGATTCAACCAAGGCGGATCGAAAGCTGACCGATCCCGGGTGATGGAGGAGTGTCGGGAATCCGACATTCGAGACAGGCTCGATCCTGCACCCGTCGTGGCGAAATTCCATAACGGCGAAACAAAACGACGTATACCACCCGTAGATCTTGCCCCGATACACGGCAACTCCATAGGTGGTGTCGATTCCCCTCTTGGACGGTATTGCGAATCTCGTCCATCTCTCGTCGCCATCTCGCCACAGCATAGCCGCGACGGGATCGTCCGCTGCTGCTGCCTTGCCCTGTTGTGATCTGTACCTACCGAAGACCACCACGACCGATTCGGATTCACAACGACGGAGCAGCAGAACGTCGCTGAAGCCGAAGGTCAGTTCCCACGACGGCAGTGGCGTTTCAATCATGGTCAGTGGATCCAGTAAAGAGCACCCAGTCTCTTCCACCAACACCAGTGTTCTGTAAGCAGTGCTGTGCACGATCATCTCTACGAGTCTCGCAGCTAGCTCCGTATTTCTCAGAACAGTCGGCCCGTTGTTGGATAAGTCGACCAACAAGTCTTCGTCTTCTTCTTCATTAGGGAACACGAAACACGGACGTGCTGTTGGTGCTTCCTGCTGCTGCGCCGCAGCCGCCTGCTTGTTTGAGACATTGATCTCTCCAGGTTGCTTGTTTTGCAAGAAAGTCAAGCTCCTGATGACGTAATGTGGATGTACAGTGGCGTCGCTTTTGGGTTTTGGTGGACGATGATGGACTACTCTGGACGACCACTTTGATCGAGCGTTGGGAATGAAAAAAGTCGGGATCATCCAGGCGTGATTCAACGGGAGTTTCGTGCCGTACAAGTCATCCGACGTGTACTCGGAGTCGAGCGAGTGAAACTGACCGGACGAAATCGAGTAGAGCACATGGTTGTCGTCGAGGACTAGTCTAGGGAAGTGGATCGTGTTCTTCAACTCTCGAATTCGTGCATCATCGTTCTCGTTGTTGTCACACGTTGTTGTGGCTACACAACCCGTGAGGCTCAAGAAGACCATTCGATCGTCGAGACTCTGAACAACCTGCCATGTTTTCGTACGCTCGTAAAACCGGAGAATTCTCACGAATTCTCCCATGGGACCGACCACAATCGAGATCAGTTCTCCGTTGCATTTCAATAGATATGCCTGGTTTTTTCGTGGGTCGTCGTCCATGAACACGCGAGGCTTTTTCGTTGTGTGAGGCAGCAGCCTCCACATCTTCTTGTTTCCCTTCTTCTCCTTGGTGGGATCAAACACTCCCAACTCCTCAATGAGACCCAAGTCGTGTTAGCAGCCCACTCAACCATTTTTTACCCTCTTACAGACTAAACTCACTTTCCAATTCGTGTTAGCAGCCCACTCAACCACTCTTCCAGCTCCTCAATGAGACCCAAGTCTCAATTCTAATTTTGTGAATCTCGTCCCTTTCTTCATTTATAAACCACCCTTCGTCACATAGTAGCTAGAGACAATCATGTCTCCATATGACATTATGCTAATATTTATGACGTTACGATGTAAGTTGGGTTGCTCTGGTTTTGTATTTTTATTATTTACAGGAATTTATGGTATCAAAATTATGCATGCGTGTTGTAATGTAATTTATATTTCAATAAACATAGATTTTTCCTTGGATATTAGGTCGATTTTTCTTGTGGCTAGTTAAACAAACTGTTCATTTTTCGCTCAATGTTCTCTACATGGTCCAAACAATATCATATCATACCGCACATATGTGATCTGTTCTAGACCTTATAGTATTTGATTTGGTCTTTAGTATATACCCTAACTTCTCAATCTGAAGTTTAGATCATATATATAGTCCAATCTGGACCAGATCGCATGGACCGTCTTCTAGTTGACATCAACCTATGGTTTATTGTCAAGGGCATTTAGAGTCCCTCTTGTAGAATTTGCTTTGGACTTAGGACGTGGGCATGCCAATTGCTTTCATTCCAAATGAGATTGATCAAATATTTATATAGATCATCCATGCAAACGAATAGAGTTCATTCTAACAATCAAACGTAACTGTTTAGTACGTGTACACGTATTAAAAAAAAATTCAATATGAAGAGGTGCACCATAAATTTATAAATGTAAGCAAATTATCGAATCACGTTAGCCACATATACCTAATTGACCTTCTATCTTTTCGGAATAATTCTCTAAATACACATAAAAGTAACAAATTTCTAAATTACCACATTTATAAAAAAAAATTCCCAAAATACCTAAGTTTGGAGTGGTTTGAGTTTGAGGAACTCGAACTACTAACCGGTTCGAGTGTAGGAGACTCGATCTAATCGTAGATCGGTGATATAAGCCTCAAACCATGTGAGGCTGAAGTGGTTCGAGTTCAGTGAGCTCAAACCACTCCTTTGAAATTTTCAACAATCTTAACTTTGTGCTCGGTTATCCTATCGTAGCAAACTTTTTTTTTTCATCTCGCATAACTTTTCGATGACTACAACTTTTATAATAGAAATATTTTCAGAATATATGTGAAAATGCGTAAATTAAAGTTAAAGTTACTCCCAAAACCTCTTATAATAAAAACTATTCATATTTTGAAAATTTATTCCTAGTAAATATTATAGTACTCAAAATATTATGCAAAATAAAAAAAAATTCAACGTTCGGATTGCGGAGCATAAAGTTATGATCCTCCAAAGTTTGACAAATTCAGAAATTTGCTCGTTTATGGGTAGCAAATGACGTTTTCTCGGAAGATAGCCATCCAAACATTTCTCGTTTGGAAAAATATTGCTCTTTTGGCAGAAATTCCCTATATATAAAAAAAAATTCCCGTGCCTTCGCCCCGAGAAAACGTCATTTGTTACCTCTAAACGAGCAATTTTTTGATTTTGCCAAACTTTTGAGGATCATAACTTTGTGCTCCGCATTCCGAACGTCGCAAAGTTTTTTTTATTTTGCATAATTTTTTTAGTACTACAACATTTACTAGGAATAAATTTTTAAAATAGGAATATTTTTTAATATAAGGGGTCTTGGGAGTAACTTTAACTTTAATTTTCACAATTTCACATATATTCTGAAAATATTTCTATTATAAAATTTGTAGTCCTCGAAAAGTTATGCGAAATGAAACTTTTATTTGCTACGATCGGATAACGGAGCACAAAGTTAAGGGTGTGGAAATTTCAAAGGAGGGGTTCGAGTTCACTGGAACCACTTCAGCTCCACATGGTTCGAGGCTTATATCATCGATCTACGACTAGATCGAGTCTCCTACACTTGAACCGGTTAGTAGTTCGAGTTCCTCAAACTCGAACCACTCCAAACTTAAGTATTTTGGAAAAAATTTTTATAAGTGTGGTAGTTTAGAAATTTGTTTTACTTGTATGTGTATTTAGAGAATTATCCCTATTTTTTCCTTTCACTATAAGCAATTGTAAATTTCTTTCTTCTCCGAATAATTTGGCGCCAGAGAGTACTTTGTTGCGCGTAGCTGACGTTGACCAGCTTTCTTGGCGCGGGAGGAAATTAGAGGCACTTCTAGAAACTTGTCACCTTCATCTTTGACGTTGAGTAAAAATAAGGGTAATTAACAACGAGAGAAATTCTTAATTTTATCTAATTTATGATTAGATTGCATGCATCTGACAAAACAGCCATGTTTGGACTTGTGTTTTGTTCGATAATGGGGTGTCATGTCCATTCCTGCAGGGCGTACACTAGCAAAACCTACTGTAGATATATAATCAAAAGTTCAAACGAATTATACTATATTCAATTACATTTCTGCTTTTCGGAGAGGAAGCTCATGTGTTTGAACTCAATAAATTAAATGCACCTTTGACTTCTTGAAGTCGAGGCGAGATTGATTTTAACCGTAACCGATAATGTCAGCAAAGATAGAATTTGAGCACATGAATTTGGTCTTTTAGCTGGCTTGAACGATTGAAACAAGTACTGTTAGCTAGGCTGTTAGCTGAATTAGGAAAAGGTGCAACGCGGTATAGATCTCTCTCGACGCAAAGGTTCGTTTGCCATCCTCCATTAGTCCTTAAAATGATAGGGGAATATGTTTCAACATATAACCAAATTAGGATTTATAGCTCAATTCATTAATTAAGGTTAGATCAATGTTTCTTAAAATTCATTCGCATAAAAGTTTTGGTTACAGGGTCGGATTTAAAATCTTTGCACAAAATCACGATCCTATGTGTCTAAGTCTAACCCAGAACAGTGCAGACTACACCAACTATTGTCTCACACAATAATTGTATAATTGAGACGCGCTCGACGTTTTTACATTACATAATTACATTGCCGTCGAGATGAATAGTCATCCGGTTCACACCAAACGATATTGTCATTTTCGATCTCCACCCTATATATGAAATTTCGATTTTTATCCAAAAATGAAATATCGGGTCCTATTCGATCCTCACATTAGGAAGCTGGCTTAGCTTAGCTACGACACAAACCCACTTTCCAAATGGAATCATTATTACTATAGTTAGTATTCAACGGGAACAAAATTTCCTTGGGCGGTCGGTCGATAATGAAATGAGATTGCCCTACGTTGTTGTTCCCTTTCCAAAGGTCGGCTCCTAGTCAAAACGGACAAAAGTAGTGTAATCAATGACCATAATTAACAGAGATCAATACAAACAAACGCCGTATAATTTAACACTAATTAAACGCTAATGCCATGTCGTTTTATCACGGAGTTGGGGAGACAATTAATGAAAACGACGCGACAGTAATCTTCTTCTTCTTTATATTGCTTGACACGTCAAATTAGAAGTATTGTAATTAGAGATGGCAATCAAATCCATGGTCGCGGGCAGTGGCGGATCCAAAAATTCTACATAGGGGTGTCCTCTTCAAAAATTAAATTAAGTATTAAAATTAAATTAAATAATTATTAAATATGAAAATATCTGACCAATAAAAGTTACATTAAAAGTTCAGACATGTTTCGTAAAATGGTAAAATAGATTCGGTGTCTATACTGCTCAACAATGATCTTACGATATTTACTACTAGAAAAGGATATCCAGTAATTGGGTTTAATCGTTAGGTTTTAAAAATAATTTGGGATAAGAATAACATTTTACTATTATATTTGGATCTAGAACACAATAACAAATGAGTTGTAGTGTAATTGAAAATATGTTTACTAATAGTGGCAGTGTCTCAAGTTTAAGTCACATAAACTACTACTAAAATATTATTTGTACTAATACACAAACTACTATGGGAGGTTAGATAATCGTTTTCCCAAATTTTAAGGGTGTCCCACTACCACTTAAACATTTTTTTCCTCATATACAAACTACTATCGGAAGTTGAATAATCGTGTTTCCAAATTTTAGGGGTGTCCTGAGACACCCCTAGACATGCATGTATCCGCCCCTGGCCGCGGGTATCCGACCGTCCTCGACCTAGTCAACGTGGGAAATCCCCGCTTTGATCGGGTTTGGGGCGGGTATGGATAAAACTCTCAAAAAGTTTGATGGATATGGGGCGGGTATGGTTTTAGCCTCCCCCGCCCCATACCCATAGTACCCGCCCACCAAGATAATTTCTTCATATATAAAAAAGATGTTGATCAAATTGTATCCTATCAATGATAGTGAAGGTAACTCGAGAAAATAAATAGTAGATTTGTAATTGAGTGGCCACCCTAATCAAAACTAAATTCATTTCCCTCAATTCTCCCTCCATTTTTTCACTTTCTCCCTTATCAACAAGGTTGTGTTAGTTTATTATTACTTAGTAGATCTGTGAAAGTTAGAGCATAATAATTTGGAAAATATTGTACTCATGTATAATAGATGTTTTTGTATCATATTCTTTGAATCGTATTAAAAAAGTGATCGTGTTTTGTTGACTTCATTATATAGTAGGTTCGTTTAGTGTTATAATTAATTTTTTTTTTGTAAAGTTTTAGGTATAATAATGTTAGATGTACAAGGCAGGTATTACCCATGGGTACCCGAAACCCACGGGTATGGGGATGGGTTTACAAAATATTCTCCCGCATGGGTATGGAGCGGGTATGGGTTTAGGTATTTGAAAACGGGATGAGGATGGTTTAGGCAAACCCGTCCCAAACCCGCTCCATTGTCATCCCTAATTGTAATTAGGATACGATTTTTTTTTTAACTTTTTGTGGTCACATGTTTAACGCCCAGCTCACAGAACAAGCGTCATGCATTGCATGGCTGTGTTATATAGTGTTTCCTTATCTTTTTATAATTAGCATAATTATTAATTCCATCTTTTCTTGTTGATATACATCCAGGAAATTTTATCTGTATTATGACACATGCATGATGTGTGCATCTCGTCAGGTTTTTCATAATCACGCATTACTGTATTTAGCAACCGGCTGAGCGGGACCAAGGTATTCTTTGCCTTTTTTTTGCATTTCTTGCCGAATGTTGACAACTATTTTGTACGTTACCTTTTTCTTGTTGGTTCAAGGATTGAATTTACCGCGAGGTGAAATGTAATACGGTTTTTTACTAACAAAATTTGCATGAATTAATCCGTGTTTGAGACGGAAATTTAACAGAAGGGAGGTGAATAAATAGTTTTCTAAGGATTCGAACTCTCTTGGCCAAGCTTGTCAGTTGTCACTAACAAAACTCTTTACAGAAAATGAAGAATTAAGCCCAAAAAAGGCTTTTCTATTATGCTTTAAAGTACAACTTTAAGTTGTACCACAACGGTAAAGGTACAAGTTAGAGTTGTACCATAAGGAAATTTGATCTTTATGTTGTGGTACAACTTCAATTTTTTCAAGTTGTACCATAACTTAAATGTACAACTTTAGTTTGTACCATAAAGGGATTTTACAAAAGAGTACAGGTACAACCTAAAATTGTACCATAACGTTAAAGTTACAACTTCAACTTGTACCATAAAGGAAAAAACTAAAGCACCAATGCTTTAAAGCATTGTAAAATTCCTTAAAAAAAACAAAGGCTAAACTCAAGGGCTACGCTAGGGGTGGCCGTTCGGTTACCGGTTAATCGCCCGGTTAAACTGGTAACCGGTCAGTTATCCACTAACAGGTAACCGAAGTAACCGAACTTTGGTCGGTTATCGGAGGGTGGACGAAATGATTTTTGTTCTTAAAAGTGATTCGGTTAACTGATAACCGACATAACCGAGAAACCAAAACCTATTTCGGTCGGTTTTCGATAGGGATGATGATTATTTCGGTTAACCGATACCCACCAATCGGTTACAACCGAAATAACCGACCTATCACCCCTACTAAACGCTAATTCACGAGGTCAACAATATAGAAACCTCGTGCATGATTGAGCCACGTGTCCCCCTAAAGCTTTGCTGACGCTCGTGCAGTCATACTGACACTGCATAGCTGGCGCCTAACCATTGGAGGATGGGAAGGAGACAAGACAAAGCACAAGAAAGAAACTCGGTCTCGTTTTCAACAGCGACAAAAAGGACAAAACAATGCTTAGCTGTATCCGCGGTGGGCCCCACAGAAGACCAAAGCGGAGTGGCCGGTGATATATGGACACGTATTAGCGATCCCTTTCCTCATTAGCTCTCCTTTAGGGATGGCAATGGGGCGGGTTTTGTCAAACCCAAACCCATGGGTTTATCCGCCAAAAAAACCCGGGGTAAAACCCGTTGGGTTTGAAAAATCCAAACCGAACCCAACCCACTGGGTATCCGCGGGTTCATGGGTACCCGTGGGTTTTCTAGTAAAATATTTACAATAACAAGTTTCTTTCAAAATAAAAGTTTAACATCAATTTTCTTATACAAATTAATCATCCAAAAAACACCAATCTAGAGCATACAAGCAAACCACAAATGATCAATACAAATTGTTCAAAATTAAAGATAAACATCTATAAACAATAAGATTAATTGAAAGTTTCTTCCTCGTCAACTAAATTTATTCATTCTTCACTTCATAATATCAACTTCATTCTAAACAATTAGAAAGAACAAATTATACATGTCTCCACAAACATAAAGAATATTAGTTGTTTAAGAAAGATATATTATTTAGAATATTAAATATACCGGAAAGTAATTATATGTGTATGGACGGGTAACCATGGGGCGGGTTTATCTAAACCCAAACCCAATCCGACCTGGTGAATAGTGTAGCGGGTTTAAACCCAAACCCGGTCCAAAACCCGTCAACAAGAATTTTACCCGCGTTGACCGGATTGGGTCGGGTGAGTACCCGTGGGTTCGGGTTTTGTTGCCATCCCTGCCATAAATAAATCCCCATGCAAATTATTACTCTATTTATTATTAAATGAAGTCCTCGGCTTCGGGAGGAGGCAAGATAAAATACAATATTTCTGGCGGGACGCGTGTCAGTTGCCACCCTTTGAACCTACTGTCGCCGGAGATGTCGCCGGAATCTGACCACCAAACTGTCGGCATCACTGCAGCAGATTAAGCCAGCTTCTTGGTTTCTTTCTATACCATTTTAATTGTTTATGAGTACATGGATTATGACTCATGAGTGTGTGTGTGGGGTAACCTTTACGAAGAAGAAAGAAAGATGAGTAGTTGAAAATCATAGAGAGGAGAGTTCTGCTGTTTTTCTTTCCCTTTATGGTTTGCCCAATTCAACGAAAACTGATTACAATTGGACTTAGATTAGACAACAAACCCATTTTATTAACTAATGGTGAACCGCGGGATATATTGAATGAAGTAACTCAAAGATGTTATGATGCCATATATAAATGGGTCGTTTAGAAGTTGCGATTGTTAAATAGATGTATTGTTGAGAATGCATGTATAATATTATACATGTATTGCCAAATTTGATGCATTGTAGAATACAACGTTTGGTATGTGTGATTGCGTATGTCGCAACAGCTAAAAACTGAGACAAAACAATCTCAACTCAACTATCTTAACAATCACAGCTAAAAGTTGAGATATAACAATCACTCAAAATGAGTGATAGTTTCTGTCACATCACAGAAACAATACATGTATTGTTTCTGTTAAAAAACAAAAAAACGATGCATTGTAAACAATATAGGCATAATGACAATCTTAACAAAACTATCGCAACTTCCAAACAACCAAAATGTATTTCCCAGACCGAACATGTACAGTACCCTATTTTCCAGAGTAGTTAAATATAGCTCTTGAAATGAATATATATATATAAAAACAAAGAAGAAGAAAAAATAAAACAATTCAAACAACGAAAAATGACTTTCCCGCATTCCCATCACATTAATATTCTGTTAATTACATGAAATTACTGACATCCAAAATACTATCGGGCATCTCGAACATCAACACATTGCTACAATAGCTGTCCCTCTCGTCTTCCGTACTCAAATTATTGTAAGTCGAGTTTGAATTCAACGGCGTCGGACTGGAAGAAGGCGTCGATAATACCGACGCCGGCGGGAGGCTAAACCAGCTCTCTGCCGTCGTTGACGGGTCAACAAGACCACCGGCCGTTTGGTCGTCGTAAACCGACGCGTAGTAGTAATCAGATTGTCGAACATCATAGCCGCCGCCGTCCATATAATTGCTGTCCCAAACCGCGGGGCCCACGTCGGCATCGGAGAACATGACACGCGGCGTGTTCTCCATGGTCGTTGTCGTAGCCGTCGTGGCGGTTGTCGTCGTTGCACAATTAGCAGTCATTTCTTGAAACTCGGAGCAAACCGGTTGGACCGCGACCGGTTGGTACCGTTGGTGATCGGTCACGAAGAAGGGTTGATTTTGGGTTTGGGTTTGAATTTGAGTATCGGGTTGATACGACGACGTCGATTGTGATTGTAGGATGGAGTTGGCGAGACGCAGGATTTCAGGGTTGATCAGGGACCGGACCCCGCCGAGCAGCCTCGAGAAGTTTGGCTGCTGTTGCTGTTGCGAGACGACGCCGAGAATGGAGGACAGGTCGAGGAGGTCGAGCCTCGGGCTGTGTGTGACGGGGTCGATCCCCATCCTCAGGAGCCTCTTCCGAATGTGCGTGTTCCAGAAGTTCTTGATCTCGTTGTCGGTCCGCCCGGGCAACCGAGCTGCAATCGCCGACCACCTAACCAAACCACAAAGTTCAACCCAACCACGGTCAACCCAACAAACAACAACAAATAAACAGTAAAAATAAAATGAGCAGTTTCGAATCAACAAATCGAGTTCAAAAAACTTACTTGTTTCCGAGGACACTATGCAGCTGGATGATGGCTTCCTCTTCCTCGAAAGAGAACCGGCCCCTCTTGATATCCGGCCGGAGGTAATTCGTCCACCGGAGACGGCAGCTCTTCCCACATCTTTGCAACCCTGAGTTCCCATAAGGGGAAGAAAAGAAAAAAACAGAGGAAAACAGAGGAATGAGAGTCTGCAATTCGTCATGGTGAACAACCAACCAAGTAGAAGAGAAACAGGGGGAAATGGGTTTGGTTAATTTGGTGATGTATTATTGTACCAGCATTTTTGGGGAGGGTGCGCCAGTTGCCACAACCGTGCTTCTGAATGTAATCGACCAGCTTCTGATCTTCCTCTGTAGTCCACGGGCCTTTCTTCAGGCCGTTCTTCTCGCAACAAGGCGATCTTCCCATACCGTTCTTTTGTCAGATTGATGAATCAAAGAGCGTTAATTTAGTCCTCTGCTTAGCTTATAGCCAACGAAGAAACAGAGAGAAGTATGATTGATGTAGGGTTCTTTGTTGGCGCGGGGGGTATAAATAGAAGATGAGAGTGGGACAGTTTAGGAAAGTCAAAAGGATTCGGTGCCGTCCTGTTTGCATTTGCAATGGCAACGTGTCCCGAAATTGTTATTGTGAACTTGAAATTATAAGTCACTCGCCATCTTCTTCCTCTGTTTTTCTTTGGGTTATGGGATTTTATTTATAAATTATGTCACATGAAATCTTTCTACAAATGGGTTTTTAATTTTTTATTAATATGGTGATATATAGAGAGCCGTCGTTTTCCTTTGGCTGGGATGGAGAAGCTGTATATGGTGTTGTGAGTTGTGACCATCCATGGATCTTCCTCTTCCTCCTGGATTGCTGGATTCACATTTAGCTAGCTGTCGCCAGCATAAAGAGGCCACGTAACCTCCTTTTCTTTCTATTCCTTTTTATATCTAAACATGTATGCATGACCATTGATAGTTTACTATAATGGGGGGTTTATGAATTAATTAATTATGTGGCGGGCTAATACCATTAGGAAACCCGAACCAACCATCAACAATGTGTCATTTGTTATCTAAACTATCTAATATGACATTTGTGTCACAATGTATGATAGTTATGTGTCATTTAATTATATTCTGACAATTTCGTTGACCGTTATAGATAACTTTAGTACACAAATGACACATTCTTAATAGTTCGGGTTTCCTAGTGGTATTATCCCTTATGTGGCAGTATTAGCCCTAGTTTTGAGTATGCCATGATTGTGTGAAGTCGCAATTTCATATGTTACAGTGATATAATTGGGTTCGGTTTGAAGGGTTTCTTAAATCAGGTTATTTGTCGTCGATTTAAAGTTATCGCGGTAGGAATGATAATGGATAGATTTTGACCCAATTGCCATGACATACATGAGTATTTGATCAGACCCAATTGGACCATTATGCACTTGAATAGTTTTGAGTTTAAGTTAGGTTTGCCGTGAGTCCAATTTGGGTAAACTCATATTGGAGGACTCATATGGGTCTATTTGGGTCCAGGCGATTGTACAAATAAAAAGACACTATCGGCCATCTCAGTAATCATCTTCAACCTATTATACCTTTAATGTAAGTGTTTACACCTTTTTGTTTGTTCATAAAAAGAAATACTAGCAAAACTGCATTAGAATTTGATGTCCATTTATTTTTGGTACACAATACTATGGGTCCAATTTAGACCAAAACTAGAAAATTTGAGTATGGTTCTGCCACATAAATGAAATAATCCAAACCCGATTTGATCGCTCGTATTAAGTTAGATTTGAGAAATACCCAAATATGGAACATTTTTGTCATCCCTAGAAATACGGGTACATATATAACTATCCTCAACCCCTCTATAGTATGTTCTCTTCTACATATAATAAAAATGATCCCTCATATTTATGAACTAACTATAACATACGTGGTTTTAGTGAACTATCTAAATATGTGTATTATTTATTTGCTTGCATGCATTGTGGATTTCCATTCTCATACACTAATTAGTAACATAGATATTAATAAAAGTTGAGGTATGTGGTTATATATGGTGCCTTCTACTATACCCCGGGTGAAATCCGGGGTACCGCATACCTTGAGTATGAAAACGCTATCTAGACCTCGAATTAGTAGGATTTTTGGGCATGATACTATGTCCTAACCCTTAATGAGTGAACCTTAGGTCCAAATGATCTAAATCATAAACTATAAACCCTAAGATGGTGAATTGATTTTTTTGCCTATATTTGGACGAATCATAACCGTCGATTATTGTTTCTAATTAAATTGATCTTGTGGCATAAGATTAGAGAATTAAGACCTAGATTTTGATCTTTAAGGGTTAGAGTGTAGTATCATATCCGAAAGATCAGTCAATTCAAGTTCTGAATAACGTTTTCTTACTCAAGGTATACGGTATCCTGGATTTCACCCAGGGTACCGTAGAACTCCCCATATATATATATATGAAAAAACGATTTTAATTAATGATTGAAGAATTATATGAGTTCATGTCCCGTCAATACCTAGATTGCATAGTTAGAGTAATGAACCAAAATGTTAGTCAAATCAATGCATAAAGTTACTCTCAAGTCTGGGTGTTACTCCCACGTAATGCGTGAGAAGCTAGAAATATGAGGTAATAAAAGTAAAATGTCAAGTAATGCGAGTAAACCTACAAGTAATTTAGGTAAAAACGGGTCAAGAGTGAGACCGATCGGATCGATGAAAGTACACATTCTCGAAGTCGCCATCCCTACTTTCTATATATCCGATATGAGTTCCTCGAAAAATCAGGTGATTAAATGAAAATTCAAAGGGTTATAGGTATAATATGCCTCCCTACTATGCAGTTTTATCAAACATGCTCCTTTACTATTTTTCCATCAAACATGCCCCTGTACTTTGGAAAAATGATCAAACATGTCCTTCTGTTTAAATTTCCATTTTAAAAAAGCGTCAATAATGGTTGAAACGAGATTTAGACGACCCGACATCGGTAAATGGGAGGGAAAATGTAAGTTTTTTCTAGGGGTGGCAGTTCGGTTATTTCGGTTATAACCAGTAATCGATCGGTCGGTTATCGGTTAACCGAAATAACCACCTTCTCTACCGAAAATCGACCGAAATAGACTTCGGTTTCTTGGTTATCTCGGTTATCGGTTAACCAAACCACTTTTAAGACCAAAACCATTTTGTCCAACCTCCGATAACCGACCAAAATTCGATTACTTCAGTTACCGGTTAGTGGATAACCGGCCGGTTATCGGTTTAACCGACCGCTTAACCGGTAACCGAACAACCACCCCTAGTTTTTCCCCTCGATTTATTTCTCTAGGTCTCGTTAAAGTGAAATTATTAGAGGTAAATGGAACTACAAAAGAATCCAAACAATTCTTAAGTGAAATTATACAGGATATTTTAGACATTTATGTCGCCCAAATCAAGGTTTGACCATAGTTGATGATTTTTGGATGAAAATTTTAACAGAATGGCATGTTTGATCATTTTTCTAAAGTACAGAGGCATGTTTGATGTAAAAAAATAGTAGAGGGGCATGTTTGATAAAACGACAAAATAGAGCGGCATATTATACCAATAACCCAAATTCAAATAACTCCATAGTTTTCAATATACACGAAAACTAATTCAAAAAAAGATAGTTTAGATAATAAGAAGGGTGAAATGAATTAGTACTACTCGATTGGTTGAGCGGCGGTGCGTGGTGGGGAGAGTGCAAGAATATTGGTCGACAGCTTCATTCAAATTTGTCAATAATACAGCTAGCCAAAAGGCAACATCAATCGGTCAAGATTCAAGAACGAACACAAAGGTAAAAAGGGTTCCGATTTGATTGAATCCAAATATCATGACCATGTTTCCTTCTAAACGTGCCTATCTAGCTATATAATGGCTCCATCGTTCACACTTTGGTTTTAGCGATCACATTATGACCATGTTATCTTCTATTGACATTTTTGGCTGTTAAAAAGGGATTTTTTGTCAACAAATTCTAGGAATGATATAAACTTATCATATACAGATATTAGAGCACGGGTAATATTGTGTTATACTACGAATATTGTTATGGAAATTGGACATAGTTATAATTCTTATCAGAATCATAGAAGTTAAAGATAATTTATGTTTTAATATTAGGATTATAATGAGAGTACGTAGGTCATTGTAATCTCTATTTAAATTTTTTGTGATATCAGTAATAATACACGACGATTTTCACATTCTTCACAAAGAAAATAGAAGACGGGATAAACACTCTTTGATTATGTATATCACCATTTTGTTTGTGTACATACGTATTCGTTCAGAACAACTAACCTAATGTACAAGTACTCATTCCATAATGTATGTATTTATGTACGTATATGAATCTGCCGGTAGCCAGCTGCAATCAGTGTATTATATATTATTAGTTCGTCGTCTCCATTTTTTCTGATCGAACTCTTTGAAATCTCGCTGTCAGGCAAAAAAAAAAAAAAAGTAAAAAGGCCATGCACAACTCAACCTCGTTGACTTTGGAATTTGGATAATATGTAGTACGCGATTTTTGATTTTATTATGGCCACTTATTATTTATCTCCACAAAACCAATCTACACCATGTAATAAATAATAATAAAATATTAATTCATCCTTCCATTATTCATTTCTTTATTATTATGATTATATATGCATTACTCAATCACATATTTAATTTCCTTCCATTTATAGCCACTCCTTGTATATATAAATATATAATCGATGACCTACTCTACCATATAATATTAGCGGTCATTTACACCAATCAGTACTACCGGGGTTTAGGGTTGCTGACAAATCAATTAGTAAACATTATTTTTCTGACAAAATTGTTATCGAAGTATGATCAAACTAAAGTAACAACTACGTCGTTCGAATTTTTCATCCAAATTGTCTGAACCAGAGTGCATGAGAAATCACGCAATTACAATCTATTTTAAGTCCAACCCCCACCCCCCCACCCAAAAAAAAAGAGTAATAAGTTCGATTACGCTGGTAATCATAAATTCTAGTGATTGATTATGTAACTGACCAACCATATTTAGTCTAGAAGTCGCATATTGTATATGTTACCCTGTCACATGACCTTCCTTATGATTGGGCTATCGTTTATGTAATAATAATTCCCAAATTAAACTTCCCCTTTTTTCTATCTTATCTTCATCAGCTGGATTTGACGGTTCAAATTACATATTATTAAACCATACAATACAACATACAAGAAGATATACCAAATACATATAATTTATCACTATGCTTATGGTTATGGGTTGTTGCCAAGTAACATATCAAACTAATTCAAATCATAAGCTTTAGGGGCCCGACAAGACCAATAATAGGAAGAAGAAATGGGTTTTCTTAGCTAGGGCACCAAAGGCCAAAAAAAAAAAAAAACAAGAAACCATTTTGGTTCCTTCCATTAGTGGGGATGGAAAAGGGTTTACTTTCTTCTAACCAAATAGTTAGCTAGCAAAGTAGCAATCATGCTATGATCCAAAAAAAAAATGGCGAAAAGGGTATTTATGAATTGTTGAAAATGGGGCAAAAAAATGCTAGGGGACTAATGATGGCTAACTTTTGGAGGTGGTGGACTTGATTCCATTAGTGGGGATGAAAATTGGGGATATAATTAAGAAAACTTAAAACAAAAATACGCAATATATCTGCATGGATGACGACTTCCATTTACGAACATGTCCCTTTTCCAGATTTGCTTAAGACCAAGTGACCAACACGTTATTATTTTATTAATCCGTAATTAAGTAGATCAAGTAAAGTAAACTCACAATCAATTAGGACACGTGTATCCTACACAAGGCCCTTGACCGCCCCAAAAATGGGCGGGGGACCATTAGTGAGGCACCATAATTCGTCGCTCCAAAATAGAGAAATTGTTAATTAATTGATTTATAAATGAATCGATGGCCTAAAACTTCAAAAAAAAAAAAAATCCAATGCAAATAAATAAATTAGTAAGGTAAATCGGACCATCAAGAAGCTGCCAAGTCGAAGCCAACCTGACGTCCAATGGCTGCTCGATTTTTGCAGCAAATTTTTCATTTACATCAACAAGTCCACGCTACTATATATTATTAATATTATAGTTGCATTTGTAAGCCTAATGATGGGGTTAATCTATTAAGTTAAGTAATTAATTCAAATCAAAACTATAAACGTAGCATGGATTATGGATTATGTTGCCGACTCTGGATGATAAAACTGCACCATTACGAAGGATAATAGTGGTTAACCGGGAAAATATATATGTCAACCGACCGGTTGGTTATTTTATCTTATTAATGTTGGGACAAGGTTTCGTCACTAGAAAGATTTCAGTACTGAACAATGACTTTGTTATCACGTAACCCGAGTTAATAGCAACATAAACAATAACTCATTATTAGTTTATGACTCTAAAAATCATGTAAACAAATTCTTGTGACTTTTGAGCTTGATGAAGAAGAAAAGACGTCGGAGCATCAAAAGTAGTCGATGGTGCAGTACGTATAGATCAACAGGTCAACCACGGCGGTTGTCTGGTCGACAAACTTTCAGTTGCAACCACACGGTTCATTGCCTTTAGAGCACTCTTCACGGCGTTGGCTTGAGGTATTAAAATATATTTAGTCTCTAACCGACGGTAAACCTCTTCATGGCGCGGATGAACGATTTATTTATAAACATATACCTTTCTCACATCAGGTCGACCGCAACATATAAGCGGTTGACCATTCTTTTCATTTATAATGGTTGAGTCGTGTTGTAAGTGGAACAATTCAACCGATCATTTTATGAATGCGGTAGGACTGTTTTTATCCAAATGAGGGGGTTCAGTTTTCGCGAGTTGATGAACCCATGGTGGTGGAACTGCTTGTGCTACGGGAGGTTGTCGTATGGTGTCTGGAACACAGCTTCACGGACGTCGGGTTCGAGGGCGATGCAGAGTGATCATCGACAAAATTAATCTGTAGTAGCTTTGGCATATTATGTAATCTGTCTATAAGCTTAGCATAAACGGGTGAGTGAGCAAGAAAGCACAAGCTGTTGCTCGATCGCCATTATTACAGATACATGGTCTGTCGTTGGTACTTAGATATACTTAAATAAGTGGCTCAACACAACTGCGCGCATCAGTTTCTTGACTTACAAATAGTGCTCTTCCTAATATTCCACAATGAAATTAAAATATTTGAATCCATGTGTATTATGCAATTTTTTTCCTTGATAAACTGATATTGATCTGTCGATATTCGTGTGGACTCAAAACACAGATTAATCACGGTCAATAATTCCAAATATGCACAATACGCGCGGAGAATGATACGTTGGTCTCAATAACTTGCGAATTGTTGGGTGGACCCCTGAACAAGCCAACTCCACCTATAAGATTATAGTTTTTGATGAGATGAGTTGAGATTGCAACACAATTCACTAGATCCTAGCTAGATTAACTATGTTAATTGAGAGAGGGAGAGAGATCCAATTGTTGCTTGCAAGATTGGGTTACCCAAAAGGGGAATTGCCTGGCTACGTGTGACATTATTCATAGTTGACTTGGCTGATGTCCACAATTAAGACAAACAACATTAATTAAGACATGGGGTTGCTTAAGAACTGGCATTGAGTAAGCCAATAATTAATTAAGGTTTCGTGTCGTTAAGTTACTGAAATATTGTTGGTGGTGTTCGTAAACGACATTGTTCATCGATCTAATGGCTATGAGTGGCCGATGAAGATATATATATATATATGTGCAGCCAGATCATGACCAACCACTGATAATTATTTTTTGTGCTAATTGATATTGATTTTTAATCAAAGCCATGCACGTATATTATTATTATTATTATTATTGTTTATGATTTGCTGGTGTGCACGTAGTCCATTTCCCAATTTACATATATTGTATTCTTGACATTGATCACACAAAAAGGGATTCACATGTCTGGAAGGTGAGTCACCCATCGAGAACTTTCCATGTATGCATTCATTAATTAATATACTAGTATTTATGGCGGTTAATGAACCAAACCGCGCTCATGAATCCTTAACCACTCGACGTTCGACTTGATAAAAAACTCATCCGATTAAGAAAAAGTTAGACTTGTCTATTAACGAGCCGAAATTGAGCTAAACTTAGTTCAGCGTGTGAGTTTTGTGAGCCAGCCCGAGACTAGCTAGGTGTCTTGTTGAGCTAAAGTCGTGAACTCTCTTGTTTGGAGTTCATGAGATGTCTCAACATTGTGATTAGTGAGCCAACTTGACTACCGCGGCTTATGAGAAAATCAATCTTTTTTTTAATTATGAGTTGAATTCCTGATATTCATAGGTTTATTCACTTGTATATCTCATATGATTAAGATTTTGAGTATGTGAGCAAATATGTCTCATATATTGTATGAGATCAGTTAATCACATCTATCATACATATATAGTATAAATATTAAGGTTTAATTTATAAGTTATCATAGAATTGAGCTCGAGCTGAACTCCTTCCAACTCAGCGCCACGTCTGACAACTCACCATCATCAGATAGAAAAATTAACGGAGAGTTAACGTTTGTCTAGTTCTTAGTATCCGATAGATTTGACTAATAAAAAAGAACCCGACTAAAATAATCATTACCTTTTTTAATTAATCAAACTTCATATATTATCCCAAACAAACAACAATGATATACAACCCATTTTAACCATCTATGAACTAACAACTATTTTCCGTTCCTATCATGTAGACCGAACCCAAAAACTAACAACAAACTAGGGGAACGGCTACGGTGCTAATTGTACAATAGTTAGCACCGTCCTAACCAAGGGAAAAACTACTACTAATTTGAATTAGTAGTGATTTAGCTTAGATGTTGTATTGATTTTATAATAATCCGTAGTGATTTCGTTATTTTTAATAGCGTTTTTTGCTAGTTATCACGGTGCTAACCCCTATAAGAGATAGGGGTTAGCACCTAATCCCATTAATTAGCATTATTTTTCCATTCCCATTAATTAGCATATATCAACGAATCACACGTCGACATGTCGGATTTGTTGTTACAATACCTATATATCATATATTCTTATCCAAAAACGCTCTTTCCAAACCTGTCTGGTTGTTTTCTCAAACAAACAAGAGGCTCTTGCACACTAAATTAAGCTTTCTGATAGGCCTATATATTAAGCTTTCTCCACAAAATTTTCTCTCATTCGTAAAAAAAACAATTACTCACTAATTTAACAATATATATTGACAAGTGCTTCTGGGTTCTTGAGTAGTTCTGTTGCATGGATATGAGTTCGAAGTTCGTGGATCGACGAGCAAGGCAAGGAATCTCAAATGATTCCGAGACCAGTAAGTCTCCGAAATATTCATCATCTAATTCTTCGAATAATAGGGGAAATCTCTCCAGCGACACAACTAATTTTAACGGCGGCATGACGAAAGAATATAATAAGGTAAAGCAAGCGGAAGAGTCGCTTAGAATTATTATGTACATAAGCTGTTGGGCTCCCAATTGAATGGATGACGACCATGTTGATTATGCATAGTGGCGCGAGTGATAGATCGACCAATCTATATGTAAATTTCGAGTTCTTGCAATCTATTTGTAACTTGTAATTGTAACAACACCAACAAAAAAAAAATGTTCTCTCTGCAATGGTTCCCCTGGAATTATGTATATGCTTACATTACTTGTAAATCCTAATCTCTAATTGGGATTTAACCATCCTAATCATGCACTTTCACAAGTCCTGTTTGTAGATTATGTGCAAAGGTATACCAAAATAATAATAAAAAAGACTCGATACAAATCAATTTACCAAAATAATTATTATTATAACAAATCACCCCCCACAACGCCGGATTCGGCGTTAGGTTCGGTCATCGGAATTCGTCGTACAATGCTTATTGAAAAACACGGTTTTCATAAATTTTCGACACTAATGATAAGTTCGAGTGACTTTAGTGGATTCTGCGACCGCCACGAAGCCTCTAGAATGTACTTGTAAACAAAATGATTGTTTCTATTGGATGGTTGAATTATATTTGGGATTTTAATCAATTACACATTTAATGATCATTGAAAGATTTTGATGCATCATGATGATGATGATTACTAGAGATCTATATTTGTTCAATCACACGCTTCATCTCAAAACAAGGTTTCAAAATCCACCGAATCAAAGAAATTGCGTTCTCAATTTGCTTGTATATGTTATTTTGTATGTGTATGAGATCATGTTGAAGATTGTTGCTAACAAGGTTTAGACAAAAGATTTGATGCAATGCCTCTCTCTACCTTTCCTCTCTCTACCTTTTCTCTCAACCCTCCTCGTGAGGCTAGCCACTTCCTCAATGGAACTAAATGCAATTTTCAACCGATTCATGTATCTCCACCTACTGAGAATCCAAAGCAGATTGGTAGTGGATTTAATTCCATCTTTTCTCCATTGATCGAGAGTGGGAAGCTGAAGGGAAAGGACTATGGAGCCCCAAAAACATTTATCCCTCTGTTGCAATCTCAGAAGCATTCAAGGAGAGATGGGATGCATACCAAATTCATCCTCTCACCATTTATGAAGATGTTCTTCTGCTGGAAGGAAAGATGGATATTCAATGAGTTGTCCCATCTGCTGATTATCTTAGTTCTGAGTACAGGGGTGGAAAGCAATCTCCTCTGCTACCTCTTTATGACTATGAACAAGGTAGATGGCATTTACTCACCAGATCCCAATTACCCAAGGCCTTGCAATAAACTCATACCGTCAGAAACAAAAATTCAAGCATATATCTACGAGAAGAGGGAGGGTTTCACTCTTATTCTTCAACCCCAAACAAAAACCCAGGCTTCCCCTCTCTGTTTCTACTCCCCTGTTTTTCTTGGAAATCCAAAAGCACTAAACAAAATGGCTGGTATTGGCATCTCCGACCTGCTGAAAAAGACAGAATCACTCAGTGTTTCCGATTCCCTCCTCCGATTCAAACCAAAAAGAGGGCCGGCAGAAAGAAAGAGGAGTGAAATACTGGTGGGAAAGCTCATATGTGAGAAGAAGTATAATGCTGGAGGCATGGATATGCTAATAGCAAGGAACTGGAGAGATGTGAAGAAGCCAACAGTTGTTCAGATTGATATCAATACCTTTGTTATCACGTTCTGCTCCCCAGAAGACAAGGAGAAGATATGGGAAGCAAGACCTTGGAAGATTGCAGACACTCTACTCGTTCTTAAAGAGTGGACTGAACAAGGTAAAGTCAGAACTGACAGCTTGGATTTCAATAGATCCAGAATCTGGATCCAGATCCATGACTTTCCGAGCGACTTGAGGACGGAGGAAAATGTGGCTCTTCCCCTAGGTGAAATTTTCAAGGAGCTGATTAGGGGTGACGAATCTGGGGTGGCAGAGGGGATATACATGAATTTTATTAGAGTGCTGGTTGTCCTTGATATCTCCGAGCCCCTTCCCCCTGGTTTCTATATTGAAATTGAAGAAGGAAAAGAGCACTGGGTTGAATTCAAGTACGAAAGGCTCCCATCTAACTGCTGCTACTGTTGTGGGCGTATTGGACATACCCAACTGGTGTGCAAACACCCTGAAGAATACATTGAAGGCCGATATGGAGACTGGATCAGGGCTGGCCCTCACTCCCCAGCATCTCCATTCTCTGCTGTCTACAAAATAAACACTCCAGGGACAGCAGAGAGTAAGACGGCCGACAACTTCAGTCAGGCCATCGGTGGAAGGACGGCAGCTTCTTACCTCGACGGTCGTCTCTCCGGCGGGCGTGGATTCCAAAGAAAGGACAGAGGAGGGAAGGTCACTGACAACTACCGCAGTAATCTTCCATCACCAACGGCTCTCATGGCAGGTGTTGACAGTGGAAACTCGGGGCCCCCTCCAGGCTTTGTAGGTGGGAAAGCGGTTGAGAAGGAGGGAATCCCAATTACAATGAAGCAGACTGGAGATTTCTCACCTTTCAAGCCGCGTTCCCTTTTCCACGAGGAAGAACAGGGAGAGAGAGGGGGGAACAGTCAGCAAGTGGAGAGGGGTCAGGGTTCGGGTAGTCAAACCTATCAACACATGGGAATGGGCCAAGCTATTGGAGCCCAAACCTTTCAACCCTTTTTTCCTTTGGGCCAAACAAGCTTCTTCCCTAGCCCTAATTATCTTCAGATGGCCCAAGAGAGTTATATGATGGGGCAAGCCCAGCAACCTTTTGTGTTGTGGGACAATAAGCAGATGGAGGCCCAATTTTTGAGTCCTTGGGGCTTGAGGGCTCAAGAGCCAAGAAAGAAGTTAAAAGTCAATCGTAAAAGGAAGCCTACTGCACTGTCAATGGTTCCTGATTATGAAATGGAGGTTGCAGGTTTTGATCATGAAGTTACTGATGAAGGAAATGAATCGGGAAAGGAGAAGGTGGCGCTCCATAAGCCACCAAAGGAGCCATGACAATCTTATGTTGGAACTGTCGTGGTCTTGGCACAGATACGGCAGTTAAATATCTTAGGGATATGCACTTATCTTTTAGGCCTTGTATTACTTTTCTTATGGAAACGAAACAACAAGAAAATGTGTTAGAAGTTGAAAGGAGGAGGGCCAAATTTTACAACAAATGGTACCAAAATCCTGTAGGAAGTAGGGGGGGTTTAGCTCTTTGGTGGGTTAAAGACCTCGTGGTTGATATCATTGACCACTCGGAATTTTTCGTTCATGTTTTCGTCAATTTAGGTGGAGGTTTTTTTCTTACTTTTCTTCATGCTCCCAATGACCCTAGTGAGAGAAGGGATTTTTGGGAGATTATTAGTAATTGTAGACCTACTAATGATAGACCTTGGCTTTTGTTGGGTGATTATAACGCGGTGTTGGATGTGTCGGAGAAAGAAGGTGGTAATCCCCCGAGGAGAAATGCGATGGAGCCTTTCAAGGAGTTCGTGTTTAATAATGAACTTGTTGATATGGATTTCAAGGGTCCACGATTCACATGGTCTAATATGCAACAAGGAACGAGGAAGATATTGGGAAGGTTGGATAGAGGGTTATGCTCACTTGAATGGCGAGAGATCTTTGAACAAGCCACCATCCACAATGAACCGATGGTGGGTTCGGACCATTGTCCCATGAGGGTTGAATTGTTTGGAAATCAGGGTCGTAGAAGAGCCACATTTCGGTTTGACCACCGGTGGCCTAGTTATGAGAGCTGTGGAGACATCATTAGGAGCATCTGGGAAAGAGGAGGAAATCACCAATCCTGCCTGGATGAGTCTCGTCGTGAGCTTCTGGTATGGAGTAAAAGTAATGTGCGTAACGCTGCAATTCGCATTAAAGCAATTCAGGCTAGGCTACAGGTTATTCTTGATTTCACGCGAGATCCCGTTATGGCTGAAGAAGAGAGAACATTACTGGCTGATCTTAACAACCTGTGGAATGAGGAAGAGATTTTTTGGAGACAACGATCTGGGATCCAGTGGCTCAAAGGAGGTGACAAGAATTCGAGATTTTTTCATACCTCGACTATCCTAAGAAGTCATCAGAATAAGGTGGTTAAGTTGTTGGATGAGAGGAATGAATGGTTGGTTCACCAAAATGAGCTACAAGACCACTGTCTCTCATTCTTCATGGATTTATTCAAGAAAAGAGAAGAAAGGGTTGATCCTGGCTCTTTCTCTGATATTCCATCAGTGGTGGATGATATGATGAACCAAGACTTGTGTCGGCCAATTGATGATGAGGAAGTTAGGAGGGCGGTGTTTGATCTTGGTGCTTGCAAGTCCCCAGGTCCTGATGGTTTTCCAGGATTGTTCTACAGGAATTACTGGGATACTATTGGTGTGCAACTTTGTGAGGAAGTCAAAGCTTTCTTTATACATAGTGAAATGCCGGAGGGGTGGAATGACACGCATATTGTGCTGACTCCAAAGATTTCGAATCCAGAGAGAGTTTCTCAATTCAGACCTATCAGTTGCTGCAATTTCAGATATAAGGTGATTTCTAAAATCATGACTACAAGGCTGAAGGTCTGGATCCCTAAGCTTGTTACGGAAATGCAATCGGCTTTTATTGGAGGGAGAGCTATTCAGGATAACATCATTATCGTCCATGAGGTCATGCACCATTTCAAAAATCGCCCAAAAGGTGGGAAGTGGGAAATGATGATTAAACTGGATATGAAGAAGGCCTACGATATGGTGGATTGGGAGTGCTTGGGAAATATTCTGAAAGCTATGGGATTCGCTCGACAGTGGTGTCTTTGGATTAAGGAATGTGTCGAGACGGTGCGATTCTCGGTGTTGTTTAATGGCCAACCATCTCAATTCTTCCAACCGTCTAGAGGCATTCGTCAGGGAGACCCTCTCTCTCCTTTGCTCTTCATTCTCCTTACTAATGCGCTGTCTTTTCTCATCTCTAAAGGTGTCCAGGAGGGATCTTTGCAGGGGATTTCTTTGAACCCTAATTGCCCTCGACTTACCCATGTTCTTTTTGCAGATGACACAATCCTCTTCGGGAAAGCATCTGTGACTGAAGCTTTGCATATTAAAAAAACTATGGAGATCTATGGGACAATGACGGGTCAAGTGATAAATTGTGACAAATCCGCAATTTCCTTCAGCCACAACACTCCGGATTCTATCAAGCAACTCGTTGCAAACTGTCTGGGTATTCCTCTGGCTTCAGGCTTGGGGAAATATTTGGGGGTTCCAACTGAGTGGGGCAGATCGAAGAAAGAAGTTTTCTCGGTGCTAATTAGCAGAATGGAGAAACTGGGTCAAGCATGGAAGAGTCTTGCTCTCTCGCAAGCAGGAAAAGAGACACTTCTTAAATCGGTCTATCAGGGTTATCCGACTTTCCTCATGTCCTGCTTCCTTTTGCCGAAAGGGACCACTAGGAAGATGAACTCTCGCCTTAGTGCTTTCTTCTGGGGTGGGGATATGGAAAAGAAGGCCATACCATGGAGAAAAGGTAGCGTCTTAACAGCTCCAAAGCAGGAAGGGGGCATGGGATTCAAAGATTTTCATCAATTTAATATGGCTCTGCTGGCTAAGCAAGGATGGAGGATTCTCAATGGGAAGGAAGAGACTTGGATTAAGTTGTTGAAAGGTCTTTATTTTCCTAATGGTGACTTCATGGAGGCCGGTAAGGGGCGTAAACCTTCTTGGATTTGGTCAAGCATTTGTGAAGCTAAATCCATCCTTAAGATGGGAGCTCGTAAGAACATGGGAAGTGGAAGGACGATCTCTTTGGAGAATGACCCTTGGATCCCGGGGCTTCCCAACTTTAAGCTCCACCCTAGCGATCGTCAACAGCTTTGGGCTTTTCAATGGATCATGGATGATGGTTGTGAATGGAACTTGGATCTCATTCGACAAACTTGTTCAATTGAGGAAGTGGAGGCAATTAAGAGAATCCCAATTGGGATTGATTCTGCCGACGATGAGTGGGTTTGGCACTTTGAAAAATCGGGGATTTACACAGTGAAATCAGGGTACCATACTTTCAGGGAGTCCGAACGGAACCGATTGGGGACCCCTAACCCGAATCATCCTGACTGCACCTCAAAAGCCTGGAAATGGTTATGGAGTCTTTCATTGCCTCCAAAAATAATTTCTTTCATTTGGAGGATTTCGAGGAATGCGGTTGCTACAAAGAGGAATCTCTGGTTTAGAAGATGTAGTCCTTCACCGCTTTGCTCTCTTTGTCAGTTGAACGAGGAGGATATTTGGCATTGCCTCTTTCGGTGCCCCCATGCGGCAAGGGTGTGGCAGGTTAACCATCCTTCTCTTCCTATCCCTCAGGATTCAACGCCAGTGGTCATGTGGCTGGTTGCCATCTTTGGAAGCCTCCCGATTGTCTCAATTCATGCAGTGGTTGCGTGCTTGTGGGCCATCTGGATTGCTAGAAATGAGAGAGTCTTCAAAGGTGTCATCCCTCGGACAGCTGTGACATCAGCAAATGCGGTTAGGGACTTCAATTTCTGGACTACTCCTCCCCTTGTCCAATCGGTCCACGGAACCCATTCCCAGCACATTTCTGACCATTCTACACTTAGTCTACCGCCTAGTTCTTCCCAATGGGAAGTTCACTGTGATGGATCCTTCAGATCGGAATCACAGGTGGCGGCATATGGGGTCATCATTACAAACCCCCATGGGCAAGTTGTGGATGGTAGTGCTGGGACCTTTTTCTGTTCTTCAGCGATAGTTGCGGAAGCTAAAGCCTTGTTGACTGCTGTGAGAATGGCAGCCTCCCTTCACGGTCCTGCTTCAATCTTCTCGGACTGCAAAGTGCTTGTCGACATTATCCAAGATCCGCAAAAAGTTGGTCCCTGGCAGGTTAGAGCATGGATTCAGAGGATTCGCTTTCTCCTTCAGACGCATATCAGATTGAGTTTATTCTTCACGCCAAGATCTACTAACAAAAGCGCAGATTGGGTGGCAAAGGAAGCGGCAAATGGATCTCTCCCTCAAGAATGGATCCAAGTGCTTGACATTTTAAATCCGATCTTGTAATTCCGCTATGCTTGTACTCCTATCGTTGATTTGAATGGAAATTACATATTGTCAAAAAAAAAAAGGTTTAGACAAGTTCAAGCATACATAGATGACAAGCGCAAACATTCTTACTGATTTATAACGTTATGATTGGTTAAAAATTAATCCTCTCGTGTTATTGGATTGGGGGAAAAAAATAAAGAACCGGGGTAACGAAACCATACAATTACAAACCTCGATATGAAAAAAAGGCATGTGCTTGAGTTATGGATGAGGCTTCAATTGAAACGTTTTACTCCAAAATGAATGTGTGAAGGGTTTCAATTCAATTATGTAAACGATGAATTTGTAGCAAATCATTGATGCTCGAAATTGGGTGTCAAATCTATCGCCCAAATCTCACAAGCAAACAATACCTAAATAGTACGTTAGGTAGACTCATGCATAGAGATTAGAGGCATAGGCAGAGTAGGTCTTGGTTGGTCAATGAGGACATCTCCTACATAATGAAGTTCAGGCTCGGCCCATTCCAATGGATCAACAAACGAAACCCAAGCCCAAACGAGCGGCAATCCAGATCTGGTAAAAAGAAGAAAAGGCCCGCCCGCTATATAAAACTCCTCTCTGCAACTCTTATCTCAAAGTACGTCTCAACCACAAGAGAAACAGAGACGATAGATAACCTTCCCGCTTCCATTCAATTCAACTCATCCATCGATTCAGCCAAAGAAAATCTAAACCCAAGAAAAAAAAAGCTATGATCTTGTTGAAACCCAATTACAACCGCCATCCGCCATTTTCTCCCTTTTCGGGTTCTTATAATCTCCAAACCTCCAGGGCAAGGCAAGTCGGATTCCCGCCGGCAAGCAGCAGAAGGCGGCCGACGGCGACAAAATGCGGCGGAGGAGGAGGAGCGGAGGAGGAGAAGCCGCGGCGAAGCTTCTTGAGCCTGGAGGAAGCTGGGCTGGTGGAAATTTCAGGGCTCAGCTCCCACGAGAGATTCCTCTGCCGTTTAACGGTTTGTTAAATTTTTTTTTTTAAGTTAACCTCACCTCAGGCGCCTTAATCAATCAATTAATTAACTCGTAATTACTAATAATTCCTTTTTTGTGTTGTTGAATAGATATCTTCGTTGAACCTTCTGAAAGTGATGTCGGAGCAGGAAGGGTGCGCCATTGAGGAGCTAAATGCAGGGAAGGTATGCGACTGGTTCTTGAAGGACAAGCTGAAACGAGAACAGAGCTTGGATTCTGCTGTCCTTCAATGGGACGACTCTGAGTTTCCAATTTGACCTCATACCTTTATTTTTCTTGTATGTTCATTACTTTACTTTGTTGCCATTGGTCACTTGTTTCTCTAACCAGTGCATCGATACACACCTCAAATCAGATTTAGGGGTCGTTTAGATGGGTTAATTGTCAATGTGGTATTTGTAGAGTCAGATAACTCATTTATTGTTCACGTGGAATTTCAGTGGTAATTGAAATAAAGTATCTCGTTTTGGATGAACTATGCAAATGTGGTATTTGGTAAAACTAGAGTGGTAAAACGAGTTATTTCGAAATAACACATGAGTATGAGTTATTTCAAATAACCTATTTCGAGTTATTTGTAAATAACTCACTGTCCAAATAACTCATTTCAGTAAAACGCAGTCAAACGAGCTATTTGTGTCCAAATAACTCATACAAATACTCCATCCAAACGACCCCTTAATCACTTATTTCGCTAATACGGAGAGGTGACAAGGTTGAAAAAGGTCACGAGAATTTGAATCTAAAAATACGACATTGTAACACGTATAATTTGTGATTGTGTGTTTGGGAGGAAGATGGTTGGGAACACAACAGTTGCTTTAGGGGTCGTTTGGATGGATCAATTGTAAAACGAGACAATTTGACCAATTGTTTCATTTTACAAAACGAGTCATTTAAAACGAGTCAATTCAGATTACCTGCTCCCACCCTAGACAATTGTAATTGGCTCAAAATGAGTCAATTCAGAATTCCCCAGCCCAAATTGCTTCATTCAAATTTTCTGCTGCCAAACGGATCAATCTAGCACAATTGACTCAAAACGAGACAATTGTGTCAGATTGATCCATTAGAATTTCTCATCCAAACAACCCCTTAAACTCTCTGAGTTGTGAAAGAGTTGATGGTTTAGAGAATTTCGTCACATAAACAAACTAATGTATGAGTTTTGAAGAGCTTCAAGACTTTTTTTTTTTTTTTTTTTTTTGTGGACAAACTATTTTATCTAGTTCCAGTTTGACGATTTAGTGTCGACAAAGTGTAACAAGCCTAACAAATGAATTTATTATTGCTTCTTTCTTCTCTTTTTCTCCATTCCTCTCGCCTGACTTTTCCCCACCAGTAGTTGGATCGACACTTCCCCGCCCGCGGAAAGATAAAACCGAACCAATTCATGCTCTGACGACCTTTTCCTCCTCCGCCGCCGCCACCACCACCGCCGTCCATGGCTATGGTTGAGAACAAGTCGCCGACTGACAACTCCAACAACAGAGTGTGGGGTTTCCTCAGGCTGCCCTTCCGAGCTACCACCGGGAATGCGACGCCGTCCCCTTCGTCTTCGTCGCATCTTCACCACAGCCACCACAACTACCAGCACGGCCAGAATAACGCCCCCGTGGAAGGATCTAATCCTCACCCTCCCAATTCGGTCTCTTCCGTCGCCAAATCGCTGCTCCCCACGCGCCGCCGCCTCAAGCTCGATCCGGCCTCCAAGCTCTTCTTCCCTTGTGAGCTTATTCTCGATCTCTCTCGCACTTTCTGTGATTCTTAGCTAGGTTTCTGCGGAATTTCTTTTCCCGGCGGGAGAAAGAATTTATTGAAATAGTGACCGATATCTGCTTTCTTAATTGCTTCTGTTGGGTATTTATCGTTTCTACTGGGAATTAATGAAGCTTTGTTCTTCCGTCTCTGGTTGTAGATGAACCCGGGAAGCAGGTGAGGAGTGCCATCAAGATTAAGAACAGTAGCAAATCCCATGTAGCGTTCAAGGTATAGATTGATTTAATCAACTCCTTAAGGGTTCACCGCGGCTTCCTCTAGATATTGGGTGCTCGTTGATATGCCTGAAAGAACCTAATGGCCTTCTGATCATATATTTCTAATGCATTTGCTATCTTGGTGTGGTTTAGTTTCAAACAACTGCGCCAAAGAGTTGTTTCATGCGCCCACCTGGGGCTGTTCTTGCTCCTGGGGAGAGTATCATAGCTACTGGTAATTCCTCTCAGCAGTTATGTTTGTGCTGTTAAATGCATTGGTTATGTGGCTTCTTCTTCCATACCGTTATCTTACGGTGGTATCTTTTCTGGCATATGGATGTTAGTTTTCAAGTTCGTCGAGCACCCAGAAAACAATGAGAAACCAATGGACCAGAAGAGCAGGGTTAAGTTCAAAATTATGAGCTTGAAGGTGAAAGGGCCAATGGACTATGTGCCTGAGCTGGTGAGTTTACGTTTCAATGCAATAGATAGCTATCAATTTTCCAACTTTGCTTAGTCAGTTGTGTTCGTAGGAACAAACAAGCTGTATTTGGAATGAGTCTGGTAAGCTGAAATGTGGAAGCCCTGGCAAAAGCTCGAAACTTCCATGCACTATAATTTTTCTTACTTCCTCGGTTAAGCTTGCTGCCTCTTGAGTCTAAGTTATCCAGTTTTAAGAATCTCCTTCGGTTAGCAATCACGCATTAGAGGCTTAACTTATTTTGCTCTCAGTCACTGTGATGCGATTGTACTTCTGATTGAGGTTTCTTTACTCAGGCCTTTCTAGTGGCCATTACAAGCTCTTCTCCCCACCCAAATCTCTGTCCTAATCTACTGGAATAACCATTTCCCTTTGCAGTTTGATGAGCAGAAGGACCAGGTAGCAATAGAGCAGATATTACGCGTTATTTTTCTAGACCCAGAGCGCTCAACCCCTGTAAGTTTGATGGTTATTAATAACTCCATTTGAAAATGTAACTGTTGCAAATTTGATCTTCTCATTGGACTGCACAATCTTTTCATCGGTATAACAGTCTTTGGAGAAGTTGAAGCGCCAATTAGCGGAGGCTGATGCTGCAGTGGAAGCCCGGAAGAAACCCCCGGAGGATGCAGGTCCAAGAATCATAGGCGAAGGACTCGTGATTGATGAATGGGTGAGTTAACTCAGTTTATTCCAACATCAACCTTTCTTACTTGGCTATAACCCACCATACTGGCCTCACGTTAATACCCTTTTTATGCGTTCTTGTATATCAACAGAAAGAGCGAAGGGAAAGATACCTTGCTCGACAGCAGGGTGAAGCGGTAGACTCGGTATAGACGAAACTAATGAGCATCGAGCTTTTGTTATTCACGGCTTGAGTAGCATGGAAAATTGATTGATGTCGGTATGTTCCTCGTCTACTCCATTGTACCATATAGGAAGAGGAGAAAAAGCTCTTGAGAATGTGTCCATGTAAAGAAAAGATGTGCATTGTTGTTGTAAGGTTGATTTGTTTTGTTGATTTTTGAGTGTTAGGAAGAACCCCTTGTTGTATGTCTTTCACCATTCAGCTCTGCCTGTAGATAAATTTATAATTTTGATTTGGCCCGCCTGCTTCTATAACCAGAAATTATGAACTGGTCTCATGTTGGGTTGTAATGCTCCTAATTTGATGAATCACAAGCTGTTTTTCACAGAGAAAGGAAAGCCGGCTCTTCCTGATCTGACGTTGCCGGGAAATAGACAAGAGCGAGTCTTCCTCCAAGAACTGGTTCTCTTTAATAAGTTCTGAAGAACTTTATTTCAGTCAAGGAACAGTGTTTCCTCGGGAAAACCAAATGCCACCGCCGGTGCCGAATTCGTTTCCGGCGATGTTGATTTGATGTTTCGCGGTGGAAACTCTTGCGGTGCCGTTTGATCGAATGCACCGCTGATTACTGAAATCGAGACGACCGTCAAATATCCGCCGCCGAATGTCGGCGCCGTTGATTTGATCGATGCACCTCTAAATGGTGAAATCAACGTGACCGTCAAATATCCGCCGTCGAATGTCGGCGCCGTTGATTTGATCGATGCACCTCTGACTTCTAACCAACGCGACCGTTACTACGGTTCGCACCTCTCCAAACTACGTTCGAACGAGGGTGTTTGAGTTTTGAGGAATCTACGCTACCGCTACTCCTATGGAGATTCCTGTGGAGAGCTCCGCGACTACGACTAACACTACAACTATGGAGATCCTTCCTGGAAGGAGAGCTCCGCGAAGGAGTTACAGAGAAAAAGGATAAAGTTTTGACAGAGTTGTTCTGTGTTGATTTGTTTGTCCTTTCTCTCTCCTTGCTCCGCTACTTTTATTTGAAATCACTTGCGTAGTCTTCACGCTAGGTGGAACCGCTTCCTCAACTGCTCCGTCCTGAAATCCCACGTGTCTCAACTGCCTTGATCTCCTCTTTCTGCTTTGCGTAAAAGTCACGTGCACACACATCAACTTTGTACCATGGTTCGAATCCCGATACCGCCATCGATTAAAACAACATTGTTGTTTCACCCTCGTCACCGCGTACTTGCCGCTAGATTGTTGATCTCCCGGCGTCGTTCTTAATTAAACAACATTGTTTCCCTGTCCCGCGATGTCGTTGAGCTTCACAACACTGTTTTCATTTTAACACTGTCGTTTTAACTGCTGCGGCATCGTTTGGCCTACTTGCGGTATTGATTTATAATCCGCGGTGTCGTTTCTTTCCTCTTGCGGCATCGTTTTCAACTAAACGACACCGTCCTAAACAGCCATTAAAATATTAATTAATTAATCCGTCCATCACTAGCTATGGCCAACGACATCACTAGCATCACAACAACTCCGTTTGTTTTCCCTTTTGCGACATTGTTTTTTATTTAAACACTGTCGTTTGCTTGCGGTACCGTTGGGCTCCCTCGCGGTACTGTTTTCAATTCCGCGGCATCGTTTTAGCTCTCCGCGGCACCGTTTTAACTCCCCTCGGTGCCGCTTCTTCCAATCCAACAAGGAATAAAAATAATAATTAATTAGAGAAAACTCCTTCTCCAATTCCAACTGCACGCGCGGCCCCTCTTGTTTTTCATTAAGCGGTGTCGTTTCCCATGCCGCGGTACCGTCGAGGCCTCCTTGCGGTACCGGTGAGCTTCCTTGCGGTACCGTTTTAATTCTCCATGCGGTACCGATTTTTCTCTTCCGACAAGGAATAATGGTAATAATTAATTATAAAACTCCCTTCTCCAACCCAACTACACGCGCGGCCCCCTTTTGTTTTTCGGTATCGTTTCCAGTGCCGCGGCACCGCTGAGCTTCCTTGCGGTACCGGTGAGCTTCCTTGCGGTATCGTTTTTCTGCTTCGCGGTACCGTTTTAACTCTCCGCGATGCCGCTCAACTCCAAACGACACCGTTTTTTACCCACGGTATCGAATTAAATGCCGAGACTCATTATTACGGCATTGAATTTAGGCAAAAAATATTTTAGGTGTAAACAATGCCCCCCACAACTTAGTTTATAAGAACTACTTCTTATGAACTAAGTTGTTGACACAACTCAATTCACCTAAAATGATAATTAACTTGCCTCAATGATCAAGTTGGCGAGAAATTTTATGGCCACCTTTGGCCAATCTCACCAACAAGCATGCAAAAACTAACTGGAAATGTTGGCGTTCTCATTGTCAATTATTAAACCCCAAGCAAAACTTCAACAAGTTTTAGAAAACACAACCGAGATTTACCTTTAGTTACAGCTTCCTTGCCATGTTTTGCAACCAAACGTCTCCGCTTCCTTTTCCTGTTCTTATGCACCAAACAAGATTGCAAGCTGCAACGTTGCTTGTTTTTAGACCCACAACAAGACCGTGCCATTTGGATAACGGCAGCGATGCAATTTCCACTACTATTTCTGAGTGCTTTTTCCTTCCAACGAGGATCAAAATAAATACCCTTGGATCTTCTCCAATCATATCTCGCCACCAACCAGTAAACACAAAACCCAAGCTCGCAACGAAGAACCTTGGCCTAGCAGAAACGGCACCGTCCTCAACATCACCATGGCAGTATGCGCAACACTGTTTTAGAATAAACAATGTTGTTGGCAGCTTGACCAAAACGCAGCTGTTTTATTTTCACGTTGCAGCGTTATGAAGGCCAAAACAACTTTGTTTTATATATTTAGAATAATAATAAAAAAATGGCACTCCTGCAGCACGGTTTCAACCACAACAGCCCTGTTCTTCTCTTTCTTTCTGCCACAACAGCGTTGTTTTGGTGAGATTTTTTTTATTTTATTTTCCTCTTTTCCGCCAAAGCTGTTTTGAAACAGCGGCAGAGCTATTTTTTTATTTTTTATTTTTTCCGCTAGGGCTGTTTGCAACAGCGGCAAAGCTAATTTTTTCTTTTTTTCCTTTTTTAACAACATTGTGTATCTTTCCCTATCTCCCAACGATGTTGAGAAAAGAGAACAACACCGCTTGTTATTTTGAACTATTGCCAACGATATTGTTGCTTCTTCTTAGCAATGCCGCTTGATCATATTATATAATATTTTATCTATAACATATTAGGTGGCCTAATTTAGCCACGTTATTTATAACAGTTAAATAAGAAACAAACTAGACTTTGGCATAAACCATCATGCCAAAAGTCCACACCCACTGCCAACTCCATCGATCAAACCAAACAAGCCATCCGTAAAGTCCATGATTCATCACAGCTGGCTTCACACGAGTTGGTTTTGATGTTTTGGAATCAATGTTGGCTTGCAAATCCCCAGTTCGTCTAGCTCGAACATCTTTGTTCGAAACTCCACGATCCTGATTTGGCCTAATCTTAGCTTCGCGGAATGGAAAACCATAAGCATTCTTGGCTCTAGACAGGACATTCTCGATTTTTGGCACCTTTGTCTTGCCAATTCGACCATGCGACATCGCTTGCCTAGACTGGTCTAGTTTTGTTAGCTTCGCACTCTCACCATGTTGTTGGTAGTATGAGCGCCGAGACTTTTCATCAACAGGTACGTTGGTATTTTGCTTATCACGAACATGACTTTCGCACCTATCACACAACAACGTTGCCCCTTTTAAAATTCCACGTGAGTTTGGAGTTTGTTTGGCATTGGCCTTGCCCCCCAGACCACCACTTATGGATTTGTTCCCAACCAGCACTGGTGAGGCAACCCCATGTCGGGTTTGATCGAACTTGCCCCCCTCTCTACTCAGTAGAGGTTTCGGGGACAATTTACATAGAGGATTCTGTTGATTCATGACAACTTTGGTGGCATTGGGTTTTTTCACGTGGCTGCCACCCCCACACTGCAAAGTTTTTGCTGCCATCCTTGTTTGAATTTTCCTAGAATAGGACATATTTGGCAAACTTATTTGCCACTCGCGATGTTGTTTTTCCATCAACCGACCATGCGGTGGGATCTTATGCCCCCCTATCGGCTTAGATTGAACACCATTGCGATGTTGCTTGGGTAACCCATCATACGTGAGCTTGCTATGCTCGACGTGATTGTAACCAGGTTCTCGACCCTGGTTCTTGTTTTCAATCTTATTAGAAGTAAGTCGATACTGACTTCTTTGTAGTGGCTTCTGCAAGCCACTTCCAATTGGTGTGTCCTTTAGAACAACGTTGTTCACAGGAAAGAACACATTGGATTCACTCACTTCTAGCAACAATGTTGTGGACATGGTTCGAGATTTAAACACATCAAAATCATACGTGGCTCCACGTATTGACATATTAAAATTAGAAACAGAGTCGTCCAACTTATCAAACCATTGATCTATGTTTTTTTCAAGATTATCCATTTTTTTATCAAGAGAAGTTAGAATGATATTTACCTGTTGGCTATCTCTGTTGAGTTCAGCCACTACTTGGCGGGGTATGAGCAGCATCTCACCCTGATCGGAGATTCGTGCCATTGATTGCACCTTTGCTCCAGCGTTGTTGCTTGAACCGCCAACAGCATCGTCAATCTCGATATTGACCATTTGAGCCTCCGTCATGGATCCTTGTCGAAGACCACAATCTTCTTTTCCTCGTCGCAGAGCCATGTCAAACACACGTGTCCCACCAGGTGTGCCAAAATGTTTCCTCGGGAAAACCAAATGCCACCGCCGGTGCCGAATTCGTTTCCGGCGATGTTGATTTGATGTTTCGCGGTGGAAACTCTTGCGGTGCCGTTTGATCGAATGCACCGCTGATTACTGAAATCGAGACGACCGTCAAATATCCGCCGCCGAATGTCGGCGCCGTTGATTTGATCGATGCACCTCTAAATGGTGAAATCAACGTGACCGTCAAATATCCGCCGCCGAATGTCGGCGCCGTTGATTTGATCGATGCACCTCTGACTTCTAACCAACGCGACCGTTACTACGGTTCGCACCTCTCCAAACTACGTTCGAACGAGGGTGTTTGAGTTTTGAGGAATCTACGCTACCGCTACTCCTATGGAGATTCCTGTGGAGAGCTCCGCGACTACGACTAACACTACAACTATGGAGATCCTTCCTGGAAGGAGAGCTCCGCGAAGGAGTTACAGAGAAAAAGGATAAAGTTTTGACAGAGTTGTTCTGTGTTGATTTGGTTGTCCTTTCTCTCTCCTTGCTCCGCTGCTTTTATTTGAAATCACTTGCGTAGTCTTCACGCTAGGTGGAACCGCTTCCTCAACTGCTCCGTCCTGAAATCCCACGTGTCTCAACTGCCTTGATCTCCTCTTTCTGCTTTGCGTAAAAGTCACGTGCACACACATCAACTTTGTACCATGGTTCGAATCCCGATACCGCCATCGATTAAAACAACATTGTTGTTTCACCCTCGTCACCGCGTACTTGCCGCTAGATTGTTGATCTCCCGGCGTCGTTCTTAATTAAACAACATTGTTTCCCTGTCCCGCGATGTCGTTGAGCTTCACAACACTGTTTTCATTTTAACACTGTCGTTTTAACTGCTGCGGCATCGTTTGGCCTACTTGCGGTATTGATTTATAATCCGCGGTGTCGTTTCTTTCCTCTTGCGGCATCGTTTTCAACTAAACGACACCGTCCTAAACAGCCATTAAAATATTAATTAATTAATCCGTCCATCACTAGCTATGGCCAACGACATCACTAGCATCACAACAACTCCGTTTGTTTTCCCTTTTGCGACATTGTTTTTTATTTAAACACTGTCGTTTGCTTGCGGTACCGTTGGGCTCCCTCGCGGTACTGTTTTCAATTCCGCGGCATCGTTTTAGCTCTCCGCGGCACCGTTTTAACTCCCCTCGGTGCCGCTTCTTCCAATCCAACAAGGAATAAAAATAATAATTAATTAGAGAAAACTCCTTCTCCAATTCCAACTGCACGGGCGGCCCCTCTTGTTTTTCATTAAGCGGTGTCGTTTCCCATGCCGCGGTACCGTCGAGGCCTCCTTGCGGTACCGGTGAGCTTCCTTGCGGTACCGTTTTAATTCTCCATGCGGTACCGATTTTTCTCTTCCGACAAGGAATAATGGTAATAATTAATTATAAAACTCCCTTCTCCAACCCAACTACACGCGCGGCCCCCTTTTGTTTTTCGGTATCGTTTCCAGTGCCGCGGCACCGCTGAGCTTCCTTGCGGTACCGGTGAGCTTCCTTGCGGTATCGTTTTTCTGCTTCGCGGTACCGTTTTAACTCTCCGCGATGCCGCTCAACTCCAAACGACACCGTTTTTTACCCACGGTATCGAATTAAATGCCGAGACTCATTATTACGGCATTGAATTTAGGCAAAAAATATTTTAGGTGTAAACAAACAGTATAGGGCACTACGGAATTGAGTTGCTCCCTTTATTCACCTCTGCTAATCAGCAGAATTTGGCAGGAAAATCTTAAACAACGACTAACAAAGGATTGAATCTATTGAACTATGAGGTGGGCAATGATTAGATCTGTATATGGAAAAAAAAGCTGAATCAAAGATGGGATCAACTAAATCGAACTAAAAGCGCTTCTAATCTAACTTAAATCGTCATCATTTCGCTTTCATATTTGCTCCGGTTCATTCTCGATTTGATTCTGGACCGAACAAATCGATATCTACCCTACCCTTATCTTAAGAAGTAAGAACCATTCATTTGATGGATGACCATTGTCTCTTTGCTTTCTCTTCGTTTCCCTTTCATATGCTTTTCATATACGTTTCCAACGTGGAGAATATGAGTGACTTGGGAAGCTCCGGACGGAGATCAACGTGGCTGGGAGCGAAGGAAAAAAGGACCCAGATGGGGGACTTCGAAACGGAACTCCGGGGAGTTCCGGCGATCCGATTCCGGCGAGAAAGGCAGTTTTCTTACCGTGAGCGGTGGTCGGGAGGGAGAAGCGGGAAGGAAGGAGAAACGGGCTGACGACGAGTCGATGCGGAGAGTAATGTATCTCAGCTGCTGGGCCCAAAGCTAGATGGGCCGACGAGACCGTGTAACACCAGGGCTCCATGGGCTGATCTCGTGGCAATGTGTGAAAAAACAGGCTGGAAAACGAGTTGTCGTAGAAGAAGGTGTTGTAATTACCAAAAAGGCCTTTTGGGCCTGGCCCGAAGTTATCAAGCCCAGCCGCACGCTATCATGCTATTGAGTTTTGAGTTTCGGTGGCCTCGACTCGATCGATGCTTGTTGCTTTTTTTTAATTTTTTTTATTTTATATGTTTTCATAAACCAGACCTACTAACCATACTTGCATGGAAAATGGGCGTCTTGTTTGTACAGGAAGAGAGATCAATCACAGAAAACTTGTATGGAAACTGACTCTCGGGAAAGCATAGTCCATGAAACCGTACCGGAGATCGTATCGAAAAAGTCAGTGGTAGGGTATTTTATGACAAAACCGTGGTTTTACGGTAGTTTAACCGTTAGTATCGTTAAATACTGCATACCGGTTTAGCCTCCGATACTGATATTTTATGGTTGAACCGCCGGTACAGTACGGTTTCATGAACTATGCATGAAAGCCCGCGTATGTTGTTTTTCCTCCTTTCCATTTTCACCCAAAGCCAAAGGGAAAGAAGAATCCCAAGAAGTAAGAACATTTGTATTCCAAAGGGTTATAGGTATAATATGCCCCTCTACTATGACGTTTTATCAAACATGCTATCCTACTATTTTTTACATCATACATGCCCCTGTACTTTGGAAAACTTATCAAACATGCCCTTTTGTTAAAATTTTCATCTAAAAACTGTTAACCAAGACCGAACTTTGGTTTGGGCGACCCAAATATCTAAAATATCCCTAATAATTTCACTTTAAAGTTTTTTTTTGTTCTTTTGTATAGCCAAATAATTCTAATTATTTCACTTTGATGAGACCTAGAGAAATAAAACAAGGGTCAAAACTGACATTTCCCCTCCCATTTATCGATGTCGGGTCGTCTAAATCTCGGTTCAACCATGATTGCCGATTTTTTTTATGGAAATTTCAACTGAAGGCATGTTTGATAGTTTTTTCAAATTACAGGGGGCATGTTTGATGTAAAAAATAGTAAAAGGACATGTTTGATAAAACGTCATAGTAGAGGGACATATTAACCCTATTCCAAAAGGGAAAAAGGCAAAAGAAGAGAGATTTGTCACGAGGGAAGAAAATAATAGTTTGGTGTTTGTGGCATCATGGATAGCCAAGTATTTGATCTCTCTAGGAAGAACTCAAGAGTATCCAAGGAGCCTCCTTTCCCTCATTTGTGATTTCAAATCTCTAGAGAATGGAAGTTTTAATGGCAAATGGTTAAAAAGTAAAGAGATGCACAAGATGAGTCCATCCCACCAACCCCAGATGTACAAACAGCACATGATTCCCAATCACTTTTCTTTTTCAAAGGGAAAAAAGGGTATAAAGTATAGTGACACATAAAATAACAATCTTATCCCCCCACAAACCATATATATGTACACACACTACAAAATATTGAGAAAATAAATGGACTTAACCCATTCTCAATATAGTTAGGTTTGAGTTTCGACTGTTTAGTCATTCGTCGACCTTCTCTTTATCTGAATGGTGATAACAGTTAACTACGATTCATAATCAAATACAGTCGATTTCCAAAAAAAAAAAAATGTAAAACCAAAGGAAATCAAAATTTTACAAAGAACTAAAACTTGATTCAAATTTCGATTTGGTCGGTCGATTTTTTCTTCTTTTTAAGGGATCACAACGAATAAACAAGAAAGAAAATATCGAAATTGTGAGAACCGAGTCCAATCAAAGCATATGCATCAATCGATTCAAATGTAAATCTGGCTCCTATTCGATAGATACGGTTGAAAAAACAATCTCTTTCATATATAAATATGGGTCCTACTCCGCTCCGTACAAAGTAAGTATCAATGTTTATGTTGGTCGAAAATGAAATTACCATACATTGTGCTTAAATCATAATCTTCAAGCAATGTACACTTTAAATATACACAATTATCATGCAATGTAAAAAAAAAAAGTTTAATTTGTCCCTATAAATCCCATTATGTTCAAGTCCTAAGAATGAAGCAATTTTTGCAGAGGCTTATCAAGCAAAACCATGAACCTTGCCCCGTTTACGCCATCAAACAAGGGAGAGGATTATATTATCAAGCGCGCCGAGGAAAATGCGATCATCCTTTCTTTTCTTGTGTTTCCCGTCCCATTCACTCTTTTCTTACAGACCGTGACCCTGAATTTATTTGAGAAAACAGAGTAGTGAGAGTACTCTGTTTCTTGAGAAAACAGGGTGTCATGCGATCGATCTGGGAGATATCTCTCTCACATCTGGACTAATGTTATCCAATACGTAAAACAAAACGCCATTTATTAATTGCATAAGGCGCAGTGACAGTTGACATTTGTTAGTTGTCACTGAAAGTGAAACTCCATTTTCGCCTTTTCTCCTTTTCCAAGTTTCCAACAACATATTTACAGTTGGGAAGGAAGGAGATTTGGTAGCTAGCAAAAAAAGGGGGGGCTTTTGATTCTTATCCACTACCAAATGGAAGTTCCTTTCTAACCTTTTTGCTTATAATCCACTCAAGCATGCCTAGTGGTATTGGTCATTAGTTCATGATTGTTGGAAAGAGATATCGATACGCCATAATCATACAGATTTCGTACAGGGAGGTCGATTATTTCGTTAAAGAGACTCGTCGTTTGAGAGTAAAGATTTCTTAGTGTGAGTTTCGATTTTTTCTTTGTTTTCTTATTATCTTTTGCGCTTCAAGCATTATTGATGTTGTTTCCTCTTCAAACTTTCGGTACCTTGAGTAGTTAAATTGTTGTATAGCTCTGGGTGATAGGTCGAACCCACCAACCAACTCAAAGGTTGCATTTTGGTTGCAATTGTCACTAGAGACTGCTAAATTTTATCTTCTTGACACTCTTTTATGTATTTTCTTATCGAATCATTCGTACAACAATCTCTGTCTCTTTTAAGTTTTAATTCTTATTGGTAATTAAATCTCTAAACATAGTGTGGAATGAACATATTGGACATGTAAATGGTAATGGATATAATTAACAAAAAGAGAAACAACCCTTTTAGAATCCACTTATGTACCACTAGTTAGCCAAATTTAAACCCACACCCCTCAAAAACAACTAGAAGAAGAAGAAGAAAAAACAAAAGTATAGATCCAAATTCCATAATCGTCCCTCAATTTTCCCATTACAACCAAAAAACCCCTCTCACAATCAAACAACTTTCCCACCCATCTCCAAATTCTCATTCCCACGCCCCGCCTCCGCCTCCACGAACCTCGACCAGTACCAATGCGACCTCCACACCCTTCCCATCTCCTCGATCGGAATCCCCTTCGTCTCCGGCAAGAAAAAGTAGACGAAAATCGACATCACCACGACGAAGAACGCGAAGAACAGGAACAACCCGAACTTCAAACGACACAACATCATCAGGAATATCTGCGCCACCGCGAACGTGAAGATCATGTTCACCGACACCGTCACGCTCTGCGCCGCCGATCGGATCTCCAACGGGAAGATCTCGCTCGGCACCAGCCACCCCAGCGGGCCCCACGACCACGCGAATCCCGCCACGTAGATGCAGATGAACATCACCACGATGATCGAGTACCACTTCGGCAGCTCCCCTGGGTCGCCGTCGACGCCGAATTTCGCCCCGATGCACGCCGCCACCACCGCCTGAAAAAAATTCCCAAAATCACATCAAGTTCTAGTCGAATTTAATCCTAATTGCAACGAATTCGAGTTTGACCTAGTGACGAGACGCGATGATAACATAATTCGTATTTACCTGACTAATTCACATCTGACCAAATCGCAGCAAATTTTAGTCCAATTTAATCACAATTCGACGAATTCGAGTTATAGCTACTAGTAATACCGTGACGCAATGATAACAATTCGTACTACCTGACAAATTAACATCTGACCAAAATCACAACATAATTCTAGTCCAATTTAATCCCGATCCAAGGAATTCGAGTTTGACCTAGTAGTAATACTGCGACACGACGATGATAACAATTCGTACTACCTGCAGACAGATTAACATCTGACCAAAATCACAGCAAAATTCTAGTCTCAATCCAACAAATTCGAGTTTGACCTAATCGTAATACTGAGACGCGACGCGATGATAACAATTCGTATTACCTGACAAATCAATATCACGACCAAAATCACAGCAAAATTCCAATCCAATTGAATTCCAATTCAACGAATTCGAATTTGAGCTAGTGGTCCTACTGCGTCGCGACAACGATAATAATTCGTATTACCTGACAAATTAACATCTGAACGCCTCCTTCTAGGAAGAGAAACCTCCTCCCCCACTTATCAACACCATAGATGGACACCATGGTGGCACAGACATTGACGATCCCGGTGATCACCGCCGACATTAAGGAAGCGTCGGCGCCGAATCCGATGCTGTTGAACAGCACCGGCGCGTAGAACATGATGACGTTGATTCCGGTGAGCTGCTGGAAGAATGGGATGCAGACGGCCATGGCCAGGTGCGGCCGGTACTTCCTCTGGAGCAGATTGGTCCAGGGGTGCTCGACGAGCCTGGACTGCTCGGTGGCGGCGACGAGGTCGGAGAACTCGTCGTCGACGTCGTCGACGCCGCGGATGCGGCGGAGGGCGGACCGGGCCTCGTCGGCCCGGCCGCGCTCGATCATGGAGTTGGGTGTGTCGGGGAGGACGAGGGAGCCGACGGTGATGATGAGCGCCGGGACCATGGCGCCGCCGAGGCTGAGGCGCCAGCCCCAGCCGCCGGCGATCTTGTTGAAGAAGAAGTTGAGGACGTTGGCGACGAGGATGCCGACGGTGATGGAGAGCTGGAAGCCGATGTTCAGTGCTCCTCTGTATCTGTACGGCGCCATCTCCGACAAGTAGAGCGGCACCGACTGTATAATTGTTGCACATTATGAAAATAAATGTATCGTCAATTCGCTATTTAGTGTCAAGATTAAGTTAACTTGAGATGTGATTAAGCAACCTCAAATGATAATGTCTTAAGATAAATTTATTCCGTTCTTTTAAAATTCGGATAAAACTGTTTTATTAATTGAAAGTTAATTCCAAAATTGTATTTTACGTCAAAGTCCAGTTCAATACTGTGTATTATCTATATGACGTGGAAGTCACGTCGCAGCCAGCTCAACATTATATATCGAGTTACATACGTAAAAAAAAGAATATATTTGTCTTTCAATCATAACGATCAACCTAAATTTCGGGTCAATTTTTTTTTCATTTCTTTCAAAAAAAAAACTGTCTTATTTTAAATTTCTGGATTTTTTAATTTAATGACTCAATTTTGGGGTTTTTTTTCATAAATAGTGTAAAGAGTAACAAAAGGTAACGCAATTCGCAATTATTTTGTGATTATTATTACCAAAAGATGACCAATTATATTGGTCTCCAAAAAGAGGAAGAAAAAAAAAAGTTTCGAATTTTTTTCTTTTACCTGATTAGCGAAGCCGATGCCGAAGCCGAGCAGAATCCGGCCGAGGATGAGCATCCAGACGGCCTTAGCGAATCCGTTGACCAGTGCTCCGGCGAAGAAAAGAAGACCGCCGAAGAGCATGGAGAGCTTCCGGCCGAATACTCTGGTCACCGTACTGGCGACGATCGACGACAAAAGCGCAGCCAGATACAGCGACGAGGTGAACATGGTCAGCGTCTGGCTGTCGTACTGGCAGTACTGGCTGACCGTCGCGTCGGCGTGCTTCTTCCGGTACACCGACGGAAAGAAATCCCGCAGAAACGAGTCCATCGACGTCACGCCACCTGTCCAATAAAATCACGCCACGTCAGCATCGATTTTTAGCGACGGAAATTTTTTTATTTCGTCGCCAATTATGGTTTTTTTTACCGTACCGGAGATTCCGATGTCGTAGCCGAAGATGAGGCCGCCCATGGCGGCGACGATGCAAGTGACGGTGACGAAAGGGGTGAGGTTCCCCGGGTACTCCTTACCGGAGCCACCGGGAGCGATTCCGGCCGCCGGCATTTTTTTTTTCCCCTTCTTTTGCCGAGAGAAGTTTGAAGTCGACGGAGGAGGAAAGGGAAAGGGAGATAAGAAGGAAAATGAGAGTGGTAATGGCGTAGTGTATATATATAAAAGGAAAAATGGGGGCAAGCTCATAAAAGTCTTTCCCTTTTTCTTGATACAGCTGTCGTGATTATTTATTTATCACTTATCCTCTTTTATTTTTTTCTTGGTAATGTATGATTATGGTTTTCTGGTTCTTATGGAGTTGTTTTATTTCAGTTTTTCTTAATTTTAGTAATAGTAACTATACCTAATAGTAACTCTATACTCAGTACTCAGTCAGTTTGGTTCGGTTGTAAATTATAATCGTAATTGTTTATTTGATTATTGATTGATTATTAAATAATTTCTGGTCATTGTTAACCATATTGTTTATATCAGTTGGTTAATCGTAATTGTATAATCGATTATAACTTATTTTGTCGATTGATCGACTAATCGTTTAGCAAGTAATCTGCATTTCGTTCTTATTAGGATTGAGAGAAGAAATCGAAGAGTGGGAGGAGGAGAAGAGTAATCAGCATGAATTGGGTGAGCGAAGCTATTAATATAAGAAATTGGTGAGAAGTCTTTGATATAAGAATACTCAGTATTTTATTTCAGAAGATATTTTCTGCCCAAATTATTAAAGGATTATTATTTATGCTGTGTCTAGGGATGGCAATGGGGCGGGTTTGGGGCGGGTTTGCCTAAACCATCCCCATCCCCATCTTCAAATACCCAAACCCATACCCGCCCCATACCCATGTGGGGGAATGTTTTGCAAACCCATCCCCATACCCGTGGGTTTCGGGTACCCATGGGTAATACCCATCCCCGTACATCCAACATTATTATACCTAAAACTTACAAGAAAAGTTTTAATTATAACCATAAACAAACCTATTATATCATGAAGTCAACAAAACACGGTCATTTTCTAAATACGATTCAAAGAATATGATCCTAAAACATCCATTAATACATAATATAGACTACAATATTTTTTAAATTATTATGCTCTAACTCTTGATACATTTACTAAGTAATAATTAACTAACATAATCTTGTTGACAAGGGGGAAAGTGAAAGAGTGGAAGGATAATTGAGGGAAATGAATTAGGTTTTGTTTAAGGTGGTTACTCAATTGTATTTCTACTATTTATTTTCTCAAGTTATCATCATCATCATTGATAGATTACAATTTAATCCACATATTTTTTTATATGTGAAGAAATTCTCTTGGTGGGGCGGGTATGGGTATGGGTATGGGGCGGGGGAGACTAAAACCATACCCGCCCCATACCCATCAAACTTTTTGCGGGTTTTACTCATACCCGCCCCATACCCGGTCAAAGCGGGGATTCCCCGCGTTGACTGGGTCGGGGGCGGTCGGGTACCCGCGGCCATGGGTTTGATTGCCATCCCTAGCTGTGTCCCCTAAAAAAACATCGTCCTTTTTTGCTAGCTGTTGCATTAAAACCCAACCAGAAGTCGGTGCTTACAAATGAATGTATCGGATAAAATTGTTACCTACATTATGTAGGTGGACGGTGATGAAAGCTGAGTCAGCCGAGCTTTTGGCACACTCAGACTAATTAAGGTTTTAAGTTTTAACCTTATCGCCGTTTGGATAACGTAACGTTCGTTCCTTCCTTCGTTCCTTCAAATATCGTGACTTCTCGTCGTTTTATCACATGCTTTTACGCGTACGTATGTGACTGGTGAGCCATGATTTTCTTGACACCATGATTCGCCACCGGTACCACTAGAGTTCCAGTTTCTATTTCCTTTCAAACCAACTTCGGAAACGAAAAACTGATTTATTTCCTTGCACCACCATACTATTGGTTCGGTTATATCCTGTCTAATTGTATCGAGCTGTGTATGGTCAGTTACCACCGGCTGGTTAACCGATAAGAAACCAGACGACCGAATAACTGTTGAACTATATTACCCACCCGTGACTGATTAGGGTATCGACATATGGAAACTTGTTATCATTACTGTAATTGCAAGTAATGATGAGAACTCGGGACTTCTGAAATCACGTATTTTTAAAATAGTGTGCTTCTTAATCGCATGATGTGATCATATGGCCATATGGGGCACACATTTTGTTCTCATTTTTTTCTGAGTCCCTAATGTACCTATATCTAGCTAGAAGCAGTGGCGGACCCAGAAATTTTACAAAGAGGTGTCCTCTTTTAAAAAATAAATTAAATACAAATAATTCTAAAATAATTAATTAAAAATAATATTTAAATAAGAAATACCTTACTCATACAGTCATACAGCTTGAAAAAATTCACGATGTGTTTTCATATTTAAAAATGATTGTAGAACACACTTGGGGTCTACACTGTTCAAAAAAAATTGTCTCTGTATATCATATTAGACAATCATTCACGAACTGATCACATGTTGATTTCTAAACTTGTTCTTGATGTAATCCAAAGCTGAAAAGACTCTTTCAACACTTGTCGTGCAACCATAAATCAATACAAATTAAGGGTAGCTTAAAATTTGTTTAATTGTTAGATTTTGAAAATAATTACAGATAGAGAATGACATTATACTATTACACAGTGTTTAAAATCGAATAACATATGCAGTCATATAGCTAGAAAAAATTCACGATGTGTTTTCATATTAAAAAATGATTGTAGAACACACTTGGGGTCTACACTGTTCAAAAAAAAAATTGTCTCTGTATATCATATTAGACAATCATTCACGAACTGATCACATGTTCGATTTCTAAACTTGTTCTTGATGTAATCCAAAGCTGAAAAGACTCTTTCAACACTTGTCGTGCAACCATAAATCAATACAAATTAAGGGTAGCTTAAAATTTGTTTAATTGTTAGATTTTGAAAATAATTACAGATAGAGAATGACATTATACTATTACACAGTGTTTAAAATCGAATAACATATGCAGTCATATAGCTAGAAAAAATTCACGATGTGTTTTCATATTAAAAAATGATTGTAGAACACACTTGGGGTCTACACTGTTCAAAAAAAAAATTGTCTATGTATATCATACTAGACAATCATTCACGAACTGATCACATGTTCGATTTCTAAACTTGTTCTTGATGTAATCCAAAGCTGAAAAGACTCTTTCAACACTTGTCGTGCAACCATAAATCAATACAAATTAAGGGTAGCTTAAAATTTGTTTAATTGTTAGATTTTGAAAATAATTAGAGATAGAGAATGACATTATACTATTACACAGTGTTAAACATCGAATAGCATATGAGTTGTAGCCTAATGGAAATTATGTTTATTAAAATTGTCCTAAGTTTGAATTACCCAAACATTCACTTATATTCTCATACTCAAACTTAAAGATGATAGTAGGATAATCATTTTTTTAAATTTAGGGGTGTCCCCGACTATCAATTATAATTTTTTTGTCAATACGTAAATTACCACCGGGAGTTGGATAATCGTTTTCCCAAAATTTAGGGGTGTCCGGGGACACCCCCAAACACCCGTGGGTCCGCCCCTGGCTAGAAGTCACCCCAAAGCCAAAAAGAATGGGTTAATTTGCAGCAAATATAAGGTGTTATTTGATTTTGGTATACCTTTCATTTATTTAACTTTAGCCAAGTATGCATATATATATATTAATTCTTGTATATGTCTCATCTTACAGATATCGTATAATTAGAGGCTCAAATTCTAAATATGTCAACATCATATATAGGCTGAGTGTGACTTAAGTGTTGCAACTCTTACATATTACAGATCGGGTTGTGTAATTAATTTATTTTCTAAAGAAGAGATATGTGACATTATTTGTCACCAACTATGACGTTCACTAAGAAAAATGATTGGCAAGCTTACTCAATTCTTGTACTTTAGTAACTAGGTAAATACTATTCGACGGCAGACTCCTACTTCTGCCTTCTCAATTCTTGTACTTTAGGTTATGTCGTGGCTAATGGGTAAAATAAATTATTATCTCTCGTTACTATCTATAATGACTGATTTTCTGTGGTTGCAGATGCACGCTTTGCCCTTATCAGGAGGTTTTGGCTTGTACCTTGCACTTTCGCGAGCAAGGTTGTCAAGCTGGTTTAAGTCATTGAGCCAGTTAAATAAGGAGTTTGAGGTTTAATAGTCTGATCGGGATCCGGCCGGGTTGAGCCGTTATAGACTTTTTTCTAAATATATATACAAATAAGGTAGTAATTAAAGATTTATAATGACTGAAATGAAATTTATCTTATATGGATCTATTAAAAAATTTATTTTTCATAGGTTAAATCTAACTAGCCTCCATGACCCACCCACCATCTCCCTTCCTTGGTTCCTCTTCCTCTCTTCTTCTCCCTCTTTAGGGGTCAGATCGGGGGACTTTCTGAAAGCCGTTTTGTAGCCCAACTTAGATCGGACCGGGTCCAATTAGGGTCCGATAGGGGTTTGACAACCTTTCTTCCGATGCAAAATTTACAATGGTTGATGAACATGACTAGATAGACCCGGGAATGATCATATTTGATTTGTTTGTTTTTTTCTTCGTATGCATGGATTTATTCTATGAATTTAATTAATAAAAAGTTATTTTATTATTTATTTTATGAATTTGAAAGTTAAAAATGATGAGGTTATTTGTTGGATTCAAGTATAAACGTTTAAATATTGATGTTAAATGTTATAGTTAAAAATAATTTCTGTTAAATGTTGTTGTTAATAATAAATATTTGTTATTTTATTTTAAATGTCGTATTTTTTTTAAATATAAATATGAAATTTAAATAAATTATTTTCAAATATTTACATCCGTATCATTGTCCACCCCTAATTCCAGGCCAGTGTGGAGCAGTGGTGTACGTTTTCTTTCTTGTGCAAATGTACAGTTCGTTTAAGCCAACCACTAAATAGCAAGCAAACCTAGATTATGACATCTACTAAACAAGGAGTCGTATATTCGCTATGTAAAAAATAATAATAATAATAATAATAATGGGAACGGTACAAATATTATTGATTGGGATATTATATATATTATATATAAGGCTACAAACACGATTGGTAAACGTCATGCATGCATATTATAGAGCAATCGTATAATTTTGGAGCCACTGTTTTTGTCTAAAAATCTCACGTATATATTAATACGGTGATCCCTATCTACCTGACCGACAGCTAAGTATACAATATTATTAGGAAGCTCTTATCATTTTTTTTTTTACAAAAGATAATTATGTATTGATTCCAGAAAACATAGATAGTTACATTCTGGAGTTAGTCAGATCTGAAAATCAAAGAAACGACTCATAGTCGGGTACAAAGAAAAGGGTCTTTCGAGCCACCAAATGGGCTACCCACCCTATTGCTACACCGGCCTACAAACCAAACACTAAACCCCGTATGGATGGCGAAGTAATGCATAATTTCCTCAAGAATAGCTCCCATCCGACTATCTCTGGTATCCGCCCGAATGATCTTATCAATGATCACCTTCGCATCTCCCTCGAACCTTATGTTTGTGAAACTATGGTTGAGGCACCATAAAATCGCTTCACGGTGTACCAGTAATTCCACCACCATGGGATCATCAATCAACATGAACTGTACCCCATGAGCAAAGAGATTTTTCGAGCATGGTTCATAATGACCATCTCACCTGCCGAATGAGATCCTCTCCTAGTCGATCCATCCCACATACAAACAGCAAAATTAGACCCGTCGGAACTCAAGGGCTGCATCGGAGGGATGGTAGGTTGGGAGATATATATGTTCCACCGGCAAGCTCTCCCACTCCTCATATTGTTGTTTCAGTTGACGCATCAATGCCGGGATCCCAAACTGTTATCCTCAAAGACCACCCAGTTTCGAGACCTCCAGATTCTCCAAAGAACTACGACAGTTCTCATGAACAGCGGCGATTGGTGAATGATCATCATCAATTTTTTGAGGAAAAGTGGTCGGGAAGGTATACTGAGGCAATTCTTGTCCAACATATTCCAGTCTCAAGTAGTCCCATAGGGCTCAAGCTACCGGATAGTCAAGGAACAAATGCTCCATGGTTTCTTTATCGGCCCAGCAAACCGGACACCTGGGAAGCACAAGAACCTTCTTCTCGATTAAAGCTTCTGTGGTTGGCCGGATGCGGTTAAAAATTTGCCAGACAAATACTTTCAACTTGGACAGGATATTAGCCTCCCACAAACGAATCCAGATGGCTCTATCCATCCAGCTCGCGGTGAACCGCCAATGACCTCTATGCTTATCTAAAAAGACTGCAAAATGATAGGTCGATTTAACGGGGAAAATCCCCTCAGTCGTTGCATGACATATCAGCTTATCCTCAACATTCTGTCTAGAAATGGGAATAGTTTCGATAGCCTAACAAGTGTACGAATCAAACCACTGACTGAGTTTCGGGTCGCACCCCCCTGACAAATAACCTCAGCTACCCGGGGGTCGCCCCCGCAGGCAACACCTGAGGATTATAAACCGGGGTATCGGGATGCAGTCGCGGAATCCAGTTGGGCTGAAGAAGAGAAACTGTCTAGCCATTACCAATTTGTCATCTTAATCCTAGGTCCAACAACTGTCGGGCATAGAGGATACTCTGCCAACCCCAAGAAGGCCGAGAGCGGGCTTTAGCAGCGAGGAAGGTCCACGATGGAAAATACTTGCATTTGTACACTTGGGATAATAGAGATTGTGGTTCATTAGGAATGCGCCAGCCAAATTTGGCTAAGAGAGTTTGATTGAAATGCTCGAATCTTCTAAACCCCATACCCCCCTCATGCTTACTCTGACACATATAACGCCAGGATAACCGACGATCCTCCGCTGACCCTCCTCCACACCCCACCAAAATCTGGCCACATGTTTGTCCAACAGATGGCACAGAGAGAGAGAGGTAGTTTAAAACAGGACATAATATGCAACGACAAAGGTAAAGCGGCTGATTTAATCAAGGTCTCTTTTGCGGCCCAAGACAAAGTCCTTTGCTTCCAACCTTGCAATCGTTCCAACAGCTTTTCCTCTAAATAGTGAAACGTAGCCAGTTTCGAACGAGCTATCAGAGTAGGTAAACCCATATACTTATCATGAACCCCTACAGCCCCAACACCCAGAATCGGAGCCAGAAACTCTTGGTCCGGCAGAGAAATATTCTTGCTAAAGCATACTGTCGATTTGGCCAAGTTCACCCGTTGGCCGCTCAGCTCTTCATACTCATTTAACACCTCGATCAAATTCTCATATTCATGAAGTGAAACCTATATGAATAAATAAGAATCACCTGCAAAAAACATATGAGAGATCCGAGGAGCGCAAGGGGCTACTTTCACTCCTTCAAGTTTTCCTTCCGTAATTGTTTTACCGAGGAGGGCCGCAAACCCCTCTGTACAGATCACAAACAAGAGAGGAGAAAGAGGATCCCCTTGCCGGAGTCCCCGAGAAGGTGAAAAGAAACTTGAAGGAGTGTCATTCATAAGGACTGAAAAATATGTTGATCAGAGACATTCATGGATCCAATCCCTCCAGGCAGAGTTAAAACCCATTTTTTTCCAAAACCACTAGCAGAAAGGACCAATCGACTCTATCATAGGCCTTTTTCATGTCAACCTTCAAGGCCATGTATTCTTTCTTACCATGAGTTTTGATTTTCAAATAGTGCATTAACTCATGCCCAAGGAGGATATTATCAACTATTTGTCTCTCACGGATGAAAGCATTCTGTCCTGGCGAGATGATCTGAGGCAGGAGACCAGCCAGCCTTTCAGCCATGATTTTAGTAATGATCTTGTACACAAACTGACAGAGGCTGATCGGACGTAGTTGCTTCATGTTCTCCACATTATCTACCTTTGGAATTAAGGTCAACCACGTGTGATTAAAGCTCTGGAGTATCCTACTCGATTAGATCTGCATTGGCCTATAAGTTTTATTTTAAGTAAAAATCTTAGGGCTCACTATTTTGTTCCTTCACCCTTTGGGTAGCGACTTGATAGAAATTTTGAGTCTTGATTTATGTCAACTAATCGAAACCAAACGAAAGAGATTTAAGAATGCTGGAGCTTATCGTAGAAGGAAACAAGTAATTTTAGAGATTTTTCGTAATGGAGCTTCAACTCCTCAAAGAACTTATCAAAAATTATCAATTTAAGCTATTGATTCATATAATGTTATGGAACTGTTTTTTTTTTTTTTACGAACTATGGAATAGCTAGGCGTCCCAACTCCCACCAATCTGTATTGTATATTATCTTGGGTCCTCCTCCCATCTGAGAGACCTTGTTTGCAAAGTAGAGCAAAATGGATATGGAGATAGTAATGGCAATGGGGCGGGCAGAGCGGGTACCTCAATTTCCATGCCCCGTCTCACGCTACTACGGGTCAGAGCGGGTAAAACCCGCGCGAGTAAGGGGTGGGGCGGGTCGACCCACTCTTACATGTTGTTCAAAAAAAATACAAGTAAATTTTACTTTTTACAATAAAACGTATGGAAAAACACTTTAAGAATGAAAATTATTGATAATAGAATGGATAATTGAGCCTAACGAGTTGAAAGATCGACTCTAACTAGTTGAAGAAAAATCAAAATAGGAAAAATATGTATAGATATTGTAAGAAATTGAGATAAAATGAGTCTAAAACGGGGCGGGTCGGAAGTAGATACCCATGCCCCGCCCTACACTACTGCGGATCGGATAATACCCGCGGGGCGTGTTGAAATTGCCATCACTATATGGAGTCAGTCAATAATACATTCACACGTCGATTCTGTGTTTTCGACACCTTAGTATATCATTCACTCTACTTCATCAACGATACTGACTAAATATTATTATTAACCATGCATGCTTAAAAATGAATTATAACTTCCAACTTCTAAATAGTTCTAATCGTGTATCCAGCGCCAACTCCTGACATTCAAAATACATTGATTTCACAAATCATCATGTTGTTCTAGTGTATCTCATGTAACTGATCCAATTATGTGAAAACCCACATCACTATTGCTACAGACCAAAACACTGTATTCTATAACATTTGCATCAAATTCTAAGTTCTAACAAATCCCAATTACAAAAACACATGATGTACTCTAAAATAAAGCTTGCCAAACGACCACATAAAAAGCCATATTCCTGTTCAAGTCCAATCCGGCAAAAACATGGACAGACATGAAAGCAAATAATGCCAGAACAAAAGCATGCATCCTCACCACGTTCACTCTTGGCAACCAACTTTGGACCAACAAAACAGCCACTCCCTCTCCTTCAGCCAACGCAAAGCTAATGCGGCTGAACACCAGTAACAATGCCTGTATCCTGTCTGGTTCAGTGTATGCAGTATCCCCTTTCTCCAAATTCCCATCAACTTAGGAAGATAAATGTAGATAGCCGTGGCCTGTATTTTCGGTGACACTCACACGATGATGAGGATCGGGTCTTCTTTTATCGTAACCTGCAATGGAATCTTGGCTGGCTTGTTCGCAGTCATCCCGTGTTGATGAACTAGATGATATGTTCTGATGCTAACTCTTGAGTTTCTTCTCTTCTACTGGAAGAGTGTTCTTAAAAGAAGCTCCATGAATGGATGGGAGTGGACTTCAGCCCTTTCCTGTAGCTGTTTGTAGCTTCATGACTTCATGGAACGGCACCCTCCCAGCAGATTGACAAGATTAAGCAAATACTTGGCAAATGCTGTCTTCGAGGCCTTTCAAAACCATTCCTCGGAGCAAAGCTTGGTGAAGCATCCTCGCTCTGTTTTTACAAAAATAATTTACTAGCCTTTATTAGGCAAATAATATGAGGATTGACGAAGGGGAAAGAGTAGACAAATTATGAGTGAAAAGAGAGAGAGAGAAAAATAAGAGTTACTAACTGATGATTTTCAAAGACTAGAGAAGGTGAGCACGGAGGGAGGAGCATCTCGTCTTGGCCCAGCAACTGTCCGATAAACATAAACCTTATCCGCCTTACAATCATCACTCCCTTCTTCCTTCATCACTTCAACGTTCAACCTTGGCATCTGTCTGGCCAAAGCCTTACAACCATCAACCGTCACATTACAAGCCGACATCCAAAGCGACCTCATTGACTCGTACCTCTCCAAACCGGAAAGCAATGCTGCATTCCCAAAAGGACAGTCCCTAATCTCCAACTTCTTCAGCTTCGAACAACCCTCCATAACATACTGCATCCCGAGATCACTGCTTCCGGCAAAGGCCACTGATAAAGCCTCCAAGTTCTTGGCGTACTCGCCTATGTACTTGAATGTGAGATCGGTGAGGAGACCCGAGATGGAGAGTCGCTTTAGCTTCTTGCAGGTTTTTACGACAGCGCCGAAGGCCTCGTCCATTGGTTGGTTTGTGGTATGGTCTGGTTGGCCTGGGTTCATGATGCAGAGGCGGAAATGGGTGAAGTCTGGGCAGTTCCGGACCACGGTGGCCACTGCTGCGTTTGTCATTTGGCGGCAGAAGTAGAGGATGTAATGGAGCTTGGGGCAGCCCTGGGAGACCGCAACTATGCCTGACTCAGTGACCGTATGGAGCATGTCCTCGTCGAAAGGATCGGTTGGGAACACGCGGATTTCTTCGAGTGATGGGCAGTTGGCTCCCACTGCTTCAAGACCTCTGTCTCCCACTGAGTCCAGTACCTGCGTTTGAACGTCAACCATAAAATTATTAGTTCAGTGATAACAGGGAGTGAACACTGAGATGAACTATATTAGATTGCATAGTAAAACAAGAAGACTAGAGTTGCCATTCTGCATTACCAAACCAAATGCTGATAACAGCTTAAGGAACAATCCCTGGTTATCAAACCAAACATGGTGAAATACATTGTAATATGCATACTTGTTTGCTATCAAAATGGTTGACCAATGTCACGCTAACGATTCCTGCTTTACCAGACAACCCCTAGTGAAATGCAATGCTCTATGCCTACAGAAAACTAAGGGAGAGACCAGGAGGCCAAAGGGTCTTTCATAGTACTCACCCAAAGGCGACGAAGACATGGGCAGTGAGGAAGAAGACTAGCAAGCTCCTGACTCTGCAAAGCGGTGTAGCTTAAGTTCAAAAAACTCAGCCCAGAGCAAGCAGGGTAAACAGCTGATAGATTCAGTGCCGTTGCATCCCAAAACCCAGAAAGAACAGTTAGATTCTTGCAGAAACCGAAAGCATGTTTGAGCTCCGCATGCTGCTGCGGAGTGAGCTCTTGAGAGAAAGAGCCAGCCCCCAGTTCAGTCAACTGAGGCGCAGAAGTGAGCAACCTGTGCAGGCAATCCAAGGAGCTACTCCTGTTCAGTTTCAAAACCTTCAACGATCTACACCTGCTCACGAGCCTCTCGAGCACCCCGGGGTTCACATCGGTGATCAGGTTGGAGAAGTTCAGAACTTCCAATGTGCTGAAGTTATCAGGAAAGCAGCTCAGCCATTCCCCACTCAAGTCCTCTATCCCGTTCTCTTGTATATCCAGCTCAATCAGATTCCTGTGAAAAGCAAAAGCAAGAGGGAAAACCCATCTCAAGAAATTGAAATTTGATCCCTTATCAATGATCGATTGATCCAGGATGCATCACATTGGGTACTCAACTCGGCACTAAGATGACTAAAACATCAAATTCCACCTAATAAATAACTAATGAAACAGATCAGATCTGGAATCGCAACTAACTAAGCAGAGCTCAGATCTGGAATTGAAACGGGAATCCAAGGAATCGACTGAGGCTTACTTGCAATGAGTGGCGACGGTGGCGAGTCCGCTGGTGCTGAATCCGTCGCAGCTCAAGAGAGACAGAGCTCTGAAATTAGGAAAGTTGAGCGCCAAGAACTCCAAGCTCTCATCGGTAACCCTCATTCTCTTCAGCCTCAGCTCCTCGAGGAACGGAGACCCGGAGGCGAAGACCAGGAGCCAGGACTGGACGTCGGCGCCCCAGTTGTCGGGGACGAGATTGAAGTCGGAGAACCGCGGCTTCCCCTTGAGCGTGACGCTCCGGATCCTCGGGAACCGGCGGGCGACGATCTCCGGCGAGACGGAGTAGCAGTTCCCGATGAATACGTGGCGGCGAGACCAGCTGTCGGCGGTGTACCAGTCCTTGCAGACTAGGGAAACGGCGTTGCGGTCCTTGGGAGACTTGAGCAGGGTGAGGACTCGCTCGAGGACCTCGTCGGGGAAGCGAGTCGACTCAGCAGCCGGGATGCTCTGCTTCGGGGTGAGATCCATGGCGGAGATCCCCCGCCGTGGGGAGAAGATGGGAAATGCGGAGGAGGAGAGATTTCGAGTCAAAGCTTTCTCTCTCTCTTTCTTGGTGAAGTCTCTCACTTTCTCTTCTGCAGGTGAAGAGGATAAGTGGGGAGGGTGGATGATGGGCTAAAGAGCAAAGGGCCAAATGTGATGTCTGGAGAAATTTTCTTTTTTCTTAGTAACCAACAAAAAGTAGAATTATTGGTATCTACGTGAAAAATGGAGATTGGATGAATAGGTAAAGAAATAGGCATGCAACGGTTTAACCACGAAATATTGGTATTAGAGGTAAAAATGGTAGGCGATATTTAACGATATTATGGTTGAACTGTGGTTAAACTACGATTTTACCATAAAATACCATATCGTTGACTTTCCCGGAACGGTTTCATGGACCATGGAAATGGGAAGAAGGGAAAGGGCCAAATAGGAATCACAATGAATCGGATCGGTGCGGATAGTGTAATACCTTATTCCAAATAATTTGAGTTTTATTCATATTTATATTCACATAAGAATAAGGTGGAAAATTAAAATCATATTCATTTTAATTGAATCATTTTGGATTTCCATGATTATATCCATCCATGAATAATAAATTATAAATTCAAGCAACATGTTAACATCCACATGTATGCTCACATTAAATAAATAGAAAAGTACTATGATAAATCACTAGAATGAAGAAAAATTAATTAAATACAACACAATTTCAAGATAATATTTTATATGTATGCTAAATATCAAATATACTGAGAAAATGGTCATTATTTCTAGCATGCATATTTTTGGGGAGTTCTACGGGTATGCGGTATTTCGGATTTCACCCGAGATACCGTAGAAGGCACCATATATATATGTACAATCGGACGAGTTCAAATTAGATAGTGAGAAAATTATGTTCATCCATTATCGAGCTATCGAGTTTTAGTTTTACCATATTCTTGGCAGACTGTGGGGCCAAAGGCGGAAAGGAAAAAGAACAAATGAGGGACAAAGAAGAAAGAGAGGAGGTAGGCTTGAAGGGGGATTGGAGTCAATTAGTTATAAATATAAGGGTAATGTCTATTTTGTATCCAAATATTTTTTGGATTTTTTTCATTAGCAAAATCTATCGAAATGCTAAGAATTAACCAAATATAAGGGTAATGTCTATTTTGTATCCAAATATTAACTTTTAGTTAGCAATTTTGTTAGTAATATTGACTTGGCAACATGATAATGACTTGGAAAAGACACATGAAGGTCAACATTCCAAAATTTTAGAATTTTAACTTAGAAAGAGTTACAAAATTATTAACGATGACATAAAAATGACTAATATTTTGATGCATTACGAAGGATTTAGTTAATTAATATCATTTTAATAGGATTGGATAATTTAAAAGAATCTAAAAAAAGTTTGGATAAAAAATAGACATTATCCTAAATATAATGATATACTAACTCACAATTCACAAAAGGGTGCTTATAAAAAAAAACTCACAAATGGGTAGTTTTGGTGGTGTCATTAATAATAGTGGACAAGTGAGTCATGGATTTTCTTTCCAAGCAATGACAATACAAGTGAGTCATGGTGTGTGTTGATTTTTTTTTTTTATGGTTGAAAAGTGTTGCTTTTTTTTTTTGTTTGCTCTATCAAAACATGGATAGGAGCCCAATCATGATATTATTCCAATTCGTTCCAGAGCGGACATGAAATTGAAGCTAAAGTTTCATTCAAAGCTTTCAAATTAGCTTAAGAGTATGGTACTATTAGTACTCTTTTTGTTGTAGATTGTGAAGTATATGTTTGGGCTCTCTTGTTTGGTCCATCTTTTGTGGACATGGCATAGTGAGTAACATTTAATCTAACTTCCAAAACACAATCTGTATATCAAGGTGGAACTAGTCTCTAGGGTTTTCATCTTTTGAGATTGGTTCGTTCGTTCACTTGTCACCATCTCTCTCATTTAACTGGATTAATATTTTATATCATTAAGTAATTCTATTGTAATTATCTTCGTTCTCTCTTAAAATTATTGATTTTTGGTGAGACTAAACTAAGGCAAGCATATCTATCATTTGAAAGTCGTACAGAGCAAACAAGGTCGTATCCCACAAATATTTTGAATGCTAGTAATTAGCCCCTTTTATATTATCTAACCGACGCAATTGAGTGGTTTGAATTAAACTAAACTACTATAAATCGATACGTGAATTCTCATATCATGCTTCACCCTAATTGAGAGGTCTTATGTGGTCATATGCCCTATCAATCCAATCAATCACTTCTATACTTAAGTGTAATATCATGCAATGATCAGTGGCAGAGCCAACATTATTAAGTATCGGTGTCCTCTCTCATGAATATAAATGTTTAATTAAATATAAATAAAACTAATCATATTCAAACAATTAATTCATATATAATAAGAAATATCCGACTAATATGATCAATGATTTTTCAAACAACCATGACGTATTTTCATATTCTGAAAGAAATGCAAAAATACATTAGTTGTCTACACTCTTAAGTAAATCTTTTTCCATGTATTCAACTGCTCTGCAATTCGACTTCGAAATTTGTTCTTAATATAACTCAAAACTGAAAAATGCTTTTTTTTACATTTGCAGTTGCAACAGGAAGAGTCAAAACTAACTTCAAAAGATAGAGAGATCCAGTTTGGGGTGTATCTCAATTGGGATTTTTGTTTATAGTGTGATAAATTGATTTATATTAGCTTTTAAATGTAAAATAAATTATAGTATAGTGGCAAAATACTCTTGTTTCACAGAGAGATTGCCCCTGCCCCTGCCCTTCCCCGAGCAATCTCAATCTTGTGATTCACTATGATGTGTCATCTTTGAATGATCCCCAGGCAGCAACTCATGGTCTTGTATGTGTCAGGAGAGTTGAAACTTGAAACCATGCTTTGTTGCTGCTTTGTTGGTTGTGGAAGCAAGAGGAGCTTGATGTCACTCTGTTTTGGCACTTGTGACTGTGATGACCTATGTTGCTAGTTTTGTTCAATCTTTCTCGTTGGTTTTGTGGTTTTTCTTTGGCAATGATTGCTCTTCTGGACATTAAAGATCCACTATCACCTTGCTTATCCCTAGGGGATAGCCAATTAGCTTATAACAGGTCTCGTGTATGTGACCAAGGCGCTCATGCTCCCCCATGCCACAATCGCGCTCCCCCGTTGCTCGACCACCCTTATCGGACTCACCACGAGCAATAAAAGCAGCGGCTTCCAAGGAACGACGTTTCTGTGTGATGAATTTCTATTGTTCATCATTGAGAACTAAGTGAAAGGCCTCGACAAGATTAGAGGTAGGCCGCATAGCTAAGATATGTATACGAATAGGACTAACCACCTCGTCCAACCCCATCAAAAAATTGAAGAGCGGAGAATGCTCTTGATGTTCACGAACACGACGACTGACATCGCACGTGCAAAGGCCACAAGTAAGGCTGGAAGAGGAGTGATGGCAGTCGCCTCCTCCCACAGAGATCGCAAATGTGTGTAGAAGGCCGAAACAAAGGTCTTCTCTTTTCGGAGAAGACTAGTGAGGCGTTGGAGTTCATAGGCACGTGAAGAGCTGCCTTTACCGAACCTCTCCCGCAAATCAGCCCAAATTGCCTGGGCGGTTTCCGCAGAATGAATGTTGTTGTGGATCTCCTTGTCCATAGAAGTCTTGAGCCAACCCTTAACCATCGCATCACAGCGAATCCAAGTACTGCATTCTTCTCCTATAGCAGGCTTCATGAGAGAACCATCAACAAAAACAAATTTATGCTTAGCAATCAAAGCATCCTTCGTGTCTAAAACTCACTCACCGTAATTCAAAGCCGTGAGAGCTTCGCCCATGAGCATATAACCGGGGCCATCCCAACTGTGCAACTGATAGACGGATGGGAGGGCGGCTCGTGCATGGCAAGAGATGCGGTGGACCACATGGAGGGGAGAGACTTATCTTCCGAGCCGACCATGATGAGCAATGAACAGTACCCCGGACCTTTGAGCTCTGATATCATGTAAAATAAATCGAGACTCTATATTTAAAGTGGTTCTTCCTCACGTTGTGTGAGGCTTACATCCATGGGAAGAGGTAGATTTTTTAGGTTTTTCTTAATCGGTTGTATGCCAAAATACAAGTTTTTATAACCCTATTGTTGCAATCACCTAGGGTTAACGAAAACCACCACTATCAGCTTCCTTGGAGGAGACGGACGACTGATTATGGGCCAATACTATATGCAACTTGAGAATGGCAACGGCTCGGGTTGGGGTTAGATATTGCATATCAATTACTTTACCCAAAATAGTTTGGGTTTTGCTCATACCCGTACCCTTACAAGAATCGAGTAAAAGCGAACGAAGGCTTTGCCTAGTGGTAATACCACTAGTCTTGAACCTGGAGGTCGTAGATTTCAATCCCTTCAGTAGCATCTAATTATAAAAATCAACTTATGTCACCCTTATCTAAAAAAAGAATCGGTTAAAATATCAAAATCATACTCATATCTAATCGGGTTTCGAGTATTCACGGTTTACCAGGGATAATAATTTCTCTTTATAACTTCAACCAGCATGTTAACAGTTACACATATACTGACATTACATAAGTGAAAATTATAACAATAAATTACTAAGATGAATAAAATTAGCTAAAATTAATTCAATTTAATAAAAACAATTATATATGTATGATAAATATAATATATGTTGATAATTTTTAAACAAAACACATATGCATGTAAATAATCGACGGATTCGAGTTAGATAGCAAGGAAAACGTTGCCCACTCACTACCCATAATATTTGAATTCGAACTTTACTCATATCCATTATAAAATCTTTCAAGTTCGAGTTTTACTCGTACTAGAAGTTTTGAATTCAAACAACCGAACTACAAACATAAAAGTTTCTAATACTTCAAGTAGCAAAAAGACACTGACACTAGAATAAAAAAAAGGAAGACAGCCTACCATGGTTAGAAAATAGCTCCAAGTTCTAACATCTAGTGCCTATAATAAAATAAAATAAAAACCTCATGCTCGCCAGCAGGGGACACCATGGATAGGTTACCACATGGCCGGCCATGTTATCCAAAGAACGAAAACATAATTTACCCCTTTCCCCTCCCCAAATTTCAATGGACGATATGAAAAAACTATTCGTTTGGATGAGAAATTATAACGGGACAATTGATCTCGTTTTGAGATAATTATACCAAATTGTCTCGTTTGTCAGCCAGCCATTTTGAGTCAATTTCAATTACCTGGAGTGGGGCAGGTAATTCGAATTGACTCGTTTTAATTGCGTCGTTTATAAAACGAGAAAATTGATCAAATTGACTCATTTCTAGATTGATCCATCCAAACTAACATATCCCTGTTCAATCCGGCCGGCATACATGAAAGCAAAATAATGTACAACAAAAAGCCGAGCAGCAGCAGCAGCAGGGTTTGTGTTTTCTAGTGAGAAAGGGAGGGAGACTGACACTTCACATCCCCACCATTTCGTGGCTCATTCTTTGCCAACGCCTTTGGACCTAACAAAATCAACCAACCTTCTCCTTCAGCCAGCCACCCACCCAGCTCCCCAAACTAATCTCAATCAACCAAACGACGGCTTCCCACCAGAAACCATGTTTGTGGTTGCAATTCATGGTTAGCCATGGCCTGTATTTGGTGACACTCCCATGATGATGATGATGGGTCTGCATTTACCTTAGGCAGCAACTGGATCGCGGCTAGCTAGCGAGGATGTGGGTTGCTTCTCTTCTTCTGGATTTCAATGCTAGAACAGAGATACAACAAGATGCAGAAGACTTGGCTCGCAATGGCATGGCCGTGGTTACTTGATGGGATTTCAGCCCTGCTTGTCCCTAGTTGATAGCTTCCTGATCACTTTCATGGAGTTGCCGCCAAACCAATCCTCAGTTTTGTAACGAAGCACGGTGAAGCAACGTCACTCTGTTTTTGCACAAAGCACGGTGAAGCTCGGTCACTCTGTTTTTCCAATGTGTTGAAGTTGTCAGGAAAGCAGCCCCAGTCATTCCCCACTCGTGTCCTCGATCCCGTTCTCTTGTATGTCCAGCTCAGTCAGATTCCTGAGAAAAAGCAAAAGCAACAGCCCAACTCAGCAAATTGGAAATTTGATTCGTAATCATGATTAATTCATCCGGGATGCAGCACCTTGGATACTAAACTCTGTACCAAGACAATTAAAAAAGATCGAATATGATGGAACTGTAATTATTTCCACATGTATTAGGCCATAATGACGAATGATAGCATTATTATAACTACTATCAGGGCAACAATGGTTTTTCTTCAAGAGAGGGAGGAAGTTTTTTTGTGATATTTGTCAAGAGAATGACATCAAGTACATGCCATGATTCATTATTATTAATGCACATTATTTAGGGCCATACGTCACATCTCAGAAAAAGGAAACCAAACATTTTTTTTTAATCCGAGGACAAAAAAGTGAAGAAACGAGAGGAGGGAATAGGATTAACTGCAGCCAAACAGAAAAAGGTTTTCTTCTCTCTCGACATTTTCCCGGAAAATTGAACGAAACGAAGAATCGCAAAATTAACGAAGCAGAGCAGCTCGGATCTGGAATTGAAATCGGGTTGAAGCTTACTTGCAATGAGCGGCGACGGCGGTGCTGAATCCGTCGCAGCTGTGGAGAGACAGCTTTGAAATTAGGGAAGCTGAGAGCCAAAAACTCCAAGCTCTCGTCGGTGACCCTCATTCTCTTGAGCCGGAGCTCCTGGAGGAAAGGATGCTTGGAGGCGAAGAGCAGGAGCCAGGGGCGGACGTCGGCGCCCTAGTTGTCCGGGACGAGGTTGAAGTCGGAGAATCTGGGCTTCCCCTTGAGCGTGACGCTCCGGATCCTGGGGAACCGGCGGGCGACGATCTCCGGGGAGACGGCGTGCGGTCCTTGGGGGACTCGAGCAGGGCCAGGACCCGCTCCAGGACCTCGTCAGGGAAGAGCGTCGGTTCGTCGGAAGAGATGCTCCGCTGCTGCTTTGGGCTCCGATCCATGGCGGAGATCCCCGGAGGGGAAATGGTGTGAGAGAGAGAGATTCGGAGTCGGAGGTTTTTCTCCACCCCATACTTATATCGGTCCCATAAAAAATATTTATTTCTCATATAAAAAATATATGTATCAAATTGTAACATATCAATAATAGTGTAATAAAATAAATAATAGAAATATAATTGAATGATCATCCAAATCAAAATCAAACTCCTTTCCCTCATTTCTGGCTCCATTCTTTCACTTGTCCCTCTAGTTAACAAGATAATTAAGTTAGTTAATTATTACTCAGTATATGTATCATAGTTAGAGAATAATAATTTGGAAAATATTATCATAGTTAATTGATGTTATATGATCATATGATTTGAACCGTATTAAAAATGATAATATCTTTCTTGACTTATTGTTATAGTAGGTTCGCTTAGTGTTATAATTTAAAATTTATATGTAAATTCTTAAGTATAATAATGTAAAATGTAGGGGAAAAGTATTATTCACGGGTATGGTGATGGGTTTACAAAATCTTCCCCGCATGAGTATGGGACGGGTACAAGTTTGTATATTCAAAAACGGGAATGAGGATGGTTTAGACAAACCTGCCCCAAACCTATCCCATTGCCATTGCTACCCATGTCCATGGTACCCGACTGCCCCCAACCCAATCAATGAGGGTATTCTAACTTTTCGTTTTTAAGTACTTATCCAACTCATTCCTACTCAATTCCGCTTGATATTCTAACTTCCGACTTATCGACTTGAGCTCCGATATCTGGTTGGACCATCGATACGATATGGTTTCACAAATACTACTAAATTTTCCATTTCAACACTCAATTTGGCTCAAAATCTTTTTTTTTTTCTTCTACTAATTTATTTTATTTTATGAATGGCTAGTTATTATATATTGAATGTGAGCAACATGAAAGATTTATACCTTTTTATCAAGCAGGAGAAAATTGGTTCTGACGGGTTATCAGGATCCTTAACCATACCAAACCACTTAAACCGAATCAACTAAGAATATTAACCAAACTAATTTAACCCAATGCTATAGATTAAGATGGTTAGGATGATTTTGTCATCCTTAGAACTGTCATACTCTCAATTGAATATCAATTTGCCTTTCAGATTTAGTTGGTTGGACTAGATTGTCACTATTTATCTAACATGTTCCACAATCCTGCCTCTCCTAGGGATGGGATTAGGTGCTAACCCTTATAGGGGTTAGCACCGTGATAACTCGCAAAAATCACTACGGATTATTATAAAATCAATACAACATCTAAACTAAATCACTACTAATTCAAACTAGTAGTAGTTTTTCGCTTGGTTAGGACGGTGCTAACTATTGTACAATTAGCACCGTAGCCGTTCCCGCCTCTCCTACCCAACAGTCCATCATTTCAGGGACCTAATTATTAGTCCTCTGAGTATGATTGATTTGAGTCCTGAGCTGACTTATTTATTTTATATATGAACTCTTCCTTCAATTCAAATGGTTAATTATATGCTAAATTCTTTTAACTGTCCATTACAAAATTTCATGAGGATCTGCAGGACAAAATTAAAGACAGTAATCAATTTCTTGATACGAGAGTGACCATTCCAACGATCAAGTTCTACAAGTAAACACTTGATAATGACACAGCACATCGAGATGAGGGCGATAGAAGCAATTAAGAAGAGGTCTATGGTGATTTTTGTCAATTGCTTATGAAATTTGTTGTTAGAAGTCGATATCACTTTAAGAACACAAGAGATCAAGTTTAAGATGGAGAATAAGAGATTGATTGCTGGATACTGTTAGGTTTATACGTAGGACTGTTAATGAGTCGAGCTATTCGTGAGCGCTCGGTTTTGAACTCGATAAAATCTCGTTCAATTAAAAAAAAAGCTCGGCTCGTTAATAAACGAGCCGAGCTTGAGCTCTACCTTGTTCGGCTTGTGAAGCTCGTGAACTAGCTCGATTAGGTGGCTCGTTTAATACAATTCATGAACTGTCTCGTTTTGAGATGTCCCAACATTGTGACTAGAGAGCTAACTCGACTACAGCTTATGAGAAAATCAATCTATATTTTATGAGTTGGTTTGTTAATGATGCATATAATTATTAAATTATATATATATCACCTTATATGGTGTTTAATACATTGAGTATATGTAAGCAAATACGTCTCATATATGACATAACATTAGGTAATCACTTGTTTCACATATGACATATAAATATTAGGGTATTTATATTATAAATTATCTTAGAGTTGAGCTCGATCCGAACTTTCGATCTTAACGATGTGTTAAGATTTAATAAATGAGCTGGCTCGTATTCGACTCGGCTCGTTTATAAACAAGCCGAGCATGAACAAGACAAAACTCGATTCGGCTCATTAACAACCCTAGTTATACGGCACCTGATATTTTAACAAAACCTCATATATACTTTAGATTTATCCCTTAAATGGGGGATGCAAACCATTGACCAAAAGAGCAGTGAAAAGTTGGTAAAAGACGTTTCATTCTCAAACATGTTAAATAACTTAACACGAATTTTATGGCTCCTGTACTAAAAGCTTATAATCTCACGTAACAGACGTTCGTTATATATAAAAACTTCTATTAAAGTAGTATTAGACACACCATTAGTTTAAAAATAAAAATAAAATATTTGTAAGTATTTTATACAATAACTTATTGGTACCATATTTTACTAATGTGATACGCTCAACTTTGTTTTTCAAAGTTGATATCTTGTTGGGCTTAATAATAAGTATGGAAAAGGGCCCACCTGACGAGACTCGAGAATAAACTCGCAAAGCTTCGGTCCAATACATTTCCGATTCCACTAGGCCGCTACAGAAGCCCAAAACTTAACGATGTTATATGTTCACTCCAGAAACTTTCTTTGCCATTATTTTAGCAAACCTGCTAGAACCAGTCTAGTTATTCTGCTAACTTGAAAATTGGTTAGTATATACTAACTAATATCCAAAATGTATAAACTAATATCTAAGTCTGTTAAGCATTTAGATAGCACAGACTAGTATTTAAAACATCACAAACTAATATCCAGATAGTAGATACCAACTAATATCCACAATCAACAAACTAGTATTCAATATGGATACTCTTATGTGTTATCTGGATACTAATTATGTGTTGTTTGGATACTATTCTCTGTTGTCTAGATATTAGTTTGTGAATTTGGGATAATAGTTGATTCATGGTGGATATCAATTAGCAAACTTTGAATACTAGTTCGTGCTCTCTAGATACTTTAGTACTTGGATATTAGTTTATGTATTTTGGGTATCAGTTAGTATTTGTTAACGAATCTTCAAGTTAGCAGATTAACTTTCCTCGCTGGAACTCCTTCCACTAATGAATTGCTTACTTGAAATGTCGGCGGCGAAGGAACTTGTTTGTTTGAGACACTTGAACTTGTTTTCTCTCGAATTAATCAGAATGATCCAACGACTAGAAAGTTAAATAAAGTAGCAATTGTGTCGTTCGGAGTGCATGAACATATACAAGGAAAGTATTGTGTCGTGATAGGTTGTCATTATCCATATGAAAGGTTGTATTTATCAATACGAATTAGAATATTAGTTCGGTCAGTCTAATTCCAAACCGATTGATCGGTCCAACTCAAAACCAATTTGACTTGATTAGTCCGATTCAACCAAATTTCCAACAACTAGTTACGCAGAATCAATCACTTCTATGGTTGATTGACCTCCTAAGCCCATATCAAGTTTCTTAGTAGATTGATATTAAATGCCTCAGTTAAATCTTAGATACGATGTGATGAAATTAAGTCTCAAAACTCAAACACTTTGGATAGAAACAATATTTATCTGTCGGTTTACCTAACTCAACTGATAAACGTGAAGGTGTAATTGTTTCCTAATCAGTCTGGTCAAAGGTTCAAAATTTCGGTTGGCTATATTGTTGAATGGTGACTCAAATGGAGAACCAAATCCAGTCCTCATAGTCGTAGGAGGAGGCTTGCTGAGTTTATACATGGCAACGCTGGAATGGCAAAAATGGAAAACAAAATGTAGAAAGTAGAAACCAGTAATTGCAGAGAGGAAGCAAACCAACAAAAACCATGACAAACGTGGGGAAGGTTACTGCTCCCTGCAGCTTTTGCCTACTGGCCGCTGCATTACCCATTAATCGTTTCCGCGACTGAAAACGCTTCTTCCCGTTTGACTACTTCATCTTCTTCAAATTCCAAGGGAAGAACCCTCGTTCCTCTTTTCCCCTCCCTAATCCATTCCGCTCACGGTTTCGCGGGCTGCCAACAGAGTGGCGGAAAAGAAAGAAGAAGAAGAAGAAGAAGGTCAAATTTGTTCAGCTACCAGTCTCTGTAATTTCCTTCATTTTCCCAATTCACAGACGAATTTTTCCATTGCTTGTGTTTCCCGTAGAATTTCTCCCCTCCTCAATTTGTCGGTTTTCCCCTGACCCCATTTTCGGTTTCGCATTGCTGCAAGAAAAAGTTTGCTGCTTTGCAAACCTTCATGGCCCTGAGAGCTGCGGAGTCCATCTGGGTCGGCGGCCTGTTCAACCCTCGTCCTGATTCACTCGGGTCGTATGCGAGACCCGGGTTCGTTGCTGTGGGTCGTGATTCGGGGCCGGATAGGCTGTTTGGGAATTGGCAATGCTGTTTGTCGGTGGTTCGGGCTCAGAAAAGTGTCACTCAGGTCGACGATGAGAAGCCGCTGACCCCTGAAGCGGCGAAACCTGTTGGGGTAACAACTCATGGCGACAAGGAAATTGTGTCCAAGGGATTTCACAGGGACATCAACTTTCTTCCCAGTAAGTTTTTCTCATCGCTGGTGTCTTGGGGAGTGTCAAATTTTGATGAAATGTTGAGTTAGATTCTGGTATTTTGAGTTGTGTGACCAATTGACTAAAGAGTCTTTCATAGTAGAGAACTGCTGGGGTTCTGCATTGCTGGTGGAACCATGAGCTTTTGTGAAAAGGGACCTTTTAGAAAGCTAAAAACTTTCAGATGGCAGCCAATGTGGATCAGTTTCCCCCCAAAAAGTGGGCAAGTCTTTATAGTGGATGACTTGACATGTATTCTAAATGTGTGAGATTCTATGGGATGATCAGGAACCTAATATGCTGATGAGTGCAATTTCAGTTGAGCTAGATTTGTGACGATTCTGGTCTTAATGATTGTCACTGTGTTCATAATTGGTTTTGAGAAGTTGGAGATCTTTCCTGTTTGTGCTAAGGAAGGTTTTGTTTGAGGCTTCAATAAATGCTAATCGATCGATCTTCTTCTGTCGTTTGTCGTGATGTATATAGAACCGTTAAGTGTAACGGAAGATTCATCCTCCACTTATGATGGCAGAAAAGTGAGGGTTGCATATCAGGTTAGTGCTTAACCACTTTTTTCCTTGCACTATTAAATTTCGTAAGAGTTTTAAGATTGGCCTTTTTCTGCCATCTTTCAGGGGATTCCAGGTGCATATAGTGAAGCTGCTGCACTAAAGGCTTACCCGGGTAGTGAAACAGTACCATGTGATCAGTTTGAAGCTGCCTTCAAGGTTATAAACATCACCAATGCCTGTTTCTCCGTCCTTGATTATTTAGTCTATGTATCAACATAAACATTTTATTCCTTTTTTATCCAAATTGAATAGGCAGTAGAACTCTGGTTAGTGGACAAAGCAGTCCTCCCCATTGAGAACTCAGTTGGTGGGAGCATCCATCGTAATTATGACTTGCTCCTCCGCCATAGGCTTCATATAGTAGGAGAGGTACAGCTGGAAGTTAATCATTGCCTCTTGGCACTGCCCGGTGTAAGGAAAGAGGAGCTCAAACGTGTGCTTAGCCACCCCCAAGTGAGTCATTAATAATATCATTATTGGTTTTTGGTGTTGATGTTCTAAGTAATTTGTTAGTTAATTACCGCTATCTTCTATTAGGGTAAGTTTTTAGCTCATCCATCTGTCTTTTCTTGTCAGTTTTGATACAGTTAACAATGCTTTTAGAGAAACGTTTACTGGTGAAGCCTTCAGTGTAAATAGCTCTCTGCAAATTGTCTAGATTCTGTCTGGCTTAGTAAAGTATCTTAAGGTTCTGGAAGCTAAACATTTGGGGTAAATACCCCAGGGAAAAATGATATATTTGATGGTAGCTTGTCGTGCAATCGAACAACATGGGACAATACATGATGGTGCAACTCTGTTGTTATTTGCAGGCACTCGCTCAGTGTGAGATGACATTGAGCAGCTTAAATATTATTAGAGTCAATGCTGATGATACTGCTGGTTCTGCTCAGGTTATGTCCATAATCATCCTTTTAATAACATTTGAACATTTTATAGATACTTGTAGGCTAACGTAGAATAATTGGTTAACAGTTAGTAGCTGCAAGTGGCCAAAGAGACACTGGCGCAGTTGCTAGTGCTCGAGCAGCTGAGATCTATGGTCTTGATATTGTAGCTGAAAATGTTCAGGTGAGCATTGTGGTCTCTTTTCTTTCACTCAATTTTAGGTATGTGCATAAAAAGAAATTGATTCTAATTATTAGTACTGATTATTGTTTGAAAATTTTAGTTGCAATACAATTCAGAAGTAAGTTTTTCTTAATGATCATTAGCCGCTGATGTCTAAATTCTCCCATCTCACCGAAATGAGAAAGCAATGTGTCTTCTATTCCTTCCATCCGACTTGTTGAAGTTTTTGGAAGTTTGCTATTCTCATGCTATTACTGAATACTCTGGGAAGAAAAATCTGCATTTTGCTTCCAGGCTTGTAAGAAAAGATAATAACTTTATTTTCCAACTACATTTATTAGGACGACGCTGACAACATTACTCGCTTCCTTATACTTGCGAGAGAACCTATCATTGCAGGGAACGGCAAGCCATATAGGGTAATTAATTACCATTAACTCCTGCTTATTCTTTCATTTGCATATCAAGGAAATATTGTATATCTATCATTCAGTAATCTGTATTCACTTTGTCTTTGTTGTTCAATGTCTTTTCTAGACGAGCATTGTTTTCACCCTTGAAGAAGGTCCAGGTGTGCTGTTCAAAGCACTGTCCGTGTTCGCTATGAGGGGCATCAGCTTGACAAAGGTGAGAGCTTTTATATTCCATCGTAGAATTGAAAAATCACTGTCTGCTTCTATCCATCATCTACCACTCTTGTGACAAACTTGCAGATAGAGAGTCGGCCACAGCGAAAGCGCCCAATGAGAGTGGTTGATGATTCTAACAAGGGCAGTGCCAAGTGAGTATTGAAACAGAGGTCTATTCAGATTACTACTGAGGATGTCAAAACAAGAACAAAAAAACATAATACATTTATGCTTTAGGGAAAGTTGAGTTGGAAAATTTGAGATATGGGTGAAGTTCCCACAGGGGACAAAAATCTCTGGTGGCTTCCAAAATCGTAGGAAGTATTGAAAATTTATGTTTGCCAATTGTGTATGTGTGTGAATGTGCAGGTACTTTGACTACCTCTTTTACATAGACTTCGCAGCTTCCATGGCAGAAGAACGTGCTCAGCGTGCTCTCGGAAACCTAGAGGCGAGGGTCCTTTCTCACCACCTCTTTTGTCTCCATGAAGATATAAGTCTTATTGAACTTCCGCCATCAGTTGTCTTTCAAACAATATGTTAGTTCTGGTTTTGTTTTTTGTTGTTGATCTGTTGTTGTGCCGGCTGTTTCTGCAGGAGTTTGCTCGATTTCTCCGAGTTCTTGGTAGCTATCCAATGGATACCATTCGATAAGACAGCCTGCGGTGGGTTATATTTGAATAGCAAGACAGAAAAGGAATGCAGTTGGCGGCGTATGTTGTACAGACTGATATAGAGAATAGGGAAGGCGCCATCCATGCATTGCTGATGGTTGCTGACTTTGCTGTAAAGGAGCTGGCGTTTTTTGCATACCTGCTTTCTTCTTCATTCATATTTCTTCTTGTTCTTGGAGGGATTCTGTTACTCTTTGCATTGTTTACTAGAAGGATTGGTGGCTGAGAACGTTTTATAGCTTCTGGAGCATGTGTTCCTTTTATAGCTTCTAAGGTGATGTTGGGGACTGAGAACGTTTGAACTTGAGTTAGATTGCTGCAGTTTCCCTTATTTATCAAAGCTATGAACTTCCATTTTTCCTACATGAAGACTTGATACTTGAAAGCGGCTAATGAATGCTCAGTTGATAATAATAGGGTAAATACCACATTTGGTCACTGAGATTACTGAATCGCGTCATGTTTAGTCACTAGAAAAATTTAATATCAATTTTGGTCACTCGAATTACTGTAACAAGTCCCGTTAATTTCTATCCAACTTCATTAATGGAGTTGGACGGAAACTAATGGGAGAGTGACTAAATGTGACATGTTTTAGAAATTCGAGTGACTAAATGTGACGTGTTTTTAGTAATTCGAGTGACGGGAGTTGGACGGAGGCTAACGGGAGAGTGACTAAATGTGACATGTTTCAGTAATTCGAGTGACCAAAATTGATATTAAATTTTTCTAGTGACTAAACATGACACAATTTAGTAATCTTTGTGACCAAATGTGGTATTTACCCGATAATAGCTAGGTCACCTCACGTAGCAACCTTAGCATGCCACACCCTACTTAGAGGCACAAGACGGGTCTCCGTAATTAGAGCGAGCAACAACATTTATCAATTGCTAAAACCTAATTGAGTATTGTGTACTAAAACCGTGGCGATCTGTTTCATACCAATAATAACCACCTATAGGCTATCGATAAAGTATTTTTTTAACCATCGAACCCTGCCAGTATGATATGGTTTCACAAGATAACATTATAGTCTGCTCTCACGTCACAGGATCATCCAAACCACTTATTTCATACTACTACACTAGCAATACAGAGTTACATAATTCCGCAGTCCACACATCTCTTTTATGTAAGCGATCCAAAAATTTTGAATAGATATTTATATGAATTTTCCACGATGATTTAATCAATGCAATTTAGGATGTCATAGCATTCGTTTTCTGAAAAAAAAAATATATAAATAGTTGAAAGAAGATTTCTTAGCGGGCCAAATTTAGGCCGTGTGTTTGTAGGCCTATACAATTGTTGTGGGCCGTACGTTGATCGGGCCCATTGTCCGTTCCATTCGTCGGCTGGGCTAAACTTATTTCCTTTCCTTCACCATTGGGCCGTACGTTGATCGGGCCCATTCACCGGTTGGTGATCGCGAGATTAAGGATGCTGTCTTCAGCATTGGGGAGATCAAAACTCCAGGCTCTGATGGTTTTACAGGTACTTTCTTCCGATCTTTTTGGCACATTGTTGGTAACAGTGTCATTGCAGCCATTCGATCTTTTTTTTCTACAGGTAAGTTATTGCGAAATATGAATCATACTTGGCTTACTCTTATTCCGAAGGTTGAGAATGTGGAACATGTTTCTCAATTACGTCCCATCAGTCTTTGTCAATTCCTTTACAAAGTCATAACTAAGATTATTTCTAAGCGATTGGCCATTGTTTTACCTTCAATCGTTTCTCCAGAACAAAATGGTTTTGTTCGGGAGCGACAGATTGTGGGCAATGTGTTAATAGCTCATGAGGTTATGCATTTTGTGAAGAATAAAGGGCAAGGCCGTGAGAAATTTATGGCTCTTAAGCTTGATATGGAGAAAGCCTATGACCGGATCGAATGGCCTTATCTCTTTGCTCTTCTTCACAAATTGGGTTTCTCTCCGATCTGGATTAATTGGATTCGTGAATGTGTGACAACGGCTATGTTCTCTGTGCTGGTTAATGGTCAATCTGCGGGATATTTCCCTTCTTCACGGGGGCTTCGACAGGGGGATCCTTTATCTCCCCTTTTGTTTGCTCTCTGTACTGAAGGCTTCACGGCTCTTATCAAGGCTGCTATTATGAATCATCGTCTTCATGGTGTTCGTATGAACAGTAGATGTCCTATGGTTTCGCACCTTTTATTTGCTGATGATTCTTTTCTTTTCCTAAGGGCTTCCCAAAGGGATGACGTCAACCTTCTCTCTTTACTTCGTGAGTATGAAAGCATTAGTGGGCAGCGTGTTAACTTGATGAAGTCTGCAGCCTTTTTCAGTCCTAATATGGTTCAATCTGACCAAGAAGATTTGGGGGAGTTCTTGGGCATCGGTTCGATAGGTTTACAGGATCACTATTTGGGATTGCCTTCTTTAATGGGGAGTTCAAAGATAGACACCTTTAGGTATGTGGAGGAAAAGTTATTATCTGTTTTAGCGGGTTGGAAGAACAGGTGTCTATCTTCGGCCGGAAAGGAGGTTTTATTGAAATCGGTTGCTATGGCCTTGCCTGTTTACGTTATGTCCTGTTTTCGCCTTCCTCTTGAGTTGATTCGACGATTGAATGCTCATATGGCTAGATTTTGGTGGGGGGCGACAGAGGGACATCGTCGCATTCATTGGCGTTCTTGGAAATATCTGTGTATGAGTAAATTTTATGGTGGTTTGGGCTTCCGGGAATTTGGCTGTTTCAATCAAGCTTTGTTAGCTAAAGTAGCATGGCGGATTCTTAAGGAGCCAACTACTCTTCTTGCTCGAATTTACCGGGGGCGTTACAACTTTGATTCTAACAGGTTCCTTTCTGTTGCTCCTGGGAGTAATCCTTCTTATGGGTGGAGGAGTATTTTATTTGGAAGAGATCTGCTTCAACAAGGCATCCGGTGGCAGGTAGGGAATGGTGAGTCTATTAGAGCCTTCGAGGATACTTGGCTTCCTACTAATCCCCCTTCACGACCATCTCCAAAGCCAGGTGCGCTGTCAAGTCATCCTTTTGTCTCAGCTTTTATTGATCCAGGATCCAAGCAATGGAACTTGGCTGCTTTGAACTGTTTCTTTGATAATGCTTTAGTGGCTATAATCCGTCAGCTACCGCTTCCTCAACGACGTCTTGTGGATGATATTATTTGGCATTATGAGGCTAATGGTCTGTTTTCAGTGAAATCGGCTTATCATTTAGCTTTCTCTCATCTACGACCTGTTCCACGGAAAACTGGGGTATCAGTCATTGATTCGGTGTTATGGAAATGGGTTTGGACACGAAAACTTCCTCCAAAACTTCTATTCTTCCTTTGGCAGTGCCTACAGCGGGTTCTTCCTACTCGAGAAGCTTTGGCGACGAGTGGAATGGATCTTCTCCCCGTGTGTACGGCTTGTGGACGACGAGAAGAAACTTTAGAACATCTCTTTTTCTCTTGTCATGTGGCTCGTAGGTTGTGGAGGATCACTGGATTCCATTCTCGGTTACAGACTTGGAAGTTAGGATCATTTGCAGGCTTCATCCGCCACTCCCTCTACAATTACAATGAACCTGATGCTGATTACTTCTCCTTACAGGTAGTGTGTCTTCTTTGGCGTTTGTGGAAAAACCGGTGCTCTGTTTTCTTTGATCGTAAACAGGTACGAATTGAAACGTTAGCATCGCAATGGAGACATCAAGTATCTGAAGCTGATTTAGCAATTCTTCAATCGAATCATTCTGCTAGCGCTACTCTGGGTTCTAGTGCGAATGGGGGTTTGAGTGTGCATGTGGCAAATGGGTTCCAATATGTAGTTACCTTCGATGGGGCTACTCGTTTGGGTTTGCTGGGAACTTCAGCTTTTGTGATCAAAGATAGCTCAGGATGTCTACTCTCAGCGCAAGCTCGGCAATGGGATGGTGTGAATGATGCGTTGGTGTTGGAGGCGCTTGCGTTGCGGGACGTTTTGCTTGAATGTCAGAGGAGGAATCTTCATTCAGTGAGTGTGGCTAGGGATGCGAAGATCATAATTGACAAGTGTTATGCCAGAGATTTTCACCATTCCAAAGTCGGTATTCTTCTGAAGGAAATATGTTGCTTGTTGGATGATTTACCGGATTACTCGCTAAGGTTCATTGGTCGTTCTAACAACAGGGAAGCTCATTCTGTGGCTCGTCATGCCCTGTTCATGTCGCCCCGTATGTTTAAGGGGTTCGACTTCTTTTCTTGGTTACGATGTATGTAAGGATCCTTTTGAATCTTTTTCAGATACTGTATCTTTTTCATTCCCCGCTTCTGGGGTTTTGAATGACAAAAAAAATAAAAGGCAAGGGAAAATTCCAACCACTAGCAAATTTGCAAATTGATTTTTATTAGTTACGTCGCCTACTCGACCAATACTTTATATCTTAATTATTGAGAACGGGAGGGGGAATTAATTAAATAGTCAAAAGCAGAAGCTGCGGTTTCGTCGTGATTTCTTCTGACCCGCTTATGATTTTGCATTTGGACCTTAATTCAGTCCTTGTTCACTTTCCTTAATAATAATGAATTCATTAGTGGCTGCCTGCCCTTTTCTGATTTCCCCAAATCTAAACTAAACCACTCGTAAATTAAACAATTAACAAATGAATTAGTGGTTATTGGTCCTATTTAAAAGAATTAATTAGTGACAACGAACGGAGCATTTCCCTCTCTTCAAACCATCGAAGAGCCGTGTGAGTCTGGCTGGCGCCTTAATACAGACAAAATAGACTAGAGTCCACCAGTAGCGGTGGGCAAATGGACTGTGTTCTCCGCCGTACGGTGAATTTAGGGGCGGTTTGTTGACATTGTCATTATACATGTATTGTTTACAATGCATTGTTTTTTTGTTTTTTAGCAGAAACAATACATGGATGGTTTCTTTGATGGGACAGAAACTATCACTTATTTTGAGTGATTGTTATATCTCAATTTTTAGTTGTGATTGTTGAGATTGTTGAGTTGAGATTGTTTTGTCTCAGCTTTTAGCTGATGCGACATACACAATCACACATACCAAACGTTGTATTCTACAATGCATCAAATTCGACAATACATGTATAATATTATACATGCATTCTCAACAATACATCTATTTAACAATCGCAACTTCCAAACGACCCCTTAGATTGAAAAATTGGTTTCAGGTAAATTTTAAAATAAAAATGAATTAATAAGTTCAAATAAAGATGGGGTTCATGGGTGGGGTGGCTATACGGTCCGGTCTCAATCCGGTCTTTTCGGGAATATAAGGACCAAAGATTGGATTGGATACAGTCCGGTCTTGACTCGGTTCGGTCCCAATTTGATCTTGATTTTAGATTGAGCTTTTGGGGATTTGAATGTTGGGGTCTCTTATCCGGTTTTTTTACCTCAAATCTAAGCCCGAATATGAGATTGAATTGTTTACTATCCGGTCCCAGTCCGGTCCCGATCTGGCTTATATAGTCCAGTTTCGAATAAAAACAAACAGTCTGGACCAAATAGCCAGGCCTTGTTTATGGGTGCCACGCGAACGGGCCCACGGAACCAGGGCCACAGATGAAGCCCATTGAAGAAGAGGCCTTCGGAAGTCAATTTCCCCGGGCGGGCCCATAGATTCCCACATGTGGTTCCAAACTTCCAATTTTGACCGCCAAAGTACATCATAATAGGGAGAGAAACAATGTAGTCCATCCATAATATTTCTCTAAATTCTTTCTCTTTTTGGATGAGTATCACAGATTCACAGTAAATAGAAAATACAAAAAAAAAAGGGAAGACAATTCAAAAGGGAAGAAAATTGATAATCTGATTCTATTTGACATATAATCTGAGCGTGAAGTGTTAATGAAATTAAAGTTGAATAATTTCGATGTCAAAATATGCAGAGCGGATGAGATTGCGCTACAATTAAAAAGTTCAACTCATTTTTCTTCTTCTTCAATTTAAATATTGCTGATACAAAATGTAAAGACGATTCGAGATATAATATGTGAATTAAGATATATCGCATTTATCGGAAATGTAAGCGAGCTGCAACCGACCACCTTACTAACTATCCATCTCCCATTTCATTTGGATTGTAATCCAACCCCTTAGTATTTGAATAAAAATAGGATTTCATTCCGAATATTATTCCCAAAATGATTAATAATACATGTTAGAGGGTCTTTTTTGTGCACTTTTCTAAAAGATTGAACAAAATTTAATTATTACTGCATAATTTAATTTTCTTTAATTATAGAGAGAAAAAAAGGCAAACATTGATCATGGTCTAGGGCAGGAGTGGCTATACGGTCCGGTCCGGTTAAATTGGACCAAATTTATCCGGTCCCAGTCCGGTCTTTTCGGGAATATAAGGACCAAAGATTGGATTGGATACAGTTCGGTTTTGACCCGGTCCGGTCCCAATTTTATCTTGATTTTAGGTGTTGGGGGTCTCTTATCCGGTTTTTTATCTCAAATCTAAGCCCGAATATGAGATTGCATTGTTTGTTATCCGGTCCCAGTCCGATCCTAGTCCGAGTTATACGGTCTGATTTCGAGTAAAATCAAACAGTCCGGGACCAAATAGTCAACCCTAGTCTAGGGCTTGGCTTGTGCCGTATCCAAGAAACCTCCTCTTCCTTTGCCTAAATTCCCGCACATGCAGCCAGGTAAGCAAAATGTCCCAAGCCACTTGTGACGAAAGCAATGATGAGCGTTCTCCCCTCACCCAATGAAAATCCGCCACGTAACCAACCGGCCGAGCCCAGAAAAAAAATAAATGTCCAGATTCAATGAACCATGAAATCCGTTGCATTTCGCCTTTAGCCATCTCTTATTATTTAACGGCACTTCCCTAACACTACCGAATCTAAAACCGGCGACCGCAAAAAAATTAGAGCTACCAAACAATCCCAATTTTTCCTCCTCTGAATTCATTTTCCGGGAAAGTACACAGGAAAAACCAAACAAAGCCATCCCGCCGGCCGCAAGAACCAATCCAGAGAACACTCATTGCACAAACTCACCATGGCTTTCGTCGCGACCTCTTCTTCCACCACCGCAATTTCGGCTTCGAATCTCGCTCGCTCTACTGCTTCTTCTTCCTCCGAGCCCAAAGGTACGTTTGTGATTCCATTTTACACTCTAATTTCTGGCTGATATCGTGCTGCTCCGTCTCGTATTTTGCTCCCGTCGATTGTCTGATTGAGTTTGCGTTTATCGATTTTTCCCCCCCTTCTGATTTGTTTAGCTCTACGAATCGGCTCGTTCCGATTGTTGGATCATCATCCCTCCACCGCCACCGCCGTCAACCTATCTTCTTCTCGTAAGCGCTCCTCCGCTGTAAGGCCGGTGAATGCTGAGCCGAAGCGTAACGATGGAATCGTTCCTCTCGCCACCGCCGTCGCCACTCCCGGTAAGAATCCAACCTGTTCTTTGCGTTGTTTTTAATAGGCTTGGTCTTCGATTTCGTCATCGCTGAGTCGTCGTTGTATTTTTTCGCAGTAGTGGCGGAGAAATTGGAGGTGGATGCGGAGGCGGAAGACTACGAGCAGCTGGCCAAGCAGCTCGAGAACGCTTCTCCCTTGCAAATTATGGACAAGGCTCTCGAGAAATTCGGCGACGATATTGCAATCGCTTTCAGGTGAAGATTCGAATCGAATCCCTCACTTGGAATGATAGCAAGTTCCGAATTCAATCGTTAGGTCTTAGTTATTTTCCCCCTAATCCTGTTTCCTTCCCTGCACTTTCCGTTTGCGTGTGTGTGTGAAGTGAGAATATGACGGATGTATAATTCTGGGGGTTTAGATTTGAAAGCCTAAATTGGACCAATATCTTCAACATCGGAAGGATTAGAGCTTCGCTAATGGTGATCTGCTGCTTGTTGTTGTTCTTGTTTTATGCAGTGGCGCGGAAGATGTAGCCTTGATTGAATACGCCAAGCTAACAGGGCGCCCATTCAGGGTATTCAGCTTGGACACCGGCAGATTAAACCCGGAAACGTACCAATTCTTCGACGCAGTAGAGAAGCACTACGGAATCCGGATCGAGTACATGTTCCCCGACGCAGTAGAAGTGCAGGCACTAGTTCGCAGCAAAGGGCTGTTCTCATTCTACGAGGACGGCCACCAAGAGTGCTGCCGGGTCCGGAAAGTCAGACCTCTACGCCGAGCTCTGAAGGGTCTCCGCGCTTGGATCACCGGCCAGAGAAAGGACCAGTCGCCTGGAACCCGGTCCGAGATCCCAGTCGTGCAAGTGGACCCTGTTTTCGAAGGACTTGACGGCGGAGCAGGCAGCTTGGTCAAGTGGAACCCGATGGCCAACGTCGACGGTGGAGATGTCTGGAAGTTCCTCCGCGCAATGGAGGTGCCTGTCAACTCTCTGCACGCTCAGGGGTACGTGTCGATCGGTTGCGAGCCCTGCACGCGAGCAGTCCTCCCGGGGCAGCACGAGAGGGAAGGGAGATGGTGGTGGGAGGATGCCAAGGCCAAAGAGTGCGGCCTCCACAAGGGGAACTTGAAACAGGACGCTCAAGAAGTGACAGTCAATGGAACTGGAATCCGCGACTTGTTCGAGGCGAGGAACCTCGTGGCATTGAGTAGGAACGGGATCGAGAACTTGTTGAAGTTGGAGAAGAGGGAAGAGCCGTGGATCGTCGTGCTGTACGCTCCCTGGTGCCAGTTCTGCCAGGGGATGGAGAGCTCGTACGTCGAGTTGGCGGAGAAATTGGCGGGGAGTGGAGTGAAGGTTGGGAAGTTTCAGGCGGATGGCGAGCAGAAGGAGTTCGCGAAGCAGGAACTGCAGCTGGGGAGCTTTCCGACGATCCTCTTCTTCCCCAAACATTCGTCGAGGCCGATCAAGTATCCTTCGGAGCAGAGGGATGTTGATTCGCTGATGGCGTTCGTGTCCGCTTTGAGGTAATCTGGGTTTTGGAAGCTGGAAATTCTGGTTGTCTGTGTCTCCTGTGAATGCATGAAGGTCGTTTGAAGATGGGAATAATGGGAGTGAGAGAGCTTCATGGGAGCAGAACTTAGTTGTTTGCTTCATGTTATATTAGGATGGTAGTTTTTGTTAGCAGGAGTAGTTGCCTAGTTGTACCTGTGTTTAGCTTTCTTTGATTTCTGTCTGTATAGAAGGGATCGGGGAGATGGAGTCGATAGTCTCCTGAAAGAGCAAAATTTTGGGTTTATAGGATAGATGAACAGTGGGGGCGTAATTGTTGCCGTTCTAATGGAATGTGTTTCGCCATCGTGGTCGGTATTTGACATGGAGATTAGAGATTTGAAGTGGGCAAATCAGTTAAACGGATTGGGTCGCGTTCGCTGTTGGAGTCGCCATCAATCGTACTTGGAGTCGTGGCCAGATGTGTACAACAAGACTACATAAGTGATAAGTCGATGGATTGACTGGGGCGTTTAGGAGTTCAATAGTATGATTCGAGGAAGATAATCTGAGGATCCAGCTGCAAGTTCTAGCTAGGAAAAGGACTATTATGTAAAGGTTATTTACTTTGTGGACTTAATACGAAATCTGTATACGCCTTGCTACGAGTAGAATACCGTAGAAATATTCATTCCGTATCTTTGTAGTAAACTCTCTGATTATGGAAACTGAACTAGCTTTGCATTGCCTGCTGAATGTAAAATAAAGCATATTCAAAAGAGAGACTCCAACGTACTCTAAACATTCAACCAAGAAAAATGCAGGAAAAAGGTGGTGCAAAGTGAGAAAAAGGAGTCAAAACTGTCTATTGTATGGCCAAAATTCCGTGCAACATCAGTTTGTTAACACAAACAAACGTTCTTTCTGTCAGAAGTTACACCCATTGAGATTTCCCATATGAGAAAGGATAGGTGGTTTCAAGCTTCCCAACAATTTGTACACGTTTAGCTCCAAAAAAGTTTTCGTGATCTTCCCCCCCCTGCTACCAAAAACCTGCATTTATCAAAACCGAACCTACATTACTTCCAAGAGAAAAGGAAAAAAGGAGCGAACAATGAGCTGTTGGGCCGATGAGTTTATATTAACAAGCAATCCAGATCGAAGATTCTACGATTAAGACTCGGTTTGGAAACTGGATATAACTGATCATCTTGCCAAGAACAAAACCAGAGAAGTTCTTCAAACAAAAGAAAAATGCAGCTAAAGCAAAAGCCTTTTGACAAATGGTGGAAAAGGGAGAACTATCATTTTGTGTGACTAAGATTTGAGGTGATGTACGTTCTCCAATGGACTAGCTGTATATCTCACCTGCCAGTTATATCAAGGATCGCTATTGGAACATCTTCTTGTACTGGTTTTTCTCCACCTCGTTTCTCTGATTGATCTGCAACAAAAATCGAGTGTCTTAAGGAATCCGCTCAAATCCATTAGCAGTTGATGCACGAGATGATTGGATTAAGCTTGACACCAACCTTTTTCTTAGCAGCCAGCAGCTCCTTTCGTATTCCAGCTGGGAGCAACGGTACCCAGGTTAGTCATATACACAATTTCGACATTCTATAACATAGAATCACTGCATAAAAGCTGTGAAAGAGAAACACAAGATTCATGCAATGGGGGCAGAGGCATGCATTTCTCTAGGTGTCATTTACCATCATTGGGTTCCAACTGCGATGCCTTGGTGAAGCTTTCAGCAGCAGCATCTATATCATTGAGAGCCATGTATGCCTAGATGATACATGAGAAAGAATAGCAATTTATGAATACCAAAATTTTGGATCGAACAACCAACTTTTCATTTACTTTAATAGTCACAAGACAGATGTTGCCAACCTGTCCTTGGCGAAATAGAGCTTTCACATTGTTTTCTCCCTCGCGCATAGCGAAATCTGTGTCCAGCAATGCTCCTTTAATATCCCCCATTTTTAACTTACAAGCCTGCATCAATACGAGTAAAACAAGTCAATATATAAGAGATTAAATCTCTTAAAAATGCTCCCTTTAACTGCAGCATCAAAGCACTCACAGAGCTATTAGTGAAGATTTGAGACTTTGTCCTCCTCAATGCTGAACTCTTCCCTGAAAATTTGGTACACAAGTAATTCAGGGAATGTGCCGCTTCAGTGTAATAACCCGTAAAACAGGAAATTCAAAACATAACAGCCGTAGTAAGGAAAAGAGTACAAACCTTCGTCAATCCCTTCTTTCTCCCAGCAGATATCCAGATAACGCAAAGCCTTCCTATACTTCCTAAGAGCCATCTTATAGTCTTGTTTCTGCAACAGCTTACTAGTGTCAGAGAAAAAAAGCACTCAATCATCAAATAAGACAAAAATGCAGAACATTACCACGAAACATGTTGTTTACCTTGAAGTGGTCGTTACCAAAAGACTTTATAGAATCCACAGAATCCATCCACCAAGTAAGCTCTTCAGGGCTCTCATTAAGGTCAACTGGCCAGTCGGGATACTCATCCCCATCATTGAAGAAGTTGGTTATCCCATCATCTTCTCCTTCAGGAATCTCTCCACATTCAGCTATGGTAACATCGAGAGTCGGAATATCACCTTCAGCAGTAGGAACATGCTCAACCGACCTAACAACTCCCATTCCTTTCACAATCCTGCCAAACACAACATGCTTCCCATCCAGATGGGAAGTGCGAGTGGTGGTGATGAAGAATTGTGAACCGTTTGTATTGGGTCCAGAATTTGCCATGGATAACATTCCTTTTCTCTCGTGTTTCAGTTCGAAATTTTCATCATCGAACTTCAACCCATAAATGGATTCCCCCCCAGTTCCATCCCCTGCAGAGATGTCTCCTCCTTGTGCCATGAACCCTTTAATGACCCGATGAAACCGGCATCCCTACAGTAACAACCAAGAGCAAACATAGCTAAAGTAAGCCCCTTACTTCCTCCAACGCAAATCTTATATGAGAGTATCATCCCAAAACAAATAGAGTGGTGCTGGAACCAAACAGCTGAGACACAGCCGCATACACAACAACCAAGCATCACAGTTACTTCCCTCTACTAAGAAGGTCTTACCGCTCAAAGAAAATCACACAACCACAAAGTTCAGAGTCATTGCATCTCTAGCATAGCTACTTCCTCAGAGCGTCATTACACTAACATAGTAATGTCGAAACAGCATAACGAATCACATCTCAGGAACTCCCTTGGACTGCATATCCAGCCAACCCAACTCGTCTCAACAAAGAAGAGTTGGGAAAGAAAAAGACCTAAAACCACACCCACTCAAACTTGATCATCAGGAATGGACAATAATGACAAGAACCAGTAGTCCTGAAACCAGAAAGCCTGCCACATAACCTACATTACCCTCATAAACACACACCTCTGAAAGAAGAACAGACCAATCAGCTTCAAGGTAGCAAACGAATCCCCAATCAAGTAATACCCTTTACAATTTCTTTGGGTCAACAGCGAAGAACCCACTTGAAACCAGAAGACACAATACAAACCCATACCAAAAAAAAAAACCAATAGAAAGCGATCATCCACTACAAACAGGGGGCCAAGAAGTAGCCGAACCTTGAAATGGAGAGGGACGCCGGTGTTGGGACCAATGCCTTTCTCCCCAGTGCAGAGAGCCCTGAAGTTTTCAGCAGTCTTGGGGACGACGTCGTTGTAGAGCTCCACTATGACCCGCCCTTCAAGCTCGCCGCCGATGCTGATGTCGAAGAAAACCCTGGGCCGCCCCATCTCTGTCTCTGGGTTTAGCAGTTTCCTCGCCGCTGATTGTTTGAACTTGAAGCGACGTTGGGGAAGACCGAAGAGCGACGGCCGGTATTTATTGGGGCTGCAAACGAAGGAAGGGAGGTAGAGAGTTGGAGTGTCTCTAGATACTTCTGTATCATTTTTTTTAAAAACCCTAATAAATCAATTGATTTAAAAAAAAAAAATCTCCTGTGTTTACTATTGGCAAAAATGGGAAAAGGTGGGAAAACGACCCTAGACAAAATGGGAAGAAGAAATGGAGAGAATGGGTGGGAAATTAGGAGGAGCTCCCAAGAGGAGGAAAAGGAATCCATTTTGTTTGTATCAAGATTGCAAGTTGTTGGATACCTAACAAATTAGGACCACCCTTTCCTTTGGTGTTTCTTCTTGGATATCATTATAGGGAAAAAGCAATTAGGTTAAATTTTTTTTTTTCCATCCTTTTTCAGACTATCTCCAACAAGGAATTGAGAAAATGCTAGAATGCGAAATGGTTTTGGTATTTTGACACTCCAAAAATGGGTTTTTTATCCAACAAGCAATTCCAAAATGTCAAAAGGCCAAATCTTCTCTTTTTGTGACAATCTAGTTTAGTGTCGATTTCATCATTTCAATTAGATAATTTGTAGATTATCTATATATAGGTAGCACTAATTAATTAAGACGAACGTTTCGATATAATTTTTTTTTATTTTGAATTTAAAATTTATCGTTAGATATGATGTCATCAATGACGAAATCACAATAATTGGTTCAAGTTGACCATAAACACTTCACATGTTCAAATATGATATCATTAATGACGAAAAAAAGTTATTGGAGGTTAATAGAGTCATTGGAATTTAATTTAGGGACTGAAACTGAATTTTTTAATCTTGTGAGAGAATCTGACATTTCTTGTCTTTTCTGGTGGGTATTTGGCAATTATTTTTTTTTTGTTGGTATTGTTGGCTTTTTGGCTTTTCCCAATTGTTGTTGGAGGTGGTATTTTAGCATTTTTGACATTTTGGTTTAGTTGTTGGAGATGCTCTTATATATCATTCTTTAGTAGATGAATAGGCTCCTAGTACTACAGAAAAGATGACTTTTAATTGGAATGGTGTAAGTAGTGACAACCACTTGTTACAAGGTGGGATGATGATAGCGAAGTACGATATTGTCAAATGTTGCTCAGGTATGACCCGTTAAACCATGACCTGAGCATGATTGAGCTGATCGTAGTCATTGGTTTGGACGATTTGAAATCAAATTTCCGATTGAACAAAGTCAAAACTGATTTTAAGGAAAAAAAACTTCAATAATTTTGATTAGCTCATGATAAGGGTAATAATGTAATCATGCAAATGCCATATATTTTTTTCCTTTTTTCCGGGCAATAATGAAGCACGGATATGATTTTCCAACTTGAAAAATCAAAGCAAGGCTTCCACGTGAAAATGTCTGATCAATAGTCTAATCTACAATTCTCCATTCGTGTATTTTTTTTTTTTTTTGGTGGGGGACGAAGGAGGGATTGCAAAATGTTGCCACGCGGAAGTCAACCATGAACAGATATAATTTGGTCTTTTTTTTTCAATTTTGCTAATACATCCGAGTAAGTCTCATCTAGGAATGGCAATGGGTAGGGTCGGGTGCGGGTTTACCCTATACCAACTCTTAACCCGTCGGGTAGAGTTTTCTAAAATACTCGACCAAATAACCACCAGGTATGAAAATTATATAACCATACCCTACCCACCGGGTAACCACCGGTATTCGGGTAACCATGGGTACGAATCCTAAACTATGAACTTATAAACATATATGCACATACATACTGTTGTCCATTAAAAATTCTCGATACTTGTAACTGTTCTAGCTTCAACAATCCACCCAAATAAAAATAGCAAACACATCATCATTGTTCTTGCTTCTACAATCCACACAAACATAATAATCGTCTACATCTTCATCATCAATAATGGTAGCTAAACTGAATTTCTCAAGCTAAAAAAAATTTCTCAAGGGAAATTGACCCTTTGATTGGCGGGGGCGGGTATAACGGGGCGGGTATTATCGATTACCATACCCGTACCCTACTCTTTATTTTGAAACCGGGTATTACCCGTACCCGCCTCTTAACCCGTCAAAGTGGTTAATTACCATTGTTGACCGGTTACGATCGGGTAGGGTACCCATGATTACGGGTTGGATTGACATCCCTAGTCTCATCTCAGTAGTATTAGCTCAAATTGCTCAATAATATTTTGTTACGGAGTACATTAAGAGACATGAAATGTAATTAGGTAATTAACTTACTTAAAATAGAATTTAAAAGTTTCTAAGATCCGTTCCATTTTTATTTATTATTATGATACTATATGATAATTCATAATTTTGCTCAAATTCATGGGAATTTACTTGCCCAATCCAAGTGAGCTAGGTATGAAATCTAAATACAAGTTAAATTAGTAGGGTTTGATGTATTTATGTTCATACTAATTTATTTGGGTTAAACTGAATTTTTAATTTATGATTTTGGGGTTGTCCCTATTTTCTAGACTATAGTTATAAACTTAAACTTAAAATGTTTTAAGATTTAGTACTTTTTTTTTTTGCATATAAGTCCTAAAATTATCGATGAAAAATTAAACCTTAATACCTAAAAGTTTTGTGTCTTACATTTTGATAATATACTTTTTTACATTTTTATAGGTCTACTTTTATATGTGTAGTTAAAACTACCTCAAATAAATGAACATCCATACCTATTAGAATATGAAAGCAATACTTAAACCCTAACCAAACTCATATATAAAACCTCAAATTCAAATACACTTCACTCATTAGCCATAACCCTACCTATATAGATAAATTTGGATAGAATTATCCATGCGTGAGTAATTGTTATTCCTAATGACATACACACTGAGTAAGAAAGTGATATATGGACCTTGAATTGATTGGAGTTTGAGACATGATATTAGTATATTACCATAGCCCTTAAATATTAAAATCTAGGTCTTAAAACTTTAAATCTCATACTCGACGACCATAAAAAAATTGATGATCATGATTCGTCGAAATACATCCAAGAAATTATATGCACCATCATAGTGTATAGGCAGTGGCGGAGCCACTTGGAGAGGAGGGGGTGCTTTGCACCTCCCTTGGCTTTGGAGAAATTTTTTTCGAGTAGGGGTATATACAAATTCCAACCAATGACCATTCAGTTGCAGAAAGAATTTCTTATCATTTCGATCGAGTGAGTTTTGTTATGTAATGCACTTTCGTCTTTATTTATAGTAATAAATTGTTGTCTTTTGTTTAAACTCGCTCATTTTTTTTGTAGCTCTACAACAGAGAAATTTCTTGTCTTTTGTTTAAACAAAGTTGAAAGTGAAGAAGTCCCAATTGAAGTTCACTTGTTTGTTTCACAAAATCAATTCCAAGGTACTTCTGAGTTCTAATTTGTAATATTTGATGAATGGAAGTCTTGATTTGTATGTACTGAACTTATTTGTTTGACGTTGTAACCGGTGTACGTGAAACTATTTTGATGTAATTGTGTGAATTTAGACTATTGCGTTGTTGACTTTTTGTTTAATTTAAAGTTGACTTTTCTATTGTATAGGTGATTTTTTATGATATGATAAAGACACCCCCTTGGCCAATTTCCTGGCTCCGCCACTGTGTATAGGGTCTATGATTTAGATAATTGAGACTTAGAGTTCACTCGTTAAGGGATTAGCATATAGTATCCCAAAATTCGGTTTCTTCGAGATTTAAATAGTCTTTTCTTACCAAAGATGCGCGGTACTCTAGATTTACCTGAGTACAATAAAAGGGCACCATGTAACAACTATATAAGAAGCCGATCTACTTAGACCATATCAGATTATCCTCAAATTACCAACGAACCATGATTTTGTATGTTATTGAAAAATTACTGTTAATCTCTTACTTTGAGATGGTTGCCAACTAATTTGAGGATATTCATACATAAGCGAAAATGAAGTTTCTCATGGTACTCAAGAAAGCAATATGGAATGTCTATACATGCAATCATATATAGTTACATATATGAAACGTCATGAATATGTATGAATAATATTCATGGTCAAATTAAGCTCATCAAAAGAAAGTGGTATACCTTTCGGGAAAAATTACCTTTATGATGATTATTACAAAGATGATGTTGCATATCAGTCGAAATTGACATTCTGAGTATATAATTAAAAGGAGATATGATAAATCATACTTGAAAGTTCTTTTCAGTTTTCAATTCATGAACTTCATAAGAATGGCGAACCAAAAGTTTGGACAATTTGTTTGATCAACAATGTTACATATGTATGAACTAGAGTACTTCACGAAACAAATGTGTGAAAAAACCCGTCGGAGATTGATTACTCCAAAATTCACGGATATCTATATGACGGATTGATACTATGGAATGTACTTTTTTTCTCTTAATTATCACGATTTTCCTAGTAAAGTTTATAACGAGACAATGTACAAAAATGTATACAAAATACTGTATTTTTTTCTTTCTTCATTAGGTTTTTATCTCACAGAGATTTCTTATAAATTTTTTAATAAGACATATTGTTAATCAATCGACATTTACAATCGACATTTAAGAGGGAGTTTTAAAAAGAAAATTCGTGAATGCACAGTGGATGTATCAATAATCTCATGAATATATAGTAATTCATAGTAACTTTTCTTCCATACATATCATTAATTCCTAACTTCATAATTCATTCTGATAGATTTTCTGTTACATGATGAGGAAGAGAGAAATTTTATCTTTACGTCTGTAAAAAAAAAATAGAAAGAATTATATAACTATTTTTATAACCCATTTTAGTCCCATATCTAATGTCTTATTACATACCCTATACTTCTACATTATTATTTTACATACAAGTTGCACTTGCTTGTGTTACATATAAATAATACAAGGAGGGAATAGGTGTGTAGTCACTTTCTCATGAACACTATCAAACAAGAATGTCAACATTTCCCGTACAAACGATGGATTTGATTATGTGATCAAGGACCAAGTTTGCTTCATGTAATTGGTTAATCTCTTAAAAAATGGGTGTCTTATAGGCTAATTTTCCTATTAAATTAATCCGTTTTCGCATAAACAAGTTTGGGCTTTGCCAAAGTAATTTTATCTAACTCCAGGTAAAGCTTATTTGGAGTCTGTCAAATAGATCTCTAGCATCTCTATCATTCCATAAAAAAAAAAAAAAAAAAAAAAGAAGGTGAAACTCAAGCTGAACAGATCTATTTGTACACCACTTTGGTGTGGCACTTCTGTGCCAAAGCATAATACTTAGTAGCTGGAAACTATTGTGCTAAAATGTTATGGCTCAAGCAACAATTACTCGATTATGGATTTGAACTCTTAGCGTTGCCTGTAATATGTGACAATTCAGGTGCTATTAACATGAGCAAAAATCATGTTCAACATTCTTTGACAAAAAACATATATAGATTATATACCATTTTCTGTGTGATTTAGTCCAAGCAGGAAGCCATAAACCATTCGAATTTCTTATCTATCTAGTGAAGATCAAATTGTTGGCATCTTCACAAAACCTTTATGTTCTAACAGGTTCACTATCCTTAGACATGAGTTAGGAATGATGGGCATGCAATCACTTAAGGACTAAAACCATAAGATGCATCCACAATGTTACCAAAATTCATCACGATCGAGTATCCTTGATATTAGAATTCTTGAACCTTTTAGGATGTGTTATAGAACTTAATAGAATTCTTGATCAACAATGTTACATATGCATTGCGGCAACCAGCCATCTCTACAAGTTTTAATATGGCATTTGCAACGAGCTACTTAAAACACTCTTCAGTTTTATGAACTCATAAAGTCATAAATGACTAGTTTACATGATATAATAAGATTGATAGCATATATATGAATGTGTCTTACAAGTTTTTCGAAATACGAAATTACGCTGTGAAATACTGTAAAATGTCTAAAAAATTATCTTATGATATTTTGTTTTAAATTTGGACCCATCTCATATGAAATCCGTACTATACCACCGTGTGGATTAAAAGTGTTTTTTTTTTTTTTTTACCTTTTCACTCATTGAGTTGTTGATCTTATTTTTCCCTACAATCACACTTCGATCATGGTAAAAATGCCAATTTTATAACTTTTCAAAGCACATGCATATATTTGACGTAAAAAATAATAAAATAACATGGACACATGGTTCATGCAAAGTCCAACCAAACCAAAGGCGTTATTATAATCAACCAAAAAAAAAAAAGGCATGGAAACTTTCAGCATTTGGGCTTCGGGTTTCATCAGCCTTTGGATACTTCTGAATTTTGGGCCTTCTACGAAGAAAGCCCAACAATAAAACAATCGGCACCAATCTTTGCACCCTCTTAGACTTTTTTTTTTTGGTTATAGGTATAATATGCTCCTTTATTATAACGTTTTATCAAACATGCCCCTCTACTACTTTTTACATCAAATATGCCCCTGTACTTTGAAAAAATTATCAATCATGCCCTTCTGTTAGAATTTCCATTGAAAAAATCGTCAATCATGGTTGAATTGAGATTTAGACGACCCGACATCGGCAAATGGGAGGGAAAATGTCAGTTTTGTCCCCTGTTTTATTTCCCTGGGTCTTTTCAAAGTGAAATTATTTGAATGATTTGATTATACAAAAGAACCAAGAAATTGTAAAGTGAATTTATTAGGGATATTTTAGTCATTTGTGTCACCCAAACTAAAGTTCGGCCTTGGTTAACGGTTTTTCGATGAAAATTTTAACAAAAGGGCATGTTTGATCATTTTTACAAAGTACAGGGGCATGTTTGATGTAAAAAAATACTAGAGGGGCATGTTTGATAAAACATCATAGTAGAGGGGCATATTATACCTATAACCCCTTTTTTTTTTTACAAAAGATAATCTTCATTGATTGAAACAAAAGATAGTTACACCCTGGAGAGCAGCCAGGCCTGAAAATCAATGAAACGACTAGCAGTCGGGTACAAAGAGAGGGCCTTTCGAGCCACCAAGTGGGCTACCCTGTTACTACGCCGACCTACAAATCGAACATTAAACTCTGAGCGAGTTGCCAAGTGATGAATAATTTCGGCAAGAATAGCACCAATTCGACTATCACTGGCATCCACATGGTTGATTTTGTCAATAATGACCTTCGCATCGCCCTCAAATCATACATCCGTGATACCTCGATTCAGGCACCACATGATAGCTTCCCGGAGTACCAACACCTCTACTACCATGGGATCATCGACGACCGGAAACTGAAACCCAGTAGCCATTAGGATCACTCTATCAGGAGACATAATAACCATCCCCAGCTGAGTAGGATCCCTTCCTCGTAGTCCCGTCCCACGTACAAACCATACTCTAATTGAAGAAGAAAAAAAAGCCAAACGATAGTGTAGTAGCTTTTTGACCTTTCCGCCCTAAAAAGCAAAAAACTTATAAAGAAAACAACACCATGCAGCCTCTTCTCTTTTCTGCGCACCTCTCTCTTTATGCTCCTCCAATGTCCACCACCACGCCTCTATACCAACAACAACAACTTCTTCCACCACCGCCGCCGCTCGCCGCGGAAGCAACGGCGGCTTCCCAGCAGCCCTATATCCGGCACGGGTCGGTGGGAGGGGTGATAGCGGCGGTGGCGATCATCGCGGTGCTGGGAGTCGTAGCCGGTCTGATCGGAAGGATGTGCTCCGGCGGCCGGGTATTGGGACACGGCGGCCAGTACGACGTGGAAGGGTGGGTTGAAAGGAAGTGCTCCTCTTGCATCGACGGCCATCTCGATCCTCCGCCGCGGCGGCCGGATGATCATGTTCCGCCGGCCGCCGCGGCGGAGATGGAGGAGGTGAGAGAAGAAGACCATGAGAGTCAAGATGATGAAGAAGAAGAAGAAAATGATGATGATGATGATGATGATGATGATGATAAAGGAGTTAGTGTTGATCATCATCATCAGCAACATAGCGATGAGGCGCCGGCGCCGGTGACGAGGGAGGTTAATTAGTTAGTGATTCATTGAAGTATATTGTTACCCAGAGCTAGTTCCTCTCATTGTTTCTTGTAATTTCTTTGTGTTATGAGGATGATAATGGGAGGCAATCGATGAGGGAATCTTTTTTTTTTTGGGTTGCTTTTTATCCTTGAGCAAGGCAATTGCGATCCAGCCACATCTTGTCGGCTCACTTTTTCTCAATTCCTTCCTGACTTCTTTTTTCATTATTCCCCACAAAGTTTGACTCATAAAAGGGATTTTGTTTTATTTTGTTTTAACACAAAAAATCAATTATGATGTTTGGGAAATCATACCGAAAATGACGAGGCTAATGGAGGAATGGAAAGGGAATAGAATAGAATAGTTCTATGGTTTACTCGTTATGTAATTATATTTCATATTTATTATTAATTAAGGAGGTTAATAATTTTATTTTATTTTCGCTTTATCGCTTCTTTTTTTTTTACAAAAGATAATTACACCCCGGAAATCAAAAGAACGACTCATAAGCTTAGTTTGGCCCTGCTGTAGCTTTTGCAGAAGCAGCTTCTGGCTGAAACTTTTAGATAAGTAGTTTTCAAAAAAAGCAGTTGAGTGTTTGGCCGTAAAACTATTAGAAGTGCTTTTTAATATGAGCGGTTGTGTAAAATGACTATAAAGGACTTTTAATATAAAATATGAATAAAAGTTTTAAACAATAAAAAGTAGTCAAAATGGATCTTGTTAGATTTCTTTTATATTAAATAATATGATTTTATAATTTATTTTATTTTTAAAATGATATAAATGGAGAAAAATTATATTTTCTGAAATAAATTTAAAATATGGTAAGGATAATCTTGTATTTTCAAAACAGCTTTTCGCATAAGCTCCAAATCGGAGCTTCTGCTTTTATGTTATACAAAAGCGCTTTTCGGCTTTTCAAAAGCCGAGCTTTTAGAGGTGTTTGGCCCTGCTTCAGATTTTGAAGCCGAAAAGCACTTCTAAAAGCCGGGCCAAACATAGGCATAGTCGGGTACAAATAGAGGGCTTTTCTAGCCACCAAATGGGCTACCCTATTGCTACAGCGACCTACAAATCTAACACTAAACCCAGGATTGCTGGCAAAAATCTGAATGAGTTCCTCCAGAACAGCTCTTAACCGACTATCGCTAGCATCCGCTTGGTTAATTTTATCAATGATAACTTTCGCATCCCCCTCAAAGGAAATATCCCCGAAGCCGAGAGACTGACACCAAAGAACAGCTTCACGAAGCGTCACCAATTCCACAACCAGGGGGTCGTCAAACCACTGAAACTGCACACCCTTAGCCATCAAAACATCCCGATCCGGGGTCAGAATAACCAAATCACCAGCCGAGTGCAAACCAATGAAAGCCGAGTGCGAACCAATGAAAATCTATCAATAGGTTACTAATGAAAATTTTTGTGACGACAAGCATTGATTTTTTATTTTATTTTATCACGAGCCTGCACATAGAGTATCGACATGGAATGAAGGATTTTTTTCTTCTTCTACATTATACATCATTATTCTGCAGATACACCATATCAAATAGTTGTATAGTGAAATCAGAAAAGGAAATTCTATCCACAGACATTACATTTACGAGATAGTCATGAAAGTGCAATCGTAAGAGGGAAGCACCAATCCTTGAATCGTTTAGAAAAATAGCAGTAAGAAACGATGTAAAAAATGGCCCATACAGGTCTCGAACCTGTGACCTTCGCGTTATTAGCACGACGCTCTAACCAGCTGAGCTAATAGGCCAATTGATCGAGTTTTGCCGTTGTTGGTATATATTCATTTATTCTGCAGCTTTGGTTAAATATTATGGACATTTGGCGGGAAACATTTGATAGTTAGTATGTAATTTCAATTCTCTTATTTTTAGCCGCATCCACTTTTAGAGTTGAGTTTTAGAATAGTAATCGACGTGTTGTGTTGAGTTGAGTGCAAATTCTCCTTACTAAGTTCTAATCATGGTGTATTGCTATTTGCTAACACTGATTCTTCCAAGTTCTAATTCTATTTGATATTACCTCTTATCTTTCGTAAATTTATTGGGATAAAAATACGAAGCTGTAGCTCAAACCGGTATATTATCCACGACTGATTCAAAGTTCAGTGAGAGCATAAAACAAGGACCACATCTCTTCTATATATATAAAAATTTTCAAGCCTTCCAAGTAATGATTTTTTGTTTTCGATCCCTAAATTTTGTTATGACTTCTCCCTACTTTTATTACTCCCCACATTTATACCAATTTGATTATCATAATCTAGATGAAGGATTGTCCTCGCCACTTCATGAATCATTTCTACTCCAAAAGACATTGGATCAATGCAACTAAAATCACTACCCACAAATATTCTCAACATATTCGAGAGCGACTTGAAATAGTTGAAATATGAGCGACCATAAAAAGCATAACATCAAATTCGTTATCAAGTTCTTTATTCAAAGCAAAAGTGTTGTTGTTATACAGTAATAGAATGAACCAAAATTTCATCTCAATTAAAGGGGGAAAAAGCCCACCATAACCACCTTTGTTTGTTTGGTCAGAAGAACAGACCAAATTCATACATATACCAATCGTACTATACACCTCACCAGACTTATTTGATGATCCCAGGAAGTATCTGTCACCTCCTAAACATGGCAAAAAGTCATTTGCGCCATATTCTCCAAGTAAGAAGAAGAAGAAGAAGAAGCTCTTCTTGCCTCTCAACCTCTACACCAAAACAGGAATTAGAAGGAAGAAGAAAAAAAAATGGAACTATATGGCTACTTGTCGATAGTGAAACATGGAATTCATTCCACCATTGCAGATGCTGTTGCAGGAGAAGCCACCATTAACGGCTTGCCTCTTCCCATGGCGAATCCTCTGGTTCCATCAGGCATTCTTGGACCCTTTGTAGCATTATACTTAACAGACGCTGCTGCCTCAAATGGACCGAAGCTGCTTGTAACAGCCGGTGGAGATGGCGAGAGAAGGCCTCTCCCACTGCCATGGCTTTGCAACCTTCCACCTCTTCCCTTCCCTCTCCCTCTTCCGCATCCCGCCTTCTTCGATGATCCAGAGATTTCGTCCACCTGCTGCACCAAAGCAGCGGCGCAGATCCAGAACAGGTCAGAGCACTGGGGCCGCATTTAAAAAGCGTTGGAGAGGACTGGGCCGTAACCCAATAAACACTGAAATATATACCTAAAATTGAAAATTTACAAGTACTATACGAGCTTTGGATCCGGGGAGGGCTGGGCCGCGGCCCCCAAGATCCGCCGCTGCACCAGAGTTGGGATTGAGCTCGAACGGGGAGCAGAAGAATATGGGTTTTAGGATGTCGAAAAGAAGCTTACCTTCGACTCGGAAGTGAGATCTGCAGTGCTTGTTGGGATAGAGATATCATCAAGTGAATCAGAAAATGATCCCTCTTCATCGTCCAATACGCCTTCGAATTCCGACCTCCTGCTTTTCAGCACTGATTTAGGCTGCAAAAAATTTGCACCCCCCAAATGAGGGATTTTTGGAATCCTTTCCTTCCCCCCATGGGATTAAGAAAGCAAGCTATCTGATTTCGGACATACCGAGTATCTAAGGAGCAATCTGACTCGCAACCCTTTTCTCCAATTCCTTTCATCATTCAGCCTCTCCACCTAGCCGATACAGGGGAGCCCAGCAAACTTCAGGACAAGAGGCAGAGAAAGCTTATGATCGCGTAACAGCCAATACATAATAGAACAGTGGACATCACATACCGCTCTCTCAGCTACATCCGGTGTCTCAAACTCCACTAGAGCATGTAGCTTTGATTGATCAAAGGGAAATTAGAAGAGCCATAAGTTAAAAAGCACTTGTTGGGTTCGGAAAATAGAGATTTGATTGAAGAAATTACTGAAGAGTGAATACCTTGTTGCTCATGAAGAAATCACTTTTAGACCGAGAAGAGCTTGATTCCTGAGGATGGCAAATCCTGATGGTTTTGACACTGCCGAATGACAAAATAACATTGATATCAAACATAAACACATAGATTGTGGAAGTATTGAACATAGACAAAAAATTATAACTACCTTCCAACAACACCAAATATCTTCTCAAGGTTTTGATGAGAGTGATCCTCAGGCAAATTCTCCACTACCACACTGCGAGACTGCAATTCCTCTCTCTCTTTCTCAGTGAACGGGAACTTACGTTTAACCTTCCTTCCATCTTCATGCACAACCTTTCCCCCCATCCATCACCGGAGCATTAAGTAAAAGATCCACAATTCACAACTCAGTCGCGCAGAAACTAAATTTTAAAACAAGTCTAGAAAGACAACCATAGGGGGAGGAGCTTACGAGCTTTGGAGATGATTTGAGTGCCTGGGTGATCAGATGATGGTTACTGGTAAGGGACTTCATTTTCTTTGTGGAAGCAATGACAGATATAGGCACTGTTGCATTCAGGTACTCAGTTTAGAACACGCCAAGATCTCAATCAATTTGCAGGTTAACACAATGGTGGGGAAGAAGAACGAATCCATGCTTACCATAACCTTCAGGATCTTTGCTCAGGTGCTTTGACATCGATTCGTTTGCAAGGAGACTCATATCACTGAACTGGTATTCTGCCTATTGAACCACAAGAAACGATTTTGTCAAATGGGTTATGCAGCCATTGGAATTCTGCATCAGGGGGGACGAATCCGGAGAATTCACAAAAAATATTCAAAATCCCTAAGATGGGATCTGAATCGTTTAGCAAATTTCCCAGGATGTGGATCTGTATAACCTGTTTGACAATTTTCTGGCGGAAATCTTCGGTGAGAACCTGGGAGGCATCCTTGGCGGAGCAATTAGGTAACGCGACATTAGGGTTCGGGATCAAATAAGCGGCGCCGACAGCGGAAGAAGCGTCCTGATCACCGCCGATGAAGAACCAATCGGAGCCACCGGTGGCGCTCAGGTAGTGGAGACAAGGGTAGAAATATCCGGAGATCGGGGACATCTGTTGCTGCGCGGCGGCGGCGGTCGTGGCGGCAGCGACGCCGGCGGAACGCGATCTAGGTACGTACTCGGGAGCATGCGCATTGAATTTGAACGAAGCACCGCAGCCACCGGCCGCCGCCGCTGCCAAAGCTGTGCTGTCGCTGCCGGCGGTGGGGGTGGTGGGCGGTGGCTTGGCTTTCTCCTTGATCATCGCCGTAATCATCATCATCTCCTTATTACTGCTGGCGGTACTCTGTAGCGAAGAAGAAGTTTCTTGGTCGATGATCTTCTTCTCTGGATAGGCTTGCGCCATGATTGAAAATTCGATCGATCGTTTATGCCGATTTATTTTATTATTATTATTGTTTGGAGATTAGGTTTCAGTTGTGGGGAAATTGGGGATGGTTTTCACAATCTTGCTCTTGCTTTTTCTCTCTTTTTTGGCGGGTGTTCCTCCTGAAGAACAAGAGTAACTGTAAATAATGGAGAGTTGGTTATTGAAAATCCACCTTTCCCACGCAAATAAAGGTAATTTTTTCTTCATTATTTATATATATTTTATAGGAAATTTTGGTTTCATTGACCACAAACCGTTGCTTGAGGGGATTTTTGACCAGCCCCATTTAAGGGTTTGTAATTTGCAAATGTTTCTTGTGCACTTTTCTCCCCAGTTTTTCTCTCTTTTTTTTTTCCATTCCCTTTTCTAAAATTAATTTTGGTTTTTAATCGATTTAGATAATGAGTTTTTTTATAAATTTAGAATTTTGATAAATTTACGATCACGTTTGTTCCCGCTGAAAAAAAGAAAAGGACTAGAGCCAATAAGCCTGGTAGGTCAAAGAATCTAAAGTAACAAACACTCTCAACATCTAGCTAGAATTTGAGTTATAACTAAATTTAGTTGTAATAGTACATTCATTTACAATATACCGAATTACATTGTCACTCGTCAAATTATTGGTTATTCAGTTATGCAATTCATTTCGACTTCAGTTAAAGGCTTTGTCTACTAAATGAAAGTAGTCGATTATTAAAAAAAAAAGTTGCACAACTTATTTGTCGTATAATTTATAATTAAAAAGTGATATTCTTGTAGTTGAAAAGTGATATTCATTTTTTTTAAACGGAGCGCTAAAGGGCGTTCCAACCTTTAATCATTGACGTCAATCAAATGGGTCAAGCTAAACCCAACCGAGTCATAATATAACCAATAAGATAACATCGGGCAAGGAGTAGTGATATCGTGATCATCGGGCGAGAGATCATGGCCTAGACACGCCAAGTAATCATCAACAACATTACCCTCCCCAAGAACATGAATTAGCTCCACCTTCCAATCCTGAGCAAGAAGTTTCGAGCTTCCAAGATCAAACCTGAGTGTGGATGGCGAATTCCCGCTGACGTGAGCAACTGAATAGCTGTCTTCGAGTCTGTCTCAACAACAAGCTGCCGGATACCAATCTTCCATGCAATATGAAGGCCATGCACTAAACCTGCTAACACAGCTCGAGTAACGGATCCCTCCCCCAGATTCCGAGCAAAAGCCCTCCTCATGCGGCCATCTTCGCCTGAAAAGTGATATTCTTATTCGTCATGTAAATTCTTACCATTCCATATAAGGGTCGGATCATCTTTTGACCCTATAAGGATCGGGTAGGGTCGAGTCACTTTTTGACCTTGTGACTCTTAGATATGAAATTCCACATACCAACACATTGGACCTATTTGTAAAATTTTAAAAGTTTGGTACTAAATTGTAAAAAAAAATGGATACCAAAATATAATTTGTAAGCAGTTTGTTGACAAGGGTCGACCCACTAATCTGATCATTCCTGACCCGCCCCGACACTAGAGGATTATATAGGATCAAGAAGAAAATAAGGGCGGATCAGGTCAGTTATACATTGATCTTGACCATTCAGGGTCTATCTGTAAGGATATCGCAAAAGTTCTCTAGAGTTTGGGATGCATTTACTCACTCTCATTAGCTTTGTGAATAATCACAATGCAATAATCGAGTTTGCCTCAACTAGGTATGCGCTTCAAGAAGATTTTGAGGGATTATTTGCAGTGACTTGAATTTTTTCAACCAAAATTTTATTTCTCACAAATCGTCTTTCCTTTGTTGTGTGAGTGCAACGATTATAATCAATGCCTCGTCTTCGTGTCGTCACTATCGTTGGATCACATTGAACACTAATAACAAAAACGAAAGAATGACAACGATAGAATCATAGAAACACACCAAGATTAAACCTTTTGATTGCTTTTCCTCTTTCACTGCAACAGAGGCAACTCTAAACCAACCAAGACGAAGACTAACTTGTATCATAAGCTCGATTAGAGGAAACCATGACGATTTGGTGTGATTGCTAATAATGAAGTCAAAGAAGAAAACGTTTCTTCACATAATTTCTAGAACAAACAGGAACACTATATCAATGAGCTGACGCCACAACTATCAAAATTGGTCTCTGAAGTTCAATAGGATTGCAACCTTGGACAACATAGCATAGTATTCTATCTCGGACTTCCGAAGAGGCGGGTGGCGATGATAATCAACTTTACTGCATGGATGATTCAAATGCAGAGGACGGATAAATAGGGTTGATAATCAGTTCGGTTATAACCGGAATCGTTTAGTCAGTTATCTGTTAACCGTTAAGCACTTTATTGACAATATTGAGTGGAAACCCTAAAACCTGGGTTGTGTATTGCATTGAGATGAATTTATATGTGGGTTTTGCCACTACACGTTAAGGATCAGCAACTGTCCTTTTACAGAAGAGTGAAATGTAAAGGAAGTTACAGCAGGGGAAAAGATACAAAAGAGACTATTCTGGCGGGATCTGTGCTGCTGTGTCATTTGAGACAACGGTCGACTTGACCCCTTGTACGAAGTCGCTCCATGGTGAGTTGCCTCTTTACTGTGGAAATTTGAATTTCTGCTGTTACCCCCCTACAAGCGGGTGGGCAGAGCGTCTGGACACCGAGCTTGGATAGAAGAAAGCTGAAGGTTGCTGGAGGAAGAGGCTTAGTGAAGAGATCCACGAGTTGATGAGAGCTCGAGACATGGAGGAGTTTGATGACTTTGGATTGCAGCTTCTCCCTGACCAGGTGGCAGTCAATTTCAATGTGCTTCGTTCTTTCATGGAATGTGGGGTTGCCAACGATGTGGAGTGCAGATTGATTATCACAGAAAATGGTAGCAGGTTGTGGATAGGGATGGCAATGGGTCGGGTTGGGTCGGGTTGGGTCGGGTTTTGCCAAACCCAAACCCATGGGTTTATCCGTGAAAAAAACCCGGGGTAAAACCCACTGGGTTTGAAAAACTCAAACCCAACCCAACCCGCTGGGTATCCGCGGGTTCATGGGTACCCACGGGTTTTTGTCGTAAAAAATTTACAATAACAAGTTCCTATCAAAATTAAAGTCAAATATCAATCTCTCAATACAAATTATCCATATTTAAAACACCATTCTAGAAAATTCAAGCAAATCACAAATTAACTATACAAATTGTTCAACACCAATCTAGAAGACTCAAGAAAATTGAAGTAAATCATAAATTATCCATAAATAACATGATTAATTGAAGGCTTCTTCCTTTCAATTAAGTTTCTTCACTCTCCACTCGATAACACAAACTTCATTCTACACCATTAGAAAGAAAAAATTAGACATGTCTCCACAAACATAAATAAGATTAGTTGTTTGAAATATTAAATATACCGAGAAAATTAATTATATGTGTGGGCGGGTACCCACGGGTCGGGTTTACCAAAACCCAAACCCAACCCAACCCGGTGAATAGTGAACGGGTTTAAACCCAAACCCGACCCAAAACCCGTCAATACGGATTTTACCCGCGTTGACCGGGTTGGGTCGGGTGGGTACCCGTGGGTTCGGGTTTGGTTGCCATCCCTAGTTGTGGATGAGGCACTCTGAAATCAGTGAGGAGAAATAAGAGCCATTGTACCTCGCAGGATGTGTATGCTAGGGCCCTGTACTCAGCTTCACACGAAGAGCGAGAGACAGTGTGTTGCTTTTTGCTCTTCCAAGAGATGAGAGAGTCTCCTAGATAGATGTAGTAGCCTGTGATTGAGCGCCTTGTATATGGGCAAGCAACATAGTCTGAATCGTTGTATCCCTTGAGATGAAGAGAGGATGAGCTCGAGAAGAATAAGCCAGAGGTTGGAGAAGATTTCAGATATATGAGCACACGAAGAAGGGCTTTGTAATTGGGTTTCATTTGGGGATGCCATAAACTGAGTTGTTGGGTGGAGAAACTTATATCAGGCCTTGTCGTGGTGAGATAAATCAGTTTCCCCACAAGTTTTCTGTATGTTGCAGCATCATTGAGACGTTGATCAGGAGCGGTAGACCGATGGGATTTGTAATCCATTGGTGTTAATGCAGGTCGAGATAGAAGCACACCAGTTTCCTCAAGTATTTCAAGTGTGTATTTCCTCTGGTTGAGATGAATCCCTGATGAATCCCTTGAGACCTCCAGACCTAGGAAGAACTTAAGGTTGCCAAGATTCTTTATACCAAAAGCATGATGTAGATGATCCTTGATATGATTTATTTCAGTAAGATCAGACCCTCAAATGATGAGATCATCCACATATATTAGAATACATGTATAAGAGGTTGGAGTGGTTTTGAAGAAAAAGGGAATGATCAACCCGACTTGACTGGTATCCCTGAGAGTGTAAGCTGTCTGCAAGCTTGGCAAACCATTGGCGAGGACCGAGGAGCTTGCTTTAAACCGTAGAGGGATTTCTTGAGAAGACAGACTGGATTTGGGACATCAGCTGGTGGTGTGTAACCCTTTGGAAGCTTCATGTAGACTTCTTCATGGACATCTCCATGAAGAAATGCATTGTTCACATCAAGTTGTTGAACAATCCACATCTTAGTTGCTGCAATGGCCAAGAAGAGTCTCATTGTTGTCATTTTAATGACAGGGGCAAAGGTATCCTGAAATCGACCCCTTCCTGTTGACTGAACCCTTTTGCTACTAGTTTGGCTTTTTCTCTTTCAAGACAACCATCAGAGAGAAATTTGAGCCTAAAGATCCATTTTTTACCAATGGCCTTCTTCTTTGGAGGAAGTGAGACAACATCCCATTTATGATTTTGAATAAGTGCCTTGAGCTCAGATTGAACTGCATTGTCCCATTCTAGGCTGAGAATGGCTTCTTCATAGGTGTCTGGCTCCTTGTAAGAAGATACGTTGAGTGCATACTTCTGATGTGGAAGAGATAGAGTAGAACAATCAAGGAAAGCAAACAGGGTTGCAGAATTACCTATTGTGAAGACTCAGGTGAGTCACTAGTAGAAGAAGACTGCTGGAGCAGGCTGCAATGGTATGGTTGTAGTCTAGCAGGTTGTTTGATTTGTCTATGTGGTTTTCTGATGGCAATGGTTATAACCATCAAAAGTACTTTTGATGATTTCAAATCAATTATAAATCATCTGCAATGGTATATTTATAGCCATCAACATGTATTTAGGAAAATGGTTTTATAGAAACAGTTAAACTGTCTGGAAAAGGAAGCCTTCTTTGCTTTTCAAAGTGGCAAACATCACAAGGTATAGTCTTAAAATGAGAGACATGGCCTAGTCTAAAATGCCATAAGTCAAAGCTACTTGCAGTAGTAGTGGAGGCTATGACAGGCTTAGGGCTACTGGTTGCTCCTACATGGGTCATGTGGTAGAGCCATGGGAAAGCTCAGCAGAACCAGTCACTCTCCTGAGCTCCAAATCCTGTATTGTGCATAGATCAGAAAAGAAAGTTAAACACAAAGATTTGTTTGTGGTTAACTTGCTAACTGATATGAGGTTGAACGTGAATTGTGAGACAAAAAGAATTGTCTCAAGTGTTAGGTCTGTCACAGATGTAACACGACCAATATGTGTAGCTTGTACTTTAGCTCCAGTAGGTAAATTGATGAAGACATTATGCAGACTGCTGGGATTTTCTAGTATACTGAGTGAGCAAACAATATGGCCCGAGGCACTAGTGTCTAGTATCCAGGTGGTGCTAGAAGGTGATCTACCAGAGGCATTTAGAGAATGTTTACCTGAAGGTCCCTCATAGGAATGGAAAGCAGTTGTTGTATGAGAAATGTGCTTCTGTGAATCTTTCTCTCTGAGCATAGCCATGAACCTGTCATAATCTCCCTTTGTTAATCTCACCTCTTGGTTTTCAGGATTGGTAGAGATGGATAAAGGAGGAGTGGGGCTGATGAAAGCAGGAGCTTGAATCCTCATTGGGGTTGAATTGGGGTTGGCCTTGGAGGTTCCAGAGGAAGACCAACCATGCTTGTGGAATCATCTGTCTTCAGTATGACCCCTCCTTTTGCATAAGGTACATTCCTTTTGCAGTATGTGCATTAGGGACGTTTTCCTTGTGAACCTTGAGCAACTAGGACTATAGATTTAGAAGCTAGTACCCTACTCTGCTGAGACCCAAATTGTTGTCTTTCATGTTGAAGTAAACGCTGAAAGACTTTGTCAATAGAGGGTAAGGTGTATCCAAAGAGAACTTGGGATCTCACTGTGGAGTAGTTATCATTCAAACACCTAAGAAACTGGATCACGTAGTTGGTTTCTCAGTAGTGAAGAACTAGTTTCAGGGCAATGCAGGTTTGATGACTGGTTGGGGTACAAGCACATGGTTCAATCGGTTGATAGCCATCTAGTTCATCTTGAATGGCAATGAAATGACCATAGTACTCATTGAGAGTTTGGTTACCTTGCTGGAGACTAAAGAGAGATTCAATTAGCTCTGCAACTCGAACAATGTCTCCTTGACCATATCGAGCCTTCATACTCTGCCAAGCTTCAGAGGCGAGCTTGACTGACATCAGTGTCTTGCGAATGCCTGGTTCAACAACATGTTGAATCCAACTGAGGACCATAATGTTGTTTCTTGTCCAGGACCAGTGAAGAATATATGTGTTTGTTGCTGGAGCAGTGATGGTGCCATCAATGAAGCCGAGTTTGTTCTTCGCTCCAAGGGCATTGTACATCGCCTTGCTCCAGTCATTGTAGTTGGTGGGGTAAGGTTTTCTCCGACCAACAAGACTCCAGGTTGTTCAGAAGCATGTAAGAAGTAGGGATCCGCCATAGGATCAGCTTGCTCTTGAGGCATGGCAAAGAAATTTTAGAGGCGGCTAGGGTTGATGCTCTGATACCATATTGACAGTATTGAGTGAAAATCCTAAAACATGGGTTGTGTCTTGCATTTAGATGAATTTATATGTGGGTTTTGCCACTACACGTTAAGGATCAACATCTGTCCTTTTACAGAAGAGTGAAATGTAAAGGAAGTTGTAGCAGGGGAAAAGATACAAAAGAGACTATTCTGGCGGGATCTATGCTGCTGTGTTGTTTAAGACAACGGTCGACTTGACCCCTTGTACGACGTCGCTCCATGTGAGTTGCCTCGTTACTGTGGAATTTTCAATTTCTGCTGTTTCATTTTGTACTTGTTGTTAACCACTCCGTTTATATTATTCGGTTAACCATAATCACATAGTCGGTTCTTATTTATTTTGTCAGTTAATCGTTAAACAAGTGATTTGACAAGGTTATACCAAAATAACTAGTCGGTAATCTAACCAACATAAGACATCAATTGTGCATTTTTGCAGATTTTTTCCTACAGATGTTCTTTTTTTAAGTAGTTATCATTGACTTACAAATAATTTTACATAGATAACAATCCATAATCAACTCAATTAAACACTAACACCATCCTATCGTCCTATTTGATTAAAGAAACAAATAGAAATAAGAGATCCTACAACAATTACTCAACTCATAAACCCCACCAAATTACATAGAAGATTAAATGTTACTGATTGTTGTCGGGATAATATGCTCAAGTCCAACTTTCTATTGTGCTCCTTCTACAGCCGTTCATTGAATTATTGGCATTTGAACCTAAGCCACTATTATAACTATGGTAGGCAAGGAATGTTGTAGGCTTTCAAACATCCCATTATTCTTTTTCTACGTCTACGGCTCATCAAGTCCTATTATTTTAGACCTAACTACGAGGACGATCCTAATCGGTTAGTTGGTTAATCTTTTAAGCATCGGCTACTAACTGCCTAACCGTCGGTTGGTAATTAGCTAAATTTGACTATCGAGAATCGATCGTTTACTGTATAATCAATTATAGGTGTAACCATTAACTATCGATTTCGCTTTGGTTATCTATTATACCGCTAACATGATAATCGTTTACTAGTCCTATGGAGTGGGGGTTTAGTTTAATTTTTATTTTTTCTTAATTGTATGTTTTAATTGACAAGTGACTAATTACGTTAGAATTGGCTAGCACTTAGGACGAAGATAACAAAGTTGGACGAAAATTGACCATTGATAAAATGAAAATGTAAAGTTAATAATGGCTAATACAATTGAAATTTTTGAATGAAGGTTTACAAACCGCGGGTTGACTCTGACCCTGTCGAGCTAGAGGGTTAAGGGATAACGAGTCACCCGTTTTAGTCCAAAAATATGGAAAGAGTCATTATATTGTACTTAGATCCAATTATATCAAATCTCATCTAACATACAAGTAATAACTTATAATATTACACCAAAGTAACATGTCGTGACTTGTACTTAGATCCAACATATAGTGAAAATTCAGACACACTTATATAACATCAATATTCAAATGTTCAACTAAGAATTCCAAAGATTGAGTTTGACAAAAAGAGAAATCGGAAAATAGACGCATTAAGCAAACCAAAGAAAAAAAAATGACACAATTTGACCTCCAACTAAATACCTTACAGCGGTTGACCCGACGTGTGCGTGCGATCCGTTTTTCTCACCAATCTTTGGACGTTTGTCACTATTTGCCCACCGTCTGATTTGAATAGGTGTGTGCAGACTAGGGCTTTTCCTCGTGGGCTCCTGATTCCTGAACGATCCTGATGGGCTATACTGAGAGAGAGAGAGAAAAAAAGCCCATAATTCAAGGTATTTCCAAAAGTTGTGCGTTCGGGGGAGGGAAGAAAAGAAGCAGCCTGCAGCCGAAGCATTTATTTCCTTCCATTTCGCTCTTTTGGGCCGGCCATCTGAGGCCCATAATACCTTTACCTTGAAACTATGAGCCCACCTGAATGCTGAGGGCAGGCCTGCATGTGAATCCCCGGCCCAAACAATCTTATTTTGTCGTTTTCTATGGCACTCAACCGCGGACTCGGAGGCAGTGATGGCAATGGGGCGTGGCGGGGCGGGTACCTCAATTCCCAATTTCTCATGTCCCGCCTCACGCTACTACGGGTCAGGGCGGGTAAAACCCGCGCGGGTACGGGGCGGGGCGGGTCGACCCACTCTTACATGTTGTTAAAAAAAATATATATATACAAGTAAATTTTACTTTTTACAATAAAACGTAGGGAAAAACACTTTAAGAATGAAAAATATTGATAATAGAATGGATAATTGAGGCTAACAATTTGAAAGATCGACTCTAACTACTTGAAAAAAGTCAAAATAGGAGAAATATGTATAGATATTGTAAGAAATTGAGATAAAATGGGTCTAGAACCGGACGGGGCGGGACAGGGCGGGTCGGAAGTAGATATCCATGCCCCGCCCCACGCTATTGCCGGTCGGGTAATACCCGCCCCATCGCGGATCGGGTCATGTAATACCCACGGGACGGGTTGAAATTGCCATCACTACTCGGAGGGAATGATACGAAGGATTAGTCGGTGGAAAATGATGGACGTGAATCACATGCTGCATAAGCAAAGAGATGATGACCGGTCAAAAAAGTAGCTTAGATATATTGCTATCATATTCAAAGCCACACCACAGTAGTTAGTACTACTTTAATTAATTAATTAATGGTGTCACGTTTATGGAGCAAGTGTGGTCAAGGCCTCCAACACTTGGGCCGCTAGATGATTCACTTCATTGGTGGCAAAAGTGTTAAAAAGAAAACTCGGAAGGGACAAAATATCCGAAATCGTGAATGTTCGTCTGAATCCAACCCAATTCGGTAGGTTAAAATTCGAATCCGGAAGATTTTTTAGCAATTTTTCTGGACGCTGTGCCAATACCTTGTCCCCCTGTTGTTAATTTTTTGTTTGAAATAATACACACAACATCCAACAACAGTTATATCACCTTAAGAGTATACTATAGTCGAGAAGTACATCAAATTCTGTATTATTTTCATTGGCTACCCTAGCTCCCTAGTTGCCCACCTACCAAACTTATTAAGCCAACATGAAGTTTGAGATTATTGATGATAGCTAGCTGTCTAGCTATGGTAGCCTTTCTTCAATTATTGATGATGATCATATGTGGCCATTGAGATTCTTCTATACTATTCTATCAAACTACTTTGATTGAGTGAGTGAGAGTGACTGTTTTGTCATGCACATCAATCCCTAATATAGGAATTAATACATTCATTGTGTTTTGGTAATGCTAATCCTAATGCATATATATGGTTTGAGTTGAGATAAAAAAGGTAAAGCTTGCAGGTGATTGCTGGTAGTGGGATAAGGCTGGGATTAGGTGGGAAAAAAAAAAATGATTGTCAAGATAGCATGATTGGGGTAAATGCAATGTTTCCCCTTTTGAAGTTTTTTTTCTTTCTTTCTTTTGGCTAAGCTTGTAATTTGATCCATATATGAGTACAAATTGGATCACTGTTTTTAAGTTTGATTGTGGCTCTCTGGAGACCACTTAATTTGATTTGTGGTGTGTGAAATGTGGCATGCAAATTAAAAATCATTTCCTAGATTTTTTTATGTGTGTTTTTTGTATTGTTTGTGGGGTTTTTCATGATAGATTTTGTTGAATTTTGCTCAAATTGAGACTGAGTAAAAGAGAAAAAATTGATCTAGGGATATGAAAGAAGTACCCACATAGTTGATTGGTTCAGCGAACAAAAAGAAGATATATATCGTGATTTGCATAAAGGAACCAGAAGAAGCCGATGGGGATGTGTTTACTGTCTTGATTCATTTCACCAGTTTTACTTACACAAATTCGAATTAATTATAGAGAGCAAATGACGTTTGGACTTGTACAGGCAAGCCAGCTAGCACATCCTTATCACTAACCATACCCATTAACCCAAATTAATGAAAGATTATTGGAACAGCTTATAGCTTCTTATCGTGAACCCCATGTGTTTGTTGCTACTTAAAGCACTGCTTTAAGACTAAGTGTAATTTTGATCCTTTGTTAGTTAGGGAAAAAGGGACAAGGTACGTAAACTAACCTCATTCAGTCATTAATTAGCTCCCAGTTTTGAATCATCTTTATATTTGATTGCCTTGCATTTCAGGCAGGGTTCAAAAAGGCGCGCCTAGGCGCACGCCTAGGCTCAATTAGGTTCTAGGCGGTGGAGGATCGCCTTGACTTGGCTATAGGCGTTGTAAAAGGCGCTGATAGCGCTTAGTAGGTAGGAATAGCGCTTAGTTTGCGCCTAGTGGAGAGAAGGCGTGCCTGGGCGAGCTTAGGCGGTTAAACCCGATACTTTTCGTTTTGTCCTAGAAAATCAGAAAATTGCCTCTTGCCCTAGAAAATCAGAAACACGGGAAGGGGATGACCATGCTATGCATGTATTCGTAGATGAGGATGAGGAACCATATTATGCACCCTCGAGTACTGTTACAGATGCAATGGCGGGTGAATAGAGTGAGCTTCGCAGGAGTGCACGAGTGAGAGAGTTCCATGATGAAGAATTAGTGTCTGAAGAGGAGGAAGTGGAGGAGGATGGTGAGGAGATTGCTTTTGAGGATGATGAAGATGAAGTGGTGGCTGGACGGACCTACTTGGATGATGAAGAATGAACATTTTCCTATGAACTTATTGACTATTTGCTTGTTATTTGTTATGTTAAGTGTTTACCGTTAAGAACTAGGCATTGCTAATTTTATATGCACTTGGATTATATGAATTATTCCAGAAAACAGGAAATATTTGAGAAATTTTTCCATTTATGCTCTGAACGCCTAGGCGCGCCTAGACTACGCCTAATCAGGCAAGGCACAAGTCAGGAGCCGAGCGCCCACCTTACGCCTAGCGCCTTTTAGAACCTTGATTTCAGGTATAAAATGGTTATCCACACGTAGATGGAAAAGTCATTACTAATCTTACTATAAATTGTTTCACTAAAAATTTGACTCAGATTTCATGGTTTCGTGTTGTGCTAGCGGATCAATCAACGTTTTTGTTACTTTCTTCTGAGAAAACCTCCTTATTGACGAGTTTTTTTTTAATTTCGCGATTATCATTAATTTTTATGGTGGTTCGATTATTATTATAGTTGATGTTTGAACAATTTTTTTTACGAGTTATGTAAAATAACTTATACGAGACATAAGTTTAATGCAGTTACTTTTGCGGTTAGTTCTTTATTCGGTTGTGGTTAAAACTGCTAACTGCGAGACAACCAATATCACTAACCGCGACTGAATAAGAGCTGACTTATTTGATTTTTAGTTAACCACAAACCGCAAAATTTCGATGCGATTAGCGGTTCAACTGCGAAATCGTAACCGTATCGCCACCCTATCATCGAGCAGCCGACACGTCATGCTCTCGATATCTCATGCCTTTATGTGAGCAGTTTTTTTTCTTCCTAAAAACTTTAAAAAAGAATTCTAGACTACTCCATAAGCTTCTTTTTCTTTGCATTTTTCAAGTAATATATACTTTGATTCCTTCTACCAAAAGGATAATATATTTTTGATTCATTCTACCAAAAGGATTCTGGTTCTGGGAATGAGCAACTGGTCATCACGGGTGGCACTCAGGTGGCCCAACAAACACATTCACCATCCATCATCATCATCATAAGCACAAGAATGAATATTTATGCTATTCCATCATCATTCCCTCCCAATAAATAAATAAATAAATAAATAAAGAATAAAACTTTTTTGTGTCATTCCATCAACCCATTTGAAAGCAACACAACATGGAATCCAATCCAAATCTTACCCCAAAAATCAATACACTTTTGGCAACATCCAACACCATCATTATCATAATTCAACTCTCATCCATTAGCTTTTCCTTCCCTCAAAAGCTTGTCTGTCCTTTGGCAATTTTCGCTTACTCCGTCGTCGTCGACAGAAGCGTTTTGCATTCAGTAGTGACTAGTACCATATGATCATACCTCTATATACTCGTGGTCATTGGATTAGCGAAAAAATGGAAATTTCATGTGTACTCATTGATACATTGGCGATCCGAAATCTAAATAAGTGTGGCGAAAAAAATAAGGAATTTGAACTATGAAAAGAGACTGAACCCTCCAATAGAATTGCGTTTTTTTTTTTTTTTGCACCTCGTGAAGAAAAGATGTTCCTTTTCACGAGTTCCCTCAGCTGAAAGGTAAGCAAAAACCCATACCAAAAAAGACAAAAGCAGAGCAAGAAACAGAGGAAGACAAAAGCTTTCACATCTCAATTGAGATGGAGATGAGGAAGAGGAGCAAAACTCCTAAAGTGATGAATGAAAGAAAGAAAGAAAGGAAAGAGGGCTTGTGAAACCTGTTTGTCTGAATCTGATGAGAAAAATCCCAAGGGGACCATCCAAATTTGGGGGACCAAAGAGGAAGAAAAAATAATTGTGGGAGAATATTCTTTGGTTTGCTGTTTCAATAATAGCCCTGAGCTAGATGGCAACAGAAAGTACACAATATGACCTTTTTTGGAATCTACCAGCATGACTTTCAGTTTCAGATTTCACATTTTCACAGTTTCTTGTTTTCTTACCATCTGCAGCCTTTTACATCATTCTCCACAAGTAAAAATTCTGCATACAAAAGCCTGGAGTTTCCACTCAAATCCAGGGAAATGGCTGCAAATGTTGCAGCAGGAAGAACTCCAGAAATGACAGAACACAGCTACATTGGATGATAAGAATATATAAGCTGACCCCTTGATGAACTCTTTTCTCTTCTTTTGTTCTTTTTTTTTTTCTGGGTTTCTTTTGTCCATGGAAGACATGGATCTTCAGAATATTACTATACCAATTCCGCGATACAATACAAATGCTCAACCTCAATGACATAGATATATAAAAAAAGAAAAACTACTCCTGCAAAAATTTCCACGGCTTCCTTCCTCTGCAATCCGTAGTCGTTGTCATGATCTTCTTCTCGTGCGATTCGTAATTTCCAGTATTTTTGTTTCTTATTTATAACCCATTATATTGATCTTCTTCCCATGTATACTTTTACTCTGCAAAAAATTCCGTGGAGTGGAGACAAGCACACTATACACCAACTTTCCCTGATCTTGGAGTATGACTCTTCCAGCTATAGTTCTCTGATTTCGCATCATCGTCGTCTTCCATGCTATCGCCTCCGGTCAGGGTTCCACCAAACTGGAGGGGACCGTGTGGAGAACCAGACTGGGAGCTAGCAGCCTTTGAGGAGTCTCCATACTGCTCTTGTGAAGACATCCACAAACCCCCCAAAACAACTACAGATTGGTTTGCAGGAGTGTTGCCACCGGGTGCCATTCTCCGTGTATGCAGTCGGTATTTCTGCAATTGAGACACAAACCAAGCACCATCAGAACATAAGCAACGAACTCACATTCAAATAGCTCGAAGACCGATTAGTCTCCTTTTACAATCACTAATGAGAAGAAAAAAAGGCAATGCTTAAACACTCACCTGCAAATGGCTCTTCACTTCATCATTGGTCAGACCATCAACTTGCATAATCTCTCTTATCTGCTTAGGTGTAGCAGCTGCAGAAGACCATACAAATGAGACTTCGAACCGGATGTAATACAAAATTTACAATAGCTGACTCCTACTTCATTACTCATTCAAGCTAAGCACAATTGAATTCACTAGATCTAATGTTCACCAGTTTCCATTTAGCAACCAAGGTTGTTCCCAATTCTCTACCTAGCCATTGTTCTATATACAATTCACTGTAAACCCAACAACAACAACAAAAGAACATACCAAGATCACAACCAGAATTTCTATCATTCAGAAAAGGTTTTAAAGTGGCTAACCTGAAGAGCCTCCAAGCTGCTGCAAAGCATTGACAAAGCGGCGGTGAAGCTCTGGTGACCAACACCTCCTCTGCTTCCTAGAAGCCTGGAAAGGCGGGTGCGGTCCTCCATTATGTGAATTATGAGACTGGGAATTAGGTGGAGAAGAGGTTGCCCTGGAACCTGTTGACCCAGAATCCTCTGAGCTCTTCAGTCCTGGAGTTAGAAGAGAGAGGCCAGGGATTCCCAAATCCTCTCCTCTGCCATTGTCTTCCTTCCTTGTTAATAAACTAGGAAAACTCTTAACTGGCAAAGTAACCAGAGACCGGTTTTGACAAGCTGAGAATAATGCATCCTCATTTCCACATCGATTCCCCTTCTTGTTCACCTACCATAGCAAACAACCAAATTGGATAATAGAAGGTTCAGTTCCCATTCTCTAGATTCACTGTATTTAAATTCAATTTTTCGTCACAATCTTCAATTTTGGTTTATGATTCTTATACCTTAGAAGATTCAAGTCTGAGATTTTGTTTAGCATCAGTACAAGCAGTGGCTGTGGCGTGATCATCAGAGCTCCACAACTGGACAGAGCTCATCCAATTTTTCTTGTCTTTAGAGGAGGAGTCCTTGTCATTCTTTATCCTAGAGTTGTCTTTACGTTCATCTTCATCTTCTTCACAGCTCCTCTTCAACGGGATGAACTCCTCCAACACCGGCGGTTGCTTACTACTAGCACAGCGCTGGATCGATTCCTTCACCACTATAATGGCTGCCCACCAAAAAAACAAATTAAGATCACAACCCACCATTCATATCGTCTCCAGCTGAAAAACCCAATTCAAATTCAACAGAGAACAAACAAAAACAACACATCCCATCAAAAATCATATCAAAACCCAAAACAGAAACCACAATCCTGAAACCAGAAACCACCGCATTCATTTCATTCCATTCACACATCACTGACCATCATTCAAGAGGAGCATGCAGAGAGGGAGCTCGCGCTTGAAGGCGTCGATCTTCTTCATCTCCTCCTGCAGCTCCCTCAACAAGCTATCCACTCTGGGAGCTTTCTCCGGCGCATCGCCGCCGATCATGGCCGTCGAAGAACCGTTCCGGAGGAAATCTCCGATCGTCTTGGGGACGAACTTGGTCGACATCATCCTGAAATCCAAGCTCAGTTCCGCCGGAATCGAACCCATTTTTCCGGCCTCTTTCCCCCCTTCTACAAATGAAAACCGAATCTTCTTCCTCCGGCTTTCCCCCTCCTCTCTTATTGCGCTGAGAATCGGAGGCGTGAAGCTACACAACACAGAAACGGCGAGATCTGCATAAATATATGGAGAGAGAGAGAGGAGCTGTGTGTGAATACTGAGAGAGAATCGAATCGATGGAGGAATGAACGGAAGGGAAGGAGAGGAGAGAAGATGAGGAGGACGAACAGAAAATATATATATAAAGAAAAGGAAGCGTTTGTGTTTCTTTTTTGCTGAATTTCCAATGGCGTTTTCGTAATATCCTGGAAAAGACGGGGGTGGTAATGTAAATGCGGAGGAGGGACGCGAAGATTCTGTTGCGGAGATTTTCGGGTTGGAAACAAAATCTTTTTTTTATTTTCTCTTTCTCTCACATCGCATCGAGTCCTCGCATATTTTATCTGTCTGCCTATTTCACCGCCCGCCGAGTTCACTCGCTCCAACCCAACTCGGTCTCCATTTACAAAATTTTCACTGTGGTAAAAAAAACCAAAAAAATAAAAATTACCCGACCGCCAAAATTAATAAATTACAAGGGAAAAAGCTTAACCAGCTCTGATATTTTACTTCTAATTTGATGGCTACTAAGACGATTAATTTTCACTAATACGATTGAAGTGACAAGAAATTAAATATATATAACTACCCTCACATTGAATATCCAAATCTACCGCAAATTAGAAAACTGGGTATTCTATTATTGCATCGATATGTTTGAATATTCAAACTTAATGTTAATTATTACTGTTATCATACCACTGAGATTTACTTCAAGAATCAAGAAGAAGAAAAAAACTACTTTGACAACATTAGCATGTTCACATGATGTTGTTACGCACCCGAAAAGTTCCGGATTCGAAATCAATGAGAAAAAGAGTCAATTTAGGTTCATTTTCATGATGTTGACTATTTATCACGGTTCTTTCTATTTATTTATATTTTAGAAACTGGGTTACTGTAAATTCAACTCCTCGAACATTGTCTTATAGAATTATCTGTTGAGATAAATAAGTAACGAGTCGTTTATATCAACTGCATACGAATTTTTAGAAGGAGGTGAAGATATCTTTCGTCTGACAAATCGAGTACTTCTTCCTCCGGATCCGCTTTTATTTTAGTTTAGATGTATAGAAGTTTAGTTAAAGAGGCTAAGCTTCTTGGCATGAACATATATGAAAAAAATAAATGTAGCTTTCGTTGTCAACCTATATGTAGATAAACATGTATAGATAGATACCATTTTTATGGTTATGAAAGAAGGTAGTCCTAAATGCACACCAAGAGCAAGCAACTTCTTTCACATGGAAGGGTGGTTGGTAGCATTTGGTATCTTTATCTCCCTCCCATCTTTAATTGTATTTGTTTTGTGAGGATGGGAGAAAGATTAAACAACTAAAATGTACAAAACTTTGTTTAGGGGGGAAGACCTTTTATGTGATGTTATATTGATATGATTAACTAACATTTACTCCACACCCTATCAATTGTAGTTTGTTAAAATACTTATCTTTTCTCTTTTGACAACTTCTTCTTGCAGCAACTGTAAGCATGTCATCATATCAACCATACAAGTTAGGACTTTGCTATGGTGACATGCAAGTCACCATAACTTGGACAAAATGGTCGACCTCTTTACAGATATGGTCGACCTACTTGGACAAAATGGTCGGCCTCTTTGCTGGAATGGTTAACCAGATGTATTATTTTTCATTTTGATATGTTCAACAAACGGTCGACCTCTTCCACTAAAAGGTCGGCCACTTTCAAAAAAACGGTCTACCACTTCCTGCAAGTGATTTACCTCTTTCACTAAGCGGTCCACCGCTTTCAATAACTAGTCGACCTGATGAACCATTGATAGTGATATAATCATAAATAATTAGAGTCAAGTAATAATAGATATGCTCCCTAGTAAGAGATTTAAAATTAGTACAAAGGCTGTAAGCATAAATGACAAATTTCTCGAGTGATTGTTCTCTCGAAGATTTGGAAAATGTTTTGCATATTTATTTCTTTTATTTGACTTACTCTATAGAAACTTTCATCTTTCCTTCAAATTCTTAGTTCGCTTGCTTTTTATCCTATCATTGCCTCAAGTGACAGACCACTTGGTGGAAGTGGTAGACCATTTTCTTGGGAATTGGTCGACCACTCGGTGGAAGAGGTCGACCATTTCAAAGTAAGTGTGTTTTACAGGTCGACCAGTTTCCGAAAGCGGTAGACCGGTTGACCCAAGTGGTGGATCACTTGGTGGAAGTGTTAGACCATTTTCTTGAAAAGTGGACGACCATTTGGTGGAAGAGATCGACCGCTCGAAGGTAAGTGTGTCATCAGATCGACCTATTTTCGAAAACGGTAGACCGATTGACTCAAGTGATAGACACTTGATGAAAAAAGTCGACCGTTTTTTTCAAATTACGGTGACTTGCAAATCACCATAGGCATACCCTACAAATTAATTGGCATGATGACATACTTATCACACCTTTGCACTTTCACTCTCCGCCGTTCACAATATGTTTTCACGAAGAATGAATGATCAGGAAAAAAAAAATATATACAACAAGGTTCTGAGTCTATCACCATATTTCCAGCAAAAGTCTGTATGCTGGTATTTGGTCCAACGGTAAAATTCCCCATTGAAATAGTGAGGTTGTTGACATTTTATTAACCCTCCAAAACCTCTGTCCCATTTTTTCGTCCCATCCCGCACAATTGATCTTTTTTTAGTATATTATATTTTGAGGCCAAGTAGTCAAATAAGAGGGGTACGTAATTAATTAAATTGGCGGCATTGGTACGACAAATAGGGGTGTTGATCGGTTCGGTTTGGTCGGATCAAACCAAACCGAAACCATGAGAACCCTAAAATGATAGACTTTCCCCCCCAAAATCAAAATCGAAACTTCTAAACCCTTTGTAATAGTTTCGGTTATAGCAAGATACGGTTTTAGTTTCTTATCGAAAATTCGGTTTAAACAATAAACTATTGAAATACAAACCGTTTTGGACCAAAAATCATAAACCAATAATATTCTTATCGTTTTGGTTTCGGTTTAGACCGAAAAAATCGAACCCAGTTTCCCAGCCCTGGCGACAAACTCATTAGTGCCAATGACGTGACTCACTTGAGCTTATTAGCTATGCTCACATTGTCACCTAGAAATATTTCTCCGAATAAGAATGGTGACCTAGAAAAATCTGAGCACGATTCAACCGTTTCATCAGCGCTAAAAATCACTTACCAATTTAAGCTCCGATAAAAGAATTTTTAACCATATTGTCAATCACAAACGCTGCTACAAACATGTATTTGCTAGAATAATACCATAATTTAATAAATTACTTTGAAACATAGGTCAAAAAGGGTAGTCCATGCCCTAACCCTAGCAAAGAAAGAAGAACCCAACCAAGGGCCACCAAAGTGCTGTGGCCAAGTCGTCAACCAATGGTCATTAGAACAACAATTTCTTATTATTAAACTTTTAGCAATTAGATAAAGATATTGAATATGTCAAACTCATAATTATTTGCTCAACTTCGACTCGGTAAGATTCTTCCTCTTTAGCCTTTTCTTGGGTTCCAATTCAAAAGGGGGAATCCTTCATTTTTTAAATCCTGCAGGAATCAATTGGAATTGATGGGTTACAGGGAAAAAATAAATTAAAACATCATTTATTTAATTAATTTTATTTTTGGCCCCAAAACCATTTGTCATCTTTACATCCTTTTTCCAACTGTCCACACCAACACCCCTCAGCTGCGGAATCTGGGGGAGTGAATGGAACAACTTTTGCTTGCTTATCTTTCTTTGATGGACATAAGGTATTATTATATTTTTTTCAAATATAAACAAAAGATCAACACAGTATTTTTCCCTCTATCTCAAACCCAGTTCGGTATTTGTAATATTGTATCGTATTTGATTGGTCGGTACCGATTAAATTATGTATCCGTTGTGAGCCCAATAATTTTATGGCAGGAAGTATGAACATTTTTAACATGATTTCTCCAAAATCAGGACTTGCTCATGATAGAGATAATGCTCTGCAAGTTTACCATTTTTACTTGGGGCCCGACACTTTTATTGTATAGGTTTACTTGACAACTGAATGAATCCGAGTACACCCGAGGTTTCCATTATTGTTGTTATACTTATTATTAGCCTAATTATTATTACGGTTATTAGTAGAGTAGTATTATATTATTTATCATAATTTTCAGTTATTTTTCTACAAATATGTACTTGACAAATTACGTTTTAGAATTAATCAAGGAAGTTTAGATAGAAAAGTATATCAGACGATAATATCTCATAATCCTCTGAAATTTCATCTTTCTTTCACTAAGGTTGCCGCCCACTCTTCCCTCTTCTACACGCAGTTAGTTATGTTCTTAAATCTCTATTCCCCCCAAATTATGTTCTTCCCCAAATCTCATTCTAGATCCATAACTCTATAATTCTATCCCTAAATCCCCATTTTCAGTTCGACACTCCTTTCTATTTTCTAACAACAACAAAACCTAACACTTTAGTCATCATATTTAACATAGTCGACATTCTTACAATGTAGTCACGATGTCATAATAATTCTTACTCCGTCCGTGTATGAGTCTCAATGATTTGATTTCCCATACAATTTATCAGTATCATATGAAATGGTTTGTGGAATATTAAACTTGTTAACAGATTTCCACCGCCGGCATGAGCACTAAAGAGATTGCTAATGGGTAAGATAAGTAGGATGTTAGAGGGGAGAAAACATATCACTCCATCCATCGTCTTAATTGTTAAAATCACACCAAAATGAGAATTATGGGAAGTGAAAAGATTGGTCAGAATATAGCATCTCATTAGCCTTTCTTTGCATAAGTTTTCTTTCATTAAAACTCTATATTTTGATTTTCCCATGGAATGGTTCTGTACGTCCAGCAAAGAACGCTGTCGATGCACGGCAAGATTCTATTATGGAAAGATGTAGAAAGAATAATTTAACTTATGATTTATCAATGCTATTCTTTGTTAATTTTTTTTATATATAATTACCCTATGTTAGGAATTACCTATAATACCTTATCTAAATCAGTATGAACAAAGTGCATGAGATCTCCATGGTTAATAAGGAACAATCGAATCTTAACTGATAAGGCGTGTTTTGTAGTGAAGTTGATGAGTTCTTATGAGTTATGAGAATTTAGAAGTTAAAATGTATTTAGTGTGGAGTAGTGCAAAGATGAGTGATCTCCTGGAAAGTTATTATGATGTACCCCAAAAAGCAAAAACGTGCGGGGGATAGACCCAAAGCGTGTAATATCTTGATAAAGAAAATGGTTGAGATGTTACAAGTGATATCAGAGCCAATTTGTATCTTCGTCCTTATTAGAAGGTCCAGAGCGAGTCCATGATTAGTTGACAAAGATTTCCCACGTGATGATCACGTCGTCTGTGGCATACGCCTTGCTCATCCAATGCCACCATTGGTTGGCATCGCCCTCGAGATGGCATGCCGCTAAGAGCATCTTCCGATCTTCTTCTACGCCTTGGCATTCGAACAGTTGATAGAATCATGAAAACCACTAGGCTAGATCATCGTCTACAAAGCACGAGAATTCGGCTTGGTAGAATGCGTCGAAAACATGGCTCGACCCATATCATCCACTCGGTGTTATCGAGTAGGTCGGTCTTCTCATTGACGGAACTGATGGCTTGATATGGAGGATGAATGCTCTATCTCTAGTGTTTCATAGGCACAACAGTTGCAAAATATTGGCCTAACCAGATCCCAAGTTTTGGAGACAACCGGTGAAGTTTTTCACGGTACCGCTAGCAAGTGTATGTTGGCATGGAAGGTGTACTGGACGACTTCTTGAAGACTTCGTAAGGTTCCTTCGAGGAGGTCAACATTCTTCTTAGTGGTTTCCTTAGCAACGCCAGTGACAGACATATTCATCATCGACTCTGATACCAAATATTAGAACCGCTATATCAAAGGGGTGATCTTGTTCTTCTTTTTCTGGTGAGAACCTGTGAGTTTGAGTGACGTGTGATACTCAATAATTGACTCCGTTCTTTTGAATTCAACATATAGGGAGCCTTTCTTTTGAATTCATCATATAGGGAACCTATGTCTAACACATGTGATCGGATGAATATGATCCTAATATCCAAATCAAAACAAACATAACTAGCGCAACGAAATCGGAGTAGTTAAATATTCTAACTTCTATGTTGAAGGCAACAAACTCTTCTGCCTTCGTGGATCGTCTTTAGTCACGGGGAGAATCGCTCGAGTTGCACGAACTGCATGGCCTAATCCTACAACGGACGCAGCTTAATCGTCTGGGCTCTTCATAGCTCTCTCATCATGAACATCATTCACTATCCCCTCAATGAACAAATGGAGAAAATCTAAGATATTGAACATATCATCGAGAAAGGTTAACTCTTGTATCGGGTTAATTGAAGTTGGGAATGCAAGGTTTAGGTTAGAGATGCCAATCCATTCGATAACCAATCAGGTTGAGAAAGAAGACACCCTTCTTCTCTCTTCTCTTCTCCAAAAGGACAAAGCTTTTCCAGCCATTAGATTCTTTTGTTAAATTTTCATGCCTTAAAGAAATAATCTTTTTTATCTCTCTCTGTTTTTGTTTTTCTTTAGATGGGATCCACTCACTAAATAGTGTTTAAATCGTATCAGTTTTAAATTTTATTGAATAATAAATTAATAATTATAAATGGAAGGTTAAAAAAATTGGGAAAGGAATCCACCATCATGTGAAACGTGTCGCTGTGGATTTGATTTGGGATTTTGGGATCCCACTTTTGTTTTGTTTGTTTTTTCCCGTCGCCGGCCGGCATCTTCCTTCCTCGTTTTCTGTCTGTCGGATGCTTGCACCCGAAGATTCTTCTCTATGCGCGGCGTGCATTTTCCCCATTTTCTCGTTCCTTTTCCCCATTTTACCATTGTATTTTTTGTTTGTAAATAGTTTCATGAGCCTATCCAGTTTTATGAAAAATAATGTTTTTCGACTATGGATGAAGTTTTTTTTATACTGTAACCTTATAACCTTAGTATGATGTGAAATTTTACAAATTACTTTTATCGTACAAATTGAAGTTGAACATGTAAGTTGTAACATTGTGGTACAATTTCAGATCATTTCTATATTTTTTTGTAAAAATTTCTTTTACGTTATACACTTAAATATCATAACATAAACGTACAAATTCCCTTATGGTACAACACGAACTTGTAACTTTAACATTATGATACAAACAACTTCAATTTGTACATCTGAACATCAATACTTTAAAACATAATATAAGTGCTCTAGTATGGCACGATACAAAGATTTTGACAATATCATAAAATCTTTTACCGAACCTTCAGGGCCTATCATAGAAACATAATGTAAATCAAAAGAAGCACATTGATTTTTATGAGTAAAACCATCGATTAAAAAAGTTTCTGCCTATAGTTGTAGAAAAGACCAACATATATTTAAGTGCACAAAATAAAATAAAATAAAATGTTCTTCTGTTAGTAGTGTTACTCTCAACATTTAACAAATCGTAAAAATAAATGCTGAGAGATATTTATAGTTAATCACGGTTTATCTTCATGATCGAAAAAAATGGGAAGGACATTTTAGACAATTCTAGAAAGATACCTTCCTCTGTGATATGAGAAAAGGGTTTTTCTTATCAAGCATGAATGGGGCTGTTATTAATAAGATTGATCAAGATCAGTCAAATAGAATAAGATTCTCTAATCTCTATAAAAAATTCTTGCTGGCCTCTCTATTCAATATAAATGATGGGATGTGATGGAATTGAAAGCCAGTTCATATATATGGGCCATAATAAAAAGAAAATAATTGTTGAAATTAACATATACGGCATGGCATCAACATGAGATTGATTCTCCCCCAATAATTTTCAAGGTTAGTTCATATTTAATGCTAAAAGTGTTTAAGACCAATTAGTGTTTGCAAAATTGTACGGTACCGGAAGTCTGATGAGAAAAAAAACAACAAATATGAATTCTGAAGCCGAAAAATGATTTTATATGAAATGACTGAACTACGATTTTAGTGAAATAATTTTTTTTTATAATTCTTAGGAAAACATCGAAAAACTAGCATGAAGAACCGATCGAGGAGAAAACATGGGGCAGCTAAAAACAATATTAAAAGTGGGAAATACGTAATGTTTATTGTCTAATTGACAAATTGAATTGAAAAGCCAACCAATTTGGGGGATCGATGTTCATATGGCCAACGCAGAGCATCTAGAATTTCATGTGTGTACATTTCTACAGTGTGCAGAATTTTTAAATCACAGGATTCTCTCAAGAATCCTAGAAAAAATGGCATCTCTGATCTATTCTCTAGCTATAGCTTTTCCAAATCCAAGGTGTCCTAAACTATGTTATCTCTTACACCTTTATGTAATTTGACTTTGACTAGTTAAGTTAAGATGTTGAATTGGTTTATGGAGTTTAGAAAAAATCAAAGGTGAAGTTTTAGTACAAGAGAAAGGAAAATTGTGGATTCAATGAGGGAATGCTTTGATATCAAGTTCTGTGAATTGTTACGCCTTCATGAAATAATTAAGTTAGCGAAAAAAATTTCTTTCACATGCAAATGCAACAATGTTCCTCGAATAATCTCCTCCGCGAACCATGATTTTATTCTTTTGGTTCTTCATTTAATTTTTCTATGTTCAATTTGGGAAATTTTATCTATTACACTTCTGAGGTGGCGCCAAGAAGTCGTGGATTGGATAATAGAAAATTTCATTAGATTACACCAACAAATTTCATTATACTCCTTAACCATCCTCTTAGATCAACTTCACTTGGTAAGTGAGTGTGATGGGAGAGATCTTCTTGTTGGTGCAGATTGATGAATGAGTTTGCAAGGATTATGTTCGAATTTTTGTTATTCGTTCTTAGTAGGATTACGTGTTTTGAATAAAAGTTGAATTTATATTTTTGAAATAAGATATATATATATATAATATACTTTTAAGGGTTTTCCCTAAAGTAATTCCTCCTTGAAATAGAAGGGAAGTGACGTGGCGCTTCTAGGGAAGAAAGAAGAAAGAAAGAAGGGAAGTGACGTGGCCCTTGTGGGGAAGACAAGGGAACGAGTGTGCTCATCGGATGACCCAAGTACGTCGCCGTATGAAGGAAATGAAAGTATGATTTGGGAGACCACCTATTTTTCTTTTCCATCAGTTGCAATTGGATTGTAAAGACACCATTTAAGTTGAATTGAAGTTCCAGATGAGTTATAAAAAAAATCCTCCCTGAGATTCTAGTTCTTTTTATGTATTAACCATTTGATTTTGTTCGGGTCATGTCTTGCACCAATGCATTTATGTTTCGTCGATCATATACCTGTATGACACCTCAAACGATGAGTGTTATACTGGCCATCCCACTTCTTTTCTTCTAGTGATTATGCCATCCATATTTTTTAGAAGGAACACACCCCTTATGTATCACTATCATCAATGGTTGTGACCAAGGTTCAATAAGGCATTAGGCGCTAGGCATGTGTTGGTACTATGCCTAGCGCCTAGCACTCCGCCCAGATTTTTTAAGTGAAAATAGTGATTTTAGTAGAAATAACAATTTTATATAGCTCTTATTACTTTAATTCAATTTCAAATATGATTAATAACTTAGATAACCTTCAACAACAAGCAAAACTTGTTATGATTTTCCAAAATTATGATGTGAAGAGTAGGGCAGAAGGTTGGGTCGACCAAAACTAGAGAAGAGCTGAAGAAGTCGTTTCGGTAAGATTAGCTACAATTTTTCTTAGTCCTTGATTTGTTGGCACTTAAGCGCGTCTCAATTCAATTAATCACTCCTCACGCCAATTCATTGTGCTCAGCTTTGCATAGTAGCCGCCCACATAGGCGTTATAAGCGCATAATTACCTACCTAGCGCCTATGCAAGACGTTTTTCACTACCTGACACCTAGACGTTCACAGAATTAAGTCTTCTTGAAGCTTGATTGTGACTAAATTTATCAGTAGTTATACAATAACTATTGCTAATACATTCAAATATGGGAGGAGACCTTAATGAAATTAACAAGCACAAACAACACCCAATGCACCAACTCATCTTTCTCCACCTCTCTCTCTCTATCTCTCCAAACCCAACAAGCATCTTTCATGTGATAGACATTAGTTCATGGCATTTTTGTGACTCCTCTCCCCCCACATAATTAAGAGAGGTAGAAAACAAAAGGGAAAGAAGGGAATCTTTCAAAATAATAGAGATCGTGTCTCTGTGTGTGCTTGTTGAATAGTGGTAGTGGTACTACTAGTCATTGTAAGGGTAATTCTCATCTAGCTAGAGTTGTGTTGGAGGGTTGTCTTTGTCCACTTTTAGGGAGGTTTTTGAGAAGCCAAACCAATTATATATCCCCAATGCTTTGCTATAGTACATATCACCACTCACCATAAATGAAAAGGAAAAGAAAACTTGCCAACATCATCAGTGTTTCCTTTGTCTCCCATTATTATTATTATTATTATTATTATTATTATTATTATTATTATTATTATTATCTGTTTTTGGGTTCTCATTTTCGCATCCACATATTGTTGGGCTCTGATTTTGACCTTCTTCGTTGGATCTTCTCAGGTGTGGAAGAATTCTGTAGAGAGGCAGAGATGACCCCTGTGATCTGCACGTTGATGTCTAAGTTAGTACGGTATAAAGATGAATGTATATAAAGTGTGTTGAGAGAACATGTAGACAAAAAAGAGTTTATAGAGAGACCATGTGTGCTGCATGTGGTAATCGAATTGAGGGTCCTTAGTTTGGAGGGTTCTTATATAAGAGCTTGAAGCTTCTTTAAGTGAGAAGGCTTAGAATTGGCTTGGATCCTAGGTAAGAAAAAGTCTTGTAGTAAACTTAGACCCATTAAGTGAGTGATTTAGAAACCACAGGGAAAAAGGAAAAAAAAAACTAGTGTGCTATTTGGTGTAAGATCCCAGGTAGGGGTGACATTTCGGTTATAACCGATAACTGATCGGCCGGTTATCGGTTAACCGAAATAACCACTTCTCCTATCGAAAACTGCCCGAAATAGGCTTCAGTTTTTTGGTTATCTCGGTTATCGGTTAACCGACCCACTTTTAAGACCAAAAACCATTTCGTCTAGCCTCCGATAACCGACCGAAGTTCGGTTATTTCGGTTACCGATGAGTGAATAACCGACCGGTTATTAGTTTAACTGGTCGGTTAACCGATAACCGGTAACCGAACTGCCACCCCTAAGTTCCAGGACTAAGAGGAAAGGGAAAACGACAGAGCAAAATGAAAAGGACACCACAATCATCTTGACCTGTATGAATGATGTCAATTTGAGCCATTGAATAATAGGGTAAAAAGAAGAGAGACAGCATAATGAGAGAGAGATAGAAGGGGGAGACCTTAGAATACCTCTTTATTCATGCGTGTATACATATCAATTCAATCCACATTCTACAGTACAATGATAAGTCTCCAGCTTGCTGGCGCATATGAACTCATCTCTGTTTGATTTGTTTCCAGCAATAATAATTGAGAAATCGTACCGAAAGTTATAACGAAAAGGTTAGTTCGGTATTTGATATTTCCGATCCTACCAACCTATAGGGAAGGATTTCTAAAACATTGGTATCAGTCTTTCAAGTAACGCATAATTAATACAATTGAACCCTCAATCTCTGTTTGATTTCCTTTCCTCTTTTAAGTCCAGAAAACTCGCACTCCAGTAATCGGAAGATTTCACCACTTCCAAAATCTATCCATCCATTCATTTATCTCTTCTCTGCCTTTTCCCTCTTTTAATATTCCTTTTCCTCTTGGCCTACAGAGAGACAGAAAAGAGTGCTCTCTTTTCTCTTCCTTTTAGATTGCTTGCTTTCTTTCTTCATCATCTGTCCTTTTTGCTTCATGTTCCTGTCCTGGCTTAGTTGTAGGCTTGTAGCCATCCACCAGATGCTAGACTTTGAGTAGGAAGTTCGAACTTTTTCACCTCGATCGTACGAAAATTTCACTATACGCTGCATCACAAATTTAACGCACGAAGTAACTATACGTGGTGAGTGGTGACGCACAATGAATAACAGTAATGCTAGTCTTCAGTAGTGATTATGCATGACGCTATTAGAGGTCCCCGAATCCCAGGTGATCAATAACACAGGTCATCACGAAAAGCAAGGTCACAACCACAGAGAGACATGGAGTCGGCCTACTGATATGTTCTGTTCGAGCTACACAGGCCATGGTAGAAGCATGGCTCAATAAATCAACCAAAATTGCAATGTAGCTCAATACGGGCACTTCATCGAAAGGTTATCGAGACGTTTTCTTGGAACTCACGCATCTCACATATCTTAACAAGGGTTTATCATCGACTATACCAAATGAGCAAATATAAGTAGAGCAGCCGTCGAAGCTATGATGCTCCCCTGCATTGTTTCGACCATGCATCGTAGAAATTCACTTGCTGCAAAAGAACCCAGGATGAAGCAGCGGGAGTTAAGATTTGAGACAGGGCATTGATTAGCATTTAGCAATGCTCTTTTATAATCGAAGTTGTTGGGACATGGTAACATAGTGGATTGATGAATGGATCATCAAGATCTTACCCTGTCCGTCACAGATGGAGAGATCTTCTCCAGTGCCTGATCGAAATGACTCGGTTGGATTGTGCAGAGGAGCATCTTCTCCTCATCTGGATTCCCGCTTCTCGTAGCCTCCTTAAGAGCAATCATCGCAGCATCCTCCATCTGCCACAAGCAGAGAAGCACGGGATATCAATCTTAGATACCAATAATCAATCTCATAGCATCTTAAGGAATCATTAGCATAGAACTGTGTGGACTACAAACCAGCTTATTGAGATCCGCTCCGCTTAATCTTTCACAAGCTTTCCTCTTCCCAATTTCTGTTAAGTCTATGCTTGGATCAATAGGTTTCCCCCTAGCAAGAGCCTTCAAGATTAGCCCACGATCCTCTGCACTTGGCAGAGGAACCAAGACATGGTTGCCCAATCTGCCGGGCCTCAAGATAGCAGGGTCTATAACCTCAGGTCTGCAGTGCACAGAAACAACTACTTCAGACATCAGGTGGAAACAGAAGAATACTGGGAGTGTAGAATACAGGTCAGACAAAAGGAGGTTTACCTATTAGTTGCACCGATCACAAAAACACCTTGGCGCTGATCTGCACCATCTAACTCTATAAGCAACTGCAGTGAAGAGAAGGGGAAGTTAATTTGAAACCCTCTCAAGTAGGAAGTAAAGTAAGTTACGTACTTCAATAATTAAATTACTTATTATTATTTTTATTCTGTTGAAACTTTTGATTCAATGAATACCTGATTTAGAGGCCGCTCCACAACCCACCCACCTTCCCTTCCACGGGTTGTTGTCAAGGCATCCACCTAAGGGGAACACAAATGAACCATAACTTTTTATTAATTCAATGGTACATTAGCTGTTTAATGAGCAATCAAATCATTCATGCTGCAAATTTCAAATTATTTACCTCATCAAAGAAGATAATACATGGTGAGCAATGCCTTGCACGGGCAAATAGCTTTCGAACTTCCAGCTCACTTTCTCCAACATACTTATTAAGAAGCTCAGGACCCTAAACCATGGTGGAACACATAATAAGAAGTGATATGTTTCAATGATTCACGCTGACAATATCACATTAAGATGACACAAAACAGCAGTGGAGAATAGGGTTTGAAGTCATTACTAACCTTGACGTGAATGAAGTTAGCCTCTGCTTCATTAGCAGCAGCCTTGGCCATTAATGTCTTACCACAACCTGGAGGACCGAAAAGCAAAATTCCTGTCTTTGATGACACTCCAAAATGCTGAAGGTCCAGTAAATCAGGATTACCGAGTCAGTGAGCCATTTCAGACAACGATTATTTGAAGTCAAGAATTATGTAGTTCAGTATAGCCTAGCAGTCAACAAGTCAAAGATAGTGATAAATAGTCTGATATACCTGATACAGTTTTGGATTTTTAATGGACTGGACTACATAATTCTTCAACTCATTCCTGACGTTATCAAGTCCTCCAACTTCATCCCATGTTACATTTGGAACAGAAGAGAATCCCTCTCTTGTCAATGAAGGTTGAACCATCTTAGCTGCAAGCTTTAGAACCAACAAAGCCAGTAAGATAGAAAACATAAATTACTAATAGCAAAGGGATAAAGGACGCCTTTCAGTGAACTCTAATAGCTTGAATCTGAGTTCACTCAGCTCTTTGCGAGCATTGTCTAAATCAACGCCAAAAATAAATGTAGCCAAGAGGATAAAATGTCCCATACACTGAAGTTTATGGAAGGAAAGTATAACTCAATCCAGCTCCATGATTTTCATACCTCGAAATCACACATTGTGATGGCAAACTTTTCCATCTCCTGCTCCGACCAAGGCATTCTCCACCATTCCTCAATTTGCCCACCACTAGGTTCTTCAGATAATATCGCAGATTTCCTCAGTGCGGAGATTCTTCTCAAGGCAAGGTTGCCTGCTTTGCTAACTAGAGCATCTAAATCAGCTCCCACAAAGCCTGGAGTAAGCCTAGCTATTTGCAAAAGATCCAATGAGCCCTCGAGAGTGCACTTTTTGGTAAGCACGGAAAGAATGTGAACCCTGGCATCCTCATCTGGAACCCCTAACATAATCTCCCGATCAAATCTTCCAGGCCTTCTTAGTGCAGAATCAATGGCATCAGGCCTATTGGTAGCTCCAATTACCAGAACATAGCCAGCTCTCTGTTCTGAGCTTTCTGGCTTCGAATTATCATCAGCTGGTTGCACAAGTTTATGGTATTCGTCCATGCAAGTCATCAACTGAGTCACGATTCTCCGCTCCATCTCTCTCTGTAGATTTTCCCTTTTCGAACCAATTGCATCGATCTCATCAATGAAAATGATCGATGGTGCAGACCTATATGCTTTAGAGAAAAGATCTCGAATATATTCCTCCGATGCACCTGAAAATTCATAATTCAAACAGCTTCACTCAAATTAGTATCCTTTTCCCTACCAAGTACACAGACATCTCATCTAAACTATTGGCACTTATATAGACAAAAGGTGCAAGTACATAACTTCACCATCAATTCTCCAAATTCTGTATTCTACTATTCTAGCACTGGTTCCAAAGACAGCAAATCTTAGTTACTCTGTGCAGCTTAGGAATGAAAAGATGGTGAACAAGAAATCCATACCTGACACACCAGAGACAGCCTCCGTAGCTGAAATCTTGAAGAATGGGACTCCAGTCTCATTGGCAATGGCATGAGCCAGCTTAGTCTTTCCACAACCTGGCGGACCATGGAGCAGAACCCCACTTATTGGCTTCACACCAAGGCGTCGCATCAAATGGGGATGGAAGAGTGGCATCAACACCTCAGTCTCCAAATCCTCCAACACTTTCTTCAATCCACCGAAATCCTTGAAACTCGGCCCTTCCTGTCCTTTCACCTCCATATTATCCCTGCTTAGAGCTTTCGCCCCAAGGTTCCCCCCTCTTGCTCTTTTCCCTTTACCTCCATTGGCCACCGCAATCTTGTCTTTAGAACTACTGGCTACCTCAACCTCAATGTTCTTCTCCGGAGCGTAACTGTGTCGCAGCATCGATCTCATCAGATCGAACTCAGGCTCCACTGGCTCCCCATAAACTCCGTCCTCCGACATAGACGACGGCGTCGATTGGGACTCCGACTCTGACGGCGACTGCCGCTCTTGATCGCTCACGTCAACCCTAATCTTCTTCTTCTTCCTCTTTCTGCCACTGGCGGAAGCACTCCCTTCGTCGTAATCGCCTTCCTCGTCTTCCGCAGGCTGTTTGTCGAATCCTCTAGGCCGGCCAGGGGATGGCGACGACGGAGAGTCGATGACTTGGTGGACGAGTCTAGCTAGGTCTCGCTGCTTCGTGCGGCGGTAGTTGGGGTACTGCTGCCGGAGATGGTGGACGATGTCGTCGGCGGTGGAGCATTTCCTCCTACACGATTCAACCTGTTGTCTGAGTATTCTCTGGTTTCTCCCTCCGCTTCCGCCGCCGCCGCTGAATCCCCGTCCGGTTCCCATCTCCTCCTTCGCCGTTTCCTCCCACTGTTGTCCCTTTTTTTTTTGTTGAATATTTTCCGCGCCACAGCAGGACACAGGCAGAGGTTATAGGGTTTAGGAGAATTGGAAGCCGGCGCCTCCAAGTCTCAGAAGAACTTACAATTATTTGTCATACTTTCAGTTCAATTTTATTAAAATTCAAAATTTCAGCATCAAATTTTAGTTCACTTCCCATTTAGCACCCAAAGACTTCGCTTGTCACGTTATAGCTCTCATATGGACTTAGGGCTGCTAATGAGTTGAGATGTTGAGAAGTGGCTCGAAACTTGATTCGACAAAAGTTTGAACTTGTTTATTAACTAGCCGGGTTTAAGCAAAGTCTTGTTCAGCTTATGAGGTTTGCGAGCCAACTCGACTTAGTGGCTTGTTGAGTTCAACTCGTGAACTATCTCGTTTTGAGTTAATGAGATGTCTCAACTCTCAATATTATAGCTAGCGAATCAATTCGACTACTGACTTATGAGAAAAAAATTGCTCTTTGAATATGAAAGTTTTCTCTTATGGTCCCTTAACTTTTATATGCATTTTGATTCATAGTTTTAAAGTTATTATAATTGGGAATGAATTTTTCAAATTTCGATAATTGAGATTCAGAAACAAATCTTTTGATATTCTCAGCTTTAGTTCCTTCCCGATTACCAGTAAATTTCATGGATCAATACCTTCGAGCACCATTTTGACGTCCATTAGTGGTTCGGTGGGGTCATTCTCTAACAACTAACTGAAACTCGTTCTGAATCAGAGTGACAAAGTGAACATATTTCCCTAATCTTTTCCATACATTTTTCACAAAGTTGTAGCCAGGTAAGGAAGATCTGATTTATGTCTTCTTCGTGTGTTTTGCACAAGGCACACCTATTTGACACAAGACCATCCTTTGTTCTTCAGTGTGTACTGAGTTAAGATCCTTTTGCAGAAAGCCATAAAAAAAAAAAAAAAACCCAGTTCTAGAAAGGGACTTGCGAGCCAACTCAACTTAGTGGCTTGTTGAGTTCAACTCGTGAACTATCTTGTTGGCTTGTTAACTTCTTCTTATTCTTTTGTAGCATCGTAAAAGATTATTGCATCATCAGCATACAAAAGATGTTACTTCTCCATGTCTTAAGCAGAAGGCTGAGATGTGCTCTAAAATCCTCACCTTTTGCAGCAGATGGAAGAGAATATCCATGGCCAGATCAAAGAGAATGGGGATAGTGAATTGCCATGCTCAAGTCCTCTTTCCATATTGAACATTCCTCTCGCTTCTCCATCGACAAGCACTCTGGTAACTTTGAAGAAGAGAGACACCCTTACATCGACCTCCGAAAACATTGAACTTGTTCCTAAGGAGCATAGGCCTTAGAGATGCAACCCATTTTACTTAGTCGAAAGCTCTTTCGATGTAAAAAGTACGTGCTAAGATTCCAGGGATAATGCAAATGATAAGTACACAATAATAGCAGCAGAAAATTGGCCGGTAACTTCAAATCACAGCTTAGTCATCAGATTAATCAAGTAAAACTTTTAACTCTACAGGATTAACAGTATACATTATCACCTCTATTCTCCATCAATCAAGCAGTGTGTACACAACACGATTTTAACTGCTGCTACCGTTCTGTTCCGATTCTTCTCCATCGGACTCGGTGTCAAAGTTCACATCTCGAGCTTCTGCAGAATCGTTTGGGTTGCCTCCTTGCAAGTTATCTTGCAACCCTTCTAGCACATACGGTTCGACCAGCTTCCAAAACCATGTAGAGCTGTTGCCAAAGAAACCAATCCAGAATACCCTACCTTTTCTCTTCACTCTGCACTCAAGGGATCTGGCTCGTAGTGCTTTCACAACTTTCTCAACTCCCTCATTGTCTCCCTTGAGCTTCAACAATATGTCCCCAGACTGCAATCTATAACCTCCATACATGTACCAGTATGCTAGAGCACGGGGCGACAGCCACCGATGAATCATCTTCGGGATCATGGGCCGACCTCTCGGCCAGAATTGGTCAGCATAGAAACCAAAATAAGAATGAGCGATGGTGGAAAATCTGTAAGGTACGTCATCACCAGAATCATCCTTACACCTGCAAGATGGATGCAGCCACTCGTGATACTCGTCGTACAAATGTCGTCTCAAAATTGAGTGCGTGCTGGAATTCTCGTTCAGCGCGAACCGGATCATGTGTTTCTTCCTCGGTTCATCCGAGTCAATTTGCAGACCACCCAGCAGTAATCCAACCAAAGCTTCTCTTTGCTCAGCACTCAACTTGAGGCTCACTGGCTTCTTCACTTCTTTCCTTGTCAAGCTCAGTACATATTCCAGCTTCTCCATTGATGATGGTTCAACATCATACCTCTTCTTGCACATAAAGTCATATACCTTCTCTGCTTTCAAATGGTTTCCAGATGCAAGATACCCAGAAAGAATGGTGTTACATGATCCGGGGCCAACTCCAATTGCTTCAATACTCTGCATGTGGTTGAATATCTCCTCTGCTTTAGAAAAGTTTCCTGCTTTCAGCAACGAATCCAAGTAAATATTGTAGATAGCCCGGTTAGGCCGGCATTTCTCCAGGCACTGAAGGAAGGTCGATTCGACCTTTTCATGCATGCTTAAGTCGAGGTACATGGTCGTCATTTCTACATATGATGGTGTAAGGGGCTTCAGACCACTCTGAACCAGTCCTTCCATATGCAGTTCTGCAAGTTCCACATGTTGAGCATTACACAGGACCTCTATTATCTTCTGATAGCCTGTAATAGTAGCACCCTTTAAAAGCTCTTGCATGCTCCTGAATGTCTCCAGGGACTTCATGGGTTCCCCTGCCTTTGCAAATAATTCCATTCTGTATACCAAAGCCAGAGAAGGGATGCCACCATTACAACTGATGAGTTTGAGCCAAGTCTTTTCAGCTTCCTCCACATCGCCGTCCTTTGAGCATGCTCTCAAGATAGACACCAGCACATCTTTGCCTTCCTCTATTCCCGCTTTCCCCATCTCTTCCCTCAATTGCATAATTCTCTCTTTGTCGATAACTTCCTGATAGCTGTGTAGCCAAATTAGGCCGCCATATATATCCTTTTGTACCTCGAGTCCAGTTGTCACCAAGTTATGGTAAATGAACTCTGCCTGTTTGAGATAATTCTTTGATTCGTATCCAGGTTTGGCTACCAGGGCTTTGAAAAGAGAATTGTGCAGACTGAGTCGTGGGCTATAGCCTCCCAACTGAATCATCCGATTGTAAATGGTACATGCTTCATCCAAGCAACCTTCAATGGATGCACCAAGATATGCAACAACCAAAATGTGGAAAGTTGATTCACTAGGCACTCGACCTTGATTGATGATATCATCGAATATTTCTCGACATCTTAAGAACTTCCGCTCCTTGCCCAAGTAATCCGCTAGCTTCGTAGCCAAAGCAAAATCAAATCGGTACCATCGTTGCAGCATCATCCACTTGTAAACCTAACAAAATAAACCACAAAAGACCTTTGTCAGCACACAATTATGCCTTCATCTTGCCAAAATGACACTTCAGGCTTTCAATGGGAATTCAGCAAGCAGGGCAAACTCAATTACACTGAACTACAACTAAAAACCCACATTGGGTAAGCATTACCCAAAAGAGAAGGAAAAATAAAGGTTTAGTCTTGACGGCAGAGGAAGCAGTACCTTGAAAGCAGCCTCGTTCTCGCGGATGCGTGTGCAATGAACTACAACGTAAGTAGCATCATCCTGCCTCATCCATTTCCTCTGGCCATTCAGAATCCGCACCACGGACCCTGAGTTGTGCGCCGGAAGCTCCTTGCACAGCCACGCCAGTCTCGACCTCCGCCATTGCTCTGGCACCTCTTCCAACTCCTTCACCTCCACTCCAGGGGACTCCAAGTGCTTCGTGTCCCTACCCGCAAGTACCGCGTCTCCACCTTCGAACTTGAAAGCTCCCGGCTGCTCATCGAGCTTAAACACATCGCTCCCACTGTCGTCATAATTCGAGAAGTCCCAGTTTTTCAGAGGTTCTGAACTCTGCGGTTCGCACGCCAACTGTTCGACGGAATGACTGAGACAGTTCACCTGCTGAAGTGAGGGAAAAGGCTGATTGGCTTTAGCTGCCCCCGGGTGAGACCGTAGGAAGAGCCGGCGTTGGTAGTGCGTACAGTAGTTGCAGAGGGAACGGCGGCGGGGGAGGTGAGAGAAGGAGCCGGCGAGGGAGCGGAGGAAGGAGAGAGGAGGGGATAGAAGAGAAAGGCGCATGTGGGAAGAGAGACTTGAGAGTAGATTAGGGTTTGAGGAAATATGAGGAATGGTGAGGCAGATATCTTGAGCTATGGGGCTAAAGTTCATGGCTTCGGCGGTGGCGGGTTTTTAGGATGGGGCAACGCCGGCGGCGGTGCGAAAGGATTGGGATGGTTTTTTTATACTGCTTTACACGACCGGGAAAAGTGGGAGGGCTGTGAGTTCCGGCGTGAGTGGAATTTCAGGCATCCATCGGTAGGAGTTGTTGATTGTTGTCAAAATGGCAACCGGGACAATGAGGTTCAATTATAATTAGACAAAACCCTAATTAAAATCATTGATATGAAACACTAATTAAAATCGGTAAGATGATTTCTCATTTTGTTTGTAATTTAGTATTTTTATTCAAATATAGATGGAGAATATAGATAAGATTGTATTTAAATAAATTATATAAATGCAGGATCCACTTGGTATTAATAGTTTTTCATTTTCTCGTATGTTTTTTCAACACCAACATATAAGCTGGTTGTACTCAATTAATGACCTTGACTTCTTGAACAATGAAAATTAATACAGTTCACACCTCTGCGAACAATGTTCGAACGAGGGTGTTTGATGGTTTTTTGGGAACAAACTAAGTTAATTACACCTATTCCTATGGAGGTTCAGTGAGACCTCCGAAAACTAAAAGTTATGGCTAGTTTGCAGAGAAAACGATAAGCTTGACATAGTGTGCCAAGTGTTTGGTTGTGTAACCTCTTCTTTGTCTTCGTTTCTCATATTTATAGTCATGATATACATGGCTGACACTTAGAAACTTAATGACCTTGTCTACTAAGGTACCATGCATGACTACCCATGAAGCCTAGCATGCGTGACTACTGGGGATGAGGGTGCATCGTGTATACCCCCTTGGCATGGCGTCATGCTTGGCACCCTGGTGCTTGACCCTCAAGGTGATTGGTACGTGGGTGGTTAAATGCTTGAATGCGAAGCCTCCTTGCATGACATCAGGCTTGACCGCCTTGGATGATGTCATGTTTAACCCCCTTATGGTTGGGTCCCAACACTTAGCCAAATTTACCCTCCTTTGATCCTTGTGGTTTGGTCTCAACACTTAACCAAATTCCGCCTCCACAATGCATGCTTGAGTGGTCGACCCTTGACCCCCTTCCATGAAATCGTGCTTGACCCCTTGGATAATATCATGTTTGACAGGTGAGTGTTTGGTGGGTCAAGATGTGTGTGTTGTGATACCATGTATGAAGTCCAAGATACCATCATTTAGGTCCAGTTTAAACCAATTTAATTAATATGGTTAAGTTGGTCTAATAAATCACTACCACTACTTGAAAATAATCAATGTGGTATCAATTAATTTTTTAGTGGTAAAATGCTTGTTAATTGATGGAGTTTATGGTGTAATATTAAATAGAACATCACTACCAGTAAAGAAGTTCAATCTCAACAACAGAATTGTCTAATGGTGTTGTATGAGAATTTTCTAACAGATCCTTAGGCTGCAAATGAAATGGCAAATAACAGCATGCAAAATTGTTGAAAAAGTAATACTAATTAGTATGGTATTAATTGATTTTCGAACCTTTGGGATTGCAAGAGGTGCTGTTGATTGTAACTTTGCATGGTAAAGAAAGTTTCTTAATGGAGACAACGAAAACCTATCTAAAAGGAATTCAGCAACCTTTTAGTGGCATTTACACTTGTTAATTGTTATTTAGAGCACAATCCCTAAATGAAATTATCGCGGGCAGAAGACATCTTAACCCATCAACATCTTTGTGTTAATCGACTTTGAAACTTGGTTTAACTCATGCAAATGAGTTAGCACGAGTTGCAGCATCATTAATCTAAACTACCCTAAAAGTTCATAAAAACATGTACAAAAATTGAATATTTTCTCTTGTACAAAAGACCATATGAGCTTAACATCAAGGAAAAAATATGAAAGAAGCTACGGGGAAAGACAAACATGGAATTCACTATCTGATTACTTGACTCAACTAGCTTATTAATCAATTTAATTCTCCTTAAAATTACCGAGGCTATCTCTAGGATGATAGATATCTCTTTTAATATTCACTACGTATTAAGTAGCCAAATAATTGTTTATTCCTATACAACCAACTAATTAGCTAACTATTCTGAAGTCCGATAGCTCCTATATTTAAATATTTTGATAACATTATGACAACAAATTTTTTGTAATGTAATAAGGTGTCAGTTACAACTATCCGAGGTGTGTCGGAGGTCCTGCATTCAAATTTCTTATACCGAAAAAACGTGGGTTCCTCACAAAAATTTCGAACAAATCATTAACGAAAAGTATGACAACTAGATTAGTGTGAAAATAGAAAAGTCAATGGTTCGAGTTTGGCAATCACGTTTTAACAAGCTGGAATCCTATTTAACGCTCTAATTTTTTAATATGGTAACAGAGGATGTTGATTAAAGTAAGGATGATGTTTTTTAGTTTGGTCAAAAAAGTATGCCTCTTCGCTCAAGCTTTGCCATAAAAAATGGGCCATAGGCACACATTCATGTATATACCATAATTTTTTACGGAAGTATATAAATTATTTATGCAAATAAGCTTGTATTAAAAATATAATAAGAAATGCTCGATAGAAAATGAAAATACACGTAAAAGAAAAATATAAATATGAAAATTATTAAAGGAAATTATTTGTCTTCCAGCAGCTCTAAGAAATCATATTTGATTTTTCGATATCGTTAAATGTGGTACTAGTTCTACTAATATCTTTTGTAAAAGCTTGTGTGAGTATTGTGTAGATACAAAATGGCTTTAGACAAAGAATCCTCTTTTCCCTTACATTATTACAATTGTTTTTGTTGGGGAAGTGTTAGGCAACACATGATCATAAAACTATATCAACAACCCATAACTTTATTCCTAAATCTTGAAGGAGTATCTATTGTAAGTATTTAATCTAAAGCCCGATTAGAATGTTGTTACATTTCTCATTTTCTTTCTGGTGGCTCTTCATTCATAATTTTGAAAAATCATTCCTAGAAATAAATAGCCCTCAAATGATTTAGCCGTCGATGTTGACTCCAAATTTCTTATCGCATAATTTTTTTTAAATCACATACAATAATCAATAATTCGATATCATTGTCTTTCAAGCATTGATGTCTGAACACTTACATATAGGGATTGATTATGACAAATGGGTAGAGTATGTAATCTCTAATTGCTATTACTATTATTGTAAAAACCTAATCATCACAATCCAATTAGTAAGACATAGTTCTTTCTGCAGCAACCACTTTGTTACTATAACTGAATAAGTAAGCATGGGGAAAAAGAAGTCAATTAGAAAAGGAAGAAGATGGAGAGAAATTAAATACTATACAACTAAAATAATTATGAAAACATATATTTAATTGAATTAGGTTCTCTGCCCATCCTGTAGCCAGTGGCCAATAATGTTAGTAGCCATTCTTTCTTCCTTACTTCTCAATCCACCAAACCACTACTATACAGGGGATGCAGACGACAGCTCTCTGGCGTTCGTTCAACTGATTTTTTGGATCAAAATGGAAAGCAAACCGCTGAAGCAACATAAACAACTCACAATTTAGACATTAAAATATCAGGGGGGAGAAAAACGAAAAGGAAAGAAAGAAAAGGAGGGAGGAAGAGCAGGAAAGCAACTCTACCCGTCAGAAGAAAAAAAAGCCCATCATCTCTGGTTGGTGAAATTTTCACGAGCTTCCCCTTCTTCCCCACTTTTCCTACATCTCCTTTTCGTTATCTTCTGTTGTGGCAGGAGATGGGTTCGTTTCTGTGAGTCATCAATTCCTGAGTTGCCTTCAGCAGAGGAGATATAATAAAAACCCCAGGAAAGAAGGGGAGGAGAAATGGATCGACAAGCTATGACTGTTGGACCAGGGATGGATATGCCGATTATGCACGACAGCGATCGTTATGAGCTGGTTCGGGATATTGGGTCTGGGAATTTTGGGGTGGCTAGGCTTATGAGGGATAAGCAGAGCAACGAGCTCGTTGCTGTCAAGTATATCGAGAGAGGTGAGAAGGTTAGTCCTCTGGGTTTTCTTTCATTTTGGTTTCTTCTTGATTTTGGCAGGGTTTATTGTCCCGAGCTGCAGAATTGTGAGAGGAAGTATGCGTAGTGGGTTTCAGTGCTTTTTTTGGCGGGTAATCTTGGATGTTTGTAAAAGCTGAGATCTTTGGGTTAGTTTCTGCAATTGCGTGCGTGGTTTTGATGGTTTGAACTATGTTTTATTGCACTGGATATGCTTATCAGACTTGTGATGTTTCAGACTTTTGAGTAGTGTTGTTCCTTTTTTCCACCAGAGTTATGATAAAGCCTTTTATTGGGGGTTACTCTGGCGAAACTGATGAGAGATACAAGTAGTTATGAAGATGAATTTGGATAGATAGTTCCCAGCTTTATAGCCTACGTGCAAAGTTTTGCACGAAGTGATCAGCTTGGCTCCATTGTTTTGGCTGGAACTTGAATGGTAGAAACGGAAGTTGTTATCAGTTATTATCAAGAACTGAAACAGCATAAGTAGCAGAATATGGCATGAAACGTGGGATCTTCTTGCTGAAATTTTCTATTTCTAGGAATTGGTGGATTGACTGTCATTTTCCATTCTAATATATTTGTTTGACTTGTACTACTTCTGGTCATGTGCCACAGATAGACGAAAATGTGCAGAGGGAAATCATCAACCACAGGTCATTGAGGCATCCCAACATTGTTAGATTCAAAGAGGTGTGATGCTACCTAAACCCTTTTGCTTGTGAGAACCCATCGTTTTGGATTAGATAACTTAATGAGGCAACTAAAACAATTCAGTGTGTGCTGTTTAGGTCATCTTGACACCAACTCATCTGGCGATCGTCATGGAATATGCATCTGGGGGAGAGCTGTTTGAGCGGATATGTAATGCGGGTCGCTTTAGTGAGGATGAGGTTCTTACACTCTAATGTTTTTGTTAATCATGCTTTGATCTTGTGAAGAAGTTCATTGATATAGTGTGATACTTGCTTGTGATAAAACAGGCGCGTTTCTTCTTCCAACAGCTTATATCGGGAGTCAGCTACTGTCATGCAATGGTGAGTGAAATAAGCTTAGCTATCTTGATTAAGATTCTTGGTACGAAGAAGAACGTGTCGACTAGTTACTGAGATCTTGAATCTGGTTGTGGTTGTTGCATTCTGAAGCAAGTATGCCATCGTGACTTGAAATTGGAGAACACATTGTTAGACGGCAGCCCTGCACCTCGCTTGAAGATTTGTGATTTTGGCTACTCCAAGGTGCATAAGTCATATTTGCTTTTTTGCTCAACTTCTTTCATTTTCTTCTGTAATGTGCTGTACTGTATATAGACTTATCTGTGTGCTTTGTTGGTGTTTGACTTTGACAGTCCTCGGTGCTTCACTCACAGCCAAAATCTACTGTGGGAACTCCTGCATATATAGCTCCTGAGGTATTATTGAAGAAGGAGTATGATGGCAAGGTAAGCTTATGCTTTATCAAGCTGAACTAGAGAAGCAACGTGCTGCTTACTTCTGTAAATCTGAAAATAAGGATGGGAATTCTTCTTCTTAATCAGATTGCAGATGTATGGTCTTGTGGGGTAACTTTATACGTTATGCTGGTGGGAGCATACCCATTTGAGGATCCAGATGAGCCTAAGAACTTCCGAAAGACGATACAAGTAATGCACACATTCACTACACATAAAATTATAATATTATTGCTGCTAACCCTAATGAAGATACTAAACACACAGAATTCTGTTATGTGTTGCAGCGGATTTTGAATGTGCAGTATTCGATTCCTGACTACGTCCACATATCTCCAGAATGCCAGCACTTGATCTCCAGAATATTTGTAGCTGACCCAGCAAAGGTCAGTGTTTTTCAGTTTTTGGTTACTTCTCCTTGACTGTGTCTTCTAAGTTCTATCTAAGGCATTGTGTGGTACGCGAACCTTGTTCCCTGTGATTCTAAGAATAACTCATTTTCCCTTCCTTCTGGATTGGCCTTTTCTTTTGGACAGCGGATAAGCATACCAGAGATTCGGAACCACGAATGGTTTCTAAAGAATCTCCCAGCTGATCTTATGGACGACAATACGATGATGAGCAACAACCAGTTCGAGGAGCCTGATCAGCCTTCCCAGAGCATTGACGAGATAATGCAGATCATTTCAGAAGCCACGATTCCTGCAGCTGGGACAAGAAGTCTGAACCAATGTCTGACAGGGAGCCTGGACATTGACGACGACATGGAGGAGGACCTCGACACTGATAATGACCTCGACCTGGACAGTAGTGGGGAGATAGTCTATGCCATGTAAGAAACTGCTATTAGTTCACTACTGCTTGGCATGGAAAAAGATGGATGATGGTGAAAAAGGGGTAATAATTTGCAAGGAAACAGAGAATGGAAAGTTGAAGGAACATTCTGTTTTCTGTGATGGAAAGTGTATCTAAAGAAAGCATGTAATATGTGATATTTGAAGAACCCTGTTTGGAACTGTTGAAAAAATGTATTTTCTAGCCTCCATTGAACAATATATGGAAGGCGGTGTTTGTACTAATTGGTGAATAAGCTGTGTTACGTGACAAGTGAAGACTGTCATTGCATCAGCATTTCATTCCTTTAAATGTCTAAATATTTTGAGATCTGCAACAAATCATTGAACTAAAATCTGTAACAAATTGCAGACTAAGCAGAGTAATATGCAACAAAATAGGCACTCAGTCTTATGTGGTTCGATATATCGTTAGTTTGAGCGAGTCAACATGCCAAACTTGTTTGCCAAGTCACTGAAATCATATAGTCAACATATAATGCACCCTAACCCTTTCAGACTTGGAGATGGTTTGAACTCGGTTCCTAGCAATGCTCATAGGCTCAGAGTTGGATAAGGGTCAAGTTGGAGTAAATGGCAAGATAAGACTGGTTACTTGGTGTGTTAATGACTTAATGCACAAGTTTTGTGACACATAAGAGTCTATAACCATGCTTACTCAACCAAACTCAATAGATGAAGTATTGAAGTTACAGTTTGTTTTCTCTTCATCAAATTAGCCTTTTAGTTAAAGATTTTACCAATTAATGTGCAATAAGAATATATTAAAACAAAGTTTGAAACTTGTCAATAAAATTGTATTTGTGGTTTTGAAACTTGTCAATACAATTCTATCTATGGTTTAGTTGGTTATTACATTAGTCTCAGTGTCTCACACAATATAGATCCCTAGTTCATCTTCTGATCTAGAGTCGGACGCGATATAGAGATCCTGTATCAGACAGACATCCAATAGTTGAAATTATGAGAAATCAGAGAAGGCAATGTAGAGAAATCGGCATCGATAGAAGTCATTCTAATTGTTTGTTACACAGCTTAACCCAATTCAGACATCCAATAATCAAAATCTTAGGCAAAATTTCGCAACATCATAAAAGCCTAGACATAGTTCTTTTTCGACCCTGCAAATTTAGTATACAAGTGCAGAACGGATAATCAGGGGGCAGACAAGAAGACACCATAGATAGCTAGACATACAAAGTTCAAATCTTCATTCCCTTTTTCAGGACTCAGAATGAGGCGCTTCTTTTTTCACATCATTGCTTGAGCCATCTCCCGATTGGCCGCCATTTTCACTGTTGGTCGTAACCTCATAACCTCCTGATTCTGAAGCACCATTGGCCGCTGTCCCTGTCTGGGGAGTTGTCTCAGCCTGCTGTTGCCCATAACCGCCACTAGAATATGCACCTTGACCATAGTCTCCAGCAGCAGGAGGCTGAGCAGCATACCCACCTTGTCCATAACCTTGCTGAGTGGCTGTCCCGTAGGCCGCTTGTGAGTAACCGGTCTGGTCATAACCTGTTTGAGCAGCTGCTGGTTGCCCTGGGTACCCAGAAGAATTCCAGTAAGGATGATTATAGGCAGCCTGGGGATATGCAGGAGCTTCTTGACCCGGCTGAGATGATGCTACCGCCCCATCTGTACTTTGCCCATAACCAGAAGTTGGATATGGCTTTTGCTGGTCATGTGTTGGAGCTGCCTGAACCTGTCCATAACTTGAAGGCTGTTGACCATAACCCTGGCTGTAGTTATTGGCTGCAGCCCCGGGTGCTTGGCCATAGCCATAGTTGGGATTAACTTGAGCTGCCCCCATTTGTGGTTGTTGTCCATAGTAGCCATAGCCAGTCGATTGGTGAGGTGGTTGAGGAGCAGATTGGTTTGACTGGTCCCAGGCAGGTGGTTGAGTAGCATAGTTGCCATAGTATGCAGGGGGAGTGGGATGAGTTCCAGGCTGCTGATAACCATATTGGGCCTGTTGCTGTTGCATCGGAGGCTGTCCTCCTGCAGCCCAGTAAGGAGGCTGCTGATAAGCTTGTTGTTGGTATGTGTTAGTTCCACCAGAAGTTAGGATCCGTTTCTGCATTAATTAATCATATAAGGTGAAAATAACTAACTAACAAACATTGCCCAGTCGAACTTTAAAGTCAACCTTACAGTTTCGCCGAACATGAGTGGCCTCATTGCTACATATCTATTCATCTAACAATGATGCTTAATAGAAGCAACCAGAAGTTGTGACAGTATATTACTTATTGTGTACTAAAGATGTTAACTGGGAAAATAGAGTATGATGACTTACCCCATTAACTACCTCGTTTACCAATTCTTTGGCTGCCTCAATTTGTTCTGCAGTACCATTTATGTATATAGTTCTCTCGGTTGTTGGATCACCAGCAGGAAGGTGCAAGGGAATAATCTGAAGATAAAGCATGTCATCCAACTAGCAAGAAGGTACTAAAAGCCAGAATATAAAATTTGACAACTAATATAGGCATTAATAAGGGCTGAAACGTAGGTATAGTAATGTGCGCATCTCCATTATAAGGAATGCGAAAAAGTAAATTTCATTGAACACCCCCCATAACCTCCCTACAGAGTTGCAAGTACTTCTTTGAAGATTGATACTCACTACAAATAGACAAGAAATTGCTATAGCTCAATTAAGAGTCGGGGAGTCTTTTATAAAAGAAACTTATGTTCTTCTGGAGGTTAAACATGTAAAATTGCTTAGATCAAAGAAAAGAAAGAAATATGGTACTAGAATCTCTCAGTCTCTTATTTTATCTACCTTGAGGAAACTGTTGAGCATTTAGGACCGCAACGGAGATTCAAGTTAGTTCTTATGTCATTGATAGTTTTCAAACTCACCTGCATCTTAGCTCCTGATTTGTTTTGCATATACTTTATAGTTTCACCTCCCTTCCCAATGAGCAATCCCACCTACAACCATCAACGACGCATAATTCAATGAGAAGGAGAAACATCATTCCTATGTTTGAATTAATACTTAAGAGATAACTATCATGAAACCCACTTTGTCATTTGGAACTTTTGTAGAGTACTGTTCAGCTCCAGATTGCTTTGTATTTGACCCCTGTGAAGAGTTGGAATATGCCCCTGCATCTGCCTGTTCAAGAAATTTAAGCATGATCATAATTAGAACAGAAACCGCCCATGTGCAGAAGAAGAGGCCCACTAAGGGCTTGTTGACTTGGGTGGGCCAAAGAAAGAGGACTGGGGGACATAAATGTACCTCTGAGATGGCATCGGTTATAAGTTGCTCTGCTCTGCTAATTTGATCAGGAGTACCCGTCAAATCTACATCCCTGGTTAGAGCATGGGGATCGGCTTCCTGGTCCTTTGTAATTTGTATCTTTGCCCCTGATTGAAGTTGAATGTATTTGATTGTTTCTCCTCCTTTCCCTATGACAACCCCCACCTATAGCAACAGGAAGGATGAGAAAACGGTGTGAACTTAGAACTACAAAATGAACCAATTCAATCTCACATACCTTGCCATTGGGTATGGTGATCTTCTTGCTGCTCTGGACACCATACTGACTTTGTTCACGAGCATACGAAACTGAAATCGAATTCCAGTAAGGAATTATTATATGAAGAAATAAACTGGTGCAGTATGGATAGCTCAATTTCTTCAACTACATCAAAGAATAGGACCAGTAGTTTGAAGTCTTAAGTAAGACACACCAACTACCGGATCACTAAGCTCTAACGCACCACTTCTAATTGCAACTACCATAGTTTACCCGCCGAACAGCTGCAGTTCAACTCAAAGCTACCATCTGTTTAATTTACAAAAAGCTGCATCCGAGACATGATAAGCAGATCCTTCCAAGCATTGGACGATAACATGACAATTAGATTTTTCTACGTCCATTATGAAATGTGAAATGCATCAGATTTTCAGAGCAAAACAAACAAAATAAGGCCGCCATTAAATATATCCAAAGTCCAAACACCACATTTCCAGTATTATACACACAAAAACAAACAGCGCCCCCAACCAAAAAATCCACAAACGTTTGCGAACCCTCCGACAATCCCTTACACGTCACGAATCACTTCCCGGATAGTGCGCAAAAAAATACAATGCCTGAGCTAAAACCCTAGAAACCGCGGGCGGAACACAGAGAGAGAATGGAATGGGGGAAGAGGAGCACTAACCAGGATAAGAAGGAGCTGGTGGGGCGGAATTAGACCACGGAGAAGGCTCCGAGGGGTTCTCGGAACCGAGGCGCTGCCGCTTGGGGTCGGCGGCGTCGCTGATAAGCCGCGAGGCGATTTCCTGAGCTTTCTGTTTGGCGAGTTCGATTGTGTCCTCCAGCTTCCTCTTGCCGCTGTCACTGAACTCACTGCGTTCTCCGTCGGGCTGCTGGAGATGGTCTCCCATGGCGGAGGGAAGGAGGGAGGGAGGGAGAGTGCTGGGGTGTTTGTGTGACTGAGCCGCCACCGAGTTCAGTGGCCGACTGTGGAGATGTAATAGGGAAGGCGAAGAAAGGAGCAGTCGTCCATAAGAAAAAAAGGGGTAAATCGTAAATTGACTCACACAAAGCATTGAAATTCACTATTACTCACTGCCGCATACACGCGAAACGACACCGTTCTGGTAGCCGCTCCTGGCTTGGCTTGGATTACCCTTGGCCTGTTGGCCATCCTAAAACTGGCGGCTAGGATGTGGTCGGGTTGGAATATGCTCTTTTGGCAACCCATCTCTATTATTTTTAGTGCCACAAATGAGTCAAACCGTTCACCAACGGTTTGATATTAGTTTGGAAAATCAAAAATAAGTTAGCCTAATGGTAAAGTTGTCGTGACAGTAAAGGTTTGAGAGTTGCAGATCTCATATTCGAAGGTACAAGGCCTTTGGAAAAAATCGGTGTTTTTTTTACAAAAGATAATCACTTATATTGATTAGAATAAAAAATCATTATATTCTGAAATTTAACCAGGTCAGAAAATCAAAGAAGCGACGCGTAATTGGGTATAATGTAAGGATCTTGTTAGCGACCAAATGGGTCACTCTATTACTACTCCGACCTACAAATTGCACATGAAGCCCATTGTTAGAAGCCAAACACCGCAGAACCTCCTCGAGGATGGCTCCTACCCGATTATCCCGAGTATCCGCCTGATTGAGTTTATCAATGACCACTTTAGCGTCGCCAGCAAACGTCGTCTTTGTGAACCCAATCTCCAGACATCAAAGGCAAGACCAGGAAAATCGCACACCTTTAGCCAAGAGGACACTCCCTTCTTAGTTCATGTTAACCATTCCACCAACCGAATGAGAACCACACCTAGTCGCCCCATCCAACATACGGACCACAGAATTTTGGTGCCCTGCTCCCACGGACTGAGCTCGAGAGACAACTCGGTGTTTTCACTCATCTCAATTTCACTATTCTCAAACACGAACTTGCTCTGTTTCAACACCCTCGAGCTTCACTCAATCCCTGCTTGTACGATCCTCACCAATAACTCATGATTCCCAAAAAAAAAACCGTTACTACAATTATGCTGCAGATTTCTCACTTTTGATCACTCAAAACAGGGTATAGCTTGCAAAGAGTGCTCTGATACCATAATGTACCCTCAAATTGTAAAGCAAACCACAAAACTTTTTTGGAATGAGCAAAATGACAATAAGTACATGGCACTGGTCACAAGATCGACCTTCACCAACATGTCTAACTCCATATCCCTGGTTTTCAACAACCATCAACAACTAACCAGCTGACTTGGCTCGTTGAAAGCTCCCAACTACTCTATCACACGACTCGAGACCAATTTGCAACAATTCAAAACTTGACGGATTAAAAACAACTAAGAAAAACGATGTAATTTTGCGAAGCACGACTAAATTCAAACTTTGTCGCTTCAGACTCCAGCCACCATGGTTCGAAACCCTTGGTTATTAGATTCAGATTTGAAGCTGTACAAGTTTCAACTCGATTTGGATTAGGTCAGGCTTCAGGATTGAAGCCTTGGTTAGCTTAGCTAAATTGCAATGTACTGCCAAGAAGGTCTCTGACCAATAACCTTCTCAACCTCCCTAGGAAGAAATGAAGCCATGCAGCCTAGCTGTTGACACATTAGAAAGGAGAAGCTTTATACCCCACTAAACATCCAGTTCAACGCATCATATATCACCAAGAAAGGCATGAGAAATGAAACAGCTTATACTGAAACCTGATGAACAAAAATCACCTCAGTCTAGTATGGAAATGGAGAAGAAAAAACTTCATAGCACTCAAAATTTGTTGGTGGTACAAAAGGAATGTATGCAAGCAAAGCTTCCTAAGACAGAAACCATTGCGACTACTTAACGAGGATTAAATCAACTGCGATGTACCACTGAAAATTAGAAGGTCAGCCGCTTTCTCGAATGACCTGGGTTGGATGATTGTTATGCATTTCTGGGTCTTCGATTCCACATGAAGGCAAACCACAAAGTCCTCCATAACACTCCATTGGCCATATGTGGAATGAATATGCGGCCCCAGAAAGGGTAATACGGGCCTGGCAATTTGATTAATGCAAAAAGTGCTGCAATCGCAATCAAATGCCATGGAACTTCAGCATCCTGCAAACAACACTCAATTGACAGTTCGATCAGTTTATGCCATTTAACTAATTTTCATTCTTCTCTGCCAGTGAGAAAGGAACATCAATTAAAGAACACCACAATTTGTCTCGCTCAAATTTCCACTAGCATCACACAACAATAAAAGTCATTCATGCCATAAACATACTTAAGATCGAATGAGCTCCTACCGAATGTAAAAACTCAAAAACGACGCGACCAAGAACCAAAGAAGTTGGTCTAACCTTGAGGAGTGGAGACAGTTCCAAAGCAGAATCTCTTAAGAACCCAGCAACAGCAAAGCCGATAAGTAGTGGAAACGTGACAAGGACCAACTTCTTATGATGCGCACAATATGACATCTCACTCAGGGTGGTAATCAGCAGTAATGGCACAGTCAGGTACTTGACAACAGTCACTGTCAGATCAAACAGGAGTTGTACGAAGTTGTCGAACGCCGTGTTCCAAGGGAAGCTCCTCACGGGCGCAGGACAACTACCCCACAGTTTCGTTGCTTTGTTCGCTAGTTTCCTTAAGTTTATCCTTTCAGGATCGTCCGACTTTCCTGCAGCCATGTTTATACTGCAAGAGATATCGTTAACCCTCGCATGCCTGACGATTCCATTCCACTTAACACTAGAATTTAAGTAGCAGGGCTTGGGACATGATGCAGATCCCTGCCACAAAATAGTCATGTGTGAGTTCAACAGCACCAAGTAGAGAGTGACAAACAAGAAAAACTATTGCTCCCAGCACAGAGATATACCTAATTACAATCACTGGCCAGCTACTCATTACTAATGAACACCGTACAGCCAGAGCAACCGTAATGGAGGCTACACGAACTCCATCACAGCAAAACAAAGTTGAAGTAAGAGCATGGTGAAAGTGATCACAAAAGCAGTCAGATTGATAGTTAATATCAGTAGACTCCACATGATTCTCACACATAGAAGAAGAAGCAAACAAATTGAAGGGAAGAAAGTTCGAATCCCACCACACCCAGATCCTACAGAAACCTGCCAGGAAACATGAACAAGCACTTCTGAAGCCTAGCCATCGATGCGACAAAATGCGGTTCCTAAACTACAAACCATTGATTCAAAAGTTCCCCCCGGAATGAAATTCCCATGGAACAAACATTCCAGCTAAGTAAGAGATTCTATACCATTCCCACATCAGGTTCTCTAACGAGGAGAGCATGTAATTGAACGGATACACGGCACAATTAGCTGATAATGCTAACCTGGAACCTCAAAACGGAGGGAGTACGAAATCCGAGGCTGATGGATTTGGCCGGGGGTTGAGGACGAAACGAGGCATAGAGCGGGTGCGAGAGAGAAGATGAGATCGCCATTCTTCCTGCCGGTGAGATTCGCAAAAGATTTAAACGCGAATTATGCAAAAGCGAGCCATCAGAGGAAGATTCTACAATGGCGGAAGGATAAGCCGGCAGTTTTCCGATTCCAGAGACTCGACCGGTGGAAGGCTTTTCAGACGGACAGAGGGTTTAAGCCTTAAGAGAGAAGGCATCTTGTGGTTGCGAGTACATGTTGGTAGCATGTTCCTTTGCCCAGCGCCTGACACGTGGGTTTGTCTGTTGATTGGGAAGTGGTTTAGTTTAGGGATGGCAAAAATATCCGTAACCGTGGATATCCACCCGAATCCGACCTAATCGGGTAGGGTAAAACCCGAACCCGAAGCATTTATCGTGGGTACTGGGTACGGGTAAAACTCGAAACCGAATGTTGCGGGTAATGGGTGGGCATGGTTATCTCACTATCCAACCCGAACCCGCCCGATTACACACATACATATGTATTTTGTCTAGAAATAATCATTATTTTTCTCTAGAATATTTTATATTTAGCATATAAATATAATATTTTCATGAAATTATGTTGTTTTAATTAATTTTCGTCATTCTAGTGAATTATTTTCGTACTTTTCCTCTTACGTAATGTGAGTATACGTGTGAATGTTAACATATTGGTTGGAATTATAAGGATAAATTATTACCCATGAATAACCGTGGATACCCGAAACCCGAACGGGTATGGGCATGGTTTTGATTTTCTACCCGTTTCTCGTATGGGTACGGGTATGGGTAAAACCCGAACTACATTGGATAGGGTAACGGATATGCACTATCTGCCCCCGACACGACACATTGCCATCCCTAGTTTAGTTTTTCGTAGCGGTAGAACTAAAAAGAGTTATATGTATAATATGCTCATATGACGTTTTATCAAACATGCCCATCTACTATTTTTTACATCAAATATGTCTCTGTACTTTGAAAAATTATCAAACATGCCCTTCTATTGAAATTTTCATTGAAAAAATCGTCAATCGTGGTTGAACCGAGATTTAGACGACCCGACATCGGCAAATGGGAGAAAAATTGTCAGTTTTGTCCCCTGTTTTATTTCCCTGGGTCTTTTCAAAGTGAAATTATTTGAATGCTTTGATTATACAAAAGAACCAAAAAAATTCTAAAGTGAATTTATTAGGGATATTTTAGTCATTTGTGTCGCTCAAACTAAATTTCGGCTTTGATTAACGGTTTTTGGATGAAAATTTTAATAAAAGGGCATGTTTGATCATTTTTACATAGTACAAGGGCATGTTTGATGTAAAAAAAATAGTAGAGGGGCATGTTTGATAAAGTGTCATAGTAGAGGGGCATATTATACCTATAACTCAACTAAAAAGTTATTTCTTCGGGGAAAGTTAAGTAGAAGATTCGTTAGCAGATATTAACTAATATCTAAAATACATGAATTAATATCGAAGTACTAAAGTATCTAGAGAACACAAACTAGTATTCAAAGTTTGCTAACTGATATCCACCATGAATCATCTATTATCCCAAATTCACAAACTAATATCAAGACAACACATAATAGTATCCAAACAGTACATAATTAGTATCCATATAACACATAAGAGTATCCAGATAACCCATAAGAGTATCCATATCTGGATACTAGTTTGTGATGTTTTGAATACTAGTCTGTGCTATCTAGATACTTAGCAGACTTAGTTCATCATACATTTTGGATATTAGTTAGTATATACTAACGAATCTTCAAGTTCGCAGAATAACTAGGCTGATTTCTTCTAGGGCTAATAGCCTAATACAATCGGAACACACAATTATTCAAAATAGTTTCACTTGTATAACAGAAACGGAAAGTTGTTTTTGATAGTGAGTGGTTTTAGTTGTCTATAGTCAATAAAACCACCCAAGTTACATTTTTTAAAACAGTAATGAGAAGCAAATGAAGTACAACTTCGATTGAATATTATAGAACAAAGCAAGCATTTCATTTACCAATCGTCCCTTTTCATAATTTTGAAAGTCAGGAATAATGACAGGGTCTCAAGTTGACATTGTTATAAGTTAGTTATAGAGGTAATGCTGTGTGATCACAATGGCAAAACCTCTGAAAAATCTCATATTTTTCGATTGGATTGCTAAAGTAACTTTATATTTGAGAATTGAGAGCAGCCTACAACAGGTGACACTGATAAACATTTGCCTGATTCTGAAAAAAAGGCCGATCATGGATTGAACCTCATATTTACACGAGTTGTTTACAACAAGTAATTACAATTTACACTATAACGCACAAAAATATTACGCAACACATAATAGTGGATTTTAAATATACAACAGGTAAATTTCATGGTCCATGAAACCGTATCGGAGACCGTATCGGGAAAGTCAGCGGTAGGGTATTTTATGGTAAAACCGTGGTTTAACCGTAGTTCAACCGTTATACCGGTAAATGCTGCATATCGGTTTAGCCTCCGATACTGATATTTCGTGGTCGAACCGCCGGTACGGTACGGTTTAATGGACACTAAATTTGCAACTAGAACAGGCAAGTAACCGATGGTTGATGTTAGCAAAAGGCTAACCCATCCATCCACCCGTCAGGTTGAGCTTTGCATTGACAACGTGTTTGCGGAATCATTCCATCCTTCTGTCACCTTTCTGCGCATCAAAATGTTACGGCGGTAAATATCCATATATCATTTTTACTCGCAATTCGCAAACACATGAGAACCATACACGAGAGACGAAGTCCTTGTTTTCATGGGGAATAGATTAATTGAACTTACCTTGTGAGCTGTTCCATCCATGGATGGAACTTCGGTAGCGCTTGAACTCCCCTTTGGCATGCGAAAGAACCATCTTAGATCGTTGAAGCTTCGAGCTCAGCTCTTCGTTCTGAGCCTTCAGAAGGCTGTTCTCTTCCTGCAAGACACCACAGAATAAGAAGCTCCCCTTAGTAAAAAGAAGTTCAGAAGGGTAAGAAGTAGATAAGTTGATCAGGTGTCATCTTTTAGGGTACTCGCCTTGATTTTAGCATGGTGATGAATGCGCTCCTGGAGGTTCTGCTGTCCAGAGAGCTTTTTAACCTCTCCTTCAAGTTCCATTACCTGTCTCTTGTGGCTCACGGTTTCCATCTGCATAAATGGTGGCGAAAGCTACGCTCATAAGCAAGAAAGAAGGCTGAGAGATCAAAGGATTGATATGCCTAACTTAAATTGTAATGCGTGATAAGTTTTCGACCTTTAGCATCTCGTTTTCTGCTTTCAAGAACTGATCTTGCTGACGAAGGTTCTCCAGGGCAACCTGTGCAGCAACCAGCTCGGTCTGTCTTCGATCAATTTCCTCGATCCATCTGCGAAATGAGGTGCATTATTTAGCTGGTTATTATTCCACAGGTGGTGGTCAGAAAAAGAAACTAGTTTTAGAGAAAATGTGTCGTACCCTCTCCGTTCCTCTATGAATTCAGTTAACTGTTTCTTGAGCTGCATAGTGTCTTCATCCTGTATCGCAGTTTTACCCCCCGATAAGTCATTTACAGAAACCAAACTTTCAGTTTTACACAAACCATACCTGCATTTCATGTTTCAAGCTGCTGAACTGAGCTATCTCGGCAATCTTCTGAAGTTGTTGATTATTCAACAATGACTGAAATTTAACAAACGGGGAAATGTTTGAGCTGTCTCCTTCACTTTTTCTTTCGAGAACAGGTGGAGAGAAGGGTTGAGAATCGAGATTTACCGCATAATTTGTCATGTCAAGCTTCACTCCAAGTAAATCTCGAATGACATCGTGGGTCATGCTCTCAGCAGCAGCTAATCTGGCGTTCAGTGCAAATATCTGCAGAAAGAAACATACACCCTTCGTTGGGAACTTAAAACTACAAGTTGGCTCAACATTTTTAGTGCAACATTTTTGTTTCTTCTAGTGAAATGCTATACCTCCTTCTGACGGCTTCCTGCTAAGCATTCTAGTTCTTCAATGCGTTGACTTGAAGCAGTCATTTCCTCATCCTTCTCAGATTTTACTTGTTGAGCCAAACCCAAACCGATGCATTTGAAAGGAGACCCGGTGCCCCTTGGCCTGACAACCATTTTCTCTGGCTTGTTTGTCGTCGAAATATTTGCAGCATGGTTAAAGGACTCCTCATGCTTCACTTGTTCGAGCATAGCTTCCAGTTGCTTGAACTGTTTTCAAGCTTCTTTATTATCCCAAATTCAACAAAATGGTGGTAACTGAACATTATTGTAACATAAAGTTGTGCTACTACCTTTTGCTTATATTCACTAGCCTGTGCTTCTGCATGCAAATTCAACTCGGAGATATGTGACTTGAATTGGTCAATCTGGAGAAACAAAACACACCAATCGGTCAACCTGGTTTGGCAGAGTTAAACATAGGACCAAAGGGAAACCTTGCCTAATGAAGACCATTTACCTCTGCATCCTTGTCAAATATATCCATCTTGAGAGTTTCAATATGATCCAACGCATCTTCGAGGCCTTTCTTTTTCTCCTCTAAAAGCCTGGAGAAGCAAGATGATCAGTTCCAAATGTAATCATAAGCTCCATCTAGATTATTAATGGATCTAAATGAGCAGTCTTAAACCTTCTCATTTCGGAGCCAGAATTTTCAAAAGTATGCATTTGATTCTTTAGAGAATGAATTTCCACTTCTAGATCTTCTCTCTGTAATCTTTGTCGTTCAGCTTCATCATTTAGAATATCAACCTAGTAATTGGAGACAACATAAAGAGGCGATTACCAAAAAGTCATGGAACGAATAAAAACTACCTAAAATCCACAACTCTAACCTTGTTTTCCAGCACATTGATAGTGCATTCTAGCCCTTCGACGGATCTTTCTAATAGCTTCACCTCAGCCTCTTTGTCCTCTGCATATAACTTCCGGTATTCGACTTCCTGCATCAATATGAAAAGAGATAAGTAGCAACCAGGTGTTAGAACATGTTTACTTTATTCATTTGAGGCTATAAATACCTGTTGAGCAGCCACTGCAGCAGCTTCTTTTTCTTCGGCCACAGTCTCTGCCTTTTCAAGTTGTTGTCTCATAGCATTCATCTCCCTGAGCATTTGGTCTCTCTCTTCAGTAAGTTCGTTCAACTTGCTCTGAAGATAATCTGTTTCAGAGTCCATCTGCCGAAGAACATCACCCATTTGAGACAGTTCCATCTCCAAACTATCTGTCAAGTTCTTACTCTGTGCTACCTCCAGCTCAAGAGATGCCTTTGCAGCCTGCAACCTGACGTTTTCGCTAGAACAGATTTTCGAAGATTCAGTTTCCTTAGCTAGTTCTTCCTCAAGAGCAGCCACTCTGACCATCTTCTCCTGTAATTGTGCCTCAAGTGTTTGATTATTCAGAATGGCCTCATCAAGCTCACCCGATTTCACAGCAAGCTCATCCTCTAGAACCTCCATTGCTGCCATGATTTCCTCAATCTCATCTTTCTGGTCTTTCGTATTTGATGCAGTCTCCTGCAGTAGGCTCAGATCAAATAACAGTCCTGTTAGAATGTCATCCTTCCTAGACAATTCAGCCTGGAGAGAGACAACGGCAGAAGCCACGTTTTCAGCAGAACATTCCAATGGATCAATCTCCTGGATGAAGTCAGACATGCTCTCTATTTTTCCTGATAGCTCACTGAATATTTGATGTACGAGTTCAGAGCATCCTTCCTCCAGTGCACTGCATACCCTGAAAAATGAAGACTGTATCGTCTCGAGTGCATTAAGACACTCGACATTTCTTGAGCTCAAACGATTGAAGGCTTCAAGAAAGCGTAGCTTGGAAGACCTCAGTTCATCTTGCAAGAGAGCATTCTCATCCTCCAACTCATTCACTCTGTTAAGAAAATGTTGGACATCTTGCCTTTCTGACAACAACTCATACGTGATAGCAGACCGGGAACTCAGAAGTTCATTTACTTCATTGCTTTTCATCTCCAAATCTGCTTGCATATCAGAAACAATAACTTCCAAGGAGTCAATTTTATCTTGCAGTGCCTGCTTTTCCATGTTGGAGACTTCTATACAACTTCTAGATGATTCAATTTCAGCACTCTTGGAACCTATATCTTCCTTCAGACTCTCAATCATTCTCTCCGCTTTCCAAGTGGTATCTTTTAGATGTGAAGCCAGGAAGCATGACTCAAATTCTTTAGACCAGGTATCCAGTATCAAGAGGTCAGCCTGACAATTTAAATACTCTTCTTTGTCTTTCAGCATTTTCTCTTGATTTAGCAGAGAATCGACCACATCGTTGTTACTCGAGTCTAACTCTTTCATCAAAATAGCAAGCTGAGATCCCATGTAATTTGATCTCTGTAGCATTGACTCCTCTTGAAGCTGCAGATCAAAGATGTGTTTCTCAAAACTAGTTAACTTGGCACCAAACCCACCCATTTCCTCTTCTTTCCTTGATATGCGATCAAAGCTTCTCTTGATGTCCGCCAACAACTTTCCCTTCAGGGTTCGACAGATGTGGAGCTCTTTATTGGATTTGCAATTACGCTCCTTGAGATCAAGTATGACCGAGTTTGTCTCGCACAGGCCATTTTGGAGCAAACCATTTTCAGCATGCAAGCCTGTCACAGTTTCCAACAGAATGCCCATGTGACAGAGATGTAGCACTGAAACAGCACAATCCTTCACAACTATCTCGGACCAGATATCTTCAAGCCACGAGCTTACCAACTTTCGAGAGTCCAGAGCAAAGGACTTTAAGCTATCCAAGTCACCAGGCATTGACATGCAATTTTCTTGGGAAGAGGATTGGAGGCCCGCAACAATATCCTCCAGCTCGCCAACAACACACGTCATTTCCTTCATGCTGTCAGTAAATTGCCGCTCAAGGTCTTCAAGCTGCTGATCCTTGCGACAACTGGCAGTTTGCAAGGTATGAACCTCTTCAATCAACTTCTCCCTTTCATTTATAAGGGCGATTTCCACTTGCTTCTGATTTTCCAGTTCAAGCTTCACTGATTCATTAACCATCATTAGCTTGTTGATCATAACGTCAGCTTCTTTCATTGTTTCCTGTGCTTCCTCATATTTCGCTAATAAACAAGAAGCTTCAGCTGCCTTTTCTACAGCAATCATCTTTGCATCATCGATTTCCATCTCAACGCACTGCAAAATAGTTTTTACATAGCAATAGCCAGTAAGCAACCTGCCATTGAAATAACTACGTGTGGAGCTGAATAACAGCAGGCGAAATCAAATAGTCTGCAAAATACCAGCCTTGTCCAAAATAGTAATTAGCATTTGGCAGATTATCAGGAAATGAGTAAAGATATCAGATGCATCACGGAGGCAAAAAGTCACCAACGAGTTACATGAACTCAACAGGAACTATGAAATCTAGGAAGGCTCCCAATTACCTCTTTTGTTCCAGACCAATGATCCATGGTTTCTTGGACGATTTCTTCAAAGGCTTGAATCTTATGGTTTGCTGCTTCTACCTTCTGTTCAAACTGTTTTTCGAAGTCACAGATAGCAGCTTCAAATGAAAGTAACTGACTTGTACAAAGCTCTATGCTCTGCTTGCTCTGCCTTTCAGAAATCCGGAAATGTTCTTTCTCTGCATGCAGTGTACCCATCTCCCTCCTAACCTCTTGCAAGCTTGTCAATGCAGACTCTATCTCTTGTTTTAGGAGAGAGATTGTAACATCTCTGTTGCTTGGATCCTCAGGATATCCAACATTTTTCTGCAAAGTTACCCAACAAAAAAAAAACAGCAATTAGCAAAACGAACACCATTCTTGTAAAGAATATGATAAAATGCAACAGTTCAATCGCTTACCAATCCATGGCTGTCATCATCTTGTCCACAAGCTTGCAGTCTTTCATTAATTTCAGAGACATGATCATGCGAATCAGGGCCAAGGCACGAACGGATTGAGCATACTTCAGCTTTGAACTCAGCCAACCTTTCCTTGGTCTGTAAAACGTCATTTTCTTCAATAACTTCAAGCTGAAGCTGCATGGAAGAGGCTCGTTTTTCCTCTTTACTAAGTGCTTCTTCAAGATTGCTGCACGTTTTCTTCAATTCACCTATTTCCATTCTCAAAGATTGAATTTCTGCTTCAGCTCCTTCAGTAGTTGCAGCATGATCTTGGAGAAGACTTACCAGCCTCTGGTTAGTCACTGCCAATTCACAGAGTTGAAGGTCCTTGTACTTTAATTCATTGAGATTGTCAAGATGTTCCTCAGAGAATCTCTTCGCGAGTACAAACCCAATGGCAGCGCAAAGCGATGCATTACCGATAAGGTGCTTTGCTATCTTCAGTTCATCCTCCAGCTCTGCGATTGCGGATGTGTGGTCTCTCAAGTGGGACTTTAAGCCGACAATTTCCATTTCTTTTTCATTGCACTCCTGCTCGTGCGCTTCATTGATAACTAATGCTGCACTCCTCAAAGACTTGATCATGTGATCCACTTCACTTCTTTGGTGGTTGGCATCCTCTAGACATTTGCCAAGTTCTTCAACTAGTACCTCTTTCTCGGAGACTGTCCTAATTAACCTGCTTACTTGTTCAGAGATCCACACTCGCTTCTCCGGGAGAAAACTGGAGATTTCTTCAAGCTGATGGGAAGCATCAATGACGGCATCATGTCCATCAGCAAGAACTTCCTCCATCTCACAAGCCAGAAGCTCCCACTCTTGAGATAATTCTCTCAATTCCTCTTCTTTAATCTCAAGCTTTTCAAGTAACTCATTGTTTTCTTCAGTTAGCATATCCAGTTTGTCATGCGACTCTTTCAGTTTGGCCTCCAAAAGCATCATAGAGCTTTTCGTCACTGTCTCTTTCAAATGGAAACCTTGGACCTGTTGCTGAAGCGATGCAAGTTCTTGCTCCAAACAAATGATGACCTCTGCAGTTTCAGCTTCAGCCTGCCGACGAACTTCATCCACTTCTGCTTCCTTACTTGCCTGACATGCAAGGTCATTGTAGTACCATGTGTTCATCTTCTTCGCCTGCTCGATTGAAACTTGCATCCTCTTCAGCTTTTTTGCCAACACAGAGTCCTCCTCCATATTCCTCGGCAAATGTTCCTGTAAGTCATTCGATAGGAGTTGCTCTTGTAAATCCATGATTTCAGCCTCCTTCTCTGTCAAAAGCTTGACATAACAATTGTTGTCTTCTCTCAGCTTTTCTATGTCAGAAATTGCCAGCATTTGATCTGATTCAAGAGCTTCAAGAACCAACTTGGTCTCTTTGAGTACATGAGCAACATCATGAAACTGCTTGTTCAAAACCAGAAAGCTTTCTTTTGCTACCTCCAGTTCTGCCGAAAAGGTCCTTGCTTTTACCTCTGCTTCTTCCTTGGATGATCTCTCTTCTACAAAAATTATCTTCAATATGTCCAACTCCAGCTGCAAATGCAATATTTCTTCTGCATGATTTACTAAACCAATTGCAGCACGATCGGCTGCAACTGAATCCTGGGACATCAAAGGACAAAGGAAATATCCTGAATGTCTTAATGAGATAAATATGAAAGAAAATATATAAATGAATGTCATGTGCCACTTGGTACAATCATAAAATATCCTAATTCCATGAGACAAGATAAGCAAACAATTCCCTGAACTCATACCTTTTTATTTCTCAAATCGACATCCTCAATGGTGGCTGCAGATCTAAAGTCATCCAACATCTTATGTAGATCGTCAATTTGTCTGAAATTCGGAGAATACAAGTGCAAAATTAGCTCCGCTGCTGCTGCAATCCATTCTAAAGGAGTAAAAAATGTGGTGGCAAGTGAAACAAATTCGAAATAGGATGAATTTCGTACCTGCTCAGTCTTTGGTTCTCCTCCAGGCAAGATTTCAAATTGAGTTTGCTTTGCTCCAACTCATCAGCTGTGTTCTTCAACTAGAAAGAAAATATAATAAGACATAGACTAACGATTCTAGGGGGGGAAACTCATCATTCTGGCTTTTCATGAAGCTCTTTGCAGGCACAGGTTTCTTATGGAATAACAATATAAAAGCTTTAGAACGACTAATGAAGCAAAAATGCAGTGCAACTCTATACTAAAGTAATGTTCAACTCTTTAGTCAGTCACATACTAGGAAACTTTTTGCGAAGGATATGCAAAGATAGGTAACCAAGAAGTTCAAATGACGGACCTTAGTTTGATCATCCATATCTACATGGTGGTGAGGCATAGATGTCCCGTCAAGGAATTGAATCAACTGAAAGAGAAATTATTTCTATAGCATCACCAAATTCACAAATATAGACACTCCATCAAGAGGAAACCAATGGAAATTGAATTAAATGATTGGCAATCAACAAATACCTGTTCTCGGAGTTTGGATACTTCATCCAGGAGTATCTCTCTCTCCCCTTCCTCATAGAATTCTTGAAACCTGAAAACACCACAATGAGATGATATGGATGGATACGAAAAGCATCCCACAGGTCATAACAAGGCATAACAAATGCAAATGACCTCCTAATCTGCTCCAGAAGCCTGATGTTCTCTAATGCAAACCGGGTTACTTCAGGGTTTTTATCTACTTTAGCTTGCAACAACCGAGTCTCTTCAAGCATTGCTTGGTTCTCTTCCATCAAATAACTGTCATGAGGTAGTGCGCCACCAAGAAGTGATTCCATTCTCTGAATCTTGTCTTCCCGGAATCTAAGCATCATTTTTGTGCTCCTGGTGTCTTCCTCTCTTTGACGAACCTGACACATGCTAAGTATTAGAAAGTTGCAGAGTGCTTTAAGCAACCCCCATGCTGAAACAGAACTGGGAAAAGGATTACCAATCGGTTCAATTGTGCAATTTCTGCTTCAAGGTTCTTTATAGCAGTCTCTGCCATCTGCTCTCGTCTTAAGGCACCAGCAAGGGTTGACTCCAGGGATTTCAACTGCGTCAATACCAGTTTCAATAATGTGCAGCATGCATGGAAGTAAAAACCAACTTGAAAGAGAATATGAAATGGTTGGGAATTCACGTAATAAGTTAAAGTATTTGGAGAATATGCGAGACGAACTAAATAATTCCTCTGGTCATTTTTAAAATCCCAGGATACAAACAAGTTTCTAGTGCTTCCTCTTTGCCACAAGCAACAGAATTCAGATGAAATTCCAGTGCAGTAATGAAAACTAAGAATGATGTAATACCTGCTTGGTGGATAACCTAACAGTGCCTTTGGATTCAAACTCGAGTGAATTGCTAGCCTGCAGTGGTTCCATTTCTGAGAATTTTCCGGAGGATGCATTATCTTGTACTGGGTCGATAGCATTGTGAGATGAGTCGAATGACAAAGACCTGAACACATTCTGCCGTTTCAGGAAAGATATCTCCTCCTGTAACGAATCAATGAAGACACAAATTCACTTCTTAGTAGTTTGCCACATGAGAAATATATTGGTCAAGCACTTGGAAGATCCAATACTACACCTTTAAAAGCCGAATCTTATGTTGTAGTGCAATGACATCCCCGCTGGCATCCTCATTGACAACAGCCTATAGAATAAAAAGCTCCATATTACATATGTCACCAATAAAAGACACCATGCCATAGAAAAACTGATCCAGCACCTCAAATAAGCTGGGAAATGACACATTAGTTAAGAACCGTACATTGTTTTGGATAAGTTTAGCTCGTTGAGCAAACTTTAGAGTGTTCAATGTCTCCGCAGCACAGCTGCAATAAGTAAAGTGTCGAGGAAATCACAAGACTGATGATTTTATAGAACGGAATCAGCTAAGAAATTGAAAACAAAGTAAAGTGATCGTGAAAAACAACCTTATAGAGGGGCTGACATTAGCAATGATCATTGTTTTCGAGTTTCCACCGAGAGAGTCCTGCATTAGTTCCAACAATTAAATCACAGCACAGCACATCAAATACTATACTGTTTACAAAAGGTAGAGAGATTCAGAATTAACCTGTAGAAGGTATGTCAACCTTGAATCTCTATAAGGAACATGCCTCTGTTTTCCATTTGCCACATCAACTAGAATCATTATGACATGGCTGACAATTAATAATAAAAAAACACAAGCAGGAAAACAAATTAATAAACTAAAATAAGCAAATTGAACAATAAAAGATAACAAGTGATAGCAAAGCTTGTTAATGTCTTTATCACACACCCTAATGTTGACAATGATTTGTTGATGCTTGCAGCTTCTTTTAAACGCTCACCTTCGGCACCTGAACTTTTCTGCCTGCAACGCATAATGGAATACTCCGTATCACCATAAAGCACAAGGGATGGTAACAAAACTGACAATAGTATAATAACGACAAGCTTCCTGACACCTTACCTTTCAGAACCTGCCAGATCAACTAGGTTTAACCTTGCAAACCTTAGGTTAGTTGTAGAATCTTTTTCCCATCTGCTTTCAATTACACAAGTGAACACACTGTGCGAGCGACTGCTCTCTCTATTCATATTTGTTGCTGCAACTTTCCTGTTCAAGGAGCCCTACATCCGATAAATTATATATTATTAAAAGCCAGTACATGCAATTCACTCACAGACTATCAGAAAGTTCAAATGATCAGGAACTACCTCGGCCAACAGCTTTATAATGTCGCTAACTGTATGCACTTCAAACTCTGAGAGATTCTCCACGTAAACACCAGCCTTGACATCTTCCCTCAACTTCAGGGAGAGGCATATCGTGAATATTGACAACTATATGTAAGTTGATACGAGAGTAACATCAATTGATAAAGAAACATACCATTAAATTGGTAGAAGAAGGCTCAAGGAGATCTGTAATCTGCTCATTATAAATCTCCAAGAAAGAGCACTTGCAACTATATTGAAGTCTTTCATCCCTCCGGCTTTCCTCTTCCTATGCAAGATACATGCAAATTCAGCACTAAAAAAAGTGGGAAAAGGGTAACATGCCTTTATATTTGACATGGTCAATCATCGACACCTACAACAAGGAAACGCTTGTGTTTTTCATGGATTAGTATTACTGATGCTACTTATTTTCTTGTATGCATGTGCTGAGTGACAAGAATATAAAGTCGGGATAGATGGGAGAGAAGTTACAGCTTGGATCCTTGCAAATAAGAACTCGAAAATCCTCGGTGTCATTCCACGTTGTACGCTGGGTTTTACTTCCAGACCATCTATTTCACCAAGCATTGTGAATGTTTTTCCACTTCCGGTCTGCAAGATAAAAACTTCATCAAATCATATGAATACTTGACACCATGTATTTTGATGTCAAACAAGAAAGATGCAAAAGGATTTTCTGGTAACCATAGAATGAGTAACATAAAATGATCAGCCTGTATTATGAAATCCGTTAGTAAATATGTGTAGTGCCATTACTGCCATTGCAAACAAATGTAAATGTCTTGTCATGAGGGGAGTTCAGTGTTGATAAACTTGTCTGACAAAAAGGAATGCTATATTTCTCTTTGATATCCGGTTATAAGGAAAGCTTGAAAACCAAGATAGAAGGAACTAAAACAAAATTGGAGACTTTTTTCATGGATTTCATGAAGCCGGTGCATACACTTCACTCCCTTACGACACGCTAGAGCATGTCGTTTGAAAATTACCTGGCCATAAGCAAAGATGCAACTATTGTAGCCAGACAAGCAATTCTCCACCATTGGAAGACCAGCCATCCGAAACAGCATTTCCTGCAATGTAGGCATTGAACACCCTCTTAACTCGCCAAATCCATCAGCTAAACTTTTGTCACCTCTTTTAAACTCAAACCTTACCTGGTCAACTGTCTCACAAGCAACATGGTCGAATGTGAACCGAGATTCTGGCTGCCCAATCCAAGTAATGGTCTGAGCACTCTCTTGTTTCAAACACCTATTGTACTCTTGTGTGCTCCTCTCCATGCTATTTACAGGCCGTACCCGTACAAGAACCTGAGTAAATTCCAATATTTAGCATTAACCACAAGGACATCCAATTACAATATGGAGATGGCAAACCGTATCTACTGAATGTACAATTACATCCACACATGAATTTAGCTGTCTAGTCAACTAGTTGAAACATTCCATTTCATGCTTGTTATCAAATCATGTCAACTATCGCTAAAAACTATAGTACCTGTACATTATGATCCATCCAGAACGATGGATCCTCTTTCAGGTCAAAATGCGGAACTTCAACGGTATTAACAACAGCTGGAGTCGAAGAACCAGCCACCGGTACACCTCTGTACAAAGCACCAATGTTGCCCGTGCGTCCAGCTCCGCCATTCAAATCCAGCTTACTCCTGTAAGCCGAACTAGGAGGCTTCGAGACGCTCTTCGTCGGCGTGGTTCGTGTGGAAGTACATTCTGAGTAACTCGACGTATCCCTCCCAACAGTCCTGACAGACCTCGGGGTTGCAGTAGGTAACCCCACTCTCGCCAAGGTATGGTCCTTCACATCAGTCCTGGCCTCGTCCCTCACTTCTCCTGGAATCATGTTTGAATCGTTCCGATGAGGCCACCCGAATCGGTACTTCCTCTCCGGCGTGCGAAGAGGCGGCAATGTGGATTCGGAGGCTTTCGATTTAGGCTTTGTTGGAGTTCGTTCTATCTTGCTTCGACCGGCCACCTCTTGCTGGGAGGGATCTTGGATAGTGTTCAGTGGAGGTCTAGAGGTCAATTCCGAGCTAGCCTGGCTCGACAGCGAATCCCTAGGGTTTAGAGGCACATTCTCTATTTCCTCGCTGTTCTTGCCGGAATTCCGGCGCAGGAATTTGAAATCCCTTAACATCCTGATAGAAGCACATAATCAAGGGAAAGATGGAGTTGAGAAAGCAAGCAGAAAGCCGGAATGTGGGAGTCAATGCTGAAATGGAAGGAATCTGAGTTACCTGGCGGTGGCCGGTGGGCTGGAAGAACAGAAACGGGAGGAATCGAGTGAGCGAAATGCTTCCTACTACTCAAGCGGGTGGAATCAATCCGACGGACGACGGTGGATCTTGAGTCTCAGCTACACGTCTCCTTGCCTGATTCTCTTCTTCTTCGGCTGCCCGTCCGGTGTCTGGATTGAACTGAAGCAGAGCACTTCACTGTCTGATGCAATGAGACTGGTTTTTTTTATCGAAATTTGAATTCGAGATCAGGAGCGGGATGGACGGTTGAGATGAAATGAATATTTGAAAAAGCAAACGGCGTAGTGCGACTATCGCGGTTTGGGGATTTGAAAATATGGGTCTTTTTATTTACTTTTTCTATAGCTATTTTTTATTATTACTCTTTTCATAATAGATTTGGTACATAAAAACCAATCATCATGGACTTTATACACAATCCTTTGTTTGTTTGATGGATTTAGTAGGGATAAATCCGTGGGGGCCCACAGCTTTTTAAGGTGCAAATCCGTGGACACCACGGACTTGGAAATTACACCTCAAAGGGTGGAATTTGTGTGAGTCTCAAGTCCATGATGCTTATTTACTATTTTAATCTCATTTTGTTTTGTTTCTAACAATAAATAAGGAACAGAAATGGTATATATGTAACTTCTTAATATAACCACAAATTATATTTTGCAAAATTCATCATGAAATCCATCAAGCAAACAATGGTTTTACCCAAAAACCAAATTGACCAATTCCATCATAAATTCTTGGTTTTATAAACCCAAGTTTTGACCAAACCCTTCATTTATCAAATCCATGAAGCAAACGAGCCCGAATATAAATGGGTTATAATTTACAAGCATTGTTTTGTTAAAAAAAAATATAAGCATGGCTATAATAATTTAACTGGATCAGCGACTCGATCAGTAAGATCAGCAAACTAGTTTCAATAGTTGTGCAATTAGTTAACTTGCACGGTATGTGATGGACCAAAAAGTTTTTACCTTTAACATGAAACGAGATGAATCACTCTGATTTTACTGATTCATTGGTTCACTATTTTAACTACCAAAAAATTAAGAGAATAACTTTAACTTCAACTAAGACTATCCAAATTGAATTGCTAATTTTATTTCTCATTCGTTTTCTTCGTTTCTCGGTCTCTTTGTCTTGCTTTTCATTTCCATTTTCATAAGAATGAACACTATGATTTGCATTTCGAACGGGCATGAAGACAACATCTATAGGAAAACTTCCATCTTGAAAGACTTTGTGTGGTTCACTATGGATTGTTAGTCTAATTAGTAGTTACTAACTTGAATTTTATAAAAGTATGATGTCTTTTGTGATATAGTTTGAATTATTTTGTTAGAACATTTGGCGATAGATGATATGAGTTTGAAATAGTTCATGGTTAGAGTGGTAAATTCAGTCCTTAATAGTGATGACAATTTGAATACGTCTCGCGGGTATTACCCTACCTGACCCGCAATGGAGCGAAATCACCTAACCCGCAGTAGCGTGAGGCAGGACATGAGTATCTACTTACGGGCCGCCCGACCCCATTCTAGTACTCACTATACATATAGTACACATAACACGCTGCAACTCTACAACTTGTACTTGAAACGAACACAACGGGCTCGTTGTCAACTTGTCATCACTCGTCACAAAACCTACAAGAGCCGTATTTGCTCAGCCGAAGAGAAAAGACAAAAGCTTAGTTTGGCCCTGCTGTAGCTTTTGCAGAAGCAGCTTCTTGCTGGAGCTTTTAGATAAGTAATTTAAAAAAAACAGTTGAGTGTTTGGCTGTAAAACTATTAAAAGTGTTTTTTAATATAAGAGGTTGTGTAAAATGACTATAAAAGACTTATAATATAAAATAAAAATAAAAATTCTAAACAATAAAATGTTGTCAAAATGGATCTTGTTAGATTTATTTTATATTAAATAATATGATTTATATTTTATTTTATTTTTAAAATGATATAAATGAAGAAAAATTATATTTTCTGAAAAAAAATTAAAATATGGTAATGATAATCTTGTGTTTTCAAAACAGTTTTTCGTAGAAGCTTCAAATCGGAGCTTCTGCTTTTATGTTATACAAAAGCGCTTTTCGGGTTTTCAAAAGCCGAGTTTTTACAGGTGTTTGGCCCTGCTTTAACTTTTGAACCCGAAATCACTTCTAAAAGCCGGGCCAAATATCGGGAAAGAAGTAGTGGTGAATCCTGCTTGCTCTCTCTCTCCAATAACGTAGTAGCTGATCAGTTAGGTGTCCCCATCTCCAAACTCAATAAGAGTACGACCCCCCTCTCTCCCTTACCAGCAACTCAATATCCGGTCGCCCCACAATTACATACATTCAAATCTAAGATAATGCAATAATATTATTATTAAATGTTTAATATAACTATCAAATACAACATATTTATTATCGCTCTCACGTCTTGAGTCATGTATATATATATATATGATCAAATGGATGCAGTCGCACCCTACCTTTCATTCAAAACCATACGGGATTCAGAGAGTCCTTGAACATTGTACAAAAGCCAGTTGCAAAACATAGGATCGGCAACAGAAAACATATGTAACCCCAAGGGTGCAACATGCCCCCGACTAGCAAGAAAGTCTGCACACTTATTACCCTCCCTATAGATGTGGGTGACAGAGACGTCCCACTCTCTTTTAAGCAGCTCCTGAGCTCTATCCAAATCGGTTGCATGGTGATGCTCCCCAGAGTCGGTACTCTGCAGCAGCTGGCAAGCACAAGCAGAATCCAACTCCAGCCTGACGTGGCGGAACCCAGCATCCCAAGCTAACTGCAGCCCTTCCACAGCGCCCCTCAACTCCGCCCGGGTGATAGAGCAAGCACCCAGGTTCATTGTAAATGCCATAAGGCACCTACCAGTTGTATCTCTTAACAGGCCACCAGCTCCGGCGTGACCTGTATCAGTGTGAACGGAGCCGTCGGTGTTGAGGGTCCCACTCAGGAGGTGGCGGCTTCCACGAGATATCCACCTCCACGATCATGACACCTAACAAGTCATTGCAATTGCATTATTAACGTTTTGAGATAAACTGATGCCGCTTTATAATATTACTTTCAATGTTTATAAAAAAAACTACTAATGATATTCAACATAATCTTTTCGCTTTTTCATACAATTATCATTAAATTACAATAACATTATTAACGATTTCACCTTTTCACTTCATGGTTATAAGCTCTAGCAATGACTAGCAAATTGCATATTAACATTTTGAAATGAATTATTATAGATTTTTAAAATCATTGTCGATGTCAATTATTAACGATATACAATATTATTTATCGCTACCTTTGCATCACAGTTTCACACTATTTGCACGTACTTCTTTGGGAAGCAGTTCGTTCACATCAGACGTATGCTCACTACCTACAAATCCCAGCTAATTTCTTAGACTAACTCCAACCCTGAAAGGGGAATTTAGCTCCCCAAATGGCCAAATATGGCTTTTTAGCTCCCCAAACCCACTTTTCACTCCAGCCCTATAAAAAGCTAAATTTAGCTTCCCATTTCCATTTTTCAATTTATTTCAATAAACCATACTTATTTGACCTCTAATTTTTATATTTCACTTTAATATTTTCATAACTCGTTATTAGTTTTGAATACAAATTTTTCGATGTAATTTTTTTTAAATTCCGAGATAATTTTTTTTTTTAAAAAGTAGTCGTTAAAATATTACCGTTAAAACTTCGGGACCACTCCAAATATGACCGTTTTTTTGTATCCGTTACTTTACGACCATTTTTTTGTCATTTTTTGCACCAAATGTCTTTATAAATGACAGTTCTTCATTTTCATCAACTCAACTAACAAGCAGGTCAGGATTGGAGTACCACTTTGGACAATTTCGAAGAATGTCGAAACAATGCTCAAAATCAAAAGCCTTGTTCCCATTCTCTTGCTTATATATTGCTCTTGCCTCCTTTTCCTAATAAAATATGTAATACATGGGTTAGAGAAGTTTTTTTTGACACATAAAAAATAAGAAAATACACAAGTTGAGGGTCCAAAAGAATACCACATCAAACTGGTTCGTGCCACTCGATTGATGCCTTTGTGCTCTTTGCAAAACTCCCTTCCAAGCATTGCAGTGATAGCAAATAATCCTCATTCGGGATTCCATTGCAATAGCAGTACGAATTGTAGTAGGATCCCATTTTTGATGTTCTGCCGCCACTCTTTCCCACAACCTTGTATACTTCTGGTTGGTGCCAACCGCTCCATCTTCTGATATCGACACCCAAGCTCTGCACAAGATTTCATCTTCATTCGGATGCCAATTAGGTCCTCTCTTGCCTGTCATATTTCTATTTTGTGAGACGATAACAATTGAATTTTGAGAGAATGCGATTTATGCTCTGAGAATGAGTGAAGAGAAATCTATGAAGAGTGCTCTAATATATAAGAAAAAATATGGCCGTTAAAATATGACCGTTTTTTATGGCCGTTAAAATATGACCGTTTTTTATGGCCGTTAAAATATGACCGTTTTTTCGTCACTACATCAATTTTATGGCCGCACGCGCGTCCTGCGCCCTCCCCCGCCAGCCGACTCTGTATCCACTTTTTGACAGCCAATTTTAACTTCCCACCCCAAAACCCAGCCAATTTTAACTCCCAATACCCATATTTTGCTTCCAATTTTTTTGTGGGTTGAAGGAGGAAAAAAAGCCAAATTTGACTATTTAGCATTTTAGCTCCTTGGATTGGAGCCAGCCTTACATCACCATATATTCACACGATTTCCATGTCCTCCTTTTTCGGCAGCAGCATCACTCAACTTTCGTTTTATCTATAAAAAAAAAAAGCAAAACTTTATGATATATTCAAATTTCTCTCCGGTATAAATCCACTGCCCACTTCCATTTCCCCCAATGACCTTAACCAATGCTTGTCTGCCTATCTCTTTGTATTAATAATTCCTTGCTTGAATCGTCTTCTCGATCTCCATTCCACTGGTATCTAGCCATTTCTTTCCTCCCTGGACTCGCAAATTGCTGCTCCTGGGCCCTGCTCTCACACCTTCCTCCAAGCTGATTTACAGCTATTATTCCCACTCCCACCAAAATTCTTACTGCTCACTGATAGCTCTGGAGGGTGGAGAGGCATCCAATTATGGCGAAGGCCTAATCATCTTCGCCGGAGTGTGGCCAGAAAGCCGGAGCTTCGCGTGATGGATCCAGTGCCGCCGCCGGCAAGATGGGAGAGGGGAATGCGAGAACGGCACGCAATTCAACGCAACAACAAGCTCATCATCGGAGCTCGTGCCTTTACCCGAGGCCTCGTCGCCAGAAACGTCACCGTCACAATCAACACCTCCATCATCGCCGGCGGGAGATTCGTTGAAGGCGCCTCATTTTTCGGCTACGCTCATGGGACGATCAAGGGAGCGGCTGCTAACGGGGTAAGGAAGTGGTTGAGATTCGTACGAGAATCTCTCTCGACAACTCGAGTTATTGGAACCGGTTGGTTTATGATATTGTATCAAAATTGGTTGGTCTGCAACACCCGACCGACGGCAAGGCTCAAGTTCGAGATCACAAAGCCGGACGCGAAACCGGCACCGACCGTCACCGAGTTCAGCTCAAGAGGCCCATCGCCGACCTTCCCGTCCGTGCTCAAGCCCGACATTATGGGCCCGGGCTTTCAGATCCTGGCAGCTAGGCGCCCCAACGTGCAGGCCCACAACAGTTACTTCAAGGATCTTTACACCAGCTTCAATCTCTTAACGGGTACCTCAATGGCTTGCCCCCACCTAGCTGGAGTCGCGGCCCTAATCAAGAAGGCCCACCCGGATTGGAGCCCAGCCGCGATCAGGTCCGCGATGATGACACAGCTGATGCAGTGGACCACTCCGGCCAGCCGATCCAGGATTCCGGCCCGGACCAAAGCCCAGTCACGGGCTTCGACTTGGGAGCGGGCCAAGTCAGCCCAAACAAGGCGCTGGAACCAGGCCTGGTGTACGATCTCAATTCTTCTGATTATGTGAATCTCCTTTGTGCGATGAACTTCACCAACGCCCAAATCAGAGCCATCACAAGGTCTCATCACTCCACCGGCAGCTGCAACAACATTTGCGCCACCCCTTCTCTGGATCTGAACTACCCTTCTTTCGTGGCGAATTTGACCGCGGATCATTCAAGCCATCAAGTTCTGGAGTTTCGGAGGACGCTGACCAACGTGGAGTGCGGAATGGCGACGTACAAAGTTGCTGTCACGTCGTTTGATGGGCTGGAGGTCAGAGTGGTACCAAAAATGCTAACGTTTAGAGCGAAGGATTTTTTTCACGGATAAATCCATGGGTTTGGGTTTGGCAAAACTCAACCCATTGCCATCCCTATGTGGAGGCAACCAGGTTGTCCAAAGTCCGATAGTCGCCACCAATATGAACAGCGGGTGAGCCCGTGAAGAATAATAATGAAGATATACAGAACTTTGGGCTGCACCGTTCATATTTACATATTGCTATGGTGCTTCGATCTATTCCACAATGCAATTATATATTGGCCAAAAGGGCAAATGAACTCCACCAAATGTATCAGAAAATGTTTCCCCCCCCCCCCCCCCTTTTCCGATGAGACTGAGACTCAATTCTCTCACTGTAACTAGATTATGGCCCGGCCTCTTGGCCGGGAGAGTTTGATTCTCATGTTGTCATGTATAGATGTAGGTATATATTTTTGTTATGGTTCATGTTGTTGGGGTTTGAAGTAACTATTTAGTTTGGTAAGTTCTTCATTAATAATATAGGAAAGTATTTGATGTATTTGACTAACGAAGTTTTAAAAATGACGAACAACGTCCAACTACACTAACATAAATACATATTTTCAAACGAAGTCGTATTGATATAAAAACGTCTAAGAAGAACAATGGTAAGAGTTGTTTTACATCATACATGCATAATCAATCTTCAGTATACGATAAAATGTTTCGATTTTTCCATTGACTTTAGTGAATTTAATGATATAATGGAACAAAGTATATTTTTAGAGTGTCCTTAATAAGAAACAAAATAAATCACACACTCATGTTTCGAGTGACATTTCATATAGAAGTCACTGTGACATTAATGTAGTCGAAGCATGCAGATCTCCAACTGGCAAGTTCAACTAATAGAGCAACACATAAAAAGCTAAATCAAACTGAAAAGAATGCGAAAACTAAAAGCAACATACCTAATATTTAGGGGAAAATCGACAACAATAAAAGTCATTGTAGCTCGTACTCAAGTTAGAAAGACTTTGATTTAACAGTAGGTAAACGATGATGTGTAGTGCTTAAGCCTTAAGAGGGAAGATGACACCTTACATTTTTTATCAATATGCATCTTAGTTTCATGTTTCTCAAAAAAATGCATCTTTTCATAAACTTCAGAACAAAAAAGTAGTAATTCAATAATCAATATAAGAATCAATATGGACACAATATCTAATCAGGAGAAGAGGAAGCAAAAAAAAAAAAAAACACAAATTGTTGTGTATAGATTCTGCTCACGATATTTCATAGTAAAAAATATTAATGGATAAAAGGAAACGATAAAGAGGAAAATACATCAATTTGAACCTAAAATGAGACGAACTAATATCCTACACCATCATACAATAATGAAATATTATATCCCAAAAAATCATTGAAAAAATCTATCTAAACAAAAAGGTATACTAAATTGAATAAAATGTAAAAGTAACGATGAAGATATATATTATATCTACCTAAGGAATAATAAAGTAAGGAATGTTTCTTACACTATGTTTGGGAAGGGGTGCAAATGGAAGGGGGTGCAAGTTTGGAGGGGTAAACACAAGTTCCAAGGTGTTTACCCCCGTTTGGTTATTTTGTAACAGTAGGGGGGTGCAAAACGTGAGCGTAAATTCACTGTTTCGGCTTACCCCCCAAATTGGGGTGCAAGGAAAAGAAGGAAGGGAGGGGGAAGGAGGAGGAGGGGAATTATGAATTTTTAATTAGATTATAATTACATAATAATTAATATTATTAATTTTTTCTTATATCTATATTAGTGTAGAAGTTGTTTGGGGTTGACCGTTTGACTAAGAGAGCAAGTTTGTCAATGTTCGCCTCGTCAAATCGATATCTCTTAGTTGACCCGAATTTGCATTGAAAATTAGAGATAAGAAGCATTTGTTGAAAAGATAGAGAGGAACAGTTTAGTTAACTCGATTTACTTTAATAAGTAGTTAAAACTTACAGATTCGAACGTGTTTGACTAAGTTTGACCATATTCAATTTAAAGTTAGGCACGAGAACCCCCTTAGGATGACCAGTTACGAGTTGGATTTCGAGTTTCGAGGTTGCTCGACCAATGATTATTATTGTTGTTATAAATAATTATATTTGAGCATTATTATATAAAAATTATTTTTATTAAATTTATTTTTATTTATTATTTTTATTATTATATATTGAATTTTCATGTTATTATTTTGTGATAATATTTTATAAATTGATAAATCTATTTTATAATAATATAATTACTTACTTTTTACTCTATTTGCACCCCCCTACTTTTTCATCCAAACAACAATTTACCCCTCCACTTACACCCTCCACCAAGTTGCACCCCCCAACAATTTACCCCTCAACTTGTACCCCCCTCGAACTTGCACCCCCCTTGTTGCCAAACATAGTGTTAGAGACCTCTCTCGATAGAACCACTCTATGATAAAAACCATTTCATCAAACAATTGTATCATATGGGTTTTAACTTAAAAATTTAAGTGCTTATAATTAGCTATTTCAGCTCATAAATGAATTAATTATACCATTTGGTATAAAAAATGATAAACTTGAGAGTTATTTTGCTTGTTGTTAAATCATTTGAACTGAAATATGAAAGTGCTTCAGAACTGTTACTTCATTCATCATTATTAAAAATTACTATTTTTTATTACAACGTCTAAGCGTGTCTAGGTGAGCTAGGAGATAGACAAATGCCCAATGACCACCTTACGATTAACGTGTTGTTGAACCTCAATAATTATAGCAAACTTTGAAGCATCTTATAAATTTGATCACTTCTATTTGGTATAATTGATTACATCATGAAACTGATCAATCAAGGAGTCTTTCGATACGATTTTGATAAGATGTCCCCTACTGCACAATTAGTATGACTAAATTGTAATAAGATAATCATGTTTGAATTTTAATTGATAGCGCAAAAGATCGTACTAACTCAAGTAGAGTTTTAGCTACTCAGTACTTCATATTCACATGTAGATAGCTACTTCAAAGAGTTCGAATATTGATCGAGTTTGTTGAACTTTACCTAACAAAACTATGATATCAATCACAAGATATAATGCTTTTTCGAGAAATTGTGAGAATATGTTGGAGACATCAAACCTAACATGGATACGGTTGAATTTAAGTAATAAGCAACATTCATAGTCAATAGAATATACATAAAAAAAAATATTTATCATTCCCATAAGTTGTTAGGAAGCAGTGAATAATTAGGAATGGAAAGCTAGAAACATAGTTGATTTACCAAATAACTGCAAAAAAATATTGGGAAAAAAAATGCTTAGAGTGTAGGCATGAGAGTGTTACATTAATGATTAAACCCACAAACAGAAAGCAAGTAATCATTAATAGTTAGCTGTGGACATTGAAATAATTTACTAAGCTGAATACTATATACTGGTTATTAATAATTGGACCTTAGCTTGAACATTGCATCATGTTGATAAAAATTGTTTCATTAATTAGAATGTTGAAATAAGGGGTTGTATATGGAAGTCTTGATTGTGTTTTTTAGATTGTTAAAATAAATACATTTTTCATAATACAATACATATGTTTTTATTTTTGGTCATACACAATCGTGAATTATTTGGTTGCTTTGACTAAACTATCACTCAAATTGAATGATTAAACAAATTCGAATTTTAGCATAGACTGTCGAGATAATTGGTATCGGTGTTTGTCATGTTTATTTTTCTTGAAATGTATGGTACCAATGCTCTTATGTCGTCATTGAACACTTCAATTCAATGCGCAATATTCCAACCAATGATATTGTGTTGAGATTTTAAGATTATCCTTCATTTATAAGTTAGAAAAAATTCTAAATTAATTATTAAAATATGAAAATAGAATAATCAAACACCACAAAATACTTATAGGAGACTTAGCGGGCTAACTAACCGTGATAGAAAAGTACTATGTTTTTCATAATTTTAACTTCCTCTATGTTTTGTATTAGTAAAGTACAACAAATGTGTCTAGTCTAATTGGTTACAATTCTTGTCTTTGATGGAAGAGACCACGGTTCGAATCCTAGCATTGATATATTTTTATATGAAATAAAAAATTGATTGTGTAGACGAAAATACCCTTCCTACTTTTACTCTCTTTGCAGGAAATTTGAAATGGAGCAAATCAAACTCTTTAAAATGTATTATAAGTAGTTTAGATTAGATGAAATACCGTTACCAAATTATTGAGATAATTAGCTTCCAAAGATTATAGTTATCAGAGTCTAATTAAAAGGAGGTGGTGGGCTGGTGGGTTGTCAAATGCAAGGTCTAAGAGGAGCAGCTGAGAGAAGTCCAACAGAAGCCCACCGTAGGGCTTGGGCCCAGCTTATCAAAGAGCCACACTCACAAAACGACTCAAACACTTTTTTTTCCCCGCGGCGATTCTTTCTTTCTGGCACCAACGCCGCTAGTTCGTTGTTCGATCATCGATTACTATGCCGGCTACCTCCGACGATCGGGAGCCCGGCGGCGACGGCAACCGGCCAACCGATTCTGATCTTCAGGTACCCAATTCCTCCGCAGTACTAAAGGATGCACATTTACCTTTCGATGATATCGTTATCGACATTCTGTCTCGGCTACCCGTGAAAACCCTAATCCGTTTCAAGTCCGTCTCCAGAGACTTGCACGCCGCCGTCTCCAACAGCCCACGTCTCATCTCCCTGCACCTGAAAAACTACACCAATAACCCTGCTGCCATCAAGCGACCATCCATCCTATGCGCCTACCGCACCAAATCCCCCGTGCCTAGAGTCTGGCCGCATCCCAAACGTGTCATCTCCCTTTCGCCTGATCTACAGCCGACCAATAGGGACGGGGAACTGGCCAGCAGAGTAATTTGCAGCGCAGGGGAAATTGGTGTGTTGCTGCTCGGCAACGAAACCATGTCAAATCCTGATTTCTGTTTGTGGAACCCAGCAACTCGCCTGATCAGGCAGCTTCCCGACCCATATGATTATTGTGTTATAGCCAATAAAGCTGAAATTTTCAATACATATGGAGTTGGGTTCGATCCAGTGTCGAATGACATCAAAGTTGTTCTGCTCCATAGTAGTCACTGGGATCCTCCTTCCTCCCAGGTTTTGGTTTACACATTAGGGAGCGGATGCTGGAAGGAGTTAGAAGGAGTGGATGGTCGATACTCCATTGGCAGCCTCACTTGTCATGCTACTTACTTTAGTGGTTCCTTGTATTGGATCTGTGGGAGCTCAGAGGTTAGCGTGGTGGCATTCGACTTGGGGACTGACTCTTTCAGCATGATCAGCTGTGATTTCATTCACCCTTTCGGCTACAGGAGGAATGAAGGGCTCTTCATTTATCGTGATTCTATTGCTTTGTTCGGGTGGGATCGAGACTTATCTGTCGGTGTCTGGCTGCTGAGCAGTACTGGTTTCGGGTCGGGTTCGAGTTGGATCAAGCATTCGACTCTCCCTCCTTGGGTTGGAAGCCTGCATCCACTGGTATGTTTGAACGAAAATCAATTTGTTGGATACTGTAGAAAGGACCCTCCTACTACATTTGCATATCATAGCAATGCCGAAGCAGATTACCTATTGCAATTGGTGTTAGTCGATATTTCTGGTGGTGCTCAAGTAACTGTTGAAGTCCTGAGACTGATACCCAGTTGCTTGGGGATATACGGATGTTTCAGTTACAAAGAAACTCTGGTTTCCCTTGCTTAAAAGTGATGGCTACCAAGCTTTCTTACATATGTAAGATTGATCAGACTTACGAACAAGTGCATGGTTTAGTGGTAATACCACTAGCCTAGAACCTGAGCAAGCACGTAATTATCGCTCAAAATTCGGTACCATAATATGAAATGGTTTTTTACCATACTACTGGCTGTGCTCAAGTTCTTATACCATGCTGCTTGCTATGATCTCTGAAGACTTTTGTGCATGCTTTCTTAGAAGGTTTATCAGACTTCGGTTGCATTGATTTTTCTCTTTTGATATTTGCTTACTAGCAATGATGATATAGTAGTGCAGTGTGGTGAGATGACTCACTTGTGTTGGACTGTTGGTTGATTCTAGTGCTCGAGGAGGTGAAGTTTTGATACCAATTTGTCATTGGGGTCGAGCGATGGTTTAATGACAAAGAAACTTTGATTTTGCTATCCAACAATAGCAAGTTACGGTTGTATTTATTTTTTAATTAGTTAGATTGACTCAAATTGGATAGTATAAAATTTTAAAACGGACAACAATAGCAAGTTAAGGCTATTGGTCCTTAGAATCTGATCACGGCCCGATCACAAGTCACCGGAGCTCGGTCACTGATCATCGGGGTTTAGTCACTGATTATTTAATTTTATACTATGTTTTATGAGATTTGGGGTTTGTTTGGTCGTGTTTCTGATATAGTTTTGTGTGTTTTGGTCTTGTGCTTTTGGTATGTATTAGAAGGTTTCTTATGTGTTTAAGAAAATTAGTGGTCAATTTTCTGGTGTTTGTAGTATGTTTCAAGAGATTTGGTGTTTGTAGTATGTTTCAAGAGATTTGTAATATTTGTGGTCTGTTTTGTAATTTTGTACTTGGACGTTAGAGTGGTCAAACTTCCTTACCACTTGTTGTGGATTTCGAGGGGGAGATATTTTATTTAGTTTAGGAACAATTTGTGAAGAGGGCAACTTTTGGGTTTGCTAAACAATTTGTAGGTTTTGATGGATATTTTGGAATTTTAAGGGTTACTTTATGCGTCGCCAATTCGAAGGTATGGCCATATCGTTGCAATATCGTGGGCATGGTCTCCAATAATATTATGTCAATGCCATAACTATAACTAGGGTTGGAAGTTTGGTACCGCTGTTTAGAATATACTGAATAACGTGTTGAACTTATCACTATTTGCATTGGCGGAGCCACATTGTTAGTCGTGGGGTCAATGCACCCCACTTAGAAGGTAAAGCTCATTGGCGGAGCCACATTGTTAGTCGTGGGGTCAATGCACCCCACTTAGAAGGTAAAGCTAAGTCAAAAAATGCAAAGTTGTTTGGGGAATTGAACTTTGGACACCATGATTCAAACTCAATACCATTATCATTAAGGCATGAGCTTTATTTGATTAATAATTGGACCCCAGTGTACTAATCCTCTGGCTACGCCAATGACTATTTGGTATTATCAAATACCAATTTATTTTTTAAGGATTGAGATTGGGGTTCATTATGGAGTTTTATTCGGTATTCGGGTTTACAGGTTTGGGATCGGCATATACCGAAATATCGAGAAATAACAAAATTTAAAATTAATGAAATATAACACACAACCTTGGCCATTCCCCACTCTTTCACAACTCACAAGTCCCCATCCAACTCAATTTTAGCTTTCCAATTTAAGTCACTCTCAACTCTCACTTAATCTCTTGTTATTTCCATAACACCAAATAACACACACTAGTATTAGTCGTCTCTTAGCCTCTAATTCGTCGAATTAAAAATTACCAATGACAAGAACTCGAGATGTCAGCTCTCCTTCCTTCTCCTTATCCGTGTCCTAGTCTAGACAAACTCAAGACTCTTTGCTTAGTCTATTTGTCTTAAATTAAATAATTAATTAAATTTGTATATTTAATTATTAATTATAAAGGTAACTAATTTTGTATTCGATAATATCAATTGGGATACCAAAATACCGACTAGAATACAAAAATATTTAGGAATTGTGATTATGATACCAAAATTATTTAGAAATTGGAATTAAGATTGATTTTAGTATGTAATTCGATATTTGGTATTGTGATATCGATACCATACCGATTTTCAACTCTAGCAATAAGTCTGTGATAATATGGACAAAATTGTTGGGTTGGTACGCGATTTCGAGGCACTAGTAGTATGCAACCAATAAACAAACCGGACTATTGAGAAATTTGGAATTTTTGGTCAACTTGGAAAAAAAGTTAATAGTCCATATTTAGAAAACTCCCAATATGCATCGTCAACTTTTCTAGGCGAGCGTGCCAAAAAGAAAGCGAAACGGAAGAAAACAATGAAAAAAAAAGGAGAGAATGGAACTAGCTTTCTTCCCAGCTAGTTGGCCGGGTGAATCTCATAGATTATCAAGTATTTCATAATTATGATTAAACTAATATTTTAAATTTCAAGTTATATATGTTTCTCCAACTCATTTTGAAAGAACATATTTGTCTCTTAAACAATAGACATTCAATTAAGGATTTTTATTCTTTGATTTAAACAATATGTAGTTTAAACTCATACATTCAAGTTTTAATTGATGAATTTTGAGTAGAGGCTAAGCCTATAATATGCACATGTTTATAAATGCCTCTAAAATTTATCATATTTATCTTTCAATCAATTAATATTAGTGATAGATATAGATACTGCTAACTAATTATATAAAGAACAATTACTTATTTGTATTTCACAATTTCTCTCTCACCTCTAAGAAACTCCCAAAATATTTGATCGATAAAAAGAAACTGCCAAGTAACCGCAAAATGTATGATGGGAGGGTTTTTAGGTGGCAATTTTAAGAGATAAATTTGAGAAGTTAAAAAAGGAACAGAGAGTCGGGCTTTTCTTCCTACAATTAAAGTCCACCAAAAATTGGGCCGCTAGAGATATTGGCGGCCAGTTATTTCCGTGAGTGAGTTTTATGATCGGTTAAGGGGTCATCAGAAGGTTAAAGAGTGGATCGACCTAGGAGTAGGAGATGGAATTCGGATATTGTTCAGGGGAATGTTTCTCCTTCTCCTATGGAACTAGAAGCTATTCTGAGGATTCCAATTGGTGAAGAAGGAGCAGACGATGTATGGGCATGGACTTACACAGAAGAGGGTTGTTTCACGGTTAAATCCGCGTACCATATGCTTCATAAAGTTAATACCAATCATCAATCGAGCGGGAATGCAGAGAAATGGAAATGGATTTGGAGCCTTCATCTCCCCCGAAGCTGAAATTCTTTATTTGGAGGTGCGCCAAGAATGGGTTGGCAACAAAAGAGAGACTTTTTCAGGGTAAATGTGCCCCTAATTCGACTTGTCACACAACAAACGTTTAAAGAGCTTACTGAATGAAGCTCTTGCCCGAGGTCCCCACCTCCCATGCCTCCTCTTCAAACTCAGCTCAGGGGAACCTAGACTCATACGAATCCACCGCCAAGTAATCATCCTGTGACGATACACTGTGATGGGTCGTTCATTAGCGACTCCCAGCCGGCGACATATGGTGTCGTGGTTGTTAACCACCATGGACAAGTGTGTGATGGGAGAGCGGAGAATCTTCTTTGTTCCATACCGATTGAAGCAGAAACGAAGGCCCTTTTGGAAGGAGCGAAATTAGCTCAAGAATATGGTACCGAATGTACAGTACAGTCAGACTGTCAGGTTCTAGTGAAAGCCCTGAAGCTTAATCAATCAAGATGCCCATGGAGATGTACATCCTGGATAGGATCGATTGTTTCAGTCTTGAGGACAAATCCTCTTATTCAAGTCAAGGATGTTCCTAGGGCACTCAATGTCAGAGCTGATTGGATTGCAAGATCAAAAGCACGAGCTTCGCTCCCTGATGATTGGATTAATATTCTTGATCTTATTTCTGTTCTTTTCCAAGAATGTAACCGAGTTTGCGCTTCTTAGAATAAAAATTGTTAATCATTGTAAAAATAAAAGTGCTGATGTGGATGCAGCAGAAAAATTGAAATGGAGATGCATTTATTGGGAAACTCTATTATATATTCTTTAGATAGATAAAAATTCCACCTTCCCGAAAGCCGAAACCCTCCTCGTCGAAAACATCCCGTCGGCCGACGAGTGTCGCCGCCTTTGCCTTTTTCCTTTTCTCTCACTCTCCTTTCGTCTTCGCTGAACTGTAGCTTGCCGCAGGAAACCAAACATCGCTTCTCTCCTCGCTGCAACTCTTGCTTCAACGCTGCCGGTGTCAAGACTCAAGATATCAGGTATGGATCGCCCAACTCCCCCATTTTTTCCAATCGTACCCAGAAAACCAACTGAAACTACCTAGAGGGAAAATTGCCAGATCTGTCTTGAAATTGGATCCCATTCCATCTTAGTTTTGTTGAAATTGGACTGTCTTATCATTCGCTTGAATTGTTTATTTCTCTTTTATACCCAGGTAGCTTGTTTGAGGTGAAGTCAATCCTCGAAAATGGCAGCGTATGTAGTTGCTCGGCGCCGGTCACTTGGGTGGATCACTTCACAACTTGGCGAGCCATCTCCATCAGTGGTCCGTTGTGCTACTCTATGGAGATCGTATTCAACTTCCTTCAGGGAAGAGCGAGACACTTTTGGACCTATTCAAGTTCCATCTGATAAGTTAGTTCTCATTTGCCCCTTTCCAATGTCTTCTTTCCATGTCCTTCATAGTGTTTCTGATTTTGTGCTTGTAATGGTTGCTGGATGTTCACTGGTTCTCTGCATTGTGGGCAGATTGTGGGGTGCACAAACTCAGAGATCATTGCAGAATTTCGATATTGGTGGTGAGCGAGAGAGAATGCCAGAGCCAATAGTTCGTGCTTTTGGCATCCTGAAGAAATGTGCTGCAAAGGTAAACTTATTTTTTCTGTTTCACCTAACAGCTACCTTTCTTCAGACTTTGAATATATCAAATAGCCGTGTAGCTTGTAAGAGCTTTTCCCATTATCTTTAGCCTTGCTTTTGTTAGAACATGGGATCAGGTTTCGGAAATGTACTTGTTATAGTTAAGATGATTACTTTAATATGGATTGTTTATTGTAGGTGAACATGGAGTATGGCCTTGATCCAGCAATTGGTAAGGCCATCATGCAAGCTGCCCAAGAAGTCGCTGAGGGAAAGCTAAATGATCATTTTCCTCTTGTTGTGTGGCAAACTGGCAGTGGGACTCAAAGTAACATGAATGCTAATGAGGTCAGTATAATGGTTGTTGTTTTGTGGACGATGGAGATGATGAGGAAATAACAGGCCTAAACTGGTTCATAGTGGCATACGGGAATTACAGCATAGTCAAGAAACATTGCCATTCATAATTAAACGTCATTTTCCAATTTTCTCTTTCAAGGTTAGTTTAAGGGAGAAATAAGTGCTAAAACTTTTCATGAGAGTGGAGCCTTTGAGATATTGTAGGATCGTCAAAGGTGGAGCGTGATCCCATTCCTTTTCTCCTAGCAAATAGGTCTTGCTGTGACCTACTATTGTGCTATATTTTCTCAAAGAAAGTTCAGAAATTTGTTGAAAGCAATTTGCTTTGTTGTACTCCCAGTTTACACGTGTACTCTGTAGGATGTCGTTGTTTCATGATTGGTTTGACTAATATTCCTGAAACATTGCATTGGGATTTTGTAATTAAAATACAGCCCTATCATAAAGTCTACGAAGTGAGTTCGTGTTCTGGTTTGGTTTTCTATGAGAATCAGCTGTTCTTTAAATATATATCATCCACTGAACAGTGCGTCTTGAAGGTGTCAAAGTTGAGATCTCAATTCACTGGTTGTCTAGTCTTCAACTAATGCAGAAAACATGCAAGAATTTCATCTCAGTTGTGTTATTGAGTAGAATATCTATCATAGGGTGATCTTTGAGTGCCAGATCATAACCATGCTATTGTCTTCATTACACATGAGTCATGGCTTTTTATGTTCATCTAAAACAAAAATATCCTCTTATGTTCATCGTAAATCATGTATTCGAGCACAGAAAAGGGAGACAATGGCTTAGAATGTTGCAAACCATGTTCAAATAATGAAAATGGGTTTCTCCATTGAAGTAGTTCATATACTACAGCAGCTTGTTATTAAGTATTTTCTAGTTTATTTTCTTTATGTTGGTCTTAGTTGTTGGTGCTCACAAACAAACTTCCAGGTTATTGCCAATCGAGCTGCTGAGATCCTTGGCCATAAGCGTGGTGAAAAGTATGTGCACCCAAATGACCACGTCAATAGAGCTCAATCTTCTAATGACACTTTTCCAACGGTAAACAATAGAATTTACCTTTTCAGATCCTTCTCGTATTGGATCACATGACAACTAAGTGAAAACGTGCATTCCTTCATGAGGTTTTAATACTTCTTTTCTATTTGTTGTTTTTCATTTTTGCAGGTGATGCATATTGCTGCCGGAATGGAGATAAACTCGAGATTAATTCCGAAATTGAATACTTTGCACTCAACCCTTCATTCAAAGGTGACTGCACCACTGAATGCAATTGTTGAATATTTTTTATTTGTTCTTGCATCCAGTTTCAGCTCCTAAACTCACAAATATAAGCCTTCTCTATTTGCACATGTATGTGATTTATACAACCATTGGGAGTAGCTCACAGGCTGGTGATACACGTTTCAGCATCTGATGCCTAAATATTTCTAGACTTTTTCCCCATGCATTATTACCTTATGGTATCAACGGACAGTGACGATGTTAATGTTACCTTAGCTCAAGCCTGTTTTTCTTATAAATCCATGTTGCAATTTGTTGTCCATTGTAGACTTGGTTGGCTCTCACAGACTTTGCAGCTGCCTATGTTCTAATTTCTAAGTCTGTTTTTTTTCCTTCACGTTTTGCAAAAAATGAAATTTATTTGTTTAGCAAGAGTTCTTCGGCTAATACTCATATTTTGTCTCACTTGTTTACGAATTTCTGTCATCAGTCTATTGAATTTAAGGATATTGTTAAAATTGGCCGTACTCATACTCAAGATGCTACACCTCTGACACTTGGCCAAGAGTTTAGCGGCTATACCACTCAAGTGAGATCTTTTTATCCATTATGTTTCATGTCTTTGTTACCCCCAACCCAAGTATCAAATAATCATATCTTATTGGTTATGCATTGATTCCAGGTGAAGTATGGAATTGATCGCGTCTCCTGCACTCTGCCTCATATATATCAGGTTGGCTCGAGAAATTGTACAATGTTTGTTTCTACTTCCCATTTTGCATGGAGAATGCTAACTTGGATGCATGGCAGCTAGCACAAGGGGGAACAGCAGTGGGGACTGGATTGAACACTAAGAAAGGGTAAGCTTTATTTTCCAGTTGCTTTGGCAAGGGGATATAATGAACAAAATAAATAAATAAAAGAGTTGAGGTCTATCTTGTGTTGTGCTCTTATCATACTTTGTTTTCAGGATGTAACTTAATTTCCAGTGGCAAGCATCATTCGAGGATGGCCTACTATTATATTCTTAGAGCTGATTTCATGGTTTGACGGAACTTATAAAATAGAGTTTTTGACTTGGGGTAGTGCTTCTGTGGTTCTGAAGAAATCAGAAGGGAACAGGGATAGTGTTTTTGGGGTTTTCATTCCCTTCCCTCATTACAAACTTAACTCCAAGCATACCTTTTTCTTATGAGAAACCGGTAGGAACTCCATTGTGCAGAATAATGATAATAATGATTATCCCCCTATTGCCACTAAAGTCTTTCATTTAAATAAGAAAAACTATTAAAACCTCAAACAAGGAAATTTAAATACTATAACTGAATAACTGATAGGGGAACCCAGTCTTGTCACTCCTATGCTTGCTTGTGATGTAATTTTTGGGTCACAAAGGAAATTCATGCATGTCCATGATATCCAGCACTGCGTATTGTTTTCTCGATACTCGACCGGGGAAAATGATAGCTATCCTCATTTTTGTTTAATGTTTTTGAGATTATATGGCTTATTCCTTCTTAAAAATGGTCTTACTGCAGTACAGACATTAGGCATGTGCATACATATCATAACTACTTGTGCGTGCTGCTTTTCCTTGACAAGTACTATTTTGTAACATGCACGTAGGTTTGACGTGAAGATTGCCAGAGCAGTAGCCGAGGAGACAAACCTACCATTTGTCACTGCAGAAAACAAGTTTGAAGCTCTGGTTGGTTTGTTATTTTGCTGCATCTTTATATTTCTTTTTCTCCTGTTTTTTCTGTTTGTATACTTGAGTTATCTTAAGATGCACAACACAATATTTTGTGCTGAAAGACTTCATGTTTGTCAGGCTGCACATGATGCCTTTGTTGAATGTAGTGGAGCTCTGAATACAATCGCTACTTCTTTGATGAAGATTGCCAATGACATAAGATTGTTAGGAAGGTGGGTATATTACCAGTAGTGCCGATCTCCAACTTTTCTATTCCCAACCTTGGTTCTTAGTTTTGTGATTGATATTGGTTTGTTCCTTTAATCAGTGGTCCAAGATGTGGTCTGGGTGAGCTCATTCTTCCAGAAAATGAGCCTGGCAGCAGCATTATGCCGGTATTATGATTATTTTATGTCTTTGAAGCATCTTCTCGTTGTCACTTTCTTAGTTTTTGTCATTCCCTTAGGCTATTCATCTTACTAAGGTATAAATTTTGTTTTTCCAGGGGAAGGTTAATCCCACTCAGTGTGAGGCACTTACGATGGTCTGTGCTCAGGTAAGTTTTGATTGTTCACTGAAGAACTCTTTTTCCAGTTACTAGTAGTCATGTAATTCCTGCAGTTTTCTAATTGTCTGCAAGGTGGGGTTGGCCTCAAAAGCAACTGCCAGGGCTTTCACAACTTACTCGCATGGTTGCTCTTTTGATTTTGTTTTTGTAGGTTATGGGAAATAATGTGGCCATCACCGTGGGTGGATCAAATGGTCACTTTGAATTAAATGTATTCAAGCCAATGATTGCAAGTTGCCTCCTACATGTATGTTCTAATTATCTTACATTCTATCTTTTAAACAAAGTTCCAAATGATCTGGTTCCGTACTGCAATTTGGCATTTTTAAACATTGGCTCTCTTCTATCTTTCGTTTGTTTTCCATTCTTGGTTTATGTTGCTGCTTCTCGAGAAATTGTTAATAAGAGTACTGGAACGATAGGTCACAGCAATTTGTTGAAATAATTCTTGGAAGTATTGGCCAAGCTAGTAAAATATACTAGATGTCAAATGACAAATGTGTGTTATGAAAAAGCCTTCTTGCAATCAACTACAATGGAACCACAAAGCCTTCTTTGTTGTTTATTTTGCTATTTTATGCTATAAGATCTGTGGACTGTTTTCTTACTGATCCGGTTTTTCATCCATTGTCAAAAGTCTGCAAGACTACTTGGGGACGCATCTGCTTCTTTCGAAAAGAACTGTGTGAGGGGAATTCAAGCAAATAAGGAGCGTATCTCAAAGTTGTTGCACGAGGTTAGTTATCTCAGCATCCAAGTGTCGTTAAGAAAAATGTATGAATTCACTCCTAATATGATCGATTCTGTTGCTAATGAATCCCCTTTCTTTGTGAATTTCGCATGGGGATTTCAGTCACTAATGCTGGTTACATCATTGAATCCTGTAAGCTCCTTACCTTAAACATTTTTACATTCACACACCATCTGCTGTTTCGCGCTTGATCCTGACACGTGCGATAAACCTGCAGAAAATTGGTTACGACAATGCTGCTGCAGTCGCCAAGCTTGCCCACAAGGAAGGAAGCACCCTCAAGGTGATTTTACTCGGTCATCAAATGCTTTTCTCCAGTTGCTTATTACCCCTCGTTGCATAATGATTGCAATTTAGCTCTATCCACGGAGGATAACAGTTCTTCACCATCTGTTTGCCTTAAAATGACTTAATTTGTCTGCCCTGCAGGAAGCGGCTCTGAAACTCGGAGTCCTGACAAGCGAGGAGTTTGATACCCTTGTGGTACCTGAGAAAATGATTGGACCTACTGACTGAGAGAGTTCTTGAGGAGTTTCCTTTCTAGATTCCCTTGAGCAAATTGATGGCTTGATCTTGGGATTCATTATTTTCATTCTTTGACTTGCTCAGTGAGTGATGATTGATACTCCATTTTTTCCCCCCATTCAATAATCGACATATTGTTGAGAGTTCTCCTTCCTGGACTTTACAGGCGGAGAGACCAACTGATGAGGGGCAGAGTAGTTAGCTAAAATAAAACAGGGAAGTGACTCCTCCACATTCATTTTGTAGACAATACAGCCAGTCTTATAGAATTTTACGTTTCTTTCTTGATTGCTTGATCTTCTTCAATCTTCAGTAGGGATTACTTATTATTTAAATTTAGGTTAATATATTTGTATGGCCGGAACTTTTCACATAATAAACATCCTGACCAACCTTTTTGATCTATAACATCATGGCCTGAACTATACACCAAAGTAACGAAATTGGCCAAACCCAAAAATTGACCTTTATTTTGGACGGTCAAACGCGTTAACTAACGGTCCACGTGCCATGACACCGTCAAATCAACACCATTCACTTAAATTTTTTTTTATATTTTCCACATGTTACTATTTTTTATTTTTCTTCCAGAAATTCATTTTTTAATTATTTTATTCAAAATAAATAAATAAATAATCCATGTGTAATACAATTTTTATGATTATTGTGATTTAGTCATTACAGTTAGTGATTAATAAATACCAATCACAAGACTCACAATATTGCTAACTACAATCAAACCAATAACCACAAAAATATATTATAGGTTAACCAAATCGTGTGTGGTTCAATAGATTTTACGATTAAATAGCAAAAATTATATATCCACCCTACTCAAGGGTGGACCTAGGGAGTTTAAGGGGTGTCCGGGAAAATGATTATCCAACCTACGGTGGTAATTTACGTATAGACAAAAAAATATAATTGATAGTGAGGGACACATCTGAAATTTGAAAAAATGATTATCCTGCTGTCATTTGTGTATAAAAATATAAATGGTAGGTTGGGTAATTCAAATCAAGAACACTATTATTATTAATAAACTTAATTTCCGTTGAGCTACAACTCATTTGGTGTTCGATTTTGAACAATATGTAATAGTAAAAAGTCATTCCCTATCTCTAATTATTTCAATCTAAACTAATTTCAATCTACCCTTAATTTGTATTGATTTTATGATTGTACGACAAGTGTTGAAGAGTCTTTCAGTTTTGGGTTACATCAAGAACAAGTTTACAAATCGAATATGCGATAAGTTCCTGAATGATTGTCTAGTAGGCTATATAGAGATTTTTTTTTAACACTATAAACACCAAGTGTATTCTACAATTATTTTTGAATATGAAAACACATCATGAACTTTTTTAACCTGTACGAGTAAGGTATTTTCATATTTACGATTTTATTTTTTAATTATTTTTATTTAATTTATTTTTTAAAAGAGGACACCCTATGAAAAATTTCTGGGTCCGCCACTGTCTCTACTAACAATGATGGAAAAACGATGGATCAAAGCTGGGTATACAGTAAACTGTAATGACCATCAAGTAATTTGCGCGTGAGACAAGCAGAATTCCCGGAGATCGCAAAATTGAAAATTCACGGCACGGTCGCACGTGCCAGCGCCAGCGAAAATTTTCTCGTCTTCTTCTCCCACAGCGAGACCCTTTTCCTTGTCAGACACTCCCCGACTCCACTACTAAAACTCAAAAACTCTCAAGCTCAATCGAAGGAGCTGCCGTAATTGTGACGCTGCTTGCAATAAGGTCAGCGAACCACAATTCACCAAAGAGAAAAAAAAAATGGCGCCATCCTCTCCGCCGCCTAATTCCACCAGTTCATCGCCTCTGAAAGGGGAAGGGAGGAAGAAAGAAGGGCTAGGGTGGATAGAGTGGATCAGAGGATGGTTGTACGTGATACACGAGATGCTGTTCCAGAGAATCTTGGCCAGTCACTTGCAGAATCCTCTCCCGTTGCCTCCTGTCAACGACCTCACTTGCATCGTCACCGGATCCACCAGCGGCATCGGCCGTGAAATCGCCAGGTTCTTCTTCTTCTTCTTCTTCTTCTTCTTCTTCTTCTTCTTCTTCTTCTTCTTGTCTATTGTCTCTTTCTAGTTGTTGCTGTTTGTATCGAAGACTAATTTGGTTCCAGTTTCTATCCTGAGCCCACAGGCAACTAGCGGAGGCAGGTGCTCATGTTGTTATGGCCGTCAGAAACGTGAGGGCGGGTAGCGAGTTGATCCAGAAGTGGCAGACTGAATGGTCTGGGAAAGGCCTTCCACTCAACATTGAGGTTTGTGATTCAAGTTACCATTTTCGTGAATCAGACCCTCCGCTTAGTTAGTCCTTCAAGTTTGAAGGTGGAGGAATAACTTGTTGACCCATGAGTAATATGGGGGAATGGGGATGGAAACTTGAGATATATAATTAAGTTTCAGAATGCCTTTGCTTATCCCTTTTGATTTTACAGTTTGCGTTTGGCTGATATGATTTTTACAATTTTTGGCAAGGTGATGGAACTTGATCTTCTCTCATTGGAATCAGTTGTGAGGTTTGCTGAAGCTTGGAATGCTACTTCACGGCCTCTGAACGTCCTTATCAACAATGCTGGCATTTTTGCCATAGGAGGTGTGTCTTTCTGGGACATTACTTAACTGCTTGCTCTACAGATGTTTTACTACACTCTTGAATCACTTCCTTGCACCTGCTTGGTTCCAATACTTAGTGCCCAGTATAATGTAGCTGTGTGATCTTCCTCCGTAACAGTAATAGTGAAGTAGCCATGCCCAGAGGGAGAAGCAATAATATAAAATGAAGAGCAATTCTTTAACCGTGGTGAAACAGAGATAAATACATGTTATCTACCAAACATTATCTTCAATATTTTAGAACCCAATTCTCGTACCAGAAGAATCAGTTGTTTCGTTAAGGGCCAATTGACTTTGGGTAGAAAACTTACACGACTCAGTTTCATGGTTTGGTTAGAATTTTCAGGGGTCCTTGCTCTTGTGTTAATGAATTTCAACGTATTATCTCCCTGAGTTCATTTATGTGATACATGCTTAGGAAATAACGGTCTAGCTTGTCAATGAAATTCTTGCGAGTTTAGCTTTGGATGTTGAGTGCAAGGTGGAAGAAGATTTGGAATCATAGAGACAACTTTGAAAGGTATGCAACCCACAGATGGCAATAAGACAATATAAACCCCTCTTAGGCAATGGGGGAAAACTTTAGCGGGGTGTGAGAGTTAGGTTCCTTTCAAGTTTAGAAATAGGATACTTAAAATGTTGAAATTGTAGAGAAGTGGAAATTTGTCGAGGATGCTTGAATTGAATTCTGTTGATGATTTTTGCTGTATGGACTTTCTACAGTTAGCTATGTGTGCATTGTTCATTTCTTGTGCTTGTCAAACAAACCACTGAAGTTTCAAATTTAAGAAAAAGAGAGCCAAGTTACATGGATTTTTTTGTTGTATTCAGAGCCCCAAAAATTTTCAAGAGATGGGTACGAAGAGCACATGCAAGTGAATCATCTTGCTCCAGCATTACTGTCAATACTACTTTTGCCATCCCTGATCAGAGGCTCTCCTAGTAGAATCGTCAATGTGAATTCAGTGGTAAGTCATTCGGCTACCTTCTCTGTTAAATTGGTTTTGTAAGTTATTGAGTAGAATGTTGGTAGTGATCAATTATTCAGTATGCTTTGACTCTTAGCTTTACTGCTCACGTCTAAATTCCTCTTCATTTCCTGCCTTCTCTCTGATTTGACTTGAATTGTGGGCGAACATTATGAATATCCTCTTTTCTAAACATGACTTGGTAAAATGTTATGATAAATTCAGTCCTGACATTTTCACTAATGGCCACTTCCCATTAAACTGATGAATGCGTGAAAGTAGCTCTAACATTTTCCTTCCATGCAGATGCACTATGTTGGCTATGTTGACACAGAAGACTTGAATGTTACATCTGGGAAGAGGAAATATTCAAGTGTTGTGGGATACACTAGCAGCAAGCTAGCACAGGTTCCTTTAGATTGATTTGCAGCCTGGTGATTTGGCTCATTCATGCATTTTGCTATCATTGCTTTTGTTATTGCACTTTTCTTGATTTTGTTTATAGGAAGAATTCATTGTCTAAAAGCGTAATAGACCAGTAGATTATGGTGTTATATGACCATCAGCTTGCTCTCTTCTTAGCACCTTCAGCCTTCAAATATTACTGATATGTTAAGGTTTATTACCATTTCTAGTTAATAGTAATTTTTAATGGAGGGATGTTGTCTAATTATTTATAGAATCTGCAAGTATGAGCTCTAGTGCTACCAACAAGCATTCGGAAAGACATAGTTGGACGCAATGTCTAATTTGAGTAGTTTATTAGCCAACTTGGCTTTCGGCCTTATATTTGATCCTATAAGTCATGCATTTGACTTAATATGTTTGCTTGACTGTTCGAACTATCAAAGGAAGCCAATTTATCAGACGTCAGATTCATAGTCAACAACATCAATTTTACGTACAGGAATTTGCTAGTGTTAGGTTGTACTTGTGCTGGATTCTCTCTTTTTAACGATGTTAGATTCTGAAGCAGCTTTACCATGCTTATTGAAAAATGATGTCCATGTTTGTTTTCTGGAGAATAAGCTTTGACATTGGATCCCTTTGATATCGTGCTCTATATCTGTACATAAATTTAGAGTTGAAGTGACGGAAAATTACTTCTTTTTGTTGCCAGTTCATGTCTTTTTAGATATGAACGATTCATTATGATGTAAATTTGGTTTCAGGTCATGTTCAGCAATGTTCTCCACAAGCGCCTGCCTGGCGAAGCTGGAATTAGTGTAGTGTGTGTCGATCCGGGAATTGTCCATACAAATGTTGTAAGTCTCTTGAATTTTGGACTTCTTTTACACTTTACTCTCTCAGGCCCCTTTGGTCAATAAGCAGCTTCCTGATATTATTACCTCTGGACACAAACATCTACTTTTTGGTGTAGGCAAGGGACCTTCCAAAAATTGTGCAGGCTGGATATAATCTGATACCTTATTTCATCTTCACTCCTGAGGAAGGTGGGTTCAATGTCATTTCTTTGATAATGTTAAATCGTCATCTGAGAAAGAGAATTACTGAAATCGAAGAGTGAAGTTATTCTGAAATGAGCTCACTTGAGTTGTTCCATGACCAAAATCCAGGTGCCCGTAGTGCGCTTTTCGCAGCTACCGATCCCCAGATGTCGGAGTACTGTGAAGTGTTGAAAACGGACGACCATCCTGCTTGTGCTTTCATCTCTCAAGACTGTCGGCCAGTGAGCCCTTCTGAAGAAGCGCACAGAACTGAGCAATCGCATAAACTATGGGAAAATACACTGGAACTGGTTGGTCTGCCACTAGACGCTGTGGAGAAGCTGCTCCAAGGGGAAGAAGTCGCGTGCCTCCGATACGCAAACCACGAAAACGAATAGTCACACATTTTTCTCTGTCGTCAGTTTTTATGAAGTCAGGCGGGGATTCTGTCGAACATAGCACTCTTAGACACTATTGCTACAATAGAGCTTTCTGTTGTGAACTACCATTTTCTTTCTTTTGAAACGACCGATGTCTTGTAGCATAGAACGCATGATGGACTCGTAACCTCCAACTAAATATTACTTCGAGCTTGGTGGAAATTTTCGGTATAGCATAAGGTTGATCTAGTCGGAAATTTTTAGTTAACAAAGAAACTGCTGTCCGAAGTAACGGTTCTCAAGCCTGCTATATATGCAAATATCGACGGACTTTCGTTTCTTTGTTCGAGCTAGCATGTAAAAATCAATCTATTTGGCGTAGTAATGGTACAAAATAGATCAGTGATATGTTGAATTGCTCCCTTTTGATTCATGCTTTCATTATACAACACAACTACACAAGCCGGTAATGGCCATTGCAGCAACAACAAAAGTAGTAGTAGTAGCAGCAGCAAAGGAAAGAAAGCTCCCCCACACTGAAACTAAAACCACTCAGTTTGATACCTTAAAATGATCAATCTGAACGTTCTCGACCTCCTGCTTCTTGAAATCGCTGCGGTTTCTGCTGGTGAAGAACTTCCCCCAGTTGAACTCCTTGTATTTGGGAGGGTTATCATCATTCACTAGCTCTTCCAAAGGCTTGATCTGGGCATGGTGGGAAGGGAAGAAGAAGAACGGTATCGAAAACCTTTCCCTTTTCGAGTTCACCACCACTCTGTGCTCTGCACTCCAGTACTTGTCATTGCTCCACACCTGCCAGAAACAATCATTGGTTAACCCGGTCTGCTTCAGAAATCATAGCAGAACAACCATTAACCCTATTGATTTGACCGTAAGAGGATTCTATAATCTCTCTTTTTACCTGCATACAGTTGCCAATGTTGATAATGAAGGCGTCAGGAACAGGCCTGACAGGGATCCATTCTCCGTCGTCTCTCCTCGCGATTTCCAGCCCTCCCACATCATCCTGAGCCAACACAGTCAATGCGCCGCCATCCTTGTGCCTTCCAACGCCGAGAGCTAGCTCGGGGGACGGGCAAGGAGGGTAGTGATTGAACCTGGAGAAGCTGATCTGGTCCTTGAAATAGGTACCCAGTTTCTCAGCAGGCAAACCCATGCTCAGGGAAATGAATTCCAGCAACTTGTACGCTAGCTTTTCAACTTCTCTGTTGTATTCCTCACAGACTTCCCTGTATTCCCCATTTCTGATTAGAGGATCATCAACCTGAAGAAGGGGAAACAAAAAGTGGCTAAGAAAAGTACCTGAAATCAGCAGGTATCTGCGGCCATTGATTAGTCAACGTCCTGAGCTCTGGATCCTCAGGAACTTCGGTGGCGGGAACGAAACTCGGATCGACCACCAAGAAATCGAAAACCTCCTTCCAATCACGAACGTTCTTGGTGTGCTCGCTGTCGTAGTAACCCATGGGGTAGACTTCATCCCGCTTCACTCGCTTCTTCTCCTCCATGGGCAGGTCGAAGAATTGTTTACCGACCCTCTTCATTTTGTCGAGCAGCTTCAGCGGGACTCCATGGTTGATCACCTGAAAGAACCCCCACTTCTCACAGGCGTCGCCGATCTGGGTGACCAGGGATTCTGTGTCGGAAGAGAGATCGATTACTGGGATTTGATCCGAGGCGCCCAGTTTTTCTTCTTGTGTGGGTGATTTGGAGCTTGGCCTGTGCTCTGTTTCTTGAATGAATGATGGGTCGATTTCCACCATGGTTTGGGAAGTTGGTGGAAAGAAAGCAGTGGGAATTCGAGTTTGCTAAGCTTGGGAATGGTTAGAGAGTATCTTTCTTTCTTTCTTTCCTTCCTTTCTTCTTGGTGCCAAAAGATGGTTATGATTGCAGGGATGAAGGGGTTTGTTTTCTTGTTGGATTAAGCAGCGGTAGGTGATGAAAGTTCTTGACTTGATGTTTGATTAGGCCACTTGGCTTGGTTAGAAACGAGGTGGTTCAAAAAAGTCTTTACAGTCTTTGTAAGATGACAATGGCGTCGGTCGGTATCTCGACGGCAACAAGCTTTGGGTTCATCTAGAAACTTATTAAGAGAATCCTCCAAATTTATTGGTCTCCGTCGATGTTGACCAGTGACCAACCTAAAATCCTAAACTGTGAGTTTTCTCCAACTTTATCACACATTTTTGAAAAGGCTCCTGAACATAATTTTTTTTGGTATTATCTATTTTTTATCCAAATTTTTTAAAAATTCTTTTTTATTATCCAAACTTATAAAAATTCTATTAATTAGCCAAATATTTCGTAATTCGCCTGAATATTAGCCATTTTTACGTTATCGTTAGTAATTTTGCAACTATTTTCTTAGTTAAAATACTAAAATTTTAGAATGTTAACCTTCGTGTGTCTATTCCAAGTTAGAATCATGTTGCCAAGTTCTATTGCTAACAAAATTGTTATATGAAAGTTAACATTTGGTTAATTCTTAGTATTTCGAAAAGTTTGGATAATATAAAAGAATCTGAAAAAGATTTGGATAAAAAAAATAGACATTACCCAAAAAATTTCTTCTGATCACACCTTTTTCGTCAATACGATGTTAAATCCTCATTCATTGACGTGCATAGAAAAATGATCGAAATACTCTCGGTTTAACCTAACCAAGGCTAAACCCTCCCCCTAAATGGCTGGTTGTAGTAGAGCTTTGAATGACGCAACTTTTATGAGGTGCGTGCGTAGTTCTGAACTCTAGAAAGCTATGCACAACGAAGTTCCGGATAAAATTTTCCAGCTTTTACAAACCTTACGGTAAAAAAGTCTTTCAATGTAGTGTGATTTTACTTTTTTCAAATCTGTAAATTTCGAGTTAGCAAATCATAATGTTTCGTACTTTCCTCACTTTTCAAACATCAAAATCTCATTTTCACTTGGCGAAGAAAAGAAAGCAAAAACATTCTAATTTGCACCCACACATTCTCACCGTATGTATCTTTTTTCTTGGTTCCATTCTAATTATTGATCATATAGCAGTACCAGTCCTTCACATGGGAAACAAAACCTGTTCTAACACTCCAGAGGTCTCTAGTATTCAAATTTGAACCCTTGCTAAGAAACCCAAGTCAGTTTTGAGCTATTCTTATCAGAAACCAAGAATGCTCATCCTACATCCTGAACCATTATGTACAAAGTACAATCACAGACAAACTGGAACCAGACAGAAAGCCAAGTTGCATATCAAGCAGCAGCAGCGGGCATAGATGTGGAGATGATGACATATGACAGGTACTGAAGTCCATCCCGGATTTTCCCAACTGCTGTGATGTGATCACTTCGTAGGAGCTGAGCGAAGGTCTTGGCTTTTTCTTCGATCGATTTCTTCGGAAGATCTTCGCGGCTATCTGCAGCAGTGGTTGTGCCCTTTATGGCTGCTAGATAAGCTTCAGCTACATCGGCTATGCCTGGGGATAATAAGCAGCAGAAGAATTGAGAAATGGAGTTCATTTTGGTGAAATCGTTCGCAGTTTTTTCGGAAACGGAAAGTCGAGAAACGAACCAGTGATAAAGCTGTTGGAAACAGCTTCGACATATCCTGCCATAGTTTGTGCTTTTTCCCTGATTAGCTTTGCTCTGTCAACAGAATCTTCAGGCCAGTCAACTTTGATGACGTTCTCATCAGCATCTTCTTTGGGATGTTTGTTCGCATGGGATATTATGGATTTACCAAGCATCAGAAGCTGGGAGACCGCAGAACAGGTAATATCGGAGAGTCTCTGCATAGATAAGCACACGTCACAAATTTTTAACCAACATAAGCGTGGATTGTGATTGAACATGACAAATATATACGGCAAAAAATTCCCTTCTCTACTGCATGATGAGAATCGAAAGATGTTGAGCACATATAACATACATGAATTCCCTCGGAGTGAAGAGCGTCTAATCTGCCAGAAGTTCTTTGAATCATGTCATTTGCACTTTGTCCTGCCAGAGCATTGGTAAACCTGCAAATGAGTGGGAAAATATTTGCATGTCAACAGCAATGTTTCATTAGTTAACATCCAAAAGACTGGAAATTTATAGCAGTCAAATGTAAAGCCAACATTACCCAGCAGCCATGTCAGCAGCTTTGCTGACACTTGAATCATGCAAGGTTTTCATTTCATCACTACTACTTCCCTTAGTTCCAGTCTCCACTTTCTTCCCTTTATTTGACTCAGTTCCATTTCCATCCATTTCAATACCAAGATCCAAAGTTTGTTGAACCATTTTAAGCTGTCCATCAAATACAGACTTCTGTTCTGATGACAATTTTGCTTTCCTTCGATTAAACAAGAGGGCATAATGGCTGGACAAGGCTTCCAGCTCCTGATAGCATTTTACAAGTCAAACTTCAGTACAGGCATGTAATTATTAAAAAAGTTACAAGAAAGGAAATGAATCCAACCTCCAAATGCTCTGGACCTCCATATATATAGAAGCATCGATCAAATGTTACATCCTCAAGCAACTGATCCTCACCCTCTTTTCCAGGGCCTTTAGAATTCTTCTCAATATCCATGCCAGTCTCTGTGATTAAAAGATCCATTGTCTCCTTGCCAACATATTCAAGTACTTGCATTCCTTTAGTTGTGAAGGCTTTCCCAGACTGCAAACAGTAAGGTTAGCGAAATAAGCAACAAAAAGTTAAGAACACATTCGAGCGCAAATTTAACAAGGAGTTTTTGCAACCTCTAGCAAGTTTGGTGCAACAGAACCAGCTGCACCCTGTATGCCATCCTTTTGAATTGTTTCTGCAAGGTTCACGGCAGAATTCTCTAGCCTATAAAATAAAATAAAAAAACCAGCATGTAAGAGAGGGCAGATCTTGACAAAAATCGAGGACAGATTTTCTCTGCTTAAAAAAATATAAAGGCATAGAGAGCAAGAACTCTGAACACCAACAAAACATGCATCCAACTTATGCCCAGTTATCTTCATAGGAAATAAGAATCTGAAACTGCCTTCACAAAAAGGGACATTGATTATGGTGGCCATATAGATGAATGAACACATATAATTGTGTATCTTCTGACAGCACTCCGCCACAGATTATTTAGATCATAGTAGCTGAGCAAAGTCTTCATCAAGCCACCTAATGACTTGACTAACTTCAAAATAAACTGGATGTTGCCCAGAGGCTCAAAACCCATTTCAGCTAATCTTCTTCCAACAGAATGCAACACTATCTAACATAAATTGCCAACTAGAATTTCTCATCTAAAAGGGACTTCCGGAATGTAAAAACTCAATACTCTAGTTGTCATGAAATCCCTCTGTTCTCTCCTATAAAGAGAAACGAACAAGACATATATAATGCCAATCAATTTCCCTATACAATTTGACTACCAAATACAGGAAACATCTAATCAGGTTTCAACTGCACTTACCTTTGAACAAAGCTGGAACTACTTTTCCATGCATTTCCCAATGCTTGCCAAGCTCCAGTAGCAAAATTCTCCACGGAGTGATCAAGATCTTTTAGGCCCTGAAATTGAGAAATGAATATCAGGCAATGCTTTCAACGCCAATAATGCAAATACTGTTGCCATAACCCATTATCATATCAACATATGACGCAAGGCCTATGGCATCGTTCACCAAACCCTAATTTACCACCCCGATATCGCCACAATATAGGTAGAGCAACTTCACTTAACAGCGCTTCCAGATCAAGAAATAAATTGATAGCAGTCAACAATGAACAGGAAAGGAACGTAGAAGCTAATCCATAACCCCAGCTGAAACGTAAACGCAACCAGCCAAATGAATTCATACTCCCTACCTGGCCGAGCACGGACTCGTCACTAGCTTTCTCCAACTTATCCAGAGCCGATTTTCGTAACTCATCCGTCTCCTCTTCGGTTTGCTTATCACTTGCAGCTTCATCTCCCTCATCTTCACCCTTGGAGGATTCAGAGTCCTCGGCGAGGTTCATATCCGCAATGCTTTTTGCAGCTTTCTCTGCAGCCACAGCTGCCTGCATCCAGAATGTAACATAGTTCAGCTGAAACGTACAAGATCCATACATGCAACCGCGTTCTCCAGCGCAAACAGAATCAATGACGTTAATAATTCACAAATCATCGATTCGGTACACGACTCGAAACCCTGAGTCCTCCATTAAACTGGATCTAACAGTGAACCGAAAAAAACTCAAAACCACAACCAAATACAAGAACACTCATAAGAATCAAAGCATGGAGGAATGAAGTGATAAGTAAACCGATTCGAGTTTGAGAGTTTTGACACCGCACATTGCGAGAGATCTCTTCGGCAGCTTTCTGGAGATCTGAGAGGACTGAAGAGAAACCCCAACCTCCCCATCCGCCTCCTCCTCCACCGCCTCCGCCGGTGTTCACTTCCTGCTCCGGCTGTGGCGGTTCATCCTTTGGGCGAGTCCCGCGGGACTCCATACTTTCACTTGTCGGCGGCGAGTTCTTCGTTTTGTTGGTGTCGGTCCCGCCTTCTTCCATCATGGACTGCAAATGAATTTCCTCGAATGGAGTATCGTGATTGGCGAACTGGGAATAGAAATCGGTTGGGTCTGTGACTGGGAAACAGAATCGATCGAGAGAGAGAAGAGAGTGCAATGGAATTTTGTGCTCAGGCAGGTTTTCTTCGTGGCTTGGATTTCGTGCTTCTTCCTTGCTCTGGAAATGGACCCGGGACCTCACGATGATCCAACCGATCGAACGTGATGCCTAAGGAATCTGTCATCCATGAAACGTCGTCGGTTTGATGTTGAGTAACATAGGGTGGCGTGTAAAACCGGTTCATGTTTTGAATTTTGTTCATTTTCTAAAAACGGACCATCACGTTTAATTTTATTTTTTCCTTTTGTCTCCTCTTTATTAATAGACTAGCTTATTAGTTATTACTTATTACCCGGCCTTTGGCCCAGACGTAGTTTCGGAAATTAACTCTTTGATTCTAACTGGTATTGTCTGTTAACATGTATCCGGCGATGGTCGTAGGTAGGTCACCAACACCATAATAATATAGTAGAAAGTCATTATCTTATTCCATTACAAAAGAGAAACAGTAAAACATAAACACTATAATGGACAATCCAAGCCGTTAGCCTTAAATATAGCCATTATTGCCATGCACCATGATGCCCCTAGAGTGAACATGAAAAACCAAAGGAATGCTTACCTGGCTCCAATTATCGATGGTAAAAATGGAACCCACCAAGAGATTTCATAAGAAAACCCCAATCTAGATTGCCCTTAGACCAAAAACCACAGTGACACCAAAGGAGATGAATCCCTTGCTGAGAAAACAAAAACCAGCAATGTCCAAATCAAGTTGATAAAATGCGTCGGCCAGTTTTTTTTCTGATAAATAGTTTTGTTAATTAAAATGACAAAAAAAAAAAGCAAAGCATGCAATCTGCCGTAGAAAACTCATATACAAACAAAAGAAACAGGTAAGCTATATATGTCTGTCCTCATTATCACGATTCTTATTCTTCTCGGCAGCAAACACACTGGTCCACTCTTACTCCTTTTTCATGGCAGCTACATGGCATTTTGCACCAGTGCATATTAATTCAAACGACCATTCCTTACTGCAATTTATGGTTTGGGGTAATATCACTTCAATCATAATACAAATTTATATGAAATTAAAGAAATTATCATTATAATAGCCTTGTAAAATTTAGAGTACCAATGGCGATTCCTCTCTTCTCTTTAGTGGCTTCGTCAATAAAATGAGATTGATGACTATCTCTACCAACGAATTCTATATAATCATAGTATGGCCTTTTGTATAAACTATTTCCGCCTTACACATTTTCACATCGCAACTCCAAGAGCTAACTTGTTGGGGCTCTACTCTAGGTAAACAACTTGTATCAACATCAGCCATGAACATAAAAATTGCTTTGGTTGAGATACTATCAGGATCTTGTGATGCTCTGAAGAAAGCTAAACATTTTTTCAGGCATTGTCAACCCCCAATCAATTTGACGTGGGTCATTGCTCTCTTACCATCTAAATTATAGAGGAAGCTCAGGTTAGCCTCTTTTATAGCTTAACTTGACAATTTCTTAGAGGAGATACAATCATGATTCACAATTCTAGAACAACCACCTCAGATAATACAATCTTATGGAAACAACACTAATGAAGCACCCAAATTACAGTTCTGTACATATTTCCTATGAGGGTGTGCATGTGCAGATTAAGAAAAATATAAAGATTAAGGAGGGAGCTTACTTGGCACGCGGTTTTGATGAGCAAAAATACCCTCAATAAATTTCAGGTGGAGATGTCCAATCGATCGGGTCTAGACATGTGTATATATCAACATGCTATACTACAAACACAGAGTTCGGTTTTTCCTTCTCATGACAACATATGCTCACCATGTATTTGTTCCTTGCAGAGAGAGATATCAAACCATCTTGTATCTGCTTCAATTATGACTATCACTCGTACTTTTTATATTGTAGTAATTAGAACCCCACTTTTAAATCTGGAAGCAAGTGACCACTATCACAAAACATCATATTGTAAAAACTTATCTGCACATGAGGTTATTTTTTACTCAAAAGAAACCATGTCTTATATGTTGAAGATCAGCATTATAGCTTGAATAGTTCAATTTGGCAATGATCTCAGCTCTTAATTTTGTGTAAAAGTGGTATGATTGAAACTATTCCCTATTTAACACTAATCAGAATAGTCTTTGTTGGGGGGATTTGTGCTTCAAATGTCTTGTAACGTTGATGTACATGTGATTCAATAATTGGTTTAGTCATATAAACATATAAACCGCTTAAATGTGTCATAATGACAAAACATGCACGAGTACGAACTCCTAGTACCGAGTCAAAATTGTACAATAAGGTGGATTTGAGCTCCAAATGTCTTGTAATGTTGATGGACATGTGATTCAATGATGGTTTTTTCATATAAACACATAAATCGCTTAATTGTGTCATAATGACAAAACGTGCACGAGTACGAACTATTAGTATCTACTCCAAATCATACAATAAGGGGGATTTGTGCTCCAAATGTCTTGTAATGTTGATGGACATGCAACCAACAACTCTTGGGGTTGTAAATCCACTGCCTCTGCAGAATTTTGAGGGTTTCCATCAACTTCAATCTCCTCTTCTTGCTCAATCACATATCTTCTAGGACCCATAATCAAACCTTGACTAACCTGAGGTATTTATGCTCTCATAAGGTATATCACCTTGCCTACTGGAAACTAACCACAAAAACATTTCAAATCAGAAAAATGATGATACTGAAAAGGAGTATCATAATAAAAGCAACAAAAAGTATAGCTATTTATCTTTAATCAACTCAAAAGTCAACCCAGAAGATCAACCAAATAAACTGATGTTAAGAGATCACACATTACTGTCAAAGAAACTAAATAACTCATCAGTCAGCTCTCCAAGCAAGAACACTCAACCTTTTCATATTTACCCTCCGGAAATTGCTTTGCGTAACAATATAGGTGGAGGAGGTTAGGTGGTTGTCGAGTCCGGTGGGAAGGTTTGGAGAGACGACGATGATTGAGCATTTAGTAGGTCAGGACACCATTTAGACATGTTTACATTAGTTGCGCCTTATCAATCCGCATAGGATACCATTTATAATTTTGATATGCATTAACATATATTTTGATATGCATTAACAATGGTTTTTATGGTTTTTTGTATGCATTGAGATCATTCTAGTATGCAGTTGATATTGGTTCTCTGATTGCATTGGTTGTGACTCTGGTATGTGATTGTAATTCTGTTGACGTATATAAAAACTCATTATATATAGAACACGTAAAATTATGATAGTGTAGATTATGGACTTCGTATAGCTCATCTAGCGGCTTGTATCGTTTGCAGCTTCTAGGGTAGCTGAACTATCAATATTCTTCAACATTGTAACTTGAAAGTGTTTACGTTTGCCTTAATGCTCAGAATTATGTTGTAGGTATTTTAAAAATATTTAGGTTTTATTCTGATGGATATTAACTTGGACCGAGTGGAGCAACAAAGGTCCATAGTTCACGAAGATGCTGTATCATAGCACAGAAGGAAAAATCGAAAAGGCAAATAGAGATGACTACTGTTGGACTTCATATAACCAAAAACATCATTCCAAGGCTTTTTTTTGTTTCTTTTATTTGACCAAATTTTTAAATATCATTAAACTTGTACTCTACGTATAATTTTGCCTCTTATTTTCCATAATTTTACCTGGGCATTTTCTTCTTTGTTTCGCTCAATCAACCATTTTGGAGACCCTTTACGAAAAAGGTGCCGAGATAGAGTAAAAGAATTGATGGGATAAGCAATAAAAAGTACAAGGTTGTCCATCCCTCATCCATTGATGATGTACGTCAGTTGATGGCTGCTGCCACAGTGGAACCGAGGGTAATTATTGAAGCCGTCAAATATTGACGACAACCTTGTGCGTACGTTTCGGGGTGCCAATTTTGATAGCAGACTTGGTGTACAAAAAATAACGAGGATATGTTATAACTAATTAAAAAAAGTAACAAAAAAAATTGTGCATGATACAATGCTTTCTTTTAAGACACGTTTTTACCACACAATATATTCATATAAAATCAGGCGGATAACATACAACTAACCTGATGTCAAAATCTAATTTCATACCATAGAAGTAAGTTTCTGAAAATTTTATTGTAAAAAAAAGTTTATGATAACTCATATTAGGAGAGTGTTAGATAAACACAACACCTTGGAAGAGGAAACGTTTTGCAACCAGAAAACTATCATATCAATGGGTTAAATAATCGTTAAACCAAGTACCATTCATTAATCAAGTCAATATATACACTTATAATGTTACCATAAAAATATGTTATAGTATAACACACCTGTTATAATATAACTCTTTTATACATACTTTGAGTTGTTAAACTCACTTATTTGAATTATAAAACAACATATAGTTGAAAATTGAACTTATGAACTGTTACTAGTGATTGTCATGTGATTTTCTCAACTACTCAACCTATGTATACACAGCAGGCCGGAGAGTGTTGTGAGCGTCATGATCACGATTCCACGATTAAATAATGAGCCAATAAAAAGTGCATGTTTTGGATGAGTGTAGGTGGTTGTCTTTTTCTATAGTTATTTTTAATATTTTTATTTAAGTTTCTTTAAAACTTGTGTGGGTGGTTAAAATTAATAAAATGTTATACTTTTGGCACGTCATTCCATCAATTTGTCACGTCAGAGTCAACAAACAGTAGACAGATGGAAAGTTGACGGTTTGACCACTAAACTGTTTTCGAAAAGATTTGACTATTATTTTGTTTAAAATGAAAGTTTTAGCTATTAAATTGTATTTACCATTTTTAATATAAGAGGGTATGTAAAATGCTATAAAAGATTTGTAATGTAAACTATGAATAAAAATTCTAAACAATAAAATATAGTCAAAATGAGTCTTGTTAGATTTCTTTTATCTTAGATAATATGATTTTATAATTTATTTTATTTTTAAAATGATATAAATGAAAGAAAATTATATTTTTCTGAAATAAAAATAAAGTATGGTAAGGATAATCTTGTATTTACAAAACAGCTTTTCGCAGAAGCTCCAAATCGGAGCGTGTGCTTTTATGTTATACAAAAGCATTTTTCAGCTTTTCAAAAGCCGAACTATTGGAGGTGTTTGGCCCCTGCTTCAGCTTTTAAAGTCGAAAAACACTTCTAAAATCCAGATCAAACATATGCATAATTCTCTTACTATCCAACCGAGCTTTTCCCAACATATATGGCATATGCATATGCATTTCTTTCTAATATACATATAATTTTTTTATGAATCATCATTTTTTCTCTTAACATATTGGGTATTTGTAGTACAGATACAACATATACAGCATTAGTTGTGCTCAAGATATATCAATGATAATTATAATATTTATTGACAATTTTTAATATTAATTTAGGGTAATATGTTTCCGAAGACAAGGTATATATTTCGCTAAACAACGATAATGGAGGAAGAGGCTTAGAGGCACAGACAGTTCGACAAGAGGTTCATAAGCTTCTAGATCACCACCACTGCTTGATAATGGCGAATGCCAGAGGTAAATGTTGCAACAATTTTACACGACAATTGTAAATATTTTCCCCCGTTATTGCCAATTTTTGCGATTCAAATTCCACCTCTCCAATGTAGAAGGAAAGAAAATTAACATATGATGTTCTCACAATAATGTGTAGTGTTTTAGTTCTATTAACTTGTAAAAAAAAAAACAAATTTAATAGCCTGGGAACATCGGCGGCGGAGGAGACGAGTACTGGTACCCAAGGTTTGGCGGAAGGACAACGTCCGGTTGAGGCGGCGATGATTTCGCCGGTGGTGGAGTGGACTGCTCCGGCTTTGGCGGTGGCTTTTGGACTACCGGCGGAGGAGGGGAGTGTACTGGCGGTGGCGGAGATTGAACCGGCGGTGGTGGTGGGGAGTGAACCGGTGGTGGTGGAGAATGGACTGGCGGAGGCGGGGAGTGAACCGGAGGTGGAGGAGAATGGACCGGCGCAGGCGGTGGTGGAGATTGAACCGGCGGTGGAGGGGAATGGACCGGCGCCGGTGGTGGCGATGGAACCGGTGGTGGAGGGGAGTGGACCGGTGCCGGTGGCGGCGGTGATTGAACCGGCGGTGGAGGGGAGTGAACGGGTGCCGGCGGTGGAGGGTGACTCATCCCGCCGCTCGCCGGCAAATGCGGATCGTCGGTCGGCGACTCCGCCTTCTTCGGCGGACCGCCGCCGCCACTGCAAACGTCATTGCTACAATCCACAGGTTTCGTAACCGCGGGATCGCAATCCTTCGCCGGCTTCTGCATTGGTCTCCCCGCCAGGCAATTGTTGCCGTCGTCGATCACAACATCCTTCCTCGACTGCGGACTGCAAGCCGGGGCAACCCCGGTGAAGAAATTCGAAGCGAACGTGAAATTCTTCAGCGCCGGCAGCTTGCAGATCTCCTCGGGGATCGAACCGGTCATCCTGTTGCACGAGATGTCCAACATCTCGACGCTCTTCAGCTGAGCAAAGCTGGAAGGGATGGGGCCCACGAACCCGCTCCCGCTGACGTCGAGCACCGTCACGTTCCTCAGGTTCCCGATCTCCGAAGGGAAACAGCCGCCGAGGCTGTTCCCCGCCAGCATAATCTCCTGGACGTTGGGCATCGCTCCGATGGAGTGAGGGATGCAGCCCGATATGTTGTTGAATGCCATGGTGACGACGCTGACGGTGGACCTCCCGAGGGTCGGTGGGATCGAGCACGAGAACCGGTTGTTGTTCAGGAACAGGGCGTCCAGCTGCGGCCTGGTGAAGATCTCCGGCGGGATACAGCCCTCGAAGTTGTTGAACCTGATGTCGACGAACTTGGCCTCCTTCCAGCACAGGACGGCCTGCGGGAAGGGCCCCACGAGGCGGTTGTTGCTAACGTCGAACTCGAACATGATGGACATGTTGCAGAACGACATCGGGATGACGCCGCAAAACCGGTTGGAGTTCAGGTGGAACAGGGCCAGGTCGGTGAGCAGGCCGAGCTCCTGGGGCAGGTAGCCGGCGATGTCCTGGTGGTTGAGATCGATGCCCGCTACGACGTTCAATTTGGAGCCATCCTGCGCCGGAGCGCAGAAGACACCGCTGTACTTGCATACATCGGGGCCCACCCAGTTGGCCGTGAAGTTGAAAGGGTCGGAGTAGATGCCCTTCTTCCACGCCTGCAAGGCGATGTACGCGTTCTTCAGCCTCGGGTTCTCGAACTTGAGGTTGGGGTCCAGACCGCCGCCACCGGCGGCGGTCTGGTCCCCCACCTCCTTTCCGCTCTGATCGAACGTGAGGAGCTGGCGGTGGGCGATATACTGCACCTCCAAGTCCGTCAGGGCATCAGAGAAGGTGGTGGAGGAAGAGGCTAAGAAGAAGAGCAAGAGGAGGAGGCAGCCCAAGGAATTCGCGATAAACGGAGCCATACCGGAACACCTTGGACTGCCCAAGGCTTGCTTATAGCAATGTGATGGCATTGAGGGGGAGAGGATGATGATGGGAAGTTATATGAGTTGAGAGAATGGCTTTGTTTAGTTTAATATCTCCACCGATGGAATGGAATTGAAGTAGAGCAATTGTTTTTTTTGTTGCTATTTTTGGGTGTCAAATCGCCCCCGCAAAACTATGGAACATTTTGTTTTTCTGAAACCAGTACTATGGTTTCATCGAGGTTGTGTCTCCTAATTTTGAGCACTTATGTTTGTAGTCTCCTCAACATGTGGATTATCACACAAATTTCAACTTGGGAGGCTAAATTTAGAATTGAGCTAGTTTGGTGCACCAGAAACCACGAGCCCAAACAGAAATTGTCAAAGGGATCTCAAGCGATCAAGCAAAATTGGATCTGCTCCACATATTGTAAAACGTATCCTAACTAGGACATGTCAATTGTCATTATCTAAATATACCTAATTGAAAAATCATTGATGCTGTCTTGTAGGTGTGGGAGCAAATCTGATCAATAACTCATTTTTACATAACTTTTAATTAATTATTGGAGATAACCGTAATTTTCCCCAATTTAATTTAACGAACTATATCTATTTCGTTTTAAGTTGGAATTCATTTTTTATTTCCAGAGAAAAATCATATTGATCGTATAAAGTATATCTACTTTGATATATTGTAGAACAAAAAAGAAATTGAGATATACATTATTAGTCTATAACATGGTGGCGCTAATGATAACGTTTGGTAATATAATAAGATAATAATAACATGGCGGTATGAAAGTGTGCTCAAGTGGTATGAATATATCATAGTGTAAAAGGGTTGTATACATAGTCGTATGAATACAATATACTAACCACCATTTGTCACCTTTAAGTATCATCTACCAATTTGTTATCATCACCTTATACCAGGATTGCATAGGATGGTATATTTGGTCCTGAAAATTTATTTTTCATAATAGATCACAATGAACTCAATTTTTCTAAACAAAAATTTCCAAAATTGGAGTTAAAAAATGTGATACGTAGTTAGGGATGGAAGTTGGGTTTGTGAGTGATTTTGTTGTGTTTAGTAAAATTGTGAATTTTATGATTAGATTAAATTGATTTTGTGAGTGATTTTCTAAACAAAAATTTCCAAAATTGGTTAACCACTAACCACACTTTGTGTTTAGTGATTTTGTTGTGTTTAGTAAAATTGTGAATTTTATGATTAGTAATTAACCACTAACTACTGTGGTTAAATCACAATAACTGCACAAAGCACACTTATCTATTGAAGTATTATTTTTTTTACAATTTATTAGATCATAGTAATATTAATAAAGATAGTTATAAATTTTTTTGTACTTGAAATTTTTTTAGTAGATAGTACTTTTATTTTTTCTATTGTTGAATTAGTTACGAAAGACTTATAATTTATATTGGTTTTTTAATTATTAACTTCTTTCTGAATAAGGATGATGTTGAATTCTTGCTAATGTGCTATTCTCCTAAATAGATTTTACATGTTCTCTTATGTTGTTCATGGTTTTCTTGTCGAGATTTGTTTGTTACATTTTTTTATTATATCTTACTTTTAGCTGTTGTATTTTCTTCCTTTGTCCATTTTCTGTTTCATATTTTCTCAATTCATCACACATATGGGTCTCACATTTTGTTATCGTTCATGTTCTCGTTTGTATTTCTCTACTTCTATTTTCTTTTATCTATTAGAAAATTTTACATATTTATAAAATAATTATATTGATGAGAATATGATTTTGATAAGTTGGTTTCTGTGGTTAACCACAACCAAACGGCATAAACCGTAGTGGTTTGTGGTTAACATATTTAATGATTTGCAATTGTTAGTTAACCGCAAAAAAATGGCGCGCTTAACTACAACGCACCGACTTCCACCCCTATATAGAGTGGTACCAATGTGGTACAAACTTTTTTTCTCAAAATATATTAAAAAAAAGTCGGATCTGACCAAATTGTTTATTTTGGTGTATAGTTCGGGCCAGGATGTTATAGATCGAAAAGATTGGCCAGAATGTTTATTTTGGTCAAAGTTCAGGCCATACGAAAATATTAACCCTATAAATTGCTATGGTGGGCGCTATCACAGCGAATTCAAGTACATGCAGCCCGGAATAAGAGTTTTATTGAATTGAAGGCGAAATCAGAGTACAGCTGAAAGTTGCAATTGACCGAGGAATAAAGTGAAAGACACGTACATACTTCCTCCTCAGAGTTGCTGGAATTGAATGGAGCACTCCTGTGGGTAGTAAGCCGAGCCGGTTGTAAATTTTTTGCATGGACCCACGTACCTTACCAAAGCATAAAGACAAGTATAACAACTTCCTCCGGTGGAGCCACTACTAGCACAAGTCGCCGTACCGGTGGCCGCACCGCTACCGGCGGCATCGCTATTCTCCGGTGACGTTGAGGTCCTGGTTCTCAGGCCTGAATTAGGGTCTGGGGACTCCAATTGCGTATTCATAAGCAGATCCTGAAGGACCTCACCAACGTATATAGGAAAATTGATCTGATCGGTTGCCGGGGTTGTGCCGCAAATTTCAACGCTTGATCCGCGGCCCAAGTATCCCAGGACGAGCACCACCATAATTAGCAGTGGTTTGGGGAAGATGATAATGTAGCAACCGGCCGCCATGGTGTTGATATATCTATCTATCTGGTTTCCATTGCCCAAAGCAGACGTTTTTATGGCGACAAAGAACGTTCCCATCGCCGGTAATCGGATTCCCTTTTTCTTCCTTCTTTTGGACCATACTACAAGAGTTTGGTGGACGTGGAACATTGTCTGCTCTATCGCCGGTGATCGGATTCCTTGTCTTCCTTCTTTTTATGGCGACAAAGAACGCGCGTTCTCACTCATGTTCAATTGCCTACTATATGTATATCATGTTGTTTGGTATTTAATAATTTGGTTTGATCATTCTTTTACTTTGATTGGGATTTAGGAATCTCCAAAATTTCAACAAGGATCTCCCTGGAAATTAAAGCAACTTTGTAGACTTCTCAAACGACCAAATTCCCCTAGCTGAATGACAACAAGTAATTCTATCACAATGACAACAAAACACCACAATTGGTTGATGAAAATTAGTGAAATATATAGCCCAAGAACATGAAGTCTAATTATGGATAGCAATGGAACTCGCAAAATGCGAGAATTCCAGCATTTGACACTTTATTTATAGTGTTTATCATTCTCGTATTTGATATATTTTCTTCTTTTATCATCAATACATCCTAAGGACACTTTATTTATAGTATTTGTCACTCCCATTCTTAATACATTTTCCCCTTCTATCAAAGCATCTTTAGTCCTTTTTTTAGTATTTCCTATGTAAATCACAACTGTTTGATCAGTGAGTCTCTAATAGACCTATGTTTTGTTCCTGTACTTTGATGCCTTCTTAGTATGTTTTTGAAGGTACAAAGCAGCCTAAGAAAGTATAGATGAATGAAGCATTGAAGAACTCCGAAGGACCAAACGATCTATAAAGAGAAGAGAGAATTTTCCCAAGTCAGAGAGAGAGAGAGAGAGAGAGAGAGAGAGTTTTACGATGACGACAATGGAGGATTGTTCGACGACCGACGATGGCGAAGAACGATTTTTCGACGACAGTACTGGATTTGTGATGTTTGTCGATCTATTTTGTAATGTTGTAAGTCTGATTTGTAATATTTATATCAATTCGGTTCGTATTATTTATCATTCACTAGTGGAGTTTTTCAGCAACATTCTAGTGAAAAAGCTAACTCTGGATTAGTCTGAGTTATGCAGGCTAGTCTCTGTCGATGAGGTGAAAGATACAATGTTTTCAAAGGAGATAAAAGTCTAGGACCTGATGGGTATATAACAAAGTTTTTCAAGCTACTCGGAATAAAGTTAGGGTTGAGTTGACTTCTGCTATTCAGTTCAGTTTTATCCATTATTTCATCCCTTCAGAGGTAAACTCCACTCTGTTCACTAAGATTCCTAAGATTCGGAACCTAGTAGAAATGAAGTTTTTTTAGACCAATATCTTGTTGCAACATTATTTACAAGTGCATTCATAAAATTCTTGCAAAGAGATTGAGTTCAGTCTTGCCTGCAGTGATCAATGAAAATCAAACGACCTTTGTTAAGGTAGATTGATAGGGAAAACATTCTTCTTGCTTATGAACTAGTTCATAAATATAATTGGAAGAATGTCTCCCCTAGGAGTATAATACAAGTGAATCTAATGAAGGCTTTTGATTCGGTTGATTGAAGTTTTTTGCTAAAAGTAATGGAAGCTATGGGTTTTCCACAGAGGTTTATTAAATGGATAGGGATGTGCATTACAACTCCTAGATACACTGTAGGCTTCAATGTTGGAATGACTTGTTACTTCTCTGCTAGGAATGAATTAATGCAGGGGATCCCTTATCCTCTTACCTTTTTGTCATGGACAATATTTACCTACAAACTAGGTTGTAGGAGATTCCTGCAACCTGTCCAGGTGGAAGTCCTTTATTGGTTGCCTTTCTTTTATTTTTTCATTTTACTAATCCTAAATTAATAGCGAATGGAATAACTAACGGAAAAATGTTAATCGGGGTGCTTGAATAAGAATTAAGGGCCAACTGAATTATATATTTATTTCTTATCGTTCTCTCTCGTTATCCAACTACATATATGTTTATGTTTTTTTGGGATAATTGGCCAATTTGAATCTCAACGTTTAATTATTGGTACAATAAGATAGGATCATGAATAAATTTTTTATTGCACAATGCCTTCAAACAATATGCCAGATATCTTGTACGTATTTAAATGGTTATCATGATAATTTGAGAAAAATCTTATATTATTGCATCAATCCATAATATATAAGTATATAAATGAATAAAAAATCATAACAATCAACTCACAGTTAACAATTAAAATAAATACATGCAACTAATATAAATTTCTTACAATCATTAGAAGTAGTCTCCTACAAAAAGCTATATCAATGGTACGAGGGTAATGAATTGGGTGTCTATGTGTATTGTCCTGGGGTCGTTTGGATGAGGAATTCTAACAGATCAATTTGACCAAATTGTTTCATTTTGAGACAATATGGCCATATTGATCCGTTTGGCAGCATGAAATTTCAAAGAAGCAAATCTGCCTGGAGAATTTCAAATTGGCTAGACAATTCGAATTGGGTGGTTTCAAATGACTCATTTTGTAAAATACAACAATTGGTCAAATTCAGTGTCGGATACATGCACGTTTAGGACACCCCTGAAATTTAGAAACACGATTATTCAACCTACGATAGTAATTTGCATATGAGAAAAAAAAATGTTTAAGTGGTAGTGGGACACCTTCAAATTTTGGGAAAATGATTATCCAATCTCCCGTAGTAGTTTGCGTATTGGTACAAATAATATTTAAGTAGTTTATGTGATTTAAAATTGGGACACTGCCACTATTAGTTAATATATTTTCAATTACGCCACAACTCATTTGTTATTGTGTTTTAGATCCAAATATAATAGTGAAATGTTATTCTTATCTCAAATTATTTTCAAAATCTAACGATTAAACTCAATTACGGGATACCCTTGTCTAGTAGGATATGTCGAGAGATATTTGTTGGGCAGTATAAACACCGAATGCATTTTACCATTTTACGTTTATTAGTTAGATATTTTCAAATTTAATAATTTTCAAATTTAATTCTAATATAATTTTTTAGAGAGGACACCCCTACTTAGAATTCCTGTATCCGCCACTGGTCAAATTGTCTTGTTTTTAAATTGATCCATCCAAACGACCCATTATTAGTGATTGAAAGGGTCATTTTCTTTCGGCTTTCATCGAACATAATATTTGAATTTTATCTAAATTAGGAGGTGTATATTTGTTGAAATTGATTATACGATATGTCACATTCTTTCCATTGGTTAATTCTTTATGTGGGAGATAAATTACATTTGTTGTTGACTGTGTTTAATAACATGTTTTTTTCTTTTGTAAAATGATGTTTAATTTCACTAAATCATAGTCCTATAATAAGTTAGCAATCAATTAAGCTCAATGGAGCTAGATGCAATCTATTCTTTTTTTACTTAAAAGAGAATGATGAGTCCTCTCTCGATAGAAGCTATTCATTTTTTTAACAAAAGAACAAAAATAATTTCTTCTTCCTAGGTTTACCCGAGGGAGAAAGGGGAGGAGTGTAGAAAAGGAAAAATAGAATAGATGTTTAACAGAGGCCACCAGCAGCACCGTTAACCTAGCCTTTTCCCGTTAGGTGTTTCGTTGGGTATTAATTTAGAATTAATAAAATGAAAGAAAATGAACCAATAGAAGTATCCACCTGGACAGGCTGCAGGAACCTCCTACAACCTGGTTTGCAGGTAAATATTGTCCTTTTGTCATTGCCATGGATGTTATCCCATGTTTGATGCACGAGTGGGCTTCTAAGGGTTTAATCACATTTCATCATATGTGTAAAAGACTAAAATTGACTCACCTTATGTTTATTGATGATCTACTCATCTTTTTTTATGGCTCAAACTATGGTCTGCAAGTAATAAAAGAGGTTTTGGCTAAGTTTAGAAGCTTTTCTGGTCTTGTGTCTAATCCTGCTAAGTGTGAAATGTATTGTGGGAGTTTACCTATAAATTGGCAAACTCAGATGGCTGAGAGGGTTGGTTACAAGTTGAGGTCTCTTCTAGTTCTTTATTTGGGACTACCTCTTACTCTTGGAAAATGACATAATGTATTATTTGGAAGTTCCTGATTGTTGTTCATGTATTCGTAAGAAAGAAAATGAATTGTACTCTCTTTTTATTGTTATTTATATAAAATTATTTTTTTTAAAAAATATTTTTTATTTCTAACTAACGGTTAGGGATGGCAAATTACCCACCCATGGGTAATTATACCCAAACCCAAGTAGACCCATTGATAATGGGTTGGGCATGGGTGAAGTGCATATGGATTTGGGGGTTTATAGATGGGTTTGGGTTTGGGGCTTCCATAATCTAAATGGGTATGGGTTGGATATGGATATCCATTTACTTGAGGGTGTTTTAACTACACATGCAAAAATTGGACCTATTTGCAAAACTTGAAAAGTTTAGGTACCAAAATGTAAGACCAAAAAATTTAGGTACCAAAACGTAATTTTCCATCGATATTTTGAGGACTTATATGCAAAAAAAATTAAATTTAGGTACTAAATATGCATGTCTATTAAGTTTGGGTACCAAACTGTAATTTGTATTTAGGCATGGGTACAAACCCAAATCCATTTGATATAAACCCAACTCAAACCAAAATAAATGGGTATGGGTACAAACCCATCAAACTCTACCCATATCCATCTATTTGGATTTCATACTCAACTCAATTGGGTTGGATAGTAAGAAACCCATGAGTATGGTGTCAAAACATAGCCCGACCCGATTAACCCGCCCGATCAACCCGATCCGCAACCCGACCGCAACCCGAATTGTCTAAAAGTCAACAACCCGTAACCCGCCCGACCCGCAACCCGATTGACCCGCAACCCAACTAACCCGCAACCCGGCTGACCCGCAACCCGATTAACCCGAACCCGATTGACCCGCAACCCGACTGACCCGCAACCCGATTAACCCGAACCCGATTGACCCAAACCCGACTAACCCGTAACCCGACCGACTCAACCCGAATTTCATCTAATCCACTTGAATAATTATAAAAATATACAATACATAGTTTTTCAAAATAAAGTTTTTCATTCTAAACTTAAGTAAAATTATTTTTTCATTTCGTATAAGAAATTTAAAAAATATGAAACTCACTTGATATTACGTATGTTAAGAAAATAACCAAAATTGAAACATGAAGGTCACTTGAGATCATGACAATATTAATATAATATATAAATTAAAATTTTGGTTAATTTAACTATTCAATAAAATTATCAATTAAATATAAATAAAGTAAAGTAATGTATTTGGTAATTTTGGTGTATTTAAAAGAAGAGGGAAATTTTGGTGTATTCAAGTTTTTGGGAAGAGAAAGAAGAGGGAAATTTTGTTCTTTGAATTTTTTTAGAAAATAAACAAGTGAGAATTTTTGTGGTTTTGATATGTGGGAAGAGAAAGAAGTCGGAAAGTTTGATTTTTTTTATTATGAAAGAGAAATAAGGAGGGAAACTTTTGACTTTTCAACTTTTTGTAGAAGGAAAGAAGAGGGTAATTTGTTTCTTTCAATTTTATGGAAGAGAAAAAGGAGGGAAAATTGAGTTTTTCTAATATAGGGAAGGAGAAAGAAGGAGGGAAATTTTAGTATTTTGTGAAAAGAAAGAAGGAAACAAATTTGGTGTTTTCAATTTTTTGGTTTTTCATAATTTTAGCTTTTGAAATATGAATCTTTAACTTTTATATGGAGGGCATGACTAGTTAAAATTATTCTTATATGCTTTGAAGGCTAATATGTATATATGTATGTAATTGTTTATGGGCTAATAAATGAATTAACCATTAGTTACAATAATTTATACTAAACTTGATAAGTAATCTTTGACGGTTCGTTGTTTAGGATATAAAGTATATGGTTAGGGTATAAGGTATAAGGTACATATGGTTTAGGGTGTATATGGTTAGGGTATAAGATATTGATGGTTTTGACGGTTCTAAGTTTTTTATTAACATATGTTCACTTGAAGTCATTTGAAGTCTTTAACGGCAGGAGATCCCTTTTTAATTTATGTTTATGGTACGTGGTTAGGGTACAAGGTATGTGGTGTAAAGTATAGGATATATGGTTAGGGTATAACAATTAGCAAATATCACTTTTTATCTATGTTTTGAAAATCAAAATATGAATTTCACTTTTAAATTAACTATACTAGCAAAATCACAACTCAATGACATATGATTAGGGTATAGGTTATGTGGTTAGTGTATAATGTATTGATGATTTAGGGTATACAATCAACAACATATACTAACTTAATATTGTTGATTGAGGGTAAGGCTAAGTGTATAGGATATATGCTATTGAGTAAGTTATGATTGAAGTCACAATAATTTTACTAAATTTGATAGCTAATCTTTAATGGTCAATTTTTAGGATAATTCGAACAATTTTACAAATAACTCGTTTGGCAATAGTTTACTGAAGTTATTTGGGCAATGAGTTATTTTGAAATAACTCCTTTTATCACTATACTTTTGCCAATTACCACACACCAAATACCATATTTGCATGGTTATACTAAACGAGATACTTTAATTCAATTACTACTGAATTACTACTAAAATATCAAATAAACAATTAACGGTGTCTTTTGGTTGCAAATATTGATATCACCATTACTATTAGCTATAATACTTTACCAATTATGATTAATTACATAACAAGTTTGCAAGTCATACAAATTGATTTAAAATTTTGACTAGTTTTTTTCAAAAAAATAAAGTATATATATACCACTACAGGAAAACTCATTTTCAGTCACGAGATCTTATTCATGGGAATGTTTCCCGTACTAAGAAATATACTTGTAAACACGATAAAAATTCTTGTACTTAATTGCATAGTTCTTCTTATCACGGGAATTAATTTAAGAACTTTTTAGTCTTCATTTCCCGTGAATAATTGTTAGTCACGGTTAATTACCATGAACAATATGACTTACAATTACTCACAATTAATTACCGTGAACAATGGGATACTTCATTTTTTCAAATTTTACATAAAAATTAAGATAAATTAAATATATTATGGAGGAAAAAAATTAAGTAAACTAAACAAAATATTCATACTAATAAATCACAGAATTAGTATTGTTGGACTTTTAAATGGGTGATTCAGCAAAAATTGGTTTCCCAAAATTTCACACGGAAGCTCCCGCATTTTCTTCCCTCCTGCACATTCCCAAATTTTGCCTACAGAAATTTTTGGCTCCAAAACCAAATTTTTGGGCTCTAAGAATTCCTAAAATTTTGGCTCACACCCGCAATTTCCTACCACATAAAACCAAAAGTGCGCCTTCTAATTACCCTTTACCCCGCCTCGATTCACTTTCCCCACTCTCTCCCGTCTGTTCTTTAGTCAGAGACGTGGAGTTAAGCCTACCCTCTAACACCCAGCAGTGCACCCACCGCCACCGCTCTGCACTGCCACTGATTCCTCCTCCTTCGCCAATCCCGCAACTCCTCTGCTTCTGAAACTCCTCTCTTTGAATAAGTTGCAGGGTTTATTCCTACAGCAGTTCCTTTTACTCAAAATCCATTATGGATGCAACAATTTGTTAGTCAACCGGTAAATTTTAAATATATGGTTATTGGCCTTCGCTAAGCTTTTTCTAGGGTAATTGGGCATCTCCCATAGCTACTTACTTCAGCAAGTGTCCAATTTTAGCTGGAGGGTATGCTTACAGTTCGGTTTATATCTTCCTTCTGCGACTATCACCTAAGCGGTGACTCTAGATCTTGCTCCTCAAAATTTTGGATCTGATTTCTCCTCTTTTTCTATTATTGTTTGGTTCCTTTTAGGTTTTAGTTCAGTTTGATGGCGGACAAATTAGATTCGGCAGCTCGCAAAGGTGGAACTGGGTCTGCCATACCGGACAAGACAGAGTACGTTCGAAGATGCTTCAGTGGTTGGTGAAGTGAAATGCAAAACAATGATACAGCTTCCTTCATCATTAGTTCGCTTGAGCTGAAAGGTATAAGAGATGATTATGAAAATGGTTGGGAGTTAGAAGTATGGATTGAACTTGTGGGATGTGCAAGGTATGTGATCTCTTTGGACTTTGTTTGAACTGTTATTCTCCCTCTTTGAGTAATTAGAGGTTTCAGAAGGACTTTACTAGAGTTACATTTTGATCTGCAGGGGTGATCACGAGAGTAAAAAGAGTGCATGAACTTGATCAATAGACATAGTTGGAGAAGATAACCCAAAGCATTTATGATCTGTAATGAAGGCCTTCTTTATATTTCAGTATATAAGCTGACTTGCACATCCTACTGATGAGGATCTTGATGTCTTCAGTCTATTAGTTTTCCTTTAGCTGCCTTTGGTTTTGTGGTTTATTTTGAAGCTAAAATTATTACTCTTGCTTTAGATGTTCAGTTTTGTTTTCACAAGCTCATTTTCCTTTCAACTTTACAAATTAAGGAGCACTGGTGTATGCATCCACAATCATGTGTATTGACCCCAAGGTAAAAACAAATTTGCTGCTTTTAAGAAACCCTGTTTACTGGATTATATTAAGCAATAGCAGCAACAACGAATTTGTCAAAGCAATTGCTTTTCTATGTATAGGGATTTTGATTCAGTTTTTCATTTTCTAGGCCTGCACTTTGGTTGGTAACTGGCTTGTTCATTCTATTCATAGGAACAACTACAATAGGAGCAACACTTTAGGGGCTATGAAGTGTGTTCGTAGTCCCTGCTTTATGAACAATTTGAGTAAGTGTTTTTAATTCTCTGTTTAAGTTTCCAGCTTCTTTATCCATGTTGGGTTTAATTGACTTGTCATTGAGGGCTGAAATTTTTATTGTTGTTCTTGGCAGATACAAATACAACAGCAGCCAGCAGGATGCTTCAGATGAAGTCCATGACCTTTTTTTTTTGTTGCTAGAAAGATAAAATTCCAAAAGTTAACTCTAGATAGACAATCTTAATGTTGTTTGTAATACAATACAATAAAAGTAATTATTAGTTAGTTTATGGAGGAGAACTATTTATTACTATGATATATACTGTAATATTATAGAATTATTTATGTAATATCTGCAACTTATGATTGATGATAATATTATTTTTTTTGGTTCTTACTTGATGGCAAGAGATTTTGTTATTGGTTGTAATTAGTAATGACAAAATTTAATAGCTAATCTTTTATAGATATTGCATACCGTGATTGGTGGACTGGTGGTTGTTATTAGCTTTAGTCAAATACTGTGACTAGTGGTTAGTATCTAGTTATGGGGGATCCAATCACAAGTAGTAAATACCATGATTAGTGATTGACAGCTAGTCATGGGAAGCGATTAGTCACGGTACATATAACTAGTCACGGTACACAATTAGTCACGTAGGTTTATATTATGGTAATTTTTCCGTGACTAGAATTATTAGTCATAGGAAACATGCTTTTAAATACGGGATTTCCGGTAATTAAAGTACCTTTTTCTTGTAGTGTACGAGGTAGAAATAAATTGGTTAAAAGTTGAGAAAATATTTTAAATTAGTGTAATAAAATGTGTAAGTTGGTAATGAGTAATGAGTTAAGTTACTTGATGCGCTGGCCCGAACAACCCGAAACCCGACCCGCCCGCAACCCGCCCGACCCAAAACCCGATGAACCCGCAACCCGATTTGCCCGCAACCCGATTGAACCCGAACCCGATGAACCCGCAACCCGACTAACCCGCAACCCGTTTGAACCCGAACCCGATGAACCCGAACCCGATGAACCCGCAACCCAACTAACCCGCAACCCGATTGAACCCAGCCCGAACCCGCCCGATTGACACCTATAAGTATGGGCAAAGTTGCCATCCCTACTAACTGTATATGGATGGATTTCTTAATGTATGCATATTCATTGATACTCGATATCCTTCTTCTTTTTTTATATAAACTCTATATCATATTTTTACCTTATATGATCCTCCAATTTTCATAATTTAGTGGTAGTCGGAGTATGGATCTTGTAATTGACCATTGAAATACTTCTCAAGGACACGCAGATCGACGGCGTATAGCACCACGACCAACCATTTGGTCAATTTTTCCGCCAAAACCAAAAACAAAAAGGTAGAGAAAGCAACCGCGATAATCGAGCCTCGCCGGACGCCGGCTACTTAGGTTCCACCGTGGTTGAAACTGCGTAGCCACCGCTGTAATCAAACGCGTCACACTTTTCCTTACAATTCCCCTTCCCGCCGCCGCTGCTATTGCTCTTCGTATAACTAGTACACACCTCCCCGCTGCCTCCACAGTACGGATGCTGCCGGAGATTCGCGCCTCCTCCTCCTCCTCCCCCTCTCAGGCAATGAATTCCGAAGTCCGTCGCCGACGAGGAAGCGGAGGTCGAATTGCCGTTCACTCCTTCCTCCTGCAAGATCTCCTCGATCGTCTTTACCGCTTGGCTCATCGTCGGCCGGTCCCCTGCCGACTCTTCCACGCACTGCATCGCCAGTTCCAGAACCCGCCGGAGGCTCGTGCCCGCCGTTCCCACCTCCGCAATGATCGACGGATCGATCATGTCCTTGAGGCCGCAGTAATCCTCCTCCTCCCCCTCCTCCGCTTCCAGCGTCATCTTCGCCCGCACTTGGCGGACGATGTACTTTCCTTTCTCAATTGGCTGCCTCGCCGTCACCAGTTCTAGCACCACCACTCCGAAGCTGTACACGTCGCTCTTCTCCGTCAGTTGCTGCGTCATGTAGTATTCCGGATCCAGGTATCCCTGCAATCAATTGACAATTTTGTGAGCCTGACTCTTAATTTGAAAGCTGAAAGAGAATTCTAAACCTAGATTTGATTATCTGTGCTGAGATTGAGTTGTACTCACCAAGGTACCTTTAACCTGAGTTGAAACGTGGCCCTTGGTGCTATCACAGACGAGCTTGGACAAGCCAAAATCAGCAACCTTGGCACTCAAGTTTTGGTCCAAAAGGATATTGGTGGACTTGATGTCTCTATGGATGATTGGAGGGTTTGCAAGCTCGTGAAGGTAAGCGAGCCCTCTAGCCGAGCCAAGGGCGATTCGGAGTCTCCTTCTCCAGTCAAGATGAATGCCTGATTTCCCTGTGAAAAGAATTTGGTTTAACATTCCAGTTCCATCTGCAGCTTTGACTATAGAAGGGGGCTGTTGCACACCTGATTTTGATCACCTCACCTGTCAAACTTTCCTTGAGAGAACCATTGGGCATAAATTCGTAAACCAGCATCTGTTCGCCTTGTTCGAAACAGAAGCCAATTAGGGCTAAGAGATTCTTATGGTGTACTCTTGAGAGCAGCTCAATTTCAGTCTTGAACTCCTGCCCGCCTTGTAATGACCCTTGTCGAGCTCGTTTAACAGCAACTATCTGCCCATCAGAAAGCATTCCTCTATACACCTGCAGACAAGCAAGATAGAGAATCGTTTATTTTGTCCTCTGGTAAGTAGTGATTAAGCTGTTTAGTTTAGTCTCTAAACACATTCTGTTTTTTAATGATGTTGCTTATGCTGTTTTTCCCCCCACCTTGCCGTAGCCTCCAGAACCCAACTCATTGCTTCCTGAGAAGTTATTAGTGCACTTCTTGAGTTCATCATAGGAGAACCATCTTGCTCCCTTCAACTGCGGTGCCCCTGCTCCACCACTGCTATCCTTCCGACTGGCTGCTGCCCAAGAAGCTGCAGGGACAGAGTTAGCACAACAAGTTAGAAGGTCTGAATCTAAGTTGCTATTCACAAGAGATTTAAGATTGCATTTTGTAGCTTTTTTCATGCATTCAAGGGATTAGCGTGTTTCTAGGACTACTAGAAACATACCAAATGGTTTACTAAACACAATAGCCTTCTCTGCACGTTTTTTCTGACGAATGGCATAAATGGCTACAGCAACAAGGCACAGAACCAGAACGGAGCAGCCACTTGCTATCCCAGCTACAAGGCCTCTGCCGATGGAAGCTCTTCCATGGTCCCCTGAAAGGTCAAGAGCATTGTAATTCCACAACATTGCAACAGTTAATTAGCAATCTTATCATGGTAATATCAGGGCAAAATGTCTCATCTCAGTATTTGAAGCAAAGCTTATACCTGGGAAAGGGTATGGGGATGCAATGAAATAGTAAGGTCCGAATTCATGGGGAGGCTTGTAGGTTTGATTGCTCAAGTCAAATCCAATTCTCTGGATTTCCGATCTGTTGAAGTACTTTCCAGCAGAAGCAGGGGGGAAAAGGGCTAGCTGGATCTGGAGATAATCATCAGAGTTGAAAATCGGGTTCTGGAGCGAGACAGAGCCAGGGGTAAGCCCTAGCTTCACCCAGAGGCTCATCTCCAGTGCATGAAAAGTACTCACGTCCGTCAGATCTCTGAAGGAAGGCCCTCTGAAGTATAATGTGCCTTCGTATGGGTACGCACAGTCGCAGCTCTGCGGGCTGAGCTTCTGGTCAGCTGTGCAGAGTTTGGTCCCACAGTTGGCGAGGCTTGTGGAGTAAGATTTGGAGGACTGTTCCCTCTGGAGTTGGCAGTAGTTAGTGTTGGATAGAGCCGTGCAGACCGGGTTTCCCACTAGTCTGTGCATATCATAAGTTTGCATTTAAGAACCCTTGTTCGATGATTCTATCCATGGTTAGACTTACTAAAGGGAAAAGGAGAATAAAATTGCTGAGATGCTTACATTAATGTGTTGGTGTACCCAGCAGTTAGTGTTACAGAGGAAATCTGGTTGTTCTGCAGGTCAACAAGCTGAAGTTGTGGACTAATGCTGTCGCCCATGCTTAATGTGCCGTTGAAGGCATTGTCATTCAATAACCTGACAGGACATTGTTGAACCGAATGAGTATTGATTATTAATCATATCTAATTTAGGATTTTCTCTCTACCAGGGACAAAGGAGGACATACACTTGCTGTATTTGTGGGAAACTGAAGATCTTTGGTGGCAGAGGTCCTTGAAGTGATCCATGTTCCATAACCCTGTCCAGCAGAATTAGTCATTGCTAGATATTCTGGATTTTCCACTTGGTAAGCATGAACATGATTTGTCTGTCAAAAGTTTTTTAGAAGGCGTAGATGGTCTCAACTTACAAAGTGGTAAGAGATGGCAAGGTGGAGAACCAAGTAGGAGCTTCTGAGGGTTCGAAAAAGTTGCTGCTGAGGTCTCTGTAAGGTAACGAACAATTTATTCATAAGAGTGCTGATCAATATCTAATGATGTAGATCTACAGTTATCCAAAACGTACACGTAATTGAGGTTATTCATTCCTGTTAAGTTTGGCAAGGGGCCGGTTAATCTGTTGTGCGCCAAGTTCCTGAAGAGCAAAAGGATCATACATTATGATTTAATATCAACCCTGTAAGTATGTAGGCAGCCAATAGTGACATCTACTCACAGTTCATTGATGTTCAGAAGTTTGTTTAGATTCGAGGGTATCCTTCCAACCAAAGCATTTCTATCCAATCGGCTACAGGAAATAAGATCTGTATCAAAATTTCCAGTTTTGGCCAGTTGACATGAAAGAAACAGAAGATGGCATTGCGGTTTTGAGTTTACTCACAGAACTTCAATGGTCACAACTAGTCCTAGCGTGTCTGGGATACTTCCATTGAGTTGATTCCCATCGAACAGTCTAGAATTGTAGTGAGATCATGGTGTCAGCAGATGCAAACAAGATCATGTATCAGGATGGATGGCAGAAAAGAGTAAGAAGCTATGTAGTCTTACACATGTATGAGGACCATCACAGGACTGAAAAGCTTGGGAGGAATGGGACCTGAGAGCTGGTTCTTGTTGAAATGACTGCAAAAGAGGGGTAAAGATACCAAACTAGTGTAAAGATTGAATGAAACCTCTTTTCTGATGTATTCTTGCCTCATGAAATAGTATACACAGGTTTGCAAGTATTCAGACACTCACAAGTGCTTAGCCTTGAGGAGGAGGTCCAAGCCTGGAGTGTCCGGTGTGGAAACTGGGATATTTCCTGTCAATTGATTGTCAGCCAAATCCAACCAGTAAAGCTTGGAGAGGTTCCCCAATGACGGGGGTATTCTTCCTGTCAAGTTATTCGAGTTGAGTGCCCTGCAGCCAACGTGTGAAAACCGTAGTAATTAGAAGGTTTGTACTCCATTTACTAAGTAATTTAATTTTGCAGGGTCATACAAGAAGGATAGTTCTGAAAGTTTCCCCAGCTCATCTGGAATTCCGCCACTGAAGCCACATCCCACCAAGATTCTGGCAAAACAAGACAGCATATCAGAAGCGTAAAGAACTGAAGTAATCAAATCCATCACATTACAGAGAAACAGAGAAGGAGGAGCAAGAAATGGTACTGTACAAGATGTTTAACTTCTGCAGATCGCCTAACCGTGGGGTTAATTGCCCTACGAGGTCTCGGTTGTACGACAAGTCCCTGCAATTGTCGATCGACACTAGAGGTAACTAATCATCACTAGAGCTAGCTTATTCACCGATTCACCCTTTCGAAAACATACAAGCAAGGATCGGAACTTACAAGGATCTTAGTTCAGTTAGCCCTCCAATGTCACCACTCAACTTCCCTTTAAGACCCATGCTGGACAATCCCCTGCACTTCCAAATTAAGGATCGGACTCAGCGAGTTCGACTACCAGTAGAATATATATGTAGGAGAGAGAGAGAGAGAGGAAGGGGACTAACAATGCAGAGACTCTGGAGTTTTTGCAGGTGACTCCTTCCCAAGGGAACCCACAGGGATCATCCGACTGCGTCCAGCTTGGAGGAAGGTTCCTCCATATCTCTTTTAGCGACCTGAGTGCTGCAGCTGCATTTTCCCCCCCGCGTAACCGATCACCACAAGCACCACTCTTCGCCAGATGCACATATATATATCAAACGACATCATAACCCGTATTCAGAATTCGGACTACTTACCATCACGAGGATCAGTTGCAGCAGACAGGCTGACATGAAATGCTGCGACGAACAAGAAGAAGGTAAGCAAAACAAGCAGCCGTCCCATTGCTCACACTAATAGTTCCCCCTCTCTGCTAGCTATTTGGGGAGTTGTTTTGGAGTGGCATTGTGTGTTTCTGCCTGGAGAGTGTGTGGAAGAAGGAAAGCGAAAGAAGACGGTATATGGTAAGGTTAAATTCCAACTCAAGCTGATCACTTGCTTTCCTCTTTTTTTTTCCCCCTGCCCATCAAAGTTGATACTGATATGATTTTATCTTGTCTTGGAAGCCACTCTATTCCCACACCAAACCGACTTTTTCCCCCCCTCCACCCAGGTTGCAATTATCGTTTACTTCTTTGAGAATTGCACCAACATTGATTACATCTCTCATATTAGATGGTGAATGAGTGTTTGTTTCCCTTTCGAGAAGAAGACTTTAACTGCGAAGGATGTGACATCAATAGGGGTGTCAATTCGGGTTCGGTTTTTCGGGTTTACCCAAAACCGACCCGATTATATACATTTTCGGTTTTTCAGGTTTGGGTTCGTTTCGGGTTTCGGATTTTTCGGCTTCGGATTTGGTTTTTCTTATCGGTTTTTCGGGTTCCGACTAAAAACCTTTAATGAACCGTATTTTTAGGCGTTTGGGTTTTTGGGTTTTGGTTTTGCTTTAACCGAACCCGATAAGGAATTTTTGGGTTTCGGGTAACCGGAACCCGTAACTCCTTATCGGGTTCGGATTCGGTTTTAGTGATTTTCGGTTTCGAGGTAACCGAACCCGACCCGAACTGACACCTCTAGACATCAATAACCACCATACATTAATATTATAGATCCAATATCACAATATACTTCTCCATAGAAAACATTCTCAAACTACGTTACCACCATCAATGTCTCTTACCCTTACCCAACTTATATTATACTAATAGAACAATCCATACTACGACTACCACAATAGTCGCGGCGGCGGACGATCACGATCGATCGCAAACAAAGAAGCTAGAACCGAGCCGCCAGATTCGGCTGCGTAGGCGGCACCTTGGCGTTGAGGAACCGGACGAAGACGACGCTGCCGTCGAGCACCAGGTACTCGCTGATGAGCCTGTCCTCGTCGTCCATCGCCGCCATGGCGGGGCCGTGGTGCAGCATCATCCCGCCGGTCGTCCTCCACCCCAGCCTGTCGGCCACCATGCGCTTCAGCTGCCCCACCGTCGCCGTCTCCATGCACTGCACCGCGTCCCCCCACTGCGGGTACTGCGGGGCCTCCAGCGCCACGGTGATGGGCACCGTCGTGTTGGGCTCGACCACCAGGTCCATCAGCACCATCTGGTCCGGGCCCACGTTGTAGGACTCCAGGGTGCGGTCGTCGGCCAGCGGGCCGCCCGGGGCCCAAAGGATGGTCTGCCTGGCGACGGGGACGCCGTAGAGGGACTGGATCGCCTGCTTCACCTGTCGGATCGTCGACGTGTTGAGGATGTCGAACCGGATCGTCAGCTGCGTCCCACCAAACTCCAAGGTCGCCGGCATCCTTGCTTCTTCCTTCCTTTTCCTTGCTAGTTCTATTTTTTACTGCTGCTTAGCGATCGATTTGCGCTCCGTTAATTGCATGTGAGGTGTTGGTTCGGGGAGTACGTATTATTATATATAAGTAAGTCATGCATTAGTTGATGAAAATAGTTTCATTGTGCTGGGAATTCGTTACGAACGGAGTCTCGAAGGAGTGAGCTTTGTCGTGATGATATGAAATGGCGAATGCATGCATGCATTCATGGAAGTGTTCTTATTTTGCAACTATAACAAGCTAGTACTCTACACACATATATAGGTGCGAAATACGAAATGTCTGAACATGGATGGAGGCAGGTAGAGGTGCCACTGACTAGGGCGGGTAGTGGAGACTCTGGATTGTTCGGAGAGGTGTATTGCGGATAAAGTTTGCAACGTTATGTTTACAACGAGCCACAATGACTTTTTATATCCTGAAATGATATGTTGCATAAATCAAACTTTTATCAATATATACAAAACCAAACGTTCATAAATGGGCGGGTTATTCGACCGATTTCAAAAATCGTAACTGGTTATTTTCATAGCTAGAATATAAAGTATGCATAATAGACGACAACGAGTTGACGTGGTATCCTCGATCGATGATTCGATCGAGACTAATCAATGGGAGAGTTGATGCTCTTCTGCTTAACGATTTCACAGCTCAGCTTCCCGCCGGAGTGGTCCTCCGCTCAGTTCGGAGTCCCACGGAGATATTCAGGAAGGAGGAGCATCATCCCAATATCGCGTTACGGAATTGGAGATCGAATGATGCAATTGCCACCTCAAAACCAAATATGCTCTTGTTTTTTAGTTTATGAGATGAATGTACTTTGCGGTCATAAATACAATTGTGGTCAAAACCACACCAAATTGCTAAGTTATGCGTTTCGGGCCAATTACACCAATTATGAGAAATTTTACTATGCTTTAAAGCATGTTGCTTTCGTTTTTACTGTTATTATACAGCTTGAAATTGTACTTTTAACATTATGGTATAACTTCATGTTGTACTTATAGAGTTATACTCTTTTGTACAAATCCTTACTATACAACCTGAATTTATTTCTTTATGTTATGGTACAACTTGAAATTGCACCATAACATAAAAATACAAATTCTTTTATGGTACGACATGAAACTGTACTTTTAACATTATATTACAACTTCAAATTGTACATTAAGGCACCAATGCATAATAGAAATACTCCACCAATTAGTTTGCGGTCATATAGGGTAAAATACCCAAGATGCCACTTAAGTTTACAAATTGGTGAAGGCGTGCAACTTTACTTTATTTAGGTATCGGATATTACTAAACGCATTCTTTTTGCACCAAATTCCATTTAACTTTATGTTAATTATATTGCATTCCATTAGAGTTGACAATTTTTTTTTAGAGATATTATGTTCTCTAAATTTCAAAAATAGCCCATTTTCTTTTCCTTTTTACCATTTTTTTTAGTTAAGGATGATATATATATTATTAAAAGAGAAAAGTAACAACAGAGAACAGGGTGGTCCTTTTTACCATTTTTTAACTTAAGGAAATCATTATCTTTGAAATATTTCTACTTCGCAATAGTTCTAATACCAACAATTGCGAGACAACTCCTTCCTAGGAACTACTCAGAGATATTTTGTAAAGTAAGCTAATTTAAATTTTTACGCTCTCGTTGAATTTTATCAAGCCAAATCTTATCTTATGCATTGTAATTCACTCGCCTTTCCCTTGGGATACATGCATTTCATAATAAATATTAAGAAAAACAGCTGAATTTATAACCACTTTTAACCAGTTATTTTTATAAACGAAGATAATTATGTTTAAAGTCTTGTCGCCTACTGGTAACAAGTTTATATTGAATATTAGATCATCTGCTTAAATCAAGATTTCCTTTATTAAATTCATAGATTTTCAATGGTCGTTTGCTAAGTAGCTAGTATTAGAATTTTGGGCTATATTTGACTTTCATTTAAAAAACATAAAGCTCTTCTTGGTTTCCCATGTTTATCTATGAAGAAAATAACTTTTAATAAAGTTTTGATGACCAAAATGAAATTAAATTTTGGGCGAGATGGATGCACTTTTATAACACTTTTACTGATACTCGAAGCCCTATTTGGATCGTTTGGATGAGGTACTTTGATGAGTTATTTCGGTGAAATGTCACAATATTTGAATGTTTTTATCCAAACAAGACAATATGACTAATTACCACATTCCAAACTGTAATACCACATGAAAATGTCACATAACAAAATAATGCAGCATTTTGATTCGAATATACTATTGTACCAAAATGATGCATCCAAACGGATTTTATGTGGTATAACTGTACCAATTTTCAAACTTAACCGATACGAGGAATATTTTACACCAACACCCAACAGCCAACACCCACCGTTAGTTTAAACTGCACAAGTGGATATCTTATCACTAAACACCATAAATAACTCAAACTGATCGTTTAGACTTTTAGATAATTATTAATTAATAATTACCCACAAATTCTTCAATAGAATCACAAGTTCACAAGTCACAACCCAGACCTCCCGTTTCCGGAAACGCCATCGTGGCGCGAGCTGGCGGCACTTTGACGACCAAAACAATTACACGCAACAGAATTCGCGGTGTCTCTCCCTCGTCTTCCTCTCTCTCTCTCTCTCTGTAGGTCTCTTCCTGTCGTTCTGTTCAGGTGCCGGAAAACTGCAGCTGCAAAGAGCTGCCCATCTCCAATTCCTCTCTTGCGCACAATCCGGATATCCAAGTGCTGGCGGGACGTAATTCTTCCGCGGATCCGTCCTCTATCTTTTTTCTGGTTCGCAGTAGAATTAGAGGGAGGACGGGAGATTGAGTCAGAGGTAGAAGGGCTGGAGAAAGGGTGAATTTTAGGGTTTAGAAATAGATTAGAAGCTCAGCAAAATGAAGCCCATGGAGACAATTCAGGATCTGATTGAGGAGGCGAAGCTTCGAACCGTGTGGTGGGGGTTGTGCATCTTCGCCGTTACATACTTCTTGTCTCGTGAGTTCCCTTTCTCCTGTATAAAATTTAGCGGTTCTAGTTTATGTTGTCTTCTTTGGTTGGTTTTAGGATTAGGATAGTTGAATTATGGCTTACCGAATTCTGTTTTGGCGAGTAGACATTGTTAATCGTTGAACTTGGATGGATCCCAATTTGGTGAAGCTTTGAGTTTAGTTATGATGAACGCCGAATTTCTAACGCTATTTGTTGTCGTGGTGCTGTTGACTTTTGTTATGCAATCATTTGCTCTGGTTGCTGGCGGTTGATGGAGTAAAATGTAGTGCTCAGTCAAGTGCATTCTTTGTCATGTTGCCGAAATTCTAAGCCATCCATGTCAAGGTTTTCATTTTATGAGGTTGATGTGCTAACAATTATGGTTTTGCTAAATTTCAGATACAAGTTCGTCGATGTGGATTAACCTCCCGATGTCGATACTCTTAGTTTCAGCATTAAGGATATTGTCTAATGAAGTAGAGTTCTATTGGAAACCCCGGAACAAAGTCCGCCCACAATCGTATTTGTCTCATTTGGAGAAGAAGCAGTTATCCATAAATGACTCTCGGCTTTCTTCTGCACCACCGGCTCCTAGATGGAGGAGGAAAATTGATTCTCCCATCGTGGAGGCTTCGGTCAATGACTTCATTGATAAGATAATGAGGGATTTTGTGGTGGATCTCTGGTACTCTGAAATTACACCAGACAAGGAAGCCCCTGAGTTGATCCGCGCAGTAATTATGGATGCTCTTGGCGAGATATCAGGGAGGGTTAAAGAAATTAACCTTGTTGATCTTTTAACAAGGTATTGCATGAGTCTTGTTGTTTATTTGGCTCATCATAATATAATGCTTTATGTTGTTGCTTGGGATTCTGAAATCAAAGCATAAGGTGTGGAAGCCTATCAGATGGAATTTGATGAGGGGTTTGTACTGCAGGGATATACTTGATTTAATAGGAGATCACTTGGACCTTTTTAGACGAAATCAAGCTGCTATTGGTGTTGATGTAATGAGAACTCTCTCAACGGAGGAGCGAGATGAGAGATTAAAACACCATCTAATGGAATCTAAGGAGCTTCATCCAGCTTTGGTATCTTCAGAGAGTGAGTACAAGGTGTGAGTGGAGTGTTCTGATGATTACCTTTCCCCCTTTCTCATATCTTGATTGTGATTCATAAACCTCAATTGTTGCATTTCTTTTTTCTTCCAAAGGTTCTTCAGCGGATAATGGCTGGGGTTTTGGCCGTAGTGCTAAGACCTCGAGAAGCTCAATGCCCCTTGGTAAGGACTATTGCCCGAGAGATTGTGACTTGCTTGGTAATGCAACCTGTTCTGAATCTTGCAAGCCCTGTGTAAGTAATCTTTTCTTTTGTTCCCCCTCTCCATGAAGCTTTTGCCATATTCTGAGGTTCTCTTTTTTAAAAGGGATGGAATTTTTTGTCATAAAATAATTGGTTTCTTGTTTAATTTCATTTTCTTCTGTCTGAAGATTGTAAAATGTGAGTATTAATATGAGTAAAATGTTCGATTAAAGATTGTGTTATTCCTTATGTCCATTTAGAATATCATTATTGTCATGGTAGCCACTATCTCAAAGATTATCTTTAGGATGAACCATTATTACATAATAATCTTTCGGCGATCCATTGTTTCAGTCTCACATTCTTCATTTGTAATCCTGATCGTTTACCCAATTAATACTCTATGCTACTGGTCAAGTGGCTGTGGATATTTTCTGGAGAGGAAGTACTTGATGTATTTGCTCAGCCAGTTGAAACCTAGATGGTGTAATCATCCTTGCTGTGTTTGCTATGTCTCTATTAAAGTAATCGTCAAATGGCATCTCACATTTCATATCTCCCTGGCTGTTGCCCTGGTGTTGTTAAATCCGCTTCGTTCCAGATGTGAATCATAAATAAGTTGCCTATACAAAGTGTAGTAACCCACAATTTTTTCTGAAAACAGGTACATCAATGAGGTGATTGAATACATTTTGCTTGCCGTGTTAGATAATAACCCTAAGGACACAGGAAGTGATCAGGCCACTGGAGTTGCAAGTAGTGGAGCATCGGTCTTGCGGAAAAATGCTTCATTCGATCCTTCCAGTGGTGTGGCCCCAACTAAGACTGGAATGCATGAAGACACCTCAATGGGTGATGGTGTAGCCCACCCAGACTCTCCACCCCATGCTGATTGGGGGAAAATGCTAGAGGCTGCTACACAGAGAAGAACTGAAGTTCTCACACCTGAAAATCTTGAGAATATGTGGACTAAAGGTAGAAATTATAAGAAAAAGGATAATAAGATTGCGAAAGCTGGTGGCCTGCGGGCTAAGTCAAAGGTGTCTTCAATGAGCAATGCTGAGTTCACTTTCAGTACGGAGAAAGAATCACCAACTTCCAGCACTGTGATTCAGAAAACAACAGATGGAAAAGTTGGTGAGTGCCTAATGCCTCAACTAAGTCTTGATAATTCCTTAATCAATGAGAAGAAAAATGAAAAGCATTTTATAGCTGGTCGGTGTATGGATTATACTTTGGCTGGAGCTGATACTATTGATGAATTTGAGACTCCTACCAAGCCTTCTATGAATGAAAATGGAACTAAGCTTAAGCGGTCAAGTAGCACCTCTGCTCTGAAAGACCAGCCTGAAAAGAAAAGAGCAATAGAAGGGGAACATGGAGGTTCCATTATTTCAGAATACTACAATGCAGAGTTTGTTGGGCATGCTTCGGATCCTGCTGTTAAGATCATTCCTGATAAAGTATTGCACAGTGATGAGGCTACTGTTCCGAAGCTGAGATCCCGGGTAACTGTTATTTCATGAGAAATTTTTTGAGGTGGAGAGACTGTAACATCAGTCCTAAAGCCTGGAATCTACCCAACATACGGCTGCTTACAGCTACCTTGAATGAAATTCATTCCATTTGTTCATCCTGTTTGGGCAGGTCATGGGAGCGTACTTTGAGAAGCTTGGGTCAAAGTCCTTCGCAGTTTATTCAATCGCAGTGACGGATGCAGATCAGAGAACTTGGTTTGTGAAAAGAAGGTATTTTATCGGGGGAAAAAAAAAAGAATTCTTGAAACAGTTCTATTTATTTCTTGATGCTGGGTTCAGTTTGCTTTCTCTGTTCCCAGACTTTTATCAGTTCGTTATAAAATTATGAAAACTGGCTAGAATGTGAATCTAAGATATATTAGCATCTCTTTCATTTTCTCTAATTCATGAATATCTTACCAAAATTTTTCTTGCAGATATAGTAATTTTGAGAGGTTGCACAGACAACTTAAAGACATTCCTAATTACACCTTGCATTTGCCTCCCAAAAGGATCTTCTCATCGAGCACAGAGGATGCTTTTGTTCATCAACGCTGTATTCAGCTTGATAAATATCTCCAGGTAGTGTTCACTACGCCCTTTGACATTCTTAATTACAGTGTTTACCTATTATTGATTTTTTATTGTGTACATCTTGTAGGAATTACTGTCCATAGCTAATGTGGCTGAGCAGCATGAAGTTTGGGATTTTCTAAGTGCTTCGTCTAAGGTGTGACATCTGTTTCAAAAGTTGCTATCTCATTCTGGGTTATTTTCTGCTTTTTTTCCTGGTTCGTTGAAACACTGGGTCAGGATTCTAATCCTCTTTTCACATGTTCTGAAGAATTACTCTTTCGGGAAATCTTCTTCAGTGATGAAAACCCTGGCAGGTATGTGATGCATCTTGGGACTTCGTTCTTGCTGAGCTTTCCAATAAGATCTTCTTCTGCTACTGTTACACTTTTTTTTTTAATGTATCTGTTCTTTGGTGGTTCATATGATCTGGTTTGTCTGGTAACTTTTCCTTGTTTCCTTGCTTTGCACGTCATGTCTTCAGCCTGCAAGTATAAAATTTTAATCCCTTGGCAGTTTCAATATCTGAGACCATCCTGCTATCTTTCTCGTGGTTGAGTTTTCTTGTCTATGTTGGCAGAGTTATAAATGTTTACAAGAGTGTTGATGGGTTTATTCAATTATTTGAGTCATTACTGATCTGATTTTGCTTTTGAAAATTAACAGTCAATGTGGATGATGCTGTGGACGATATTGTGCGGCAATTTAAAGGGGCTGGCTGGATGCGTAAAGTTGTCGGTTCAACTTCCCAAATGGATGATTCCAGTTCTCCAAGCTATAGCAGGAATTTGAATTGGAATTTAGATGAGACGATTAAGCCTGCATATATGCAAGATACCGTTACGGAAAACAGCTCTTCTGATAATGATGACAGTCATCATCAAGAGGACCAAGACCAAGAGGATGTGGGACCCGGTGCACAAGCTAGTGGTTGGCATTCAGATAATGAAGTGGAATCGAGGACTTTGCCAAGCCGAGTGATGAAACGGGATGATGAGATGTCAAAGAGCTTAAATCTAAAGCAAACTGATGACTCCATTATAAAATCTGATGGTAGTAAACAAGGTCGGCCTTCGGCAGTGACTTCTGCCTTAGGATCTACTCGCTTAGAGGATCCAGTTGGTATGCCACCTGAGGTACTGTTTCTTGCATCGAGTTTGACTTGGCTACTGGTTCTGGCTGGTTACACAAGATAGATTGATTTTTTACTGGTTGGAGTTGCTAACATGTTACTTGGTATAGCTAGGTTTAGTTAAGATTTGGTTTTGCTACTTGGCCTTTTCTCTTCAGTTAGGAATCTTGCTAGTTGGTATTTTTTATTTGCTCAATTGTCATGATTATGTGAACTTCTGCTATGGAAATCGTGTTGGTTATTAGCTTGCTGATTTTTGTTCTCCTGTTGATTTTACCCTTCCTCTGTTCTCCCAGTGGACGCCACCTAACGTCAGCGTGCCCCTGTTGAATCTAGTTGACAAGGTGTTTCAGCTTAAGAGAAGAGGTTGGCTGAGGTTAGCTAATCTATTGAACTCTAAACAAATAAATGCGAAGTTTGAGTACCCTGTATCTTGCTTACTTTGCCCATGCGTATTACATTCTATTTAATTCCCTGCCTCTTGGAGTCTCTTATTCAGTAGCAGGTCAATAGACATGTTAAAACTGCTCCAACTTTATCAAAGAAAGATGTATGTATTTGTTCCCCTCATTCAACTTATGAAGGCTGAATTTAATGGGCGCAGGAGACAAGTGTTTTGGATGTCCAAGCAAATTGTGCAATTGATAATGGAAGATGCCATCGATGACTGGCTCCTGAGGCATATTTATTGGCTTCGGCGAGAGGAAACTATAGCCGTAGGGATTCGATTGGTGCAAGATGTAAGTCGTTGTCTCTGCAATTTGTAGTAATCTCTGTGGTTCATATGTAGAGTTACGTTTGCCGTAGGCGATCTCCCTGTTCTTCTTCTGATGGTTTAAACTTTTCCAGATTCTTTGGCCAAGTGGAACTTTCTTCACAAGAATTGGGGTTGCTCCTCAAACTCAAGCTGCTGATGAAGCTCCAGAAAATCTGAATTCTTTTCAGATGGGCCAGTTTGGTGGCAACAGCAAGGCACCCAAGCAAATTTCATTTGAGGAACAACTTGAAGCTTCCCGCAGAGCAAATTATATCAGGAAAACACTCTTTGGTGAGACTCGACGAAATTCTTCACTCTATTCATGTTTCTGATTAGTGATAATTAGTATCTTATAGCAGCTTATTCCCGTTTCTAGTTCTGTCCAGAAAGTAACAAATCATACGGTTTTCTTCAACTTGACGAAGACGCTACCTGTTGCTTAAGTTTTCAGTCCATTATAATGTTAACTTGGAAATTATAGCTTCTAATTTTCTTCCCCTTTGTCGTTAGATGGAGTCCCAACAGCCTTAGTCAGCTTGATTGGTGCGAATCAGTACAAGCGCTGTGCACGAGATATCTTCTACTTCACTCAGGTTATATATTTGACGCTATATTTGTTATATTCCATGCTGCATTTGTTTCTATACTAACTGAGAATCCCCGTGTTGCGTAAAATGCAGTCTACTATCTGCATAAAGCAGCTCGCGTATGCAATTCTCGAGCTCTTACTGGTGACGGTCTTCCCTGAGCTCCGGGATCTTCTGCGAGAACTTCATGAGAAGATGCCCGTCCCTACCCCTGCTTAGTGTAGAGAACCATCAGTTCCTTTTTTTGCAGCGATAAAGTTGACCAAGTTAACATGATGCCAGTGGTCGCCAACTGAGGTCGACGGAGTCATCAACGATTGATTGCCGCGGTCATGCCAGTTGGGGCGGTTATGCGCGAAACAGCAGAGGGACTAGGGTTGGGAGAGGCTATAATGTAATTACCAGGGAATAGTTTTGTTGGCTTGGTGAGGTTGTGGAAGGTCGGATGGTTCATTCTTGATGTACAGAAATGTACATTTTTGTTCAGCTATATATTTTGTATAGAAGAAGACACAGGACAGGAGAGCCTCAGACTGGTTTTGTGTGAATACCATGCTTTCTTTTTTCTGGCCTTTTTCCAAATGCTTCGATCACAACTTCCAACTTAGTAGACAGCAGTACTATGTAAGAAAAAAGTTGAAGTGTGTTTTATCAGATGTTAAATTTAAGTGTAAATATTTTGACGTTGACTTATATGTTGTATTCAAGTATGATCATGTTTCATTTTGATATAATGTCATTTTTTAATTGGGTTAAAGACACATTTGGTCGATTACAAAATCGGGACATGTTTAGTCACTAGAAAAAGTTAATATCAAATTTGGTCACTACAATTACTAAAACTGGACGCATTTAGTCACTCGCCGTTAGTCTCCGTCCAACTCCGTTAATGAAGTCCGTTAAGTGATGATGTGGCAAACAAAATTGCCTAATCAGCCGGATATAACCCAACAAAAATAAAACCCGACCCGCCACGTCATTAAAACCAACCCAACCCAACCCCACCCCACCCAACCCTTCTTCCTCACCAAATCTGTTCGTCTCCTCTGACAAAACCTCACCGAATATCAAAACCTCAACAAATGGCCGACGAACCTCCGCCCTCCGCCGCTCCTCCTCCTCCACCCCCTCAATCCGCCGTAGAAGAGCTCCCGGTAGCACCGCCACCGCCGCCGGAGCAAGCCCCAGCTGCTGCGGTTTCCGCGGAGGATTCATCCGCCGCACCGCCGCCAGAGGAGGAGAAGAGAGCACAAGTAGAAGGGGCGCCGGTGAAAGCCGAAGTGGTCGCGAAATCGGTGGTAATCAAAGAGGACTTCACCGGCGAGCCGGAGAAGAAGGAGAAATTGAAGGTTCCGGAGTCTCTGATCTCGTTCAAGGAAGAGAGCAATCGAGTCTCTGATCTGTCCGATTCAGAGAAGAAGGCTCTCGATGAGTTCAAGCAGCTGGTCCAGGAAGCTCTGGACTCTTGCTCCTTCACCTCTCCTTCTCCTCCGCCGCCGCCAAAGGAGGAGATTCGGACTTCCTCTTCCGCCGCTACCACCGCCGCTGCTACGGAAGCTCAGAAATCTGAAGATCAAAGCTCCAATGTCAGCAAAGAGATTACTCCATCGGCCGCTGAAAAGCTAGAAGAAGAAGCTACTCCAGCAAAGGAAGAGCCTGCGGCAGCTGCTGCTTCCTCTTCCTCGTCAGCTGAGGTATCAATTTGGGGGATTCCGCTGCTGGAAGACGACAGAAGCGACGTCGTTCTGCTGAAGTTTTTGAGAGCTAGGGATTTCAAAGTGAAGGAAGCATTCACGATGCTGAAGAACACGATCCAGTGGAGGAAGGAATTCAAAATCGACCCAACCCATAATCAAAGATGAATCCTCCGCAGAAACCGCAGCAGCTGGGGCTTGCTCCGGCGGCGGTGGCGGTGCTACCGAGAGCTCTTCTACGGCGGATTGAGGGGGTGGCGGAGGAGGAGCGGCGGAGGGCGGAGGTTCGTCGGCCATTTGTTGAGGTTTTGATATTCGGTGAGGTTTTGTCAGAGGAGACGAACAGATTTGGTGAGGAAGAAGGGTTGGGTTGGGTCATGGGTTGGGTTGGTTTTAATGACGTGGCGGGTCGGGTTTTATTTTTGTTGGGTTATATCCAGCTGATTAGGCAATTTTGTTTGCCACATCAGCACTTAACGGACTTCATTAACGGAGTTGGACGGAGACTAACGGCGAGTGACTAAATGCGTCCAGTTTTAGTAATTGTAGTGACCAAATTTGATATTAACTTTTTCTAGTGACTAAACATGTCCCGATTTTGTAATCTCAGTGACCAAATGTGTCTTTAACCCTTTTTTAATTTATTATATTTTTATCTAAGTGTGAATACTGGAAAATTGTTAATTTGAAATAATTCATTACCTATGTAGAGTATAATTGTTTTTACTATATATTCGGGTTAAACTGATTAATAGGAGTAGATATGGTGTTAACATTTGAAGTTGTACCATCACATAAAGGTACAAGTTCAAGTTGTACCATAAAAGAATTTGTACAAAAAGTATAAGTACAACTTCATATCTACTTCTCATTTCCCTTATAAAATTTCTCTTATAGTATTTATCCTTTCTCATCTTCCCTTCTCCTCTCCTTCCATTTACGTTGTTTTTCTATATTTTACTAGCATGGGCCCCGGCCATTTGGTCGGAGGAATGTGAGGTATGAAATTTGATAATGTAATGGAGTGTATAGCTTATTGTTGTATAGTTTTTTTGGGAAACACGTGATAAAAATAGTGAATTTTAATAGGAAAGATACATGAATGATGAAACGAATAAAAAATCAGCCTTATGAACCAAAATCAAGTACCTGTTACCTTGTGAAATAATATTGTTTCTGGTAATATGATGAGGTGGAGTAAGTTTTATAGAAACCGAATTCCAGAAAATCGAATAAAAAATCGCCTATCCCGCCGGTTTTTGGGAAATGAGCATCTCACAATCGTTGCTAGCTTTTACTCAACCTGTTGGCCGATTAATTTGTTTTATAAAACTTTGACCTTGTCATAATTGTGCTTTCTGGTTTTTTGCCAAGCCATGATAAAATCTAAAGAAATCAATAATGAACAACACGATTTGGGATATGAACCACCATTCCTGTATCCCTAGAAAGTGGTGGCAAACACGGACTCACCTCCCAAACTGTTTTGGATTTAGATTTTTATCGGGTATTAGGGAACCATGTGATTATAAATTAGACTTGATCAAAACAGGCCAAAACTTGAAATTCAGCCTGTTTGACCGACCCATGCCAAACTCTAATTATTCTTTACTTTTAAACTTTCTATTTGAAAATAAAAAAAATAATGAAAAGAAAAGAGATGACTGCAATTCGCCATTTGCACATCACTGATTCGTGAATAAAACTATAGAATTTCGAAAGGAAACTGAAAATGTTTAGGATTCGTTTTAATGTTAAAAATAACCAAATAGATCTTTCTGTTTAGTTATTTTACTAACAAATACCAAACGATTCCCTATAATATACACTATAATTTAATCATTATGATATCAATTAATACAGAAGAACATGATAGGCTTCTGGGTAACTGGCAGAAGGAATGGACTTCGTCCGTGGATGGATATGGACATATGGTGAAGATGGGAAGCGCCTACTTGATCCAGTGAATGGACAAACAAACCTGTCACCAGTGCAGGTTGGTGATAGGTTTTCCCCTTATGCAGTTTACTGTGTCAAGTCTGCAATTTCATTTTTGAGCAAGATAACGTAGAAGAATGAACGAAAATATCCCTTCAACTTCTGCCAAAACTTCCTCAAACCAAAATTGGAAGTAATCAATGAATAATCAAATTTTCAGTGTCTAAATTACATAGCTGATTTGTGAGGTAAAAAAGCCTTTTACATGAACAGATTCTCCTTTACATTGGAGTACAGCCCGTAAAGAGAATACTGCCCGAGGCTGGAAACCTCGTACCAAGAGTTGAGCGTTTCCAGGTACTTGTCAGTACCCGAGAATGCTAACTGTATGTTGATCTCGCAATCAACAGATCCGCCATGGCTCCTACACTTCTTGGTTGGAATTGCACAGTCCTGTTCATTCAGGCAGCGGAACTCACCAGAGCACGAACCACACCCGAATTTCTTCCAGTACAAGTTTACAAGGGTACCCGTCTGGAACTCAAGAACCTGCAGGAGAAATATTGCGTCCAGAAAAGCAAAGAAGAGATCTTCAGCAATACTACTACAACTACACAGGAACAAGAGACAGATCAGACTTTTCCCGTCGCGCCGCGCGGTTTCTCTTACCAAAGTGAAGCTGGTTATGCTCATGGTACCATCAGCCACAAGAGTTGGAACTGATCTCGCTGCAAAGTTCCTCCCAGCAAATGCTACCATGAACCCACCTGCCTTTGCCTTAAGGGTTCAAAAATCACACAGACAGAACACAAAAAGGTATGCAATTCATTTCTCTAAATTATTTAACATTCCATCATCTGCAGATAATCATAATAGGCATTGGAACGATGATCAATTGATCAAGGATTGTGCAAGCGTACCGGATCGAACGTGGTGCTGTTGATGGTGAGCAGCGAGAGCTGGTCGACCTGCGGGCGAAACACGGCGAGCTGAGCATGCTTGGACGCCAAGGCGAGTCGCCTGTCACACGGGGAGAACTGAACCTCCCCCGCGAAGAAGGAAGCGTTGGCGGCGAATGCCAGGCCGAAGGAGAAGCCGTCGGACTTCGCCACGGTGGCGTCGGAACACGGATCGAAGACAGGGTTGCTTTCGTCGGCTGCATTCGCCATGTTCGTCGCGGACAGCAAGGTAGCCAATATGGTTATGGTGAACGCCATTCTCGTCCTCTCGAGCTCCCGCATTTTCCCCATCACGTCTAGATAAACCGCCACGATGCAACACGTAAAAGGTGATTGAAATGAATTTGGTCCTGATGATGATTTGTACGAGACAATGGAGATCAAAGGGAAGGCAAAATTGACATGATTTGTTTTTTGTGTTTCTGTTATGAATTCGTGGGTTTTAGGATCCGCCATGAATGGAGAATCTGGAGATTTGAGACAAATGGAGATTGGACGAATTAGTGGTGACTGGGTGTTGGATTGGAAGGAAGACCTTTATTTGTTGCCTTGTTCTAAGGAGAAAGTGGGAGTTACTGTTTTTCGGTTTTCTCGTTACTTTGCTTTTTTCCTCATTGATCGTTCACAATTTGGATATAAAGCATGGGGTGATGTTGTTTAAAGAGAGCTTGATTTCAAGTAATTATTTACACATTAATCAATCCAATAATTGAGATTGTGTTTTTTTTTTTCAATTCAATGATATTAGCCCAATTGATTTCGTAAACATATTTTTTCAAATTTTTAAATGAAAAAGGGAAAATGAAAATTCCAGAGTTAATTTTAGTCCGTCAAAGTGGTTATAGCGTTGAGATTCATCTTAAAAGCACGTCGAATGTGATTAAGTTAGCTCTACAAAGAGCATTCACATCGATACAATTGCAAAATTCATTGCATATTTTCTTTCAATAGTCGTTTCGACAACTTATGCAATCCAACTCATATTAATTTCATTGAATCTACATCAATGCAATTCACTTGCAATTGCATACGTGCTTAACTCTAGAAAAAAAAATAATTATATTGCAGAAGCACATCATTCCCCCTTTCCATAACTTTTTTTAGAGTATCTCGATCGTCATAAAATCAGCTCCTCCTCCATCTTCGACAACCATTGCCATTAATCCTACTGAACCAACTCCAATTCAAGCTGCTTTTACTCAACCAACTCCATCTCTAGCTACTACAAAGGAGCCAAAGCTTTCTACCAAAAAAAAGAAGGAGCCAAAGCAGTACAAAATAAGGCCTAATGCCTATGATGAGCTATAATTTGTGGAAGATCCCAGAAAAAACAAATGAGGAAGGTGAGAGTTTGTTTTGCAATAAGGTGCTTGCTATTGATAAAGAAACAATGATACTTGTGCTCTCCATAAACATACAACGATGTGTAGGAAAAAGAGGAAAGAAAGAAGGTTCTCAAATGCGGTTAAACTTGCACCAGATGATGAAAGGGTGTTATCTTTAACCAATTTGAAATTTGAGCAAGGGGAAAGTCAGAATTGCATTAGTTGGAATGATCATTAAGGATGAGTTATGTTCATAGGGTAGGTTTTAACGGATTTTGTCTTGCTGCTTGCCCAATGTTCAAGATTTATGGAACGAAGTCTATTAGATAAGATTGTTTCAAGTTGTTGGTTAACGAGAGGGTGAAGTTGGAGGATTATTTCAAGTAACGGTGTGTTGGGAGGGTTCTCGTACTACAAATTATTGAACGTTTGTGCAAAATCTCATTTAGTTGTTTTAAATGCTCATTTTCTTGGGAATGATTGGAAATTGCACAAGAAAATTATAAGCTTTCGTCTCATTTCCAGTCATAGGGGAATTAATGTTGGGGCTACAATTGTTGATTAGTTAGTGGAGTGGACTACGAAGGACGTTTTCCCTATCACTATGGATAATGGTTAGTGCGAATGACACTGAAATAGATTATTTGAAGGAGAAACTGATTGATTCTTATGATTAGTGTTAAGGATGAGACTTATTTGCATATGTGTTGGTAGCACATATAATAAATTCAATTTTCAGGGACGGGTTGGAAGAAATTGGGGTGTCGGTGGTTCAGATTAGAGAAGCGGTGAGGTGGGTTCATGTCTCACCCTATAGGCTGTTTAAGTTCAATAATTGTGTGAACTTTCCATCATACAAGTCCAAGAAGATTGTGTTTGGAAGTTTCCACTAGATGAAATTCCAACTATTTGATGTTGGAGGCAGTAGAGAAGTATGAGAAGGAATTTAAGACACTTTCAAATAGAGAATATCGGTTCCTAGCTAAGAAGTACAAGGGTCAACCAATTGTTCCTCCAACTAAGGCTGATTGGGAGAGTCAAGAAATTTGTGCAAGCACTGATTACTTATATGAGCTCACCTTGCTGGTATACGAGGCAAAGCATGTGCCTTCTCATCTCCAAGGAAGATTTGTCATGTTTTTTTCCAAATTCAGCAAATGTAGAGGACTGAAGAGGAAAAGGCGAAGAATATGACTTCGAGGATGCATGTCAAAGTAAATAAATTTTGGTACGAGAGTGAGTATGAAACTCAAGCATGAATATGCTATTTTACTTGGCTATGAGGTTTGATCCTAAGCGTAAAGATGCATTATCATATTCATATGTATACACATTGAGAAAGTTATATGAAGAAACAAAAGGGGACGAGTTGGTGGAGGACTTGAATGTAGAACTTACTACTTTGTTTAAGTATTATGAAAGCATGGTGAGTCATTCAACTTCTAGAGAGGTGACTCAATTTGAAGTTGGTTAAGGTTCTTCAATGACAAAGGAGGTTGAGGTGCCTACTTTGGCAACTCCGAATGTAATAACCACTACTTTTGATGATGATACTTCAAGGAATGAAGCTTGTGTTGAAGCAAGTGAGTTGGAGAAGTACTTGGCTGGACTTCATGAAAGAGATGTGAAGAATCCGAAATATGACGTCTTAATGTGGTGGAAGAACAATGCGATGAGGTATCCAGTTTTGATTGAGATTGCCAAAGATATACTTGCTGTTACCATATCAAATGTTGCTTTAGAGAGTGTTTTTAGTATTGGATCTCGTGTGTTGGATTCTTTTAAAAGTTCTATGATACCCAAAACTGTGGGGACTCTCATATGCATCAAAGCTTGACTGGAAAATTCGACATTACCTATCGAGAATAAAGGTTTGGAGGAGCTTGAAGAATTTGAAAAATGGTATCTTTCTACATTAGGATATCTTAACTTCTTAATTCCTATCATCGTTGAATCTGCCACTTAGAAGTTAGGATGGTTAATTGAGTTAGAATTTGGGTACTAATTGGGTTTTGTTCTAATTTTGGTTCACGATTCGGTTTGTGTTATTGTCTGCCGTTACACCAACATAAATAATATACTAAATGGGTTATTCGGTTCAACACGAGTAACCACAACATCACAAAAACCGTAACATTCGAATTTTCGGGTAACCTCAATGGTATTGATGCCGATTGCTACAAAAAAAGGTATCGATTCGAGTTCCAGCAATCGACCAATTCGATTCGATTAACTGAAATCGACCCGATTGCCAACCCAAGTAAATGCTTTTAGTTAAAAATTAAATCTAAAGATGAAGGTAGCTGCATTTTTTTTTTGTTGTTGGTAGAATTAGAATCATTTTCATTTTTGAATTGTCGATTAGTGAAAAATGTGTTTCTCCGCTGGGGAATTCGTTTCACCAATCCAAATCACCCGACCTCTGATGCCATATTGCACGTGCAAGTCACGAAGAAAAGTACAAAGCAAAACCAAGGACAAAAATAAATGTCTGGGTGGAAAAAAAATAATTAAAAATGCAAACCGAGTCAGCCAAACTGAGTTGCGCCGAACCGGGTGGGGATCCGATTCGGAAGGGGGTGAGTTACTGAGTGGGACAGGAAATGAGGGAGAAAGCCAACTCGTTCATTCAACTTTTTAGGTCAAGTTGTGTATTTTAAGGTTTAAAAAGCACTGTTGACTGTAGCTGTAAGGCGAGCAGTTGGTGGGGAGTGAGGTAGGGAAGAAAGCCGAGCTCTGGGGTTTGGCTGATTGGGGGAAAGGAAAGGGAAGAGAGGAAAAAGAGAAGAGATTCAGAGGAGGAAGAAGAAGAAGAAGCGTTTTGGTGGTGGCTGGCTGGCGGTGGACGGCGGTGGTGGTATAGATCTGAAGACCGCCGGAGGAAATTTCTTTCTTTTTCTTTCCCTTTCTCTTTCAATCGGGTCTTATCATTCTATCATGATCTGATTGACCATTTCTCTTTCTCTCTCTCTCTGTCAATCCCACTCACTATAATTACCCCGAAAAGTCGCAAAACCACAAACTGAAGAATGCCTTCTAGGCCTTACTTCCACAAGATAATTCTCCCCAGAACCGTTCAGGACAGGAAGCTGGTAACGCCAATCTCTTATTTTTTTATATTGTTTCTCCCTTCTGCTCTGAATTGATTCTCTGTTCTGGGAATTTTACACTGCGATGTGATTGGATTTTTTTCCCCCATAGCTGGTTTGACTGTTACATGCTTGTTTAATTTTGGGGGTTTTTATAATTGTTGATGAGTCCGGAGAAATGGAACCCAGAATTTTATTTTGGTGGGTGGAGGTGGTTGTGCTACTAATTAGTGAGAATTCGATCATCAATTATGGTTTTGGTGGAAATGGGGTTAACAAGACTGTGATTTGTGAATTAGGGTTTTGAGTGAGCTCTTTTCATGTTATAGGATGAGGGGTTTTGAGTTTTTTTTTTTTTTTAACTGCTATGCATGTTGGGGAGGCAAAGAGGATTGTGAATTTCTTAATTTTTTCTGCCATTCTGGAATACGGAGAACATTTCCTCAGCCGAATTGATAGCTTTGCTGAAGTGAATTTAGCCTGTGTGTACGTTCACCACTGCTTATGGTAAAACGTATCAGTTAAGAATGGAGAAATAATCTGAAAGTTTCTTTCTTGACTTCAGAATCTGCTATCACTCACTTGGATTGCTGTTTCATTTAAAAATTTGTTAATGTCAGACGTTTTCTTTAAATTGTAGCTGAAGATCATGAGCAATGGTTAGGTGTAAACGGCTCATCATCAAATAAGAAACAGGACTGCATATGTTGTATATGCTACTCTGCAATTTCGCATCTTAAATGGTTTATACAATATTTGTGTTTCAGCTTCTCTTCCAGGATTGTAGAAATCCATTAATAATTAGCATTGGAATAATATCGTCTTGTTCTCTGGTCTCAAATGGGGTTGGATCCCCTAAAATTGCAAAAAAAAAAAAATCTGTCATTAAATGGGTACAAACATAGCATATAGGGATATTATGTTACATGGGAGTATCCGTTCCTCACTGTGTATTACATATCTAAACTGCAGCTATCAGCGTACCTGTTCCATGTGGCATATTTTCGTGACATGAGAGTTAGGTGCAATTTTAGTATTTTGATCATTATAGCAAGAACTGAGGATTGATTCTTATGCTAGAATTCATCCATCATTCTTCAAAAGCTTTTTGTCTTGCAGTTTTTCATCACATTGATGTTATGATAATATTAGCTCCGTGTTTTTGGGTGCGTTACTCTACGTCCTCCATTCTACTCTTCCATTCCTTTTCATTTGACTTCCCTGCAACTCGAACACCATTTTCCTGGAGTGTGTTGATCAGAGTTGACAACTGATTATCCTTTGTTCTGTGTCTTCATAAAATATTTCTTCTTGGAATATGCATAGGAAAGAATTTATCCTAACTTAACTTAGCTGCATGCAGAGGATCCCAGATAACTTTATCAAGAAATTTGCAAATGACCTCACTCCACTTGTCAGGCTGACTGTTCCGGATGGTCATGTGTGGCGTATAGGAATAGTAAAAGCTGATGATAAGTTTTGGTTTCACGATGGGTGGCATGATTTTGTCGAGAGTTACAAGATTCGTGTTGGCTACATGCTGATTTTCAGATATGAAGGAAATGCAATCTTCAATGTTCATATATTCAATTTGTCTGCTTCTGAGATAAACTATCAAACTAACACTCTCAGTGGGAAAAGATGCCTTCTATTTGATGATTTGGAAGATGAGGACTCTGCCGAGTACTTGAATCCCTTGCCGGTCTACCAAGTTCCCTACACAATGAAAGGTTAGCTCTTTCCACTAGATACATTCATAAATAAGCAATACTTTCTGACTGCAACATAACTCTGATCTACTAACTCGATGTGTGAAGCAAATCCGCATTTGACCAGAGTAACGAATGTTCCACAACCAGCAACTCGGCCTGCTAGCGATGGGAATCTTCAGTTTAATGCATTTGATCAACGAAATGCTTCAGATGCACCACCACCACCACCAGTAAAAGTTCCCAAGAAACGTGGAAGAAAAAGGATAAAGCCTGATCCAAGTAAGTTCAGGGAATTCACCCCTTATTTGAGCTATTCTTTGGGTTGGAATTGCAATTAATTTCAGCTCTTAAAACAAAAAGATGCAGCTGAACAACAACAGCCCTCTGCCCTAAAATCCCAAGAAGATGGAGATATGCGCCTCAGATTCTATGAAAGTGCCTCAGCGAGGAAGAGAACTGTGACGGCTGAAGAAAGGGAAAGAGCAATAAATGCAGCCAAAACATTTGAACCAGAAAATCCTTTCTGCAGGGTTGTGTTGCGACCGTCTTATTTATACAGAGGTTGCATTATGGTGAGCCACTTGAAACTGATAAGCTCCCTGCTTCTGTCAGCTGTCTTTATCCTCGGTTTGCTGGTTCCTATTTGAGAAGTAGAGCAAATAGTAGCAAGTTCATGTGTGTTTGAAAAATCATTGAAATGAGTACATGATTGGTAAACTGGTTTTTTTATCGACTAGAGACGCAACTGATGGGTTTTCTCGTTTTCAGTATCTACCATCCGGCTTTGCGGAGAAGCATCTCAATGGAGTTTCGGGATTCATCAAGCTTCAGTTTACTGATGGGAAGCAGTGGCCTGTTCGATGTCTTTATAGAGGAGGGAGAGCTAAACTGAGCCAGGGATGGTACGAGTTCACCTTGGAGAACAATATAGGGGAAGGAGATGTGTGCGTCTTTGAGCTGATGAAATCGAGGGATGTTGTGCTGAAAATAACTGTGTTCCGAGTCACGGACACTGCTGGCAACTATCTCAACCACCATCGATCAGCTCCTGCTCCGTCGAGGCACTAGAACTTAAAGCTGGGGATCCACATCATAGCATAGATTAGGAAGGCTGGAACTGGTGAGAACTTCGTCTCTTTCGCGTTGCTGTTGATGATCTGTCATGGAAGTCTCTCTGCTGGCACATTGCAATGCTGTTGATGATTGTCTATAAGAAAAAAGAAAACGCATCTGCAAATTAGCTGGAAGCTTCTTCATTTGTTAATTTAGGGTGCTTTGTGCACGGCATTTTTTTCCGTGGGTTTGATAGGGCTGTAAATAGACTGCTCCAATCAAGAAGGTATCAAGCTGGACCAGAACCATCAGATCTTTGTGTGGCAGCTCTGGTTCCTTTTCAGATTGCTATGTTTGATTCCAATTCCATGCTCTTTAGGGTGTATGCATGGTTTGTTCGCCAGATCTTTGTGTTCTGCTTTTCCGGTTTCTACCCTGCTTCTGCTTTGTTTCGCTGTCTCGACGCATAGATCATTGTAAGACTTTCACAGGGAGTCGTGAGTATTGAACTAACGATTAGGTGTCCATTCCAGATGTAAAATTTGAGTCTTGTTTTAGTCTCGAATCCTTTTGGTCCATTGGAAAGTCGTAATAGTCTTGTTTTAGTCTCGATATATTAATCCAGGTCAACACTCGACGACCAAAGCAAGCTAACCAAAGGGTGGTTGCAGTTTGTATGGGAAAATAAGTTGGGAAGAAGGAGATGTCTGCATCTTCAAGCTGGTTTGATGCGACCAACGTTGTCTTCAAAGTGATCATATTTGGGGTAAAAAGTAGAGTGGCCTTTTTTTACTGAAGGATGCATCAGAAAGGGCCAAATAAGGAAAGCTGGGATGAGAGGTTTGACGTTTGAGTGGTGAAATGGCTTCATCAATCATGGCAGAAGAGATTTCGTCTGATTAAGTTTCAGAGATGGGTAGAAGAATCGAGTGGGTAAATGAAGGTTACTCATGAAGAGAACCGTTGGATCATAGCCTTACTTTTCAATCCTCACTCTGTAAATGAGCGCAAGTCATCATTTCAAGAAGCCAAAAAGCCAGGTAAAAAAAACAGAGCAATTACACATTTTCGACTCTGTGCCTGCAAAACAGAGGTTTGATCCTGTCAAGATATCTCTTGTTTCCCCTTCCTTGCAAACAAATTCTGAATTCCTACATTTCTAACATAGTGATAAGAAAGCAGCAAACCTGAAACCTCATAAAAGCAGAGCTTAAACTTTTCCAAAACTGGAATACTAGCTAGCTAGCTAGCTACCAACACTGCATTGCCCATATTGAAAGCTCTGATGGGTCAGAACCCTGCATAGCTCCAGAACAACAAAGAAACCCTCCTCCCCAGTCCCCATAACGCCATAATCTCGTCCACAGCTAAGTAGAGAGCTTTTCTCTTTCGTCTGCTCCTAAGCCCATCTTTTTCTCGTCAATCTAGGGAAACCTTACCCTCAAGGAATCATGGCTGCCAGTGCCAACACTCGGAGCTTCACCGACGAGTTCCTCCCGCCGTTTGAGTACTTCTTCAAGGTGATCACGCCGGAAGCCGTCCAGAACAAGAAAACAGTAAGCCTCCTTTTTCCACAAAAAAAATAAAAAAAAATCAGTCTATTTTGCTGAATCTTTCGAGCAAATCACTCACCTGAATTTGTGCTCTGTTTTTTTCTTCTTCTTTCTGTTCTGTTTCCATGGACGCAACAGATGCTTCCGGAGAAGTTTACAATCACTTTCAAGGCCAAGCTCCCAAACGTGGCGACGCTGAGAGGGCCAAACGGCAGATTTTGGCGGGTCGGGTTGACAAAAGAACGGCGAAACCCGAACAGAGTGTGGTTCGACTCTGGATTCGGAGATTTCCTCTGCTTCTACTCCATCATCGCCCGCCATTTACTCATTTTCAAGTACGACGGCTCCTCCGGTTTCGACGTTGTCATTTGCGACCTGACCGCCTGCCAGGTTGTCTATCCGAGCTCCGAACCTCAGGTTTCTCCCGGCGATGAAGAAGAAGACGACAGCGACGATGAGCCCACTGAAGACGAAGTCGAAGAAGAAGAAGAAATCAGCGATTCCGAATCTGACAGTTACGAGCGGTTTGGCCGTGGCCGTATTTGGAAAGGGAAACAGGTAGAGACAACCGGGATTTCAAGCTCTCGCCGGAAACTCACCGGAGCGAAAATTCGAGCTGCCGGAACTGCTTCAGGTAAGAAAAAAAAATTAACGAGCTTTTCCGAACAAAGAAACAGAGCCCACCTGATAATTATAGTTTCATGATCTGTGTGTCAGGGTCCCGGCGCCTGCAACAACCAAACCGCCCTCTCACGGCGGCGGAGCGACTGGCTGGGGCGGATGGGCATTTGTGGAGGCGGCTGAAGGCATCGAGGATTATGACGTCAACCAAGTTCAGCTGCAGCTTCGGCGGGTTGTCCCGTGGGAGCAAGAGAGGGGTGGAGAAAGCCATGGATTGCGAGCCAAGGAACCCTTCTGTGCTCATCGTCATGAGGAATTTCCATGTTTGCACGGGAGGAGTCCTGGTAAGTCTCGCGCCATTGATTAGATCTATTTGGGTTAATATTCGTTTCATGTTCTGAGTTTTTTTGTTTTTGGTATGTTCTTGATGTTTGTAGTACATGCCCAGTAAGTTCGCCAAGCGGTACTTTTCTGGAGATCGAGAAAGAGTCAGGCTGTGTGCTTACGAGGGGAAGACGAGATTTGTGGGTGAATGGCGTGCTTATGCCGCCATAAACAAGCCGCGGCTCAGCGTATTGTATATCAGAGGGTGGCCGGAGTTCCAATCGGACAATAACTTGGCGGAGGGAGATATGTGCTTATTCGAGCTCGTCGATCAGGAGAAGAAAGTTTTCCATGTCTACATGTTTAGAGCTTGATATTTGTGCACTAAATTGGATCTTGTGATAGATTGTACTCATTGTGCAAGGGAGCTACGTGGCAATTTGAACTCGCCCCGTGGGTATTACCCGACCTGATCCGTGATGGGCGGGTATTACCTGACTCGCAGTAGCGTGGGGCGGGACATGAGTTCTTACTTCCGACCTGCCCTGCCCGCCCGTTCTTGGCCCATTTTATCTCAATTTCTTACCGTATCTATTCATATTTATCATAGTTTGAATTTTCTTCAACTAGTTAGACTCGAACTTTTAACTAGTTAGACTTAATTACCCGTTCTATTATAAATACTTTCATTCATAAAGTTTTTTTTCTCTTCATTTTATTGTAAGACGTAAACTCTGCGTGTATTTTTTGCACATAACATCTCAGAGTGGGTCGACCCGCCCTGCCTCGTACCCATGCGGGTATTAACCGCCCCGACCCGCAGTAACTTGGGGCGAGACATGAGTATTAAGGTACCCGCCCGTCCGATTGTCATCACTAGCTACGAGGACTAGCATATAAAGTATAGTTATTCGGAGTACAATTCACTATATGCGTGAGCGCACATGCTGCACAAAACAAGTAAAGTTTAGCTCTGAGATAAATCAAGACATGTCATGCTCAGCATGTGCGACCTTGCACGACTGCATCTGAGGAAAATGACTCTCTCACTAGAAAATCTCTCTCCTCCTTTTCTCTCTGTTTTTTTCAAACACTATATCTGGGTTTCCATACGCATCCATCAATGGTGCTTTTTCAACCTCCTTAGATACTCTGATGGAGAAGAGACGTATATCTACCCAGATGAGTGATCCCATCAGAAGTAAAGTCAATCAAGAGTTGGATGGAAACCATTGCAAGGGCTCTCCTACACTGGTTTTCTGCTGAACAACCAAAAGCTACAAGCCTCTCAGCATTTTACAATTATTCCTCAAATGAGACCATCCTTCCTCAAAAGCCAGTTATGAAGGCAGAGAGCAGAAATCCCAGCCTATTTCGTCCACCAAAACCCAAGCCAAGATCTCTCCCCCTGCCAAAATCCTCTCGAGCCTCAAAACCCAGCAATAAAAGCCTTTCCTCTCTATCAAATCTCACCAAACTACCTCAAAGCTTCAATGCAACCAAGTAATGTGACAAACCTGCTTCCGCTCCGTCTATTTAAGAGCATCGACCAGCCAATCTGCTTCTCCACAAACTTACTAAATTTGTTTTTGAATGTTTATGTGCAATCAAAGACTTATTACTCTTTGTTTACAAAACATTTTAATGTTCAATCACCTTATCCACCATCTGTTTATAAAAAGTTCGCATTGGTCCTTAAGATTGTTGGCTGGTTGGCCATACAATGGAAGCCCATCGCTCATCTAGTCATCTCAAAGAAGCAGAAACCTGAAAAGTAATGGAAGCCATTACAGCCTTTTGAATTTTGATCCTTGGCCTGCACCAGAGATTCACCTCTGATATGGAAATTTATTCCACCCTTACCAAATATGTTCATAAAAAAACCTGTAAAGCAGGAAAGTGAAAAAAGCTGAGCCTGAAAGTTACCCAAATTAGAAGTCAAGCTAGTAAACACTCTGAAGATCTGAAAGCGCCGAAGAACTCAGCAGTCCCTGAGAAGTAACAGAGCAAAGGCTCCGAGTTAACATACAGAACTACTTTTCTTCTCTCCTTCACCTTCTTTCTTCCCTGCTTTCATTTCTTCGTCTAAAATTACTACTGCTGGGAAAAAAGTATCGACTAATGGCTGCCAACGGTCGGAACTTCGTCGGAGCCAATGAGAACCTACCGATGTTCAAGCATTTCTTCAAGGTGATCTGGCCGGAAGCCATACAGACCAAGAAACTGGTAAATCTGTTTTTACTTTTACCCAAAGAATCAGTCTATTTAAGCTTTGATCTTTTCAAGAAACCGACTTCATGCTCTGTTTTTCATTGTTTGATTTTTTTTTTCCATGGACGCTATAAAATACAGATGCTTCCTCAGAAGTTTGCCGTGACTTACAACAACGAGCTTTCTCGCGAGGTGCTTTTGGAAGTTCCGAACTCCAGAGTTTGGCGGGTGAGGCTGACCAGGGAGCGTGGAGACGAAACCAAAGTGTGGCTCCACTCTGGATTTGGGGAGTTCCTCCGTTTCTACTCCATCGTCGCTCGAGACTGCCTGATTTTCAAGTACAATGGCCGCTCCCGTTTCGAAGTAGTCATTTGCGACTCCACCGCCTGCGAGATCGCCTACCCAAATGAAGAACCTCCGGCATCTTCCGGTGAAGATGGCGACAGCTACGACGACTCTGAGTTTGACAGCGACGCTCCCGCTGGAGGAGAAGAAGAAGAAGAACACAGTAACGGTTCTGGGTCAGAGAGCGAGCAAGCGGAGATCGGAAATCCCAGAAGTGGTGATGGATCATGGTCTCGCCGGAGATTTAAACGACCGGCCGGAACTACTGCAGGTTAGATTAAAAAAAAAACTTTTTTTTTTGAGAAAGGAAGAAAAAAACCCTGAATTTTTTTTTGCTCTGTTTCTCTGTTTTCTAATTGTGCGTTCACAGGCGGTCGAGAAAACAGAGGCAAACGACCTCGTTTGGCGGAGGAGGACAGTGATACCTCGGCGGACTCAGATCACCGGCGAGCGGGAAAAGGAAGCGGCAAAGGCAAAAGGGTCTGGAAGTGGACGGGAAGCGGCGCTTCAGGGTCCCGCCGCCGGCAAAAACGTCCCCAACCTAGTTACGGTAAAACAGAGTCGAAAGAAAAAGCTGATTTCGTTTCAGATTGGAGAAAAAAGTAATAAAGCAATCATCTTTCTTCCTTTCCTGTGGAGGGATTTTTGCAGGGAGGGACGACGATCTGCGGATCCGGCTGCTGGCGGCAAAGATCGTGACGATAACCCGGTTCTGGTGGAGCTTGAAGCACTTGTCTACAGAGAGCAAGAACGCGATTCACAGAGCCATCGATCGCAGCAACCCAGGAAGACATTCAGTACTGATCGTCATGAAGAAGACTCACATTCATCCAGGCATATTCGTGAGTGAGAAATGTGGATATATGGTTTTTGATCAAATTAGAAAAAAACTTGTTCGGGTTTAAAGTTGTTGCAGCGTGTTACTCCTCTGCTTGAATGAAAAAAGAAACTGAATCGCTTTTTTTTTTGTGGTTTATGCAGAACATACCTGCTAAATTTGCCAAAAGGCACTTCCATCAACATTCAGAAGTGGTTACAATGCGTGTCTACGAGCAGGACGAGGGATTTGTGGGCGAATGGTGCGTCTCTGCGGAAAGAATTGAGCGTAATCTCGTCAGTGTCAGAAGAGGGTGGATTGAGTTTTGTGCAGACAATCGTTTGGTGGAGGAAGATGTGTGTTTGTTCGATCTAGTTGATCGGAAGGGAAAGATTTTCGATGTTCACATTTTTAGGGCGGAATGAATGTGAATATTTAGTGGGCTTGTTGTAATAGGTTTGTATCTGTGTGCTATCTTTTTTTTTTTTTCCTGTTTAATTGAGATGTTGGGTATTTTTGTCGGAGTCTAGTTATTCTGTTAATTTGAAAATTCGTTAGTAGATACTAACTAATATTCAAAATGTATGAACTAATATCCAGGTCTGTTGAGTATCTAGATAACACAGACTAGTATTAAAAACATCACAAACTAGTATACACATAACAGATACCAACTAATATTCACAATCAATCAACTAGTATTCAATATGGATACTCTTATGTGTTATCTAGATACTAATTATGTGCTGTATGGATACTATTCTGTGTTGTCTAGATATTAGTTTGTGAATTTGGGATAATAGTTGATTCATGGTGGATATCAGTTAGCAAAATTTGAATACTAGTCTGTGCTCTCTAGATACTTTAGTACTTGGATACTAGTTCATGTATTTTGGATATCAGTTAGTATTTGCTAATGAATCTTCAAGTTAGCATATTAACTTTCCCCTGTTTATCGGTCGTGTGGCTATGTAATGCTATTTACTTCTTTTGACGGATTTGTGTGTTATTTGAATGTTTTATTTTTCCATTAGATGCTATTTGAGTTGAGAAACAATTATTTTGATGAAGTTTGTCATTCTATGAGCTCAATGGGCTCAAATCATTTATGCAAGACTTGTGACAGCTATCCAACTTCATCTATACTTTTGATATGTGGGTGAAACTAGTTGCTATTAGCAATGCGTCTTGCCTGTAGGGGGATTTTTTTGACAGAAGTCAGAATGGCTAGTAGGAACAAGAGGAAGGGTAAGGGCGGATCGGATATGGTTCTCTCATCTACTATTGGGAGGACGTTCTCCCAATGAAGAATATGATAATATAGTATACGATTTACAGGAATACATATTCGTCCAATAAGAATAATGTATTCTTATAATAGATAGTAATATGAAATAGCAGCCGACCCAAAACCCGATGAACCTGTAACCTGATTTGCCCGCAACTCGACTAACTCGCAACTCGTTTGAACCCGAACCCGATGAACCCGAACTCGATAAACCCACAACCCGATGAACCCTCAACTCGTTTGAACTCAAACCCTATTGAACCTAGCCCGAACCCGCCCGATTGACACCTTTACTCACAATGCATTATTCTATGGCTGCAATGCGTACGGATCGAAACCCAACCCAAAATCAAAAATTTTTAATTTTAATAAAATTATAAGGGATAAAATTGAAATAAAAAAGAATATAATTGGACCCCAAAATAGCTCCCGTTAATTTATTTAGCCAAAATCCAATAGAGTGAGATTATAACAAAGGCAAGCACCACGGTGCCGCTATTAAAAATGCAGCACCGGTGCCGCAAGTTTTTTATTGGTCCACATGTTTGTCTATGTAGCATTAGTTCTGGACATCTAACCGAAATATGCAAACCTGTACTCGGATCAATCCATTTTTAACCGACCCAAGAACTTGTTATTTTGGTTAGACTCCAGATAGAAACCAGTCGCCCCCCTCCATCTTCCCGCCGTCGAATTGCCAAAAGAACAAACGTTCCGGCGAACTGCTCTATCGATGACCAAACTCCTCTCCAATCTCTTTCAATTTACCTACACTATATTCCTTGACTATCTTCCTCCTCGAAATCTCCCTATCGGTCCCCAATTTTCTTATTCTTCTTCTCCTGTTTTTGCCCCAATCTCCCTCCTCGATCTAAATACTTTCCCAATTCTACTTTTCCATGTCTCTTCGTGTGGCTTGGTATGCTTGAATCCATGCGGCATTAATCGTGTTTGTTTTCTTTTTGCGTGTCTTGTTTGAGTGAGATCATATTGTCAATATAGTGAATCAAGGTGATTGGCGCTCAGCCGGTGGTGGTATATATGCAGTGTTTCCTTCTTGCGGCTTTGAATTGCTTGAAGCCTAGTTCCAGGTGATGCAACTTCTGGAATCGGCAGACTATCTCCATCGCAATTGTTCGAAGATCTGGAGCACAAGAGGCAGACTGTTGAATCTGAATACGTTGGCGGCATCCTTGTCCGGGCCGTGTTTGGGCTGGGCTCGCGTATGGCAGAGTCTGGAGAATGAATCTGCGATGGAGAAGTTCGCCGGAACAGCCGCTGACAGTCCGCCGGAGCAAGTGAGAGAGGGAGACGACAAATTACATCTGATTTGGGTTTCTTTTTTCTTTTTTTTTTTTTGTTTTTTGTTCCCGCAGAAAAATAAAAGTGGGAATAATTCTATTGAAAGAAAGAAACCCACCGCAGCCCCTGGTACTGTACACACAGACACCTTTTACTGTCCATTGTGACTGAGATTTACTGTTTCAAACTGGCGTGGGCTGGCGTGTGGGCTGGAGTTGGGTGAGGCCTCATTGGGATCTGACGGAGTTTGGGGGCTCGGTCGGGGTGGGACTGGTGTTTGGCTTCTGGTTGGCCTTCGTTGGGGTCGTTTGGTGGCCCGGACGCGCGTTGGTCATCAGAGATCGATATTTTACTTTGGCCCGAATGGGCACGTGGGATGGGGTCTTCAGATGTGCTCAGTCAGTCTTGCGCGATATCATTGTGTCTGTTGAGGATTCCGGCTGTTGTTCGCAGGACTGTGTTGGAGGAACTTGGCGACTGTTTGGCTGTGGTTGGAGGTACTTTGGGAATGGTGGACAACTGATTGATACCGGTTATTCACCTAAGGGACGGGGCCTTCAGATGTCCTCGGTGAGTCTTGCATCATATGATTGTGTCTGTTAGGGATTGCTAGAGGGTCGTGTTGGGTTGTTGTTCGCATGACTGTGTTGGAGAAACTTCCCGGCTCATTGGCTAGGATTGGAGGTGCTTTGGGAATGGTGGGCGGCTGATTGATACCGGTTATTCACCTGATAGCGGGAGGGTGTCAGACAAGCTTACTGTTTAAACACTGTATACGTCATTCAGTACCTCGATGCGTGCGCTCAGGTGGAGAAGGTAGTCTCTTATTCTTTTTGCATGCCTCGATGTGTGCGCTCAGGTGGAGAAGGCCATTTCCCAATCTTTTTGCACAAGAGGACTCATTCTCGGAACGCATTTCTCTCTTTTTTTCTCCTCTCTTTGTTCTCTGTGGTTCAGTTGTTGTTTTCTCGCCTTTTTACTCGCCATGGATGCTACTCTGCTCTGCAATCTCAAAGGAGGTACCAGAGAGGTGACGCTGAGGCTTCGTCTGCTCCATATGTGGTATGCCAAGAATCCTTCTGGGACAAGGGTGTTTAGTCACTGTTGCCTTTGGGTGGATCAGACGGTAGATTCTCTTGCGTTGATTCTTTATGATTACAGTTTTTCCTGTTTTTTTGCTCTTTTTTACCCTTCTTTGCTCTTTCTTTACTGTCTTTTTTTGTTTTTGATTCAGGGTATGCTTATTCAGAGCCTTGCTGATGTCTCTATTGGGTCTGAATTCGAGCGTGTGCTGCGCGTGGGAGTTATCTACGTTCTAAGGTCTTTTGGTCTCAGTGCCGCAAGGAATCTCTATCGTGCATGCTCATTTGATCTGATAATAGAGTTGTCAGCAACAACTATTTTCCAGGCCTGTTCTCTACCTGCAGCTGAATTTCCAACTGATTCCTTTGAGGTTGTTCCTTATAGTGAGCTGTCTAACCGTTCAGGGGACAATCGTATCCTTGCAATTAATTGTTGCGTTTTCTTGACTGAAATGAAATGGGTTTTATGTCTTCTTATTACTCTTTTTTTTTCCTCAGATGTTGTCGGCCGTCTTCATTCTATTAGCGGGATTGATCATCAGGTTACTAATCACGGCTCGACTCCAAAACAAGTTCTGGTCCTTGAGAATGCACAGTAGGTCTTTTGTGTTGTTTTATTTTCCCACTTGGGAATACTGTTTCATCATCGGCACGTAAGATATGATCCTTTGTTTTGCTGTCAGGAACCAGAGAGTGTCGATCACGCTTTGGAATGAACTGACGGCAGTCCTTGATCGACCTGCTTTGATTCAGGCTGACTCCATTGAGCCAGTGATCGTTGGAGTTGGGGGGCTCATGGTTGGCCGTTTGATAGGTGTGTATTTTTACTCTTTTCCATTCTGCTTGATCATAAATTATGAACTGATTTTTTTTTTTTTTTTTTTTGTAGCTGGTGAATATTCATGTTCGAGCTCCTCTGGAACCCGTATAGTTGTTAGCCCGAGGATACCAGAAGCATACAGTCTCGCTGCTTTGTGGGTTCTTTGTTGTTAAATTGTGATTTTATTGTTCCAGATTTGCTTTGTGGTTTTTGGTTTGGTTTACTTTTTTGTATCCATCTATACAGTTTTGGTGGATCCAGAGTTCCTGTTGCTGATTTGCCAGTCAAGTTTGCGACCCCAGGGGACGCTGCTGCTGATGCTGAGCGGAGAACCAGGACCATAGCTGAGCTTCTTGATTTGCACCATGGCGGTGCTTCTGTCGTGAGTTGCATTCTTATGTAGTTCTTGATTTTAGAATGGTCTTCGGGTTGTCCATTTATTAATGTGTTTTGATTGCTTTCTGAGATTATCAATGTTTGTATTCAGGATGAAAAGCATCGTTGTGGTGGTATAGTCCGATCAGTTGAGTCCCGGAGCCCGTGGTATTACATGTCATGCAGCATGTGCAGAAAAAAGTGTTCTACGTGGCGAAATGGTAACTACTGGTGTCCTGACCATTGGGAGATCACTGAGCAGCAAGTGACAGTTGGGTGTGTGTTTTTGTCTGATCATTAGTTGTTGTTGTTGTTTATTTCAAATGTGTGCCTGTCAGGTCTCATAGAATTTGCCTACTTTTTGTTAGTTTGCACTCCCACGCCTATCCTGATGAAATTGTCTCTGTGTTTTACTGTGTCGTCTCCAGCTACAAGATCCAATTGACCCTGCGTGATGCCACTGACGAGGCCCCTTTCATTATTTTCGGACCGTGCGGGAACAATTTGGTCCTCACATCTGCCCAACTTCTGGCCCAGAGATATCCTCACAGGTCTGGCCAGTTGCCTCCTGAACTTGAGGCTTTGCTCGGCCAGTTTGTCAGATTTGAGGTCAAGCTTCCGATGGTTGGGTCAAGTGGAGTATCTACGGGTGAATTCCGTGTTTTCCGAGTTATGCCCCGTGATGTTCAGGGCCCAGTGCTTGGTCTTACAGGAGTTCCAGATGTCACAGGCAGTGTTTCTTCGTCCCAAACCATAAGTCAGTCCTATTCTGGTCAGGAAGGAGTGTTGATGATGCCTGCTCCAGGTGTGCCTTTCGCAGCTTCAGCTTCTGCTGCCATACCATCTAGGTGAGTGTTGTTTGCTCTATTGTTATGTTTGTGTTAGTTAATAACGGGGATTTAGGTATGGATTTGGGATATTCTAATTATGAATCTTTGCTGTTACAAATCTAGCTCATCCAAAGGAAAGGAAAAGGTTGTTGACTCAGGAACACCTGGAGGGACGAATCCAACATTCCAGATTGGCCAGGTAGCAGGGTTGCCTCTCAGGTAACACATTTGAACTCTT